GTTTCTCCGGTTAGCCGTTGCTGCCTGGCTGCTGTCCCGCCGCCTCCGCTGCTTCGCCCCCGCTGCGGCAGGCTTCGCCTCCGGGACCGCCAGACAGATAAATAGCCCGCCTTCACCCGCTCATGTTTCTGGTCATCACCTTCGACCCCAGACACACTTGACTCTAGATCCTAGCCTCGCTAAGATCAATAAAACCCTTCTCTATCTTTTTCTTTTGATCTCCTCTTGATCCCGTGATCTGACAGTGGCTGTGTTGGAGTCAAGCTTCCATTCGACTTCGATGCGCACCCTGTGCTTGAGCTTGGTGAGGTAGCGCTGCAGGTTCTGGCGGTTGTTGCTGAAGTGGGGCAGCTCGAGGAGGAGATCGCGGAAGCGAGAGTTGAACTGCTCGACGGAGCCGGTGTGGCGCAGTGCTTCGAACTCATCCTCGGTGGTGCGCAGCGAGGTGGACGGAAGGAAGGTGTCGCGGACGAGGGACAGGACGGCGGCCGGGGTCAGGTTGTCGAGTTGCTTGCCCTGGGACCAGAGGCGCCACCAGGTCTTGGCCTTGCCCTTGAGGTTCATGGCGACGGTGGCGACAGCGGTGGCGTCATCGAGACTGTGGAAGGCAATGTACTCGGTCATTGAGAAGACAAACTCGTCAACGACAGCAGCCTTACGCTCGCCAGTGAAGGCGTCGGGGAGCGGGATCTTGGGACGCTTGAAACCGGGAGGGACCGTGGGGAGATTCGGCTGGGCAGTCAGGGCGGAGAGGACCAGGGCGCGGTCCTCGAGCGATAGTTGTTCAAGGGCCTGGAGACAGGCATTGACGGCGGGATCGTCCGATGCTACCATGTCAGATCACGGGATCAAGAGGAGATCAAAAGAAAAAGATAGAGAAGGGTTTTATTGATCTTAGCGAGGCTAGGATCTAGAGTCAAGTGTGTCTGGGGTCGAAGGTGATGACCAGAAACATGAGCGGGTGAAGGCGGGCTATTTATCTGTCTGGCGGTCCCGGAGGCGAAGCCTGCCGCAGCGGGGGCGAAGCAGCGGAGGCGGCGGGACAGCAGCCAGGCAGCAACGGCTAACCGGAGAAACATGTGAAAGTCTGACAAATGCTCGGTGGCTGACAAATGCGGGTGACACAGCGTCTGACTAATGCATGGTCGATGACAAATGCAGGGAAAACAGAGCGGCGTGTGCAACATGAGAGCAAGGAAAAAGGAAAGGCGTCACAGGACAAAGGAAAAGGAAAGTGTGCGACGCAAACAGTGACACAAGTGCGACGGTGCAGCTAGGCGGGCAGAGCGATCTGTGACACTGGAACTGGAGCTCGCGGAAGGGTTGGTCGCGGAACTGAGTGCGAGCGGGCTGCTGCATCAGGGGTTGAGATTGACCCATGATGGACTCGTATCGCTCGGCGAGGGCCATGGCATCTTCGAGGGTGGCTGTGTTGGAGTCAAGTTTCCATTCGACTTCGATGCGCACCCTGTGCTTGAGCTTGGTGAGGTAGCGCTGCAGGTTCTGGCGGTTGTTGTTGAAGTGGGGCAGCTCGAGGAGGAGATCGCGGAAACGGGAGTTGAACTGCTCGACGGAGCCGGTGTGGCGCAGTGCTTCGAACTCATCCTCGGTGGTGCGCAGCGAGGTGGACGGAAGGAAGGTGTCGCGGACGAGGGACAGGACGGCGGCCGGGATCAGGTTGTCGAGTTGCTTGCCCTGGGACCAGAGGCGCCACCAGGTCTTAGCCTTGCCCTTGAGGTTCATGGCGACGGTGGCGACGGCGGTGGCGTCATCGAGACTGTGGAAGGCAATGTACTCGGTCATTGAGAAGACAAACTCGTCAACGACAGCAGCCTTACGCTCGCCAGTGAAGGCGTCGGGGAGCGGGATCTTGGGACGCTTGAAACCGGGAGGGACGGTGGGGAGATTCGGCTGGGCGGTCAGGGCGGAGAGGACCAGGGCGCGGTCCTCGAGCGAGAGTTGCTCAAGGGCCTGGAGGCAGGCATTGACGGCGGGATCGTCCGATGCTACCATGTCAGATCAAGGGATCAAGAGGAAGTCAAAAGAAGAAGATAGAGAAGGGTTTTATTGATCTTAGCGAGGCTAGGATCTAGAGTCAAGTGTGTCTGGGGTCGAAGGTGATGACCAGAAACATGAGCGGGCGAAGGCGGGCTATTTATCTGTCTGGCGGTCCCGGAGGCGAAGCCTGCCGCAGCGGGGGCGAAGCAGCGGAGGCGGCGGGACAGCAGCCAGGCAGCAGCGGCTAACCGGAGAAACATGTGAAAGTCTGACAAATGCTCGGTGACTGACAAATGCGGGTGACACAGCGTTTGACTAATGCATGGTCGATGACAAATGCTGGGAACACAGAGCGGCATGTGCAACATGAGAGCAAGGAAAAGGAAAGGCGTCGCAGGACAGAGAAAAAAGAAAGTGTGCGACGCAAACAGTGACTCAAGTGCGACGGTGCAGCCAAGCGGGCAGAGGGATCTGTGACAGTTTCTGCAACATCTACCGCAAGTTTATCGAGCACTACTCCGAGCACGCCAAGCCCATGTCCGACCTCACCAAGAAGACCACCAGCTTCCAGTGGACCCCAGAAGCCGAACAAGCCTTCACGGCTCTCAAGAATGCCGTTACCTCAGCTCCGGTGCTCAAGCATGTCGACTCGAGCCTCCCTTTCCTGCTCGAGACAGATGCTTCTGACTTTGCGCTGGGTGCTGTGCTTTCACAGCCCATGTCACACGACACCGCGTCAGCTTACCACCCAGTCGCATTCTTCTCTAGGAAGCTCAATGACGCCGAGCGCAACTACTCGGTGCATGACAAGGAGCTCCTAGCGATCGTGGAGGCTTTCCGTTTCTGGCGTCACTACCTTGTCGGTGCTCGAGACATCTCTGTCAGGTCCGACCACAAGAATCTCACCTTCTTCCGCACCCGTCGCACGCTCAAGCAACGACACGCCCGATGGGCCGAACTACTTTCCGAGTACGACTTCAAGCTCACCTACACCCCCGGGCACCTCAACACCGTGGCAGACGCACTGTCGAGGCGCCTGGACCTCGCTCCGGAGGGGGGAGATGGTTTCGACAACGACCCGACAACGATCACCCTCTTACCGGACGAACGCTGGATGCGAAGCCTCACGACCAAGCTTTCACACCAAGTACTTGTCGAGAGCGACGATCGAAAGCTCGAGATACTCCGGGCTCGACACGACTCACCAACGGCAGGACACCCCGGCCAGGCCAGAACATTGGAGCTCGTCCAAAGGGACTTTTACTGGCCGGGGATGAGGCGCTACGTCAAGGAGTATGTCAAGGCGTGTGAAACATGTCAACGCAACAAGGCAGCAAGGCACAAGCCACTGGGACTGCTCGAGCCACTACCCATTTCACTGACACCATGGACGTCGGTGGGGATGGATTTCATCGTCAAACTACCCCCCTCACACGGTCACGACTCGATCCTGGTCTTCGTTTGCCGTCGCACCAAACAGGCGCACTTTGTCCCATGCAATGAAACTATCGACGCACAAGGTACTGCTAACCTCTTCCTGCATCATGTGTTCCGACTCCATGGTCTCCCAACCGACATCGTGTCGGATCGAGGTCCGCAATTCCGTTCCTCGTTCTGGAAGGCGGTTACTACTTCCCTGGGAATCAAGCTCAAATTGTCGACCGCGTACCATCCGCAAACGGATGGGCAAACCGAGCGGACCAATCAAACGCTCGAACAGTACTTGCGGTGTTTCGTTTCCTATCAGCAAGACAACTGGTTTGAGTTGCTGCCGCTCGCCGAGTTTGCACACAACAATGCTACTAACAGTAGTACCCAGTTGAGCCCCTTTTTCAGCAACTACGGTTTCAACCCAAGAGGAGACTTCGAGCTACCCGTCCGGGACGACAGTAACCTCCCCTCGGTCAAGACGCACCTGGATCGACTACAAGATGTCAACACCTTCCTCGACCGAACTCTGAAGCTAGCGCAGGAGGATGCACGCCGGTTTGCCAACAAGCATCGACAGGACCATTCCTTCAAGGTTGGCCAGAAGGTGTGGCTGTTGCGAAGAAACATCAAGACACGACGCCCCAGCAGCAAGCTCGACCACGTGAAGCTTGGACCCTTCAAAGTCATCGAGCAGATCAATCCGGTCACCTACCGACTCGAACTCCCAGACTCGATGTCCATCCACCCTGTGTTTCATGTTAGCATGATGGACGCGTACCATGCGAGCACCATTGCGGGACAGACTGCGCCACCTCCCCCTCCTGTAGAGATAGATGGTGAGGAGGAGTACGAGGTAGAAGGCATTCTTGATGCAAAATGGTTTGGGCGTACCTTAAAGTACTTAGTCAAGTGGAAGGGGTATTCGGACGTTGAGAATTCGTGGGAGCCGGAGGCGAACTTGCAGAATAGTCCGGACTTGCTTCATGAGTTTAGACTGAAGTACCCCCAGAAGGTTCAGGGCAGACCTAGAAGGGGGAGATGATGTTATGAACGCGTACCATGATTGGCGTTGTGGCGCAGCGCATTGTCATGGCACTCATGAGCATCCGGGACTGGCGACGGTCTAGAACCTTCCTGCACCATGCATTAGATTAGTTCATTCATTTACTTTATTTGATCACAGAGTGGCTTATCCTGTGGCTGAGCTCGATGACATGATAGATTAGATGGTCGAGGTATAAATAGAGGAGCTCAGGGGCCAGAAGGAAATCACACCCAGTGAATTATCTTATCACCTTTCTGAATATAAGCTCACCACTCTCTCGTACCTTGCCCTTGCTCCCTGCCCCTGCTCCTCGTTCTTGCCCTCGTTCCGATTCCCACGCCCTGTCTGCACCGTCAAGAGCCACCTGGTTCGCTCACGCTTGTTTCCCACGCCCCGTTCCTGACATTGAAGGTAGTGTTTTATGTGAGGAACTCTCGGACACCTTCCTGTTTCGCTCTCAAGAAGATCACAATCCCTCGCGTCAATCAATCAAAATACTCTCCATTAAATCTCTCTCACTAATCGCAGCAGGTGCTGTCTCTATCCGTCCTGTTTGCGTAACCTCCCCATCAGTTGTGCGCTTCCCTGACGACTTCTCAGTGAATGGAATACCAAATCAACGCATGGTCTTTGTACTTTACAACATTTGATAGATTTTTCCGCCACATCGTTTCATCCAATTATCCATTTTCTACACTTGCTCTGCATATTTGCTGAGGGGACGTTTATTGTGATCTGCCTTTTCTATGACTGCCTGGAGTTTCGCAAGCACAATACTCGAACTCATTGCTTGATGCTCACAATTCCTTCCCCACTCGATTGCGGAAATCCTGGACTGGGACAGATGGCGTCCGCTCACAATTTTCCGCTCTCGATTTCTGCTCAGGTTGACCCATAAACTTGCTACTTGCGTTTGCTTTTCTTCACTTCCCTCTCATATCCTCTCATAGCACCTTCTTGAGCCGCCAAGTGCCCAAATGCCTTGTCCATCTTCTTTTTGTAATCTGCATCGCTCTCCCGGATGCGTTGAACCTTCTCGCGAGCCAGGAAGCGTGCATCCTTGCGAAGTTCTCGAATGGCACCTTTGAGCTCTTTCTTGTACTGGAACTGCAGCTTCTTTTCCTCGGCACGCTCACGATTGGGATCATTGCTCTTGCGGTCCACGGAGTAGCTGGTGTAAAGCAAATCAATGGTCAGATTGCAGCACAATATATCGACCATGTCCACGCACTCAGTGGCGACACTTACTGTTCCTGGAACTTTGGAACATATGTCTGTATGGCCATGGGCTTGCGTTTTTGGAGCTCCAGAGGCCGCCGCTTCAGCCGCGAAGATTTGATGAGTCCGCTTATCAGCGATACACTATGATCGATGATCTGAATAACAATACCAGGTTAATTGCTTTATACAACTCTTCGTAGAGCCAACTTCTCTTTAAGAAGGCACTATCGTAGTGAACACCTTTGACGTCCACTTGTTCAACCAGCAGATCACTCATGTTCTCAATTCCAATTCGACTCCATCATCGTCTGCTGAGTTCCTAGGCTGAGCCAAGAACTAAATCCTATATAATCGATATCGAATCGAGCGTCGTGCCAGTCCCAGATAGAAATATGCCAACTAACGCCGGCGTGTTCACTTACATCCCGCGCGGCTCTTGAGAATTTCCCAGTGGGCAGACGCTGGATCAGTTCGAGCGTGGGTGAGAATATCTCTTCGAATGAACTCAGTTCGTTGTATAGCTTGGCGCACTGGGCTGCCAAGTGCACCGCAGCTACAAACACAGAAACACTATTTGGAGATATCAATCATGATTGGTCAGCGAACGACTAGCGACACTGGTATCTCCTCGAGGATCGTCAAAGATTCTCATATCCTTACGCAAACTCCTCCGTGGTAAAGTACCCATCGGACTGTTCCTCCTTGGCCAGCAGTGTCGAAAAGTTCAGTGGCTTCATCTCCGCCTCAGGATCGACAATGCGGAGGCTGATAACCGGCGGATGGGACAACGGAAACAAGCCGGGTGTGCTTTTCGACTCGGAAGTCGATGCGGACAATATCACAAAGTTCACAAAATTCAGGGCCTCAGGAACAAAGCGCTTTGATAGAGATTGATACTAAGGAAGACATATGAGCCCAGGTCAGTACATTGACAAGCCTGCAGGTGCTGTTCTTGCCCAACATTCTCCCGATATCCAGTGCATACCAACCTCCAGGAGTAGCTGACAAACGTAGAGTCCAGCAACAATATCACGGCCGTCGCGCGCTGGCGCAAGAGATAAGAGCTGTGCCATCAAAATAGTGGCCGGAGTGGTGACAGGGTGACGGAAGTCGGATGTGGGAAATATTTTTCCTATCATCCGGAGCAGCGTCAGTTCCCCAGCACCAGGATAATTCGACTTCTGGGTTATGCGCCGTTGCATCAGCTCCAGTTTCTTCAGCACATAGTCAACGGCTTCGGCCGTGAAGACTTGGGCCATGTCGATGACGTTGCGAGCCAGTACTTCGATTTGGGCCGCTTCAACGGGTTTGGTGTCAGCCGCATGGATTACGTAGTCGAATAAAGTATGCATAAGCTTGACAAGCTTCTCTCGGTTAGCTGCCGCGAGCTTGATGTGGTATATCGTCCGGATGCGATGGATGATCGTTTCAATGTCCGATACAGTTCGTCCTGCGATCAACGCCTCAAACTCTACACGAGTAGAAGGTGCTTGGAAGGTGTACGGCAGCTCTCTTCGGGCAGCCTCCATGGCTTCGTTTTGGAGGATGGCCGGAATAGACTTTTGGATCAACTTTGATTGTGGTTTGCTTGCCTCTTGCTCATCACTTTCAACTTGTTCATTCGCGGAAGAGGAATAATCCTCTATCTCCTCTTCATCATCGTGGACTTCCTCGGGACCACTGTCATCGTTGTCGTCATCTTCGTCATCATCATCGTCATCGTCATCATCGTCATCGTCATCGTCATCTTCGTCATCATCGTCATCATCAGCATCATCATCATCATCGTCGTCGTCATCGTCGTCGTCGTCGTCGTCATCTTGGTGTTGACTTCTTGGACGCTTCCGGAAGAAGATATCTTTGTTGACGAGCACGCCGTTCCGATAGGTCAACGGCTGGTTACTTGGCTCGTGAGGATCACCTTCACGGCTGCTTCCACCTTTGGTGTTGATATCTTCGACAATGTAATCTTCTCCAAGATCATCAGCTTGAGCACTGCGATTGACGCCCCTATTGCCAGAAGCCGCGTCGATTTCTTCCCCGCGCATCCTGCGCAAGCGCTCTTTCTGGAATCAAGTATGTAGCAGAGTCGTCAAGTGCAATAAATCGGCGCGTTAGTGATATTCCACCCAGCGACAGAAGCCATTCCAACTCTGTTGGCCCATCGGCGATCATTCATATCTATCATCTCTGACAAAGTTGCAGATACGTAACCCCTCCAAATCGACAAAGTGCAGCAATACTTCAGCATCAAGCAAACAACTCTTTATAATCCAAACGACTCATTGCGACCGTCGCAGTTAACCAAGACAAGGCAATGTCACAGCCCTCCAAGAGAACAATTATGCAGCATGTCGTTGGCTTGAAAATCAAGTAACCAAGCATGTGCACGCTGCGATATCGTCTTACCTCCAGGCTCTCCAACTTTTGTTTTTCCTCCATCGCAATTTCCTCTTCGGTCTTGAGACGATCCGTAGGCTTGGAACGCTTATCCAAAGCAAGATCACGGACATATTGATCGTACATTTCATCATCCAGCTTGGGTCCTGATGGCATATCTGGCATTGCTGTAGACCCACTCAACAGTTGACGGATGTCGTCAAAATCGGCGTCGACCTCACGAGTAAGCTCTTCATCTTCTTGCCGTTGCTTCTGCCTCTCCGCCTGGTTGTTGAACGATTGTACGGGATGGTGTATCATTTAGTTTCTTGTCACGACTCTATCGGGATCATCCATCCAGGAAAAAGATCAAACCTTGTGAAATTTGCTCTTGGCAATCACTTCTTTCATGACTTCGTTCTTGGATTTGCGTCGATTGGGGTCCTGGTAGCAGAACAGTAAACGACATACAATGTTTAGGCTCTGATTCTCTGTGCTTGCTCGGCCATGATCACGGTTGTGTTCGGGATCGACATATGCGAGGACTTGCCATGTTCGAATCTTCAAACCCTCCAAAATGTGTGTATTTGACAGTGTCTTTGTCGATGTTTCCGTCTTACGACCACGGGGGGTTCATCGTGATCATGAGTTGGGCAAAGATACGATCAGTCTTGGTGGGCTGGATCGGTGCCGATTAATACGACCCCACACTCATCCACCACCCCGTGTCATATTTCATTCAGATCACATGGTCTCACCTTCGGAATCATCATCATTGAGTCCAGTATCATCAAAGTCATCGATTGTTGAGATAGATCGACCATAGTGGGTGAGCTCCTCTTCTTCCAGGTTGAAAAGGGAATTCTTGTCGGTCCGCCTCTGTTTCGATATCAAGAGTAGCACTTGTTGAGAAAACGATCCTAATTGCCGACGCACTTGCAGTCCTGACAGCTGGATCGATATCTGTATCAACTCAGAGCCGGACCTACCGATTTTTCTCGAACGAAGCGCTCAAGCATTTTATCCTCCAGGGACATTCCGGGGTCGTTTTCGCCAATACGCCGATCAACGAAAGCGCCCTCTCGAAACTTGCGCTCCATCTCGACTTTTATGGTGCTCTTGCGCTGTTGAATGAGCATCAAAGTGGCCGATGAAGGTTGTGAGCGCTATGATATGGGGACGTCTGCAATCCATACTTCTGTTTGCTCGGAGAAGCAGGCAGAAAGGCGGACTGCAGGCAACTTCAGGAAGGATACCCCGACGGTCATTCATTGCCGAGCTACTCGATCAAAGGATCTGTGGCAACACCTCTCATCAAGCGAGTTTTTTGTTTTGCTTTCAGGGTTTGGCGCCCGTTCGGACGCTCCCAGTCCAACCCCCGCGCTACCGTCCGCCTGGCTCATTCATATATATACGGGCAACATACGATTTCCTCGGACTTTTTGCGGGTGAGCCCAGGCTTCCCACCCACACCCTTGATTTTGCGCCCAATGATCTCATGCTTTGGTCGCGAAAATTTGAGCTCGAACGGGTTTGCCTCTCTGGTCTTGCTGTCGATTTCCCTGATTGCCTCCTTGATTTCTTTTCGAACCCCGGCCGCCTCGACCTTCTTCTTTGTTGCAGCCTTTTTCGAGACTCGGGTTGTCTTGGCCTTGGGACCAATAACCCCAGCGCTCTTGAGATTCTCTTTGAGCTTTTTGAGGGCCGACCCTCCTTTGGTCTGTGTCTTGGCCATTTTTCCGATGGCAATGGCAATGGTGACAGCTGCGACGATGGCAACAGCAACGGCAATAGCAATGGCAGCGACGATGGCGATGGCGATCAGCCAGGCAGCGTCGGGAACGCGCTGATCAAGAAAAAAAATAGGCGTGGCGCAAGTCTGCTGCGCACGATTCCTCCGCACCAACACGCATCCTGGTTGCATGATTGCGCTCTGCTGTGCGTCAGGACCAGGCTTGACTGAGGAGACTCGGTCGTTGCAATGCGGTGCGAAAGCGGGATCGGGCTGCATAGATGAGACCGTTGTGGGCGTCGAGTATGTGGGCACAAGGAATCAGCCGCAACAAATCCGTCGTGGAAGGTTGCACATGAACTCACGGCACTGGCATTTCCTTGAACAGCCAGAAACCATCCATCTATTGAGCTCCGGTATCAGTCAGCAAGATGGTACAATGCAGGTGCCAGACTTGCTGGCAAGGTACCGACACGGGAAGTCGGTTGGAGATGCTGATGACGTGGAAATCAGGAGACACCACCGTACCACCCATGAGTCACATTCGACTCTGATTGGGCGACTGGGACCTGTTGGAGCTTGGAGAGCCTTTGACTTTCTCCTCGAGATATGAGCCAAAATCCTCGCTGACCCCGATCGAGGCCGGTGGCCCATATGCCATCGGGTTGAAACCGTCACCAAACGAGATGGTGTCCCGCTTGGACTTGTCTTCCACCCGACCGCGGCCCCGAGGTCGTGGGATAGGCAGCTCCGGTGGAGGAAGAGGTGAAATTGAATCTTTGAGGTCTTGATTCATCAGTACAGAGTTGGACCTTGTCTGAGCAAGTGTGTCGCCCTTGACTTTCTCCTCGAGATAAGAACCAAAATCCTCGCTGACCCCGATCGAGGCCGGTGGCCCGTATGCCATCGGGTTGAAACCGTCACCAAACGAGATGGTGTCCCGCTTGGACTTGTCTTCCACTCGACCGCGGCCCCGAGGTCGTGGGATAGGCAGCTCCGGTGGAGGAAGAGGTGAAATTGAATCCTCGGTCTCTTCATTACGCTGCTCGACCTCGACCTCCGTCGCGACCGGCTCGGAGATGTGGATGGGCTCGGGAAGATCTGACTCTTGGACAGTTGGGTACCCTTCACTTGGCAGAGCTTCAACCCGGATTGTCGGAATCCAGGCAGGGGCGGCTGCATCGGGTTTAAGCCTGAGTGGTCCAGAGCCCTCCAGCCCAAGTGCTTCATGACGCTGCTCGATTGGCGCCAAGAATGCCCCACCGGTCAGGGACTCTGATGGAGAATATTGCGGTGAACTTAAAACGCCCATCAGGCTTCTCTCAAGTGGACTAAGGAAAATGGTGCTCTTTGGATGATCTCTCTGAATCAATTGACTTTTCTGCTTCAATCCCATTTCTGGATCTGAGCTGGTGCTTGGGGTTGCTGAGTTTTGCGGCGTAACTTCGTCGACGCTACCTTCAGTAGTTGCTATCCATGACTTGAGAAACCGGTAAGTCAATACATTATGGATACTTGTACTTGGTGATGACAGAAACTCGCGCCGGATAAAGGCCAGGATTTCTGGCAGCGATTTAACCCCAGAAGGCAGCCTGTTGGGTGGGAGGCAATCGATATCCGACATATTAACAGCCTGTATCAACCTCAAGTCTTCTGATGGTTGCAATCGAATGTACCGTGGCATACCTTATAAGTAGCTCTGGTTAACATGACAGTGGTTGAGATGGATATGTGTCAGTGCATAACCACGATGGCAAGCCCAGAGTGCCCCGAGCAGAACCCACTTACCATTTGTGGACTGACTGACAATCTCCAATTGGCTTATGATGCGATTGAACAAAAGAAGTTGCGCCACGAGAATCAAAAAGAGCTCGGCTGAGAAAATAACCAAGTTGACGGTTGAATAGTATTGAACGGATTGGAGGCCGGCATTGTAGGCAGTGGTCTTGCACTGGGTCCAGCCTCCGCTCAGGAAGAGGCTTGAAATAGAGTTGCCAGCCATGAGATCAGAAACCACATCGGCCGGGGCTGCTCCGTTTGACATGGAGCCGATAGAACTTGCTTCTGCTGAATAGAGCTGAATTACAAAGTCTTGAAGCTGTAGCAACGTGTACTGTCCTGGGACGATCGTGGAGCTGCTGAGTTGGATTGTTATATTGGCTTGACACAGGGTGGTGTTCAGCGGTAGACAGTTGGTGCTGTTTGCAAAAGCAAACACGTCGGGCTGGAGCGACTGAAATGACGTTGTTGCCGGCTGGTCTAGATCCGACGTGTCCGCAATTACAGGATTGAGACTCGTGCAAGCACAAACGTCGATGTACGAACGGACTCACTTTCAAGGCGAAGCACATCTGAACAGCAAACCAGAAGCGAAAATAGGCCACACGTAACTCCAAATGACGGTATATCATCATCCAGTGCTATGGGTCCGAATATGTGGCGAAAGCGCCAAATCCCTGATCGGAGTAGCGAGCAAATCCAGCACTATGGAGACCACGTACATGTTGGATCGCCATTCATAATGTCTGTATAGTCATTGATGAGCCCATTGATCGAAGTTGTGTATTCCTGCTTGATGCTATTGAGAGAAAATGATGTATCCGAGATGAACATTTGGTTGTTGATAATGTCCAAGGATGCCACCGTCATTCGTCCATTGGAGGTGAGCATCCGACCAATTTCATCCACGAGGCTTGTCTGCTGTCCAATTTTTTTGATAAACTGGAAACATCGAGAGGTTTAATCAATAGCCGAATCGACTATTGGCATTTGTCGGCTATACAGTACGTACCAGGTAGCAGAGAGTTCCGTAGGTCACTGTGAGTGTCAATATCACGACGAAATACAACAGAGCGTTGATGCGAAAGCGCTTCATCCGAAAGCGCCTCACGGAGGTCATATATCCGGTGCCCATCTTGTCTATCACGTTGAATCCGTCGTCGGAGCCGCGCCGTATTACGCTCAAGATTTCGTTGATCGAATAGTGCGGAATACGCGTCAAGAGCCTCAATATCCTCATCTGTTGGGACCGTATTTGATAGACCCTTAGATCAAAGTAGATAAGCAGAATGTATAGGACGATGACGTGACCACCGCCGATAAAAAATAGCTTGAATCCGGCTGTGGTTGCATATTTTGTGTTCATTTAGTCAGACAACGATGTTAACAAGCTTCTCCGAGCTTATATGGAGCACAGATTGGGACACTAACCTCCGATGGTATCCGAGTGAAACTGAGGCTGCGATAACAAACAGAGGGAGCATGTCAGCATGTCGTCAACAGCATGCACGAGGCTCGGGTGCGGGCGATACTCAACAAATAACAGGGTATACTTGAGCGTGCTGAATGAGCTCACGAGTGTGTCTAGATTCTCGACGGCAAGCCTACATAAGTTTTACATAGTGTTTGATCAACGTTAATATCTGGCGAGACCCAGAATTGATTCTCAAGGATACTCACAACCAACAACTAGTAACTCTCTGATTGGCAATCAGAAGCCAATAAAGTCAACAAATGACAGCAAGCTTACCGAAAGTAAGTGCTAAAGAATTCACTTTGGCTGACATCATCGACCGGCATTGATGTGAGGCTGTTCGGTGACTAGATAGTCAGCAATATTGACCACAACTCACTGCTCTCAAAAAGGATAATTTGCCTGACTTACGCTGATCCCGACAGTAGTATCATCTACCTCGGACACAGAACCAGATTTTGGCATTCATGGGGTCAGAGCCTGCACTGCTTGCGTCGCCCGTAACAGCGGAGCCAAGTGCAAATGTATCCTAATGGCAACCAACATAGAGCGCCCTCCTACCTCATTAACTTCCTGGAGGCCAAAGTATCTCGCAAAGAGCACAGCTTCATCGGTGATATTCAAGGAAATACTGGGTGTGACCAAGTAGCTCGAGGCTGAGATGTAGCTCTGGAGGGCCGGGCTACTCAGAGCGACGTATAGGGCTTGCTGGAAGGCGAGTGAGTTTGAGAGCAAGGCACTTTGTGTTTTCAAAAAGGAACGGTTGTTGGCTTGCTCGTAGGAAAAGTCAATTTGCCTGGCGTAGACAGCCCCTTGAACTGCATAATACTCTATGTCCCCCAAACTGAACACACCGAACAGGTTATTCAAACCAATAACATATCTTTGTGATCATCTCCCATTCAGTCGCATCATTCGTAGATACATCGCCATATGATTGAATCTAATAGCGGCATTCAAGCACAACAGGCCACAAAGCCATTTCTGAGCATCGCTTCCATGAACAAATCAACTAACCTCTTGATCATGACGTGGACATTGTCCGAGTTTTGGAAGAGCTACGATTGCACTTTCGTTAGATACGTTCACACAAGTCGGTGCATTCCAATATCATCTGCCAAACGGATGTACCTGAGACGAAATGAAATAGTTCGCCACCAAAAAAACCAGACTTGCAATGCCGCTAAGCGATGCTATCGCTCGTAGTACAGATATGTTCTTAGCCATGCGCAGCTGGAAGATTTCGCGCAGGTCGCTGTCGGAGATCTTCTTGGGCTGTTTAATAGTATGTGCATTTGCGGTCGGTGCTTCTTCGCCCGTATCATCCTTTTGCTCCGTATCGGATTTGTCCTCGTCTACGTTCTGGATTTCTATCGTCGGCTTAGCCATGGGCAGGAGATTGGAAGAGAGGCCGCTCTCTATCTCCTCGGTTATACCGTCATCGTCGCCATACTGCTCCGACTGCTCCTTCAGATACTTGGCCTTGTTCAAGAGCGCGGAAGATTTCAGGGCATCGTTGCAGATATAGAAGCAAAACTTGGCGTAGAGTTGAAGGTAATACTGCTCTCGTGAGGAGTGTTCACCGATATAATTGTCAAACGGTCGATGAATCACATACGGTGGTCAGTTGCCCAGATCGGTTGGGGCAGACGCCAGAATATCGCCACAAAGCAATGATGAATATCGATGCTTGTTGAAAGTAATAACAATACGTGAACCCTATCGCCACGCTTGACTGCCTACGCACGATAGCAAGACCATGCCGCTGAAACCCGTGTCAGTCCGTGCACCAATCCACCCTGAGTCACTGGAATTCTTACCTGACTGCGAGAGAATCTGCAAGTCCATAATTTGAAGAATATCAGCGCTCGATTCATCACTGCGAATAATCTACTCGAACGACTTATCCTCGTGCTTTGAGCTTTTGATGGCTCAATTGCGCCGAGTACATACCGCGATATCAGAGCGATATATGATGCATCCGCTCGACTTGCGGCTTGATGCAGCGCTATAGAAACAGCTTCCAGCTCGGTCATGTCGGGTCGCGTTGCTTTGATGGCATTCCAAAGATGGTGTGCTGACATGAGAGCACGCCCATGATTCTTCTTCGACTCCTGGTCCAGCTGTTGAAACTCAATAAACTCGGTGACGTTGAGCTTGACATTGGACCCCAGGAACTCGCATTCGGCGACCTGTCGAGTTATCTAATATGGTGTACCATGGGTAGTTGGATGAGTTGCCACCGATACCTCAAGCATGCGCAACCGAGGCAAGCAACCAGGCTCCACCAAAGGCCAAAAGCGATAAGCTATGGGCGAACAACGTACTTTGTGAAGTAAGTGAATCTGAAAGGCAACGTCGAATGGCGGGCGAAGTCCCATCGTCGTTTTTAAGTAGCGGACCGTATCTTCTTGAGAGTTGGTGAGGTAAAACATATAGGACGCATATTGCAGTCGTATCTGGGTGTGGTAAGGATATTCCCGGATGCCACGCTAGAGGAGAGTTTAACGGATCATCAGCACATGTTGCATGCTGGAGAGATATTCAGGGCCAGACAAGAGCGGCAAACGGTATGACTTGACTGATATGAGCCAGCAGCGGAATCAGAGCGCTCTAGTTGCTTCAATGATGCAGAAATCGCCGCAAATACAGCGCTCGCATCGACGAACTCGAATAGACCCCTCCCCCGACGGTATTAGCGCTGTTCACCCATATCACCTTGAATATTTGCTTCATTTCTCCAAGGCACTCGGGGGCAATGAATCGCTTTCGAGTATTCAGCTTCTCGGTGACAAACCGAGCACATATCTCGACGTGCGACCAGCTTCTAAAAACCCGGCTTCCTTTATCTGGATCACTGTCGAGATCACTGCTGGATATTTTCATTATTTCTGCAGTCGCTTTCTTCTGGATCTGATTGATGTATCTCCCTATGGATCAGTAAAATCGAGATCAGCTTCATACCTTATGGAAGTGGCATATCTGCTTGGCAATCGCGTCAATGGGCAACATTGCATCTCCGATGCTGCTGTGCAAAGACTGAGCATCAAGTACCTGCCAAGTATCCACCTGTAATGGCGGATGGAATGGCGGACAACAATATGATGATCCAGTAGTACGATGGCGGATTTATCCCTCCAGCAAAAGAAGCTATCGCTGCCGAGCTGCTCAAAGCACCAGCAAAGGTCGCAACTGAAAACATTGCCGCTCGCTGGCGTGAGTTCGAGTGTTAGTGAATAGCCTCCAAGATCCAATATTCGACTGCAGTAGATACCCACGAGCATATTGAGGTTCTTGTTGTAAAACGGGAAAAATCGGACAAAGTTGGCAAATATGAATGCCAGGAGTACTGTCGAGCAAATGACGTTGACAAAGGCGCTGGTCGACGTCCGCTGTATAATGGTCAGGACAGTCTTGGTAGTGGTGTAGATGATATCAAAGCGAGCATGTGATTTGTTTCTGTTTGCCTTCGGGATTGGGTTCATGTCAAGGTAGCTGATTTCCACAAACCGTGAATGCGAGCATGAGCGATCCTCATCCCATATGCAGCAGAACGCGGTGAACGAATCTGCTCGCTTTCGCACACAATGCCGTAGGACATTGCGACAGTCCCGAAGATAATGACACCTCAGTCAACTTACACTGTCACTGTTACCCAAGAGATGGGGATGAACGACAGCATCATCAGAATCGAGATGATGCTGGTGAGGACATTCCCGACGCTGTAGCACCAAATTTGATCCGATCGAAGCTGGCTGAAGCCAAGCGGGTTGCCAGTGGCCGGATCGATTGCCACCGTGTCTGAGCAACTGAGGGAGCTGAGGAGAATCTTGAGGATGGTGGAATAAAGAATCGTGGGCAGGGTACTAGATCAAGACGGCGAAGATGCTTGTTAACCTGTCTTCAATATACCCAGCCATTGCAGGCCCAAACCTGATTGCCATGTTGCATTGCTGACATTGACTGACGGGCATTTGTGACCATTGAGACATACCTTGCAAATAGCCTCAAGGTGCTGATTGGCCAAATATGCTTGTGCTGGAGGCGTGGGTGTTAACAACAATTTGGGATGAGTGCGTCAACATGCAGGGTCGATTGATGCCTACCTTTCCTCGCTATGTGATTTCAAATTCGATTGGACGTTGTGCAGTTTGGGAGAAGCCATTTTGAATGAATCCGGGTGGGGGCAGGCAAGACCATAATGTTAGTCAAGGTTTGTGGACAAGCACCAAGATTCGAATACTAGTTTGCTTCCGCACGACAACCGAGACTGTTTGTCTGCGTACACAACCAATAGAAGCTACATGTGTGGCAGCGTCGATCGAGAGGATATGTCAATCGGCTCGGGGCTCTAAAGTGAACCAATGTGGACTGCGTTCACACAAACAACTCGCGCTTCTGATCTGGTGGAGAATCTCCAAGCTTGTTCATGAATCCAACGATCATTTCTTGACTGCTTAGCCCTCACGTTGTCGGAGCAAAAGCTCCACTCAAACCTACCGCAAATCCCACTGCCACATAAATTGCGTTGAAGATCATCAGCAAGCACCCAAGAACGGATGCAATGTAGTATCCCAAGAAGGTCGTCAGCAACATTGTGTCGTATCGCAGCGAGCAAAAGCTCACGAGACCGTCGGGGATGTAATAGAACTTTTGTGCGCTGTCATTCAGGAAATAGGTGAGAAGCTGTGCATCTTCAGCGAATATCGATAGATATGCAACAGACTGCATTGATTGATAGTTTCTGAGTGGTGATGTGGGAACGACATTGAGAGTATCGGTAAGATGGCACCAACCGTAAGGGGAAAGCAAAGTCACCCATTTTCGATCCTACAGCGATTTGTGATCAAGGATATGGCAAGCAGAGCTTGGATGGAACAGTACCCGTGAACCATCAGAAACAGAACGTTGTAAACCACATTGGACCACTGCTCCCACTGCGACTTTTCCACGGCAATTTCGTCGAGGTCGTCTTCGCTTGGCAAGGAGAACACTGTGCTCGACAGCTTGCTCCTGGGCTGGGTTTTCAGTGCCTCGAGCATGGTGTTGCGGGCGCCGACGGTCGAGCGGGTAGATCCTGCTGCTGGAATGGGCAGAGATTTGAGAGCCGGTAGCGATCGCCGGGACTCGAGAAACACGGGCACGCTCTTGGGACCCCCGCCAAAAATGAACTGAAAGAGCCCCATAAAGCTCTTGTAGAAGGAGGGAGAGGCTCTGCCGGATGGCTCGGCCGTGGCCGAGCTTCTTGTGGCGGACGTTTGCACCTTGGAGGTCCGCGTGGCATCTCGGGCCAAAGTGGAGCCTCGTGAGTTGGCGCTGGCTTGGGAGTAGTTTGACTTGACTGATAAGCGACCAGGAATGGGGCCGCCTCCAATCGAATTGCGGAGGGGAGATGGGCGGATGGGCAGAGTCCCCGTCCGCGTTGGCGGATTTTTCTCTGAAAACGACTTTGGAACCGGATCCGGAAACATCAGGTCTATCGATTCGTTACAGAGATGACATCGAGCGCGCACTGATGTCGATGGCTTGGCAAAAGTCTGTCAAATCGACGATTGAACCAGGATATGAGAACCACGGATGCAGATATTTGACGAATGTATGGGATGAATATGGCCGCAGGCGGACGTGCGCTGCTGAGGGAGTTCGATTGATCCTGGCCGAGAGAAGTAATGTGTCCGCGTTCGAGCACAGGTCGATGGCGACGCTCCTGCCGACAATGAGGAGGGTGGCCAGGTCGCTACTGGACCCTGAGAAAGTATGCGAGCAGAGCACGCGATACGAGGACTCGGCTTGGAGAATGCAAGCAGTGAGGACACTCCTGGAGGGGTAATCAAGCAAGTGAAATCCCCGAGCAGCACTGGCTCTCTTGACAAGCTTTTGCGATTGCTGGATGGGTAACACCTCGCTCGCTGTGAGCAAGCAGCTTCAGCTTTGAGCAGGAATCGGGGCGATTGGCTGCGAATGGCTTGTCTGCCATCGGCCAAGCTGCGTCAAGCCAATGACCGGGCGAATCGGAGTCGTCAATCGTCACCCCCCACGCTCGGGAAAACTGGAGGACGGAGAGCCAGAAACAGCGGCCACGTGCGCGATCGCTGAATCGGCGGTCCCATCACCGGCCGATTTCGTTTTGGTCTTGGCAGAGGCTCCTCAGGTGTTACTCCAGCGACGAACGCAACAGCCGGTATGGGCAAAGCAGAGGCCGACACAGCGATTCCGTCAAAGCCCCTCGGCGGCGGTGGCGGGGTTCACAAAAAGAGCAAGATCGACAAAGCGAAATTGAAACAGGTATTATCGACAAATGCCCTTGGCTCGTGGCCGACCCGAATCGGATCTGCAGCGGCATAGATCACCAGCCTGGACTTTGCCTATCTGGATGCGGCTATCGATCCAGCCCACTGCAACGGGACAGTCAACGACTCTTTTTTTTTCCGACTCCATGCCTTACCTGAGCAATGCCTGTGGTCCTTTGACTGACTTTGCGACGCCGGATCCTGCGGTGCTCGGTTATAGGCACTTGAGAAGAGCAAGAGCATTCATCAACTTCTCACCACAAAGTCCGAACGGCCCAGCAGCCCGAACACCCCTGCCGCGGAGGCCACGGCGGACCAGGATCATCAAAATCGACAAAAGATCGAGATGGCCCGGCACACCAGGAGCCGTAGCGAGAGACCCTCAGTCAACCACCCGGAAGTCGAGGCCAAGTCGCAGCCCGGAAATCGAGATCTTACCGACTTTCAGAAAAAGATGCAAAAGCGGCTCTCGGGCGGACAGTTTCGCTGGATCAACGAGCGCCTTTACACCTCAGGAAGCGAGAGCATGTTCAAGCTTTTTCAAGAGAATCCTGACTATTTTGCCGTGGTAGGTCATGCCCGGCAGCCAAGTCGCTCTCTCCAGCACATGGATTACGCTCTGACCGAATTGCAGTCCAGGGCACTGACAAACCATCAACTCTCTTGGACTGTATGGCCACCAGTACCACGACGGCTTCCGAGAACAGGTGGAGCATTGGCCACAGAACCCGATCGACACATTCATAGCCTTTCTCCAAGACAAACCCAAGTCAACCGTCGTTGCAGACATGGGATGCGGAGAGGCCATGATTGCCCAGAAGCTCCACAGGCGCATGACGATCCACTCATTCGACCTTGTGGCAGGAAACTCGTTCATCACTGCGTGTGACATATCCAAGGTAAGCTCAAAACTCAATGGCCGACCGCATGTTATTGCTCGGTGGTCGCCAAGTCGAAGTCAGGCAGCCAACATTGTGGCACTGATAGCCTGCGGTGGTGGTGGTCGTAATGTTGTCGATGGCAGGGTTAATATCGGTAACTAGGCTCGATACAGATCGCCGCCCAACTTGTTCGGATATCGTGTGCCTGACTGACCTTCGACGGCCGCTGTCGCGAACTAGGTCCCGCTGGAAAACGAGGCTGTCGACGTGGTTATATTTTGCCTTTCTCTCATGGGAACAAATTTTATGGATTTTCTCATGGAAGCTAACCGAATCCTGAAGATACGGTGGGCGATGTTCGGAGCACGCTGCTACGCATCATTATGCTCGTCTGCTATGCATCATAGTGTTCCTGCCATCGACTCACTGTTTGCATCACCCGTGGTCACTATCCTGCAGTGGCGAGCTCAAAATCGCAGAAGTCACAAGCCGGTTCACGAATCTCGACGACTTTGTTGGCACTCTCCAGTCCATTGGATTCAAGTTCCTGCGAAAGGTACTGCACGGGAGAGGCGCAACGGTCCCCAGTGGTGTGGGCTCTGTAGGACACGGCCGGCTGGAATTGCATGTGTGGTGGTGTCGCTCGGATATGGTGTCAGTCGGGCACACGACCCAGAGGCCCGAGGCCGCCGACCAGAAACAGCGTGACTGATGCCTCTTTATCGACAGGACACCAGCAACAAAATGTTTGTTATGCTGGATTTTGTCAAAACCCGTCGGCCCAAAGGAGCTACTCATCGGGCTCCAGATGAGCCGGAGCTGTTGAAGCCGTGCATCTACAAGCGCCGCTGAAGGGCAGGGTCATGATGAGGCGGTAGCGCCATGAGAAACGATGCAGACATGCTGTTGGGATCATCCAAGGCTTGCGGACAAGTGGCCACTACAGACGCTCTGTCGTGCCCACTCTCTCCATGCACCGCCTGTTCACTCAGGACAGCCTGGGAAAAGATTTGACCCACTTGATCGCTGTTGGTTGAGTATGTGATATGATCCGACTACGGTGTGTTATTTTGTCCGAACGAGGCGATGTGCCCTAATGTTTATTCAACATGCTGGGTTGACGAACCCCTATCGCTTGGGGGCTGTGCTACTTTCCCTTGTATTCAAAACTTGGGCGCAATGGGCGATATTCCATAATAGAGGGCGGGGAACAGCGACAGACGGACCCCTGGATAGGGTCAAGTGGCTGATTCGTCGTGGGCTCTAGAGCAGCGTTAGATCTGAGCCACCATGTTCACTGTCCCCTTTTCTCCTGCCTTGCCCCTGCGTGCCACATCAAAGGCCATGGAGACGTCGTCGTCGTTATTGACGGTGATAAGGTCGCCGTCTTCGTCCTTGTACTTGAGCTTCAGGCGACCACCTTCGGGGACAGGAGTGCCGCCCAGCTTCATTTTGCGCTCGATCTTCTGATACAGGTCTGAATATGTCGACTTGAGAGGTGCAGCAATCACAAAGATATCGGCACCAAATTGAATCTTGATCTTGACATGCGACATGGTCACGCTGCTCGCGCCAGAGGAGCCAAGGCTCGACCCGGCATTTGGAACACCTGGAGCCGAAAGCGATGGTGTCGGTTGACTGCGATAATGTGCGTGAGAAGGCGGGGCAGTCGGAGCAAAGCCTGAGCCTGGAGCGGCTCCATTTTGGTTCATATTTGCCGGGGATGCCATGCGGCGGGGTTGGTCCGCCACAGCGCCATAGGGGCCTGGGGGAGGTGTTTTGAATCTCCCATCGGCAGCAATGTGGGAGGCTCCTCTGGGGGCGATGGCAGGCTGTCCTGGGACGCTGCCGGGAACTGCAGGTAGCGCGGTGGTGGGCGGGGCGCGTATGCGATCCTCGCCAGGGCCGGCGTTCCATCGCGCGCCAGAGTCGTTCAGCTGCATAGGCTGCAACCTCGAGGAAAGTTGGTCGATAGGGCCAGACTCGCCGGTCGTACCACTTGTCCGCTTGAAAACGACGTTGCCATCGTGATACATCTCACTTGAATCGGCCTCGGCATCGTGGTCTGCGGGCGTCACTGCAGTGGGCGAGTTCTGCGAGTCATACATTTCTGTCTCGGATTGAATGATGCTCTGCAGCTGTTGAAGCTGTGCCTGACTTTGCTGAAGACGACGAGGATACTCCTGTCTCATTTGAATGACCTCTCTCATGTCCAGAGCCTTGGCCTGGCCTTGTCCCTCGAGCGTATCGGCGCCGGCATCCAAATAGCCTTCGGGAGTCTGCACACGGGTTGTGATGGCGACCCCTCGGCTTCCGGACTTTCGGTGTCGGCCGGGAGAGACAGGGGTCGATCCAGGCGGTGTTGGAAAATCAAGACCCTGGGGATATGGCTGAGGAGTGGTGCGCGCTTGATAGGGCGGATGCTGCTGTGCGTCCGGCGGACCCCCAGAGAGCGGATCAAGGGAAGAAAGATCGCGTGGGGGCTCGCGCGGGGGTTCGCGAGGGGCATCCCGCATCGATCCCTGGCCTTGCCGACCCCGAGGCGGTTCGCGGATGTCGTCGGTGCCGTGGCCGTATCCATTCATCATCTCAAAGCCAGAGAATGAGTTGGATCGCGAATTAGCTGCCGACACCCGGGTGGTGTACACGGCCGTCATCGGTGTCGGAGTCGTCGACTTGCTCACGTATCCGACATGGGGCGACGGGCCGCCATTAGCGGGATTGGAGGGGTTGCGTGGCGGACCAGGGTTGTAGGAAACCTCATAGGCACTTGGTCGCCGACCGTTATGGTAGTTCACCGGGGGCATTGGAGGAACTGGCGGCGGCTCAGCAGGCTCGCCAGAAGCAGCACTGTATCGATCGCTGCCTCCGGACGATCGCATGCTACGACGACCACCGCCGACCGCAAACTCCGAACCAGACTGCTGTTGCGGGTGCACCGGTGGGTAGTAATTATGCGGATTGCTCTTCGACCGCTGCATGTTGGAGGGTCCACGGGGCTGGGGATGCTGCAACGACGGCTCCAGATACGGGTTGTACGTGTGCTGATTGTCCGCGAGCTCACCGCGCTCGCGGCTTCGTGATCTGTTACGGCTGCTTCCCACCGAATAGCGATCCAGATCGTAGTCGTCGGTGTTGCGCCGGCGCTCACTGCCTGAATTGCGATAGCCCCCGGCATCGGAGCCGCGGAAGCGTGGGGCCCGATCCATTTCCATGAGCTGCTCAATTCGCTCCTTCCACAGGCGAACTTGCTCGGGGTTGCGGGCCTTGAGCACAAACGACTCCATCTCCTTGACGTCGCGCCAGAACACCTTGAGGCCAAAAAAGAGCGTTTCACTGCGACTGACGTCCTGGATAGCCTGGATGGTAGTGATGTAGATGTTGCCGATAACAGCCAGCATACTGTCATCGCCGCCATGGGCTTTCGTTTGCCGCTTCTTTGGAAGCTCCTTGCAGCACAGCAAGATTTTCTCAAACAAGAAGAGAGAGAACTGGGCATCGCCTTCGTTGCTAGCGAGCGAAAACCTGTCTGTCAGGAGCAGATCCCCAAAATCGTTGACTTGCAGGCCCTACGAGCGAGTGCGTGGCGTCAAAACGGTATCGCGGCGGACAGGAAAGCCATATTGTAATGAGCACAAGTCCAGCGGCGCCAAAGAACTGCGCCTAACAGCACCGTGCGCGCCTTGCAGAACATCACATCACATCACATCACATCACATCACATCACATCACATCACATCACATCAAGGCATTGCTGCTGTTGAGTGTCTACCTTCCAGTCGTCAACCCGATCAATCAGATCATTCTTCAGCAAGACATTTTCCTGGATCCGCTTCTGCTCGTTGACGTACTCCGTTACACGCTTGACAGACTCGAGTCCATCCAGGAGCTCGGGCAGGTTTGGATATTCCTCCGCTGTGGAGTATTTGATCAGCTCCTGCAACCCCAACCAGAGGCGGTGATAGGGACAGTTGAGCCCAGGAATAGCCATTAATTGATACACGAACAACGCGGTCAGAGATTCTGCGAAGCAAATGGCGCCGTAACCACTTTAGCTATTACCTTCAGCAGAAGTGGATATTTGCAAATTCTCTGGATGGGCTTGATCAGATACGATTGAACTTCATGAACCGGGATGATATGGGATAGCCTCTGGAGGAAGCAGGTGGTGGCAGATAAATAACGTGCAGAATACGATCTGCACTCCGGCGCTTGCGCTACCTCATACTACATTGAGCACATACAGCCAAAATCTGGGTCTCTTCGAGCGCAATGTCCGAAGCGGTTTGAAAGTTGGAGCAAAAGGGTTCGTAGGTATCACAGAACGAGGTTTCCTGTGGCCGGATTTGAAGTGCACGGGAGAAATATGGCCCAAGTCAATAAGGCGATGGAAAGCGGTCGACGTACAGAGAGCTGCAGCAATCGGGATTGACGCTTACGTTCGCAATGAACAAGGCACCCAGACGATGCTGATCACCAAAGGCAAGAGTCGACTCCATCGCAAGGAGGAAGCGCCGCTGAAAGTCCAGGAGATCGTCGAGATTGGCAAAGATTTGGTGGGCCAAATCTTTGGACAAAATGTTCTGCGCGACAACCTCTTTGCTGAACGTTTGTAGGCGCTCGAGGTGCTCGATATACTTGCGTTCCGTTTCCAGACACTCGAACAGGACTTTGGCTCGGTTATCCTTGGGCGCCTCGTTGTTGACAGGGACATTGAAAGGCAGGGGCTTCAGAGGGGGCAAGCGACCTTGGGCCTTCAGGCGATCGACGAGACGGTTAATGACGTTAAGAACCTAAACGTCGACGAGGGATAGATGGCAGTCAGATTTAGATTCCATGATGGGCCTATGATGTTGTATGACCATTGGCGCTGCTCAATGAATCTCGACTCGATTGTTGGTCGGCAGCGAGGGCAGCGATATGCGAGCAAGCACTCAGACAGACGGTGCCGAAAGACAAACGGCCGTCTCAAGGGCAGACACGAAAGAGAGAGAAAAATGCGGCGGCGAAATTTATCCGACTGGAGGCTGGGCATGTCCAGTCGAGCGACAGCGCCACGGCTGAGGGAGGGAAACAGACCTTCATGAACAGGTTGGTGTCATCCTTGTCGAGATCCGTAAGGGTGAAAAGCTCCTCGTTCTTGATGCCCAGATCTTTCATACAAGTCAGCAAGAAGGTGTAAGCAAGATGTTTGCACGATTTCTTGGCCTGGGGATCATTGACGATATCGGGGATGGTGGTCCATTGGGGGATGTCGATGGGATTGTCGATCGGAAACAGGTTGACGATCATGCACAGTGGGGCTCCGAGACGGAAGCACGGCGCTAGGATGTCGACAGGGTTGACGATCCTTGTGGGCTCAGCGACGAACATGTCGATTCCGTCGGGAAAGAGATAAAAGTCAAAGCCGGGGATGGAGTGGAGAATCTCCATCAGCGACATGGTTTGCTGGTACAACGACGACATGATGGCTCAGGTTGTATCGTGGAGGATTGGGTAGGGCGGATGCTTTTTGGGGAGCAGGAGGCAAGGAAGGCAATGGTGAGTGCGGCCCGAAACCAATGTGGGTCGGGACAGTGGAGCCCGCTGCACACCTAGCCTGCAGCCGTCCAGAACGAAGAGGAGAATCGGCAAGGTCGACATACCGGGCCCGAGCGGACCAAGGTGCTGCAGGAATAGCGAAAATAAATGCAAAGAGGCTGCAAAGAGAGCTTGCTGAGCGGCGCTGGTGGGGTGTCGATGGCGGGTGGGAGGAGCAGGAGAGCGCCGGGCCGAGGTTGACCAAGACAGACCGAGGCCAGGGACGGAGCGGCAACGGCGAGAAGGAACAGACCGAGAGGAGGGCGAGAGGGCGACAGAAGCGCCGCGAGAAGCAGGCGAGGAGCAGGCGAGAGGCGACCGAGAGAGCCGCTTTCCAACAGAAGGCCGGGAGGCAACAACAAAACAACGCCAACCTCGCTGCGGACTCGCGAATCAAGCATCCGCTTGGGACGGCCCGGGGGCAGCAAGCACATGGACGAGCGACGGGCGTCCGGTCGCCCCGCACCCGCTTGCACCGTCTTCGCACCGTCCTCGCAGCGTCCTCGCATCGTCCTCGCATCGGGCTTGTGCTGGGTCTGTGGGTTCTGCGATGGAACAGCGCCGGGCTCGCGCCTGCCCACCCTGAGGGCCTCCAAAAATAGAAATGCTGCGCACATGAGCGACCAAGCCACACACGCCGTCCACGTGCTTGGCCGGTTTCGGCGGCGGACATGTGTTGCTCACATGACCGAGAAGCACTCCCTCTCTCTGTCACTCGCTCTCACTCTCGCTCTCGCTCTCTCTCATGATCGACCCAGATCACCCACTTCCACAGCCAACACCAGATCCAAACCATTCGATACCTCCAGTACCACCCAGCACAGCGCCAAGCTCGCACTCCAACGCATCCAATCCAATCCACTGCACTGCACTCATGTTGCCACCGGCCGTCGGCGTGTGCCGGTTCATCTACTCGACAGCGCTCAGGCCATCGCTTCGTCCCATCTCCTCCACACCCAAACGCTCTGGCCCCTCGCCACCCCAGCTGGAACGAAGGCCCTTCTTTGAATATCAACACTCCATCAACTGGTTTCCCGGGCACCAGAACAAGGCACTCCGCCAGCTTGAAAAAGGACTCACCCATATCGATCTCGTTCTGGAAGTCCGCGATGCCCGCATTCCATTTTCAAGCACCAATCCCCAGTTCGATCAAGTTCTTGGCGCCCGCGACCGCATTATCGTCTTCAACAAAACCGATCTCGCCAACCCAAGGACGAAGCAGGTGTGTGTGATATCTCCGCGGCCACATATTAGCACTGGTCTTGCTACCTTTGTCTTTCCCCCCCCCAAAAAATATTTGCTGATGCCAACGAATCGACAGCACTCTGATTCACCCTGTGCACCCTTTGTCCTGCCAGAATATCATCGCTGCATTCAAGAAATGGAGTCCCTCTAGCAATCTGCTCTTCACCTGTGCGCACCAGGATAGAGACATAAAGGCGATCATCAGAATCGCACTTGGTGAGCGAGTACCCTGGAGACGCAGATGCTGACAGTCTGGTGCATCGCGGGGCTCCCCAGTCGATCGATGTATCGATCTATCGGATGACCGTTCTCCAAGTATCGACATTAGGCGGTTGTCCGGCGCGTGAATCCTTGGACTGACTCACTGGTGTCTCTTCATTTCCCACAAAGACAAAGTCAAGATGTGGCCGGAGCGGTATCCGTACCTCACCATGGTCGTTGTCGGGCTTCCGAATGTGGGAAAGTCGACGCTGATCAATGCCCTGCGGCGCATTGGGGTCCATAAAGGTAGCGCGCCATGATATGTCTGCCCTACTGATCGCATGCCACTCAGTGTCTGAGTGAGTCGCTGCACCGGCGAATGGCTGTCCGGAATCTTCATCCGCTCCCTCCGTCGCCATCGAAGCTCACCGTTGGCTGTATGCAGGCAAAGCAACCCAGGTGGGGCCGTATGCAGGAGTCACCCAGGCCATTCAAACCAGGATCAAGATCCACGAGGACCCAAATGTGTACCTGATCGACACCCCAGGTACTTGTCGCGGTCACGCATACGCCAGGAGGGAGTGTGATTTGCTCGTGCTGACAGCAAGATCACCGAACCGTCTTCTATCGACACCATCGCAGGAATCTTTTCCCCGAAAATCGTGAATCCGATTCAGGGACTTCGAATTGCTCTGACTGGTAACGATCTGCTTTCCACCTGAACACGGGGCGTGCAGCTTGTTCGTTGTGTTCCGATGCTTAGCACTGATCCACGCTCCTCGTTCATTGGGCTTCTCAGGCGCAACGAAAGATCGCTTAACGGAGGAACAGCATGTCGCAGACTACCTTCTCTTTCGACTGAACTGGGGCTCCAGCCAAGACAGGTTAGTCAATCCACTCGCTGATCCATTGGCTGGCTCTCCACTTGCACCGCTCGCTTTGAGCAGCAACGCACTGTTGTCGATGGAGGCTTTCTGGAGCTCGGTTGCACGCATCCAAATAGTAGGGGAAATACGGATCGCTCACCCACAATCTGTGACAGGTACGTGTATGCCCTTGGCCTACCGGGCCCAACCGATGACATCAACATTGTTCTCAACCACATTGCGCGCACGCGGAGACTATTGATCGATACTCGGCCCCAGAACCTTTCCCGTCATGAGGAGAACATTTCCAGGAACCCGTGTCCGTTCGTGTTTCCACAAGTGATGGTCAACGCAAGCAACGGCCCCATCGAGAAAGTAGATCGCCCAGCCCCAAGGATCGGGTGGGAGCGGGACTACTTGGCCTGGACAGCCTCAGACTCAATGCGCTATGATCACACGAGGGCCGCACAGTACATGATCCGCCTCTTTCGAGAGGGCCAGCTCGGCCGGCTGACACTTGATGAATGCGATCTCGAAGCCATCGACCAGTGGTTCAACAGCGAAGCCAGCAATCGAGTCTACAAAGACATTGTCCATGATCGCGATCAAAAATATGCCCGTGAAAGTCGGGAAAAGGCGAGAGAATAGGAGATTTAGAACACAGGTCGGCCACCGTCAGCGAGGTGGCCCGTCGATGGCGAAGGGCGGCGTCTCGTGGCCGCATGGAGTTTGTCTGTGACGATGGAGCCGGCCGGGCATATGTAGGAACCAATAGAGCGTTGAATGGGTCGCCCATCCCCCAGATGACAGGACCCCTCCTATCGATGGCTGCCTCAAGACTTGCAGATGTTGATGCGATACAGCCGGTGCAGAAGAGCGGGACAGCCAGGGTGAGAGTGGACAGGCCGACCTTTGTCGTTGTCATTCCACAATTGACTTTCGCGCCGCCGCAGTGCCCCAGAGGCGGGTAGAGTCGGGGCTGAAGATTGGCCAATGCAAGTTTTCAGTAAAAGATGTATTTCTTCAAGCGGGGAGCCACACCAGCCCGGCAAAACCGGCTGGGTCAAGTAGACGCAAGTGGGTCGTCGTGAAAGCAACGAAGCAATAAAACGGAAGGGTGGGGGCGAATAGTTCATGGATCACGATCCGCGGTTCACAGATCAAGATCCATGGTTCACAGATCACGGTCCATGGTTCACAGATCAAGGTCCGCGGGTCGTGGATCAGCCCAAGTGCAGAGACCTCCGATTGGGTCAGGTACTCATGTGAGTGCTGAGGTCAGCAATCGAACGGCGACAAGTCGACTATTGCGGAGGATACTGACTCGCGTATCCACCCGCGGGATTGTAAGTCGGTCGGTAGTCGTATCCGCCGTACTGGCCACCATATCCAGAGACGCCTTGGTAGCTTGTGGAATCGTATCCCGAGCTGCCCATTGTTGACTGGGCTCCGGCATAACCGTAGTATCCCTGGGCAGGGCCGGCTCCGACCCTGGGTCCGGCCGTTGCGCCATATCCGACTCCCACACCAACGCCGACACCGACTCCCATTCCAGCCCCGGCGCCAGAAGAGCTGACGTGGGTTCCACAGACGGCGCATGTGTCGCGCTTGGCAAAGTTGTGATAGCGACAGGCGGTGTTGGGGCAGGTCCAATCGCCCGACTTCATGGGCATGTGGCTTCCACCACCGCCGTATGAAAGGCCGGCGCCTTCGGGGCGGCGAGTCTGGCAGCGATAGCACTCTTGTCGGCTGGCGTAGTTGTGGTAGCGGCAGTGGATGTTGGGGCAGCTCCAGTCGCCGGGTCGGTCGGTGGGCCGCGAGCGGCTTGCAACAGCATTGGGCTTGGCGAGGATGCCGGTGTTGGGTCCGCCGCACTGCATACAGTTTCGACGAGACGCAAAGTTGTTGAGGTTGCATTGCTGGCAAATCCAGTCGCCAGGCAGGATCTTGTGAGAGACACCGCCTTGACGGCCACCAGGAGGCCCTTGGTATCCGGGCCGAGGCGAGCGACATCGCATGCACTCGGTGCGGGACGCAAAGTTTTGAAATTTGCAGTTGCTGTTGGGACAGTACCAGTCCCCAGGCTTCAGACCGCCGGGATAGCCGCCACGGTCGCCTGCAGGGCTGTTGTAGTATCCGCTGTCACCGGGAGGTCCTCCAGATCCGGCTCCGGGTCCGGGGCTGAGACTAGCATTGGTGCTTGGAGCATAGCACTTGAAGCACGATCTTCGAGAAGCAAAATTGTGGTAGTTGCAGGCCGAGCACACCCAGTCGCCTGGCTTGAGGCCCGCCGGGGCACCCTCAGTTGCCCTGGGTGCAGTAGCCGCGTTGGGAGCGACAGAGTCAACATCCTGGCGGCGATCGGGGCAGAGCAGCGAGCACGAAGTGTTTGAGGCATGTTTGGCGGGCCATGCGGAGCCCATGATGGAGAAAGAATGGTTCAATACCTATGCCGCAGCATTCGGCTTCGCGTGCTGCATGGACCATCGAGTTGATTAACCCGCTCACGATGCCTAAAGTTGGAGGGGGGGGGCACTCTGGCACAAAAATCCAAGCCACTTACCGGGAAGGGTGCTCGCCGGCTCCCAGCGTTCTGGAAAGCCTTATCAGAGCTGGGTCGCACAAATACCTTTTGACTCCCCAAAACACGTCCGTCCAACTTCAGAGCCGTCACAGCATCGTCGTGGTTTTCAAATATGGCGAACCCAGTGCCGTCAGGTCGCCCCTCAGCATCCTTGACCATCCACAAATCTGCCGCATGAACGCCCACGGTGCCAATCCAGCTTCCAACCTCGCTATAAAAGGGAAATCGCAGAGACGATAGTGATGGATTATTATTACCACATAGACGGAGCACGATGACGCAGGCGACGAGCAGACGAATGCAGCGAGAGAATCAGAAAGAGAATCAGAGAGTGAGTGAGAATCAGAGAGCGGGAGCGAGGACGACCAGGAAAAAAATGCGTCGAACGCGGGTATCAGCGATGTATCAGCGGGGTTTGCAGCGAGGGGAAGAACCGAGAGGGACGAGCAAATCGCGGCGGAGATGCTCAATGTTCGATGCATGTAAAGACCAGCCTCCGATCCGGGGTGATGGATGATGGGGGACGGATGTTGGGCGGAGGGTGATGTGGCAGAGAGAGAAAACGCAAGCTTGGGCAGGACAATCACGACTGCAGTTCCACCAACCTCGCCGTCGCTCTGAAAGGAAGACCGCCCAAATGAAGCACACGAGATTGTGAACCATGAAAATCCGCCATCTCTCTTGCCAGATTGGTGGGCTTCTCGAAGGGCAGCACGACATCGGTTGAGGGTGGCACGGGCAGCGACGCGATCCATTCGTTGGCATGGCCGAGGACGGCATCGATGATTCGGGCAATCGTCATGGCTTCTTCCGGGCTGCTCTGGCCGCGGCTTTCGGGTTGGATGTCGACAACGGAGCAGAGACCGGTGAGGGATGTTTTAGCGGCACTAAGACGCGCGCCGCCTTCGCAGACGGTGCTCCAGATGTTGACCTCGTTGACAAGATCAAAGTAGACACTAAAGTACGGAGCAAGCTCGATGGACTTTTCCTTTGCCTCCCTTACGATCTGGTAACGCAGATCCCAGTCGCCGTGAGTAACGAAGCAGAAGGTCTTATCCTGGGAGATGAAATGCGTTTGAACAAACTCATTGACGGTCTGCAGGGCCTCCTTGAGTGGCTCTGTTCGATAGAATCGGGGGGTCGAGCAAGACAAAGGGAATGTGTAAGGAGAACCATCCAGAATGCACATCCAAACAGGCGCACCCGCCATCTCAAAGGCTGAGCGGTCTGCCAACCATCACAGACACGGCCACCAGCACCGGCTCACGATCTGCACCAGCCGCGCTGCCGAGCACACGCACATCGAAGACGGCGCCACGGCGGCAGACACGGCATACGGTGGGACGTGATCGTGAGATCAGCTCTGGATGACAAAATGTTAACGAGCGGGGGGTACGCAGGTGATCGTGCTTTACCTGCTTCGTCAAGCTGGGTCTGCGTGAGGCCGCTACGACTGGCAGCAAAGGTGCCGAGGCTGGTATGCTCGGGCTTGACGATCACTTGCTGCTGGTGGAGGATCAGACGAGGCGAGATCTGGACCACGGTAAAGGACAGATCAACGACCTCAGCCTTGTCTCGGGGAACCTTGACTTCTTGGGAGGTGTTGGAGGGGTGGTCGTCGCACGTCGTTTGGACATGCAGGGCGACAAGAAAGTCGAACGGACAGCGGCTCTGGGAGTCTTCCAAGGACATGGTTGTTGGTCCCTGTTTGGCGGAGTGGAAGTGGCGTGGGAGGGATCGAGACTGGAATCACAGCGAGATCTGAGATCCAAGTTTGGGATCTAAACCGAAGATCGAGATTGGGGGATGGGATTGGGGATCGAGATTTGGCTCAGAAGGCAGCGCTTGCGGATCGGCAGAAGGCGATGAGGCGGGGGGAGAAGCGATGTGAGATCAGGAAAGAGAGCGCCGGGGAGGCTTGGGGGCGGGCGCGGCGGCAACGGCAGAAAAAAGGGCAAGGGCTGCCGGAGACACGTGGATATCACGCGCTGGAGACGGACACATGTGCGCAGCCAGTGTGTGTGTGTGCGGAACAGATCGAGACCCGGCGAGGAGCTCCTCGCTCGCGCTGACGTCGTCTGCCAAAGAGCCGGCTGCGGCTCCACTTCCGACGCTGCGAGACACGATGCTGCATATACGGTGCGGCCGTGGGGATTGGTGCATTCGTTTTTTCTCATGCCAGAGGGCATCGACCCGGCGAATTCGCAGCGACCATCATGCCTCATGTCTCGATTGTTGCTGGGGGCCACAGGAGCGAGAACGCCATCCCAAGTCGACGATGTATGGACGCGGCGCGTGGGGGCGTGGCGGGCGTGGCGGGCGTGGCGTGGCTGGCGGGGTGTGCCGCCGTGTGCCCGGGTGACACAATAGCACAAGAGGGCAAAGGCAACAACAGTCTGGGATCGCGTGACGCGACCAGAATTCCGAAGGCAGCACAACACAACACAACACAACACAATACAATACAATACAATACAACACAACACAACACAACGCAGCACAACACAGCACAACGCGTCGCGCCGTCGCACAAAACCTTCTGCGCTCATGGGCCGCCTCGGAGCAATCCCTTCCTTCCCCGCCCTTGGCCTGCTCTTGGATCCTGCTCTTGGTCCTGTTCTGTCCCCGATCGCTCTCTCGCATTCGCTTGCTCCACCTCATCCGCACTCTCTGGACTCGACACATGCTTGGTAAATTGAAGCTGTTCCTCAAGAAGGGCAAAAAGGCGCCCAGCTCCTTCGATCGCCCTTCGTCGCCTTCGTTCTTCCGTCCAAAGACTCCCTCGACCCCACACCCTGCCGCAACCAGGACAGACACCCAGTCGAGCACCGAGCCCGTCAAGACCCTCGCCCCGGCTGCCAGAGTATTCGAGTCCGAATATACGCTCGGCCAGACTCTCGGCAATGGCGCCTTTGGTAAATATCCCGAATCACTTGTTTTCCGCGGCCTCTGCTTGTCGGATCTACTCCAGCCCTCTTGCGCCCATGCCCCGAGAGTGGAGTGCAGCAGATGCGGCGTCGCTGGGGCTCCAGGACTCCAGGACGTGCCCAAGCCGTCGCCATCGCCTCGGTACCAGTCCTTGCCGGCACAATGCTCTTGCTCGTGGTCACGGATCATGCGCGACTAACAGTGATCACTTCTGGCTCTGTGTGCCTCTTTGGATGTTTTACCCTCCACCCCTCATCCAAACAACCCCCAGCGGAGGTCAAGAACTGCGTCCGCAAATCGGATGGCTCAAAGTTTGCTGTCAAAATCATCAACAAGAGCCGACTCCATGGTGCGTACTGTCTTGCCACACAAGAGTGGATCGAGGCGCTCGCATCGAATGTGCTCTGCATCAATCCAAGTCGCTCGCGCCGGCTAACCTTGCAGTTTTTGATGATCCCAGGCAAGCTCGACCTTTTGAGAAACGAGGTCGAGATCCTGCAGTCGATCCACCACAATCACATCATCCAACTCCACGATGTTTTCGAAAACGAGGAAAACATGTATCTCGTCACCACCCTGGCCACCGGTACGTTATCCACAAGCCCTCTCGCGCAGACATGCTCATTCCCGCACACGACAACACAACCAGATGCATCCCGACTGATTTCGTCTCATCGGATCTGCTTCTGATACAATCATGATGCGACTCTCTGTCCTCGCGCTTCTAGGTGGCGAGCTCTTTGATCAGATCATCAAGAAAGGAAACTACACCGAGAGGGACGCCGCCCTCTTGGTGTACCAGCTCTTTGACGCCATCGCTTATTTGCATCGCAAGAGTAAGGCACTGTCCTCAGCACCGGCGGCCGGCGCTCTGGCGCGTTCACACTACTCTATTTCGATACGCCAGCTGTCGCTACAGCCTCGATCGACGCTGCCAACGCCCATTACCAACTCGAATCCGTGCATCTCCTCTCTTAGACATTGTCCATCGCGATCTCAAGCCTGAAAATATGCTCTTCTTGAATCATTCTGAAGACTCGCCTCTGATGGTGAGGATCGTGCTTCTTGGCTTGAGTTGATGGCATCTGACCGCTGAAGGTCCGGGCGGCCCGAGACGCTGGACTTGCGTTGCTGGCCAAACGCAACCAACTTATCTGAACACGCTCCAGCATCGCCGTCGTGTGCCTCGCTCATTCCTGTCGTTGGTGCCATTCGAACGAATCGACGGATCGCTGTCTCGCTCACGACAACTGTGCCTGCAACTGCCTTTGTCCGCTTTCAAATATTGACACTCTGATCTGGATTGTGTAGCTGACCGATTTCGGCCTCTCCAAGATCGCCTCGGGTGACAGCAACCTCCACACGGCTTGTGGTACCCCATCCTACGTCGGTGCGTACGGATTGGCTGGCCTACCTCTGTTGCTCGGCCCCGGTGATGCAGTGCTCTAACCCGGGCTGTAACCCTCCCATATCACCAATTCGTCCCCTCAGCTCCCGAAATCCTGTCTCAGGACGGCCACGGCAAACCTGTGGACGTATGGTCGATGGGTGTCAGTACGTATCAGTGAACGTGCTTTCAGGCGCCTTTGAAGGGGGGCTGTCAAGGCATGCCCGATGATGTGGCATCGCCTCGGGCAGTCGATCAGATGTCCCGCGACGAGAAATATCAGTCGCACCACCGTAGCGCTTGATGACTGACTGATTGAGCGCATTTCCTCGGTCCATAGTCACGTTTGTTCTGCTCTCTGGCTACACCCCGTTCTACGCCGAGGATCAGCCCACGCTATTTGCCCAAATCATGACCGCGGACTATGCCTTCGATCCCGATCCGTGGGATACGATTTCCGCCAGCGCAAAAGACCTGATCCGTAAACTCCTGGTTGTCGATCCGTCCAAGCGCTTGACGGCCGAGGAGGCGCTGCGGCACCCATGGTTCACCGAGGCTGCTGGCACAACACACTTGAAGCACGTTACCGAGAACCTCAGCGCTCGCAAGAGGCTCAAGAAATGTAAGTGCTGGTGTGGCCATGACATTGAGCTTCTCTGCGGCGGTACCGGCTGGAATATCCGGTTGCCGATCTGCAAACCTCCTCAATTGTGGTGTTTACGGTTTGCACGAGCTCGCGCTGATCCTGAGCTCTCTCCTTTATCTATTTTGCCTATGCTCGCTGTCCCCAATGCACCATCCTTCAGCCATAACGATGGTCATTGGCCTGAACCGATTGCGCCACCTGAGCCTTGACCGCAAAGGCAAAAAATAGACTCGCCTCGTCTCGCTTCGCCTTTGCTTTAGTTCATTCTCTTTCTGTCCTTGCTTTGTTATTCATTATTATTTTTTTTGCTATTGGATGCGCATTCTTCAAGTATCATTCGTTTCTGCAGCGTGCGAGGGGGATTCCACGACATGACGCAACGCGAGACCCCGGAGGAAAGCCAGCCAGCACCTGTCCACCATGACTAGAACAGACTTCATACAGTACCGCAGCGCAGCCGATGCAATTCGGTGGGAACGGCCTTTCATCCGACCCGCGATTCATCCACCCGACCTCATAGATTGGTGCACAATATACGGCTTGTTCGGAACCACATGGGACAGTGTGTCCCTGGGTACCCTTTGGCGGCCTGTAAGGGCTGGTGGGTGGGCCATGGGATGGTACTTTGTATGTGCTCCTGGCCATGGGTTAGCGGTGATGGTGGAGCCACCCAAAGTACCTGGCAAAACTCGATGGGCATCGGTCTCCTTGGACACACGCTGTTTGATCATGCCGGACGATGGCTGGGTGTATCCTGAATACAGGAAATAACGACAACTCACAACAGGGTGTCCCGTTTCGTTTCGGGTGCACTGTCGTCAGCCTGGCCCTGAAAGCGAACGGATCACGATGCATCCAACTCTGGGACGTCAGACTCCCCCCCCCACCTCTCGCCTTCTGTCTGCGATGTCGTCATAGAGGATCCTGTTCGGCGGCCTTACTTCGAGCTCGCTCGCCGGAAAGCCTTTGGGAGGGAAGCGTTGTCGGCAAGGCTTCTGGGCACCGCCGAACAACATCGCATTCCATTCCATTTCGAGAGTGTCTTCGGTCGGCACCACCAAGCCATCGTCAACCAAACGCATCTCTGCAGCTAAAGTTACAGCGCTCCTGTTGGATCTGGATACGTGTAGGTTCCGCGATTTGCCCGGCGTCTGAGGACCAGTCCCGCACTCCAGGCCCGGAGAATTCAGGTGCCAATCAAGGAGCAAAGTGCCGGGTCTCAAGCACCAGGACGGTCGTAGTTGCGGCGGCAGCAACAAAGCTCCGGATTATGGCTATTGCCCCCGTCCTTCCTCTTTCTCTCATACCGCGCAAGCTCGGGGAGGGGGAGCACCACCAGTTTTTTTTGCCAGCCATCTCGCCCGACTAACATCATCTCGTCAATAATCAAGACGAGAATCGCATCCTCACCAAGCACAACTCACCGCAATGCCTCCGCGTGCCACAAGGAGGACAAGTTTCGGTCCTGTCGTCAACCGCGGCCCTCCTGATCTCGAGCCCGGTGGCCACGGCTTCGACGGCTATGCTTTTCCGGCAGTGACTGAGCCGACCAACGACCCACCCGACGGTGTGAGCGATACCAGCTCAAACGTTATCCAACCCATACGAATGCAGGAAGGCTCTTCTCTCGGCGACACCGAGGAAGTTGACCTCAGCATTTCGCGTTCGACCATGACGATCCTGACCGAGACGGTGTACCAAGTGCTGTTTCTCATGGTTGTTGGGTATGCGTTGAGTGTCCCCCCCCCCTACAACACAACAGGAAGCTTTTGAGATTGATTCTTGGCATCGCGGGCCTCGACTTTCTCTCTTTACATTACCAAGCTTGAGAACCAGGAGAGCGCGCATGAATCCAAGTGCCACGAACGAGTTGCTCGTTCCCCAGCAGCCAGGCGCTCTCTGGCTCAATCCCGTGTCTCTCTAACCTCTGCAATCCATCATCATGGCTTCTGCAGAAATGATCAATCCTCCTCTTTGATATCGTACCTGAGCATCCTCATTGAGGATATCCAGCTCCTCACCTACTTCTTCTCGGATATTGCTGGGCAATTCTATTATGTACCTAGCCACACCGTGGCGATCATCTCGGAGCAATACGACAACCTCACCATCGGGCAGTTCAATATGTTCTTTTCGGTTGCGTGCACCGCGTGCTTGCTCATGGTCGCCAACTGCGGCTATGTGGCCTGGGGCGCAATGGTAAGTAGTGCTCACAGACGCTCCCTGTGCCCGTCGACGAGCGAGAATGCGGATCGCAGCGAACACCAAGGCGCACAGCAGTTGCAATTTCGCGCCTCGTAATACCTGTTCGGCAACGACTCCACGCTTTCGTGCTCCACCTTACTGATCACCGACATGCCTTGATGTTCATTGTGCAGCGGGGGCAGGTACAGTATGAGCTTTGTCTGGTCCGAAGCATTCGGGTTTGTGAGGTGGGCCGTCTCGACATTTTCTCTGATCCGACTGCCTGGAACCAACAGCACAAAAAGATCTGGCCGATCACAACCCTGCGCATCTTGGCGAGGTAAATCCATTCAGCCGGTCTCTCCGAGTCTCGGCCGCGTTCGTTTCTGAAGCTGGTGACGCTGAAAACCATGGTTCTCGATGGTAGACCGATCGACCTGCTGTGAGCGTAGTGCGATACCGTGCCGCAGCCTCCTCCGTCACTAAACTTTGCTCCACCACAGCATCCTCCCCACAATTTTGTACACCCCGATCTTCAATATTTTCTTGACTTCGTTCTCCTGTCCGTGGCAAACCCTATCCGTTGACGATCCCTCAGCCGTGTTTATATCGCAGATGGGATGCCTAAATCCCCAACGCTTTGTCTACATGTCGCTGTCCTTCATTTCTTGCATTCTGTTCGTGCCGACGGCGTGGACTATGGGTTGTGTGTAAGTCAATGTCCTGGAGCCGGGCTGTCCAGCTAGAACTTCGGCTTGGAGAACCTGTGTTGCACGCAGACGTCGCAGACTGCATCAAGCGGCGATTAACCGGCACGAGAGGATACTCTTGCACACCTATTGATTTGCATTCTCCCACCACAGATATCTCGATATGAACCCGGTTATGAAGGGTGATAGGAACAAGTCGCACGGACGAATGGACTTTTGCTATGCGATGCTGAAGACTGTCCTCATTCTCGTGTGGAGATTTGTGCCCATAGGGTTCATCCAACTCGGTGCAGTCCTGATCATGTCCAGCTGGATGTTCTATACCATCCTGCTCTTTCATCCGTACTTCCATGCACGATTCAATCAGTTTGTGGGTGTCTGCTTGTCATTGTGCGGACATTATACTTTGTGCATTGCCGAGCTTATGGGTTGCTGATAGGTATCGCAGCTGCGCCAACTAACACTCGTCGTTTCGTCCAGCGAGCGGGTATCTTTTGCTCGTCTATCATTGTCGGACTCATCAGCGTCTTTGGGGCAGGGCTGTCAACATTTTCGTCGATAATACTTCCAGGATACTTTTACTTCATACTACTTGGTGCGCTTGTTCCCGGATTTGTCATCGGGTGGCTCTACTGCAGTAAGTTGTTCTTCCTTGATGCAGATCAGCAAGATGCTGATGCTGATGCTGATGCTGATGCTGATGCTGATGCTGATGCTGATGCTGATGCTGATGCTGATGCTGATGCTGATGGTGTTGCTTTCCCTCTGCATCAAACCTATCCACTGACATCTCTATCGACATTCACATCGACGGCGGCATTTCCACATATATTCACATCGCCTACACCGGCATTTTCACCGTTTGCAATCTCTCCCAGTGCACTCGGCAAAGAAAATTTCTCTTGATTGTCGACAATCCCTGAACACCATGAATGCCTCCGTGCTCACGTCCACCGTCGAGGACGACAACATCATCGTTTTCCAGTATTGGACTCACGTCGAGATCACAGCCCGCTCCCTCATCGAGGAGCTCAACAACCGAAGGCGCCGCATTGATCTTGATAAATTCCAAGAAATCAGCCGTATCTTCAAGGTGAGCCGACTGACGGCTATCATAGCACTCCGAGTACTCGAGCGCCACACTCACCCATTCTCAACGCTCTCCTTTATTCAAATCGTCCAGAGAGGCATCAAAGAGTTTCCAGACGAGCCGTACGTGCGCTTGCAGTATGCCACATACATGTTTCACCTCACAATGGCCAAGCGCGAAGCCATACGCGGAATGAAGAGGATCAAGATGATGCAGCCAGCCTTTGATGTGCTGTGCCAGGTTCACTTTTTGACTCAGGTAAAGGAAGACACGTCTACCATGGCACCTAGTCGATAGTATCAAGCAAGTATTGGGCACGATTGCGGCGCCTAGTGTGTGTCCTAACAGCCGAAGCACGCCCTGTCGAACCGCTGCTTCTAGATTGGACAACAAGATGTCGAGTCACAGTTCCTCGGCTCGGGTGTGAAGTTGAATGTCACACGCTTTGCAGAGTTCCAGAAGACGTTCAAAAAGGCCCTTCAAAACCACAACAAATCCGTGTTGACGATGCTGGAGTTTTGGAAATCCGTCTCAAACTCCAAGTCAACCCCGGTGGATTTGCAAGCCCTGGGCATGCACTTGTATCATGCTTCGCAGAAGGCTGACGAAGCCTATACGGAGCTCATTGGTCGGTGAGTATCAACTGAGGATCAATTGGGCAAGATACCACTGGCAACGGAGGTGTGCAGGACTATTTCGAACCATACTAACATTAGTTCGATCGCCAAATGCGCTGCTGCTTCGCATAGCTTTCCCAAAAATCAGGTATTTCTCTCTCGATGATTGGAAGATTCTGCAGTTACCCGACTGCTTCACCTGCAAAATCAAAACTGACCTGCACTCTGAACTTGATCAAATAGCAATTCTTGAGAATGTACGGCAAGTTCTGCTTTGATGTTCTCAACGACAATGAGCGAGGAAGGATGCTTACAGATCAGGCCGACGTCCTCGAGTCTGAAGAAGCGTCAGCATGGGACCAAGAAGCAACCGATTTCCGAGACAGTCCGAACGATAGACCCAACCTTCGATCTCCCAGTGTTGGTCCTACTGCCAACCCACGCATGTCCGTCGCTGTCGACGACAGGAAGTTTACCAAAGCCACATCATCACACGGCTCGTCGCACATGAGCGAACACAAAAATCAGAGCGAAAAGCTTCAGCTGAAAGCTAGCCTGATCACCCAGCGTGGGAAAGACTCGAGGATACTATTCCAAAGCTCCACGGCTCTTGGCCTGATCAGCCTGGTGATCTGCATCGTAAATTTTGTGCTGAGCACCGCAGCACTCTCAAACACTGCACTGGGTCTATCGGTCCTGCAGAGGTACGCGGATTGTGCTCATGCGACCACGATGCTTCAGTCGACCGACACAGCCTTGCAAACACAATGTTCTTGCTGCCGTTCTAACGCATATCGCTCAGCCTCCACCACAAGGAGCGGTACAGCGCCTCTCTGGTCTACAGAGTGAGGCGACTTCAGGCGTACTACCAGGCCAATGACAGCATATCCTTTCAGAACGAGCAGCTTACCCTCCAAGCCGAGATGGACATTCTGAACAGCGAGCTTCATAATCTCCTTGCGAGCTCTGATTCGGATCCGGCGACATATGCATGGTACACTGTCCCGTCTATACCGGCAAACATGAGCGCCTACCCGGGTCTCCAGACTCGGTACACGCAACTTGTCACTGGATACGAGCTCACCGAGGTTTGTTGATGCCATTTTCAATATCCAATTGCATCCTGTGGGGCAATCTGAATGTCATATATATGCACGACATCTCACATCGCAATGATTGGCCAGAAACTCGTACTTGCGGGCTTTCGGTAAGCAGGGCCAACGCACATATCAGTGGCTTGCAAGTGGCAATCGGGTGTCGGCGGCGTATCCCTCTTCACACTTTGATGAAATTAATGTCGCGGATATGTGTCGTGGGCGCTGCTGATGAACTGACTGTCACCTAGGCTTTCGTATATGAACATGAACGACTTCAGAAACATCACATACGACAATTCGTTCCGGTATGTTCACTGTGTCCCATATGGCTTGCGATTGAACACTGCTGACAGCCTTCTCATCATATTCCAGATACATCATGGATAACTACCAGTATATTCATGTGTACAGCGACTACGTCATGAACTATCTTTTCTTTGTGGGTACCCGGGCACATGTTACTCACTGCACCATCTGGATCGGTCATGCTGGTGGCTGCGCTGAGAGTTACCTGCGAATTCAGTTGTCCTCATGCCGTTTCTCCCCAACCTCACACGAAACTAGAACGTCCAATCTCAAAATGCTACATCCGGTATGGATTCATTTATGAACACATCGCAATTGCATGATTGAATTCCGCTCGACCAAGGAACTCCTGTGCTATGTCATGGAGTCAAGGTGTATTTGTGGGACAGTAACCACTCTTGCGGTGTGCTCAAGCCAATGTCTAACTCAGTTATCCACCTCGGCAGCATCCAACACCATCATTATCCTGGCCTGCGTGCAGTGTATATCGATCATCATTCTCATTATCGTGCTTGATGTTCGCATCATGATTACAAGGAAGCAGCAAGGCAAATTGATGGCGTTCTTCAAAAAGATACCGTCAAAGCTGATCAAGGATCACATCGAGAAGATCGAAATAGAGATCGAGGAAGACGTTGGCGGCCTCGGGCTCGTAAAATCGCACATCAACCACCAACGAGCCAACCGTGAAGAGTTTCTTTTCACCAAATGGGGACTTCGCCTACAGTACACCATCTATCTCTTTCTGCTGTGCTCTCTCTCGGCATACAATGCATCGATTAACAATCAGGTTTGCGCTGCATTGGATTACTTTGCCACATCCGATCACCTTGCAATGTTCTATCGCTCGACTATCACAACCGTCGTGAGGGCGTATGGCCTTGATCAACTGACGTTCGCATGCCCTGTCATGGACAATACCATTGACCCGTGCTTGCAGGGATTATATTCTATCGGCGTCGAGTTTGCCGTGGCCGACCAACTTGGCGATCTCATCACCTTCGACTACGAGATCTTCCAGGCCACCAAAGAACTCGTCATTCAAGACATGATGACTTGGGGCACTCCGCAGAACTTGCGCAGCTACTTTAACGACAGATATGCGAACCTCGATTATGTGAGAAACGCGCTCGTATATGGCGATAATACTCGTAAGTTGTCGTCAGCTTCCCTGTCAAACTGGCCTTGTCACATGTCCCAACGGCCAATCGCCGCAACTCACCATATTGGCTGGGCTTGAAGGTTATCCCCCGACGGAAAACATTGAAAACTATCCCGAACCGATTCTTGGGTACATCACAAACACATCCTGTCTCCCACTCAACCAAACGCTGTGCTCCACCCGTGTCTGGAACACTTCAATCGGGTATACCCCTGGATTGATGAACCGGGGTTTGCAGAACCTCTTGGATCAAGGGCTGATTCAGTACCAGGTCATCGGAGAAGCACTGAATGGCCAAGTTTTGTTTGCGCCTTCGCCACAGACGATCGCATTGCTCTCCGAGATATTAGATCCGGACCTGGTCGACGGCTTGACTCGCGCAGAGGTCTATGAGTACTCGCAGACGGCCACCATCGTCAATACGTTTGTTTCCCAGACAAAATACGTCCTTGCAGCGCAAATCTGTTTGATCATCTTTGGCCAATTCTCGGTGATGCTCCGCATCACAAATCGATTCTATCGGATGCAGATGTGTGTCATTGGTAAGGTGTCAGACCAGCGAATCGGACGAGAACGAGTCGTGAGACATTCCACGACAGCTTTGCAAAGTGTTGCACATCACAGTCTGACTGCATCTGTCTTCTCTCTGACTTATGTCGGCATTCTCGCCTTCCTATCCGCAGATCTCATCATAAGGTACCCAACCGGCACCGGCGATTGCTTCCACAGCCCAGTCGCGCGAATGGCTTCCCTCATTGCAGCCTTCCCGCTGTTTTGCTTGATTTTGCAATGCATAGTCGGCGTCTCACGAATTCTCCTATGTCTGCTGTCAGGCTCCCTGAAGGCATCCGACGCGATCCCTATGTCATCGAGCTCATACAAAATGAGCTTCGTTCAGGACACGAGAAAAAGAGCAGGAACGACTGGACTACAAGGCTGCGCGCTGTCCCAGGCACGATAAGCAGACTCTTATCCGGCAGGGCGGCCGCACAGTCCAAAGCAGATCCGACCGAGGCGCCAGCGAGCCCGAAAGGCACATTAGCATTTGGACGGCTGTCGTCCCATAAGCCTTCGGCGCTGAAGGTCGAGGTACTGACAAAATCCAAGATGGTCAAGTCGGCTTCAAATAACTCAATCAGCACGACCGACAAGGAAGGGGCCAAAGGTGTTGCTATGCGTTCAAAGGAGATCTGATGCATCGAATCACAATTGTTCCTCAATACTTGACAAAAGCATAGATCCAAATGAGAGGGCAACATGGTCCTGCTCTGTCTGCTCGCTTGTGCCTGGAGCCAAATACACACATGTTTGTGATTTGTCCAAAGGAGTCACCAGCACCCATCTCCAGGATGTGGTCAAGGAACATGCCCCAGTTCTCGTCGCTTAGGCAGTTCGAGCGGCTGCTCCACCACCAAAGAGAAGAGATGGCCCGCACAGGATGATCGTAGTTCATAGGGATCGACCTACAGGAATCATGGACATGCGATCCATGGCATTGCCGCATCGGATAACTACGAGCCACAGTGGTGGCAAGTCAAGAAACCCCATCCACCGATGGATGAGCGCCACGCAGCCCCAGGCACGTTGTCTTATTTCTCCCAAGCAGAGCTGTATACAAGTATATTTGTGAGATGGCGAATATGCCGGTCACCGCACATGCGCTCCAGCCCTCGTGGACGTACGGGACTGAATTGCTTGCTCACTCGCGGGACTATTGAAACGAGCGCAGAGTCACGGCAGCCAAGAAAGCAGGAATGCTGTGTCTCTCTAATACGTATTTGTTCATCAGCTGCATGACCTCATTGCGTTGGACCGGCTGGCCACCTGAGAGCGCAATCGTTCCGTGACTAACGGTGCTGGGTTGCGGTCCAGCCTTGCCAGCGCCGTCAGCCTCGGGGCTGGTCGTAATGATGAAGGTGCAGTCGCTCGGGTCGGCGTAGATGGAAGTCATCTTCACGGTGCCCTCTTGGAACTCGAGCCGATATCCTGGCGAAAGAGAGTGAATGGCACATTAGACCGTCGTCGGAATAAGATCAGCCCCCAATCCAAAAAACTGCCAGGTAGATTCGTAGCCGACGCATCCCTTTCAGCACAAGCCGGGTCCACTCTCTCAGGGATATAGGAGGCATCGAGCTCCACCGGCAGCACACGTGTCTGATCGCAGCTATGTGCAGTGACGAGCCACCCGCTCATCCGTTCGCAGCACGCATCCATACACAGGCAGCCTACCAAGTAGCGAGTACACCACATCCCGGTATTCTCGTGCCTTGAGCGCATACACCTCTTTCAGGCGAGTCATTCGCATGTCTTTGACTTCGAGAGCCTGGCGCAGCTGCTTCACGGTGGACTCGAGCGATTCGTCGCCCGTAGATCGGCTCGAGTCTGACTCCAGCGAGCCAGACTTTGCTGGTGCTGACCCACTCCCGCGGGAGAGTGCCTTGACTTGCTCGTGCAGATTCTTGTTTTCGATCTGGAGGGCCTCGAGCGTAGCCTTTCGGATGGCTTGCTCTTGATGCTCCGGGTTGTTCCTCAGCTCCAGCACTCTGGTGGTGGCGGTGTTGTATATGCCACGGCCAAGATCGCGCTCGCACTTGTCTAGTTGGCGCGCGAGCCGCTCATTCTCTCGCTCAAGGGAGCTGAGGAGCTGTTTCTGCTTGGCGATGGCTGGTGTCGAAGGGCGGGGCCAAACAGCAGTGTCAGTGATCCAGTCACGGTGTGAGATGTCAGCACGTGTACATCCATATCGCTGCGATGCGTTTGCACGGCCAACAGACTGGCGCCGAGTACTCACTAGCCTCAAGTTGCTCGACCTCCTCGGTAGTCTTTCTGAGCGCCCCACTGTCGGCCCCTATGCCAGAGGAAGCTCCAGACTGACATATGCGCGCATCTAGCTCCTGGTCGAGCCGCGATACATGACTTTTGTACTGCTTGACCAGATCTTCAAGTTGGCCAATATACTGGCTCTTTTGGCTGTCGTAGTTGCCGCTCATCAATGCGCTTTCTTCAGCATCATAGCTTTTCTACGTCCACAGTCGAGAAGCGAGGCGAGTTAAATCGAGCCTGAACCGGTTTCGCGGCCAGCATCGTGGCCAGCGTCGTGGTCAACATCGAAGCCAGCATCGTGGTCAACGACGACATCAAGCAGCACCATCGGCTTTGATCGATCTTTCATTCACCAACGCCGAGACAACCGAAGCTTGGTCTCGGCTCGATACTCACCAGCAGCTCCCGGAAGTTTTCGTTCTCTTTCTCGGAGAGGCTACATCTGAGCTGTGCTCGCTTCAATGCGGCAGCCTCTTGGGCATACAAGTCATCCAGCTTTTTGACTCGGGCCCGAGAGTCCTCAAGCTAAAATTTGCGGGTTGTGTGTCAGCCCACAGCGTAGCAACCGTGATTCTCCGTGAGAGGGCCGGTGGCAATATTGCAGGGCGCTACGATGGTACGGGCTGCCACGAATGACGGCGACCAGACACCGTGCACACGGCCAATAGCCGCCACATGTTGTCGGAGGTACCACCTTCGGCCTACCTGTTGCTCCAGTCTCGATATAAGCAGGTTTTTCTGGGCGATCTCGCCAAGTTTCAGGCTCAACTCCTCCTTGGCCAAAGCGCTGTCGACACGCAGGTCCGACAGAGCTTTGGCGAGCTGAAAGGGGGTATCCATGTTGAGTTGGTCATTTTCACTCAGGAACTGTGCCCAGCTCTGCTTCTCGTCCTCGAGCTTTTTGAGCTGAACCTCCAGTTGCCCGATGCGCTGTCGCATTGGCTCGAGATGCTCAATCTGGCGCTCGAGTGTGCACTTCTCCTCCTTGAGCTTCAGGACACTCTCCGAGACCGAACGCTCGTGTCCGAGGTCGTCTTGAAGCCTTTGAACTTTGCTTTCCAGCTCGCCGATGTACTTGAGCTGACCTATCCATGCCAGTCCAGTCCATAATCGAGTTATCCGTCGGAATGTAGTGAGTGCCCGAGCCAGAAGATCTAGTTAGCTCTAGATCAGGCGGAACTTCGAATCCCTGTTCATCAAACCGCCGCAGCGACTCGCCCCATGACAATATCCGGACTATAACCAGGAGCAATAGGGTGCATCGACTTACTCGACAGCTGCTTCGCAAGGGCAGAGTCTTTTGCAACATCGTGGGTCGCCACAGAGGCCGGTCGTGAGTCCAAATCGGGGCGGAGGAGCTTCTGTCGTTTGCTCGAGAGCGAATCTGTGCTCTTCTTGTCGAGCTAGCGGGGGGAACATGCAGAGTCAGCTCGCCAATCGTCGTCGCGATGCTGAAACTGTGTCTGCAGCCGCCCAGGTGACGCTGTGGACAAATCGACATGGTTGATCTGAGACAATAGCATCCATTCGCTCACCTCCTTCCGGCACCGCTCCAGTTCTGCTTGCTTCGTCTCGATGACAATCTCCAGGTGTTTGATCTCGTTTTGGTAATCAAGCTGCTCTTCGGCGTGACTCTCAACAACTTCAGCAAGCCGCTGCGAAAGTCCCTGGTTCTGCTTCCTCAGTTCATTGATCTTGGCTTCGTGCACCACCTGCAAAGAATGGAAGGGTGATCGGCCGCTGCATCAGGATGGATGTGCGGAAGCTACAGCATACTTTGCGCTCCACTGTCCCGCTGTCTACCTTGCATTGACTCAGCTCTTCCTGCAGGGCTTTGTGCTGCTGTCTGGAAGATTGGTCTCGCTCAAACATGAATCGGTTGTTGGCTTCGAGTTTCTAAAGGTGGTATGGCCCCACAGTCAATGACGCTGTTGTTGCTGGATGGCATAATCCAGACCTCGTTCGGGGTCCACAGCAACTCGAGCAGATCGAAACAACGAATCCAACAGTCGTGGTCGCTGTGGTGTCGATCAAAGGGGAGTCACTGCCAGATCCATCGCCAGGACTGCCTACCTCGATCTGGGCCTGCGCTTCTTTGAGCTGGATCTCGAGCTTGCCTCGGTCTGTCTCAGCGTCTATCGCGCTCTTCTGGCGAGCCGATTCGGCCTCGGAGAGCTCTTTCCTCAGTTGAGTAATGACCTTTGCGGAGTCAGGCGATGCTGCAGAGGAGTCGCAATCAGATCTTGGTCACCTTGCGAATGTGCAAGCAGCTGAATGCTGGGTGACTTGTTGGTATGCAAGCGACTGATCTCGCCGCCACTCGATGTGAAGCCCGAGTGCGGCCATGATGCATGGCGCTTCCGAGCGAAGCGGCTGGGGCATCGGCTTGAGAAGCGAGGACGCTAGTAGTCCAGCGTCAAAGAGACAACATCCTACCTGATGCCGGAGACGAAGGTGATCTAGTACTGGCAGCGCCGGGAGTATTCTGTATGTATGTTGCGATGGATGTTGCAGTTATTCACCACTAAGCCCGATCGGACCGAACGCAGCCTCGACACGACAGAGCCCTGGCCAAGCCCGATATTTCGCATGCATACCCAAAGCAGTCCCAGCGACGGTTGTGCCGATTTGGCAGACCTTGATGGAGGCGAGAACGACAGGACATCGGGGCGGCTGTGGCTGTTGGGTGTGCTTAGGGCCGTGTGCGCCTCGGTGAGCAAGTCGGCGAAGATAGAGGGACCAGGTGTTCCGAGGGGTGTTCCGACGGGCGTGGGAGTGGAAGGATGCTCCAGCCGGCCCTGGTGCGGCCGATGCAAAGAGCGTGCGAGCGACGGGGTCCCAGGGCGAGCTTGAGTCCGGGATGGAGTTGATGCAGAATGCAGTGGCCGCGAACCGCTGCGATCGTACGGATGGAAGAGCGGGCGGTTGGAAGTCATGGCTGTAGGGGACAGCCGTGTGAGCAATGGGCTCGACCAGGGAATGGCCCGCCGATGGACCGGAATGCGGTGCGGGACGAAGGAGCGGCAGCAGCGAGAGCAACGGCCGCGCAGAAGACGGAGGAAGGAGCCCGAAGGAGGCCGAAGGAGGCCGAAGAAGGACCTGTTGGCGAGGCGAGCACGCGAGGCGATCGCCGGCCATTGCCCGGAGCGACGGCCGACGGGTGTCGCCGGGCCTCTGACGGCATCAACCCCCCCCCCGATCGGCGAGTCGCATCGGAAAGCTCGAGCGCACAAGTAAGTTGTTCATCCGCGAGCAAGTTGTCATCAGCAAGCAAACAGCCGAGCGAACAGCCGAGCAAATAACGCATCCGCGGCAACTTCCAACCGACACCACACCGCCCATCGCATTCGGCTGTCCCGACTATCCCGACCATCCCGACCATCTCGACTATCCCGGGCACTCAATTAGCAATCTAGCCCGCACAACTCCCGTCTCCTGCTCCGGCTCCCACAGCGTCGAACCATGTTTGGCTGCATCGTTGCCGGCCGTCTGGTATGTTCATGCATGCGGGGCATGGGTTGGCTGGGTCGTGTTGCGCATTCCCGCCGAGCCAGTCGATGCCAACCCCAGGATATGCGGCTAACGGGAGCCAAACGGCCCTTAACATGCCAATGCGACAACAGGTCCAGACCAACCTTCAGCAAGGTGAGTGCACAGCTCGTCGTCGACTGCTGCATTCGCGCGACAGAATCAAAAGGACTGCATCTGAAATGGAATCAAGACACATCCATGTTTGCGGAAAGATGAGATAGTTTTCGGAGGCTGAAGAGCCTTGGAGGAGCATCGCGGGGCTATGTATCGAAAGCCTCGGAGACCGCCAGGCCCGTTTGCCCGGCAGATCCTGCATCCATGTTCTGACAGCCGTGGCTTTGGTCGGGTTGTGCCTGGCGAACGGCCTCTCTATCGCATCCAACCGATTCAGTCGATCAGTTCAAGGTAAGCGAACTGCCATTATATCCCGCACTCAGCTCAGGCACATCATTGGGGTCATCTTGAGCATGGGCCTTGCTGATGCCGATGCTCCTGGACATCAGTACGTTCTTGCGCTCCAGGATGCACAATCCATCAACCACATAGGTATCGATATCAATACGAACAGTCGAACGTCATGCAGCGCTTCGCTGAGCCGCCGATGCTCGACCTGCAACGCCTTGCTGACTGCATGACGCTACAATAGTTATCTTCATGACAGGACAGCAGGCCTTTCCAGCTGGATATGCGGCCACAGTCCACCTGTTTTGGTAAGGACTTTGGCTGTGATGGTGGCTGGTGGCATCTGCGGAGCTATCTTTGTGGTGCCGCAGCTGGAGTTGATGTATTTAGTCACGGCCATGCCCAGGAAACACTCCTTTCTAGGCGGCCTACTGGCAAATATTTCCTGCGACCTGCTGTTACTGCGAGCCAGCACAAACGACTTACACCTCCGATTGAATTCTTGATTTTCTATGGCCGATCATATCCCCTCTACTGCAAAACACCTGCAGGCCGTCCGAAACCCATCCACATTGGCAGTTGCTTGGAATGATCAGCAACGAGAAGCCCTCCGCCATCTTCAAACTGGGTGGGCAGAAAACGACCTCGTCATTTTCGTCCGCCAACGGCGTTCCGACTGCGGTCGATGCACCGGGCGATGTCATGATGGATGCCAGCGGCCCGCACACCCAGATGCAGTCGATGGATACAATCGCAGCCCCATCCTCGATCACCGCTCAGCTCGGAATCTCAATCGAGCCGATAGCGCAAGTCCAGGCCCAGATTCAGACGCTGCAGCTAGGATCCCACTCGGTGTCGATGACTGGAGTCACCACAAATGCAGGCTCTGTTGAGGTCGCGGGGATTGCCGCCAAGTTGCTCGATCATTTCTACAACTACTGCAGTTCGTTCACTACCAACCTTCCGTCTGGAGCCAGCGTTGTGTTTTCGGGAGGATGGAGTTCGTCCTATATCCCGTTCAAGGTATGAGTCTTGAGCAGCTACTCGCTGTCGCCAGCAGGAACAGATGTCCTGAGGCCCATCCAACAATCATTGAAAGTGCCCAAGCATACAGGCTGGGGGGAGGCATCAATGCGTCTTGTCCTCATAAGTTACCAACTCGCTCCCGTACGCCTCGCAGACGGTTCAAGACTGGTACAACAACGTCCAGAACAAGCTCAAATCCGATGCCACGGCCGGCTTCCTTAATAATTGATGGCCATGGGCACAGGCCATGTGTCGACTTTCAGAAGTCGGTCGCTGCGGTAGCACCCAAGAAACAAAAACGACTAATCGGAACACCCTGCGTCTTCAGCCCATGGCCGCCTGTTCTCGATCTTTACACTTTATTCAGGGGGATTCAGGACACAATCCCTATCCCGCATGTCTGCGTATTATGTGATGGCTTGCGTCCAGCTAAGCCATATGCAATAAAACAGATCACCTCGGCATCGTTCGAGTCAAGTCCGTGGGTTGCTCTGGGAGCGCTCCAACACACGGATGTTCGCTGACACAGCTGCAACACCCAATCACTCCATCAACACATTCAAGGACACTCGTTGGTGACAAATATCGAGGCGACTCGTTTGAGCTTTGGAGAGAGCATGTATTGGCCAGTGGATATTCCCCCAAACGGGGGGCACGAAATTTAGTCGCTGGGCGCTCCGTCCACGGAGACGGCACCGCTTTCTTGCAAGAGATCGCTGATTAGAATGGTAGACACGGATGTGGTGGAAGTACTCTGCATTGGGGGTAAGGCAAGCCAAGCCAAGCCAAGCCGAGCAATCAGTACTTGCGAGTAGTCGTCTGAGGGCAGCTGTGAATCGTGGTGGTGATGGTGGAGACCACGGTGACCGTCTTGGTCTTGGTCTTGGGTTTTTTGGTTTTCTTGGATTTTGTTGTTTTCTTGGTGACGGTGGTGGTGGTGGTGGTCTTGGATTGGGTAGAGGATGAGCGGGCCGTGGAGGACGAGGCCGTGCATGGAGTGGTGCGTGAGGCGGGTTGGGAGCTAGGATGGGCAGTCGAGACGCTTACGACCGCAGTGGAAACTGGCTTGGAGGGCGATGCTGTCGATGAGGGCTTGGAGAGGGTGGTGGACAGAGTCCGGGGAGTCGATGCGACCGCGGAAGACGACGGAGCAGTCGAGGACTTGCTTGTCGCCGAGGAGGGCGAGTACGTTGGGGTTCGTGAGGACGACGGGGATGGAGGCGGGGGAGCAGGGCCGTCGCCGTTGATGATCACATCGGCACTGGGGACAGAGGAGCAATTAGATCGATGGTCATGACAGCGCGTCGTTCCCAAAGGCCCGGCAGCACATGCTTCAGCCGCACAGCGCCTACCAGCTGGTAAAGAACTCGTTCTGCATCTCGGCTCCAGGGTTGTTGTCGGCAGTCCAGCTCCAGCGGATGACACCGTCGCTGGTCTTGACATTCGGAATCACAATGTCCATGGTTGCATCGCCAATGTTGACATCTGCGCAGTGGTCGTCGGCACCAATGAGCTGAGGGAGCGGCAAGTGACAAGAGAATGGTGAGCGAGACGCACAGGCTGTGCGGGCTGTCAAGAGCGCCGAATGTGCCGAGTGCGCCGAGTGCGCTGAGTGGGCAACGGCACGATTCTTGAACGCACCTGCCAGAGATTTTGGCCGCCGTGCAAGTCCAGATACACCTCGCACCGGCCACGGTGAGCGGCGGTGATGGTGTAGTGGATGCTCTGTTTGCCGGGGCGCAGAGTGGTCTGCGGTGGACCCTGGGGATAGCCGTGGCAGATCAACTTGTCGCTCTTGGCGTAGAGACGGTAAGCAGCACTGTTGGCATCAGTGTAGCCATTCCCAGCATCGCCTGGTGCGGGTCGAGAGAGATGGATCGCCGGATCAGCAACACAAACGCAAATCAGCCATGCCGTTGCAGTGCCAAGGCTGCAGTCTCCGAGACCATCCCCCTCTACAACGTACCTGGCAGAAGACGGATAGCGGGAGAGAGCATGCGTCCGTGTGCCTCGACGCAGCTTGAAAAGGCGGCGATGGATGCGACCACGGCCCGGAACAGCGTGCAAGTCTTCATGGCGCTTGGTGGTCTGGAGCGGTGGTCGTGTCGAGACGGAGCGGGGCGATCGCAGGCTTTATACTTGCTTTCTGATAACAATCCAATACGCCAGCCGGCTTGCCCGAGTCGCCAAGGCCCTGCTTGTTGCATAGCGCTCAGCCGAGCCTTGCTGGTGCATATGTGGTGATGTGTATGTGTTGCCGTGGCTCTGCTGGGATGTATCTGCTTTTGGCGTCGTTGTGTCGGTTGCCTCTCCATCTCAGGAGAGAGAGATATTTGCGACACGCCATGGGCGCGGGTGGGCCGAAACCATCTTGGGCCACGGCCGCACGAAGGAGACGCCGGCGCCAGCCCTGCTTGCTGTCTGCAGCCCTGCTTGCTGTCTGCAGCCGCAAGGAGCTGCATGCGCGGCCAGCCACCAACCTTCAAGCGAGTCTCGACCGGTCCATGCAAACTCAAACGCAGCCGCCGGCTCAAATGCACCCGGCCGAGGACCCGTGGGAAACCCCGTGGGAAACCCCGTGGAAAATCCCCCCGTGGCTGCGCACGCAATCGGCTGCGCAGCTGTCGCAGCACCCGTGCACCACCGCCGTTTCATTCTTTCGCTCGGGCTTTGGCTGGTGTGCTTCGCTTCGCCCATCTCCAGCCCAAGGCCGATCCCAAGCCCGATCCCAAGCAGCCCAGGCATGTCAGAAGTCACTCTCATCATCGGCGCTGGCGGCCCGTCCTGCAGCGGCAAGTCGACCATCACCAGCTGGCTTGCCCAAGTGCTCGACAACACCATCGTTGTCCACCAGGATAAGTATTTCAAGGTGCGTTCCGACATAGCTCGATCGTGGCCGCCATCCTGGGCTGCATCCGCTGTATGTGCATGCCGCGGATGTGCTGAATCGCAGTGGCATCGAGCAATTCCAGCACGGCTTTGTACTGCTGCTGTCGTGGCCAGTAGGCACTGATTTGGCTTCCATTTCCCTCCAACTCTCGAACCATACAACCATCCACATCGTGCTTTCAATCGACTACTGCCGGAACGCCGCCCGGATTCCTCTGTCCATTCTTTGCTCGATCAACTCGCTCAAATGTGCCTCTACCCATTCACTCGTGGTCGGCTCCAGTCAGATAGCGACATTCCGATAACGCCGTCGGGCATCGCCAACTGGGATTGTCCGCAGGCTTTAGACATGGAGGCCTTCATCCAAGTTCTTGAGCGGCTGAAAACGCACGGCGATCAGCAGAGCTCCATCATGGGCGATAATCGGTCGAAGCTGGATCGGAGTGAGGTCACGACCGAGTCTGCTGAGCAGTTCAAGAGAAAAATCAGCGATGCTTGCGCAGAACTGAACATCCGCCTCAAGATTGTCCTGGTCGACGGCTTCCTTCTCTACCACACAACTCGCATCATCGACCTGCTCGATATCCGGCTCTTTTCGAAGGCAAATTACGAGACGCTGAAGCGGCGCCGCGAGGAACGTTCATCCTACATTACTGCCGAAGGTAACTATCGTTATCCGGGTGCATTCGAGGGAGGGAGCATACCTGTGCGAAAGAGTTGTTCGCAGGACAAGCCAACCGCATCGGTCTGTCCTGTTCCGCCACCGCTCCGAATTTTGGTGGCAATCGAAGAGCGTGCCAGCTCGTTGGATGGAAAGGCCCTCAAGCGGTAGAGAGGCAACAGGGAAATGACTGCATAGGATTGCCGAGCACAACAGCGACACTGCAGTTTGCGGCTAACTCCATGGCGCTGCTGACCAACCGGCCCCTGCAGGCTGCTGGGTTGATCCCAAGGGCTACTTTGACGAAATCGTCTGGCCCGAGTATTTGAGGCACAACCACCTACCGCTACAGACAATCTCAAGATTGCACAGCCTCAGGAACGACTCGGAGCGCCAGGCAATCGCACATCTGGACGCCGATAGCTCCGAGTTGATTGACGGTCTCGTTCACCTGGACTCCGAAGACCGGACCATCGAGCAGCTGCTTACGCAGGTCGTGGACAATATCGTCACGCATCTCAAGTTCACAAGAGCTCCCCGCGAGAATGGAGTCGAGTGTGCGACGGTCTGACCGGCGACTCCATCCCGAACTCTCAGACCCCGAAAGGCACCTACTACCACAACAGCATCGATGCGTTGCTGCCCTCGCGTGCTGAGCCACCATGCCTCCAAGTCCGCAAACTCGTTGTGGTGATGGCGGCAAGGGACGGGCTGGAACTGAACCGCCCTTCGTTATCGGCTGGGCCCGGACCCCTGCAACACCTCCCCCCCCCCACGCTCCCTGAGCCAGAGTGTACATGATCTCAGCGACGACGTCCACATCCGGTTCTTCAGAAATACAAACTGGCAGCAAATACAATATCGCGCTTGATCAGTTCCGACGCCGCTTCCATCTTGTGGAAGAGCCCAGCGTCGCCGATGAGTCGGGCAGCCCCGCGGACTTCGCGGCACGTTTCGTCAAGGCGCACAATACAGCGGACAATCGAGCCTGCAGTTGGAGAGAATCGCGAGGCGGGGCAGCTTCGTCAGGAGCATGGACAGAGCAACCTTGAACGAGTGCACATCCTGGTATTGCACATGAGAGATACGAGGACCGCTCGGCACTGTCGCCGCTTCTGGTCAACATACCTTCGAGCACATCTGTGAGGTCGGTGATCTGCTTGAAGGACATGCCCATGGCCCACTCGTACACAACCTCGACAAGGCCAAACTTGAGACTGCCCACGACGTCTTCGCCGCGAATCTGCAGCCCGCTCTGGAACTGAATCTCGCCGACCCGCATGGCCATCGCCTGGATCTTGGCCACGCCCTGAGAACAGCGCATGATCCAATGGTCAGCACGGCTACACATCAAGCAACTGCAATGGCGGAGTGGTGGTGCGCGCACACCATCCGGAAACGTCCAGATGGAACAGTCGGCACGAACCTCTTCCAGGCGCGGCGTCAGCACCGGTTCGCTCTGGGACTTTTCTTGGAAGACAAAGCACGACAGCAGTGCGACGATCTCGGCCGGCTCGTATTCAGCAAGGACGTTCTCGAAGATCAATTCGGTCAACAGGAGCTCGTCGGCCGTGTTGATCTGATCAGGAACCGCGGTGCGGGAGGCAAAGCCCCAGCAGTGTTAGCGTTTCAGCTCCGAGCGCTGCAAAGTCGACAGCACGGCGGCAATATGGGGCAGTGCCGCAAGTATGGCAGCAATCCATGCAGGTCGCCGTTGCTCGTTGACGGACTTGCACGACAAGATCGCAAGGCTAATCAGCGTGCAAGCTCGCGTCTGACTCGCTTAACCCACCTCGCACGCCACACGGCCCTTGAGCTGGACCGTCGAGTTCTCGTCGACAAAGTTAAGGACCTTGAGGACCTCGAGGCGCTGGTGGTAGTCCGGAAGCAAATCCAAGTTTTGCTCGGACATGTTGTACGCCAGCTCGGAGACCTTGCGCTGCAGCGACTTTTGGACATGGACGATGGCATACTAGAGCCCAGTATTGGTCCCGGTGCCGCCGCGGAATTAGTCCACAGCACCGAGTGGGTAGGTGGCCGAAACAAGCAGTGCCCTCACAAGCCGCTCCACTCGCCCATCGAGTGAGGCAAGTTCGCGGTAGCATTGCCATGCGACTCACATGTTCGCTGAGGCTGGGGCAGGCTGTGCATCGGAACGTCTGAAGCTGCTTGACAAGCCCATTCTTTTCTCGGAGCTGCTCCTGGAACTCCAGATCGCGAATCTTGCTCCAGTCGTGTTCAACGAGCCCGGTGCCTATTGCCGCGAGCGTTAGATGAGCCATGCCTCCTGGTCAACCCGCCCAAGAGCCCGCCCCCAACGCACGGAATCTGCATCACTGTTACTGCTGCTGCTCGGCCAGGCGAGTAAACACGAACATGGCTGCAGAACTGTGAGTCGCCATCAAGATCTTCCACGCAGCCATCGCACATACCTTCCGAGGTGATCTCGGCAACCTTGAGCAGCTTTTGCCCTGTAAGTGCGATCTCGGCTGGGTCCTGGTGCTCAAGGAGCTCATTTGCGTCGACCTTTATATGTGAATGAACAAGAATAGATCATCAGATATCGACTCGCGGGCCAAGCGACGGCAGCGTCAAGCAGAGTACAGGCACATGAACCTCGTTGATGAACAGTGTGGGGTTTGAAATACACGTGCTGGCTGCCAGGAACGAATCCGTCGCAAAGCCTGCCAGTGTTGAAACTGCACGCAAAACACACCTTGATCTGCATGGTGCTGATCAACAGGATCTCAGTGTACGAGACCGATATGATCTCAGTCGCAAGAGCGCTGGCGCTCGGGACGCTTATCTTGGTCAGCGGAAGCGGTGCAGCCTCTGCCGATGTCGAAACAGAGATTCAGTCCAACATCAGATCCAAGAAGCGCCAGCTCAGATACCGCGGAAAGCGCTCAACAGTCCCTCTTTCGGGGAGCGGCCGATGCAGCGTGACATCCGGACCCGGGCCGCCAGGAAAGGCCGTCGACTCAACGCTTACCTTCGCTAGCAAAACCAGCACCGCTTCGCTTCTCGGATATGATGGCGACGGTGTAGGTCTTGTCGTTGGTCCGTCCGTTGGGGACAAGAGCACCGGAGCGCAGCACCACGGCCAGAGCACCACGGTAGAACTGGAGTTTGGATGCAATGTGCGGCAGTTAGGACCATGGCATTGTGGCGGGCTGTTCTTCGGAGACCCGTGCTGTTTCTAGTGTCAATCCAAGCAATCTCAGCGGTAGCGGCGCTCGGAGGCCACTTTCACTTGCAGTTGCGGCAGGCGCACTCACGCTGTTGTCCACCACGACGACTCGACCGGTGGTCAGCGCTCGGGCGCCGTACGGAGAGCCGTGTATCTTTTCACGGAGAGAGTACGTCAGGAGCAGGATTCTGTAGGAGAGGTCGTAATACTTTGATATATCTGGATCGCAAACGGAGCAGCTCAGCTTCTTGGAGGACTTGAGGGCAAGTGCCGTCTGGGGGTGTGGTGGGAACAAGAACGCCGTCAGTATTGGGTTCTGTTGGCACAACAGCCAAAGGCCACAGGGTCGTTGGCAGAGCGACGCAACTTGGCACTTTGGCTGGATAATCCGTGAGGATTCAGAATAGGCATCACTCGCTGGTAGAGTCGGCGATTCCTTGTGATCAAGCAATGCCGAGAGAATACAACCTCCTCATGCTGGCGCTGCTGGTCCGGCAGCATCTTTTGGGTGCTGTTTTCGGAAAACGAGCGCTTGATCATGTCTTCGATCCTCAGGGCCTCAACTCGCAAGAGACTAAGGATCATGTTGTAGGTCAGTCGGAACTGGGATGCAAGCTTGGTCGGGGTTCCGAGGAGCATTTGGGTGAGGATACCTTGCTGCATAGTGCGATTCATAATTGGTGATCAGAATCAGGATCCCGTGGCCGAGGCAGCTCGGACGTTCGACTGCCGCCAATCTCTGTCGCGATGAGTTGGACCATGTCCACGATTCCGACGGGGCTGGCGCTTTACCTCGGGGAGTTCGTCATTGGCAAGGAGGATGACCACGCCTGTATCATCCAAACCACGTCGACCGGCACGGCCCGACATCTGGGTGTATTCGCCTGAGTGAACGAGTTCATTGTTAAGCCAATCGGTCAGCGGTCAAATCGAAGGGTAAAAAATCTTCAGCAACGGGAAAACTGAAAATCGAGTCCGCAGGAGCCGTGGTGGCTGGGCAAAACAGCGAGCCAGTCGATCCAATAGCAGGCATGGCGACCGCCTGAGAGCTGCATATCTTCTCTGATGGCGACCCGACAGAAATGCATCCATATGCACACACTATCCAACTGAGTTGGAATACTTACCCGGCAGCAGATTTCTGAAGGACTGCCCGTCATGCTTGCGAATCCCGGAGAACACAACGGCGCGAGCAGGAGCATTGACACCCATTGCAAATGTCTCTGTGGCAAACAGGATCTTGACCAACCCTTTGGTGAACAGAATCTCGACAACCTGGACGCGACCAAGGAGAAGCAGGCATGTCAGCAAAATGCGCCAGAGAAGTGGCTGGTCAAAATCGCTGCCAAGTATCGCCTTCCATGATACTCTCCCACTCGCGTAGGAAATAACAGCTAGTGAACAAGCACATGCACTATAGTCGACCGTGTAGAATGCCCACCTCCTTTAAAATCGGGAGAAGACCGCTGTGATGGACAGCAATGCCGCGCGAGAGCAGATCGCGCACACGGAGGATCTGTGGGAGCTCTTTGTCGGTTCCTGAAAGGGAATCACTGCCGTGAGCGGGGAAGTTACGGCGCCAAAATGCAACTCGGCCCTTGTGCATCGTGGACCCGGTAAGCACTCGACACTCTACCTTTGAGTCTCGTCAAGCTCTTTTCGATCATTAGATGGATCTCGGACTTTTCAGCTGCACCAGTGGTCAGGTCAACGTTGTTCAGACCGGCTGCGTACTCCTCACACTTTTTCTTGGAGAAGGTGAAGATGATGGCAGGCAGATACGTCTTCTTCTTCAGCATCGAGATGAGTTGGATGTACGTGTTCTTGTCCTAAAGTGCATGTGCGAAAGACGCATGTGCCTCTGTAAGCTCACGATAAGGCCAAAGGATCTTCCTGGGAGCACAGGCGGTTCGATGACGGGACGAGTGATACCCACACTCGACACATTGGCGTTCGGGCCCTGATGGTACTGTCCTTGGTGCCCGCCACGGCCTCCAGACGATCCACCACGCCCCCTGTTGCCGCGGGCACTGGAGCCTCCGCGATTGGCTCCGCCACGACCACCGGGTCCGCCTCGTTCGGAAACTGAACCCCCGCGGGCGGCTGCGCGTGGATCCATTTTGACGACTGGGATTTTGACGGGTCCTGCAAGCGCCTCTCCAGCGGCCTTGTAGCTACAACAACAAGAGGCTCAGTCGGTTAGCCATGGACAGAATCGCAGCATGGCTACGGTGCTAAACGCAAGAGCGTCTCATCTCAATCAGTACCCAAACTATGCTGAACTCAGGCCAAAGGCGGATCGAGACGTACCCGGCAGAGAGGAACTTCTTCTGGGAATCCACGATCTTGTAGATCTCCTTCTCGACATAGAGGTAATGCTCGAGCGGAACTGGTCGCTTGAGTGTCGAGATAACATAGATGTTCTTCTTTTTGGTGCGCCTGGCATGAGAGAGGGGGGGGGAGCAACGCCATTAGACGCCGGTGCGTCGGGGAGAGACAGAAAGGGCGAGCAAGTAGAGTAGACACGGGTGACTTTCGAGGACAAAAGGCGTTGCAGTCATTGCCCGTGTAAAACACTCACCCAACCCAGTCGGCAAACTCTTTGGTATTCGGCACGGTGGCTGACAGTAGAATGAGGGTGATGTGATCTGGAAGCATGATGATGACTTCCTCCCAAACCACGCCGCGCTGAAGTGGGCGGGATGCCAACATGTCAGTACTGCTTTCCGCTCCTCGGGATCGCAAGGATCCAACAGAGATTCTATCGGTAGCCGGAGCAAGGACGATGCAGCTCGGCATAAAGAGCGTCGATACCGACCTCAATGTCGTTGACATAGTGTACTTCATCAAAAATGACAAACTCAACATCACGGATGATGTCGGCACCGCGATATAGCATGCTCCTAAGAATCTCGGTGGTCATGACGAGACAGGAGGCCTCGGGGCGAATCTGCACGTCGCCCGTGAGGATGCCCACGTCGTCGTAGGTGCGCTTGAAGTCGCGGAACTTTTGATTCGACAAGGCCTTGATGGGAGAAGTGTAGATGGCCCTGCCACGCAAAATCGCAGGAAGAGAATATGGCCAAGGTACCATGTCCAAGCGATGATTGGTACAATAAACGATGCATCGCAGACCGACCAGCCCGAAACAAATATCCACAGACAATGCCGAGGATTCCGGGCCATCGATAAATGCAAACACTACTTTGCTGTAGCCGATATCCTCCGCGAAGCTTGGCAATGCTTGAGCAGCGCGTCGGACCAGCCAACCAGACAACTGAACGTGACAGCATTCGGTTTCTGGCTGATCTGGCGAAACAACTCACTTGGTCATGTGCTTCTGGGCCAAGGCTATCGCATACTCGGCCACCACAGTCTTGCCAGCAGAAGTGTGGGCTGCGACAAACACCGAGTCGCCCTTCTCGAGATGATATACAGCCTGCTTCTGGAAGACATCGAGCTCGAACGGGAACTGTTTGGACACATGAATATCAGACGCCACGCCAAGTGAGAACCCAGACGAGACAGACAGAGCGCTGCAAAGACTCAAAGATTCAACGACGGTCAGCCCGAGTTGAAGCAGCAGAGTAACGGACCGGATACGCGAGGTCAGGCACGAGCTCGTAAAAGTTGGGGAAGCCCTCGTTGATGTCTACGATATGTGCCCACTCCCGCTGGGCCTCGAGGGTCTTTGCTTGGGCGACCTTGATGATGGTGTTTAGCTGAGGATGCACCAATGTTAGAGGCTACTGTGAACAAAGAGCGAGTACTCGGTCGATCGAGGACCTGTCTGGTTCGACGCACCTCATCGCCAAGAATCTGGTCCACCTCTTGAGATTGGGAGCCGCTCTGATCTGCGTCTGCGGTTTGTCCGTCCAGAGCTGAAGCGGTCTTGTTGGACTAGAGGCGGAAGGGGATGACCCGCCGATAGTTAGAGGCTGCAAGAAACCGTAGCTGGAGACGCAGGAGGGAGGCGCTGCGCTTACCACGCGGACCACTCGTCCAGGTGCTCCAAGTATATCCTGGATATCGATAGCGTCGATGTCGAGCTGATTGGAGCCGGCAATATGGTCTGATTGTGGAGAGTATTTCAGTGAGGGTTGGAACGCTATAACTAAGCGACAAACTGCCATTCCTTCCTGGTGACAACCGCTGAGAGCGGCCAGCAAGCATCCACGGTCACAGCAAGATCAGATGGAGAGATGGGTGCTCACCATCGAAATGCAGACCACGCTCAAGGCCAGGGGGAGCGACTCTGAGCTCCGCAAACAGGTCTGGTACTCCGTCCTCGACATCGACATCGACATCGACATCGACATCGACATTGCCGCTGGCAGACCGGGGAGTGTCGAGACCACCGGGCGTAAAGGGAATATGAGAAGTGCTGCCTCGAACAAAACTGCTATACGCCGAAGGTGCGCGGTTCATGGAAGTGGAGTTCTGGGCTGTCAAGCTCGAATCACAGTATATCGTCTGTCAGCGGCAGGACGACGAAAACCGGAGAGTGAGTCGAGGAGCGGGCGGTAAGACGACGACTGAATACCGACAGCCAAGAGGTCCATGAACGCTGTCTGCCGCAGTGCAACCGCTGCTGATAGACTGGAGCACAGAGCAGAGGAGAGTGATGCGGACCTCGGTAAAACCGTCGAGATTGATGTCGCCAGTCAAGATGGATCTGTGCAGATCATACTTGGACCTCGACAGAGTGAGGTCGGGTTGGATCAACGACGCAAGATCGACATCGCGCTGAAAGAGTCTTGAAGGCAGGTTCCAGGTTCCCAGGCGCGGCCGGGAAAATGATTCCACACGCAAGCACCGATGCAGCCACAGATGCAAAGATGGAGGTGAATGTGTAAGCGATGGGCAAACAGAGAGAAGCAGCTGGGGATGTCGATGAAGCCAGCGCTCAGGTTCGGGCAGAGCAAACCCGCCCGTCACGGACGAACCTCTGGCAGTGATCCAGTTGCTGGTGAGCAAATGTCGTTCTGGGTCGAAGATATCGGCTTTCCAGATCGGCCTTGTAGTCATCGCTCGAGGAGCTGGCCAGGCCGTGGGGTAGCGCTGTGGAAATACTGGCACGCAAAGCCTGGAGCGGATCAGATCCCGGAGGAACCGATCTGAAGAGGAGCGCCTGGCCGGCGTTGCCGACATCGAGCAGATCAAAGGGTGGCTCGGCAGCCGAGTCTGGAGGCGGGACAAGGGCTTTGGCCTCGAGACGCTTGAGCTCGTCAAAGATTGGTGCAGCCATTGAATTGATGGAGGCCGGCGACGGATCGAGTTCTCAGACGGACAGCCAAGTCGATGAGATCGATAGGGCAGACGAGTCGATGAGTCGATGAGTCGATGAGTCGATGAGTCGATGAGTCGATGAGTCGATGAGTCGATGGGGCAGATGGGGAGCAAGGCCAAAGGACATTCGCGATCCTGGGGCGCGGACTTGCCCACCGGGCTCGCTACTCGCTGTCAGTTGATATGCTCTCTGCCGACAGCCGAGAATGCATCCCAGCCGGGAATTGCAGTGCCGATGCGGCCGCGGCCATGATCCGGCCGATCTCTGCCCCCGGAGTGTCGCCCGAGTGCGATTCCGACACTGCCGGGAGTCGCTGAGCAGTAACAACCAAGGACGAGAGCAGTCGAGGGCAGGCGAGAGCGCGAGAGAGATCAGTCGATATCCGCCGCGAACCACCCCCATCGCCTGCCCCGCAGTCGGTTGCCATCGATCTGCCCCAGCGCCCAGGCGGCATCCTGACAGCATCCAAAACCCGATATCGACAAGAGCAGCCTGTGCCCAGACCGACGAGGAGACTCCAGCCGCACCGATCGATACCCGTCCGCCTCGCCCTCCATCAGCTCAACCCCCCAACCAGCTGCGATCGCCGCTGTCGCCTTCCCTCACCCCCTCCTCTGCTGCCCATCCAAGATGAGGAAAAAGTACAAGACCAAGTTCCCTGTTGCCCGCATCAAAAAGATCATGCGGGCCGACGAAGATATTGGCAAGGTCGCGCAAGTAACGCCTGTCTTGATATGTAGCTATCGTTCCTCTCGACTCTCGATCGTTGGCGATGCCTTGGCCGATGCTCCGGACTCCCACAGACGATCTTTGATCTTGACCGGCAATCCGGCGCAGAGCGTCGGTAAACGGAAGCAGCTCCTGCTTATGTCCTGATAATGCGTCCGACGGTCGTGGGCAGGCTCACATCCAATGGCCGAGGGCCGCAATTCTTGGTTGTAATCCAATCGCTCATTGACTCTCTTCATTCGCCGCCCTTGCTCACTGCCGACGCGAATATGCAATTCCGTATGAAACCATCCCGCCAACGATACCGACGGCTAACGACCCTCCCATGACGAACGACGTCTTGGACGGAACCATGGATGGACCCTATCAGCCAAGGCACTTGAGCTTTTCTTGCAGTCCATCATCGATGAAACCTTGAAGGAAACCCGATCGAGATCCTCGCGCAAGATGACGGTTTCGCATCTGTACGATCGTCGTCCTCTCTAGCCCAGGCGGGCGGATGTTTGCATGTCCGACGGCAATCCTTCGAGGTCGAATTCTCATCCGGACTGAACTTGGACCTCACTAGCATCTGATCCAACCTCATTCGATCTGATCTGATCCGACCTCGAAGGATTGCAACGAGCACGGCCCCACTCGCTTACGCTCACTATCGTCATTTCCCCACGTATCACTTGCCATGCAAAGGAAAAAAACGATCCTGAACGAAGAAAAGTTTGACTTTCTCCGAGACATCGTCGCCAATATCCCCGATGCATCGGAGCCGAACGTAAAAGTCGATGATGCTGGCGCCGCCACTCAAGCCTCGGGGAGCGTCAAGCGGCCGCGCAAAGATCCTGGCCTCAAGGAAGAATCAAGTGAGGAAGAAAAGGATGAAGGCAACGAAGACTCGGGCACGAAGCGAGGCAGCAGCCGGGGTCGTGGACGAGGTGGGTCCCTCAGCGATAGGGACACTCGAGAGAAGGCGGCCCACCGACAGTCGGATGCGTTTGGGACTGACCACACCATTTTGCATCTCACCCTACCTATCATTTCTAAAACGCCTTCCGACGCCGCCCATATCTCAAGGTCGTGGACGAGGAAGAGGTCGAGGGGCCAAGCCTGGAGCATCCAGCGACTAGGCGCGCCGCAGGACTTCCCGCCCAGTACCCAGTCATCAGCTCGGAATGAACCAACACCATTCAAGGTCGCGGCGACGACCATCAAGATTGCGACATCCATATCCTTTCTGTATTGGGGTACGTCGCTCCACAACGAACGGGCACCAAGCTTGCATGGGGGTGTTGAGGAGAATGGACCCGTCCCCTGGGCAACGAAGCAATACACTTGCGAACAAGCCGCGGCCTGACGGCTGTATGGATGGCCTGTACTGATCCTGACGTGTCGCTGCTTGCCATGAATGAGATTGCACGCGGAGCCATGGTATTGGGGGGGTGAATGAATCTATTCAAAATAACGGCCCCCAAATGCCGTTCTGCGGAGGGGAGGGGGAAGGAACCCCTTCAGAGTCTGAGAATATTGGAGAGAATCAAAGTCACCAGAGTGGCAATCGTCCAGATGCCGATCGTGATCCACTTTGCCTGACTCATGGGTGTGTCGTGAATCCAGCCCCAGAGGCCCTTGGTGCCCTTGGGATCGCGCGTGCCAAACAGCTCGTCGCTGAGAACATTGGTGATCTGGAACAGCAGCTCCGAGACCAGCAAATAGACGGCTGTTGCGAACATAAAGTTCAGCATTGGATAGTTGGCAAGCGGAGGGTACACAAGAAGCGACTTGGCATTGTCTTGGAGCCAGATGTGATGCTAATGCGCGGACGAGACATCGATGCGGTGGGTGAGTGCGAGAGCGGATGACGAAAGAATGAACAGTAGTCCATGTGCAGAGGTGCAGAGGTGCGTGCGAGGTGCGGATTGCCCAGCCCACTACTTTGCAAATCAATCTGCGAATCGTCCTGAGGCGCGTCGGACAAAGGAGGTCAAGCTGCACGAAGTACCGGTATACCTGAGCAATGTATGTCTCCAGGGTGATGCGGCCACACCAGGCAAACATGTGCAGATTGACGCGGCGGAGAAGCGGGGTGATGTTTCGCACGTATATGAAGCTGTAGGAGATAGCCAGGCGCCAGGAGAGTTATGGCGACACAGGATTAGCTTGGCGTACCGAGAGACGTCCTCCGTCAGATCGACCAAGGCATGCAAAGGGCCCCCACGTCACAGATATGCTTGGCATGAGCGGATGCACTCAATTTCAGGACATCAGGCATAAACATAGCCATCCCAATGCAGCGGCGAGAATTGTGTCTGCCCCAACAAGCCGGTATGGGCAACTTACAACAGAATCGGGATAAAGGCCAAGTACTACAACAACAAAGGCAGATGAGAATACAGCCAAGTGAGCGGCATGCACTGCAGGCAAAGAATGCGGCTCGGCAAGGTTGCAAAGTCGATGGTGGACAATCAGGCCACATACAGGATGGAGCTTGTTGTAGTCGATCTTGTTCATGGCTAGCAGAATATGCGACGCCCATGTAACAGTCGGGATGAGAGCCGCAACCAAAATAGTGATCTTGATCATGTGCCCCTTGATGATATCCTGAAACGAGCCAGTCTTCATTTCAAGGTGTCGGATGAACGAGTCGAACATGGGATAGAAGAAAGCACAGAGCCTATATTAGAGGACAGGAAACAGTTAGTATCGCTGGTGCTGTTGAACACGACCACTTAGATATGCACAGTGCTGTGTTTCACTGGTAGCATACAGGCTGCTTTGGGCCAGCCGCAGCGAAAGGTGTATCGCGGCACACAATCCCACAATCCAAAATGGAAAGCCCGTTCCAAACGCGTTTGTGGGGTGCATCCTCGAGCCGGAAGACAGCTCGCCTGCCCCTCGGTTGTATCGTTGCTGGCGGGTTTGCCATGCTCAAAGCCATTGGGTCGCATACGAGTCGTGAGAGCCCACGCTACATGCAAACAACGGCCACTTACATTCCGAGCAGCGTCATGTACCGGTCGAGACCAGAGCGGAACATCCACTCCTTCAGGCTGTTCTTGTATGCGAGAATCGGGAGGGGAGAGTACGGTCCAAAGATCGAGAAGACAAACTCGCCGACAGCGGGAATCTCCCAGAGCAGAACCACAGTCAGGAAATAGACGATGAACTTGATGTAGATGCGGCGATCGTAGTTCCACTCGCTCTTGATGGCCATAAAGACGTATACCGACAGGAACCAGAAGGTATGCATGGGACAGATGTAGTACTGTGGGTGGTGCGGCAGTCGTTTCGTCAATGCACGAGAGGCAATGCACAGACGACCAAGTGTAAAAACCACAATGTTAGCACAATGGACTCGAATGCCGCATGCTGCGGCGAGGACGGCGGTCAAGAGTTGAGGCCGATGTGGGAATCGCCCAACACTCCATCCATTGTCGGTAGCAGAATCACCGAGTTTGTAGACCAACGAGACGGGATCCGGGTTGAGATGCGGCGCCCAGACACATTACCAGCATGTACTCGTTCGAGGTCACGACGCAGATCACAGCGACCAGGAAGTTCAGACGGAAGAGCATCTTGAAGAGACGCTTGAGACTGTAATCCTTACGGATATAAAAGTACGAAAAGTTTCCAAAGCCCGTCATCCAGACGTAGCAGGCAATGAAGATTCGGATGGTGTTGTACGTCTCCGAAGCGCGGAAGTAGTGGTAGAGCAGGAATCCGACCTGTCCGTCAAGATGGGCCGTTGGTGAGAGCTGGTCAACAGCTTGCCAAGCATACAGCCACGCATACAGCCACGCATGGGGCCAAGCGACCGAATAACGTATGCGCCGTCGATGATGCCCAAGGTGCTCAGAGAGCCGACGGTCCTAGTGGTGTCCATGGCGTCGATGGTGCTGATGATTGAGCCGATCCAGACAGCAAACAGGCTGGTTGCAACTGGGCTGTGACCGGTGCAGATGGCGATTGCCCTGTGGAGCTGCCCGGAGACAGGGCACGATCTGCCCAGAAACAAGACAAAAGCGATGCAATCCCTATCCAAATCGCGGACATGGCATAGGAAGCTCACCTGCATCCAGCCCTTCCATTCCTCGGTTTGATGACGATTCAGGATCTGATCAGCGTTCTTCTGGGTTTCTGGTGTCAGCTCCAGCGACAGAATGGCGGCCAGGAAGATCAGGACATACACAAAGAGGAAGATGTCCCGCGAATAGACCCGCAGGCCCCGGGGGAACCAGTGGGCAACGTCGCCAGCGTAAAAGAAAAACAGAAGGAGTCCCAGAAGGATGACCGAGCGGCAGACCGAGGCGGTCTTGGTGAAGTGGAAAGAGACCGGACTGGCGGAACGAGGCGAGTCGGCGACGTTGGCAGGGTTTTCCTCGGAGTTGTCCTGGGCCTCGAGGGCATCGTCCTTGTCCGCATCGCCGGCAGGCGGGACTTGTCTGTATTGGGTGTGTTCGCTGCCGGGTCGCAGCCAGCAGCCGATTGTGTTTGCGGCATAAAAGAGAACGACGAGGATCCAGATGAGGGCAAAAAAGGCCTGGGGCAGGGTGATGGCAGCGGCAGACGGAGAAGCCATCGACGAGACCTCGGCAACCATCGTAGCGGTGGCCGTCAGGGCTGGGCAGGCTGTTCGACGAGCAGATGGACAAGCGGCAGGAGCAGCGACAGAAGCGCAAGACGATCCGCGAGCCAGAGCGACGACCGAAGCGAGAAAGCGAAAGGCCGGGCCAAGAGCGGGCGCGGGTGCGGGTGCGACGTCGGGCGCGTTTGGGTGGTGCGCGCCCGGCACAGCCTGTGTGGACTGTGCGGCTTGTTTGCCGTGTGCGTTTGTGGCTGGCGGGTGCGCGCCCGTGTTGGGCTGTGCGTTGTCGCGCCTCTGTTGACTCTGTGCCTTTGTCCCTGGCCCCCTGTCTGTGTGGCCCCTGTGTCGCCCCTTCCTGTGTCAAGCATCGGTGGCACCGTCGTCGCACATGTGGCTTGAGCGGGGGCATGTGCATCATCACAAACACCCGACCAGCGACAGCGCATGATCGTCCCTGCATCTTCACATTATTGCGCTCGGGCTGGGAAGTTCGCGCTGGCTCGTGTACAGCTGCGTAGATCCGCAGTTTGGTCGCTATCATTCGCAGACTCCCATACCATCGATCCAATATTCAATTCAGCCAATCCAGTTGTCCACCATCACCAATCACCAGCCAGGACCCAGGAGCCGACTGAACCCCATCGGGGAATTAGCACCCCCATTCCCTTCAGAACGATTTCATTCATCCATTTGACTAACTCCCAACTTTCATCGCAGCCCGTAGCCAAGGAAAGGCCCTTCCGGAAAATCGACCTTCTTGGCTCTTGAGATGAGGGTCCAGCTGGTCCTCAGTGTCCTCGCCGCCGTGCCGCTCGTCTGGGCTGTGTTCAATGGAACAAACCCGCTCTATCAATCGTATCCCCCGGCCTATCCTCTCTATCCCACCAAGAACCAGACAACGCGCGTTCTGACCCTGGGCGTCTTTGGCTGGTTCACGTCGCCTGTGGTTCTCGACGACAACGGCTACGCCAATGGTCTCGAGTCTGCCGTCGAACTGTAAGCCGATGCAGCAATCGACCATGGAGCCAACACTTCTCGCTCTTGTGGGCCGCATCGCTCACGAATCATCTGGTGCTCTATGTCTCCACCCAGGTTTCTCTCGGTCCAGGCGGCCGCTGATCTATTCAATGCCAAGTGGGTGTTTGTCTGGGTCGAGGGTGGCTGCCCATCATGGTGGTCGCTGGAACTTGATTGTGTTTCTTCAGTCGTATCCTGCATAGCATCGCTATCGACACGATTCTGAGTCCTGGTGATGCGATCGTGAAGCATATACTCACACGCGCCACACTGCCCATTGCTCCACATATCCACCATTCCTGTTTCATGATACCACATCGACCAACCACGGGCAATCCCAACGATCATCGCCAATGCTTCGTCCTTGAGCAGCAACACGCTCTTGCCCGATATCGTGAGTGCCTGTTGAAGGCTTTACAATCAGCGTGGTCGTAATCTTGCCCTCTAACCGTCTATCGCACTGCACCTCTCCATTTGCATGTCCACCTGCAACCCTCGCCGATCACTACTACCCAACACCAGCGCGTGGTTGTCGAAGCTATCGACATGTTCAGCCCAACGAGTGCAGGCCAGATCGCGAATGCGGTACCTAATCATCCTTGCTGAGCACATGAGTACTTGGCTGGGTTGCAACCGCGCTGTTTGATGGCGGCTGGCTCTCGATAGCAATTTGCTGCTGCTTTGAGCCTCCCCGCACTGCCAGCTGCATCCACAATCTCTGGGCTGACCTCTACGCACCTGACAGTAAACATTGTGCCTTACCAACCTTGCATCCAGTATCTTGCCGCTCAGAACGCCGTCTTTCTCAACAGATACGCCGGGTTCATTGGTCAGTGATGCTCGCATCTGAATATGCTGTCTGCGGAGGCTTTATCCTCGCCACTGGCACCTCGGGCAGCCTCGTTAATGCATCCAGCTCGAACGACGACATAGGCGACACCACCGATGTTATCAATCCCGGGACCCTGACGGCATCGGCCGAAGCCATGATGGCCGGCAAATTCAATGTTCCAGTAAGAATGGCACGTCGGGCCTGCGAATGCCGTATCGACGGCGAGATCAATTGAGATTTCGGCTTACTGACATGATCCCGTTCTGTCCCCAGTACTGCTCTCCCTTGGTGTTTGACGACATGGTAATGACTTGGCTGTCGCACTCATGAGCTGTCGCATGGCACTGCCTATCAACAGGGACTTGTTGAGGGCGTTCGATCGCCCATGTTGCTCCAACATGCTCCAACATGCTCTGATGTGCTCTGATTGTTGATGCAACCCACCAGTTCGACGACAAGACAACATATCCAACCTTCTTCCGGACCATCGGCAAGGCCGAACTTGCTGGCGCAGGTGTGATTCACTCGACACAGCTCGTTCACGAATCCCGCTTAATCTCACACTATGACGCTGCCTCTTGTCGCGAACAGGTGTCGCCGACTGGGTTGTGTCGATGGGCTGGACCAAGGTGGTTCTGGTTGTTTCGGTGAGTCGACGGCAGTGGGGCTGCAACTGCTCTGCCGTGCATGGCGGGTGCTTCTGTGCTGGGATTGGCATAGCCAACTGACACCATACATTCTCGATCCTCGGCCCGGCATTGGCTTGGGTGCCACTCCACACCAGTGCCAAAACAATGACGGATATGGCTTCCTGTTCTTTGGCGGCTTTGTTCAGAGGGCTGCACACAACCGAATCGACATCCTCGACACCATCTACATATACTGCGGCGATTCGCCCGCGCTGGCCGACAACGACTTTGTGACTCCCGTGAATCGAATGAAGGCCACGAATGGCCGGATATTCATCGTCTTGGCGTTTACGGATGCAGTGTCTGCGTTGTACTTGCAGGTATCTCAGTCGCAGTGCCAGAGAACGAAGCGACTATCAAGCATACTCGAACCCAGATGCACTTGACCCCAGATGCACTCGAACCCAGATGCACTCGATTCTCGGTGTATACGATGTAGTGCTTCGACCGGAATTCACTCATATTCCGGGCTTGCTCTCATGGACAAACACGAATCCAACTGGACGCTCGGCCCCATCAACTCTCCTCATAGGCACTGTGAGTCACTCGCTTCCTAGATTCCGCGCATAGTGTTATGTCGCTCAACATCCCGGTGTTGGGTTTATACCTGATCAACCACGATCAACTGACCGGCCCTCTGTTCACAGCAAAGCAGGTCTAACGAGTCTAGAGTACGTGTGGTTTGTGGCAGCACAGCCATATGATCTCCCGACGTATGCGTCCTTCTTCGAAGACCCAGCAAACAGAGCAGCAAGCTTCTATCTTGGCCGCAACGTGACAGCATCGGATTTTAACCCGTGAGTGACCTTTCAGGGATGTCCACGACATCTGAGCTGACAAGGGACATGCAGTGAAGGCGGTATGGACATGGAGGAGCCAAGGCTAACATCGACTGACTCAAATTGCACTCTCTGTCGCTGCAGAGTATTCGGATTGTGAGTTTCGCATGCACGTCTCGTACTCCTGATGATATTGAGGGTCTAGTTTATGGCCAAGCGAGTCCTGCATCCCGCCCGTGAACAGAAATTATAAGCAGATTGGCCGCCATGACTACCGATGTGGCTATGTGTTCATTGATCGTCTGAGTGGACTGGAGCCGCATCTTACTTTTGGAAATGCAACGACGGCGTGCTGAATTTGCTACTCGCACATGAACAGGGACGGCCCGGTGAGCTACTTTCCCAACAACCCGGTGTGGTTGCAGTTCAACCAGACTTGGTCGACATACGGGCAGCGCCCACTGAACTATCCCTTAGGTGGAGGTCATGTAGTGATGCCGTAAGTAGTGACTTTGATTTGGCACGGTTCGACGACTGATTCACTCGCGCCAATGAAGCGCAAGAAGTATTTGGACGCATGACATGGGATGGATGCCTTGCTAAGCGACACTGTGAGCGATCGCCCAAAGGCCAGACTCTGATCCGCCATCCGATTGCTCTGGCGCTCCAGGATGGCATATGATTGTGCGCTGTCGATGCTGTATGGATACGACCAGGTATGTGGTGAATGTCTGCGTGGATAATGCTGCGATGGAGTTGACTGCAATCAGATATACAACTCATCAACAAACACCCGACGACTCGCACGTGCACCTCCATCCGCCCCACCAATGCTTGATCCCGACGGACCATCCAGCTTCTGCGCGAGCATCCGTCAAGCGTCACGCTGTCAACGATCGCCCAGCGGCAGCTCGACCCGGCTTTGACAAAGCCGTCGACGTTTTCGGTCGACAAGATGGGGTCATGCGGCATGTTGGTCTATGACGGTGAGACGACGACGGTGTTCGCCGACGCTTGAACCGATATGGCGGTCGCTTGCCTGTGGCCGCCAAACTCGTCGCTGATCTGCGATCTCCTCCATGACAGAGCTTGGGAACTCCCAATCCGGGTAAGCACCGCTCCGGGTCTGGGTCGATGGCGAGTCGTTGATAGTGCGGTGGAGTTGGGTTGGTGTGTCATCCAAGCCATGGAATGGGACTCACCTTATCCAACATTCACAGCGGTCTCCATATTATGTTGGTGAGTCTCTTCTGACAAAAGACCGCCTTGATGAAACAATGCTGAATCTCTTGGATCTCTTTAGAATACTCTCACATCCGGCGTGGTTATCCTGACGATTTTTATGAATGGCAACTTCTCGGCCGGGCTTGAGCAAGCTTCCTTCCAAGACGGGATGACGCTCCGCGATGTGTTTTCCATCTACTTTAACTCGACAGGTATGACCAGCACAAGCTATGGAGAGATGGCCTTGAATAATGCGATTCAGTCGATGGTGATGCCCTTCGAGCATGCAAGCAGCGGGCCCCCGTGCTAGGCATTGCCCTATCCACGCACATTCATCGTGCCCGATTTTGGCTTTGCTACATGTTGGCAATCACTTGCAGCTCGAGACTATTGCCTCAGCGCGTCGGCTTGCCGTTGTTTGGAGCGGTCACAGAGATCACCGAGTGTCGCTTACTGACGGTGCTTGGATCTGCAAATACTGCGACAGACTTTACCATCCCGGTCGACTATCCACCGATTACGCGAGCAAACGAAACACTGACTCGGATGGCGCCGGCGCTGGCGGTGGCGCTCTGTTTCATACTGGCTGCCGTGGTGGTGCTGGGTCTGACATGGAGATACACTCCGCAGACAGAGGTTGTGCCGATCGAAGTGGCAAGATTAAGTAAGTCGGCAGAAATGAGGTGGCGGAGCTCGATCACACCAACACCAAAGGGCTGCAGGAAGCATCGATGTGCTGACGAGCAAGCATTGCCACAGATCTAGTGGCATCCGCGATAGGATACGGAGTGCTGTTCCTGCAAATTGGCCTACCAACGACAACCAAGTGTGCTTTGATGACGTACCTGACCATGGCTGCATTCGGCGTCTCCATGAGGTAGGCGAAGAGCGCGGTGTACTGGCTCACGGAGGCCGAACACGGCGGCCGTGGTGACTGAGTCAGCTGTCGAAGAAGTGTTCTGACGGGATCGCATATCGCCACAGCTCACTTTGGACGACAACGCTCAGTAAGTGTGCTCGCGGACGATCGAGATCATGCACATGTGGTGTTATCCCAGCACAGCGCCATGTGGCTTCATCCTCTGATCATCGTCCCCGTCCCGATATGGTTTGGCACTGCCGTGCATTGCATTGTTATGCATGACACTTTGCCGTATCTTGGATAACTCATGGCTCAGAGCTGGCCCGTGTGGCGCCGTGTCGACAGAACGGCATATCCCGGCGGTCGGTCATGTCCCGGCCTGGCTGGCCTGTGGTCGCCTCTGTGGTCATGGCCGGATGGGTGAGTGCACATCCCGACAATGTCCTCTCACTCACCATCGGGGCTGGGCCATTTTTACAAAGCTGCCCGTTTCCATCAATTGACTGCTCTCCCAATAGATCCTCGCCACAATCGGCATATCTTTGAATCCGCCCGTTGCCGTCGATGTCCCGGTGGCAAACTTGACGGTCTATACAATGTGCGAGCAGTCATCGGGGTGGTTCGTTGAACTTGGGATCTACATCGCCCTCATGGTCGTGTTGACTGGCTGGACTGTGCGAAACATCATGATCATGGCAGAGACACCGATATTGAAGTAGGTCATCCGCGCGCTGGCCAAGAGAGCAGCGCTCGAGCTTACCGGCGGTCCATCAGTTGCCGAACATCTCCGGGAATGCAATCCTCGCCGTTCTCGATCGTCCGCACTGATCACATTTCTTACCGGACTTGCTGTTTACTCCAGGACCCACGCCACTCTGTTTCTGATCTCCCTCAGGTGAGTGCTGCAAATGCAGCTGGCTTGCACACGATAGACACATAAGACCACACGAACTGCTCAGCGGCCGAGTGGTGACGAGCCACTCGACTCTGTCGTTATGCATTCGCAGCTGACACATGCACGTCGTATCGACGGCGCACTCGATTTTTCACGCCACGCCAGCCACCTGGTTGCCCTGACAGGGATCCTCGGCACACTGATGTATATCCCAGCCATGCTCTCGTTCATTTTCATTTTTCGGGTGGTCGCACACTTGCTGATCCCAACGACTGTGGCGGCGCCTATTCTGGTCTCCATTGCCATGACTATTTGGAGAAGCCCAGGAGAAGCTGGACTTGAGGAGCAGTGGGTTAGCACCGGTGTCAATAGGTTGAAGGTCGGCCAGAACTCGGTTGATCTGGCGCGGACAGCTCGTCACAGCGCGTTGAACATTGGCATCTGCAAACGAGACGGAAATGTAGTCGAACTTGGAAAGCTCCACGTTTGGGTGGTTGACTCGACAATAGTCGCTTGCCCCCACAATGTACCACACAATTCGGAGAAGCCAAAGAACGAGGTAGGGCCCCCGCCAACGATTCGGTGCCATGACATGCACTTTGTCCACGATGGCCTGCGATGTGGGTCGGTAATCGGATCGATCAGGATCGATCAGGATCAGGATTCGGCAATAGTCATCTGGACCAAATCTCGATACCAAGTATATTAGCCGGGGGAGACTTCCTCGAGCGCAATCAATAGCAGCGACTAAGTGCTTCTCGCGACTCTATAATCCAGCCCTTTGTGCTTCCTCCGATTGATACTCATAACCTGCTCCTGCAAGATGAGGATCGGGTCAAGCTGCTCTACCGCAGTCACCCTCAAGTCAACATAACCTTCGATGGCTGTGATCAAGCAGCGGCGTTTGTGAAATCGTTTGACCGAAGGTTTATTGCAACCTCGGCTCAAGCCAGCAGATACAGCAGGAGCAGCAGGAACAGCAGCATAGGTAGTAAGGGAGGCTAGGCCACAAAACGAACGGGACACATTAGCTTGAGTCGGGATTTTTATTGTTTTCTGGTGCTGAATAAAGGCACCAGGCCACCGCTACCATGACCAAACTGTGTGCCTATAGTGCTTGGAAGCCAGTCGAATCAAGAAGGCCGAGTATCTTGATATAGAGAATTATGGAACTGTCTAGAAGGTTGAATCCATCCACCACGCTCCCACACCGAGACATCAGCACAGCCAAGAACACAATCTCGGTATGCTATTGGGCCGTCGCCACAGGAGATCGACCGGGTGTATTCAAGACGAGGTTCCCTACACTTTATTCAGAAAAAAAACGGGACAATATAGCCGTTTCCATGAACAGGTAGTATGTGCTGTGCTTGCGTCAAGCAAAGCCACAAGAAATAAAACAGATCACTTTGGCAGCCTCCGAGTGAAGACCGCCGGTCGCTCTCCGATCTCCACAATCGACCTGCATACTGTGATCATGTTGCGCGCCGCATTGACGTCGCGATTCCACACTGTCCGGCAGCTGGGTTTCTTGCAGCTCCTGACAAATGGGAATTCGCAACACTGGGCGCATCGAGTCCTTCCAACCGAACTGGCTCCAGGCACTTGGAGCACACTTGCGAGGTGTTGAACTCGTTCGCCGAGACTACCTTGACACTTCCATGATGGTGATTGGGACGGCGTCGGTGGTGCTCGAATTGCTCAAAGTACCGAGCAAACCGCTGCCTCCGAGGGCTGGATGCATAGCCCTTGCCCTGTCGCCATGACGCATTGCCAAAGGCGATCACCACATCGGTCCGTATCGGGGCGTGCTTCAGGACGGCCTTGCACATCCTGTCGACGGCCACTTGGCGCCTCTTGTGGCCTGTGAATCGATGGTGACGGGCCTTCTTGCCAAGGTGGAAGTCGAGCTGCACTCGCAGCTCCGGTTGCAGGACATGGGTGAGATGGACCTTGAAGGCTTCCGAGGACGACACCTTGGGCGAGGGGGTGGTCGACATCCAGGTCTCGATGCCGAGTCGATACTTCATGGTGTTGTGCCGCTCAGTATTGGACGTATGGCCACACATGTGCTGGTAGTGGCCATTCGAGAACGAGACCACCTCGTCTTGGTGGCCCGGTGCTTGGATGACCGCCGTGAAGATGGAGCCGACTCCAGGATCGATGCCAATCCAAGTGGTACGGTTGGGGTCTGGGTTGCCGATGTGGGCCTGGATACGCTGCTCGGTAGTCTTGACGGGTGTGGTGGTCTCGGTGTGATCGGTTCGAGGCAGAAACTTGACGAGACCGATGGTGCATCCGATACCATCGGTGCTGATCTCGTAGTTGAACAGCTTCTTGTTCACGTCCCGCTCTTGGAAGAGGGAACTACGCAGCTTGAAGCAACTGCGCCAGAGACGATCCTGGTTGTTGATGCCGTCATCACCTTCTTCCTTGAGCTTGTCCCGGGTGAGTCCAAGGCGCTTCTTTGGACCCAGGAGCTCCCAGAGAGTGACGGTGTCGATCTTGACATACTTGGCCGTGGCAGTGCACAGAGGAACCATCGTGCACACGGCCGGAGGAGTGTCGAGAGAGAGCTGCTTGAGGGCCCAGTTGATCCTGGCGGCCAGCTTGTTGATCTTGGACTTGGTGGTGCCGAGCTCCGACTTGGCCGTGGTGAACCTCTTGTCGTCGGAGGGAATGCCTCGGGCAGTGAGCTCGTCCAGCTTGGCCTGGCGCTGCAGCTCGGTGACTCGGAGGGCGGGCATGTCACAGTCGATCCACTTGTGGACATTGTCGACCATCTTGTCTCGGGCGAGGATTCCCACATGGTGTGAGAGGCGATGGAGGGCCCGGAAGCGGTCCTGGTCGCTGCTGTACCGAAACTCGTCCAGGATGTGGCTAAACTCGGGATAGAGGAACTCGAGATCGGCCTTGGGTGGAGTCGAGTCCGGTTTCTCGAAGAGCTCGAGACAGACCTCGATGGCGTCGTGCTTGTGCTTGTTGGCTGGGAAGACGGCAGCGCAGAAGCGGCGAAGGAGTCGCCAGTAGGCCAGGTCGAGGTGGGTGGTGCAGTTGGTGGCATAGGCATTGACAGCCAGTGTGAGAAGCTGACTGTGAGCACCATCAGGCAGACGAGGGGCCGGAGGCAGGTCTGCGTGCCGAGTGGTCTGGTAGTCGCGAAAGGAAGCGACCAGATGCTCGTTGTATTTCTCATTGTCCCCGGTCGGGGAGAGGGCACCGTCCTGGACGATCTTGAAGCATTGGCGGATGAAAGCAGGGGTGGACTTGGAGATGACGGGGACGGGAAGATCCTGCTCGATGCACCGGAGGATGTGCAGGTTGAGCAGCCTGGATGCCTCGAACTGGATCTGGGTCATGGCCTCGACGGTGGCCTGGATCTTGTCGCGGAGAGCGGGATTGAGACAACAGCCATCCATCGTCTGCTTGAAGCAGCTGAACTGAGGGGCGGATGACCTTCCATCCACGAGTGGGACGACGGAGCTCTTGAGGGGCCGGTATTTGGGACATTTGCTGGTGTTGCAACGTTCGTGATCGGTGCCATCGCACTGGCGACATCGCTTGCCGGTACTCGAGGAAGTAGATGGACCAGGCTCGGTGGGATCGACATCCATTGGATCTGCAGAAGCAGTGGTGGTGAGCAACGGAGCAACAGACGAACAAGCATGCGTGGGGTCAGAATACGAACCAGAGACAGGCTCCGACTGTGACTTGGCTTTCTTGGGCCTGGGTGGCCGAGGCTGGCCATCACCGGCACCCTTAAGCTTCGGAGGCATGGGGACAGAGAATGCTGGATGCCTGCCAGTGGTACTGGTCAGAGCAGAGACTTTTTTATCGTACAATAGCGCGATGATCCGATCAAGGCGAGATGAGGGAAGAAAGCAGCAGGACGAAGATGTGGCATTTATACCCGAGAGCAGGAGCCCGTCTGCGCGGGCTGGTTGGGGAAGTGACCCTGTTCAAAAATCGCCGAGAGGTTCAAGCCAGGGATGTGAGCGTGAGAATGGCGGCGTGATTGGGGAGCTCAACTCCAAATTGGAGGAACTCAACCCCAAATCGGTGGGGACTCAACTCCAAAGAAGTTCTCGATGGGATTGAAGTCGGGTGAGGCAGGTGGGGTGAAGATCACTGACCATCCTCGGCGCTCGATGCAGTCCAGGACAGCCCTTGTCTTGTGCATGCTGACATTGTCCATCACAACCACAGAGTCGTCTGGGAAGGTCGCTCGCTCAAAGAACTCGACCATCGAGTGTGTCTTGAATGATGTGGGGATGTACATGCGATGCAGCACACCAGAGTGGTTGATGGCAAATGCAGCCGAGACAGACTTGTGTTTCATGTGATTGCGCTGGCGAAGCGGAGCACCCTTCGGCGAGTATCCGTAGAGAGGGAAAATGGATCTCCTGATCCCTGTCTCGTCGACAAAAACGAATCGTCGTGGGTCGATGGAGCGGACCTGGTCCCTGAACTGTGCCACTCGCTCATCCAGTCGCTTGGACTTGTAGAGGTGTGTTGCCCTCTTGTGTGAGAGACCTGCTCGGTGGATGGCAGTGTGGCAGAGTGTGAGTGATACTTTCCTCTGGAGGATGGACTCGAGCTTGCATCGCAACACAGGCCCAGTCTGGAACGGGTCCTGTTCAATCAGGGTGCGAATGACTGGAGATGCCTGCTCGAAGAAAGTGGATCTGCGAGCTGGGACCCGGGATGGGTCATCCAGCTTGCATCCTCGGTGCCATCGATGGATGGTGCTCTTGGACACACTGAAGATGGAGGCGACCTTACGCAGGCTATGGATGAGGGCGTAGCATCGCAATGCGGCGGTGCGAAAGTCGGATGTGTGGCGAATGGTCATGGCCAGCGCGCGATAACATTGGGTAACAAAATATTCGATGAATGGTCAAAAACCCGGGTGTCCCGTTTTTTATTGGATTGCCTGTAAACAAAACACGAAACAATGGCCGACCAGGACCGAAAAACAATGACCATGCGGCCTGTGAACCGCCGGGCTTCATGTCCATGTTTGGTGCAGCGGCCATATGCACACGGTCTCATTTTGTCCTTCGCGGGCTGCATTGATGGCTCATTGGATTCGTCGAGCGATCAGCTGAACAGTCGCAGAGAGGCCGCTGTGGTAGCCTCCCTCGACAATCTCTCGCTCCTTTTCCTCGAGATATTCGATGCTTAGACCAGCAAAATCCCCACGCAGGGTTGCAGTGTCCATGCACATTTCGGGCTCGCGCGGGCCGCCGGTACCACGGCCAATATTGTTTGGGGTGTAGGCCTCCAGGATGACAACACCCTGGGGCTTGAGAGCTCGCTCGGCGTCATGATGGACCCGTTTACGGATGTCGGCGGGCAGATGGCACCAGATCGAGACAATCGCGTCCCATTCACCCTCTCCGAGATTGTAGATGGCCAGATCGCCAAACTCGGTGGTGATCAGGGACGATAGCCCGAGTTGCTGAGCCCACTCGTCCGTCTTGGCGAGACCGACCCGGGAAAAGTCGACGCAGTGAACCGAGTGGCCTTGCTGAGCCAGATAGATTGCGTTGCGGCCTTCGCCCTCGGCGAGCGAAAGGATCTTGGAGTTGGGCTTGAGGCGGCGAGCTGCTTCGACAAGGAAGTCGTTTGGGGCGCGGCCGTAGGCGAATCCAGCATTGGGCTGGAAGCGCTCGTCCCAGAAGGAGGCGGTAGTGCTCATGTTGCGGAGGAGGGCGTCTGTTGAGATGGTGACGACGACGCGGAATGCAGGGTCTTTTCAATCGGTTGGCTCGGCAGAGCATGTCCCAGTCCCTTGGGATCCGATGGCCGCTTGTGACAAATCCAGGCTGTTTGGCTGGGGTCAACTCGCCGTGGCGGGCATGGCGGTCGTGGGCAAACCGCGTCGCCATGGCCAAGCGAGAGAGAGGCGGCTGAGCGACAACCAGATCCGAGAATGCGATTTTCTGTCAGCACCGACCGGCACCCAGGATCTCTTTGCCGACACCTCCCCCGATCGTGTTAGCTTCCCTTGTGGGGCATGGTCGGCTTGCGAGACAACATCCTACCGGAGAGGTGAGCCAATAATATGCGGAGCGCTGATGACAACCGATTGGAGTGGGACCCGTTTCCGTGGATACGGGGATCTCAATGCCGCAGCCGGGACCTCCTCGCTTGAGAGTATATCGCCATAGGAAGCTGTCAAATCGACGAGGCTTTCCCCGCCGATTGAGCACCGCGCATCTGCCAAACTCCCTCCATATTCCATCCGCACGAGCGGCAGTTTGGCTGATAGTGGTGATCCACGGACGATGCAGTCCCAGCGGGGCCAGTTTGGTGCAGAACCATATTCCATCAGCAATGTGGTTGATGAAAATAGCCAGATAGTATGCTTGTGTAACACCAAGCAATGCGGCCGCATGGCCAAATGGATAAGGCGCTTGACTACGAATCAAGAGATTCCAGGTTCGACCCCTGGTGTGGTCGTTTGTTTTTTGTTTTTTGTTTCCCGTCTTCCTCGCTTTCTCTCCACACTCTCCTCATCCAACTCTCCGGACGGTTGTCCATTCGACCATCTGGATTTCACCGCGTTGTTAAACCCTCACTCCACCTTCGTAGCCTCCTTCTTCGCCCTGCTCTCGATCTTGGTATACTTCACACCTGCACCATCATGATCTCTGTTTCGTCGGCGATACTGCTGTTTGTCATCCTTCCTGCGCTTTCGCTCTATGGCTATCTTGTCATGCTCCCCTCGCCACCGCTATTCGCCTCGGTTTGCTCCCCTTCGGATCCACATTCACTTGCTCACCAGAGGTCTTCAACCTCGCCCAACGAACCTCGTGCGTCGCAGCAATCTAATGGCTATGCGTCGGCCTCTCCCTATCCTCGCGTTCTTGTGGTTGTCGCTCATCCGGACGACGAATGCATGTTCTTTGGCCCTACCATCACGGCCCTGACATCGTCCAACGCCGACAAGGTCTTCCTGCTTTGCCTCAGCAGCGGTAATTCATCGCACGATCCCGCACAAAGCGAGTTTATGCGACGTTTGACCTATTGCCGATTCCTGTTGAGTCAAGCAATTGAGTCAATTTTGGAAGGCTGGATGATTTGATCGGCTTGCTCGAATCACTCCCGCCTCATAGAAACAGCATATAGATATACCTGGCTGCACAGTTTGGCCGCTCAGCTAGCTTAGATGCTCCTCTCTCCCTCGGCACCATTCGTGGTGGTCCCCTCCACGCCGGGCCGACACAGGCAACTACGATGGTCTCGGGTCGATCCGCAAGAAGGAGCTGGTGGATTCAGCTTCCGAGCTTGGCATCAGTCCAAGCCATGTCACCGTGCTAGAAGATAGGTTTGTTGCGTTCTGCTGGGCTGAATGCTGGACTTGCTCCGTTGCTTGGATCGCCATGGTCGCATGGCTCGTTCGGCCGTTGCGTTTGCCGAGGCAGATGGGGCCCGTCCAAGGGCATCCAGGTCAACGAGCGACCACATACCGCCTCTCAATGGCGACACTGTGATGAGGCCATTTCAGCCTAATAGTTTCTTTGTATCCCGTTGGTGTTGTAACGATCATGGTCAGTCGCATACAAGATCATCCACATGATATGTGGGACGCTGACATCGTTGCTGAGGCGATCCGGCTACAGGTCTCGCACCATAACATTGACGTTGTGAGTATGCTGCCTACAACGATGCTGCCTACAACCATGCTGTTCGATGGACGGGCCATCCAAGTTACTTCGTGAGCGCTGTCGTCGACGGATTCGATTCACACTGATGACCGACTAACCATGACACCCATCGATGAAATTCATACAATGTTGATCACGGATTCAACAATGACCCCAACCAATGAACTGGCATGCCAACCTATGCCGGTCGACTGCCGCTTCGCACACATAGATCGTCACATTCGACCAATTCGGAATCACCAACCATCCCAACCACCGATCTGCTTTCCATGGCGTGCGGTAAGCAAACTCGGCTTCAAACAGTATAATGACGAGGATACCAAGCTGCGGCGTGCTTTGGCCATGCCGGTACCGATGGCCGGACTCGCATCTCCACCGTTGCGTGCGAGATGCATGGCTGTCACTGCATGCCAGTGCGAGTCGCAAGATCAGCCGTTTGGTGCTTGGAGTCTGGGCTGAAATACCCATGCCATATACTCTGTATCGACCGACTAATCGCGACGTCGGCTGCATTTTTCGGCACCACTACCCGCATGAATCTAGCAAGCTGATCAGGTCCGGTGCAGTCCCAGACCCAACCTCAGACCAAGCTCAAGCAACCACTGCTTCATCTGTCTTGGCATTTTCCCTTGACTCGATCTCTCTGGCGCGGAAGTACACTTCTGTCTTGGACTTGATTCCGACTACTCTGCTGGCTTGGCTCAGATCGCAACCGCAAATCTCGACTGACGAGGGGCCCAACAGCCGATACAGCGGGCAGCCGCTTGTAGTTGTAGCACCACCGTGGCACGTACAGAAGGGATTTCGAGCCATGTTTCGGCATCGCAGTCAGTTGGTTTGGTTCCGATACCTGTATCTGGCCTCGTCGCGGTACATGTTGATCAACGAACTGCATCAAATCAAATGATCAAAGTGCCATTGGGGCGATATCTATGCATTTAATACAACGGACAGCCTTCAGCCATCGCGACTGTGAACAATGGGCGCCGCAGATACCGCTCGCTTGAGTTGCTTCACCAATCCGTTGTCGTCTACAAGGCTCACCAGGATATTGCCCGGTCCATCTATCCATGGCAACACATCCGCTCACAGATGAGGGGATTGTTTAGTCGCTCCAGACGACTGGTCGCATAGGCACGGTTGTATCAGGGTATGGAAGACAGTCAAAGGGTGACAGTCAAATTGCCTTCGCCTCTGCACAGCGTTTCAGTTGACCGTCACATGGGATCTGAAGCTCCAATCGATCAGCCGCAACGCTGCCACAGGTCGTTCGTACGTTACATGGACTCTGGTCGATGCACCTCGCAGGCACTACCTCTGCTCAGCTCGACCTGGTATGCCGCTCCTTTATTCCTCGCCACAAGCGACAAACTAGCATCCTGTTGTGAACCAGAGAGTCATTTTCTCCGATTGTGGCGGTCTCTAGGGCTGCATTTCATGCATAATCTGTTTGATGCATCAGCCACTCCAGCGACGGAGTTGGTTCATTTGTGCGATTAAAATAAATTGGAAGGCGACGGTGCCGATGAATAGGCTGTGAAAGAATGGGATGACAATCCAATCCGAATGGCTCATGGAAGCGAAAGAATGGAGAGAAAGCGAGGAAGACGGAAAACAAAAACAAAAAGAAACGACCACACCAGGGGTCGAACCTGGAATCTCTTGATTCGTAGTCAAGCGCCTTATCCATTTGGCCATGCGGCCGTTGATGAAGAGCTCGAAAAAAGACATCATGATTTTTACAATATCAATATCAATATCAATACGAGGAAATGCTGCACAACCCTGTAGAACTTTGCTGGTGGCAAGACGAGAGACAAAGGCTGGTGCGGTAAATCTCATTTGCATTGACCAGGATTTCAGCCGTTCTCGAGGACATTGTCGAGGCGTACTTGGGTGGGGACAGCAGCCTTCGCCCAGTCGAACCAACAAACCTCTCAAACACCCAACACTCACCCAACAATCGGAAATCACCGGTGACCGGCTGGTGAGAGTGCAGGGTAACCGAATGACAGAGCTCGATACAATTGATAGGGTCGCCTCTTTCCTCTCGGCTAATGCTCCACCGACCTGGCGACCAAAGCCACTGCGAACGACGCAAGATGTAATAGTTGGACATCCAAGCTACAAGCACATACAATTGGAACTGAGCCACCGATATGGAAATTGTGTTATTATATGTAATATGACTGACGGGGTCAAAACAATAACAGGCTCTACAAATAAAATAAAAATATCACGCAGACTCGACGGTGGCATCGAGATCACGAGGGCCAGCTGAAGAAAAAGATGGATGAGGCCGAGTGGGTCTACATCCAGGGCATACCCAAGTCTGGCTACAGGTCGGTCAGACAGCATTGATCATCCTGTATGGGGTGGCGACTCTGTTGCCAAGCCATTTGCCGGTGTACGGGTTCCTGTTGCGCAGGACAGCTGCGATCGCTTCGGTTTTCTTCTCCTCGCTGGCCTCAGAGCGAATCTTGTCGAGCAGAGCGAGCTTCTTGGCAGTGTTGTCCTGGTTGGCTGCAATCTTGGCGGCGGTGAGTCCTTTCTTGACAGCCTCGGAGAAGGACTTGGGTTTGGCGACAGCCCCGGCCCCTTCGGCGAGTGCCTTTATGGCGTTCTCGGTCTTCTCGGCGAGGACATGCATGCTGGCAACGGCTTCTTCGAGCAGAGCCTTGAGACGTTGCACAGGGGTCTCACTGTCATCGTTGATTTGCTCGGCCTGCTTGAGGATGTTCTTTGCCTTTCCGAGGGGTTCCTCGACGTCGGGGATGCGGAGTCTGTCCTCCGGGTCGGTCTCCACCGGGGCCCGGTCTGCGCACACGCGGTTGACAATCGTCTTGATGTTGGTGATCAGGTGCTTTATGTCCAAGATTTCTCTGGAAACTCGATCCTTGCGGGTCATGAGTCCCCAGAAGCTCAGCGGGTCGTAACATTTTCCGCATTTTTCCACGCGGTGGGTGGTGTCGGGGCTGCGGATGATGCGGGTGCACATGATGACCTGGTTGGTGTTGTCAATTTGCCACTTGGAGATTCCATGGGCTTCCACGCAATTCGGGCAGCGGACGCTGCTGGCCAGGATGGCCATCGCGAAGCGGAAGCGGCGGTAGGTGATGTGGTTCGTGGGGATGCTGCTGAAGTCCGAGTCGTTAAGGGTATTGTTCTTGATTTTCTCGATAATAGTCAAGGCCCATGCCTTCTCCTTCTCCACGGAGCGTGGGTTGGGGAGGCTGGGCGAGTCACCGTAGAGATCGTGGATGAGTTGGTTGAAATCGAGTTCAGGTGGGTGATGCTTGTCGTGTTCGGGTTGGGGGAGGTCGGTTTCGGGGTTGGTGGTGTCTTCAGGCGCCTTTCGCTTCTTGACAGCGATATTGCCATCCTTGCTGGGTGTCTGGGGATGGGTAGCGTCGTTAGTGGCTCTGTTAGTTCTGGTGTCGGCGGCAGCGGTGACGATCTGGGCTCCAGGTTGTCCTGGGGGAGGGATGGGCTGGGGAGGCTCGGCTGGTTGGTTGTTCTGATTTTTTCTGGGTCTCAAGGTCATTCCTGAGGGTCCTGGGTCCATTTCCATGTCCCCAGGGTCCTGGTGATGGTTGCGGGTCATAAAGAAGGAGGGATTGGTGGTTTGGGGTGTGTGATTCTCGTTTGGTGCTGTAAAGAGCTCGGTATGCTCTGGATCGCAAATAGTGAGACTCCCATCATCGCATGGTTGGTCCAGTGGTAGAATTGCCGCCTGCCACGCGGCAGACCCGGGTTCGATTCCCGGACCATGCATTTTGCGTGCACACAGCGATGTTGGTTTGGTTTTGCCTTGTCGGCTCGATCCTGTAGGCTCGATCCTGCTCTTCCTTGACGATTTCCTGGTCGCGTGACCCTACTCAGACAGCAGCAGCCGACAGCCACTGCTGTATCGGGATTGCTGGCGCGCGCTGTGTTGCCGGCTTTCCCAAAGCGGCTGTTGATGGGAACACAGCGGGCAGGCAGTTGTTGTGTGGCGGAAGCGGTTTGTATCACAAATGGTCGCACCGGCCGCACACACACAGACGGGCATGGTACAGAGACTGTGCGCTGTTGGGAACGGCACAAGCAAGGAGACTGCAGACCAGACACGGACGCAGTCACAATCGACACAGATTGTGGCGCCATCGGCCGCCAGGCACACAGCACACGCGGCCGTCCGTTTTTAGCAGGTCGGCTTGCTTTCCTGCCAGCTTGTCAGCTTGCCAGCTTGGCCTTCGCTGATTCCCACATCGCCCGTGGTCTTGATCTGTCTTTCCGCCTTGGCCTGCCTGCCAACTTCCTCCTGTCCAATCCAGCATCGATCCAACCCGTCTTCGCTCAGCTCGGCTCGGCCATCGACATCCCTCTCCTGGACCATCTCTGATTCGCCCGTCCTGGAAATGAACACCCCGAGGCGGCCCTCCGTCCCCAACGTCAACTCGCCCCTCTTTCGGCGCCCCAGCGCCAAGTTCGCCTCGGCCGAGGCCGCCAAGTTGGCGGGCGGCTCCAAGGCGATGGGCGACAAGAGGATATCCATGGCTGCCCTTCTATCGCTCGCCTCCGAGAACGATGCCGAGGTCGATGATGCCCTGACCAAAGGTGCCTTTCCTGCTCCTTTGGCTCCGATGCTGGTGCATCCCTCTCCTCGCTGGCGTGCGGGTTGCGGCGGCCTGCTTGGGCCTGTATCTTCCCAATCCTCGCTGACCACGATTGCGCTGCACCCTGAACGTCACTAGCCCAGCGCAAGCTCCGTGAGCTGAAAGGTCGCATCTCGTCTCAGTCCAAGCGAAACTTTTTGCTCGAGCGAGATGTTCGCTATCTCGATAGCCGCATTGCCCTCCTGATTCAAAACCGGATGGCCTTGGATGAGGTGCGTCAAGAGCTTCTTGCGGGCATCAAGAGGTTGTCTGTGACGGGAGGCCCTCTCATTCCTGTGGCCACATTGCCATGGAGCGCAGTGAGCGAGCGCTCGTCTGTGGGGGGCAATCAGGCTTGATCCCAGACGTGCTCCCCTTGCGCTCCCCCCCATGAATCGCCGCCGCTCTGTGCTTGTCTCTGCCGGTCGCCGCCAGAGCCTTTGATTTACCGCTTGTGATGGCTGTTGTACTCATGCGCACCCATCCCACGTGGCCATCTCTGTTCGATCCATGTATCTGGGCCAACGGTCGTATCCACAACAGCAACAAGAAGTTGCCAGCGCCTTGGAAGAAGCTGAGGCTGTCGAAGGAAGTCTTCCCGATGACCGCCGCCGCCAGGTAGCCCTCGGCTCCGATAGACTCTGGATGGAATGCGTTGATACGTATATGCTGACTCGATCTCTCCGTTCTCTCCCCAGCTCTACGGCAACCTCTTCTTCCTTCTGCAGTCCGAGCCTCGGCACATTGCTGTCCTGGCTCGATTGGTCAGTCTCTCGGAGATTGACACTCTTCTCCAGACCGTCATGTTCACTATCTACGGAAACCAGTATGAATCGCGTGAAGAGTTTCTGCTGCTCAGCATGTTTCAGGTTGGTTCCGCTCCTGACTATCCAACATCCGTTTGGTGCAGTGGCTTGGTTCGTCTCTCGGCCGGCCTTCTCTGCAACTGGGCGGCAACGCCGACTTGCCGCTCCCCTCACACGCTTTCTCTTTGGCCATGCCACCTTCGCTCATCGGGGCGCGCATTGACTCCATTTCATACTTGATCAATCGTTGGCCCGACACTGGTGATTCGTGCGTCCACCACGTAGAATGTCCTTGCTCACCAATTCGAGACCGCTGCCGACTTTGGTAACCTCATGCGTGCCAACACTCCTGTCTCGCGCATGATGACCACATACACACGGTAGGCATCATCCTCTGCCAGACGTAGTTGTCTGTCTCATTTGTCCGTATCGCTATAATCCTGTGCTGTAATGTCTTGGACCTCCTCTCAATCTTCACCGCCCCGAGCCATGCATTCATCATCACTGCTTTGAAATGGGTGCAACAGCAACGCATCAAATTCAACTCTGTTTTTGTCATGGATGCTGTTCGTATGCTAATTCTGTTGACTCACTGCGGTTGGATATCAAACCGACGTATATCGGCGCTCTTCATCTTCTCTTTGCAAGGCGCGGCCCTGGTCAAACTTATCTGAAAACTGTTCTCTCGGAGCGTATCAACCACGTCATCGAGTCGGTCGGGCTTGACCTCGAAATCAACCCTCTCAAGGTTTACGAGCAAATGATCATCGATATCGAGACCACCACCGGCGAGCCTTGCAACCTCCCCCGAGGTCTCACCATGGAAGCCGCTGCGGCAAACCCCGATGTCAAGGCCATTCTTGCTCCAAGACACAAGACCCTCACGGATGTCGCCAACTCGTTCCTGGCGACCATCATCGACTCGATCGAGCAGGTGCCCTATGGTATCCGCTGGATTTGCAAGCAGATCAAGTCGCTGACCAAGGTGCGCCGTTGCGATAGACGCTCTGCTCCCTCGGTGCTTCTGCGCTGATGTTTTGACCACCGTCTTGTAATGTCTCAGCCCATCCACTGACTCGGTGTCGACTCGGTACCTCTGCTTGCCTGCTCCAGAGAAAATTCCCTGATGCTACCGATGAAAACCTTTGCACGCTCATCGGCGGCTTTTTCATGCTGCGTTTCGTCAACCCCTCGATCGTCACTCCTCAAGCATACATGCTCGTCGAGAGCACCCCCCAGAAGCACCCCCGCCGCACCCTGACTCTTGTTGCCAAGATGCTCCAGAACGTAGCGAACAAGGCCACGTATTCCAAGGAGCCCTACATGCTCGAGCTGAATCCTTTTGTGGAAGAGAACCGCGCCAGCATCAACAAGTTCCTCCTGGATCTGTGTGACGTGCCCGACTTTTTCGAGGCCTTGGAGGTGGGTCTCGCTTGCCAGCGTGCAGAGACCGAAAGAGTGACCAACCTCGGGGGTGCTCTCTCTTCCACTCCCTGAGCTGGGAGAGGGGCAATGCTACTACATTTTGCATTTTGCATTTTGCATTTTGCATTTTGCATTTTGCATTTTGCATTTTGCATTTTGCATTTTGCATTTTGCGTTTTGCCACACAGTTCCCTCCTTTATCGAGTCGATTCGACAAAAGCGAAGCAGGTTTCTGACGCCTGTCCTGTCTTGTTGCACAGATGGAGCAGTACATTGCCCTTTCGAAAAAGGAAATCCAGCTCCACATCAACTTGAATGAAATCTACAACACTCATGCGCTCCTGCTGCAACATCTTGATGCCTTGGTACGATCCTGATCAGTCGCAGAGACACCGATATCATATGCGCCAGTAGCCCAACTGAGCGCATCGCCGCGGCCTGTTCAATGCACCACACTCGCCCAGTCAAACTCACTGTCGCGTACGCCTCTCGCTCTCTCTCTTGCAGGCCCCAAACCCTAAGCACCACCTCCGGGTCTGTTTGGAAGATCTGGGCCCTGCTCCTGCTCAGGTCTCACGCAGCGAGAACAAATCAATTATTCTGCCTCTCTTCAGCCGCTGGGAGACGCCCATCAATGATACGCTCTCGACCCTGGGCGACGGCGAGCTTACCCAGACGGATCTCATCTATATGGACACCAAGGCGCACTTTGTGCACATCCTCCGTACCCTGCCCAACCTCATCCACATGCCTGGATTTACTCTTCTCAAGGCCGCCGACAACGCTGCCTCGTCCAGAGACCAGACGCTGATGAAGAAGGGCCTGAAGGCACGCGAGCTGCTGCGTCAGCTCGAGGAACTTGGCGTGATCGACCCCAAGGATGGCCACAAGCTCATTATTGAGGAGATCAAGCAGGAGCTCGAGCACCTCGGTAACCTGCGCGAAACCATCAACAAGGAAATCGGCAGTCTGGAGATTGTCTTCAAGACCATCTTGGACCACAACAACTACCTGCGAAACCAGCTCGAGAGCTACAAGACCTATCTCCAGAACGTGCGCATGCAGAGTGGCATCCAGAAAACGGCCAAGCCCTCGGTCCAAGGCCCGATCACAATCTCACACACCCAGCTCGAGAAGGACGGCGTCATTGTCGAGAGCAACATTCCCGAAAACAGGTGCGTCCTCCGAGGCGTAGCAGTCGCTGTGCCGGTGCTGACGGGCACGGACGGGTGCTTTTTTGAGTCGGTGCCGAGCAACTGAGTCGGCGAGCGCAATGTGCCCATTTGCATGGTTGGCCGCGAAAGAGGGTCCTGGGATTCTTGCTGGAACGTAGATTGCTTGACCCTCAATGACCAATGACCGTCCTAATCTTGCTGATGATCGCAACCACCACCCGCAGACGCTCGCAAATCTTCTTCAACATCATCTCGCCAGTGTCCGGGACGTTCGTCATCACCCTCAACTTTAAGGGACGTACCACACCGATTCTCGAGATGGATTTGAAGCTCGATGATCTGCTGGAGAAGCAGAAAATGGGCGTCGAGCTCCTCGATCTCGAGTACGTCCAGCTCAGCGTGAACAAGATCCTTGTGCTGATTCGAAAGAACTTCCTGAAAGGAAGCAAATAGACCCGCTTGGCGTGATGTCTCTTCTTTTGGACCAAGCTGATCTGCTTGGTGTCGCTGCCCGCCCTTGTCTCTGACACACACCGCCCGCGCTCCTCCTACTCCGCCGACGACGACGCCCCACCCACTTTTCTCGTCCTTCTCTTTGCTCAATCGTTCCTCACTCATAGCTGTATTCCATTGCTTCCAATTCTTGAAACTAGCTCCTCCGCCTCCTTTTCCTCCTCCTCCCCTTGCCGGCGCTGTCTTGACTGCAGCGCGCTCACATCCAAACAGGACAACCTGTTTTTGAGATCGATGGCCGCATTCGTTCTGGATCCTGAATACAGGCGTTCCAATACAACAAAAAACGGGACACTCTGAATTTTGGTCGTTGATCAAATGGCTTGTTGCTTCAAAGCATCGTGCGCCGGCCATGGCCATTCTGTGATGCGGTGCTACGCCATCATCCACAGCCTGAGAAACGCTGCCTCCATATTCAGTCTGTCCAAGAGCACCATTCACCGCTGGCACTCCGAGGTGATCTGTTGAATTGCATGTGTCTCCATTGGACGCAAGCTCATCACATGCGACATGTCCATGGAACGGGCAGTATCCCGTTTTCTGAATAGAGTGCACATAGTTGTCCACTCGTGACGCCGCGCATGGCATCAATGCGGGCAAGTTGGTCAGTGCAACAGGCCCGCCGCGAGCCACGCACCTTCTGCCACAACCTCTCGATCGCTTCCCATCAATGAGCCGCCCACGTTGGCCCCGCTTCTGTTGAGCGAGCCGAGTTTCATGCCAGTTCATGCCAGTTCATGCCAGTTCATGCCCACGTGCCGACTGGCAATCAGCCGACACGGCGCCGCACGTGAAAGGATAGCGAATTCACGTGTGCTTCCAAACTCCGTCAGACCAAGCGGACCAGGCGAGGCGAGACGACTTGGTCGACCGGCCGACCGTCCCTGGGCCACCCCTGCATTCCTCCCCGGCCGCTGCCTCCTGCTCCTCCTGCTCCTCCTTGGCTTTGCTGGTTCCAGCAGACGTACCGACAGCCTCATCCGCTGTCGCAGCCTGATCTGGCGATCGATCCAAAATCATCCGATTGACATTCGCCCAGCAAGCCGCTCGCAGATCCAGCCGCGGATTCTTGCCTGCATCCTTCATTTCCCGCTATTGACTTCTACAGAGCCGCCTCCACGACAGTGTATCTGTTCACGGATCCAGCCACATACGCATCCAGCCCCCAGATTGCCCTTGCCATGCTCGACCATATTCTCGGCCGGCCTTCGCCTGGCCTCAAGCGGCTCGAAGTACTTATCCTTGCTTCGCTGACGTGAGTGCCTCAAGGGCATTGCTGCTTTGTCTTCTTGGCTGCAGAAGCTACTATCCTGCTTGCGACGATGCTTTGGCTATCCGCAACATCATCATACCCCGACCACCTCGGCTCATCTCAACCCATCGCTTCACATTCACTCGATCGGGCCACGATGCCCGTCTCCAATTCTGACCACAGATTCGCCGCACTGAAACAGAGCCCCTCGTGGCCTGTTTTGGATAAAATCAATAAGCGACTCGGTATGTATAAACGCCGCGATTAACGCCCGGATTCGGTTCACACCATCCGGCATATGCATATTTGCTATTGTCGTAGACTCGCTTGATTTCTCACCCATACCATTTGTCCGTCTCAGCACGGTTCCCACCCTGGAAGATTGTTCTCGGGACGCTCTTTGCACTTTACCTGCTGAACCACACCTTCCTGCTGTGCTTTCTGAATGGTAAGCCCAACAACTCGTCGAGCTCTCGTGCATTGGAGAAGGATTGACGGCAGGCGGCATCTTCCGGATTCTCCGAATCGGCTATCTCACATCCATCCCTTGCACTGCCCACTTCCTCGGTCTCTTCCCACTTTCGATGGCACTTTGATCCAAAATGCAAAAAATCTGTGCAATTCGTCGTCGTCTCCAAACGCTTCTCTCAGCCCCGGAGCCCTTGGCGAGAATGGTGCGTGTCTCACTCGCCCTTGCCACTCAGCCTGACACCACAATTGGCAGCCAACTGCATCAAGTCCGCCTCATCCCATCGGCTACTGATCCTCCATTTGCACCTCCCTTGCTCTTCCAGTATACCCGCAACTTTTATCGGGCCACCTGGGTCCTGACCTGTCTGGATGCAGGATTTCTCACGGCCATGAAGATCCCATTCAAGCCCCTCCGCGATTTCTGTTCGGTTGCGTTCTCGGCCATGTACATGTTCTTCCCTGACGCTGCTGACGAAAAGGTACGCGATCCAAAGGCTCTTGCAATGCTGCTCCGATGCCACAAAAGCTCTTACGCTTGGTCGGTGGCAGCAGCGGCAGCGCGCCGTCGCTTGACCTGAGGGCGACCAGCTGCACCCCCAGTTGCGCGGCGCTGACAGTTTCCTGTTTCAACACATTGCACTTGCCATTCGTACAATCGTCCCGCGTGCCATTCCATCCTCGAAATCCATGCGTGTCGTAGGTCCGCAAGTTCCGAGCGCTGTGTAGTGTCGAGATGATGCGAACCTCGTGGGAAAAATCCCTCAACCCGATCCTCCGGCTCCTGGCCTATCCCCAGCGTGGATATTTGCCCATCCGCAGAGACATTACCATCCCCCGACCCACTCCGCCGTCCGTGAGCTCGTTCCCGGGCACCAAATTGGGCCCGATCACGGTGCGTCTTTACTTTGACGGAGCGCCCGAGGAACTCAAGAAATGTACTTCGCTGATCTTGCAAGTCCCTGGAGGCGGGTTCGTTTCGATGGGACCCAAATGCCATGACGATTATGTCTCGGTGTGGGCACGCAAAACCAAGATTCCCGTTGTCAGCATCGACTACGGCAAGGCACCGGGATCTCCTTATCCCTGGGCCCTGGAGGAGTGCTTCGATGCCTATAGAACGATTACCGAGTCCAACGGCGAAATTGTCGGCCTGGAGGGCTGGTTCGAGGTCGACGGGAACGGAAAGAGGGGAAAGATGAAGCCACCCATCAAGGTGATGATTGTTGGCGACTCGGCGTAAGTGTCCCCACTCAGCTCGGCGTTTGCTACCTCGGCAGGTGAATCCAGTTTAATTTACTAATCTTGTCCACATCCCTGTGCACTTCCGCTCAAAACCACGGGGCATCAACATCTCTCCAGAGGTGGAAACCTGGCTGCCTCTGTGGTCATCAAGTGCCTCGAAAGCAAGGACATTCCTGTCCGTCCGCCCTCGGGACTCATTCTCATCTATCCGTGCCTCAGCTTTGATCTGGCCTGCTGGATGCCGCAGGAGCAGCTTGGTCTCATCCGCGCAGAGTCCAAAATGTCACTCTCGATGCAGTCGTTGGTTCAGGCCAAGGAAACCATGGACGCTTTCTCGCCCTTGGCTGTGCCGCCAGCCCCCAAGCGTATCGATGTTTTCAGCAACAAGGTCCAGCAGAGCCGCACCAGTCTGTGGCGGTCCCTGTGGCGATCACAACCCCGCAAGCAGCATGCCATGGTGCCAAAGTCACTCTCGATGACTTCTCGAATGTCATACTTTACCGATCGGCTGTTGGCCCCTGAGAGTAAGTTGGCCCCTCCTGCGCAAGCGCATCCCTTCCTTCGTACCAGCGAGTACCTGGACGAGCCGATGATACCCACAACTGCTTGAGCATAGTCGTCGGCACTGCCCTTGCAGCCGAGACTGATCCATCATTGTCCCCCCAATTGCGACAGTGATGCGAGCCATGGCTCTGATGTACCTCGGAGGCTCCCCGAGCCCGCCCAACTTTGATGAAGACTACTATCTGAGTCCGATCGTGGCTCCGGACTCGATCCTGGCTCGCTTCCCGAAGACCTTCTTGATCTGCGGTGAAAAGGATCCGTTCGTCGATGACACTGTGATCTTTGGCGGGCGGCTGCGACAGGCCAAGCAGAAGGCCCGCAAGGAGTGGGAGTCGGTCAAAACCCGCCTCGGCGATCTGGTGGTCAATGCTGGCAGACCGCATGCCCATTCCAAGACTGCAACAGGCCGGGCTCCTGCATCCACAGGATCGTCCGAGTCGTCCGAGTCTTCTGGCAAGGTCGGCCGCACTTTCGAGCGTGTGGGCTTGAATGGCGACGATGACGAGGACGAGGACAGCGACGACGACTCGTTGCCGCAGACCAAGATCCTGCTTGGCGACCTTGAGATCGACATTGAAGAGTTCCAGAATCACATCTTCAGCAAAGACCCCGGTGACATGGTCAAGACCAAGATCCTGGACGGCATGTCGCATGCCTTCCTGTTGATGATGTCGTTCCTTCCGGAGGCCCGACAGATTGCGGAGCTGACAGCTGGCTGGATCTCGGAGATCATCGATGGCGGCGACGCCGAGGTCGCGGGCATCACATCCTTTGAGGCCTCCAACCTGACCCATATGATGATGGAGGACATTGAGCAGCAGAGCTCGCAGGAGCGCCAGGGGACGCAGAAGCCATCTGTCCAAGGCAAAGCCGCCCGCAAGCCCCAGGGTCTGGAGGAGGTCAGCGAGAAGCAGATCTTGGAGCGACAGCGAATGCAGCTGGCCAAGACGCATCTCAAATAAGAGGACGAAGCGGCCTGCAGTCATGTCGGCTGTTTGGGACATGCGGACTGCTCGAGACATGTCGCCGATTCTCCTCCTGCTCACCCCGCAATGATGAGGGTCCCCATGCGAGTGACCCAGAATAAATGGCAACATCTGCATCGTGCCGATCAATCACAGTGCGCTTGGTCGACCGATGCAACGCTGTTCTGGGCCCAGGCGCAGCGCCGCCCGATATCACAGACAGCAGGCGGCGGCGTCCCTGGGCTCTGCGGCGGGTGGCTCCTCCTCTGTCGAACAACCAGATCCGCCTGAAGCCCTGGGATCTGCCAAAACCCGCTCCCGACCACCCCGGGATCGCCCCGGCGCTCTGGGACGGACAATGGGCCTCTGGCCTTGCTGATTGGGGTCGCTGGGCCGGCTTGCGACTCTTCCGCAAGGCCTGCTCCAGGATGCTCCGGCGGATATATCAGAACACCTCTCCCCCTCGTCGGGCTGCCCTCCCGCACATTGCAAGCGCTCCCGGATAGGATCGCCTCCTGCCCGGCTCTCTCATCGGCTTGCTCCTCAGATCCACCGCGACATGCCCATCGTCTACATCACCCGGCGAGAGTCGTTTTCGGCCGCCCACCGGCTGCATGCGCCGGCTCTATCCGACGAAGAGAACCAGCGCATCTTTGGCAAATGCAATCACATCCACGGCCACGGTCACAACTACGACGGTGAGGACCCAGGCGGATGCACCTCAATCGCATCGTACTGCACGGGTCGCTGCATAGCTGGTTGGTGGTGGAGCCAGCCGAGGCTCTGAGAAATCGACATCCGCACCACACGCACGCTTCGGCCCGAGCTGCTGTTTTCTGACACTCTCCTCTGGCGATCCTTTGGCAGTTGAGGTCACCGTCAAGGGCATGGTGAGTATAGGTCTCTCGGCGGGAGACCAGCCCGCACCCTCATGGATTGCCATTTGCTTGCTGCTTGTTTGCCTCGTCCTCCCTGCAACCAGTTGCTCATGAACAACGACTTCCGATGCTTTCTGTCCGACGCCTCTCCCAGGTCGATCCGCTCACCGGCATGGTGATGAACATCACTGATCTCAAAATCGCCATGAAAGATGTTCTGAAGGACCTCGATCACCGTCATCTGGTACGAGCACCCTCCGCTTCGGGTCTCGTTTTCCTCCGCTGAGTGCTTGATCCTCCAGGCTGTTGGTGCTCCGATCTCATCTATCGCCTCGCAAGCTGGGGCTGATCCATTCGATTCTTGCTGCTTCAGGATATGGATGTCTTGTATTTCAAGACCCGGCCAAGGTGTGTTGACGGGAGCCGCAGAGGGAGGACGACGCACTGGGGCGATCGGCAGTCGCTGGAGGACATTGACGGCATTCATGTCGCCGACCTTTCGCATCGCTGCATCTTCTCGCAGCTGCCGATTGTTCTTGGAGTAGCCTCTCGGTGCTGTTGCAGCCAATTGCTCTGCATTTTGTCGCTCGGCTAGCCGCTGGAGCCGAAATCCCGTCGCACATTTGCTCACAATTGCACTTGCTCGCTGTCCACCGCCTTCTAGTACGGCCGAAAACATTGCCATATACATTTGGGAGATGCTCGAGCCAAGGATTCCGGCGCAGGCGCATCTCCATGAAGTCCGGGTCGAGGAAACCCGGAACAACACTGCCATCTATCGAGGGGAGCACCAGCTATGAGTGTTTGCCGACGAACTGAACCATTCACTGCCCAGCACCCCCCCCCCAAGTTCCAAATCTGACACAGTTGATGCAGGCCGCAGCCCCCCATCAGAACACTGCCCTCGCTGAGGGCGACCCTGGGCTCTCTGCAGCAATAGCGGACCGGATACACGGATTCCGTTCGGTGAAATCATGGCCGCGGCTGTGCGATGGTTCCGTGTTGTTGCTGGTGTCGATCGGCTGGTATACCGAGATCCTTGTACCGGCTGTATTGATGTGAAATTGACTGAAGGTGTGTTTGGACACCAACACTGATGGCGACCCTGCACAGGCTGGCGGATCGAGTCACTGAATTGCAGCGCACCGTTTCGGGGATCGAGGATCCGGAAGAAAGCCATGGCCATGCAAAGGGGTGTATTCAAACTTCAATATAGTCAGTCCAGAAAAGGAACGGAACAGTCCCTGCTTTTCTCTGAGAAGGCCGACTGTGTGATCCACCATGTGTCCAAATATGCCATTGGAGACACATCGAATGCAGACGGCCTCTTGATCATCGAACCCCTTCGCTTTGCTTGCGTCTTTGCTTGCGTCTTGGCCGGCTTGCTCTCTTCAGGAACATGGCCCGCCAGTGGCTTCGTTTGCCGTCGGGATCCAAGCATCGCCGGCTTTTTGGCGGCATGTTGCCGCGATGGCCGCCGATATACATACCTGGGTCGCTCTCGGCCCGGCTGCGTCGGCAGGCTGGTTCAACAGCAGCAGCAGCAGCTCAAAATGATGCGCTCCTCGTCCCGGCTGCAGAGCCATATCTACCTCCTCTTGCTGGTGCTGCTCTGCTGCCCGCTGGCGCTATCGCTCACCTTTCCAGTCGACTCGGTCGGTCGACCCACCAAAGATGCCATCCAAACCTTCTACCTGGACCCGCAGCAGCTCTGGTACAACCGTGATTTTTACATGCGGGGACGCAAGGAACTGCTCTCTGCAATCCACCGAGTCGTCCGCCGCTCGATCCAGTCCATTTTCGATCAGCGCGTCTACTCGGTCGTCAACAACTCCATTCTGGCCCCGTCCAACAGTCCGCACGATTTCTACTCCCTCGCCCGGTACTTCTGGCCAAACGTCTCGGATCCGACGGGAAGATACATCCGTTACGATGGATATGTCAACCCCGAGGTCTGGCTGTCGTCGGATCCGCCCTATCTGAAGCTGGTCATCAACGATGTCTTCGACACCGGACTGGCTTACTTCTTTACCGGCAACACCTCTTATGCCGCCCAGGGCTGTCGTCGCCTGGCCGCATGGTTTGTCAACAACAGCACGAGAATGAACCCCAACATGAACTACGAGAACTGGGTCATTGGAACGCAGCAAATCAAGCTCACAGGAAGTAGCGGTGGTTTGCTCGGTAGGGTCGCTTGGGCCGTGGAAGCTGACTGTCGATACTGGTCATCCGTTGGCTACTCTGTTGTCTTGATCCTCCCTTTGGGTCAGTTCTTCTGCCGGTCTGGGCTCCATAACTGTGCATATTTGATGTCGCTCGGTAACTGACTCTTGGTTTTGGCCTTCTTTACACCCACACCCGCTCCCCCGGTCGGCTCGATGGCCTGCTCTGTTGCACCGACTGCCAGACTACTCAAACGTCTACATGCTCATTGACGGCTTCCAGCTGCTGCGGACGGCCCCAGAAACCACTTGCGCGCAGGTGATCGATCCCTTTATTCACTGGCAAAGCAGCTTCCTCGACTGGCTGCAGTCCTCCCCCCGAGGCAACGTTACAAAGCATCAGCTCAACAATCAAGGCACTTGGTACGATGTGCAAGTGGTATCGCTCATGCTCCTCATGAACCGGACCGCTGCAGTCGAGCACTATATCCAGACATACACATTTCCACGCATCCTTGCACAAATCATGGACGATGGCTCGCAGCCTTTGGAGATGCAGCGTCCCACGAGCTGGTACTATTCTGGCTTCAACCTCCAGGGCTTGTTTGTCTTGGGACAGCTCATGCGCTCCACCAACCTCAGTCTATTTGACTTCAAGCGTTCCCCGGGCACTCCTCCGCTGGTGCTGGTGGCACTGAACCACCTGACGACCTATGCCCTCGTCAACGGGACGGGCTGGCCGGCTGCCAACTCGGGTGACTTCAATCCAGCCACCGTCATTTCGCTCCTCAAGCAAGCCTACGTTATTTACAAGGACAGCAGCCTGATCAAAGCCGCCAATCAACTCCAGCAAAAGCCCCAGATCTGGAACCCGATGCGGCTTTGGTCGCCATATGCCTCGTTCGACAACCCAACCAAGAGCAGCGCTCGGGCCCGTGGTACCCGTGGAGTATGCTCCAAGTGGACGTATGCCGTGGCTTTGGCCGTCTTGTATTGCATTTTACTTGGCTGAAATGGCGCCGATGTACGGCTCCAAGTGCGTGGTGTCCTGTCATTTGAATGACAGGACACCGACGATGAGCTACGACGAACTTGCTTGTGCACGTCGAGTGTGTCGAATGCCGCGCTTGGGGTACAGCATCGGTCGGCCGGTTCGAGCACCGTGAATCGAGTTCTCAAGAGACCCAGCCATCGACGGATCTTCGACTGACTAGCTCCCGGATGTCGGTTGATCCACGAGCGATGCATATATTCTTCAGTTCCGGGGCATGCCTCGATTTGCTTGGGGCATCCAATCCAGCGGCCGAGTCGATTGAAAGACAGCGAGATGAAGTGCCTGGCGGCCATCGCAGTGTTTCGCGAATGGAGTGTATCGCGACTTGCAGTTCATCAGTAAATACAAAACAGGCCTGTGGCGCTTGCGATGCATCGGCTTTGAGGTGCTCAGGCGGGCTCCCTTAGCCGGCTTTGCCAAATTGCTAATGATGGCAATATCACGTTAGTGGGTTGGGTGTTTGGATACTTGGATCGCTGCAGCCGAGCAGCGCGGGCAGATCCAGCAACAGTGGATGCATTGGCGGCAGTGCGATTCACATCGACTGACTTTGCGCTTTGGACCGGACACGTACTATGACTATGGGTTTGTCGTGGAGGACGTAGCCGTGCACATCATCGAGTGCCCGAGTAGAAAGCTCGATGCTAGGGAACTTGACGAATGCTTGTCCTTTCATCCGCCCCTCCGTCATGAGGCGGATTTCAAGGTCTCTGGGGCGATCAAAGGACTCAGCGGTTAGCGTTTCCTGGAATTACGGGGAATGGCCAGGACATCTGAGTTCTTCACCGCCGAGGCCGGTTTACCTCTTCATGGACGAGAAGTTTGGGAAATATCGGCCAAAGAGGTACTCCAGGTCCTTGGCCCGGACCTGCTTGTGGTCTAAATTCTTGATATAGAGCGTCGCGGACGGTGCGCCTCTTTGATAGTTCCGGAACGAGGGGATGTTCAGAATCTCTGAGAGCGAGCGACAGAGGAAGTTAGACACCAGGGCGCGCGATAGTGTGCGCTGGCAACAGGCATCCGATTTTACCGTCATGGGATATGCGGTTCTCGTCCAGCTCCTGCTGAGACACTGTCTCGAGGGGAATGCTGTCGAGATCATCCGGCTGCTTGGTGGAAGGCACGGTTATTGCGCCAGGATTCGCTGGGAGCAGGCCAGTCGGCACATGCGGTACCGACTCGGGCATAGCTTTGCTTGAAACGTCGTCCAAGTGCGCGCTGGGTGTCGAGGGTAGTTTTGTGGTTGGCTTTGTAGCTGATTTTGCAGCGGGATCCTCCTTGGACTTCTTTGAAGCGAGGGTTGCTCGTCCGGTCGGGGCCTCGTCATCCGATTCCAGCTCTGACTCGTCACTGGCAAGGAGTGGATCTCGCTTCCGCTTGGCCTGGCTAGAGGCTGCCAATGTGTCAGCGCTCCAGTCCGCCTATCGTAGATTGCAGTGAGTATGGGCTACAGGCGTCGGCAGTGATGGTATGCTCAACTGCGTGCTACAGGCTCGACTTCATGATACCAACCGAAGCGGCAGCAGCAGTGAATGGCGGAGGGAGGTTGAGTTTGTTCATCAAGTGCAGGACCTGGACATATAGATTCGGAACGGATGCAATGGCGTGCGCAATATTCTTGATGATCTCGGGTGTCGGTGGGGGATACTTGTAGCAAAGATTTGGTGGGGCGGAGTAATGTATCCTGACCACGCAGGATGCAGACGCCATGGAAAAACCTGTCAATCAGCGATGCTATCCCGGTCGGGCCGTGCTCGAGCTTGGACAGCGTTATCGTATTTGCCACTCATGGAGCGTCCTTGCGGCCCGCGAGGCCGGACAAAGCCTGATCGTATGCCGCTTGACAGCATCGCATACGATCCGATTCGCTCGAGGCCAGATCGAGGACGAGCAGATGCCTTGATGAGGCTGTCGATTCTCACCCGAGATGCGGCGCAATCGGCGCAGGTTGGGGCGGCACATCCTCTATTGGTGTGATGTGTCTACGGCATCAAAATCGAGCGATTGTGAGCAGAGACAATTCCCACATGCAGGGCTGTCCAGTTGATCCACCCGGACCGAGGCGGCGGCGGGATATCGGGGCCAAGGACTCGGCGACATTTGACCTACAATATCTGCTCGCTCGGATCGGCTGGTCCTTCTCTGGGGCGGGCGTAGTCCACCTTCAGGGCTTTGCTGAAGACCTGCAGATTCGGAATCTGCGTGAGCGCGAGGTCCGCCCGCGACTGGTCCCGGAAGGTGAGGAAGAGGGCATTTTTCTGCGGATTGGTGATAATTGGAGGACGAGCGACTGGATCAGCTGCAGATCTACGTGCTTGCATGCGTGCTTGCTGCCTGTGCGGCCGAGGTCTGGGCTCGGCGACCGCATCTGCGAGCCGCATGGGCGATCCAGGCGCATACCATCTTGCCGGCCCTGCGAGCGCTGATGGCGCCATAGTGGCCAAAGAAGGCTGCGTCCTTGACGATAAAGTCCGGGATGTTGCGGACGAGCAGGACCAGCGACTTGGGCGGCCGCTCGGCAGGTCGGTCGGCGGCCCGGGCGGGTGCGGGCTTGGGGTTCTGTTTCATGGATGCAGCGCGGATGGGCAGAGATCAGGACAGAGCAGATCCGCGCCGGCGCTGTGGCTGCGCGGCCTTGTCGTGGCCCTCTCGGCCGCCCTGGCCGCATCGGCCGGCTTGGTCGTCATCGCCCCGCTGGATATCGAAGTCGCTCGCAACTGCTGCATCTTCTTAGATCTGCTGCATCTTCTTAGATCTGTTGTCCAGAGTCAACATCATGGATCCTGACCGTCTGCAGAAGCTGGAGCTGGCCCGCAAGAAGCTCAGGCAGTTCAAGGACTCGCAGAAAGCCCATGCCAAGTCCACCTTCTTGAAATACAAGTCCCGGCACCAGTCTGACCGGGCCCCTTCGCTCGCAGGCTTGCTTGAGCTGCAGAATCCGAGCAGAGAACCAGCTCTGTACGCTCGGTCGCCTTCCTGCTGCAGCTACCGCTCTGACCTTGGAAACACTGCCAGGCCATGGCCCGACGTCCTTCCGCTGCTTACCGACCCTTGCTGCCATCTTGTCGCTGCTTAGGGCCTTGGACAGCACAAACGGCACAGCCGACCTCTCCGAGCTGAGTCCCAGAGCCGAGCTGCCGATCTATTTCTCGGTAGGCGCACATAGGATTGCGCTGGTCCGAGTTTGCAGTGGCGTACAACGAACCGGGGCTGGCTTGGCCTCTGATCCAGTGGCTGCGTCGTGCATGTTGTGAATGCGCAACTCTTGGTCGCAGTTGGGCTTATAATGGGGTGCTGGACAGCGGGTTGACTCGATTCAAACTCACCACTTTCGTTGCCGCGACACACATCTCTTGCTGTCCAAATGGCAGGTCAAGACCGCCATCGACTCGCTTGATCCCTCCAGAGGCGTTGATGTAGGTTTCAACCGACAATGAATCGCAGTCGCTCGGCGGGTCGATGGGTTTGACTCTCGGTCGACTGATCCGCCGCTAACCGCCATTGATCCACAGAGCCACTCGGACGTTGGAATAGACATCGCGACCGCCATCGGTTATTTGCAGAGCCTCCTGGTCGTCCGGGGGCTTGAATATGCATCCGACTCTGGGTCACCGCCTGCCAGCGGTACCGTCACTAAGCCCAGCAACATGCAGCCCACGCAGCAACCAGAGCCAAGAGACGAAGCTCCATTCGATACCAAAGTCTCAGAGCACGAAGACCAGGCTGCGGTGCCATCAATCGAGCAGTCGAGAGCAGTCGATTCAGTCGATCCAGTCGATTCAGTCAATCCAGCCGATTCAGTCGATCCAGTCGATCCAGTCGATCTCGTCCGTGCTGATCTAGTCATGGGGCCAATCGTGGCTCCTCCTCGCCGATACATCGTCGATTCGCAGGAAGAGGCACACGAGATCGAGTACCTCCGCGAGCAGCTCATCCAGAGAGACAATGAATTTGCCCGGCTGACGGAATTTATGCTCAAGCTTCCCTCGCAATCGGATGTCGACCGCCTCACCGTCCAGATTGCTTCACTCCAGCAGCAGATATCCGACCACGAGCGGCAGGGAGAGACCCCACCGACCGGATTGGCTTCGCGTGGATCGGCACTTGGTCGGGCTCAGAATGGGGACATTCTTCTCGACGACATCGATGTCGTACAGCAGGAACTGGCCCGAGTCCGACGAGTCTTGGGCGAGACCCAAGGCGAATGCACCCACTGGAAGGCCCTCTACGAAGATGCTGTCCTGCAGGCCACTGAGCGCACGATGGCCGTCGAGACTACCAAATCGACCAACACATCGCCAGTCGACACTAACGACCCCAATGAAGAAACGCTGCAGACGTCCAGCGCTTTAGCGAGTCTTGCAAGCCTGCAAGAAAAGCACGATATGCTTGTGCACAGGGTCAGCGAGCTCGGCGAGATTATTCGACACAGGGATGCTCAACTGGAAGACTCTGCTCTCCGTGAAGATAGCCTCAAACACGAGATCCAGGTGCTCCGTCGAGCCCAAGTGGACTATGGCTCGCTGTTGCTGCAAGGCAAGGACGCAACCACTGCCGAGGTTTTTGCTGCTCTCAACGCCAAATGCCGCCAGCTTGCCGACGAGGTATCGCTGTATCAAGTGCAGGCTCGGGAACAGGCGATGCTGATCGAGACCCTCAAGACGGCCGTGCACAACACCGAGATACTTGAGCGACGGATTTCCGATCAGGCCGAGGAAATCACCAAGCTCAACGATGCCACCGAGCGGCTTCGGTACACAAGCAAGCTCAAAGAGGAGGCTCTCCTGACCGAAGTCAAGCGCTTCCACAGTCACAATGCTACGACCGAGGACCGGCTCTATCGTCTGTGGCAGATTGCCGTCGAGCCTGGAAGCAAGTTTGATCCCGAGCGAGTAGTTCTAGATGAGTGGCTTGCCGAATGGATGGCCATGATGAAAGAGAAGGTCGTGAGGCTCCAGGCCGTGATTGATTCCTCCGAGGCCATCATCGCCAAGCAACACGACAAGCTCATCAGGCTGATGGAAGAACAGCCTACCAAGAAATCCGCAGCATCTCCCAGCTTTGGAAGCGATCCAAGCCCGCCTGAGGAGACCCCCGCCGCCCAGGATGCGTCTCGTCCGACAGATTCGCACAGGTCGACCGATGCTGGCACTCAGACCGATCCCATGATGGCCTTCACACGAATCAGCACCATCAAGGCCGAGCTACTGTCCAACTTGGAGACACGATCCTCGGCCTCGGCTTCGACGACGGGTGAACCATCGCAGATGCTTGAGGAGGTCCTCGAATCGGGTGAAGGCAGCCACGTCGCGACACAACCTCCAGCCACGCCGCTGCAGCTCTCCCCGCAAGGGAGCTCTCGGAACTTGGAGGCTGGTGGCCGAGACGACAAGTCCACCACCGAAGCCGACAAGATCAGAGCAAAACTCAAGAAGCTGGCTGTTCAATACACCGAGCTACAGAACGTATGTGCTGGGCTAGAAGACCAGGTTGCGTATCAAATCCAGATCAACAACGAAATGAAGCAACTGATCGCTCGGAGCAGTCTTGGTATCGGTCGGAACCAAGTCAATGAGGCACATGAGTTGCTGGAGCGCTACAACGATGCGCTCGTGCAAGTCGGGTTGCTGCGGCTCGAAAACGAGCGATGGAGGGCGCGGTGCGAGGAGCTGGAGGAGGTCGTCGAGAGCATTGTGATGCAACAAACGGACCCAGAGACAGACTAGAGCATGTCTTGCTAAACTGCCGTAGTCAGGCCGAATGTATATTCTGATATCATATATACACACACCCCAACGTTCGTCCCAGGCCCTGCGCCACCAAGTATGAAAGTTGGGTGCGGATGCCGTTGTCCATGCTACTGCTGGAGCACCAGCACGGGGTCCTTCGCGAGCTCGTTGTCCAAGAATGGCTCGAGAATCACATTCAGAATGTAATCGGCAGTGCCGTTCATCTGGGAGGGGCAGGCAGACACAGAATATATGAACTTCAGCCCCCGCCGTCACAGCAAACACTCGTCGATGCCCGAGAACGGCTTGACCAGCACGCCGGAAACTTACATGTGGGCCAGGTGCTGTCAGGAAATGTAGTCGACCGTTGTCGTTCAAGAAGCGGAGCCCAAGGCGATCCTGACGGGATGACCATGCAGAACGCCGGTTAGCCCTCCACTCAACCCTGTGCTTGGTTATGGCGAGCTACTCACCTCGGTCCACAGATCTTGCTGCTCAAGCGGAACCACAGCGCCGTCCTTGTCGAGATTGGCAAACCACTGATCAAGTATTCCGATGCAAGAAATCAGCCACTTGCGGCGGGCTGCGAGCCAACGCCAACGCCGACAGGACAAAGCTGAAATGTCTCTCCATGTCACAGCTGGCGGCTCCGCAAAGCAGTCGGATCATCGAGTGGGGCAAACATGCAGCCACTCACAGCCGAATCTCTGGGCACAACCATGTCGTCGGGCTCGAAGCGGACCAACACCAAGTTATGCAGTGACTTGAGACGGTCGGCGTACTGCTTGTTTTGGTTCTGTTGCGATAAACACGATACTGAGCAGATACTTCCAACGCAGAACGTTGCCGAGCCAGTTGAGGCGGGGTTATGCACGAGCGCAAAGAGAACAATACTCAGTGGGTCCTACCAACTCATTATTGACGTAGGGAAGGAAGATATTGCGCTCCAGATAAAGCTTGATGTTGCGCGGGTCCTGCATATCGATCCAACAAAACATGAGCAAATCGCTGGCGGGCCAGCGAGGGCCGTCGCTGTCGCTCGCACCAGTAGTCCCCAATGGATTCCTTGCATTATCTGCGTTATCTGCGTCATCTGCGTCATCTGAGCCATCTGCAGACACGCAGGCGAAGCACAGACCGACGGAGTCATCACACCGACATACCCTGTAGTACTGCGCCTGGACCACCCGGTTCTGGATCCAGGGGATGTAGGCGCCCCGAAGCAGAAGCGAGCGAGCCAGTTCGCACTTGGCAGTATCCTTGCCCATGCATCCCGGAAAGTGGGCGATCCCACCATGTGGCGAGCCCATGGTGATGAGGTTGCGTACTGCCGGGCCATCGCATTTCTCGACATAGGCTCGCATCAACAAGCCACCCTAAATCCAGGCGAGGGGTCAGAATCGGCGGGGCCAGCCTCGAAAGCACCGCCAAGAAAGCAAAGCGAACCAAGGCACAATACCTGGCTGAAGCCGATGGCATTGAAGCCACTCGAAAGGAGCGGGTCGCTCTTGAGTTGCTCACAAACTTCATCCACCTGAGGATGCGGCTCCAGGTCAGTATGCGAGCCACGGAGATCGCAAGATCGTGCACGCTCCTTCCGCAACTTAATTGGCAGGTAGAAATAGCAGCGATCACGTTCACACCACAGCCGACGCTGAGAAACTGTCAGCCGTTGCCCCACCTGGCGGCTGATGACATCGAAATAGCCGTGGTCCCTGTCTTCGTCTTCGGACGCCCCAATGCGGACAGAATACACATATACGCCCGGCAAGCGTTCTTGCAACTGGGCCGCCAGATCAAGGATGCTGAGACCGGAATCGCCTGGGTCAGACGGCTGGTCTTTGGTGGCCTTGACGATCGATAGGGGAGGGGCAGACGCTTTGCCTTCCTGATTTGAACCACTTACCCTCCACAACAAGAGTCGCCCATGCCGTGCCAAATGACAACTGAACACGGAGACAATAGCGCGGATCAGCCGAATGCATTGCGAGGTTTGCGATGAAGATCACCCGGACCGCGGCTCACCTGGAGTGTAAACAGCTGCGGAGGCCGACGGGAGGACCAAAGGGAAACGATAGAGAACAGCCATGTTAGTTCAGAGCTGGCACCCAGGGCAAAAGGCAGCGAGGGGCGGCAAGGGTCCATGACTGCACGACGCCTATACCTTGGGACGCTGCAATGCACAGCAACAGCCCCACACAGAGGGATAGGATTCGCAGCGCAGCGTTCATCGTTGTCCGATTGCTTGATCGAAGGCCAGATCGGAGAGAAGCGCGACGGGCCTCTGTGCTGACCAGGGTGGCGGGTTGCCCTGGCTCGGCGGAGATTCTCCACCAAGACAGCGGCTTTGGAGGCCAGCCGCAACATGGGCGCAGACGAGAGGCATGGAGCATCGCAGCCGCAAGACAGATGATAGCCGCGCCAGTCGACTGCTCCGGCTATCACTTCCATCGGCTGGCCGGCCATCGCAATGCCATCGACTCTGGTCTGGTCACTTCCCCGCCGGCCGATTGAGCCACTCAGCCAGAGCCATGCTGTGGCGGTGCGCTGCGCAGTCGGCTGCGCACACTCACACAGCCGCCGGGCGAGACGCCGCTCTCGGTGTGCTCTCGCCCGTGGCCTCGCCGCGCCCTCGCCTCGCCTCGCTCCGTTTTTTTGCTCCCTCTGTGATATCCGATTGCCCAGATCCAGGCTGCCCTGCCCTCCAGCCGTTCTGCAATCATCGACATCGGTGTTCATGATAAAAGGCCGCTGGCTGCCTCTGATCGGACGTCCTCTGTTTCCCGTGCAAAGACTCCCGCTTCCCCGCACGCCGTCTCTGCTGCCCCGTCTCCAGCCACCCGCTATCCCAGCCATCCACTCGCGTATCTACTCAACCATGACCACCGCCGAGGACATCCAGGTCCGCATCAAGGAGGCCCAGGACGCCATGAAGGCCCTGAAACAGCGCAAGGCCCCCAAGGAAGAAATCGATGCACAGATCGAGGTGCTGAAAGCCCTGCAGGAACAAAAGAAGAGCCTTGGTGAGGACGGCGACCAAAGCAAGAAGTTCACCCTGAAAGTGCCCAAGGTAATGCTGGTTCTCGTGCCCGCGACCCCACTCGTCCCCAAAGACCGGACGAGTGTCACTGGAACGACACTGGCATTCGGGATCGTTGGATTGGCGAATGCCTTGCGTCCTTGCTCGCCGCCTCCTGTCAACGCACGAACTGACCGACCGGCACTTGCCCGTCGCTGATCGTGCGCTATCCAAACATCCAGGGCACCAAGGACTACACCGACAAGGAAATGGCTGTCCGAGAAAAGATCTTCTCGACGATTACCCAGTGCTTCAAACGCCACGGCGGCATCACCATCGACACGCCTGTTTTTGAGCTCAAGGTATGGCGCGCTACTCGATGCAATCATTGCCTCGATATTGTGGCCATGCTGCCGTTATGCCGTGATTGTGCCGTGATTGTGCCGTGATTCCACTGCCCACCACGCTTTGGAGGTCAGAGGCAGTCAAGCTGCAGTATCAGCAGCCCTGTCCGCCACATGTCTGCACCACTTTGGGCACCACTTTTTCTATCAGTCTCACCCTTCGTTGCCTGCAGGAAATCCTCTCGGGCAAGTACGGCGAGGACAGCAAGCTCATCTACGATCTTCAGGACCAAGGCGGCGAGCTGTGTTCGTTGCGCTACGATTTGACCGTGAGTTTCCCTTCGCACAACGCGACCGTGCCGTCATTGCCGTTGTCACGATGCAGTCTCCCCGAGCTTGATGGAGGCGTCGCCCTTGTCATGGCAAGCCACGATCGTGATCGTCGTGTCCGCTGCCGGATTGAGCTGTCATCTGAAGACCGCATCCTTGGCTCGCAGGTTCCATTTGCCCGATTCCTGGCCATGAACAGCAAGGAGTATCCCACCATTAAGCGCTACCAGATCGCCAAGGTCTACCGCCGCGACCAACCCTCCGTTACCAAGGGTCGCATGCGCGAGTTCTATCAATGCGTATGTGTCCGTCTGACTTGCTGTCATATCGAGCCATGCCAACGCCACACCCACAGCAGCCTGACTCATGCTTTGTTTTCCATCTCCCCCCTCCCTGCTTCGGGCCGTCCAGGACTTTGACATTGCCGGCACTTTCGACCCCATGATCCCGGATGCCGAGGTCGTCAAAGTCATGGTGGAGATCCTGACTCAACTGGATGTCGGCGACTTTACCGTCAAGGTAAGACGTGGCGTACTTTGGGACTGTGGGAGGGATCGCGTGCGATGCAGTGCATGTAAAACATGTGTTTCGGCTTCCAGTGTGCCTGGGGAGCCCTGAGGGCATTGTCTCCTTTGTAAAGCAGGCCGATCATTACATTGGCTGTATCGGAATCGCTAATGCATCGGTTTCGACGGCCACTGCGCAGATGAACCACCGCAAGATCCTGGACGGCATGTTCGAGGTCTGCGGCGTCCCCGCTGAGAAAATTCGACCCATTTCCTCGGCCGTCGACAAGCTGGACAAGATGTCCTGGGAGGATGTCCGCAAGGAAATGACTCAGGAGAAGGGCCTGGATCCCGCCGTTGCCGATCGCATCGGGGAGTACGTCAAGCTCAAGGGTGGCGCAGAGCTCTGCGAGATCCTGGCAAACGACCCAGGACTGTCAAGCAACTCAAGGGCTTCTGCTGGCATCAAGGACATGCGCCAGCTCTTCAGGTTCCTCGACATTTTCGGCATCAGCGACAGGGTACGTCTGGCTTTGCAATCAAGATGTGCTGCCGTTTGCTTGGCTTGCATCTGATGTGGGTGGGCCCGCTTGGACAGTGCCCCGTGCTTCCACAGCCCAGCGATCATTCGAAGCTGACAGCGCATCCATGGCCTGCCACCTGCGCATCCGTGATCTGCCACTTGCCCATCCCTAGATCATCTTCGATCTCAGTCTGGCCCGTGGTTTGGACTACTACACTGGCGTGATTTACGAAGCCGTCTTCAATGCCTCGATGAACAGTGAGTCATCGGTGACGCCCTCGACTGAGTCTGAGTGCTTTGCCCGGCCTTCGCCGCGTGTTCTACCAGCATACTCCAATAGGCGCTGATGTGAAGCCGATTAGCATGGCGCCGAGCGCAATTTCAATCAATGGCTGCCCGACCGCGATCACTAACATGGCCGGCCCCGCTGCCTTACAACAGAGGACGATGAGTCGAGCGGCACTGGATCCATCGCTGCAGGTGGTCGCTACGACGAGCTTGTTGGCATGTTCTCTGGCGGCCAGAAGATTCCCTGTGTCGGTGTCAGTATCGGTGTCGAGCGAGTTTTCTCGATCTTGATGCGCAAGCTCAACATCAAGCAGGTCAAGGCCAACCAGACCCAGGTCTACGTTATCGGTGTTGGAGACGGCCAGCTCGAGGAGCGCATGCGTATTTGCAAGGAGCTCTGGGACGCCGACATCAAGGCCGACTTTATGCACAAGGCCAAGCCAAAGCTGCAGGCTCAGTGGACAGCCTGCGATAAGGACCAGATTCCGCTTGCGATCATCATCGGCGAGAGCGAGGTCAAGGAAGGCATCGTGAAGCTCAAGGATATGCGAGCCAAGGACAGCGAGCAGGGCGGCGGTGTTACGATCAAGCGAGTTGAGATGGTGGCCGAGATCAAGCGCCGCCTGGAGGACAGCCCTAACGAGGCCTTTGTTTCAGCCAAGGCTGCTCCTGCTGCTCCTGCTCCTGCTGCTGCTGCTGCTGCTCCCAAGGCCAAAGGCAAGGGCGCCGCCCCCAAGTCGCCTCTGACCGGCCCTGCTTCTGGTGTCCGCAGCATTGTGACCCAGGCTGCTCACCACGGCCCCTCTGGACTCGAGTTTGTTGCCGCCCATGAGCGGGCTTACTACGGCCCCAGCAGCCCTGCCAGTGCCTCATACCCTCCCTCCTGGGGTGCTTCCGCCTTTGGACCAGTCTCTACTGCCTGCAAGGTCGACAACTCGTCCAAGGCTACCGAAAAGCAATCTGGAGCCCAGCCTGCTGCTGCTGCTGTCGCTCCCCGCTCGATCAAGATTGAGACCCACACCGCCGCTGGATCGTCACAGCCCCAGCCCCCGACCCCCAAGGACTGGGTCGCTGCTGAGGAGCGTGCCTACTTTGGCCCGGTTGTTGGCGGTTGGTAATGGCTTGTGCGGCCGGCCACACGCTGCCCTGAAGGACACACCCTCATAGTGTAATTTTGGGTATGCCGAGCTTTGCGGCTCAATACACCGAAGTACCCGCGTCCAACACTGCCCGTTCAGAACCGGTGGGGCTGGATGTCCATGTGGCTGGGCATGATTGACTTGAGGGATTGAAGAGCCTGAGCCTGAGCCTGAGCCTGAGCCTGAGTATGGGCCTGAGCATGGGCCTGAGAATGACTCAGCCAGCAAAGCCTGCTATCCCTCGCATCATTCCAATCGTGTGCTGCTTGCTTGAATGCGTACATCGCACCGCATTTGCATATCTTTGGATCAAGGCAAATCTTCGTCAGCAACCCTCATGGATCAAGAATGCATCCGCGATCTTGCTGCTGCTGTCGAGTGTGGCAACCAGCGTCTCCTGCTTCCGTATGCCCAAGCTCTGTGGCAAACCGACCAGCATCAGCAAGCCATAGAGGCCCTCGAGGCGTTTGGCATTAGTCCGTTCGATGTGCAGTGCGCTCGGTTGCTCGTCGAGTACTACGAGTATCACTACTGCTCCCAGATGCATCAGGAAGCAGCTCCAGCAGGTGAGATCGAGTCCATCTGCCGTTGATGGTATCCCACGCGGCTCTCGTGAACTCATCGCTTCCTCCCCTCAAAGCATAGATGGCCAGGAAGCAAATGACGACGACATTAGACGACACCGAGCCTATCTTTTCAATCTACGTCTTGCCCTCGCCGACCATGGCGATGTTCCCAGTCTCTTTTATCTGCTAGAGTCCCTGCAACCGAGGCTCATCAAGTCTCTCGTGGCAGCGATGGAGAGCGACCACGACATCGACGATCCTCCAGATGACTCAGTGGTGCATGCAAGGACTCTGCTCCCGCTCTTAGAGAAGGCGGCGCTCGAAGGCGATCCCTCGGCCGTCGCGGGAGCTGCGGCCATCTATCGGCAAATGTATCTTGACACTCGGAGCACCTCAGGCCACCGCCCACCCAAGGTCGCTGCATCCCTTGCCAGCCGAATAGCCGACAAGTACCGGCTCTTTGTTGCCCTGGCAGCCAAGCTCGATGATGCCGCCTGCGTCTTTGACTGGGCCGAGTTGCTGCTGGCCGACAGACAAAAGAATGGCCTCCAGATGCAACAGGCACTCGACAGCTTCGTCAAATCCGGCGAGCTCGGAAACTTCCGTGGGTACCTTCGGGCGGCCTCGTTGCTGCAAGACGGAACGATAACCGTCCCAGGTGGAGCAGGCGATCGCCAGGTACTCGAACTCTGCTATCGGGCAGCCCAGAAAGGCTCGACAGCACCGACCCTCAAAGAAATCGGCGATGGTTACCGTCACACCGCCGATGCGGAGCTGGCTCTAGCAGTTCGATGCTACAAGGAAGGCGCCGATGGCGGATGCCCAAACTCGATGGCGGCTCTGGGTGACTGCCTGTGGGGAGGAGTGGGTGCAGCGACGGACCGATCGAGAGCTGTCGAGCTGTGGGAACGATCGACGGGCCTGGGGTCAATGGCCGCCGACGATTGCAGCAACCGAGCCCCGCAGCTTCTGGTGTGCTTCTGGAAGGGTTATGGATGTGCTCGGGATCCCGAGAAAGCCAGAGCGTTGTGGCAGCGACTCGCCAGCAGTCTGGGCGTCAGTGCGTCCGAGGAGCAGATGCTGGATGCAATCGACCTGATCGAAGGGCAGCTCTTGTAGTCCGGGCCAGCCATTGGGAGAGCCGGGAAATTTGTCGCCAACGATAGCACCACATTGTTCACACCGAAACAGAGCATGCCAATGTTCGAGTGTTGGCTGCTGTTTGGCAGTTCCAAATATACATGTGTAATTAGTGTAGGATTGTCAGCCACCCACCTATATCTAATCTGACGGATCCAGTATAGCTGTGGGGATGATCTTATTTGCCTGCTATTAAGTATCTCTGGTTTGGGATATTCGGTGGCATTCGGTGCGGAAGTCTGATCATTTCAAATGCTATGGCCTGGGATGAGATATGATGGGGCAGAGGTTGATGTTCATAGTTCGAGAATCACCTGGGCTCGCATATTGGTTCTCAAACAGACACTTTGGCAGCTTCCGAGTGAAGACCACCGGTCGCTCTACGGTCTCCACAATCGACCTGCACTGCTCAAAGTACTTGACAAGCCGCTGCCTCCTGGGACTGGATGCATAGCCCTTGCCTTGAAGCCATGAAGCATTGCCAGAGGTGATCACCACATTGTTCTCCTCCGAGGCGTGCTCCAGGACGGCCTTGCACATCCTGTCGACGGCCGCTTGGCGCCTCCTGCGTCCCATTTTTTTGTTGGAACACTAACCAATTCGATATTTCAGATAACGTTGTAAAAATAAAAGCGGCTCTGGAAAATTTTGAAAATATTGAATGCGCATTTTTTGGGGCCAAGAGCCCGAGGAATGTCGGCACTCCCTGGGGTCATGGGGTGAGGGTCGCATCCCGGCTTCGGACCATCCCAAAATTACAAAATTATACTGTCGTTCCTGACCGGGACTTTCAGCTCATACATAGTCTATCACCAAGAACGATCGCCCTGGTCCTCGGCCAATGTAACCAGCGTTGATGTAAGCGCCATGAAGTTTCTCGATATGAAAGGAGATATCCAGTTCTGATCACAGATGGTGAGGTTTTTCGGAGTTTGAGTGTACAATCGCATTAACAATCTGGATTTCGAGAATCTCGAGAGCCAGAAATGGACAGTTAACCTCACACCTACCAGCGACTCACTTCCTGCTGACTGAGTCATTCAAAGTGTAGATATAACAACAGAGTCTCCTCCAAGGGCGATGCCTGTCCGCGCCATGTCCTACCACCCTCCCCAAAGTCTTCAAGCGCATGGAGTGCCATGCGTTTCAGAACCCTCATGGCTCTTGGCTGATGGTGGACTAGTCCAACGAGCGAGGGACGCCGCCAGCAGCAACTTGCCACTTGCTGTGGACAGGCCGCTGCGGCTGTGTGCAGCGAGACTAATGTACAAAAATGGGGGAGGGCGAAGAAGCCGGCCGCAACCAAACAGAGTCGGGAAAGCTCAGCCCAGTCTCGTGCCGGAGTGCCTAATAGTGCCGGGGAAAGCAGAAGGTCTTGTGGTCGTCGACGGCCTTGACACACTGGTCGGCGGAGTGGTCGACGGCGTTCATGCAGGCGAAGACACGATCGGAGCCACCATCCTGGCAGAACAGCTTCTTGAGCTCAGCACGGAGGTAGGTACACTCGGTATAGGTGGAGACGGCTGAGACAGGTCGGATGAAGATATCGGTGAGCAAGCTGGGTCAGAGAAGCAGCCGAATATGCAAGCCAGAAAGGGGATGTGGCTCGGCCAACCTTCGGTGATACTTACGGATGTTGTTCCCACAGCTATCGTCAGAGGTCGAGCCCTCGACAGCAGCAGAGGACTTCCAGGAAGGCTTGGCGCACTTGTCCTTGGTGCAGACGAGATCGTCGGAGCAGTCGTGCTCGCTGCTGCAAGAAGCACCCTCGCAGTGGCCCTTCCAGGAGCAGTAGTCATCCTTCTTGGCACACTTGCCCTTGGAGCAAATCAGCTCACCAGAGCAGTCGTTGTAGTTGTTGCACGAGGCACCTCGCAGTGGCCAGGCCAGGCACAGCTGGAGCCGTGCGAATCAAGCTGGGAAAGATCAAAGAAGGGGGCAGCGCGAGCAACAGCGAGGAAGGCAGCGGCCGAGACGCAGATGAGCATGATGGACTTCATGGTGACGATGGAGATGTGCGCAAAACGAGGGAATCAGAAAGTGGTATGTGGGCGGCCGAATGGAGGCTGGAGCGGTGTTTGAGCGGGTTTGGCTGTGAGGCGTGGTGGTGAGGAATTGATGCCAGGTTTATATCAGACAGGCGATGCGGTGGCAGAGCGATCACCGCCCCTAATCTTGCATGGAAGTGCCCGGACCACAGGGATCTTTGGTCAACGTCCTGCCACTGAGGTGCATGTCCAATCCAGAGGGATCTATCTGGCATCGGTGTGATCATGGGCAAGCGAGTTAGTGGCGCTGCAGACGAGTTGGATGCAACGAGAGACGACGATTGAAACCGAGGACGGCCATCGACACAGGCGGGAGTTGACAGAACGAGTGATGCTACGACCATGATGAGTGATGCAACGATCATGACGAGACAGGATCAAGACATGGCACACATGGCGATGCGCCGAGCTGCGTTGATTTGGTGTCGTTGTCTCCTGGCATCGACAGCACCATGTCTGGTCCCTGTCCCCACACCTCAGCAATCCCACCGCCCCATCCCACGCTGCATGGATTCATGGTTATCGTGGGTGCTATGGCTCCATACACACATGTATCGCCGTCCCTGTCCTCGCCACCCTGCATCTCTCCGTCCACTGCCACCATCGCAAGCTCGCTCTGGGTTGTCACGTTCTCGATTCCGAACGGGGGCGGTGCTTGGTCGCCCACTTGGCACGCCCTTTCCGCTTGGCCCAATGTTCGGTGCCTCTCCCTCGTCTCCATCTGTCAACCTCCAGCCCATCCAGCTTTCCATCGATTCTTTCATCGATCCGTCCGCACATCCCATCCAGCAGCCAGCGTGCCATGTCTGCAGCCACAGGTGAGACTCTGTTGATGATGCATCACCGATGGCAGGTGACGACAATGTCTGCTGCTGACCCTTGTGCCAGACTTTGATGCCTTCCTGGACAAGCACGATCTCGCCAGGAACAAGACCCTCCTGGTCGACCACGAGATCGACAGCACCGACCTGGTGGGTTGCTTGGCTCTGTCGCCGATGGCATGATGCACTCGATGGTTGGACGGTGTCCATGCTGGTGACGGAATGTCGCCGACACTGCGGCCGTCGATGCCCCTGGCCATCCAGACATTGTTGCTGAACAACGGCTGCCTGTCCAGGTCCTCTCTCTGACCGAGCCAGAGATGAAGCAGATCGGGCTCAAGCTCGGCGCCATCAAGAAGATCCAGCGAGCCCAGCGCCAGAACACCGAGCCGCCTGTTGTCGTCCACAAGAGCGAGCCACCGCCATCCAAGACACCCGATGGCAGCGAGAGCGCTGTTCTCCCTGTGGTCCGATACAGACCGCCTCCGCTGACGAGGGGATGGAAGTGCCAGCTGGGCAACAGGGACCACGAGGTGTTCATCAGGTACGGCGATGTCTGTGGTGCAGTATGGGGTGTCTGCACTCCAGCCGGTTGGTCATCAATCCATGTCCATGTCTGCACTGGCAACACCGACATCCAGAGTGCCCACTGACCATCGCCTCTTTGCCCAGCTATCGAGTCTTCAGCGACGAGATGCCCGCAATCAAGCTCTACGCCGCCCTCAAGTCGTCCAGCCAATACGACAAGAACCTGTGTCCGTACCTCGACCAGCTGTGTCTCGTCGATGCCATGAACTGGGAGACGGGCTTCATCAACGGCCTGGTCAACTCGCAGGTCATTGTGCTGGTTCTGTCGGAGCGGGGACTGAGCCGCACCCGCGAGGCACACCTCAAGCCAGACAACCAGTTCCTGGAGGTGAGCAAGCGAGCGGTTGGCCGAGCATCCATGTCGATGCACTTGCACTCGATAGTCCCTGACACTCACACTCACACTCACACTCACACTCACACTCACACTCACACTCACACTCACACTCACACTCACACTCACACTCACACTCACACTCACACCACACTCAGGTCCAGCATGCCCTGCGTCGGATGCGAGAGTCGGCCACCACCGGCCGCCCGGTGACCGTCCAGCCCGTCTACATGTGGTCGACCCGCATCATCAACAACCAGACCTATGCTTCCAAGTACTTCCCCAACCCCGACGACTTTCCCGACGAGCCGCCCTGCCACGATCTGAGTCCCCTCGTCGACGGCAAGCCCGTGTCGATCCGCCAGACCATCCGAGATGTCCTGGCTCTCCAGCAGTTCAATGCAGCCGATGGGACAGCGGTGATGAGGTGGGTGGCTGCTGTCATCCCATCGATGGCAAGCCATTTCTGCTGCATTGCTGTCATGCGTGATCGCAACATCCTGCACGCCATGCACACCATCAATGCCATGTGCACCATCAATGCCATGCGCACCATGCTGCATCAGACTTCTCTCACAACACCACACGACACCATACACATCGCCTCACCTTGCTGCACATCCATCTGACCACATCCAACTGACCCCATTCCCTTTCGCACTCGTCCATCCCCCGCCACCACACAGGCTCTCTCCGTACATCCGAGTGCTTGTGGCCAAGACCGAGAGGGCCATCGCCGAGGGCATCCTCTACCACCAGAGCCGACCCATCGTCCTCGCTGCCGACGAAGACTCGCAGCTCCGCGTCCTGCTCGATCCCATCGACTTTGACCCCGACAGGAAGGCGCTCGAGGATCTGTATGTCGAGGGAACCCGCCAGTGGCTGTTTGACCATGTCACTGCCTGGGCCGACGACGACGACAACGCCGACCGGGTCCTGTGGGTCAATGCCGTCGCCGGTGTCGGCAAGTCCGTCGCTGCCGCCCAGATCGCCAACATCCTGCTTGGTCGGGACCAGCTGGCGACATCGCTGTTCCTCAAGTACAACGACACCCGCAAGAACAACCCCCGCATCCTGCTGACCACGATCGCATATGGACTGTGTCGCTGGTACGCACCGATCGGCCGTCGGCTCCTCGACGTTGGCCACTCCAAGGACGATCTCGACAAGATGAGCATCCCGGACCTGTTCAAGGCCTTGGTTGAGGATCCACTCGAGGCTCTTGGCCAGTACCGGCCCAAGGGAGCCGTCGTGGTGATGGTCGATGGACTGGACGAGTGCCATCCGCGCGACGAGATCCTGTCGCTCCTGGCCTGGCGACTCACGCAGCTGAAGGACGAGTCCCGGATCAAGCTGCTGCTGACGTCCCGCCCCGAGGCCGACATCAGGGATGCCTTCCGAGGAGTGCCGACCACGACGATCGAGCCGTCGAGCGAAGACAACATCCGCGACCTCCGGGTGTTCATCGACCATCGTCTCAGGGACCATCCCAGCCTCAGTGAGTCGGACCGCACCCAGGCGATCTCGGTGCTGCTGGACCAGTCCAAGACATTCGTGTGGATCAACCTGATCCTCAACACCGTCGAGCACGAGCTAGAGACTCCCGAGCCTGGATCGACTCCGTGCGAGGAGAGCGACGCAGCACACGAGCCACGGACACTGACCCTCGAGATGATCCGAGAAATCAACGACTCGTCGGTGGATCTCAAGGGACTGTACCACAAGACATTCGCCAAGATCCACTCGCAATCGAGCCACCCGGCCGAGCTGGTCACGGTGGTGTCGGCGATCGCCACGGCCCAGTCGATCCTGACAACACAGATCATCGCCGATGTGTTTGGACTCGAGATCGGGGTCGTTCGCGAGTGTCTCAAGAGCCTCAGTCTGGTCCTCGATCCTGGTGCCAATGGACTGGATCCCCGAGGCAGCCAGTCCACCAACACCGAGGTCAAGTTCAACCACAAGTCGGTGGTGGACTATCTCCTCGGCGACGCATCGACTGGCCATCCGTGGCATGTGTCGACCTCGTTCCACACGGTGTTTGCCAAGGGATGTCTCGGAGTGATCCTCTCGCACGAGCCAGTGATCAACATCTGCGATATCTACGACTTTCACGACAAGATCGCTGACCTCGAGGACAGGGTCGCAGCCACGATCACGCCGTCGCTGCGATACAGCGTCGCCCACTGGATCACACACTTTGTGTGGTGTGTGGACGGAGAGGCCGAGTCGAGTCCGGTGTGGCAGTCGGCCGAGATGGTCGATGTGGCTGCGGTGCTCACTCGGTTCGTCAAGACGCATGTGTTCTTCTGGCTCGAGTGTGGGTCGCTCACATATGTGGTCAAGCCGATCATCGAGCAACTGGCTGTGCTTCGAGGAGTGATCGCCAAGGCACCCAGCACCATCATCGACGACACCACGAAGGAACTGGTCAAGGACACGTATCGATTCATCCGCGAGTTTGCCGACCCGATCATCGCGAGTGCACCACAGGTGTACAACTCGGGATATGCATTCACACCGAAGGAGACGGCGATCTACAAGACATATGCCGACCGACTCGAGGACAAGATCCCGTTCCTGGTCACAGCCGGTCCAGCACCCACCTGGGATCCGTGTGAGATGACACTCACTGGCCATGCATACCGTGTGTTCTCCGTGGCGATCTCGCCCAATGGCAAATGGATTGCCTCTGGCTCTGATGACAACACCATCAAGGTGTGGGATGCCACCACAGGCCAGGTGAAGCTCACTCTCGAGGGACACACAGACACGGTGTTCTCCGTGGCGATCTCACCCGATGGCAAGTGGATTGTCTCTGGCTCTGGAGACGACACCATCAAGTTGTGGGATGCCGCCACAGGCCAGGTGAAGCACGCTCTCGAGGGACACACACTGGGTGTGACCTCCGTGGTGATCTCGCCCGATGGAAAGTGGATTGCCTCTGGTTCTGAAGACCGGACAATCGGGGTGTGGGATTCTACCACTGGGCAATTGAAACACACCCTCGAGGGACACACATGGAATGTGTTCTCCGTGGCGATCTCGCCCGATGGCAAGTGGATTGTCTCTGGTTCTTGGGACACGACCATCAAGTTGTGGGATGCCGCCACAGGCCAGGTGAAGCACGCTCTCGAGGGACACACACTGGGTGTGACCTCCGTGGTGATCTCGCCCGATGGTAATTGGATTATCTCTGGTTCTGAAGACCGGACAATCAGGGTGTGGGATTCTACCACAGGCCAGGTGAAGCACACCCTCGAGGGACACACACACTATGTACTCTCAGTGGCGATCTCGCCCGATGGCAAGTGGATTGCATCTAGCTCGGCTGACAAGGCAATCAAATTGTGGGATGCCGCCACTGGCCAGGTGAAGCTCACTCTCGAGGGACACACAGACACGGTGTTCTCCGTGGCGATCTCACCCGATGGCAAGTGGATTGTCTCTGGCTCTGGAGACGACACCATCAAGTTGTGGGATGCCGCCACAGGCCAGGTGAAGCACGCTCTCGAGGGACACACACTGGGTGTGACCTCCGTGGTGATCTCGCCCGATGGAAAGTGGATTGCCTCTGGTTCTGAAGACCGGACAATCGGGGTGTGGGATTCTACCACTGGGCAATTGAAACACACTCTCGAGGGACACACAAACAGGGTGACCTCCGTGGCCATCTCGCCCGATGGCAAGTGGATCGTCTCTGGCTCTAGTGACCATACCATCAAGTTGTGGGATGCTGCCACAGGCCAACTTAAGCACACCCTCGAAGGACACACAACCTTTGTGACCTCCGTGGCGATCTCGCCGGATGGCAACTCAATTCTGTCTCGAGATGGCCGGAGCAATCAAATTATCTGGGCCCGTCGAGGTGACGAGTGGATTCGTTCCGACAAAGATGCTTCCAGTTTAATTGCCGCATCTGGCTCGAATTCATTATCCCAGTGGACTATTATCGATGATTCTCCTCAGTGGATTCGCCACGGCAGCCATTCCACCAAAATCCCACATTCTCTCTTTGGTGTTTGGTGGCATCGTATCTTCACCCCATCTGGCGGGTTTGTTTATTGGACCCATGCTTTGCCCATCCGCCTCGTCATCAACCTGGTAAGTCCAGCTACCCTTGACCCACCTCCACTGCACCCAAGTAACACTCCTGCCTCCACAGCCAATCTACCTCAACACTCTTGCGACCCGAGCCGAGGTTGCCAGGTACATCGAAGCCAAACCAGCCATAACAGCGGCTTTCGAAGAATCGAGAGCAAGTGCCGCAGAAGATGCCCGACTCGTCGATGAGCAAGCCCGAATAGAAGAAGCCTGAATAGCAGAAGAGACCCGAATCGCCCAAGAACATGCCAGACCGAAGGGACTGTTCAAGTGGTTCCGCAAGTAGTGTGAGAAGTACGCAGGTACAATTGGAATGTATTGCATACGAATTATCGAATACAGTGACCATATGCCGTGTGAATTTGGGCATGGGTCCGCCTCTGCCGCCGCCAAATTTGCGCTCAAACCCGACCACAATGACCGTTGTAGCGAAGACTCGGATGGATTGGATGTGCCATGGATGGGCAGGAATGTCTTGAGGCGTCGATAGCGTGATAGTTACGGAATGTGATGGATTGGATGGTTTGGATGGTTTGTGCCGGAGGCAATGGGCAGTGGTAATATAGGCAATAATGTCGTTGACCGTAGAAGAGGGAGTATCAAGTTGGCAGTGGGCAATGGGCCAGAGGACGAAGGCCAGGAGGACAAGAAATTACTTTCCTTTCTTTATTGTGCACTCGTTTACAACTGCAGTACACTATCCATCAGGACCCCGTGGTCCCCGGCATCTCGCTCTTCATTCTCGATTCCCACTCGATTCCCACCAGACCTCAGTCGAATCATCTGCACAACCAACAGTCGCTGTCGTCACGGCCACCTCGCAGGGCCGCTCCATCAAATACGCCATGTGCCTTGGGCCCAAGAAGGACAAGAATCGCTTCCTCTCGATCCATATCTGACTGCTACAGCGCCCCGGAATCAATAATGACGATGCTGTCGGCAGGGGTGCCCCCAACAGTACCAAGCTCGTTGATCGTGCGCAGGATCGAGACGCCTTCGACAACCCGTCCAAAGACAACATGCTTGCCGTTCATCTTTGCATACTTTGATGGGTCGTCCGACAGAGTTATAAAAAACTGGCTCGAGTTGGTGTTCTTGCCCGAGTTGGCCATGCCCACGTATCCGACGTCGTCGCATTTGATCTTGAGGCCAGCCTTCTCGTCGTTGAAGGTTGGCCCGTATATGGACTCTCCGCCGGAGCCGTCGCCTCGGGTAATGTCGCCGCCCTGCATCACAAAATCCTTGACGACCCGGTGGATGGGGTTGGCGGCAAAGTGCATTGGCTTGGCCTTGGCCGCCTTGCAGAAGCCTTTGCTTCCAGTGCAAAGGGCAACAAAGTTATCGACGGTCTTGGGACAGAGGTCTGCGAACAGCTCGATGATCAGCCGGCCCGCAGAGTATGGAGGTACCGGCTCGAATCGCAGCGGCCCCTGATGGAGCGGTAAGCACCGAGCGGGTACATGTCAGAACGGAAGCAAGGGTAGATCAGCATCGGGCGGTGGATCATCCGGATTGCTGACGGCTTCCCGACTTGCTGGATGCATCAAAGTCACTCGGAGCGCACACGGATTGAATCTACAGATGGGATCCACTCTCGATGAGTCAGTCACAGCATCGAAGAGGGACAGGATTCGGACCTGGGATGCCCGGCTGGGATCGGAGGAATAGGCCTCGCCGAGTATATCGATAGCTTCTGTCCCCAGCAGCGCCTCGGGGGCCGCCTGTGGGTCATGGCCATAGATGGCGGCGGACTCGCTGATAAACTTGCAGGCCCGATGGTAAGCTGCCAGCTGGTGCTCGTATTCGGCCTTGGAGCCGATGCCGATCTCGAGATAGACGGAGGTGGGCATCTCGAGGACAGGGAGATCAACGCGCCAGCCACCAACGAGCGGCATTTTGAGTCCCTCGCCGTCGCGAGGCGACATTCCAGCGATGCAATATCGGAAACCACGGGGCTGTCTGCCGGGATCCGCCGCACACTTGCAAAGATACGTACGGATATACGGAGCATGTGGAAACTATGTTGATGAGCGCCCCCTCCCCAGCGCAAATGATCTATCAACCACCAGTCGCAGCCTTGGATGGCATCTCTCAAACACCACCCACACGATCCTGTGACAGCGGCGGGGCAACTATCGTTCGGCCCTGCGACTCGAGGATCCGATGGGTGACGCCTGTGGTGGTTGCTCGGTCCTTGGCGAATCCGCGGACTTTCTTGGTATCGCAGAGAGAACATGTATATGCCGGACCAGTGCCTTCGACCAGAGCGGTGTACCGGGCTTCGGTCAAGTTCGGATCGCAGTCAGCATGGACCCACCTGCCATCGTAGGCGGCAAGAACAACATGTTAGTCAAAAAAAGTTCATAGAGTCCGTGGTCGGTGCTACTGCTGCTGCTCTGTGGAAAGCCGCCCGCTCCTGATATCCTTTCGCGTCCCCACTCATGCCGTTATCAGGTCGGATTCGAGTGCGGGCCACCACCCACCTAGCGCAGCTTCCACAGTGGGCCATTGCAACGTCTTCGTTGTCGGGGGCAGAGATCTTCATGCAGAACGGGCAGTATTTGTTGGCAGTAAAGTGCTCGAAGCAATCGGAGCAGTAGCTACAGACATAAAACTTGAACCCAGAGTTGCCGGAGGCGGCATACGACGAATCTTGGCTGGATAGCGATCCGAGGACATGCTTGTACTGCTCGTAGTTGGTGGTGGAGCGCTTGCTACATGAGATACAGAGGGCGCACTGCTCACACAGCCATTGCCCTGCATGGAGTCATCGAATGGACAAGGAAAAGCGCATAGGCCGCAGTCAGCATTGCTTGATGGTGTCTCGGCGGCTTTGTAGAGGAAGCGTCGATCCAGATACATCGCACGCTTCGATCGAGATTACCTTCGGGGAGGCCATCCAAGGGCGGCGATAGACAGTACATGTGGTATCCACGATCGCATGTATCGCAAAACAGGAGCTGGGCCTCGTCCCCGGCCTCGTGGCACACGGTGCACATCTTGCAGTTGCTGCAGTGCCAGTCGTAGGTCTGCACTTTGGCAACGATCACGGGGTCGTCTATTTCGACGCACGATGGATGGAGCTTGAGCTTACATCCTGAGCACGTCAAGAGGGTGGTGGGGTTGATTTCTGCGCCCGTGACCTTGGCTGAGGATGACGACGGTGGCGCAATTGCCATATGGCAGTGCGAGCACAAGTCGAACTTGACGTCAGTCGTGCTGGCAGGAGAAGCGACTTCGGAAGCCACTGACTCGGTACTTATGGCCGATTCGGCGTTTCCGCTCCGATTCTAAAGCCAGAGAAATCCATGGGGTACAATCGTATATCATGAATGAGCCGCTATCCATCGCTAGCTGTAGAAGCTGTGGATGCACAGACAGGAGCCTGTACCTTTGGCGGATTTGAATCGAGGTGATACAGACACTTCTCGCCCGGATAGGTGACCGGGCGTTTGCACGTCTGACCACGATGGGTCGTCATCCCACAAAACAGGGGCCCTACGTGTGTACGCTGTTTGGACGGAGACGAGAACGAATCCAGAATCAGCAAAAACGTTGCTGGAGCACCGCTCGCATCAACAGAGGAAGAAAGGACGACCTCGCTGAGGTGATCACACACCAACAGAAGCAAGCGCATTGGCTCTCGACGGTCAGGTGTGTTCGCTCGGTCACTCTGTCTGATCGCATGCCAAGAAAGGCCAAAAAGGCTCCGAATTTGACTCGCTTATGGGCCCTAAAACTGCGATTCATATTCAATCCCTCTAATGCAAGCGAGCCACCGTGAGCCAGCGCACAGGTCACTTACCACAGCGCCTTCGTCTTTGCTGTGGTGTCCAAGGGATATGCTCGAGGAGGCAGCAGCATCGATCGCATCTGCGGCAGCGTGGCGCTCGGTTTCTTCGCGAGAGCTTGTCTTTGGCTTGGTAACATCGTATTCAACCAAATGCTGGGGACTGCGTGGAAAGTCCGATCCAACAGTACCAAGGACAGGAGAATGCAGTGAGTTAGCACCCATCGATTCAGAGATGCGAGGCAAGCGAGACTTTGCATGGCGAACGCAGCGGCCAGATCCACTGCCTTGCTGGCCAGCTAGTCGCCAGAAATCCATCACCGAGTGCCGGGTTGCCGGAAACTGATCGTCGATTGCAAAGCGCAGAACTGATACTGACATTGGGAGTACATCCTGATGCTGCCCGGGCATGATAGTCAGTGGGTAAGTGGGGCGTTGCAGCGAGTCACACAGTGTGGACCAGTGTTTTTCAGTCGAAGTTCCATCCGACGGCGCTAGTATCTGAGTCGAAACCACAATCGCGTGGACGCGCGATGCGATGTGGATATGGCCGGTATGGACGTCGAAGAATGTGTCCTGGCGGGCCGCACGAAGTCGAGAATTGAACTCGGCCGCCGAGCTCGCACACTGGCTGACCCACTGAGCTCGAGTGAGCGTGTGTGGAGGCAAAGTACCGCTGGTATTGCGATTAAATAGCGGCGTTGCTCTGTCGGGACGATCGAGTCGGAGTGGCGGAGTGTTGGAGAACAGCGACCGATCGATGGCTATATCCCTTCTGCGTATATCCTCGTCCTCCGACTCTTCGTAAATTCCATCGTCCTCGGGCTCCTCCGCATCGCCGACGAAATAGTCGTCCCGAATCGGCCGACCACCCTTGACGATTTTGTAACCAAAAGTGCGGAAGATGCTGCGGGCGGTCACCAAAGCGACCTCGCGTCCCTTGAGCTGCGAGGGGAGCATGTTGGTATCGCTCAGCTTTTGTCTGTCCTGCTCGTCCGCGTTGAAGCGAACAAAGTTGGGGTTTCTCAGGAAGAAGATGTACGAGTCGCGGAAGCCGAGGGCCTTGGAGACGTCCATCGAGAGCATATAGAGACGGGAGGGATGTCGCGGCAGAACAAAGGTCTTGACTTTGTACTTGCGTGCTTGAAGACGACCGGTGTTTGGCGGGTACAAGTCATGGAAATTATGATGCAAGAAACGGAACGACTTTCAAGTTAGCGAACAGAGGTTGGGCAATGGCGATCGGCCATTTGACATCCGAGTTGCTACGCATATTGCTATTGAGCTATCAAGGATTCGATCCACCGAAACGCGGATGCTCGCGGCAAAGCGATGCCCAGCTCTCGGCTCCAGATCGTGACCAGTACAGTGACGGACCCGTGGAAGATTGCCGAGGAACTGGGATCAATCCAACCCGGCCAGAGCGATCGTCTCGCATATAGACATCCCTCGCCGAAACAGGAACAGAGACAGAGCGGCATTACCTCCTTTCAGATTGCCGTCGACATCGACCTTTTTCTCGCCGCGCGGGTCGAGTTCTTCATTCTGGCCGTCTTCGGTGACGGCATCTTTGGCGACGACCGCAGGCTTTCGTGATGACTGTCCCAAGACCTGCTGGGCGAGGCTCTTTTTGGAATCCGATGGCTCGTTGCCTTCCACGGAGCCCGGATCGGTTTTTGGAGTGCTGACCCCGTCGGATTTGGGTCGTGGCGAGTTGGCCGATGCCTTGCCTTTCCGGGGCCGACCGCGACGCCGAGGAGTGACATGCGAAGGTTCGGCTTCTTCTGGATGTGAGTCCCGCTCGTCGTCACTTGGCTTGTCTGGCGATGGATCGTCAACCTGCATGGCTTTTCCGGCTTCATCGCCGCTGTCGTGGGCCGGCTTGCCCGGGCTATTGTTATCGTCCGGCACGGTCGATCCGTCGTTGGGTACGATGCTCTTCCTTCTCGTCCTGTTCGAACGTCGAGATGGGGTGCCAGGGATCTCTGGAGGATCGGCGTGCGAGTCACGATTGCGCTTGCGCTTGGATGGACTCGCCGAGAGCGTTTCCGACGACTCTCGTATGTCGGCCTCGAGAGCAGGATCCGGGTGCGGATCATTGGAGGTTCTCTTGCGGGATGAACGAAGCAGCGGCTGGTGGCCCTGCTGAGTTTGATAGGAGTCGCGAGGATGGAGCGGGATATCGAGAGAGCGAGAGGTTGTCAAAATACACGGAAGCGCAACCGATCTCGATCTTCAGCCCAAACATATGCAGATCGGCAACCGGCAGCCAGCGATCGATGGCCAGTCGTCGGACACAAGCTGCGTTCGGACATGGTTCCGATATCGCAAGGAATGCACAGCGAACAAACACATCCAGAAAGAAGCTAAGAAATCCGCATTGGTACCTCTTGGGACTCGGCTGGAGCCTCGTCGGGCTGTTTCTGAGGGCTCTTTGGCCGGGACGTTGGATCGAAGACCACATTCAGTGACGGCGCCGTTGGATGGGATGGTTGCGGCGGGATCCGCATTGGAGATGCAACCAGACTCGATGCGATCAAAAATATAGACTCACCGACGATCGCCGATCTGAAGAGGCCATCGTGTCGGAAATCGGTGTCGTGTGTCTGCTGATTGTGTCTCGGCCAGGAGAGGCTGGATATCCTCGGCCTGAGAGCGCTGAAACCAGATCGCTGGCGGGCGGTGTATGGCCAGAGACAGGGGTCCGGCAGATGCAGTGGCTCGCGATATCGAGCGGCGTTGCTGGCTCGGCTCAATGAGCGCAGGATCTCGAGGATGCGTCGAGCCGATCGGCTGGGGCAGGGAGGTTGATGGCCGAGACCAACATGCCGTTCTGACATTCCCAAGGGCATCGGTGGATAGCCAATCACGTGTGTGCTGCGCTCCGCGTGACAGTGCTGCGCGCGTGTGTGTGTGTGTCCAGCAAACCCGATACACATGTTCCCAGACATGCGGTGGCAATCCAAGCCGCGGAGCCGCCTGGGCCACTGCGGCGAGCAGCGAGTCTACTGACTGGATAGTATATACAAGTACAGAGAGCAAGAGAGGTGGGCGAAGGAGGGGGAGAAGAGATTCGGGGGATGCTGGCGGTGGCTCGCAACGAGTCCGTATCGGCGGCGGGCACCGCTGATCTCAGATGTGTGCTTCATTCGCGGCGTGCGGTGGGATATCCCAGGAGACCTCCATCGTCAGTTGATTGTAGTAGTATACGCAGCCGTCGCGATCCACCTTCCTCCAGTCTGGGGCATGCTCGACAACCTCGGTCTCGATGAACTCATCGTCGTCGTCTTCTTCAGGCTCTTCGTCGTCGCCATCAGGGTTCTCGGAGATCTCGGGATCGACGGACGCTGTCTTGTCGCCGGGTGACTCGGTCTTTTGGTCGAGTACCTTGTGGCCCTCTGGAAGCTTCCAGATAACGTCCCTTGTTTGCAGATTGCTTCAACCCCCCCCCAGTTAGAACTGGATATCGATTGAATACCAGTGTGCAGCAGAGGCGAATGCTGCTGGCACAGACGGCCAGCCTGCCCACGATTTTATAGATGCCATCTGCGCCCCACCAGCAAGTCAAAGTCATGGCACTCACTAGTAATAGACTTGTAAGGTCGCTGCAAACGTGCGCTTCCATATCTGTCCTTGAATCTCCACGGTTTCTGGGTACATCGCGGACTAGTGCCGGCACAATAACGGTTGAGAATATCAGCCGAGCACCACGAGCGCAAAAGTAAATGTGGAAGCCATTCGGTCCAATACTTGTAAAGTGGAGCCATAAACTACTCGTCCTGTTCAGCGATGGCACGGAATTCGGCGACTCAAGCGTGCTCCGAGCAAGCAAATATCAATACCGCAATGGCAATTGGATTCATCTCGGCTTCGCTCTGTGAGTGGAGGGACATGATCAGCACACATCACTGAAAAGCCATCAGTTAGAGTGCGCTCTCATGCTTCTAGCGCCTGAAATCCAGCGGCAGCCATCGTACCGATTCGTTGGGATCAAAGTCCATGGTCGTTCTCTTTGTCTTTGAGCCACCCTGATGCCGAGAACAGAGCGGTGGTTGGTCGACCCACTCCACGTTGACCAGCCAAATCCAATCAAAGCACTTTCATTCACGATGGCAAAGCTCCGACGGCGCACCCATTTGCTCTTGAATAGACTTCCGCTCTGAGCGCGGCTGAGCGACCTCTTCAGACTTGGCGTCCGAGCAAAGGCATTGCTGCTGCGCTTGGATCCATCGATGGAGCCGCGTTTGTCAGCCCTTCGGGAGCTTTCTTCGGCCAGCTTGATTCCTTCGGAGAAAGCATCGATCCACTTGTTTCGGTCGTCTTCCAGCAAGCAAGAGAAGCTCATGACATCCTTTTTGTCTCCAACAACGCCCACATGAAACACAAACTTGTGGCCCTTTGGCACGGCCTCTGGAAGTGTTGAGCAGGAGCCATAAGCACAAACTCGCTTCACAGGAGCGACAGCAAGTCTGCACGGCGCAGGGCTTGGACACTCGATGTTCACTGATGTCTATCGAAAGCTGATGGAGTCAAGCTCCTTCTGAGCACTCAAACGTTGACTTGCCTGATCGCAGGAGCTCTAGGTCGGTCAGCGGCCAGACTGTATCCAACTGGTACTTTGCCTTGGTGATTACTTTGCATATAAACAGCGAGTCACTGAAGAGCACAATGTATCGCTCTTTTGCCTTGTTACCCATGATTTTGAAGACGGGTCCGTCCCGAAGTAGCTTTTTGCCTTCAAGCTGGAGCGGCTCCTGGACCAAAACGAATCTGTGTGTCAGAGCAGAGACTCTGCTTTCATCGGGACACTGTCCCGCAAATTACATCGATACTGTGGCAAATGTTGTGTCTGTGCGTCTGGCAGCGGTGTAGCATCATAGCTGTCCAAACAAAGCCTCAGCCATGAGATCGGACTCACCCCTGCACCATCAATCTTGGATTGGAGTGTCAGGATCCGCTCCTTCTCTCCCAGCAATCGCGTGGCTTCGTTGACGAGTGTAACAACAGCCTCGATCTTTTCCATAGCAACTGCCAGGGAGCCAGAGTCCTTGCTGGTTTTAGGTGTGTGTCGCTGGAGTTCCTTGATCAGCAACGGATATCTGGGCGTGCACACGGTGCTGGATTAGTCACGATTTCCCCTTGAGCCGACTCCACACATGGCCTGATACCATCGATGGGAAATGCCTCGTTGTCGCCGAGACAATGCACGCACTTGCATATCCTCTGGACAGGCTTGATCTGTGTCATCAATGTGGAGTGAAAGTCTGAGATCAGGACAAGGTCGCACTGTCTCCAAGAACCAAGCTGCCACAAAAAATGTTGCAGATAGCAGGCTTCGCGCACGATCCAGCGACCAATCGGGCACACACAAGCCGACGCCGATCGTTTGAGGGTCTCCAGGTGCCCGGAACGGGACGGACTAATCATGCTCGCTACTCGAGCCCAAATGGATGGCCGAAGATCGGCTTTGGGCAGTACGCACCAAGAAGGACTCGAGGCTCAAGCCGCGGCATTCAGGATTGCTCATCCATTGCTGAGCAAAGCAGAGATTCGTAGTCAGTGCGGCTATCGTGACCAGCAGCCTTTGAAGCAGCTGCTTGGCCGAATTGATCGAGCGACGGGAGGGGAGACGTACCTGCAGACACTCCTTGAATTCAGGTCGACTCTTGGCTATTTCCGAGACAAGCCGCATCGCGCTGGGGTAATTTCCACAGTACGACTGATACACCTTGAGTCCTTCCGAGGATTCCTGGAAGGCATCGCCTGTGGAGATAAACAAACAAGTCAGGGAAACTATGGCAACCGGATGGATAGCTTGGTACTTCTAAACGAGGCGTTGTGTTGGTGTAGCATGCTGCACATATCGAGATGCTGCAGTCCCAGCATCTATTGCAATTTCACAATCGCGCAAGAACTCACCGACTTCTTCAATAATGGGATTGCCGTCTCGCTTGGCAACAAGCAGATCTACAAGTTTCTGAAGGAGGGGACATGCCGTTCACAATTTAGTCCAGGAGCGGCATTGTCATGGACGTAATTGTTTCCAATGGTCCTCAACAAAGTCACCAGTCAATCCATCCATCGATACACGTGACTGCAGCCTACTTGGTTTGCTGGGAGCAGGTCCTCGATGTTTGAAAATATCTGCACCACTTCCTCTTCGGTCAGGATCTGCTTGGCCACGGCTTCCTTTCGATGGATCTGCAGCGGAAAAGTAGGGGCGCAGACCGACAGAGATTAGACGCTCCTCTCCAATCGTGATGTCGCCGGCACAGCGCACTGGCCACATGTCGATGGCATCGGCTTTCATATACTCGTCGGCGCGGTGGTGCCCACATTGATCATCACGGACAGATCCCGGACATAGTCTAGCTCGGTCTCAATGAGCTCGTAGACAACCGAGAGTCGCATCAACTCTGGCTTGGGCAGGCCAGCATTCATCACTTCAGCAGGAAGCTTTGCAAACAGCTTTGGCGTGCTTGGTGTCTGTGGTGCAGCAGCCTTGTTTTGGTCAAAGAATGGCTCGCTGCTGGATTCCCGCTGATGTGACCGAGACCTCGAGCCTTCTTCGGGGCCGGTATCGTCGGTGTCGACATCGGTGCTGCTCAAACCAAACGAGTGGCTTCTGTTTCGCGAGCACTCCAAGATCTTCTCGATAATGTCACTCTGCTGCGTGATGAGGTCGCCAAGTCGGTGTGCGATCGAGTCAATGGCTGTTTGGAACTCCTCTGGCGACTTTGGCAATACCAAGCTGCCCATTTCCGCCGACGTTCGATGCTTGACTGTGTTAGAGCGTGAATGCGACTGAAGAGTAAGGCAGAGGTGATTGTGAGCGAAACCGATTGCAACGCATCCGATGCAACTCAGGGCAAGCATGCTGGCCGCCAATCTCTCTGCAGCGCTCTCGGAAGTGCTTGGGCCGTGCATCCAGGCTTGGATGGCTCTGCAGCACCGCCAGCAACAAACCTTCGATCCAAGCGAGTCCGAGAAACCAGAGAGTTTGTTATTATGTGCCTCGAGCGTGTCGAGTTTGGCATAGATGCGCTGGATGGGATTGGTCTCGGCTTGGGACTCGGTACGCTCGGTGTGGTGCTTTGCCTCAAGCTGAGACAGCAGGCTCCGCGGGGCACTAGACTCGCCAGCCCAGTCGAACAAAGCCATATTCTTGGACTCGGCTGCGACAGCCAAGGCAAGCAAAAATTGTACCATGCTCTCGCAGTTCTTGCCCTGGACAAAATCCAGTGCTCGAAAGCTGTACTTTTTGTCGACGCCGAAAGCCATCGATGCTGGGACCCAGACGGCGTGATAATCCACGAAGAAAATAGCACAGGGCAGGAGCATTGCGTGATGTAATGGCAAAATAGAGAGAGGAGTGAGTTGAAGAGGACGGACAATAACTCGCTCCACATTTATGTGTGGCTCGCAAATGAGAAAGATGGTCGCGGTGAGGGCAAAGCAACGAATACAGCAAGATACACCGAGAGCCTTGCGGACTCGACATCCAAATACACATCTGATGGCACTCCTACCATTCAGAAAGCTGCTCATATTTTCGACATAGGCAAACGTGGTCTTTCCATCATTGATTGATGTGACGCTGTTCGGGGCGAGCACGTTCAGTAGCCTGCAAGGGGAAACGCCGGTACGCAGCGACTGAAATGCGCCGAGATCGTCTCGAGGTGACTTTGAATCGATCGGGTCTGCTGCTTGCAGGGAGCGAGTTAGCCTGTACAGTGAGGGATCACGGTGTTTGGAAGCAAGCAACACATTGATGAGGAAAGACAGGATTGTGTGCAGGTGAGCCAGCCAGGCGCGCGGGATGTGTGAATATGTGGATATGATCATCGACAAGAACCAAGTGTCGATATGGATGGAGACAAGATCCCAGTGAGAATCGGTCGTTCGTATCCGTGGCCCACAATGACCCTGCTGTCATTTCTCGGCGGTTCACACACACAGAGAGCCCCAGGAACTCACTCTTTCACCCACTCGCTATGTCACACGCACTCTCATCAGCGATGCTTACCATGAAGCAATGAAAGACAGAGCCTTCGGATACGGCTCTATGCTCAAGGCGGAGACATCGACAGGGGCCGATTGTGGATCACCCAGATTCCGAGGTACAGAGGCCGAAGTCGGGGAAGGCGCCGTGGAGGACGGGCTGCCGAGGGCCTGTAGAGGCGGAGGTCCCGATGGTGGCAGCGGGAGATGCAGTCCTGATATTGTGCTCATGGCTCTGGATAGATCGACGAGGAGGACGACGAGCAATGGTTGCAGAGTAATGCGCGCTCTGCTGTCAGGCTGATGCGGACGGGAGCACACGGAATCGAACGGCTTCAAAGAAAGAAGAATAAAAGGGTCAGATATAGAATTGATTCATTTTTGGTGGGGGGTGGGTGGAAGGGAGGAGCGGTGAGGAGAAGCGAAAGGGCGAGTGGAGCCACCTACAAAGGTTGTAGGTTGAAAAGTATTTGCGGATGAACACCAGGCTTCCCACAGACAGGATGATGCTGATAGAGGGCAAAGGATCAAACAGGGCGGCAGCTGATTAGACCGAGCTCGCCGTGGAAACCAGATTGCGATAAATGAGCGGGAGAATGAGAGGCGAGCCCAGGTACTAGAGGGCGTATCTCGATATTGCTCTGGGATCTGTTAGTCCACTCCTTGCGAAGCGGCGTAACCCCGTCCGGTGCTCCTCCCCAGAGCTCCCATGAACGCGAGCGATTTTAGCGACGGATGAGAATAACCCACGCGATTAGGCGAGAGACCGGCTGCGATGTGATGCGGAGGGCTCCAGTCCTGTACTTCGGTCTTGGTTCCGTTGGCCTGAGGAGAGGGGTTGCGTCGACAATGAGAGTGACGGCACGTTGAATTCGGATGGTGGCTGCTGGGGATTTGGGCAGTCCGCTCGCTGGGGTGAACGGCACTCGACTTGCCAAGTGAACTGGAGGAAGATGCAGGTGGGAAAGCAGGGTATCGCATCCAGGATTGCACGATGAAACAATTGATTTGACGAAATGCACCCCCCCCCCTGGCGCTTGTCGTTGCACGCCGACGTTCCCACTACTACTCCTGGCAGCCACTTACCAAGAACCGCAGAGTGACAAAGGGTGAGGTCAGAGGGCGGGAAGAGAGGGGGAGGACGCAAGTCAGGAGACCGAGATGTGAAATATGCTTCGGCGTAATCGCACATTGTGCCATCTTGTCCCCTTCACTCACCCGCTCGCACATCCCCACTCGCACCCGCGCATACGTCCACACTGACAACAGCTCGGAGTACCAGTTGTGCCCTGGCATTGTGGCTACATTCCTATCATGCCAGGTGGATGATTGGGGGGTAGAGCAAGGCGAAGAGGATTGAACGGCCGTGCCGCATTGTCCTCTCCCTCCTCCATCGTTTGAACAGGCGGCTCCTTCGTTTAGCGAATCACAAGCTACTCCAAAGGACGAGCTGCATGATCTTGGCTTCCGTCGCTCTACTTCCCAAGACTCAGCGTCCGGCGTTGGCAACACCCCCTGCTCGGGAAGAGCTCGCTGTCTCCAGGGCTCACCACAGCGCTCAAAACAAAAAACGGGACACCTGATTCTGCGTCAGAGCTGTGGCCATTTTCGAGACCTCAAGACACTTCATCCATGACCAGCGAGCCTCACTCAGGGACGCACTATCCCACTTCGCTCCGAGCAAGCTGTAGGTGTATTGAGCAGCCGGAGAGGAAAGGAAAGAAAAACAGCGATCGCCAGTCATCACGGGATATCCCCACTCCGCTTCGCTTTTTGTGTGTATGAACGCTGTGGGATAGAAGGGCATTCGCATCGTCGTGTGAAAGTTGCTGGCTGGCTGGTCCGTCCAGAAGCCCTCGACACTTACAGTCGGTCCGGAAAGAAACGGGACAGTCACTTTCTGGCTTCAGATGTCTGAAGCCCGCTGACTGACTTGTAGGCCCAGCGGGTAGGCCATGGCATTGCACTCCTGTCTTCGTTGGCAATCTCTTTGTTTTGGTTGGTTTCGGGAGCACAGTCTTGAATACACTCGGTCGATCTCCTGTGGCGATGATCGACTGGCATACCGAGATCATATTCCTGGCTGCATTGACGTCTCGATCCCACAGCGTATGGCAGCTTGCACAGCTCCGGACAAAGTGTGGTTTCTCGATATCAAGATGCTCGACCTTATCGAGTCGCTTGGCTTCCCGACAATGTGAGCATACCTGGAGATCGAGTCGCTTGAATCGCCGTCGCCGGGTCAGGCTGAAGTACAGCTGTTTGTCCAGCATGTCTCCATCGAACACATGGCGAATGTATTGCAGGAAGGAAGCCAACCCGGGGATCTTGGGACTTGGTGTGGTGCTCATCCATTCCTGCAGATCAAGGGCCTTGTGGGTGCTCTGGATCCACTTGGTCGCCTGGCTGGTGTCATTCGCTTGCGGGGAGCCATCTGGCGAGAAAATAGCGACGATGGCTGGTTCTGCCCTTGGGGAAGAAAGAATCTCCTCAAAACCAGCGCATTTGGGCTGGCAGTGATGCCCACAGTGGCGTCCATGATTCAAATCACAGAATCGCATCACACAAGTGGCCCATTTGCGGGTCATCTGGTCACTGAATGCAAGCGATGGCTCTCAGTGCAGCCATGAATGCGATGAGTAGGTGTGTATTCAGGTTCCGGAAAAAAAATATATGTCCTGGTTAAAAACGGGGGGTGTCCCATTTCATTTTGGAAACACTTATCTGAGCCGACTGTAGCAGGTGGGAACGGACGAGACGATCGCAACCGGCAGAGGCAAGGCCTGCCTTGACATAGAAGGACCTGGTGACAAGTGAGGTGTGTCGGAGAGAGAGAAAAAGAGAGAGGGGAGTCGATGACCCGCATGCGCGAGTCGTCATGGGCTCAGCCTTCCAACTCTTATCCAAACCAGACCACATCCATACTCATCCAGTCACATCCAGTCACATCCAGTCGCAGCCAGACACTAAAAGGGCAGAAAAAAAGGTCCCTGGGCCCGAATCACTGGGAGCTCGGTCTTGTCATCACGGTCGCGATCGACGGCTACCTCGAGAATTCAGCGTCCCAGCGCTAGTCGCGGATCCATAGCATGTCGCATCCATGCTGGCATGGGAGGACCGTCGATGAGCGATAAAACTCTGTGAGTACTGTGAGTGATCTGCGGAGAGCGTGTTCTGAGGGCCAAATCAAGCGCCAGTACATGCAAGGCGGCAAAAAAAAGGGGGGTGTGAGAAGGAAACGCTGGGATAGAGAAAGGAGCAAAGGCGCAAAGCACAGGAGCAGTTCGAGCAGCCTCGAGACGATCAGAGGAGGCTGCAAGACGTGAGAAAGGTACGCAAAAAAAGTAGCCAGGATGAGCAGAGTGGGATACGGATGCGGATACGGATTAGCGCCAAAGTATATATAGACAAACGTCTGGCGCGAGCCGACACGGCGACGTTCGCTCACGAGAGCCGAGGCACAGCAGCCGCACGGGCGACATCGCCAGGCATTCGCACCAACCAGACGAACAAGCAGCCCAAACCAAATCCACGGCCCTGAAGAAACATCTAGAGATGGACGCGAATTCGTTTGTGGCCGCCCATGGGTTCGATGGACGTCTGGTCTTGTTCTGGCGACAGGTCCAGCCGGCTTGCGTGACAGTAGTCCCGCTTGCGCTTGCTGGGATCCTCCGGGGAGTGCAACAAGCTGGGCTCTCGAAGCGGGTTGGTTGAAAGCATCGAGATGCCCGAGCGGGGCAGGTCGAATGCGAGGCTCAGCGGGTCTGGCGACGCTGGGCTGGGAGGGAGAGACGAAGTCAGTCCGGGCAGCGACAGCGAGGCGGGCGACTCGATAGAGCAAGTCGAGGGGGTTTCTTCGTGGGAAGACTTGGGACAGGCAAATCCAGGCTCGGTCTGGACAAAGGACACGAGCACGGTGGGTTCGAGCGGCTTTTCCAAGGCATTGGCAAGGAGCTGTTTTTGCCGCATGGCGTGCTGGGCCTGGAGGATCTCCGAGACCTTGCAGAGGAGCAGTGACGACCAGGCGGTAAAGGTCTTGTGGTCGACAAAGAGCCGGTATTTGATGGCCTTGAGGAACTCCATTTCGCTGAGATTGATGTCGGTGGTGGCGAGCCCCGAGATCTTGGACCAGGCCTTGTTGGAGTAGTTGCGGTCCTGCAGGTACTTTGCCGACACAATCAGCGAGGCAAGGAACATGCGTCGGCCGCAGTGGCAGGGCTTGGGGGTCGAGTCGGGCTGCTGCATCGAGCGCTCATGACTCGAGGCGACGGCGGCACGGATCCGGACAATGTACAACAGTGCCAGCTGAAGGGTGGTGAAGGATGTGCGCGACCGACGCAGGATTTCCTGGATGAATTTTCGCAGAGGAAGGAGCTTCGCCTTGGGTGAGAACGAGTGGTTGGGCCAGATGGACTCGATAATGGCGGCCGCAGTATCTGGGGGAGGCGAATGGTGGCGCACAGTTCACCGACAGGGACACAGCACATAGCACGAGTACAGGCACCACATACGATGACGCCCAGTCCAGAGGAGATGGTCAAAGCGACAGGGTCAGTCTTCGTCAACGACACGCCCCAGGTCAGCAAGGCGCCAAGATGGAGTTGGACCATGAGCCGCGGCAAGCGCTCCACACGAAACAGCAGCGAATGACCTGGCACGAGCCATGCCTGCGGATGGGTTTGGAATGCAGCCATCGGGCACGGTTCGATGCCGATGACATTGCCGCCCGAGATAGCCAGACCAGACCGGATCCGTATGCATCACCGTATTCGCGTGAGCGACCACAGTCATGAGGAGCACGACCTGATTCGTCAACCTGATCCGATCCGATCCGATCTGCAAGGGATAGCCCTTGACCGCCGTAATGGGCCGCGTGACTCATGACTGCATCGACAGCAACGACGACGACAACGACAATCACAGCAATGGACGCAAAGCGAGGGTGCTTCGTCAAGCCAAGGCACGCAGGGGGGACGGGGCCCACGATACAGACCTACAAGGCTCTCGACAAACTCGGCTTTTCGGGGGACCAGAGGGTCCTGGGGTGCACTCGGGTCGGCGACAGCAAGACTGGCTTCGACAGGAGCGCTAACAACGCCTTGGGAGGCAGGCGTAGGCAGATACGTGCATGAGGAAGAGTTGAAGGAGTACTGAAAGTGGAATTTCGAGAGCGGGAGCTCTTGAAGCGAGCAGGGCTGGATTGGGTTTTCGGCAAATGACCGTGGGTTGAGCTCCGGGAGATTCATAGTTTGTCCGGAGAGATGGCTGTGGATAGTAGGAGGGTAGGGAGTAAGAATGTCGGGTCAGACGCCATCACGGATACAAACGGCTCGGACACTTCCAGCGCCACATGACGCGTGGGAAAATCTTTGCATGACTTGGCAGAGCGGCAAAGCAATGGAGCAGTACGTGAGATCTGGCAGTGTTCCGGGGTGGGCGCCGAGCCACGGTCCAAGGATCGTTTCCACAGAGCCTCGGCTGGGAAGGATACCGAATCCAGCACAGCGATCGCCAATGGCGCAATTCTGGTTGAGCTCCGACGACGACATCGTTGGGCTAACGGAGACACAACAGGTGTCTTGTCCTAAGGAATCAGAGGGCAGCAAACTTACTCTGGTTAAATAATTGCTTGGGAGATTTGCAAGAGAGGCAGTTTCTGGAGCAAATTGAGCAGTAGCTGGTGCTGAAGAGACAAGTTACTTCAAGGAGCTTGTTCTTCAAACGGGTAAAAACCGGTGCAATGGCGAGGGAGGGAGGGAGGGAGGAGCAAGAGCAGGAATGGCAGAGGAAGAGAGAGCGAGGGATACAGGCAAGGAATAGTATAAATCGGCAATCAAAGGGAGGACGCGGGATGCGACAGAGAGGGCTTAGAGAGCCCGCTCCGCGGCAGCGGCGGAGGCCATGGGGGAAGTCATTTTGTGGGGGGGGGTGCAACGAGGCAGAGATAGGTTACTTAGTTATCGTGATAGCAATACAATGTCCAAAGGAGCCGAGTTACGTTGATAGGAAAGTAGTTCCACACAACGATAGTTAAGTCCGGGGGCGAGAGTCCAGGGCGTAGAATCCAGGAATTGGGTTTGGATAGTAGTTTGTGAGCAGGTGGGGAAGGGCGAGAGAATGGACAGATCTAGGCAAAGAGTCGGTCCAAGCAAGTAGATGGGAAGGGGGCAGATCCTTCTTCTTCGATTCGAGAGACGAGACGAGACGAGACGATAGAGTGGGATCCGGGTTCGGAACGAGAGTTGCTCAGTCGTGTGAATCCTTCTGAGAACGAGGCAAAGGAAGGATGCAAGAACAAAAAGCAACTAATGTGGCGGGAGTGGGGAGGCGAGGCAGTGGCGGAGCAGTGGAAGGGGTAGCTGGGAGAGGGCGTGAGATCGACGAGTGGCAAAGGGGGGTGAGGAGGCGGCGGTGGCGGAGGAGGAGCAGCGGTGATATCAATTCCCGAGTTCGATGAGAGAGAGAATGGCAAGAAAAGGAACGGGGAAGGGTGGGTTTCCTTTTTTTTGCGACGACGTGAGGGACGGAAATTTACAAACAGTGATGAAAGCAAGACGACGGAATTTTCAACGGACAAGCCCTTTCTTCACGAAAGGGTGGCCAAAGAGCGGGAGAGCAACGGGGTGATGGACGGTGCCAGGAAGTACGAGGAGGTGATCGACTGATCAGCAGACAGGACGGATTGACGAGCGAGACAGCGGCGACAGAGGCGGAAGAGCGAGGGGCTGGAGACGGGAGACAGAGAAGACGAGGAGCAGAAGCGTCGACGGCGAGAGTGGGCGAATTGGTGGGCGAGCTGGTGGACGAGCTGGTGGTGGGCGAGCTGGCGAGTAGATGGCGATGTTGGGTGTTGTCGGCGAGTCGATGCAGGAATGAAAACTCAAAGGTGGTGGCAGCGGGAGAGCCGAGAAGAGTGGCCGAGAAGAGCAGCCGGGAGAGCGGGCCAGCGAGAGCGCGGCGAGGACGCGGCGTGGACCTCGGGGCCGAGTGCCGAGGGGCGGTGGCGGAGCGAGGGGTGTGTGTGTGTGTGGAGGCTGCAGCTTGTTAGGGGCACAGTGTGAGTCGCGTCACGTGGGCGAGTGCGTCTCGCCGGCTGCTCTCGGCCGCAGCCGCGGCGTGGGACTCGGCCTCGGCGCCCGGGGCGAGAAGCGCTCTCGCGGGGTCCTCGGTGGCCGGCATGCGAAACCGGGTGGGACAGTCGCTGCTCCCTTGCTGGATTTTCTGCCCTGGCCGCCGCGTGGTTACACCGCCGTCTCGCCCCCTTGTTGCCGCTCTGCTTGGCTCCCCCGAGGCTGCCGCAGTCGGGCAAGGTCCCGCCGCTCTCGCTGCTGCTCTCGCTGGTGCTCTCGCTGCCACAGGGGCCACAGTGCTGCAAGCGCCAGCTCCGTCTCGGCCGCCCCCCCGCTCTCGCCTGTGCCTCAGCGAGGCCGATCGTGTGTGGCACAGGTGCGCAGCGACGCACACACACACACGCCTCTGGCCCAGCCAGTGCGCGGCCAGCCAGCGCCGTTGGCGTGGGTCTGTTCCCGTGTCTGCCCACGGGACACCGGGCCATGCTCCCACGTGTCTTGCATTTCCCCATGTGTCCTGCCAGCGGCGGGTCACATCGTGGACAAACTCGGCTGCTGGACAACCCAACCCAACCAACCAAGTCGATCGATCAGTCGATCACCTGGATGGGCGACGTCGGCTGGTGTACGAGATGTGAGTGCGTCTCGGTGCTATGTCCCGGACGAAGCAGATGTACCTGGTGGTGGCTCGGCTGGATGTGGTCGCTCTCGTGGGAGATTGCAGGCCGAAGCACAGCACATGGAGAGGATTGAACCGGCAGTGTTGCGAATGCTGAGCGCCCGCGTAACGATCGAGCTACAGAATGTCGATTGATCAATTGGCCATCGCTTCGTTCGGCCAAAGCGCCCGGCTGGATGACATTGCACATTCGCCGAGACTTCCCATGATATCTTGTCGATATCGCTCAACCCATGCAACCCATGCAACCCATGCAACCCATGCAACCCATGCAACCCATGCAACCCATGCAACCCATGCAACCCATGCAACCCATGCAGCCCGTTGACATATCAGCCGCGTCTCGCTTCAGGGCTGCCAGCGCTGCTCCCACGGCGGAAAAAACTGCTCCCACTCAGCCGAGGAAACCACCGGCCAGCAGCAGCAGGCGACCGAGGAACGACAGGCATCCAGCGCCGATGTTAGAGATCTGTTTTGGGGGGCGGAATACACACTGCCATCGTTCGCAATGCATCTGTCACTTTGATTTACTGACATGATGCAGGGCAAGGGCCGTGTCCAGTCCCGGAGGTTGCGACGCATCAAGCGCTCTGAGCCGTCGCCGTTTGTTCCTTCTTGCCTCCATCCACATCCGTCCACATCCGCATCCATATCATCCATCCACATCCTCATCTGCATCCATCCACATCCATCATGTCGTCGCCGTCTCGGGCACCCGCAGAGCTCCTCCGTTCGAGCCTGCTGAGCCTCCCGCTCGAGATCATCATCCACATCTGCTCCTTCCTCGTCGACGATCTCCGGGCGATCCTGCACTTGGCCCACGTCTCTCCAGAGTCTTTCCACCTCCTCACCCGATCGTCCTTCACTTTGTCGCTCTGGCGAGAGACTGCCTTCCGCCTCCTGGGCAGAGACACGGCGCTATCCCTCTTTGGACACTATGTTAGGAATCGAATGCTCCCCTGCTATATTCCTTCAGGCCGGCGATCCGAGGCTGGGTATTCAGTCCACACGCTGCCTTCGTCAATGGCTCGCGACGATCGGCCTCTTCACAACAACGACTCCTTCGAGCCCATCCTGTGGTATCGCATCGTCGTCGGTAGCAGCCTCTTTTGCCAGGCGTGTTGTCGCCTCTATCCGCTACCGGACCACAGCTCGGATGTCGATCCTTCCACCAGAGTGACCCTTGCCTCGGCTCTCGCGGCGTGGTGGGGAGATCGCTGCTGCTGCTGTTCCAAGATTGAAAACAAAGCGACATTGCTCCGGCTTGGGGCTGAGCTCACCTTATCGGATCCGGCTCGCCCTTCCGCTTCCCCCGAGTCCCCATCATCCCGAACATCCCCACCCCGCCGGTCGCTGGCCTTGATCCTGCCGGATATGCTGTCAGACGAGCTCTCCGACTGCGGCAACTGCCACTCGCGGTTCTGCTGGTCCTGCCTCGAAGATCCCGATCGTGTGGCCTTTTGCTGCTCTTGCCCCGAGAGCTGGTCCAACTTTTGTCCGCTCTGTTGGGAGGCAGTCTTCCCGGCATGCAGCAAGTGCCGCCATCGCTTCTGCTCGTTTTGTGAGCATGTCGGTGCCCAGGTGCCTGGCGAGCCCGAATATGTATGTATGGACTGCGAGGGAATGGAGTGAACAGAGCCAATCTATCTCCGATGCAGCGTCTTTGCATCCCCTCTCCATCGGGCCGTGCGTGGGAGTTTTAGTCAAAATCGACTCCAGTTCGCACACATACCATCGCACCCGCACCCGCTTGCACTTTGCACTTGAGAGAAAAGGGGGCAGCAGTCCTATTTGTTCACGGAGACTCAGGATTGCCAAGTCTTTTGGTCAGTTCCACCATCACCAGAGACGACCATGTCCCAGAAAGCACGGCGAGTGGCCCGACGGTCCTGGTATCGAGAAACCATGGACCTGTCCAGACGGCCGAATGCATATTGGGTCCCAAGACTGTGCTTCGCAAACCAGCAGCAGGCAGCGGTTGATGTGCGAAGGACGCTCAGGGACACTGCTGCCCCATTTCTCAGATCGATTCATTCCACAAGTGAACTTGAGAACGGTACTGCTCCGTTCGGCATCGACCCTGTCTCGAACAACTTGCTTCGGACTGACTTTTGCTGCTTGGATCGTTCTGGCCACCAAGAAGCTCAAAAACTGACACTATCCTTTGATGGTTCGACAGGGCGTTCGTCAAGCAAGATGGACATATGTCGTTGGAGCGGGTCATACCCCCCCCGCTCTTGCCCAATCAACCGATTGCTCTGACGTCGTTCGGCCTTGATGCAACGACTTGCTGCACCGTTTATAAGCGAGCCTTGGCTCTGCTCGGCTCACAGCACCAGCTTTGTCTCGGCCGTCTCGTCTCCGTGGTAAGCGCCGCTACTTGCTTCGATGTCTGTCGCCCTTGACTGTATTACTTTCCCGCTGTCTCCGTCTGCATAATTACTCCACTCGCTCTCCCACTCGATCCCCCACTGACGACTGAGCTGCGGGTTTTGTTCCAATCGCTGGACCAGGTTTCTTTGCTTTCGTCCATCCACGTCGCTGTCCCGCTCAACATGAGAGTCCTCGTCACCCTCGCCGTCGTCTGTTCTGCGATCCAAGTGGCCGTGGCCGACTTCCAAAAGACCCAGTACTTCTGGGGCAATCTCCAGCCGTCGTGCGCCCAAGTCTTCCCGAGCCTGATCGTCGTCGAGCAGTCTCGAGACGAAGGATGCAACGAACAGTACTGCGTCGCTGGAAGCGACGGTGCCCAAGTCTCGCAGAACTGCGGGCTGCAGGTCTACCAGATGGCCAGCGGCGATCTTCCCCAAAACTCGATTGTCGCCAAATTCTTTGTCAACGACGCCACTTGTGGCATGAACGTCTCCTCGACGACCGTCACCGAGTCCCGGATCATCGGCCTGAGCTCCGTCGGATGCTATCCGCGCAGTCTGTTTGCACCCACCACCCAGAGCACCGCTGCCTTCGAGTCGGCGATGGCCCTCCAGATCCGCATGGGCTTCACGGGCTCGGGCGGATATGTGTACTTTTCGTGCCAGGCCGGCGTCGGCCCTGTCGTCCAGGTCTGCGATGACAGCGACTGCCAGGTCAACTGCCGCACCGTGCGCACTGCCATGGTCGACAACACCTGCACCACCTACCAGCAGGCCTATCTGGACGACTCGATCCCCATGAGCATCTTTTCCCGCTGCGTCGGTGTCCCTTACAACAACTCTGGCAGCCTCGGCACCTTAGCTTTCCAGCTTTCGTCCGCACCCTCTCCGACCATGTTCCAACAGGTAAGTCATGCCAAGATGTGCACAATCGCTCCCGCTGTTCCATCTCATTGCTCTCACGACCGGTTCGGTTCAATCTCGCACATCCGTCTCACCGCTGCCTCTGCTTCAACTCTTCTGTACCTCCAGTTTGCCATTCCGGCTCTGGTCATGCTTGCCGGCACCCTGATTCTCTCTGGATTTGTCTGAGCGACCTGCCCTGTCATCATCGCCACCCCGCCCCTCTATCAAACATAGGCACGCTGTTCTGGCCTTCTGGAAGGCTGCTGGGCTGCTCACTCGTGCTTTGAGTGACAATCTGGGAGGAGGGCGAGGCGGCCATTGCTTGTTCTTTGCTCTCTGTTCTTTGCTCTCTGCTCTTTGCTCTCTGCTCTTTGCTCTCTGTTCTTTGCTCTCTGCTCTTTGCTCTTTGTTCGACTCTATCACTCTTTCGTATCCATGCTGGACTGCACTTTGCCATTTGATTTGTCGACTTCCACAACTGCGACTCCACCCCAATTGCACTGCACCACACATCTCTTCATCACTGCATCCCCGTCGGTGTCGACATTGCCCATTCTGGATCTCATAACACGGCAACTCTGCCTCCAATATCCAAATTGAAGCATCATCCCTGCCTGTCTGCGATACGGGACTGATCCTGGTCAGGGTCTCGGGAGTGGCACCGTCGACATAGAGCGCCCGTCAGTGGGAAAAGTAGATGGGTGCTTGTGCGCTCATGCACCAAGGGCAGACCTGGCCACGCGGATTGAGGAAATCAGATCAGACCACAGTCTGATGACAGCAGTCCGTATTTGGACAGGCCTGGAAGCATTGCCACTTACTCGTTCAGCCATGACGAATGTGTTCCAGTCCTCTTTGTTGGCATGCCTGTTGCAGGTGGGACACTTGACCTTGTTTCTCAAGACAGGATATCCTGTTGCAGTCACGACAAATCAGACAGGACGAGTGCGGAAACGGGCAATCGGTATTCGGGGCAGAACTTGCACGCAGAGGGATTGGTGGTGGGACAGACGTGGACGTTCTCCGAATCTACTCTCCTCTTCTGCCAAAGCGGTATACTATCCAGCAGACATCCGGCCATCTCCATCGATCCTGGTGGGCACTCCTTCTGCATTTACCTGTGATTACGCAAGGCTCGTGGGTTGTGTGGCAGTTGTAGCACACCAGCGACGCATCGTACAACTTGGCATTGCATTCCTCGCAGTCGCGGCGGTCGACTTCCTGGGCCGTCTTTTGGTCCAGAGAGACTTGCAGAACCCAGTCGCGGACCTCTTCTCGTCTCGACTCCTGGTTTTGTCGTAACAATGTATCAGCACTGAGTTCTGTTGCCATGGGCCGTGGACTGGGGCACGGTTTACGTGTGAAGGGGATTGCGACCATAACACGGAAGGCTCAGCGATTCACGTCTTCAAATCCCCCCCCCGATTCGCACACTTGCCTGGTAAATCTCCTCCGGTAGCTCGATGTCGAATGGCACATCTGTGTTTTCAAAGTCGGCGTTCTCTAGAAGCGAGGCGTCGCCCTCCTCAATAGCTTCGCTGATGTCAATGTATCGGTTCCAGCAAACAAATGCCATGGCATTCATGCCAGCACTCTGGACGTGTGATCGAGCGGGCGAGCCAACGATCAGGACGAAACAGCGAGATAATCAGGAATCTGGCCCAAAGTTACCACTCACGTGCGGCCGAGCCAGACCCAGGCTCACGACCGGCGCTGCCCGTACCTTTGCCGCCTCTCCGGCTTCAAAGAAGGCACGGTCGGCTGGGATGTCGCGAGAGTACCGAAGCAGACTGATGGATTGCTTGGCAACAAAATACGCCAGCTCCCGTTTCTTGGAGCAGTAGTTTCGGAGGTTCAGCAGATGCGCAATGAACAGAAAGGTGTGGAACTCGGGGTTGAGGTTGCTCTGAGGCTGCAGCGTCGATCCGTGAATCTGTTGTGGAAAGGACAGCGGCGACGGTTTGGTGCCAGGCGCCGGGGTCAGCGTTGCTTGTACATCGACACAAAGCTGGCAGCAAGGATGTGCGAGCGCGCCGATTCAACGAATTCCTCGGGTCATACCAGCTTGAAGAGCAGATCTTTGAGAGACGCCACCGCCGTTGGTGCCCGTTGGTGAAAGATCTCGCGCGAGAGACGGGCATAGACATCCAGGTGGCTCGATGTCGTGAAGATGCCCCACTTGAGGATGGTTTGGACGCACTGCTCAAACTTGCCTTCTTTGATCATGGCAATGCTATATGTGATCAAGTACTTGCCCAGGATATCGGATCCCTGGGCGGCAGAGAGGGGAGCAACAAGCACGCTCAGCATAGACAGATTGACGGCTGCCTGACTAACCGTCCACCCGCCTCCCTCCTTTCCACCCGATCGATCCCGACAGATAAGGCCTTCATCCCTTGGCGTTGGCGTACCTGCTGGCTTGCCTTTTCAAGGCACTTGTCCCATTCTCCTCGAGATGCGTACAGGTCGATTCCTGCCGCCGCATCGACGTTCACCAGGACCTCGGCCTTGCCCTGCTTCTTCAGATGGGCCACATATGCATTCTCGACGTATTCAGAGTACTTTGGCGCCAACGTCAGCACGGCGCGAGCCTTGTCCCAGAGCCCACCCATAACGTAAGCGTCGATGGCATCCTTGTAAAGCTCGACGCCTGCAAAGAACTCGGCGGCGTGCTGGTACCGCTTGATCTCGATGAGTCGGCTGCCGACCGCCGCCACCACTTCCTGGCCGCGCTCGGGGACAAACTTCATCGCAAGCTCGACGGCCTTCTCCCAGAGCTCTTCCAGAAACTCGATGTTGTTTGTCTGGCTCGGAGTCATCTTGAGATACACGTCGATGGCGCGGGAGTAGTCCTTCTGCTGCTCGAGCATGCGTGCCGCCGCAAGCATCTCGTCTCGCCCAGAGTGGTTCTGCCCAGAGACGTAGCGGTCATACTCGTCGTGGATCTCGGCCACTTTGTGGGGCAGGTATTCCTTGGTGAAGTTGATGGCCTCCTTCCACATGTTGGCGTCCTTGTAGAGCTTGATGGCGATATCTGGCCGCTGGGCACGCAGCAGCAGGCACTCGGCCTTGGTGTATTCCTTCTTGTCAAACACGACCTTGGCCTGCCCGATCAGCACCTCTGCGACGCTGTTGGGCTCGTATGTCTCAGCCACCGTCAGGGCCGCATCCCAGTTTTCGTTGTGGATGTACATCAGTATGGCTTCCTTGGGCTTGCCGGCCAAGATAAAGGCTGCCTCCGCCTCCGGGAACTTGCCCTCGTCTTCCAGGAACATGGCGTGCTTGTAGTGAACATCGGCAAGCTTGTACTTGTCGGCAAAGCGCGAGAGCTCAAAGGCAAAGTCAAAGGCGCCGTTCTCGGTTGCAAAATCAATGGCTGCATCGAGCAGCCCAAACTTGGTGAGCAGCTTGACTGCGCTCTCGCCGCCAAGCGAGCGTGCCCACAGATAGGCCACCTGTTTGGCCGAGTTGGGGCCGCCGTAGGCTTTTCCGATCTGTGCAAAATGCTTTGGAGTCAGCATATTCACTCTGATGGACTGCTCAGCCTAGAGCTTTGTGGGAGCGCAACCGACTTGTGGGGGGTGGAGCGCAATCGTGTGCAAACGCACACACAAACACTCACCCGATACGCATCCTCGTACATGTTGTTGGCACAGTACATGTTGATGGCGGACTTCCAGTCCTTGCCTTCGATGTAATGGTGCTCGGCCTGCTTGAAGTTCCCCTCGGTCTCGAGAGTCTTGGCCAGGTAGAGGTGCGTCTCGATGAGCAGATCCTTGTGGTACGAAGTCACCAGCCGGATCATCTGATCGTATTGCTTGTGGTTTTTGTACATATTGATGGCCAGATCAGGCTCACCGACGGTCAGGTACAGCTTTTCTGCGTCCTTGAGTTTGCCTGGAGTTGCTCAGGCGAGTCAGTGCGATTCCGAGGGCGCATGCTTGATGCAAGTGCAAGTGCAAGTGCGAGTGCAAGTGCAAGTGTGAGTGCAAGTGTGAGTGGACTTGCCTTGGCCTTCCATCTCCTTGGCCTGCGATATGTATAAGAACGCGACCTCCTCCGCGGACATGTACGTCGTTGCCAGCCCGTGAGCCTTTTCCCACTTTCCAGCAGAGGTATACATGTCCACGGCGTCCTGAGGACGGCCATAGGCGACAAAGTATTTCTCCGCCAGAGCATAGTCATGCGTCTCGGCAAAGTGCTTTGCCAGCTGGATGAGGTATGGGCGACCGCTCTCGATGGGCTGCAGCGAGTCGACGATGCTCGTTGCCTTGCGCCACTGTAGTTCAAAAGGCAGTGCTGAAGGTGAGCTCGATCGTCATGATCTGGTCGTCGGATGGTACACCATGCCATTATCCCTGTGCATGCCAATGGCTCGGCGGCTCTCCGATCCAGGGACGCAACAGAGCTTGCACGACGAGATGCGAGCGCTGGATGAGCCACGGTGACAATAGAGACCCAGCGGTGGTCGTGGGCGTACCTGCTTTGATGCAATGGCTGCCTCAATGGCCTTGAGTGAGCACCCAGCCTCAATGTAGTGGTTGATGGCGGCATCCATCTGCTTTTGAGAGACGAGATGGTCTCCCCATTGCTGGAACGGTCAGGGGCAGTGTCAGCGGAGACTCGCACACGTTCATGGCTCAACGCTGGTGCTCGTTCATTGCTCAGCACTGGGACACATCCATGGCTACCTCTTCCAAGTGGATGACCTCTTGCGGGAACAGCAGTCGCGACAGCTCCACGGCGGCCCGGAATGCCTTGCCTTTCTTGTATGCATCGATGGCTCGGTCGGCACTGCCGAGCTTTTCGTATAGCTCGCCGGCCTGAGATGCAACCAGATGCGGGTTAGCCCTCTTCCAGGATCCATACACAACGACTGTGACTTTGCAAATGAGTTGGGTGCATCCGACAAGGCGAGGCGGTCGGACATGACCAATCACAGCATTCGCATGCTGGTGTCAACCAGTCGCGGCGCGCTGTTCCCACACTCCAGGCCAACTCACCTTCTCGTATAGCCCAGATTTGAAGAGGGCGGCGGCGACTCTCTCCGTGATTTCAATGTTGGAGGAAAGATTGTGTTGAGCGAGCAACACAGCGGCTCGGGCCGGCATGCCTGTTATTGTTGTCGTTACAAGATGAAGCAAGTCAGAACCGTGTCTGTGGCTATTGGATATTGGATTTGGCTGCTGGATGTGTCTGCAAGATATCGTGGTTCACATGGAGAACAGGGGATGGAGCGTGCGTTGTACGGGCTTCCGTCATGTTGACAAAGTCTCGCGGCTGAGAGACCACTGGATGCTTACCTCCTTTCAGATAGAGATTCGCCGCGGCAATGTAGTCGCCTTCTTCTTCCTTGAGCTCGCCTGTGCAATCAAGCGCCCGTGGTTGTCAACAGTCGCATGCCAAGAGTGAGGAGTTCCCTTTCAAACAATCAACGTCGGGTCCCAGACGAGGTTGCTTTCAAATTACGAGTGTCTTGTCGTACCAGCTTTGTCTTCCTGGTTTGACTCCAAGAGCCACGAAAAGTAGTTGCGTCTCAGGGTCTCCAGCTCTGGATGGTTCTTGGCCTCGGCCACCTTGATGGACAGATCCCACTTGTGCATGTCTTGGTACATTTCCATTGCCTCTTCTATTTTCTCCTGTGCATTGGTAGTGGTGACAGGAAAATCGGGTGTCCCGGCAGTCAAGATGATGGCTTCGTCGGAGCACGCTGCTGAAGCTGGACGATCGGCAGCACCAAACAGCGAGTGTATTGCTCGGCTGTCCAACGACGTCAGGTCGATCATACCTGGTCCAGATAGATCTGCTCTGCAGCCATAAACTGCTTCTCGAGGATCGCGAGTTTAGCTCGCACAGCATAGTGCATCATCTCGTCCTGACAGAGTTGCGAATCAGATTAGATCCGATGGAGTCACAAAAGCAAAGCTTCGACATCGACCGACGGGGCCAAGCAGTGCTTGTTCTTACAATGTGTCCCTCCAGTTTGAATTCATCGATCTGGATGTTGAGCTTGTGCAAATAGTGTGTCTTGGCCACGTCGCCGAGGGCTGCATAGCATCTGAAAGTGGAGGACGCTTGAGTCGTCGCTGCCCGGTTGATGCATAGATTCTACTGATGAAACAGCCATCCGGCTTATACCCTCATTGACATGCATGGCTTGGGCTGCTATCAGCATCGCCAATGTACTACCTCTCGGCAATCGGGAGTCTCTGGTCCTTGAGGGCCATGGTGCTCAGTGTTTTCCACATCGCCTCTGTTTCCGGCGTCAGCTCCAGGGTTTCGAGCAAGAAGACCGCCCTGAAATCGATGTATGCACACCCAGTCGGGCGTATCAACGATAGCGACTCAATATAGATGCATCATAGCTCTTGCTTTACAGCTTTGCTCACTCACCGTTCGTAGTCCTTGTCCTCGAGAGCGCTTCCGAACTCAATAAGCCCCTCGTCCAGAGTGTATGACACTGTGTTGACGCCTTCGTCCACGATGACCTCGGTTCGTCCTGCAGAGCGCTCAATGTCTTCGACCTCGCCCTACAGCGATGGTCAAGCCGTTGAATGTCAACTTGCCAGGTGGCTCGCGCCACACCCCACAACCGTACATCTACAAGATGAATCATATCCGCCTGGGGCTCACCTTGATGGGAAACATGGTCACTCGCTCAGGCGAGTCGATCGAGTACCAAATGCACAGATTTGATCGACTTTGCGCACAAACAACGTCGCTGTTGGGCACCCACTGGCATTTGTCAGGCCACGTGTTAGTGCGCTGAAACAGCGGGTCAATGCACACCGGCATCCAGATAAGGCCAGAATGTTTGGGGGGGGGGAGTCGACGAGCGTAATTTCTTTTCTGATCAAGAGCTAGTGTGTGCGGAGAACGAGCGCAGAGGAGAGGAGAGGAGAGGAGAGCCGCACGTGCCTGGACATAGCTGCAGTAGTGCAGAAGAGTCGTTCGGGTCTGGGTGTTGATGTCGTAGAGATGCAGCTGCCTGCGTTTGTCTCGAAAGAGGAGCTTGTTGGCCTTTCCAGAGAGCTGCCGATGCCACAGCGAGTCAGCGACTCGGTGAGGGAGCATGGGCCAAGTGTGCGCTCTTCCCGATACTCTTCCGTACTCAGAAACCCATAAGGAGCAAGGGAACAAACCTCAAGCCAATCGATGTTGGCATTGTGATTGATGTCGGCAATGTTCAGTCCGTTGGTCAGATCTAGAATATGGATCGTCTGCAGGTCGATCAGGTAGGCGATGCGCTTGACTTCTTCATCAGATCTTCGCTCGTTCAGTCGCACACTGGGGTGGTTGCGATGATGGTTATGATAATGGCCATGGTAGTACGGGTTAGATGGGCTGAGCGATGCATCCAAACGGCCTCTCTGTGATCGAGGGGGCTACATAAGCCCGACCAGATGCCGACCTGATCAGATGCGGATTCATGTGCTCGGTTCGACACGATCCTAGTATCTCGTTCACGCCATATGTACTGTCGAGTGGTTAAGGATGAAGGCTGGAAACAACGATCGCGGATTGGCGCAGATGCATCCGGTCGGGAACGCCAAAGTGAGGTAACAACAACAACGACAAAAAGGATATTCGACAATCGAAAGCTCGCCGGCGTTGAAGACCATGCACACTTGCGGGTTCTCAAAGTAAAACTTTTCGTTTGAGCTTCCCTGCCACGGAATCTGCGGGTGTTCGGCATGTGATGACTCAGCGGCGATAGTGTTCGTGACGGCTCTACGGGCTACCCCATATGCCTCTCCCTTCCCGACAGAAACACGAGCGAGCGTCTCTGTGATGCGTTGCTGAGCCGTGCCTAGTGTTCATGGGCTGTGGCCGAATGATTCAATTTCGTCTTACCTCGCTGAGTTTGCAGCTTGCGAGATCCCCCATGAGCAGCGTGTCGGGTGTGTTGGCGATCAGATACTGGTCTTGGAAGATGTTGACCTTCTGGATCTCGTATCCGTAGTGGCTCTTGAGGACGATGCGGCTGCCCGTCGACAGGCGCTTGACGATGACCTGGCTCGGCGAGACATAGGTGAACTCAAACTTGCCCTTGTACTTGCTGCGGCGCAGGCAGCAGTCAAACAGCTCAACGGCGCCGCACATGCTTCCCTGGGTCAGCCAGAAGGTTGATGAATGAGCGCCGGGATGAGACCTTACCATGCAGTGCAATGGCTCTGCGCTTTCCCAAACAGTTGCTCCCCGTCCGAGCCACCTCAGCCACCCACCACGACGAGTCGGGAGCCGTCCGGCTTCCAAGCCAGAGACGACACGGTGTAAAAGTTCTCGATGATCTTGACCGGGGCTTCTTCCCAGGTTCCCTTGGAGCTCTGGTAGTTGTATATGTGGAACCTGCGCCCAGTGCGTGCGTGGGCATAAGCAAGTCCATTAGTTTTGACACTTTGTGTGGCTCTGATGATGCTGCATGAGGCCCAAATGACCCACCTGTTGAAGCTGCCGATGACGACGCTTTGGCCACTGGGGCTGAATTCGGCGACAGTAAAGTCTTGCTCTTCGTCATCTCGACTGTAGTCAAACTCCTGAGCAACACGGCCTGGCGGTGCAAAAGTCTGGATCAGCGTCCTTGCTCCGCGATGGGAGCGGTCGTGAGCAGCGGCGTGCCATCTGCTCGGAGCAAGCCCGGCCGAGCGACCCGGCAGATGTACTGCACCTTCGTTGTCGTAGAAGACGACGCATCGGTCCGTTCCAGCAGCTACCACCATTTCACCCCAGCCCAGGGCGCTTGGGGGACAGCGATGGGTAACAAACTTGCCCTGTGATGGCCATCGCATTCATATTTGCAGGTGAATCGGCATTTGCATTTGAATCAGGTGTGAGCGCGGTGCGAACGCCTTGAAGCCCAGCCGGTGACAGCACAATCAAGATATACCTGAGAGGCACCCGATATGCCGTCGTCAAAGAAGAACCGGTTGATGGAGCCGTCCATATGGCCGGTGATGATGGCGTTGCCATCGACGCTGCTGGACGCAGAGATGACACAGCTCTCGCTCTGGTAAAGAGTCGCTGCCTTGTTGGTCTTGAGATTGCCGACGCGCACCTATGCCAGGGAATGCCGGGAGAGCGAGCCGACCATCGAGCCATATAAATGGAGTCGACGTTAGAGCCATGGGTTGCAGAGTGGAGCGAATTGCGCCCAGGGTGGCGAGACAGCAGGGAGAGTGCTACATGTCCTGTCCGGCGAGGTTTACCTTCCCATCGGCCATGCCAAAGACCAGGGCATTGTGCTGCTCCTTGGGCCAGGTCAGACAGGTGATTTCCGCGGTTTGGATGAGCTTGTTGCAGATGGACTTTTTCTCACCCCACTCGAGGCCCAGCTTGTAAACAAACACGATGCAGTCGGACTGAGCGATCGCGAGCTTGGTCGAGTCAGGTGAAAATGCCATCGCGCAGACATAGTAGCTCTTGCCGGCCTGGAGAGATCGCGGACGCGAATGGGGGCGACAATTGATGACGAATATTGCATCAGCGCGAGCGGCGTGCGATGGCGACGAGTCGGGGAGAAAGCAGCAGAAGAGTCGACAAAGTCTGCAGGGGGGCCTGAGTCGGAAATGGCGTCGGCGAGTGGTGCTGGCCCACGGGTGGTAGGAAGTGGAGAGCAGCGACGTAACGGAGGGCATGGAGTACCTTTGGATCGGCTGGCTTGGTAGCGAAGCGGTCCTTGCGCTCGCCCGTCTCGTCAAAGAGCTGCACGACCTTGTCGCTTCCCACGACGGCGAGCTTTTGGTTGTTTGGAGACCATGCCAACGCGGTGATTCGCGAAGGAAGATCCGCGGCAGGGATGATGGACTTGAGATGCCTGATTTGCATGCCGCTGGGATCGAGGACTTGTGTATGCGGACGCGGGAGTGGTGCTGAGTGCGGACGCGGCTGGGATCGAAGCTGTGGTGTGGGGCGATATGAGAAAGAAGAGACGGAAGCGAGACAGGCCGGATGGCGGGCGTGGGTGTGATCGGCAGGGAAGCCAGCAGGAAGCATCGCAGGAGCAGGCCCGGTCGGTCGACCGGCATGCTGATGCGAGTGCTTGGATTCGGATGGTGGAATGGAGTGTGGGTAGAATGGAGTGTGGGTGGAATAGAGTGTGGGTGGAATAGAGTGTGGGTGGAATAGAGTGTGGGTGAAGTGCAATGCAGGTGGCAAGTTACAGGCAATCCAATAAAAAACGGGACACCCGGGTTTTTGACCATTAATCGAATATTTTGTTACCCAATGTTATCGCGCGCTGGCCATGACCATTCGCCAGTGTGTCCAAGAGCACCATCCATCGATGGCACCGAGGATGCAAGCTGGATGACCCATCCCGGGTCCCAGCTCGCAGATCCACTTTCTTCGAGCAGGCATGTCCAGTCATTCGCACCCTGATTGAACAGGACCCGTTCCAGACTGGTCCTGTGTTGCGATGCAAGCTCGAGTCCATCCTCCAGAGGAAAGTATCACTCTCACTCTGCCACACTGCCATCCACCGAGCAGGTCTCTCACACAAGAGGGCAACACACCTCTACAAGTCCAAGCGACTGGATGAGCGAGTGGCACAGTTCAGGGACCAGGTCCGCTCCATCGACCCACGGCGATTCGTTTTTGTCGACGAGACAGGGATCAGGAGATCCATTTTCCCTCTCTACGGATACTCACCGAAGGGTGCTCCGCTTCGCCAGCGCAATCACATGAAACACAAGTCTGTCTCGGCTGCATTTGCCATCAACCACTCTGGTGTGCTGCATCGCATGTACATCCCCACATCATTCAAGACACACTCGATGGTCGAGTTCTTTGAGCGAGCGAGCGAGCTTCCCAGACGACTCTGTGATTGTGATGGACAATGTCAGCATGCACAAGACAAGGGCTGTCCTGGACTGCATCGAGCACCGTGGATGGTCAGTGATCTTCACCCCACCTGCCTCGCCCGACTTCAATCCCATCGAGAACTTCTTTGGGATTGTGAAGCATCAGTACAGGAAGGCAGCAGCGCTGAATGCCTCCGAGGGGTTCAGGATCGGGATGGTGACCCTGTTTGAGTCTGCCGTTCGGAGGGTGCTTCCAGATGTCTTCCCACGGCTGATTGAGCGAGCGATGCGCTTCTGGGGTTGAGTTCCCTCCAATCACCCCGCCATTTTCACGTTCACATCCCTGGCTTGAACCTCTCGGCGATTTTTGAACAGGTCGCTTCCCCAACCAGCCCGCGCAGACGGGTTCCTGCTCTCGGGTATAAATGCCACACCTTCGTCCTGCTACTTTCTTCCCTCATCTCGCCTTGATCTGATCATCGCGCTATTGTACGATAAAAAAGTCTCTGTTCTGACCCGTACCACTGGCAGGCATCCAGCATCCTCTGCCCCCATGCCTCCGAAGCGTAAGGGCACCGGTGATGGCCAGCCTCGGCCACCCAGGCCCAAGAAAGCCAAGTCACAGTCGGAGCCTGTCTCTGGTTCGTATTCTGATCTCACGCATGCTTGGTCGTCTGTTGCTCCGTCGCTCACCACCACTGCTTCTGCAGATCCAATGGATGTCGATCCCACCGAGCCTGGTCCATCTACTTCCTCGAGTACCGGCAAGCGATGTCGCCAGTGCGATGGCACCGATCACGAACGTTGCAACACCAGCAAATGTCCCAAATACCGGCCCCTCAAGAGCTCTGTCGTCCCACTCGTGGATGGAAGGTCATCCGCCCCTCAGTTCAGCTGCTTCAAGCAGACGATGGATGGCTGTTGTCTCAATCCCGCTCTCCGCGACAAGATCCAGGCCACCGTCGAGGCCATGACCCAGATCCAGTTCGAGGCATCCAGGCTGCTCAACCTGCACATCCTCCGGTGCATCGAGCAGGATCTTCCCGTCCCCGTCATCTCCAAGTCCACCCCTGCTTTCGTTCGCCAATGCTTCAAGATCGTCCAGGACGGTGCCCTCTCCCCGACCGGGGACAATGAGAAATACAACGAGCATCTGGTCGCTTCCTTTCGCGACTACCAGACCACTCGGCACGCAGACCTGCCTCCGGCCCCTCGTCTGCCTGATGGTGCTCACAGTCAGCTTCTCACACTGGCTGTCAATGCCTATGCCACCAACTGCACCACCCACCTCGACCTGGCCTACTGGCGACTCCTTCGCCGCTTCTGCGCTGCCGTCTTCCCAGCCAACAAGCATAAGCACGAAGCCATCGAGGCCTGTCTCGAGCTCTTCGAGAAACCAGGGCAGACTCCACCCAAGGCCGATCTCGAGTTCCTCTATCCCGAGTTTGGCCACGTCCTGGACGAGTTTCGGTACAGCAACGACCAGGACCGCTTCCGGGCCCTCCATCGCCTCTCACACCATGTGAGAATCCTCGCCCGAGACAAGATGGTCGACAATGTCCACAAGTGGATCGACTGTGACATGCCCGCCCTCCGAGTCACCGAGCTGCAGCGCCAGGCCAAGCTGGACAAGCTCACTGCCCGAGGCATTCCCTCCGACGACAAGAGGTTCACCAACGCCAAGTCTGAGCTCGGCACCACCAAGTCCAAGATCAACAAGCTGGCATCCAGGATCAACTGGGCACTCAAGCAGCTCGCCGTCGACACTCCTCCGGCCGTGTGCGCGGTGGTCCCTCTGTGCACAGCCAAGGCCAAGTGTGTCAAGATCGACACCGTCGCACTCTGGGAACTCCTTGACACCGAACATCGTCTTGGACTCACATGGGGCATGCTCAAGGATGAAGGTGATGACGGCATCAACAACCAGGATCGTCTCTGGCGCAGCTGCTTCAAGCTGCGTAGTTCCCTCTTCCAAGAGCGGGACGTGAACAAGAAGCTGTTCAACTACGAGATCAGCACCGATGGCATTGGATGCACCATCGGCCTCGTCAAGTTTGTGCGTCGAACCGATCACACCGAGACCATCGAGCCTCCTCCGACTGCCGAGCAGCGCATCCAGGCCCACATCGGTGACCCAAACCCCAACCGCACCACTTGGATTGGCATCGATCCTGGAGTCGGCTCCATCTTCACTGCGGTCATCCAAGCACCGGGCCACCAAGACGAGGTAGTCTCGTTCTCCAATGCCCACTACCAGCAAATGTGTGGCCATACGTCCAATACTGAGCGGCACAACACCATGAAGTATCGACTCGGCATCGAGACCTGGATGTCGACCACCCCCTCGCCCAAGATGTCGTCCTCGGAGGCTTTCAAGGTCCATCTCGCACATGTCCTGCGACCGGAGCTGCGAGTGCAGCTCGACTTCCACCTTGGCAAGAAGGCCCGTCACCATCGCTTCACGGGCCACAAGAGGCGCCAAGTGGCCGTCGACAGGATGTGCAAGGCCGTCCTGAAGCACGCCCCGAGGGAGAATGATGTGGTGATCGCCTTTGGCAATGCGTCATGGCGTCAAGGCAAGGGCTATGCATCCAGCCCTCGGAGGCAGCGGTTTGCTCGGTACTTTGAGCAGTTCGAGCACCACCGACGCCGTCCCAATCACCATCATGGAAGTGTCAAGGTAGTCTCGGCGAACGAGTTCAACACCTCGCAAGTGTGCTCCAAGTGCCTGGAGCCAGTTCGGTTGGAAGGACTCGATGCGCCCAGTGTTGCGAATTCCCACTTTGTCAGGAGCTGCAAGAATCCCAGCTGCCGGACAGTGTGGAATCGCGACGTCAATGCGGCGCGCAACATGATCACAGTATGCAGGTCGATTGTGGAGACCAGAGAGCGACCGGCGGTCTTCACTCGGAGGCTGCCAAAGTGATCTGTTTTATTTCTTGTGGCTTTGCTTGACGCAAGCACAGCACATACTACATGTTCATGGAAACGGCTATATTGTCCCGTTTTTTTTCTGAATAAAGTGTACTCTCTGATATGCGCATTCCGTTTGCGAAAACAACGATGGCACATGTGCATACAAACATGTTGACACCAAACGCTCTGTATATCCCCATCAACTCACTCTGCACCACCATCACCACACTCGCCATCATTACAATCTACACCACCATCACCACACTCGACATCACCACACTCGACATCACCACACTCGACATCACTCGACATCATTACATTCGCCATCACCATCAGCACTTCCATCCCCGATCGGCAGCCTGGTGTGTGTGTGGATCCACCCCGGCTCAGCTGACCGCCGTTTGTTCGTGTGGGCCAACACAGCAAAATCCGTTCATCCTCTGGCCGAGACTACCTTTGGCATCTTACCCGTCGCTCGTCAGTCGCTCGTCAGTCGTTCGTCGGTTGCTCGTAAGTCGCTTACCCGTTGCTTTCCGGCTGCTCATAAGCTGTTCGTAAGTTGCTTTCCGGCTGCTACGGCTTCTTCGAGACCCCGGGCGTCTCCGGGCCTTCGTCCTCCTGGTCGCTTGTCGGATTCCCTCGGATTCCCTCGGACTCCGCCCTCGCCCCGTCATCCGGATCCATCGTCTGGCTGCATCGGCCGCTTCCCCCCCCCCAGACCTAACACGTTTTTTTCGCCTTTTGCTCAGGGATCGGCGTGCCCTCGTCCTGTCTCCTTTGCTTTGCCGTTCTCTGGCTGCACAGGTCTGCTTCCCCTTCTCCTTGGTCTCCAGAGGTCTCCAGAGGTCTCCTGAGGCGGTCTCCCCCCCCCGCCCGATTTGTCCATCGCCAACTGGCTCCAATCGACTCACCCGCTGTTCTTCCGGGCTGGTGTTGGGCTGCCTCCGAGATTCGTCGTCGTCGGCATCTCCCATCGGGCCGCTGGCGCCTTGTCTCTTCCTCGTCTCTGCTTTGCGGGGCCGCATCGTTGTCGGCTCGTACTGATCTGCTGCTGCATCCGATATTCCTCTCGTCTCTGCCGCCATCGGTATCTTGCTCGGGTCGCCGCCGTTGGTATTTCATTTCATCCCATTTCATCCCATTTCATTTCGTCACCGTCACCGCCATCGTCATCGCCGCGACCGGTGGTGCTTGCTTTTGGACCTGCAGCACACCGCCGCCTTCAGTCTCGTCAACGGCCCTCTCCCCCTTCTTCGGCACCAGTCTCGCCCGTCATTCTCCCCGCTACTTCCACATCGGCCCTGCCCCCGCTGTAGCCGGAGATAATGTCGTCTGTGTCAGTGCTCTCGGCCTCCTCGGCCCTGGGCACCCAAAAGTCGTCGTCGCAGGCGCTGGCCTCCCATCCTCCCAGCTCTTCCGAGTCCGACGACGACGACTTTGCCACCACTGGAATCCCCGATCCGGCCCTCCACAAGCAGCTGCAATCCCAGGACTGGTCGGCTCCGCTGGCCGATGTCAACTATCCTTTCTTTTCCAAGGTCGGGGCCTACTACTCCACCAACGTATTTTCTGCCCGCGATAAAGAGCTCCCATCGTGCCAGCAGAACCAGCTCTTCCTCGGTCCTCCGCAAGACGATGTCGAGGGCTGTGTGCTCGATCCCAACGTCGAGCCTGCGCGGCAATATATACCCAAGAAGCGGCCGGCTTCGTTTTCGGCTCCGGCTCCGGCTCCGTCCGATGCCCATCACGATCCCCGTGGTAAGTCGGTGGGCCCCACGACTATCGCTGCGTTCGTCCGCGCCGGTCTTGGGCCGTTGCTCGGGCTGTGCCAAGATAGCGCTCCTCGGCCAAATGGGAGCAGCCAGCCAACTGGCATTTGTAATCTGGCTGCTGCACCACCGGCTCGCAGTTGCCTCTATCGTGCAGAGTTCCAGAACGATGCCTCCGGCTTGGCTCCGGCTGGGCTATAATGCCGTTGGTGGACTCAGCGTGCGATTTGTGTGCCTGCACGCTCGGTTTTTGGCTGACCATCATCGCTCGCTCCGTGCTCCCCTGAACATCGCCCCGACTGGCCCTGTCGCCCTCAACATGCTCTCGAATTGTCGTCGTCTGTAACGAAATGCACCACCCACTCGCCACGATCTACCTTGGACGGATGGACATCGGCCCTGCCCTCCTCCAACTGCGACCCAACACATACCGTTCGACCCTTGCTCAATACCTCGGATTTGCACACCAAGTCTCCGTCGACCCGCACAGCTGGTCGCATCGTCATGGTGTCGACCACTGGGACCCATCCATGTCTGGATCGGACCCTTACGACTCACAGCCGTCGAAACGGAGATACCGAATGGCCGATACGGATGCATCGGGGCCCGGACGCCGCGATCGCTCGTGGCACGGCGGCCAACACGCAGCCCTGTCGGGTAACGTCCGGTCCGAGTCGTATCCTCCCCGGAGCACGCAGTCGGATGATCGATTCGAGTCCGAAAAGGTAGCCATATCGACCTAGATCAGCAATCCCATCCGGTCCGCCATGCAGTGCAATGCACATCGTCCCAGCTCGCTGACCAGCCAACGCCGGACATCCCGATACGAACGCAGTGAAGCGCTGTTGGCTCTCACTTTGATGGGCTCTGGCAGCCCACCGAGCCCATGTCTCACGATCCCTTCTCAGACTGACACTCCAACCCCTCTCCTCCGCGCTGCATCACCCTCGCTAGACTACTGTCGATCCAGCAGCCCCCGCCTTCGTGTTCAAATCGCTGTATGCAGAGTGTCTGAGGCTGATATCGGACCTCCCAGCACCGCCGAATCTGGACATGGACAAGCTTCGGTCACTTGCACCTGCCAAGAAGCCGACTCTTGAGGCGCCTTGCCCCGTTCCGGCAGCATTTGTTCACATGTATGTACTGGTTTGTGTCGACGGGCGCCATCACTACTGGACCAGCATCCCCGTGAACTTTGGTGAAATAATGCCGTCACCAAGTACACCGAATTGCTTCGAGAGCTCGATTGGGGTGGCGTTGCATCCTCGCCGTGGCTGATGGCGATTGCGCATACGCTCGGTCTGGGCTAACCCAGCACCATAACAACCCGATGCTCCCCGCACTCATCGTTACACCACAGGGATGTGGACTCGTCCGCCCCCAGTATGGATACGAACGACGTCGACGTCCTGATGAGCGACGTGCCTGCCTCGGATGCTGCACCTCTCGAGACCGCGACGTCCGAGGCAAAAGCACCTATGGACCTTGTTCCGGAACCTGCGCCTGCGTCTGCACCAGAGCCCAAGCACATCAAAATGGAAATCGATGTCGTCTCCGCGGCGTCAAGTGCTCCGCAGGTCAAGACCGAGCCCGCCAGCCCCGTTGGCGCCGACAGCCACTCTATTGCCTCGGCGGCTCCGGCAGCCATGGTCGGGGTCAAGACGGAGGTGGAGGCTGTGCTGTCGACCAAGCCGACGTTCAGCTTCCGGAAGATTGGGGACCGAGAGAGCCTGATTCTGTCGTGGCAGAGTCTGCCGGATCTCTCGAGCATCCAAGTTCCGAAGGAGCTGTTGGTGATCGGCATGGCGGAGCCGGCATCTCGTGTTCGGCGGGACTCCTCGATCTCGCGGGCGAACATCAAGCAGGGTAAGCAGATTGCGGTCTGCTTGGTGGCGTTTTGTGGCTGTGTCATCCGGTTTGCATAGATCTTGTCGCCACCGTCGCAGATGCGGTGCATACTTTTCTCCTATTGTATTGGTCTCTAATGCGCTTTTTGGACTCGCCCTACTGTTTGAACAACCAGAATCGAGTGCCGGGCATGCTCGGTCTGCTGCGACGCTGTCCAAGAAATCAGACTTGAGCTCGGACCGAAAGGACGGCTCCGCAAAGCGCAAGGAAGCCACACGCGACCGCAAGGAACTCGTGCATGATCGACGGGACTCTGCGTACGACCGCAAAGACCGCTCGTATGATCGCAAGGATCGCTCGTACGATCGCAAGGAGACCGGCCACGATCGGAAAGATCCTGCCGTCAAGTCCGAGATCACCTCACCTCGGCTGCACTCAAGCCATCATCAGCACCACCATGCTGATGATCGGCCGAGCGTCCTTGGCGGCGCTCGCGAGGTGAAACATGAGACGCAGACGACGAGCCGATCCAGTGGCTCGAAGAAACACAGAGACGATCCAGGCGCCACTGAGTCTTCAAAGCTGAAACTGACGGCCAAGATGACGCCTGCATCCGCAGCCGCCAGCGACGGCCCGTCACGGACATCCGCTCGGTCCGATACCCCTCAGCGGCAACAAGGGCTGCTGGATCCAAGCGTCAAGCAGCCCTCTGGATCAAGGCCATCGCACGGCGCGTCAGAGTCCCATGCTCGGTCGTCTCTGTCTGCTGCCAAAGATGCACCCGGTGCGTCAGTGAAGACCGAGGGACATAGGCTCGACAGCAGCGACAAGCACGATCGCGACCACGCATCGAGTACGCGGCCTAGACGACGCAGCGGATCGGCCATCCCGACCATCAGCACTCGACCTACCGCGAGTTCCGATCGATCGGCTTCCAACGTTACGGACGAGCAGGGTGGATCGATCAGGTCGCCGACAAGCCAGACGTCAGGTGCGGCGGCTGCTTCATCTGCTGTGTCGTTGGCGGGTCGGATAGCAAGCCCCGTCGGCGATTCCAAGACGCCCATCAAGCGCATGACGCTCTCAGAGTATCAGAAGGCCCAGCCGACACCACCGAGTGGCTCAGGTGCAGATGGAGCTGTGATGTCGCCGAAACCAAGGTCCGAGCCCAAGCACATCAACACCGCCGCCCCTGCCACCCCCGCCGCCCGCAACATCAATACCACCAGCAACACCACCAGCGCCTCCGCCAACAACACTAACAGCAGCAGCGCCGGGCGCGAGCTGAACAAGGACGAGCGTAGCCGGCAGTTCCGGCGGCTGTTCCGTGCGCACAAGGAAATGTGCAAGCAGATCGAAGTGTGCGACAACAGCAAGTCGTCGTGCATCCACTCTTTCGCATCGATTCTGTTCCTGCTTCATGCTTGGCAGGTGGTGAGTATTACTGGACTGGACTGAGTTGGATTGTGATGGATTGTGTTGCATTGTGATGTTCATCTCGGCGGGGCATGGGTAAGGTGCACTGAGTGAATAGCAAAGGGCTGTGGACTGTTTGCGCTTGCGGCCAGCCTCAGTCCCGCACTCGCCATGGCTGTGAGTCAGCGCTCCTATGGCCTGTTCCGTCCTTCCGATTTTTTCTTCCTGTTGACACATGCAATCCCTCCCTCGATCCAGGAAATCGACAACCTGCGAACGACCCGGAGCTTGGATCTGGCTCATTACGTCATCGAAACGTGGCCAAAGGAAAAGGGATACATGCGCAAGCGTATCCAGGTGCTGCGGCAGCCAATCCCCGAGCTGGCGATGTTTGGGTGAGTTCTGCCGTCTTGCAGGAAAGGGATGAGTGCAGGCGGTGCTGTTCGTCGATGTGCATGTGTATGTGCATATGTATGTAGAGCCCCGAGAGATGCAGAGCTGCGTCCTTGGCGGCATCTGGGTGTGCAAAATCACTGCCCTTTTCTCACCCTCCGACCTCCTGCCACGTGGCATCCGCCAATGGCGCCCTTCGTTGTGGTCCCGGTGCAACTCGTGCAGCGACCGGATCGTAGACCTGATCCAGTACGAGCTCGGATGCGCCTTCCCAAGCGACCTGGGTGACCGCGATATGACGCGCAAGTTTGAGGCGCTAAAAATGAGTATCGAGCAGAAGGAGGCGGTCGATATCTCCACCGTGACAAGTGAGTTGAGCTACACTGCACTGCACTGCATGGCCGCAGTTGAGGCCGTCGCTGGCATTTTGGAAACGACGCAGCAATCTCTCTGTGCTTACTTGAGGCAGGCGGGTCGAGGTGGGAGGTGGTGGACGATTTTCTCTGACCTTGGCGACACAACCTTCATCAATCCACCAGAACACTTTCCAAAAGTGACGAGTCTCGCAATCGGCACGGATCTGCAGTATGCCCTGAGCCTCTACCGCGAGTGCATTGACGAGTACCGGCTGAGGCACCACATTGCGTTCAACTTTATCAGCTTTTAGAATGGTCTCGAAGGCCGGGCCCGCCCGCCCGCAAACAGCCAAACGGTACCGATGGTTGGTCCAGCCGGTCGATCAATGCACCCGTCTCCGTTGGATCTTGGACAGCCGGACAGATACGTCGCATAGCACGGTGCAGCGGGACACGACGCAATGTCCTATGATGCGATGCAATGTGATGCGATGCGATCTGAGGTGATAGAATGTGATGTATGGGATGCGATGTGTATGATCTGTGTGACGTGGGTGTGGTGTGGTGCTTTGAGTACAGTCTTGGGTCTCAGCGTCATGAAGGGCCTTCTTGTCCGGTGCCGCATCGGCCATCTCTGTCCTTCAGTTTCCCCCCTTTTTCACAGCCAACGCCGAAGGTGCTGCAATGTCTGAGCCAAAGCGAGGCGATAGTCGCTAATTTGCAATGGCTCAGGGGCCGACGGTCGACGGGCAAATGAGCGGAGCGGAGCGTGTCCACTCGGGTCCTCTTTTTTTCATTCAGATTGAATCGGGACGCCCTTCCTTTCCAAAGCAACCGATTGTCCGTGTAGACGGGAGAGCCTGCGTCCAAAGAGAAATAAACCGATCCCTTGAGAAGTTCAGTGAATCCTTGGGAATTTGCTTTCCCCCCCCCTTCTCCGTTGTTACAGTCGACTAGCACGCACTAATGGGTGGTGCGTGTGGGTGTACTCGCGCCCTGGAAAGTATTGCTGGAAGGGCATTCCCAGTTTCATTTCGTGAACGCTGTATTCGGTCGCAGAAACATGATCGAAATTACAGGCCGCGCATGGAGACGGAGCGACAGGTTGATGGACCGACCGACCGACAGACAGACAGACAGACAGACAGACAGACAGGCATACAAGAAAGAAAAGACTTTGAGGCACGAAGGGATACAAGAGCTTGGATGGATCGATAGGAAGAGAGCAAGTCAAGAGCATACAAGCAGAAAGACGAGGGGCCCGAAGAAACGAAGGTCAAATCAAATCAGGCAGTTGAGGCGCAAGCGAGAAGGAGCGAAACCATAGTTGTTGGTGGCAGGAGTTGTCTGTGCTGAAAGGAACAGGCCAATAGGCCAAACCGCTGGCGATGGCGGCATCCCTCGGCACAGGCCCTGCAATGAGAAGGTTGATATCTAGATCCAGAGATGATCGAAAGACAACAAGAGGAAAAGACGCCACGGCCAATGGCACGACCAATGGGCTCGGCGGGCTTGGCTGTGCAAACGGTCATGCAGGGTTGCCAGGGGCGGAATGAATACAACACAGCTCCACAAATCGATCCATCCACCCGCTATCGTGGCGGCCAAGACGACCGGGCCGGTAAGCGGCTCAGTGGGCATGACGATCATGCCTCCACAGATATGCGGCGGGAGCTGTCCGAGCCGCCCGCAGACGAAGACGTCGTATCGATTTGGCATGCCGAGTCCGGGATGCTGTCATCTGGATGAGGCTTTGGTTTTGATGGGATGGGGACATCGTAAACGACGCCGACCACAGGGGGAGGCGAGGCTGTGGGCTTCTTCTTGGGCTTCTTGGGCTTCTTGAATGCCGCAGATGGGAGTCCGCGCAGCATCAGGCAGTGGTATGGGACCAGGCCGGTATCCTGGACCTTGGGCTTAGGGCGAAGGAACTTCAGAGCATCACCCAGGCTGAAGGTGAACTTTCGGCGCTCCTTGAACAGGTCAGGCTGGTTTGGACCTTGGCTGGGCTGCAAAGGCTGTGCCGGAGGTGGTCGCCGCTTCAGCTTTACCTGGACCCATCCATCTTCAAAGTACTGCAGCGTGGAAACGACGTCGCCGCGTTGGACATCCAGCTCGGTCTCGTCCTGGGCCTGGTGCGCAATGACGACGACAAACTCGCGGCCGCACTCCTCCGGAGCAATCCATTTCGACGAGCCGCCGGTGCCGTGTGGAGGCGCGCCCTCGATCAAGATCTGGCGCTGCTGGGGGTTGGTTGTCTGGTGGGGCTGCGAGTACGTTTGGATGGTCGTGGTGGAGTCGTCGCTGGGCTTTGACGAAGGCTGGATGGTGCGCAGAGCGCGACGGAAGACATTTCTCTGGCGCTTTCGCTCGCGGACGGATTCGGGAGAGTGTGGCCCAAAGACCCACTGCTTGCCTCGCTCAAGATCATACTTGCGCCGCTTCTGCCTCACGTAGATTATGACGGAAGTACCGAGGGCCAAGACGACCACGGAGCCGATGATCGTGAGGGTAGCCCAGAGCGGGAGGGAGAACGGCGGGGGTGGAGGCGGGCAATAATCGTTCGGGTAGGCAATGTGGAGGGCCGGGGAGCTCAGGTTGGAGAGCTGGAGGCCCGGGGCGACCTGAGCAAGTTCGCCGAGCAGGATGCAGGTGGTGTTTGGGGCAAGGTTCGGAATGGTGTTCTGATAAAGCACCAGGCTGGCCGAGATTGGATCGCTGTTCCATCGGATGGAGACGTTATGGGAGCACTGCGAGTAGAAGCGAATCGAGACAGCCGACCGAGACGGCATCAGCAACTGGGCGGGGGACCCAGCGGGACCCAGCGGGACTCGGATATCACAAAACAAGCACGGCAAAGGCGGGAGCAGTGTGGCGGTGACCGACGGTGCTTGGCGAGCTCAGGGCAAGCTGAGGGGAGGTATCCACGCCGCAGAAGACATCCCCACAGGGAGGCAGCAGACATGGAGCCAAGCAAGGGAGATGTAACAGGAAGGTGTTTGCCCTCGACATGGTACAAAGCCGATAACGCACGCCAACTCCACAGGGCCTGTGCCCAGCTGTCTGAAAGTACCTGGAAATAAAAGTTGATGAACGTCTGGGCGCCCTGAGCGTTGGTGAACGGCCAGCCCCACTGCACCTTCAATTGGCGCTGGCTCCATATCCAGACATCGCCGCTGGCTGAAGAAGAGGTATATGATCCCCGGGGATCGACAAAGCAAGTGCTATTGAGGCTCGAATCAGGTGATACGGTGAGCTTGAATGCTGGAGCAGAGGACAGGGGGATGAGCATGCAAGTAGGGTTGTCGATACAAGTAGGACTGTCGATGCCCAGAAACAGACCCAGCACCAACGAGCAGCAGCCACAGCGCAAGAACTTACTCGGGGTGTCGGGCTGGATATCATCGCCGCCGCTCCCGTGGAAAGCGCCCTGGGCGTTGGCAGAGAGAGCAAAGGAGAGCAGCAGGAGGAACAGCGACAGGGCGGTGTGCATTGCTGGTGAAGACAGCAGCACGCCCAAGGAAGGCAGCATCCTGTCGAACTTGGTAGGACGGTGGGGAGCAAAGGGCCGCCAGCAGCAAGCGCGAAGACAGTGCAGGAATGGACAGGCCGATGCCAACGGACGCAATGGATGCAGATGGACGCAGATGGATGCAGATGGATGCAAAGACAGAAACGAAGAGCAGGCGCCCCTTGGACGGCCGAAGGAGGTTGGGCAGCGAAGAGAGAGAGGCGGCCCCGTGACCCGGGCGGGCGTGGGGGCGGGCGCGACGCGTGCTGTGTCTGTAGGCTGTTTCTGTATGCTGTGCCTGTGGCTGTTTCTGTATGCTGTGTCTGTAGGCTGTTTCACTCCTCGATTGGGCCGTCACAGCTTTCCCTGTGCAGAGCAATGTCCCCGCTGCGCACCAGCACCGCTGTCTGTGTGGCGTGGCGAATTGTGGGCTGGAGAGGTGGCGTGTCCATCCACCGGCCGCCCATTGGCCAGAGCGCATCACAGGACGGCCACATGTCGCACACGCTGGGCACAAAAACTCTGTCCCGCCGACTGTATCTGTGTCCCCGCCTGGCTTGGGCGCGTCCGACACACCAGAGACGCGACGCGGATGGGGGCTCTTGGCGCCATCTGTGCGACAGTGCCCCCATCTGCTGACCCCCAAAGCAGGCGAGGCGCGCCCCAAACACCGCCACACTCGTGGGAGCCAATAGAAACAGAGGCACAGGTCGTTCATCCAGAAACGGTCATGTTTTCCATCTCGAGTTCCATCGATATCGCATGGTTGGTCCAGTGGTAGAATTGCCGCCTGCCACGCGGCAGACCCGGGTTCGATTCCCGGACCATGCACTTTTGTTTTCGCTGTGGTCGTCATTCTGCTCTTTCCTCGACGATTCCTCCACGATTCTCACGATACTTCTCACGACACTTCTTCCCATGCTCTCAGGTCCTGGCTCTGTCGGGCCTGAGGGATGCACTTGAACCAAGAATTCATGAATGGACAATCTCCTCATGCGACGACCGAGTCGGCTGAACTCTGTGTTGACTCCCCATGGCTGCTTGTTGTTCTGTCTGGCCTGCGCCCGCTTGTTGCCATTCCATCACACCACCCCATCCGCAGCAAGCTTGCCCGACGCAGGTTGTGCGTCTTTGCTCGCTGCGCTGGGAACAGTTGATCCGCTCCTTGCTGGTCCTCGCAGGACGGAATTTTCCTGATTGGCCTGGCCTTCGCGATCCAATCCGCAGGGTCGACTGTCTCGATATATAGCGCCCGGTGGCCTGTGCACTCGGGCCTGCCTCTCGTCCTCCCGCCTGACCAGCGCTGCTCCCTCTTTTCTCACCCACCCGCTCTCGCCGCGGACCTCTCGGGCCAAAGGCGTACCTCGGCCTGATTTGCTGATTTGCTGACTTGCTGATTTGCTGACTTGCTGAATCGCAGCCACGGACCGTCTCCGTCTCGCCCAAGCAGCACTGCCAGAGTCACCATGAGCAACCTGACCTCCCACACCGCCGTCGCCATCGGCAGCCTCGAAAACCTGTGCCCGTCCGAGCATGCCGAGTCGCCCTCCAAGGAATCCAAAGATCACAAGGATCCTGAGCCGGCCCAGACCCATCCAAAGCCTTCCTTCCTGAGCCATCTGCCGACTCTTCTGATTCCCAAGCCCTCGCTCTTCTTCCGCAAACTGCGGCCAGCGCACTTGCCCCTCAGCGATGGCGAGCCGTCCCGACTCAAATTCCTGCCTCCGTCCCCGACTTTGACCAAGGCCATCATGTGCTTCTTTGGTCCGTTCCTGGCGATCTGGCTGATGTGCTATCTCAACTCGATGGGCGAGTACGAGGACTTTCTGCTCCTGGTCCCGTCCTTTGGTGCCTCGGTGGTGCTGCTCTTTGCGGCTCCCAATGCCCCCTTTTCCCAGCCTCGCAACTTGATCGGCGGGCAGCTCATCTCCGGCATCGTCGGCATCGTCTTCAACGTCGCCTTTGGTCCCGGAACAGACTCGGTCTACCACCATCTCCTGTCGGGTCTAGCCGTCGGCATTTCGATTTTGCTGATGATGGTGAGTGCAGACGATGCCTTCCTATGCAGACGATGCCTTCCTGTGCAGCCAACAGCGCTTTTTGCTCTGCCGAACCCGAGTCCGGCACTATTGGGCTGGATCTGGCACTCCCGCCCGGCCCAACAGCCGCAATAGCCTCCCGTTTCCACCCTTCCTCGACTCACACCATCGCTCTTTCCTCTCCCCACCCGATCGGCGTCCGATCTACAGCTCACCGGCACTGTCCATCCTCCCGGCGGGGCCACGGCTCTGTACATCACCCGCATGTCGCCGCTCACCAGCGGCACCTCGGCGGTGCTCTTTTTGTTCTTCCCTGTGCTCATCGGCGATGCTTTGCTCTTCGTCCTCGCCCTCCTCTTCCACAACGTCTTTAGACACAGTCGCTATCCCGAATACTATTACTGTTGAGGGACAGAGAGAGAGAGAGGATTGCATTTTTGTGTTATTGGACACTGCTCCCACCATCACCACCATCACCACCACCACCACCACACACAGACCATAGAGATCAGTTCCGTCCAGCCCGCTGGAACAATATATCGCTGCGCAATCAGAATGGATTCACGCCAATCTGGTGGAGTGAATAGAAGCGTCGGGACAGAAGGCGGTGGCGGAGCAGCAACCGAAACCGTCTCTGGACCTTTCCCCAAGATGACGTCGTTCTCGGCCCGGCTCGGTCCGGCCTGCCTGCCCCATCGATCATGCTGTATTCAAGCGGCTGCCGGCTGGGTTGGACGCCCACCATCCCTTTGCTCCATCCGCATCTTCCACCACAAACCCCAACGGCGACGATGCGATGCGATGCGGTGCGATGCGATGCGATGCGGTGCGATGCGATGCGATGCGATGCGGTGCGGTGGCGCGTTTCCACCCAGTTGTCCCCGTGGCGAAGTGACGCCGCAGCCCAGAGGAGCTTGGCGGCTTTTCCTGGGTTTCGGCATCGGCGTCTGCTTGTCGACCAGGCGAGTCTCCTTCCCCTCCAGCTCGCAATCACATCAAGTGTTCTGGATATGCCCAGGACGAGCGGCCGAGGATCCAGATCACAAACCCAGCGCCGGCGTGGTAGGTGGCTGGCCGAGCTTCCGCTGCAGCCGAGCCAGAAAACGGCTTGCTGCCGATAGTCTCGTAGCGAAGGCAGTGCCGATCAGCAATCTCTGACAATGGGTCGGAGGCAGAGACACATCTCGTCCCCCGAGCGACATTCGGGCTGAGGATATATATCCCAAAGTCATCGCTCGCTGCCGATGTTGCCCGCAGCTTGATCGCGGATCACCAGTCCGATATCGGGTGGTGTCTGCCGCGATCGACGGGAATGGATCTGCTTAGATGCAAGATTGTACGAGAGGCTGCCCTACTGTTGTAATGCCTGGTCTGACTGGACGTCTCGGCTCGGACCTCCGTTTCTTGTATGCTGCGACAGGCGCATCCTCCACAGAGTCGACGCCGCCATTCGCTGTGCCGATCAACCAGCTGCCATCGCCATTGCCATCACCATCACCATCGTTAGCAGCAACGTAAGCGTTTGTCCGTGTCAGTGAGAAAAAAACGATGCCCATCGAAACAATCGGCTCAAGAAAGAGGTGGAAGTCCGCTGGATCCTTGAGCAGCGACACTGACGTCGGTCGTGGCAATGAAGTGGCCTTGCTGTCAACCAACCACAGCACCGATCAACGCCCGGGATCGTCCAGCCCCAACGCAGCAGAGAAGCGGAACGGGCGACATCGACACCTTTGATATCGCCGACACCACCAAACCAGGCAATGCCACTTGGAGGCCATAGACTCGGTCGGTCCCGTTTGATTGTGTGCCATGAAAGAGCAAGCAGAGACTTTCTCCTTGGGTACGACGCCCACTTGGCCCGCATACCACATCTCATCCATGGCAATTCTTCTTTTATCCGTCGCATGACGAATCCTGCCCGCTGATACTTGGATGGCTGGGAACACCCGGCAGGCTCAAGCCCGAACCCGCCGTCGACTGCCGAGTCTCAACGAAGCATGCGCGAGATACTCGCCGAGGCAGCCGAGAGACGGATGCGGCTTGCCCCGAGCGAGAGCGGCCATTCTTGATCATGGGCTATGGCACCCCATCCATTCCCTCTCTTTCGAACTCCTGCCTGGTCCACTTGAATATGTGCGTGAGACGGGGCGGGGGCGAAGTTCAGTCGGCCGGTGCACATCGGACCTGTGCGGGCACACTCAAGAGATTGAGCTGCATTCAGTGATGATGACGGCCGATTTGCTTGGCTGGAACTGAGGGGTCGGACTCGGTCTCGGCTGGGCCCGGAAGAGAGAAAAGCATCAGATCAGATAGGGATCCAGCCTGGAGATACACCGCCTGTTGTTTGGCATTGGGTTGTTGCCGCCCCTCCTCGCCGCCCGGGGGTTTTCCCTGATCAGCGACGCCGTTCCGCTTCGCTTGTCCATCGATCATCGCCGCTGTTGCATTTGAACCTCATCCGATCTTAATATACAACAGCAACATCAACAGCACTATTCGCTCCTGTTCGATAATCGCGATGGGCTTTCTCAAATGGTACGACGGTATGCTCGTCGCCCGACCCTATCTCACCCAAGCGATCTCGACGGGAATCCTCTTTGGCTCGGGCGATGTGATTGCACAGCAGGCAGTTGAGCGCCGGGGTTTACCGAGCCACGATGCCATCCGAACCCTGAGGCTCACGCTCTATGGAACTGCAGTAGCGGTAAGGCCAGCCGGAGGGAGCTCATGATCTGGAGAGATCGATGGGCCGTTCGCTGCGGAGTGTCGACTTTGCTGGATGCGATGGTTGATCTGGATACAGAAAACCAGACGACGCAGCGGCTTGAATAATCGGTTATGTGCATTCCTTCCAAGGCTAATACATCGATCCATGCGCTTTGATCAATGGCCCTTCGCCTCCTCGGCACCAGGGACCAGCCTGTGCCTACTGGTATCGCTTTCTGGCTCGGTTCATCAAGTTCGAGAACAAGGCCGCAGGTGAGGCTCTCAGGGAGGATGGGCGTCCCCTGCCATCCCGATGTTTGGTGAATATGCTGGGGATACGGCATCGATTGTGTTCGCTGACACTCTCGCACCTTCATAGCCATGACCGCCAGGGTGGCCATGGACCAAGGGCTCTTTGCACCATCGTTCATCGGTGTCTTCTTCACGGCAATGTCCACGATGGAGGGCAAGTCCCTGGCGGAGACCTGGCAAAAGCTCAAAGAGGTATGAGGATCCGCAATGACCAGCACGAATACCGATGTTGGTGGGCGGTGAGCACCGATGCCGATGCCAGTCCTCTGTTTGACACCACCACCACCATCACCATCACCACCACTATCACCACCATCACTACCACCTTCGCCGGCAAACTTTGCAAGACCTATCCCTCGGCCCTGGTCAACAACTACAAGCTGTGGCCGGCGGTGCAGTGCATCAACTTTTACCTCATCCCAGTCAACTACCAGCTACTCTTTGTGAACACCGTAGCGCTCGGATGGAACAGGTAATGCCGGGGTCGAGAAGCAAGAGAATTGGGCAACACTTGCGCAACTATTCCGTGAGGAAATGCTCCGTGTGCGGTCCGGATCGATATTTGAAGCGCCGGCCACTTGCTCATGCTCCTCCCCCCCAACCCCAAATGCGTTCATGTACAGCTATCTTTCGTATGCCTCGGCGCAGCCACGGAAGGTTCATGTTGAGTAGGCGAGTTCGCGAAGGACGGAGCTGCATCTCCACACCCCAAACTCCCTGGCGGATGTATTTGTTACGAATGGAGAATCCAAGAAACAAAACAAGCCGTTACGTTTTATTCGACGAAAGCAGGATCTACGAGGAGCAAGGGAGGGGGAAGAGAGTGCGGCCCAGGACGAACACAATTCAAGTGCTGCAAGAGCAACGATAATGTGTGGGAGGGGGATACGGCTCAGGGGTACATTCCAAGGGGCTAGACGACGCAAACGCATATCCATGGGCGAAAAGGTCAAGCGAATCGGCAACCAACGGGATAAGTCAGGACACGGCAGAACAGGGCAAGGGCTGAAGGGCGACGGCAGCAGGGGCACCATCCGCCACGCATGAAAGACCAAAACAACAAAACAACAAAAAAACGACAGATATACAGTGTTTGGCTGGGCCCAAGAATCAGCAAGGTCGAGCAGGGACTCTAGTTGTCGAAAAAGTTGGCACCGCAGACGGACTTGATGCGGTCGAGGTAGTGGGGGATGTCGTTGAGGGACCAGTAGTACTGCCCGAGGCGGTTCCGTCCGAGAGACACAGTCGGAGAAGAGCGTTTCCCCGCGGTTGTTGGGATGTTGCCATGGATAGAGGGAAGGATGAATAACCAGCCAGCACGAACCAGCACGAACCAGCGATCGAGAGGAAGAGCAGCTACATACGGTATGGGGGTAGATGGTGGCATTCAGGTTGAACGAGGTCCACCACGACTTTTGGCAGGCACTGCAGAGGCGCTCCGGGACGTCGTTTCTGGGCGAGTCGATCTGAGCGATCCAGACGCTCTCGATGCAGAACTTTGAAGTGTCATTCTGGTCGATGGCGCAGGAGGCCTGGGCGGCGTTGCGGTTGGACCAGATCGAGTAGATGGCAGACTGCTGCCAGGCGCCGCGGCCCTGGTTGTCGGACCAGGTCTGGACGCAGTTGTGGGCAACACTGTCGGAGGCAGAGACGACGGCGTCGAGGTTGTCGCAGATGCTCTTGGGGGTCGAGAAGAAGAGGGCATGCATGGACTTGAGGACGGGATAGTCGACCTCGGCCTGGGCGACGGCGGCCCGGCAGCCGGTGGAGTTGTCGTAGCGCACGCCGGCAAAGAAGGTGTAGTCCGAGTCCGACTGGGCAGCAGCCAGCGAGGCGAGGGCGGCAAGCAGCAGAGCCTTGGGGAGCATGGCGGATAAGCAGGGCCGAGACGGAGGGGAAGGACTTGAGAAGGACTTGAGAAAGACGAGAAGGATTTGGCGAGATGAGGCGAAGGCAAAGAACGCCCAAAACGACCATCGACCAACGACGAAAGGCGAACGACCAAGGGCGTGTGTGTGTGTTGTGGCTGTGCAGCGCACGTGCTGCGCTGTCTGTGTGCGCGTCGAGCTGTGTGTGTGTGGCCTTCATGGCTGCAGACGCGGTCCACGTGGCGCCGTGCCACTCCCCGTATCACAAACAGTATCACGTGTCGCGTCCTGCCCCACGTGGCATCGTCGCGTCAAACCATCACGCCCACCAGATTCCCACTTCAACTCCATGGCATCCATCGCATCCATCGCATCCATCGCACCTATCACATCCACTACTAATCGCATCCACCACTAATCACGTCCATCACATCCATCGCATCCATCACTAATCACATCTATCGCACCTATCACATCTATCGCACCGCGTTGCTCTTGCCTCTTCCTTCCCTTCCCACGCCCATCATGAAGCCTCTGCCCCACAAATCTCGCGCCGCCTCGGGACCATCTGCCTCCAAGGAGACCGACCCCCATCCAACCAAACCCAGATCTGTTGCAAAAGACGCCACAAATCCAGCCGCTGCCTCAGTCTCGGCTCAGCCGGTTGCCTCAAAGAAACCCGCACGCAAACCAGGCGCCACCAGCACCGATTCGTTTGCTTCCCACGCCTCCCTCGGGTCCATGCCCAACCGCTCGAGCCCATGCCTGCCTTCAAACATCCCTCGCTCGGCTTCGCCCCGCATCTCGCCAGCCACAAAGATCAAGGCCGGATGGAATCCTTCCACCTCGCTCTCCAGCGCCCGCGCTCCAACATCGACCCCGACGCCCAAGCCTTCGTCGGCCCCGCCTGCATCGGCCTCAACCCGTAAACCCGCTCTCCGACCAGGAATCTCCCAGAATCCTCCAGCAACGGCGCCTTCCCGCACCCTCAAGCCCAGCCGATCCTCCTCGTCGCTGCTCGCGGCTGCATCGCATGGCCCTCCATCCGCTTCTACGCGCAAGGATGCCGTTGGTTTGAGTCTGGCCGCTCAGCATCCTTCTGGCCGCGCTGCCGAATCCAACGACGCGCGTTCAGTCGTTCCTCTCGATGCGTCCCTTCGACAGCCCTCCTCAGTTCATGAAGGCTCCAGCTCGGAAGCGGGTGCCTCGGCGAGTCTCAAGTCGTCGGCATCTGCTCCTCATCCACTCCAGAGCCAGTCGCCCGGTGCTTCCCCGGCTCAAGTGCGACCAGCCTTCCAGGCTCCCAAAGCTGGCAAGCCCTATCTCCCTACCCAACGGCGCTCTGTCAGTATGAGCCATACAAACTCGTCCGCGCTGTCGTCCTCCGGCCTGAGCTACTCCCTGGACGCCGCTCTGTTCCAAAAATCGCCAGCCCTGTCATCGTCGGTCTCGGTCGCATCTGCATCGTCGGCTACATCATCCGCTGCACCTACTTCCCTGACCGGCCGGCCAATTTCTCACGACTCGCTCAGAGCAAAGTATGAAAGCATTCTCAACAGCCGCAACTCGACCGATCGGGAGCTGCGCGAGTCTCTCAAGAAGCTGAGGATGCTGGTCGTCATGAACGGCATGCCCGACAACTCGGATGTGAGTTCTATCGGAGATGCACTGTCGATCTGGGAGGAGTGTCGCGGGACTCTGCCGACTCAATGCAGAGGAAACGAAAGACGCTAAATTCTCTTGGATGGGGTGGGGCTCGTGCGCGGGCATCATACGGAATTGCAGGATCCCACTCCCCAGCATGGCTGCTCGCTCAAGGGCCGTGTCTGGAAATGTCTCCTCGGGGTGTACTCTCTCTCGGCCAAGGACTACTCGCGCCTCATCGACAAGGGCCCCTGTGACGTCTACGACAAGATCAAGAACGACACCTTTCGAACCATGGCAACGGACCGAAAGTTCACCAAGCGGGTGCAGGAAAACATGCTCTCTCGAGCGCTCAACGCCTTTGTTTGGAAGGTCAAAGGTTGGTATATCTGTATACTGCCGCGCTGATGCTGGCCGTGATCCGAGAGAGATGCGATACCGACGAGATCTGGTCGCCACAGTGTCTTGCTGGTGTAGTGTTGGTCCGAACCAATGTCACCACGATCGAGCAATACATTATGGTAGTGCGCTGTGCTGACGACTGTATATCGTCGCCTCGTTGCGGCTTGCACACACCTCTCCGTCCGAGCCAGAGCTTCCCACCCACCGTCTCCTCAACCTCAAGTTTTCATATGTCCAGGGCATGAACGTACTCATGGCTCCATTTCTCTACTGTATGCCCGAGCTTGATGCCTTCCACGCCTACGCCCAGTTTATCCAGCATGTGTGTCCATTGTATGTGCAACCGGCGATGGAAGGGGTTCACTGCGGTGTCAAGGTGAGTCGTCTCATTTCCGGGCTCGTGGTGCTGATCCGCCCGCTTGACCGTGAACTGGCTGGTCCTGATTCACATTGGATGTCCATATCCTCTTTCTGGGCGGCGCGAAGCTCCTGGAGCAATGCCTCAAAATCCTGGATCCCGAGCTCTACAGCCATTTGAAGCGCAAGAAGGTCGAAGCGACGGTGTACGCCTTTCCATGTGAGTGTTGTTGGGGGGGGGCGTTTGTGAGGGACGGCGTTCACGGCGGATATCCATCCGATATATCGCGACTCGTTGCGGGTACTGGACGAGATTGAAGTTCTTGCCTCCCTGGACTGCTCCTCTGCTGGCTGCCTGGCCGCATCAGCATATGCCTTGGCTGACCTGTTTGCCGTCGCGGTCGGCCACAGCGGTGCTCACGTTATGTGCATGCACTCCGCCGCTGAGCGAGCTGCTCAAGCTCTGGGATTTTCTTCTGGCCTACGGGGTTCATTTGAATATCCTTTGCATTGTCGCCCAGCTTATGATGATGCGGACCAAGCTCCTGAGTCGACCGAGGTGGGTGTATGTCTGTGAGGGCAGCTGCGATCGCTCGGGCTTGAGCTTGGGCTTGGACTTGGGCTTGGGGTACTGTTAGAGCCTGCTTTGGGGCATCCGCGCCGAGTTGATGCCTTGAACACACCAAATGGATATGGAGCCAGCGAGGCCAAAGTGGGCTGGTCCATGGTCCCATCCTCCGTTGCCACAAAATGGCACATCGCTCTAGGCGGCCACAATGAAACGTCCGAGCAGTACGACACCGAGACCCTCGTCCAACTCGTCCGACTCAGCCCATTGCAATAATGAGCGATTTGGGATACGCTCCGGCTCACATGCACCTTTTACCCGTCCCCGTCTCGGTTTCGGTCGACAGTCCCGGATCGCTCCTTCGGACGCTTCCACCCCTCAACGCCAAGGAGATCAGTGCCATCACGATCGCGCTTGTCCCGCAGCTGCCCGACGACCTGTACGACTGGCTGGCTCGACACCCATACGATGCCACCATATATGAGCAGATGATTCCAGAGCTGGAGGAAGAGGAGAAAGAGCTGGGCTGGTGAGCCGGAGATCCGAATCTGCATTCGAGGCCAGGCCAGATTGCGGCGACCATTTCTGCGCGGCAGAGCTGCAACTGAAGGTTTAGCAGATAGCCACGGCGGAGAATATATTCAGAATCTGGGAGAAAAAGAAGGAAGGGCAGGAAGAATATCGGATTGAAAACAGAGGAGAGAGAGTGGTGTTCCAGTGTTGTTTGCGACCACGATCAGTACGCAGTGTCAACCTGCAGCACAGTCGCCGCTCAGGCGTGTGCAATGGGCTGCCGACAACACGGGCAGACGTTCGATCGCATCTCCCACATCTCAAGGCAGCCGGTGTGGAAGCGATGTCCGCAGACAAGCATGGGCTTGGGGCCTTCTCGTTCGAAGCAAATGGCACAATCTCCGTCCTCACTGTTGTCGGCCGAGATGACTTCGAGCAGGAGCTCCTTCCATTGAGCAAAGTGGGACGGCTCGTTGCCGTCCTTGAAGGCGACATAGTCCTCCTCGACTTCCTTCCAGTCGCTGCCGACGGCATCGACATCTGGCTTATGGCCATTGAATCTCCAGAGGCAGTGCGAAAACACCGCCAACAGGGGCTTGACAAACTGGGTGCACATGGGACAGGGAGGGAGATTGCGCACGTGCTCTTCGTTGAAGGGATCAAAGTCTTTGAATCCCAGCTTGAGGATGACCCATTCGTTGAAGGCCTCGCATTGCGTGTTTCGGCAGATGCCTTCGATGTTGAGGCCGTTCTCGAGGATTCGCCAGTTCTTGGTTCGGTCCAGCGGGGGTAGCTCGGTCGAGGGTCGTCTTCGGAATCTGGGCTTGATGACGGCGTTCGGTGTGCGAGCTCCTACCTCTGTATTCCACACACAAAAGCACACCCCGCAAGTCAGTGGGCGCAGTGTCAATGGATACGCCAGTGCGGTGGCGTCAATAAAACGCACAGCGAAAATAAGCACAACATCGACAGTGGAGCGGGACAGAAGCACGAGCAGATACTCTGGAGTATGAGGAGGGGGGGGAAACAAGCTGAAATGGTCCTTACCGACGTTGCGGTTTCGATAGGTCTGGAGATCGGTCAGAATGGTGCTGAACCGTGGGCGGTCTCTCGGGGTCTGGCTCCAGCACCGCTCGATCAAGTTCCAGATATCGTCGGGGATGCCATCGAATCGTCTTGGGCGATTGCCAGTGCAGATTTCCCTTTCAATCGCTCGGGACTTCATAAGGCTGCCGTTCTCGTTGACCCAGACACGGTTACCGTCCTTCAGGGTCTCGTAGAAGGTGATGCCAAAGGCATAAATGTCGGTCTTTTTGGACGAGCCCATCGGCTCGTCGTCGTCCAGCATCTCGGGGGCCATGAAATCGAGAGAGTTGTTCATGGACTGCGGGCGGAAGACAATCGCAGAGGCCGACCTGTGCTTGGTGCGGTGCATGCCAAAGTCGGATATCATAACACGACCGCCGCTATCGATGAGAATATTGGCTGGCTTCAGGTCGCCGTGGATGATGCCCGAGGTGTGGAGGTAGGCCATTCCGGCGGCGGTCTCGTACATGAGCCGAAGCTTTTCTTCCAGGGAGCGCGGGTTCTCGGGATCGGAGACATAGCTGCGGAGGTTGCCCATCTTCACCCAAGGAGTGACAACGATTGGCTTGTCGACGATGTGGCCCGCACCAAGCAGGGGCAGCAAATTGGGGTGGTTGAGGCGGCTCCAGGCGTTGACTTCACGAGCAAACTCACGGAACTCTCGATCGGTATAGCCACACAGGAGCATCTTGACGGCAACGTCGGCCTCGTTGAACTTTGCCGTGTAGAGCTCGCCAAAGCCGCCTTTGGCGACGGGGCGAGGAGACATGTCCTTCAGGTCATCTTGCGACACAGCCCAGCTATGGTTGGCCATGGATGGAGGTTAATGCTTTGGCGAAGACAACGGGCACACAGCAGACAGCCAGGAAGGACCGGCAAGCGGACGGCTCTGGAAGGAACAGAGGAACAGAGGAACAGAGGAACAGAGGAACAGAGGAACAGAGGAGCAGAGAAGCAGAAGCGCAACGGAGAACCTGGCCGTCCAAAAATAGATGGGAGAGGGAGCGTCACGTGGGAATCCAGATGCCTCGCCACAGCTTGTCCGACCTGCGCCACGGCCAGTTGCATGAGAAGATCGCGAAAAATATCGAACCAATCACTCTGTTGCATCAGCAGCCCTGTCTCTGTCCACAAGTACTCGCAATCAGCACTGACACCAGATGGAGGAGTCGCATGGAGAATCCAAGAGAGCTGTGATATTGACCAGGACAGACAGCCAATTGCCGACAGGGCGACTGGGGCGACATCGGGGTATGTGGATGGGGTGAGAGTGGGACACATCGGCAAGCACTGGATATCGTGCACTGACTCCGAAGCGATAGATCAGGAATGTGTGTCAGGGAGATGTGAAGCACCGCGCGCAAGTGGAGGACCATGGCTGTGCATGGGATGCACCATGAATGGCACTGCCAAACATGCAGTGACCTCCACCACCGAGCTAGTTGTGGGTGTCGGGACGGAAGATGTTGGGCCGCGGGTGCTCCTCGGGTCTCAGCGGCGACGGAGGGTTCGGAGGAGGTGGCAGATACCCGATGTGGGTCAGGTACAGCAGCCCCCGCCCGGCGATCCTCCCGGCCTGGGAACCGAGGGCCGAATAGATCGACCGGGTGTTGGTGTTGTCGACCAGGAAGGACATGCTCAGGATCAGATGCATGAGCGTCAGCATCGACGAGCCGTTGGGCAGCGACGGTCGGTAAAGCAGGGCCTTGAATCGCTCGCGGGTCTCGAACATGACGGGCCAGCCATAGGCATTGACGATCTCAAAGAGTCGAGTTTCGGTGACGACGCTGCGAGGTGGGCCGAGGGACAGGATGTGTGGGATGGTGGTGTGGGTGAGTGCGTGACTGCCGAGGAATGGCACTCATCCTGCTGCCTTCCCTGTCTGCTTGCCACTCGGCTCGCTCATCTCACCTGCGCTCTGGGTCGCTGATGTGGAACACAAACTTGGGCAGGGCCACCTCGGAGGCTGCGATCGCAGCGACCACCTTGGCGACATGGTCGACTGGATTCATGGTGATGGTCACGGGGGTGGCATTGGAGGGAGCGATCCCGATGCGGATGCACCCCTTGATGTACTGCCAGATGTAGTCGTCCGAGTGGCACACTGAGAGAGTGAGAGTGAGAGTGAGAGCGAGAGTGAGAGTGAGCCGAGATGAGCTGCTGCACCACCACCACACCACCACACCACCACACCACCACACCACATTGCCATATTACACCCAGTGACTCACCTCCATAGACACTGTCGCTTGCAATCAGCGATGGTCGGATGATCGTCGCAGGCACTCCCCTCGATCGTGCCTTGTTGATCAGCTGCTCAGAGACCCACTTGGTCTGTGCATACCCGCCAGAGACGCTCCAGTTGGAATACACCCTCTCCTCGAGCGGCGTCCTTGCACCCCGTGCCATGGGAATCGCCCCGACCGCCGAGATGAAGTGCAGCGGCTTCAGGTGGTGGGTCGTGGCCAGCCGCAGGGCCGTCGCCGTGCCCAGGACATTCGGCCCCTTGAGCGCCTCATAGTCGTCGAGCCAGTGCACCTCGGCGCCGCAGTGCACAACCATGTCGGTCTCCTTGCCGATCTTCTTCCATCGCTTGTTGGTCAGTCCCCACTGGTCGAGCGACAGATCGCCGCAGACACCAACGAGTCGCGGCTTGACATTGTTCACGAGGTAGTGCGTCTGCTGCGGGTTGAGGATCAGCTTCCTGGCTGTCTCAAAGATGCGGTCGACGGCAGCCTGGTCGCTCGCGGCTCGGACCAGACAGTAGATCCTGGCAGCAGGGAACTTGGCAGCCAGCTCGTACAGCAGGAACGATCCGAGGAAGCCAGTGGCCCCCGTCAGGACGATGCCGCGAGGCGACTCGGGAAAGACAAGTGGAGGGAGACCCTCGGCCGTCACACTCGCATCGTCGAGCCGGGCGGCCTCCTGGTCGAGGTCGACTGTCGGTGGCATCAGCGGGTGGTTGCCTTGGAGATCAATCACCAGCTGGGCGACATCGAGGGGCGTCAGGCCGTTCGAGAGCAGCATCATCGGCGAGATCTCGACATCGTACTCTTCCTTGATTGCGAGGGCCAGGCGGCCAACACTCAGCGAGTCAAACCCAGCCCCGCTGATGCTGTAGTTGCGGCCGTCGAGAGAGGGAATCCCGAGGAGCTGGCTGCCGAGGCTGGAGATTGCAGCCGCGATGCGAAACAGCGGGGCCTCGCTGGGGGCGAGACGGGGATACACAACGGATCCTTGGTGCAGATCGTTGTTCTCGGCGATCCACTTGATCTTCTTGAGGTCGCGCTTGCCAATCTCGGTCATGGGGATCTCGTCGAGTTGGAAACATTTGTGGATCGGCACCTTGGAGACGTTGACGAGTGCAAGCAGATCCTGGGTCATCCGGATGATGTCGCTGGGCTCGGTGCGGGTCGTGGGGCGGGCCTGGAGAACATACAGCATCACAATCTTCTTCTCGGAGGTCTGGACAAACGCACAGTCGGCGATGGTGTGGCTCAGGTGCTGGACGACCAGGGCCTCGAGATGGTTCAGGTCGACATAGACACCGTTGACCTTGATCTTCTGGTCGAATCTGGGTGTGTGAAACATGTTGGATCGGGGTGTGGGATGGATTGGTGGAGGACTAGTGGAAGGAGGGCACAGACCACTCGGTGGATACAGGGACATCGCACTCACCTTCCAACGACAGTAAATTCGTTCTCGCTGACCATCTCGACCCAGTCCATGGTGCAGACTCGGGGCGAGCCGTCGCTGAGGAAGCCAAAGGAGGCCAGTCTGTCGTTTGGATCGGCGTTGACAAAGTCGGGGTGGTTGCGGACGGGATGGTCGGGGTCGACGGCAAAGACCAGGATCCCGCTGTTGGAGACATTTTGATCAACGATATTGCCCTCCTCGTCAAAGAGGAGGCAGCGCACCCCAGGCTTAGCCAGCTTGCAGACCAATTTCTCTGGAATGGGGCTGTTGGCTGTAATATGCAAATAGGAATATGCTCCAACAGCTCCAGTCTGATAAATGATTATGTTAAGTGATCGCCCAACTGAGTGATGATACAATGAGACAAGTAAAAACGGTACCTCACTCGATCCATATCCAGATATAAGATGTGCATTTGGAAAGTATATCCTTGTGCGGTGAAGGACACTCATTGGAACAATTTCGGAGCCTAATGCAACGCGCTTAACTTCCATCCATTTGGCGTTCGGGTTCCGGGAAGCGGCGGTGCTGATGACAAGTTTCATGAACGAGGTAGTCTGCGAAAGCATGTGAGTATGATTCATTGGCGGAGGTCGAATATCGAAAAGTGCTGCGATGTGTCACTGACCAGATACACATGGGCCACAGCTTCATCCAGTATTCGCGCAATGATCTGGGCTTTCTCAATGGTATTGAATGTCGCCTTTGGAAACCACACAGATCCTCCAAGGTTCATTGCACTGAGGAAAATACTTGATGTGGCCACAAACGATGGGAGCTGAGTGTCGATATATATCAGTATCGACCAAGCTCAAGTCAAATACGCACAATAATCTATGTTTTGAACCTCACTTGGAACAAGCCGATTCTCCCCTTCAAAATATTGATCGCAGTTCGAATGGTGATGGCTCCGGTGTGTGCAAACTTGAAACTGCAATCATCAACATCAAACACAAATGGATTCAGTCAACGAGTGGTGATGTGATCACTTTGGGAATGTGAGAAAGCATCAGGTGCGACACAGGATAGAATCCACAGGATAACTCACGATTTGGGGATGCCTGTATGAGCGACGGGATGCAGGAAGCAGAGTTATGGATTGCACATGCATCGTCAGCACAACCTCTTGCTTCATGTCACGCCCCAAGCTGTCCACCATCCGACATCATGCTCTGCCGTTCTTCCCGACTATTCCACATACCTGTCGTTCCCGAGGTGCACTGGATGGTGACAAAGTCGTCGAGTGGCTCACAGAGCTCGAGCGATGGAGCAGGGACCTCGCTGAGCATCGGGAAAGTGCCGCCGTCCACCAACGTTACTCCTATGGTGCGGCCAGGCTTGGTGTAGTGGTGAAGGATGTACTTGACCGAGTGTCTGTTGGGTGCCATGGTGGTCGAGAGTGTGTCAGTCCCCGGCTTTGTCGATCGTGGGCCAGTCTCCCACTCTGTCGACTCCCTGGGCGATTGAGTATGCATGTTTCCACACATCGCGGTATGAGTAGCGCACGGACTCGCCGCTCTCATAGGTGTTGATGCAGAGGGCATCGGGCTCGTCGCGGGCCATCCGGATGAAGGCTTCGACCGGATGGACCCAAGGGTCGAAGGGGTCGGCGGGCAGAGCTGGTTCGGGCTGAACAGGTTCGGGCTCGACTGCGGACACCTCGACCATCTCGGCATCCTCCTCCATCGACTCGATGGGCTGGACCTCGATGCCGAGTATGTCGTCCGAGTCGTGGGTGCTGATGACCATATCGGAGCCAAGCCGGCAGGAGAGACAACGGCAGCGGGATGCTGTCGGCGAGGAACAGGGACAGGCAGATGGCAAGGAGCCAAGGGGCGAGGGGCAAAGGGGCGAAAGCTGAAGGCGCCGTTGTTGTGGGGAATGTCGTGTCTGGTTCGAATCGGGTGGCCAACAAGCCGCGCCGATTCCATGGTCTGCCAGACATGCATGCCAGCGAGCTCGGATGGAAGGAGTCTCTGTGCGAGGCAGTATGCAGTCGATTGTTGTGGGAGGCTTAGCGAGCATCACAATCTCACATCAGTAAACAGTTCCGTCGGCGAGCTGACTGCCGGTACATAAGGTTCCTCAAATGCGCTGACACTGTAGCCCACCACACCTCACGATTTCCAACATTCCTGTCGCTGGAAGAGAACCTTGGTTGTTGTTCAATTGGCAGCATGTATTCCCCTGTTATCTCCGATACCACTCCGACTACTCTGGCCCGACCTCCGGGATCTGCCGAGTTCAGTGGTTCAAGTTTCGGACAGCAAGGCGAGCGAGCCAGCCTCCATATCCAGATTCAAGGGTCAAGGGGAACATACAAGTCGTATATTTGCAGATGCAGTCAATGCATCCCAACACACGAGCACAGCAGCATTCAGTAGCAAGTACACATTAGCGACAACGGCATAGAAGGTTGGTTCGAAGTGGGAGTCGGGGTGGCGAGAACTTGGTGGTCATGGCGTCGAAGCATCATTGTCCGTCAAACGGCCCCGTCCTCGGGCAGCCACTGGACTGACGGCCAGATGGATGAGGTTTCTCAGTTGCCGCCAGAGGTGGTGAAGCCATAGGTCTGGTCGGTCGAGCCAATGCCGCACTGGCCGTATGCGATCCAGAAGAAGCCGTCAGTGCCCCAGGTGGTGGTCCAGGAGTTCTTGCAGAGCCAGGCCTGGTTGCCCTCGTCCCAGCCGACGATCGAGACAGCGTGGCCGCCCTCCTGCTGGTCGGACTGCTGTGTGTAGATCTGGTTGTTGGAGCAGCAGTTCATAAAGTCTTGGTCTGTTGGGGGCAAGGGAGAGTGTGGTGAGTCGGTGCCATGTCCACCCAGATGCACTGTTGCATGTGCAGGTACTTACAGACAGTGAAGGCAGTCACCACGGCGCCGTAGGTCATGATGTGCTGTTTGATCTCGTCGACGCTGCCGAACGAGGCCACCGAGAGCCCGCTGGTGCGCTGGCAGCTGCTGTCGTCGCACTGCTGATCCTGACCGTCGCCGGCGGTGTAAGGGAAGCAGTCGGCCGAAACGACGCCGTTCTGGGCAATGTCGTTGGCCGCCTGGCCGGTCTGCCAGCCAGTGCTGCAGGAGGCGCCGTCACCCGAGCCAAGACAGAAGAAGAGATCGGCGGTCGAGACCTCGATGCTGTTGCCGGTCTGGCTGAGGAAGGTGCTCTCGACGGTGGCAGCCGAGGAGAAGGCAACGCAGCTGCCGCACTGGCCCTGGTCCTTGATGGACGAGACCCAGTTCTTGTTGCGGGAATCCCACGAGTCGGGGAGCATGGCGGCTCGGACGGCAGCGGTGTGGACATCAGAGGCGTTGCTGCCCTGGGTGGGGAAGACCACAGACGCCGGTCAGTGCAACGGCAGAGCGATGCAGAGCGGGCCGGTATCGATGTGGAGTGTGCCAAGCATCGATCGACCATCCACCAGGCATCAGCTGAACACTCGCCAGGCATCGCAGCAGCAACAGCAGCCACTTGCAACACTGCATCGGACAGACCACCACTTACAAAGACCGTGGTGGCAAGCGACTCGATGTTGTCATCGGTCATGGTGAAGCTGGCCATGTTCTTCTTGTTGGACTTTGTGTGGGTCTTGACCTTCTTGACGAGCTTCTTGAAGGCGGGGTCCTTGCGCTGGGTGGCATGGGCCTGGACCAGAGCCTTGGCATCCTTGGACATGCTGGCCGTGTTCTCGGCAGAGCCGATGACCTTGTCGAGCGACTTGCGGTACTTGTCCCACTTGCCGCCCCGAGGGACAGTGGCAGCCTCGATGGCTCCGGAGAGGGCGAGGAGGGTGGTGAGAGCAAAGCCGAGATTGACGAGCATGGTGGAGACTGGGAGTGAGGCCAAAGATAGAGAGGCGAGAGGCTGGTCTTGCGATGGAGGCTGGTGTGCCGGTGGTGGTGATGGTCCAGGACAGGCGGGAGCGGTGTCCTTTTATCCCCCAGCGCACATCGGCGCATCGCCAGAGGGCCTGGGAAAGACCATGAGGCATGGGGGCGCGGATCGAGAAGGCCCGGTCGATGGTAGGATGCGGCTGGAGTGTGATTCTCGAGCACGGTGGTTGTGGAATCATCGGGCAGGTCATGCAGCAGCAGGTGGCTCGTGAGAATCGGAAGGAAACAGCGAGCCGACGACCGCCGTGACAATGCCCATGATCCTGCACTTGGATGGGATGCAAAGAAGACGGTGCCTCCGGGACCCAGATGGAGCCGCCACAATGTCCATTCCGCTGGGTGGCTGGGTCTGGTGATCTGCCTTTCGTTTTCCTTGCTGGTCGAGCCTCGCCGGCAGGATGGCCGGCTGCTGAAGCAATTGGGAGACAGCTGCAGAGGCAATTGAAATGCATCAGCACTGGTATGCGCTGCCCGATACAGCAGCATCGGCCGTGTGAGATTCGCCTGGGTCGTCTGCATGAACATGCACTTCGTGGCCAACTGAGAAAGGACTCGGGGACGGACCGCCTCGGCCCCAGTCTCCATCTGCTGCGGATGGCTGGTCAGCAGCATTGGCACTTTCCGGCGGAGCTGTGAGCTGACTGTGTCGAAGCAACCGTGGGGCTGGCATGCAGTTGATGGGAAAGACCAAGGACCATGGAAACGGGCCGCATGACGACGGGGCCACCGAGCGAGAAAGACACCGGCGCATGACCTCGAGCCGATCCAGAGGAAAGCGGCAGGCGAGCCACCGAAAAAGCAAGGCGCATTCGGCTGACATGGCGGAAAGTCGCCAGGACAAGCGGCATCCGGGATCCTGTCGATTCGGCATCTGGCCCCATGGGAGTCTGTGTCCCGAGATCATGCATCGCAGCGGCTGGGCATGTTGATGCCGGTGTCGAGCCCCGTCGGCGCCCCGCACTGGTTCCCATCGTGGAACCAGCCCATCCTCGGATGCCATCGACCTCAGGTGATCAATCTGCCCGTCTGGCGGCTTGCCTGCGGCCTGCCGATGGATGCTGTCGTTTAGCGAGATGTGGTGCTCGGGCAAGACCTCCTTTGCCGACTCGCTTAGAAGGAAATGGGGCTGGTGCCCAGCTGCATATTGCGTGGGCCGCAGTAACAGCCGTGACTTGTGCAGAGAGCAGTCATGAGGCAGAGGGCAGTGGGTTGATGGTTGGTCTGTCTCATCTGCCGTCGCATCCGAGGTATCTGGAGCCATTGCATCAGCACCGTGAGTATCGACGAGTCACTTGCTGGCATCGCCCTCGCAAGATCGCTGGTCCGGATTGCACGATGGGCGAATTGTCGACTCGGTGGGCAATGTGGATGGGCAGTGTGAATGGGCAGTGTGGATGGACAATGCCGAGATAGGCGATGGAATGCGCTGGCTTGGAAGTGCAGAGATGCAACAATGGAGGAATCAGCGAGCGTGGCTCATGGCGAGAGACTTTGGTGATCATCAGTTGAGCCTCGATCGTGATGTGCCAGAGGACGACTCTGCTTTGGATTATCTGATGTTCCCAAGACGGAGACTATCCAGACAACCACAGCTATTGGTTCATAAGAATGGAGCCCAGCCAGTGACTCTAGCCGCGATGTGATGTTCTGTCCTCAGCATTGAATGAATCGCCAGGTCTCTTAATCTACTCACGATCCTACAAAGTTTGGAGGACGCCACGTAGTGCGGATATGCGTGAGTCAGGCAGACGGCATGGCTCGACTGATGCATGTTTGATCTGGATGCACCGGAGTACTGACTCGCTTGGGGGACAGGATGTGCATTCAGGTTTGGTTTCAGCTGATGATGGCAATGGCCATTGGCGACAGCGAGGATGATAATGGAGTGAGAAGATGTATTCACAGACAATCTGGTGGGAAGACACCACCATGAGTTGCTGGACCAGCGAGCCACGACTGACGAGACAAAGACCGTCGAGATAAACGACAGGGATCAGACTGGCGTGAAGGAGTGAATGGAATACAACACGAGTAGATAGGATATGGCTGGGAATGTGACAACAATCAGACGATGCGAGTGGCAACGGGGACCAGGACAGGGTTGTTCAATCGATTGATGCCTGACAATCTTGGAACATCATGGAATGCCATTCGCCGTGGCTGTGGATAGTGTCTGTGCAGTGGTGTCGGTGTGGAGAGCCTGGATGAAGTGCAGTGAGATGGATCAAGGCTGTGGCAGATGGGAGACACGAGCGTGAGCGAGTGGGAAAGTGTCTATGGGAGACGGAGGAACGAAGGATTAGGCAGACAACAAGAGTAGGAATGTGAATACAGCAGTGGAGTGAGTGTGGCAATCAAAATGGATGGGAACATGGATGGAATGGAGTGAAAACAGAGAAGGGAAGCAAAATGCTCCGCACAGGGATCGAACCTGTGACCTTGGCGTTATTAGCACCACGCTCTAACCAACTGAGCTAGCGGAGCGGAATGGTTTCGTCCGGGATCGAACCGGAGACCTTGAGTGTGTTAGACTCACGTGATAACCAACTACACCACGAAACCCCGTGACTTTGATTACACCGTCTCACTCTATAAAACGATACACCTCTGTTTCGATCATCGAATGTTCCATCAACGGGCTCGACCACAGAGTGATCCAGGATTCCATGCATCCCACGCTCCCACACACGCCGCGGGACTGACCACGCGGATGCCAGTGATATTAGTTGCCCAAGCCCGAAGAATGTTCCTCTGGCGGGTCGGAGGTTTCCCTCCCAAACCTGACGGAGCGTGCAGAAAGCCCGGACCCAATGGTCCCAAAATACCCCGTCAAGGATCATCCCTACTGTCAAAGTCGATCCCAACGACAAGCTGTCGACGTTCGGCTTCCTCGTGGATGGCTCGCCCCGAGTCTGCACCATGGACTGGGTCGAGATGGTCAGCGAGAACGAGTTTACGGTCGTTGGAAGGTGAGTGCGATATCCCTGTGTCCACCGAGTGGTCTGTGCCCTCCTTCCACTGGTCCTCCACCAGCCCATCCCACACTCTTCATTCCCACACCTCACACCTCACCCTCCAGATTCGACCAGAAGATCAAGATCAACGGTGTCTATGTCGACCTCAACGGCCTCAGTGAGCTTGTCCACAAGTACCTGCAACAAGCCATCGTCGATTGCTACTTCATCCACACCTCCGAGAGGAAGATCATCTTGCTCTACATCCTCCAGGAAGGATCCAATCCCGACTTGATCTCGGCCGATATCATTCGAGTCGTCGAGGACATGTTCTTGCTGTTGAACGTCTCCAAGGTCCCTGTCCACAACTGCCTCAGGCTCGACGCATTCCCCTTCAACGACTCGGGCAAGGTCGATCTCAAGAAGCTCAAGCGCATCGCCGAGAACATCGAGCAGTACGGCCAGGCGGTCGATTACCCGCCCCTCATCGTCACCAGAACGTTCTTGACCAAGATTGCCTTCAAGATCTCCGAGTTCAGCAGCCAGATCCTAGACAACCCCGGTCTCTACGGCCGCAACTTTTACATTGGCGGCGTCGGCTATGACTCGTTGAGCATCAGTCGCCTGGCCCTCGCCATCAGGGAGGAGTACGGTGTCGAGATCTCGCCAATGATCCTGCTGTCGAACAGCATGAGTCCCAAGGATGTCGCCCAGCTGGTCGTCGACATTCTCGACGACAAGCTGGTGATTCCGCCGACAATCGATCTGGCTGCCGAGGCTGCCAAACTCGACGATGCGAGTGTGACGGCCGAGGGTTTCCCTCCGTTTGTCTATCCCAAGGAGGTCCGCGGCATCGTCCTGACGGGTGCAACCAGCTTCCTCGGAGCATTCCTGATCTTTGAGCTGGCACACAAGTTCCCTCGGGCCAAGATCTACTGTCTGGCACGAACCGAGACCGAGAAACTGGCCTTCCTCCGCACCTACTCCAACGCCTCGAGGCTGGTGATTGCATCGCGGAACAAGAACGATCCGTGGTATGACGTGCGAGACCGGTGGGTTGGTCTGCGCGGCGACGTTTCCAAGGAGCGATGGGCACTCTCGGACGAGCGATGGAAGGAGATTTGCGAAGAGACCGACATGATTGTGCACAACGCCGCCGAGGTGCACTGGCTCTACAACTATAACACGCTCAAGGCAACAAACGTCCTCAGCACGGTGACGGTGCTGCAGCTGGCCACGACGCACCATCTCAAGGTGGTGCACTACATCTCGACCATCGGGACGATTGCCATGGCCAAGGGCTCCGACAAGCCGCTCGAGGAGAAAATGTACTCCAACTGGAACCTGTCGGGCGGCTACTCGCAGACCAAGTGGGTCTCTGAGCAGCTGATCAACAAGGCACGATCGAGGGGCGTGCCTGCAACCATCATTCGGCCAGCGATGATTGCTGGCGACAGCGGATACGGAGGTGAGCCGTGGTGGTGTGGTGATGTGTGATGTGGTGATGTGGCGATGTGTGATGTGGTGATGTGGCGATGTGTGATGTGTGATGTGGTGGAGATTCCCTCCTTCGTTCCCTCGACTTGGCCATGGGTTGATGATCTTGCTTGTCGAGTCGCACCCGTCCATCGACTGACACTGTTTCTCACCGTGGTTGTCATCTGATGTGTGGGAAGAGGCGCACTTTCCTTGCCAAGTCCCAAGTCGATACTCCCCACCCTTCACATCACACCGCTGGAGGCATACATCATTGCAATCACACGCCCATCCAGCCTCCTTCACATCTTCGTCCTGCCCTTCTTCATGCGGTTCTTCCGGTGCCTCCTGTCACGCGGCTGGTTTTCTCAGCCTTGTGATCAACCAAACATCAACCACCCGGCATCTGGGTGCCTCCCTGGTACCCGCACCAGCCCACCTTGCCCATCGCCAGTGCTGGCGATCATGAGGTCCGCCTTTCGGAACCACCTTGGCGGTCCACGGTCCGAACAGCAGCACGCCCGTCTGTCCGTCTGGTCATGCTCCCGCCCAGCTGAGATCTCGGCCACACAGCTGAACTGATCTCGTAATGCGATGTTTGCTGTCAACCCTTATTAGCCCGGCCACGACTCTTTCCCGTTGGGCCCATTTCAGATCATATCGTCTATCAGCCCTCGCAGAGGTATTTGCACTGCCTCAGCCTCCGGAAGAACCATATCCGCTTACTCATCACCATTGAATCGCACTCTCGCAACACTTCATCGCCAGAGTCACGCTGGTGTCTCCACCGTCTTGCATACCGAGCACCACATGGCCCTTCCCCAGCGCTCCACTCGGGCCATTTTTTTCTTTCCTACTCATAGCACCAAACTCTCCGCGAGTCTCCTCGATGTTGACCGAAAGATAAAAGCCGGGCCATCTCCGCCAAAAGAGCAGTGCATCATCATCACCTCCGAGGCTCATCCAAAGTCAAGCTCTACCGCTCAGCTCCTCTTCGTCCACACGATCGTCCTCTCCACTCCTCTTAGCACCTCCCACGGTCCACCCCAATCGCATCCATGATCTTCACCGCTGGCTTTGTTGTCGCTACCGCCCTTGCTCTTTCCAGCAGCGTCAGTGCCGCCACTATCCCCCGAGGCAAATGGGATATGTATCTTCAGGCTCTTGACAAGGTTCTCGGCTCTCCTGAGAACATGGCCCTCATGGCGACTGAGTCTGGACGCCTTCTGGACGCCCATCTTGCCCAGAAGCAGGATCCCGCATTCCAGGAGCTCGTTGGCAAGGCTAAGAGCTACACCGCCATCTCGGACTTTGCCGATCGTCCTCTCGATAACGAAACCCTCGAATCTTGGGTCACCCAAGTCTTTGTAAGTACTCTGCTTGATAGTATTTATCGCTTCTTCTCGCTGCACACCAAAGTAACTCGGGTTCATCCTATTTGCTTCCTTTCATCGTTGATAGGGCGAGGACACCACCGATGCCCACACCGCTGCCGTCCTTGCTGCCGCTCTCCCCGACTCGTGGGATTCCCGCAACAAGAACTGGGTCTCGTCCATCAAGGACCAGGGCCAGTGCGGCAGCTGCGTTGCCTTCTCCTCGGCTGCCACCGTCGAGAGCACCTTCCTCAGCCAGACCGGCAACAGCATCGAGGTCTCGACCGCCGACATCTTCTTTTGTCTCGGTGCCGGTGATGCCACCTGCAAAGACGGATGGAGTACCGTGACTGCTGCTAACGATATTGCCCAGAGCGGTGTCATCTCGGCCGACTGCTTCCCGTACACCGCCGGCGATGGAAAGGATAAGCCCTGTGCCAACAGCGGCTGCCAGCGTACTGTCGGCCTCTCCAAGGCATCCTTCGGCAGTGTCGACGAAATGAAGAACCATATTATGAGCCATGGCGCCATTTTCACCGCCTTTACTATCTGTAAGAGTCCTACTCTGCTTTGCATGCTTGAAAGAAATGCGGTTGCTTCCGTGAGTGGCCACACTTCCACCAGAGCAAGCGTTAGTACTCAGGAGGAACATGGATGGTGCAGGACAGCATTTTTGGCACTGATGGTGGCTCTGGGGACTCGTTGTGCTGGTGTACTGATCCATGCTACCGTCAATTATCCAGACTCTGACTTTGACAACTGCTGCACCAACAACCAGGTGTATATGCAGCAGGATTCCAAGGCCCTTGGCGGTCACGCTGTCTCGGTCGTCGGCTGGGACGACAACAAGGGTGCCTGGCTCTGCAAGAACTCTTGGACCACTTCCTGGGGCACCGACGGTTTCTTCTGGATCGGCTACGGCCAGGCCGGCATCGGCGCCACCAGTGTGACCTTTGGCTTCATCGCCAACTGAAGTGATCTTCACTGGCCGTTTGGACGACCTGTCTTCGTCTCCCTCCCATGCCCTTGCGCTCCCAATACTCTCTTGAATGACCTCTTCGATAGCCCTGACGAACGTGCGATTCTATGACCTCCTTCCTCCTAGACGGCACTTCCCCACTCCGGCCTGCTCTATTGCCGTGTGTACTTGGCCCTCTCTCCCTCCGAATTAAAGACCCTCAATAAACGACGACGGTATGCTCTGAGGAATATGGCTGCAGCCAAGTGATCCTGTCGATCTGGTGCTTCCCTCTCGATCTAGGTTTTCTGTTGATTCAGCGTCCCACTGTCGATCCAAGCTCTCTGCATAAACGTGATTCTGGCCATGGGATAGGTATTAGAGGTTTACTCAGCGGCGAAAGCTTCACAAACGAAATCGATGAGGACACATAACGCAGCAACGCGGGGGAAAGCGGAGACAGTAGTCGACGATGAGGGGGGCCTTGGATACCTCAAGGCGGACCGAATACCTCAAGGCGGACCGAATACCTCAAGGCGGACTGAATACCACAATCCAAACAGATAAAAGCATAGACACCATTTTTGGAGGTGGAAAGGGAGCATGGAAACCATAGAATTGACTGAGATAACCGCGCGAGAGGCTGGATCAACTCCGAGCAGCACCCTCTCAAAACTTGGCCACGCGTTCAGAGATGGCCTTCTCAGAGTACTCCCACAGCTTCTTGGCCAGGGCTTCGTCGTTGGCAAGCTTGTGCAGGCCTGCGCTGGTCTCTTGGCAGTCGGCGTAGTAGCCACCGGGCACAAGGCTTGGGCTCATGGCAGCAACAACGGTCGTGGCGCTGCCCTGGGGAATCGTTTTCTCGGCAAGGTGCTCGTTGGGCATCGGTGCCATGTGTCGGTGGGTGAGGATGTAGTACATGAAGGTAACATTGGTCCACATATCCGTGTACCGCCACAGATCGGTCGCCTTGATGACGCCAGGATGGACGGCGACGCTGACGATGTTATCGGTTGCATATCTGCGCTGGAGCTCCTTGGAGAAGAGGACGTTGGCGAACTTGGACTGGCCGTAGCGGCCCCAACGGTAATAGCTCTTGTCGGCGTTGAGGTCGTCGAACTGGATGCCTTCGGCAGGGGCCATGATGTTGGCCACCGACGACAGGTTGATGATACGAGCTGGCTCCTTCGCGGTGGCGGTTCTCTTAAGCAAGGGCAGCAGCAACTGAGTCAGGTAAAAGTGGCCAATGTGGTTGACACCGAACTGGTTCTCAAAGCCGTCGGTGGTGAAGCTCTTGGGGCAGGCCATGACGCCGGCATTGTTGATGAGGATGTGCAGCTCGCGGTACTTCTGGGTAAACTCCTCGGCAAAGACCTTGACGGACTGGAGCGACGACAGATCGACGGACATGTACGAGATCTGGGCGCCGGGGCATTGCTCTTGCAGCTTGGCGAGGGCGGCATCGCCGTTGGACTTGCTGCGGCTGGTGAAGATCACAGTGGCGCCCTTGGAGGCCAGGACACGGACGGTATCTTGACCGATGCCGGTGTTGCCGCCGGTGATGAGCACGGTCTTGCCGGCGCAGCGGGGGCCGCCAAAGAAGTCAGCGACTTGGTCACTGGTGCTGGTGGACGAGAGCGTGGACATGGTGGGTAAACAGAGGATCCGAGCGAAGAATCGAGGCGAGGGGAGGGAGGAGAAGGACGAGGGACGAAGGGTGTTGTGGATCGAGGGGGTTTGTCGATCGAGGAGACGAAGACGGGTTTGGGTTTGCACGACAGGGGCCGTGTGACAAAGCCGGGGCCACAACTGTAGGACTGCCGACTGCACGTCGGGAAAATGGATGAATTCCATCGCGCGGTGCTATGCATGGTCGCACAAGACACATGCAGCGTGGTCCCCGCGCAGCACGCGCAGCCAAGCGGGTGCACAGATCTGTATTCCGGGAGCGATGGCGCCGGCTGCTGCGCACGGCTCTCGCCGCGGGGCGAGAAGGGATCTTGATCTTCTCGCTTGCTCGCCCAAGATCGTTTGATCTGCTGGTTCATCCCTCTGCCATCTCCAGCGACCGAGCCTCCACATCCGCCATGACCCAGCTCGAGTCCGTGCCCGAGGGATTCGTCGCCATCACCGAGGATGGTGGCCTTTTCAAGAAAGTGAACAAGCCCGGCTCTGGCCCTGTCGCAGCGAATCTGTGCAAAGTTGCTGGTAGGCGCCGATCGGCCCAGGGCCTGCCTTCCATGTGCCATGTAGCCACCCAGGCATATTGTGCGGGCCACATCGATCTGGCACTGAGGACGGCAGCCAGGAGCGTTTGCAGCAGACTGTATGGGGTTCACTGACTCACACCGCCGCCTGTGCCGCTCCAGTGCACTATACTGGATACCTCTTCCCGTCTGGTGAAAAGTTTGACTCGAGTCTGGATCGCGGCCAGCCCCTCGAGTTTTCTGTCGGAGAAGGTAGGGCCGTCGATACGTGGTTTCGCTCGAAGGCATCATCAGCTCGAGGTTGCTTTACAAATAGCCGCCATAAATCGCTGCTATCGACGAGCGACACCATCGGCGAGCATCGTCAATGACCATCAGCCCGCTCGTATCTTCTCAACCTCAACGACGGATGCATCACCGGCTCATCCAGGACGAGTCATCAGTGGATGGGATAAGGGCATTGCAACGATGCAGCTTGGCGAGTCCGCCGAGCTGCTGTGCACCCCGGCATATGGTAGGTTGTCGAGCGCCACAAGCTGCGGACAGAGTTCCTTGGATTGCTGCAGATGTGCTTCACGCATGACCGAGGCAGCTGCAGACCGGCTCTGTCATAAAGTCACCAGGGGACCCTTTTAGTACTTGTTGAGGTTACGCTGCTGATGCCGATGCTGCTGCTCATTGGCCGACCAAACGATGACCAGCTTATGGCGAGGAGGGCAGCCCTCCAACGATTCCACCGAATGCGACCCTCCGATTCGAAGTCGAGATGCTGCGAATCGACCCGGTACGTTGGTGGTCCTGCGTTGAGGCCATGGATGTGACCAAAGTCGCCAGCGTTTCCGTCGCATTGTCACCTTAGCTGCCCTGCCGATCATTTGTCTGATGGTTCTAATGCCACCTCCAACTCGCACCACGGCTGGAACTCGACGCACGGAATGAAACAACCACATCCACACGCGGACGCATTGGCCCGTCCTCAGCCGAGCAAGATGTCTGTCGCCGAACGTCTGATCCACGCCAAAGAGTGCAAGGACAGCGGCAATGCTTTCTACAAGTCGCAGGACTGGAAGGAAGCCATCGCGGCGTATGAGCACGGTCTCCGCTATCTCGATACCACCTGGACGCTCAAGCCCGAGGAGACGGTTGAGTTTAATGCTCTGAAGCTCGCACTTTGCTCCAACTCTGCGGCATGCTTCCTCAAGACCAAGGATCTCTTCCTGGCTGTGGACAAGTGCCGACAGGCCCTGGAGATTGACGAAAAGAACGCCAAGGCCATGTTCCGCCTCGCTCAGGCGTACTGCGGGCTTGCAGAGTTTGACAATGCGCTCAAGTTCCTGAACTCGGCCAGTGAGGTCTGTTGGAGAGCGGAGGAGTGGGGCGGTGAACTCAAATCGACGATGGGCGACACCACGAGGATACGAGGTTCAGTCGGCGTCTGAACAAATCGTGCTGTCGGTTGTTGCTTTGGGGGTGGGGAGCAAGCCACAATGCCTCACTGACATTTGGGGCTCCTTTTGGCTGTACATGTACGCTCAGATCGACCCCAACGATGCCGCCATCAAGGCGGAAATCGCCGTCGTGAAGCGTAAGCGACAGGAGTTTACCAACAAGGAAAAGAGCATCTACTCCAACATGTTCAAATAGGCGCTCTGCCGCACCACCACACCTTGTCGCTCGCTGATATAATCCATTGGATGATCCGTGATCCCATCAATACACTGGTCAGTCGTAAACCCTGCGGCATCGCCGTTCGATTGTTGTAGCATATCCAGGATGGTGCTCTCCGAGCAGCGTCTCGTCGTCAGTGTCCAAGCTTCATCAACAGAGCCTTGCAGAGAGTTGGTGGAGCATATTCAAATCGAGGCGATCTACTGTCGCCTCATCCTGATCGCGAAGGACGTGGCTGAAGACTTCCTTGGTCGTCTCGCAAGCGATGACCTTCCAAATCGCACCAGCCGGGTTCGCTGCAAGAGGGCACTTGAGCGTTCTCGTGGCTGGATCCTGGACATTCCCTGTTCATTTACCTCTGCTCATTTGCTCTGCGTTGCGATCGCCCGTGCTCCTCAGAACGCAAGGTTCATCCAGCGGCCATGTGCTGTGTATGTGTTCTTCGTTGATATGGGCAATATTGAGGAAGTGATGAGCCTTCGGGGTGTCTATTTTATTGGGTAACGTGTATATGCCTATGAAGGGGGCGAGGAGGCGGATTTGGGCACACTCCAGCAGAGGACGAGACCAGGAAGCAGGAATCGGCTGGCTGGGTGGGGGTGGCGAAACGACTGCTGCAAAGTCACAGATGTACAATGCCAGAAGACATATCCCGGGCGACTACAATTGCTCAGTTTTTGTCGACTTGGCTTGATACTGCCGACGGACCTCATCGCCAAGCTTGGAGATCCCGGCGGCGTGCTCTTTGGCAGCGGTCGCGAGTGTAAACTGCCTCAGCAGGAAACCAAGGTAGGGGCCCTTGACGTTCTCGTACTCTTCTGTGATGACACAACCGCGGCCATCATCGGCGACCTTGGCCGTCCAGACGCTCTTCATCACAAGACCCATGGGGATATTGATGGTTGTCTCGAGGGCCGCGGGCAAGGCGTTTTTGAACAGGGCATTGAACTGGACCGGCAAGCGAAGGCCACACAGACCGAGCGGGATGCGCTCGACAATGTCGTAGTGCTTGACCGTGCCGTCGTCGTTCTGGGAGCTCAGCTTGAACTCGATGCCGGGGCCGTGCATCATGATATTTTCGGGCCGAGCCAGGAACTGGAGCGCAAAGTCAAGGGGGACGTCCGGGAGGGCCACGGAGTTGACGATGGACAGAGTGCCGCGGGCATTTGGGGTGAAGTGGTCGGCGGCCATTGGCGTTAGTGTTGGTGGTGATGGTGATAGCGGTGATAGCGGTGATGGGGGCGATAGCGGTGATGGAGGCGAGTAGGGAGGAGAGACGGCCGTGCTGGTGGGTTTCTGGCTGCTGGGCTGGAGCGAACAGCACGTGCACGAGGCGGCGGCCGTAGCTTGTACCGAATGGGGCGGCAGCGGCAGGGTTTTTCCCATGGCGACTGTGTGCTGGGGCAGAACAGCGCGTGTGGGCACCGGCAGATCCACAGGCAACACAGCGCGCAGCCGTGGAACAACACCTCCGCGGGTGTTTGTCGCTCAGCGGGGCCACAGGGTGTGTGGGAACAAGGGCTTGTGAGACCACAGTCTCCGTTTCTGAATGTGCGATTGCAGCCACAGATCTGGCGTGTGCGCGCTGGGCCTTCGCTGCTGACATTCCATAGCCAGATTCGTGCAAACCTGCCCTGGCGCTCTCGGTCGACTTGATTTTGGTTGGATCGTTGTTCATTCTCAGTTGACTGTCATTCGCGTCTGGCTGGTCCGAATGCCCCTTGGGCAGAAAACACCCCACTCTTCCCTTGCGCGTCATGCTATTTTGAGTGTATTTGAACAGCAACTGGTTGTCACGTTCGGTGATCAGTCGTATGACTCTGGCACCTCCTTCTCGATATATACGGGCATATGTCCATTATCCATGATATAGACATCTGTCGACAACGGCTCGAGTCAGTTTAATCCTGTGGATATCAGTATTGTACACAAATGACTGTACTTACCCTCGTTGTTTTTCAAGAAGCCGACCTTTGATTCAATCCTTCTGACATTGATAAGGATGCGCTGCGAGCTCATCCCAGTAAAGTGGAATGTCTTTGTCAGTGGGCAGCGTCGATATCCACTTTCCAAGGATCCATACTCTTCTCGTGTGACTGGCACTCGGCATACAGCCCATAGGTGCGTATCTCCGCGGAAGACGTGGCTGATGAAGCGCTCGACGACAAGGTGTCTCAGCGGGAATTTTGTCATCCCGAAATCAATCATATCCCACGGGTAGTTGACCTTGCGGCGTAAAGCAAAATGTCAGGGATGGCATCCAATGTTGCACGGACGAGCAGAGTTCGAACTCACCCTGACCCAATAGCTGCACCTGGACTCGTTGCTGGCCGTGGCGCCGTCTAGAAGCGATCCGATCTTGATGCCCTTCTTGACAAGAGCTGCATACTGCTTGATCGTGGCCTCACTCGATCCCCACTCGTCAATGATACTGCACATTGATCGATCTAGGTCATAGAGTAAGTTCGTGGCTTCGTTCATCACCTCTCTGGTATAGGCTTCTTTGAGCAAGGTGTTCATGTCGCTGTCCACCAACTGGATTCCCTTGTAGTGCTGCAGTTGACACCCACGAAAGTTCGGGTGCGTTGAGCTGCCCGATTGTCTGACGCTCTGAATCGGGTTGTTTTGGGTGTCTTACCGCTGGGTATGGTTGCCTGCGTTGCTTCTTTCATGAGCATCGACTCCTTGGTTCACGAGCTCACGACTGATCATGTTCTCGATGGGTCTCGAGCGCGATTGCACAGATCGCATCAAGTGGCCACCATATCCCTCAAGCGCGTACTGCCACAGATGGCACAGTGGCCCAAGGCTGTAGAGGTTCGCAGGAATGTGCAGCAGTTGGTGGATGTACATTCGCATGAGCCTGTATCCGGGATAGTGGCTATCCTTGGCATCAGCCAACCTGGCAACGTGGCTGTGGAGACGGAGCGTCAGCAGGAGTGTTTGTGTCGATATCTCATATTCCAACTCGGCCACCTACGTGATGTAGTATCGATAAAACTTGGAAATCAAGACCGCGAGAAGCTTTCTCCCCTTGCGCGAAATGGAGGGCTGGTGCAGCAGCCTCAGCGCATCGACAAAGTGGCCCCATCCGATTCTGTGTTGGCAGAGAGTCAGTGGGTTGGTGCTTGGATGGACACCACGACGACACGGCAGCGATGACTCGATAACCATGACTCGATGCCGTAACTCGACAGGGATGATCGACTCACAGATGCTCCTTGGGGAAGCCAGCACAGCGCATCAGTGGGAGCGAGTACATCAGGATCCAGTTCTTCCACTCTTCTGTTGTGAATCGCTTGTAGAACTTCTTGATGTTTCGAGGTCGGGCGCCGTATTCGGTGGGAACTTGGATGGTCTCCATCATCTTGCCCATTTTGGTCACCAGAGCAGTGCGCTTGCGGAGCCGGACAGAGAAGGTGTCTCGGAGCCGTAACTCTCCAGCCCAGATCAGAAAGAAGAGGGAGCCAACATTGGATGTGGCGTGCATGACATCAACTGGGAAGGAGCCCGGAGTGCGAATCGTCTTGAGGCTGCACATGATCGGCTCTCCGTTGATGCCTTGAGTGAGGGGATACGTCAGCAAGTTGAACAGATGCATATATCAGACTCACGATACACTGCTTGTCACTGCAAATCACGCCTCCTTGAGCTGGAGAGCACTCGAACCTTGACTATTACGAAGCTGCCCATTTGATCCAACCAGTGCACTCCATACACTTCTGTAACTAGCATCTGTTCTCGGGATCATCGTCTCTGTGCGAAAGAAGTACTCACCGCGAATGCTGTTGCCCTGGATGAGACAGAATCTACATCCATAGATTGCGGTGTGTCCCTTCATCTTAAGAAGCTTTGATATGGCAGGCAGGTCGCCAGTGCAGACGATCAAATGGGCCTTGAAAGTGAAAGTGCTCATTCCGCCGCTCTGGCGGACCATCTGGGTCCGAACTCCTGGGTACGTGGTGAGCAGGGATGTCGAGTCAGATCGGGTACAGTGTCGGCAGCGACAGCGATTCACGGTTACCTTTCTCAAGACTCTGCAGCTCCGAAAACAGTGGCTGCAGATAGACATCAAAGTTCTTTGGCGAAACTGGCCCCGGTGTGAGCCCGACGACAATCATGTTTTCTCGTTTGTAGCGAAACTCTGGGCTCAGATTGAAGCTGATCAGGGCAAACACCCAGCACTGCTGTCCGTTCCTGGGTCGACGAGCACAGTTAGTACGGTGGAGCACCCAGTTCCCACCAACAGGAATCGAAGCAGTGGCACTCACTTCTTGAAGACTTGGAACCCGTCCAGGGTCAGACCGAGGGCTATGTCGGTATCTTGGTGAAAGTACTCCTGTCTCTTGAGGGACCGATAGTGCGTCCCGTCAAAGATGTCGCTCATGTACTCTGTTGAGCAGAGACCAACCGTCAGCGCCAGGCGGAGAACAGGAGACGTGGTCTGTGATCGGACCCTCACCTTTGTTGTCTGATCGACGGCCCCTGTACAGAAGCTGATCGATCCGCTTCTGGCAGCGGAATTCGGCTTGCAGGCGTGGAATGAGGGGCATGTATGCGTACTGCTTGACAGGCTTGAGGACCTTCTTGCCTCCCCTGTACACCTCGATGTAGCGATTGGCTCCACACTGGTGGCATCGCGTGACGTTCCTATCGCTTGGAAAGCACTGGAAGTCGTTCACACACACGTCCTGATAGATGACTTTGGCCGAGGCAAGTCGCTTGGCACATCTGTTGGCTGTTTTGATGTTGGGGAGGGGAATGCCGGTGCCTGTTTCGATGATGTTGAATATGTCCGACAACAGCTCGTCCGATATCGGCCGACTCCTCTTCAGCCCCACGAGACGGAGGGCAATGCTTCGCATGTCTGTAGTTCGAGCACAAGGTCAGATCGATAACAAAACGGTTTGGAGGAACAAGATACGCGGGATATGACAATCGTACCTTCGGCAGTGACGGTCCTGGAAGGAATGGCCGATTCGCTTTGTGGTGAACCTGGTGTCGACGAGCTCTGTGGATCACGGTAAGTAGTCTCAACGAGGCGTGGATGTGCTGGCACTTGATGCTGAGCAGAGACGACGGGAGAAGGCAAAGGCCGGCTCTCCAGGAACGAATACGAAGCAGTGACACCATGTGGGACGGACTTCTGGGGAAGTCTGGGAATCGCCACCTGAGCAACGGATGGGAGGCTCGCCAACGATTGCGGCGCCTGGCTGCTTTCAGCATGAGGGATCTCATGTGCATCAATGAACCGGTCCATATGGTCCAGCGGGTGGTCAAGGAACTCGTACAGCTTTGGAAAGTCGATGTCACGAGCCCCAGCGACACCATTTGGTCCAGCGGCGAAGTCAAGGGCACCCTCTGGGTCGTTCTCTGGGTCGAATGACGGATCCTCCAGATTGGGAACGAGGTCTTCAGGGCTTTCGATGCGCTCAATGTCGCCCACGGCTGCTTCGATCGATTCTTCAAATGTCGGGTAATCCGACTCGAGGAGAACCTCGCCATCACGCAACTCCTCTGAAGGCGCCTGAGCAACAAAGAAAGGAGCATCTGGGTCGACGGGAGTAACAGACGCCGAGATGTTTGTGGGCGGAGGGGTGTCCGTTGGGAGCTGTGAGTCACCATCCGTGGAGGTCAGGTCGATGGGATCATCCAGATGAACATTGTCGTGACCTGCGGATGAATCCTCATCAATCAAGATCGCAGAAGTCGCCAGCCCAGATGGAGTTGACGACTGCGACGTCGATGCTGTGGGTACTGGCTCGCGGATGCCTCCTACATCGCTGCTGGATGTCGAGCTTGATCCACTCGGTCGAGGTGCATCGCTGGGTTGGTGTGAAGTCTTGGCTCTCTTGGTGGTGGGCGGCGACGAACTGGCCACGCCGGATGATGCGTTGGTTTTGTGAGCCATCATGCGAGCAACAAAATCAGGCTCGTTGTTTCTGGGCTGCGAATTGTAGGCTCGGCGAGGATCCCAGCCATCCGACGGTGGATTTGAGTTGATATGTTTGTAGCAGCGAGAAACCAACTGCCACATTCCACCTGCAGGATGGGCACGGCAGAGGGCACAGCGGCAAAAGATGTGCTTCCTCTTGCCTTGAGTCGGGATGTCAGGTGGAGGTGGAGGGGTTGGAGGGCGTCCGTAGAGAGCAGGCTGGGGATAGCCGGATGGGCAAGGATGGTTGGCTGTGGATCGGCGGGCGAGTATGGAGATCTTGCCAAGGTGCAGGACGGCGAGACGGGGACATTTGGCGGAATCAGGGACTGCGGGGCTGACGAAAACAGTAGATGCGTGGTCGGCATTGGATGGAATTGTGCTGGCACAGAGAAAGGAGGCTGGAGCACCGGTGGTTGTTGCGGGAGAGTTTGATGAGCGAAAGGATCTTGTGCATGGCGATTGATGAGTGCAGGATTGCCGGGTCGATCGTGTGGGCCAGCATATGAGCCGGGCCGTGGCAAGATTGAGCCTGGAGAACTGCGATTAGTGGGGAATGGTGTTGCAGGATGGCCGACAGGATGTGTGAGCTGCTGATTCCGAGGTGCGAGATGACTTTGGGATGGCAGATCGGCCTGGGATGTGAATTGCGGTTGGAGAGGACGTTGTTGGATTGGCAGTTGAACGACAGGCTGGAGGGATCTGGGCTGCGACGGAGGGGCCTGGACAGGAGGCGGACCTGGCTGGACGGTGCCAGGAGCGACGCTGGAGCCAGCGGCAGGAGGACCAGGGCTGAGATCGGGATTCATGGAGATCTGGAGCGAAAATCATGGCCGAGGTGCGATCTCGGAGAGGCGAGGAGGACTGGGTTGCAAGCGACGCGAAGAGCGAGGAGCGAGAGGGAAGGCGACGGGCGAGACCGAGGCGAGAGCAACGAGGACCATCTCGTGTCACCCGCGGCCACACAGGCGCCGTTTCTGCGCTCTGATTGGTGGAGACACACTTGTCCTCCCAAACCCGCGCTCGGCTCAATGTGGGTCTGCGGTCCTGCTTCTCCACCAACCCAATCCTGACCTGCTCGCCGCCTGCTCGCCGACCTTCACCAGCTTGCCCCTCATCTCCTCACCAGCCAGTCCACCAGCCAATCCGTCCACCATGAGCCAGCAATACTGCGTCAACGAGCTCTGTGTCCAAGGCAGCCAGCAGAACAACTATACATGCGCTGCCCCCATCAGCTCGCTCACCAATGGCAACTGCCTGAGCGTGTCGGCCAGCGACATCACTTATGTCAAGACCTTCCTGACCTCGGACTCGCAGCACCAGTTGCTGGCTCGGATGTGCTGCGGTCTCAATGGCTGCCAAGCTTCCAACCAAGCCATCAACCCGTGCTCCAGCACAGACACCAACTATGCCTGCGTCACCGGTATCGTCAACAACCAGCCTTACGTCGCTTGCCGCAATTTATTCTTTGGTGAAAGCAGCGATTTCTGCACCTTTTCATTCCCGGGGACTTGGACTCCCACAACGTGCGATGGCTCAGGGTCCTCGTTGCCGATCGCTGCGATTGCCGGAGGTGCTGCGGGTGTTGTCGGTAAGTATGCGACTGCATGTCCTGCTCGTGATGGACACTGTCGGCCGTCACCGATCTGTTCGCGCAGCTGTTTCTGACCCTGTGCTGCAATCCAATCTCTCCTGCACCCAGTCGTTGTTGCTGCCATCGTCGGCGTCATCTGGTTCCGCCGCTCCAAAAAGCCTGCCAATACGACGCCGCCTGCGCAGAGGCCTTCCATGAACAATCCGTCCATGATCGAGCTCGTTCCTGCTCAAAACTCCAACCCTTACCTTCATCAGGGTGCCCCCAACTCCATGTCTGAGTATACGAAGGGCCCATATGCTCCTGCTGTCGCCAACCAGTCTCCCGGCTATGCCACCAACAGATACGAGCCTGCTGCCTATCAGAGCAGCGCTCCTGTCTCGCAGCCGACCGCCTACTATGCTCCTTCCACGGGCTATTCCGACAGTGGCGCTCCCAACCCCTCTGTCTATGCCCCCAGTACTTCGAACCACTCGGCTTATCGAGTTCCCACCCAGACCCAAGCCTACAGCCAAGCCCCTAGCCAGACCTACAGCCAAGCCCCTAGCCAGACCTACAGCCAGCAGCAGCCTGGCTCCTCCAATGCTGCGGCCTCCGTCAAGTACGTCGCCATCGCCTCCATCGATACAAAGAACCCCCAGCAGATCAGTCTGAGTCTCGGCGACACCATCTTGGTCCAGCCACCGTTTGTTAACGGATTTGCCCAGGTAAGAGTTATTGGACTGTGTCCTGATCTTGTCGGCATCGCTGCTGCTGTTGCTGCTGCTGCTGTGTCTCAGTCCTGGATGGACAATGCATCCACACCTTCGTCTTGCTCACGTCCTCGTCATTCGTCTTGCTCATCAAATGTGTCTTGGCAGGGTTTCAACCAGCGCACAGGTCGCTCTGGCTTCGTCTCCGAGAACTGTCTCCGCGCCGTGGATGTCGCTCCTCAGGCAACACACGACGACGGCCTCCCCAGCTATGTTCGCTGAAACCCGCTGGCTCGCCAAGCTTGCACAATCCCTCCAATGCTGCTTCCTCCACCTCGTCGGGTTATCCTCTTGTAGTCTTTACTCTGCTCTCGCTCTTGTTGTCCCAATGCCTCGATGTCTCGATGTCTCGTTGTCTAGTTATCTAGTTATCTCGATGTCTCGATGTCTCCTCATTGTGACATCATGCCACATCCCAGAGGATGAGCCGCACAGTCTGGCTGAGGGAAGGAGCGGATCGAACATGGTCAAGATGAGAGTGTCATGGGTGAGGTGCATCTGGTTTGGATGGCGAACCTGCAGGACTCGATACGATGTTCGATTCCACATTCAATGAATGTGGCAGTGCATGTGGCAATGGGAGAGCAACGAATCCAGCAAGCAAACCATCGGATCGAGCCAGGCATGTGTGTGTGTGTGTGTGAGTTCAATGGCCAGTGCTTGGCTTGCCAGGATCTGGCTTGCTTCTCCACTTGTCTCTCTCTCCTGTCCATCTCCATCACCCACTTGTCTCCAATCCTGCTGCCTCCTGTCTCCGCCAACATGGCCAGCATGAATGAGCCTGCTTCAACCACAGCATCTGCCACCCACCAAACCCAAGCTGAAGCCAGAACAACCTCGTCGATGCCCGATATCGCCCAGTACTCACTGGAACACAACCCAGATATCTTCACCATCATCTGCTGCAACCATAGCTTCCAGCGTGCCCTCGACCTCAGCACCATCAAGACCCTGCTCCGAGTGTGCAGGCGTGCCCGACCCCTCCTGAACTCCAAGGTGTCTCGCTTCGACACCTGGTGCCAGAATGCAGGACTCTGTCATCCAGGTGGACAGCTGCGGATTGGCCTCTCACCGAGCGACCAGATCGCTCTCTCGCTGCATTGCGATCAACAAGCCACAGCTGATCGATCCTGGCTCATCGAACAAGCGAACCGGGGCAATACTCCTGCCTCTTACTTCCTGGCAAAGATCCTCCAAATCGACCTCAATAGCGATCGCATTGACACGTCCGAGCGGCAAGCCATCCACCAACAAATCTTCCGCCTTCTGGAGAACGCATCCAACACAAACCACACGATGGCACAGTTCCACTTGGCCGAGTGCTACCGCAACGGACTCGGTGTCGACCAAGATCACGCAAAGGCTGTCGAGTTGTACCGCAGTCTGGCAGATCGTGGAATCCCTCAGGCCCAAGTTGCCCTCGGCCGATGCTACGAGTCTGGCGAAGGAGTCGAACAAGATTACAACACAACCATCGAGTGGTATTCCAAGGCCGCAGATCAAGGCAGCGAAGACGGTCGACTCCACATCGTGTTCCTCCGTGGATGGTTCTCGTTCATCGGCCATGGTGTCGAACAGAGCGATCTCGATGCCTTCAACCACTGGCATGAAGTCAGCACCCAATCCACCGACCCAGTCATCAAGCCCATTGCCACGCACATGGTCGGATGGATGCACTACCTCGGTCGGGGTACCGTGCGCGACGAGCAGAAAGGTGTCAAGATCATCCGAGACACCAAATCCGATGAGTTCAAGCTTGGAGAGGATGAATGTCTGGCTGGATACAATCATGCCGACTCCAATTCACCCACGTCCTGCAAGTTCATCCAATTGTGCCAGCTGGGATCGAACCGAGACTGGCTCTGCAGACAGCTAATGGCTGTGTGCTTCTTCAACGGTTTTGGAACCACAAATGACCGGAAGAAGGCAGCAGGCTTATTCGAACAACTCGCCAATGACGGCCACAGCGTCAGCCAGTACTGGATTGGATTGTGCTTCTGGAGTGGCGGAGGAGTATCAGAGGACAACGATAAGGCATTCAAGTGGTTCAGCAAGTCGGCTGACCAAGGTAATTCGTATGGGCAGGTTATGGTTGGCGTGTGCCACTATCATGGATACGCAGCCACTCGTGACTACACCAAGGCAGCTGAGTGGTATCGCAAGTCGGCCGAGCGGGGCAATCGATACGGACAAGAAGATCTCGGCCAATGCTACAGATATGGCCGTGGTGTCCCCAAGAACATCGACACCGCCGTCTTCTGGTACCAAGAGTCCGCCGACCAGGGTAACAGAGAAGCCATCGACAAACTCACGCAACTCGGCAAGTGGCCCTGATCCCCAAGTCCCTCTCCCAAACAACCAAATCCCAACGCTGAACGTGCGATCCGAGCAGCCAACCAAACTGCGCCGCCAACACCCATCCCAGATACCATGGTACCAAAGAGTGGACTTGCAAAGTGATTCCTATGAAGCGGCAATGGCCGAGTGTTGTATTTGATATTCAATACATCCAATACATCCAATACATCCAATACATCCAATACATCCAATACATCCAATACATCCAATAGTGTTGTCTCATATTCATCGCTGATGTTGATCGACCGAGAGGAAACATCCGATGACTCGACAACAACAACTCGACATTCACAATCGATACTCGTTCTGCAACCATAGATGGTGGAAAGAGTTAGCACGACCCAGACCATCCCTCGCCACATGGTAATGAAGAATGCAGGCAGCAAGCCACCAGCCTTCCCCGGCACCAAGACCATCCTCCCTCGACCCGACACCAGGCAGTGTGCCCTGATCAGCATCGATGGACTGACAAAAGGATGGCAAAGGCGACGAATGGCCTGGATCCAAACGGGCATAGGTTCGCCTCTCCAGCCGCCAAAAGAAAGCAACTGACCACACTGCAGCTTTCTGGTCCACCCTCGATCCGACCCAGGGACGCCGCGGCACGCCAGCGTGTGTGGTAAGACCATGCGAGGATGAAACCAGTCCACTGCAGTGCAGCCTGGCGACTGGGAGAGGACTCTTTGGACCCTGGAAGCAAGAAAGACGGAAGTATTAGTGCTGCGTCGCGCTGTCAGCCACACACGAGAGGAGGGATATGCAATGCAGTGTGATGCGATGCAGATGGATGCTGGACTCATGGGGGCAATGCGGACCTTAGCTGTATATACCAGACCGGCAGTTCAACCAGAGCTTCCCATGAAACCCTCCGAGGACTGCACCTCGGGCGAGGGAGTGGACGACATCCAGGTCTCGATGCCGAGTCGATTCTTCTTGGTGTTGTGCCACTCAGTATCGGACTTGTGATCACACATGTGCTGGTAGTGACCATTGGAGAAGAGACTGCCTCGTCTTGGTGGCCCGGTGCTTGGATGACCGCCGTGAAGATGGAGCCGACTCCATGATCGATACCAATCCAAGTGATCTTGTCAGGGTCTGGATTGCCGATGTGGGTCTGGATACGCTGCTCGGCAGTCTTGACGGGTGTGGTGGGCTTGGTCCGCCTGGTTCGACGCACAAACTTGACGAGGCCGATGGTGCATCCAATGCCATCGGTGCTGATCTCGTAGTTGAACAGCTTCTTGTCCCTGACCCGCTCTTGGAAGAGGGAGCTACGCAGCTTGAAGCAGCTATTCCAAAGGCGATCCTGGTTGTTGACACCGTCCTCGCCTTGTTCCTTGAGCATGCCCCATGTGAGTCCAAGACGATGTTCGGTGTCAAGGAGTTCCCAGAGAGTGGCCGTGTCGGTCTTGACATACTTGGCCTTGGCGGTGCACAGAGGGACCATTGTGCACACGGCCGGAGGAGTGTCAAGAGCGAGCTGCTTGAGAGCCCAGTTGATCCTGGAGGCCAGCTTGTTGATCTTGGCCTTGGTGGTGCCGAGCTCAGACTTGGCCGTGGCGAATCGCTTGTCGTCGGAGGGAATGCCTCGGGCAGTGAGCCTGTCCAGCTTTTCCTTTTGATTCGGTTCCCGATATCTGCATTTCCACAAGACTACCGGCCATCAGTTCCACAAGCAATCCCACAGTCGGTGAACATGCAAACACATATACCCTGTTGCGATCCCCACCGACTCTCCGGCCCACACGGCGGACCAAGCGGGTGAACACCTCCCCGAGTAATCTCAGGTGATTCGCATGTCTCCACTTCCCAATTGGAGATCCTTTTGCTCTGGCCGTGTTGTTCCACTCCGGGATCTTCTCACGATTACCGTATACCCAGTTGTCATTCCCAAGCCATTCGATAATGCTCTCGGTCGATCAACATCAGCGATCGTTATGGAACAGAACTGTTTTGTATGCTGGATGTATTGGATGTGCTGAATGTCAAATACAACCTCACTCGCCGTCTGCCGCTCTATCGGGCCCACTTTGCGAATCCACAGGTCGATATCGTTGGATTTGGATGAAATTGGGTGGTGCGGTGATTTGGCTGCCCTTGTTGCATTTCAGCGGGGCGACATGATTATTTGGGCGTGGAGCTTGGGACGGCATCGGGATCAAGGCCACTCGTTTAACCACTTGAGTTCGTCGATGGCCAAATTGTAACCCTGGTCGGCGGACTTGCGAAGCCAGAAGAGGGCAGTGTCGGTGTCCTGGGGGACACCCCAGCCACACTTGTAACAGGTGCCGAGGTTGTTCTGTCCGTATCGATTGCCCTGTTCGGCCGAATTGCGCCACCACTCGGTCGCCTTGGTGTCGTCCTTGGTGACTCCGTATCCCTTGTAGTAGCAAAAGCCAACCATATTCTGACCGTAAGAATTGCCTTGTTTGGCCGATTTGCTGTACCACTGGAGGGCTTGCTTTCGGTTTCGCCACACTCCCCAACCAAATAAGTAACATTCTCCAAGACAGACCTGGCTGTCGCTGTAACCCTCGTTGGCGAGCTGTTCAAATATGGCCGCTGCCTTTTTCCGGTCCCCGGTGGTTCCGAATCCATGGAACAAACACACAGCCATGATGTGCCTGCACAGCCATTCCTGCTCCGATCCCTGCTGGCACAAATCAAAGAACTTGCGGGCAGCGGATGAGTCAGACGAAGACATGGCCCCAGCTACCAGACATTCGTCCTCCCCAAGGCCGAACACATTGGATTTGTTGTTGCGTATGATCTTGGTGCCCTTTTGCTTGTCCTGCTGGGTACCCCGGCCGAGGTAGTGCATCCAACCGACCATGTGGGTCGCGATGGGTTTCAGGACAGTGTCAGTTGACTTGGTGCTGACTTCCTGCCAAAGCACGAAGGCACCGCGGTCGTTCTTGGCCATCCCCTCGCCCAGGAATGTGAGCCAGGCCAGCTGGAAGGATGCTTCGAGGCTGCCACGGTCGGCAGCGGCCCTGTAGAGCTGGGCGGCGAGCTTCCAATCTTGGTGGCGGACAGGGAGACCCACTGAGACCAACTTGGCAGCATCGAGACAGGCATCGGGATCACCTTGCTTGGCGCGGGAGACGATGGAGGTAGGGAGACGATGGAGGTAGGGAGACGAGTGGCCGATTCGATGCCGTCAAACTTGAGCTCGTCGGGTCGACTGGACTGGGACGGGGGCTGGCTGTTCACGCTGAGAGTGGTGAAATGACCAACAACCTGACTGACAGGAGGGGTCTTGGCGGCGGCGGGAGTGGGAATGGCAGGGACAGTAGCTCGGTTGTATGGCTGGAGGACGGCAAGGATGTCGGGGAAGGCAGGACGGGCGGCGGGATCTTGGGCCCAGCAGCGTTTGATGAGGGCCCAGATATCGTCGGGGATGCCATCGAGACGCTTGGGGCGCTTGCCGTTGCATGAAATGCGTTCAATAGCTCGGTTGAGCATGGCTTGTCCGTTGTTGGTGACCCAGACGGGTTTGGCATCGTTGAGGACCTCATACATTGTGATGGCGAAGGCGTAGACGTCGGTCTTCATGGTGGATCCGCTGGGATCATCGTCGTCCAGCATCTCGGGTGCAATGTAACCGTCGGTACCGCCGGTCGGGCCCATGGATCGGTTGCGGTCCAGCGAGGCAGAGGTGTGCTTGGTGCGGGACATGCCAAAGTCGGTGACGACGGCGTTGTTCAAGCCGTCCAGGAGGATGTTCAGGGCCTTGAGATCGCCGTGGATGATGCGGCGGGAATGGAGGTATGCCAGAGCCGATGCAGCTTGGAAGAGGAGACGGAGCTTCTCCTCGAGTGGGACATTGTTGTTGGCAACATGGTTGCGAAGGGTGCCGTTGGGCATGAACGGCGACACCATGAAGGGAGGAATCGGGTTGCCGTCATCGTCTTTGTCGCAGGCACCGAGCAGGGGGAGGATGTGTGGGTGGCTGAGCTGCTTCCAGATATCGATCTCATGGTTGTAGTCAGCGAGCTCCCGGTTGTTGTAGTTTCCAAGGAGCTGCTTGATGGCGACCTTGGAGCCAAAGTATGTGCCAGTGAAGACCTCGCCAAAGCCACCGCGGCCGATGGGGTTGGCTGAGCGGTCGGTGATGTCCCTGGGCGATATGTACCAGGACGGACGCTCGGGAGCGGGGCGGATAATGGCTCTGCTTGCCATGTTGCGAGGTATGGATGCTGGAAGGAGTGAAGGAGTGAAGGAGTGAAGGGGTGATGGAGTGATGGAGTGAAGGGGTGATGGAGTGATGGAGCGATGGAGTGATGGAATGATGGAGCATGAGCAAGAACTCTGATGACACACATTGGTTGGCTGGCACACTCGATCCACGGATCCAGCCATGTTCCTGGTTTGGTGACTGTGCCACTCTCGTTCCATTCCACCCATCTCGTCTCATCTCGTCTCATCTCATATCATCTCCTCAGCATCATCATTGCACTCTCATCCCAATCCACTCAATCCACACATCGAACATCATGGCTACCATTGTCCATCCCTCACCTCGCATGGCTCGACTGGCCATCGACGAATACAACCCAGACATCGTCACCATCATCTGCTGCAACGACAGCTTCCAACTCGCCCTCGATCTCAGCACCATCAAGATTCTGCTCCGAGTGTGCAAACGAGTCCGTTCTCTCCTGAGCTCCAAGCTGCCTCGTTTCCTCACCTGGTCCCAGAATGCAGGATTGTGTCATCCCGATGGACAATTGCAGATTGGCCTCACACCGAGCGACCAGATCGCCCTCTCGCTGCATTGCAAGGATCAAAACACAGCCGACCGATCCTGGCTCATCGAACAAGCCGACCAAGGAGCGCCTTTGCATCGTACTTCCTGGCCCGGGTGATGCAAGTTGATATATACCAAGAAGAAGACGACGATGAGCTTGCGGAGAATACCCAGCACCAGCTGATATTTCCGTATCTGATCAAGGCCACTGAAACTATGCATCCAATGGCACACTTCCACCTGGCCGAGTGCTATCGCAAAGGGCTTGGAGTTGACCAAGACCACACCAAGGCTGTCGAGTTGTACCGCAGTCTGGCAGATCGTGGAATCCCTCAGGCCCAAGTTGCCCTCGGTCGATGCTTCGAGAATGGCGAAGGTGTCGACCAAGACTTTGACTCAGCCATCGAGTGGTATTCCAAGGCTGCCGCCCAAGGATATGACGATATCCGCATTGCATTCCTTCGTGGCTGGTTCTCGTTCATCGGCCATCGTGCCGAACAGAGCGACGACGATGCACTCAACTACTGGCATGAAGTCAGCACCAGGTCCACAGTACTGTCAAGACCGCGGCACAATCAAACCCAGCTCCACCATGACGAATATCGCTCAAAGCCGCGGCAATCACAATCCATGGCATGCACACGCAAATGATTTCATATAGCCTGTCTGCGCACTACGCCTATTATCAAATAACAACCGACAGCATGAATGGGGAGATCGTGGCCTGCAAGCCAGCGCAAGTTCAGCGGCCTCATGCCTCCATCCACGCCTCCTACTTTGCGCTCTGCCGTCATCCATCGTCTGATTGCCTCTGTCCATCACCCGCCGCCCTCTCTGCCGTTGCCCACGCGGCCGCACCATTGGCGCTGCCCTCCCCGACCCCGGGATTGAATCTTCCTTTCATCCTTCTCACATGCTCCCTCGTCTCGCTTCCATGTGAACTGCGGGTGCATGGCTTCACGTGAACGCTGCTGCTCTCCCCAGAAGCCCGCGCGCGCATATAACCTCGCTCGCTGCCCGGATGCCATCGAGCATTCTGTCTCTCCTGCTGCCGGCCGATTCGCGCATATTCCGTCCTTCAGCCGCACCTCATCCCCGCTGTCCAAGCCGAGTTCCTGCATCATGTCTGACAACGTTGCTCATGCCCTGGCTGGTAAGTCGCCCTTGCCGCGGCTCGGCCTCGGTTTTCATCATCCCGACAGTCGCATGATGATGGATGGATGGATGGCCTGGCTGATCTGAGAGTCATGGCGGGGCTATCGTCGCATATCGAGGTCTGTGTTGATCCGATATGTCTTCTCGCTGTTTGCGAGTCCAGGTGCCGGAGGAGGTATCATCAGGTAGATCAGCTTGGACGGACAGAGCCGATAGCGTAGCTTTGTGCGGCTGCAGATTGATCGTGGGCGCATCCACAATCGGGCAGAGTTGCGTCCGAAGGGAGGGTGCTTGTCGGAATCCACGTCCACTCGTTGATCTCGACAGGCGACTCTGCCCTCCATCCCTCTTCCCACGCGAAGAGCGGGTCGGATCATGGTCATGGCCAGAAGCTGCCTGGAGGCAAGCCGAACGTGCGACGCCGATCAGCGTCGGTGCTCGTCACCAAGTCGGCGTGGTTGTGGTATCGAGCCGATTGGTCCTCCTGGGCAGGCTCTTCTCTTCCACAGCAGATTGGACATGCCGCCTCGTCCTCACTGACACATTTCTGCCATGGCCGAACGATCGATCTGCCAATGCTCGCCACTTAACCACACAGCATGATCCTCACATATCCCCTGACCACGGTGTCGATGCGAGCCGCCGTCAAGAAGGAAGGCACCAAGTCTGGCGTCTCTGGCCAGCTCGAGGCCGCCATCCGCATCATCAAGGAAGAAGGCATCCAAGGACTCTACCCGTAAGCGGTGTCGTGGCTGGACTGATCGAGGCCGGTCGACGCCAATCTCCCCGCCTGCATGGCGGGACGGGCGGTGTGTGGGCCGGCCACCCGTTTGTCTGTTGGAGAGCAACCATCTTGAATCTGCCGGTGGTAGCGACCGCGCTGACCCAGCATGGTTTCCATCATCCGTTGGACTCTGAACCGCATCCAGTGGCGTGCAGTCGGCGATCTTTGGCATTGCCTTCACCCAGTATATCTACTACTACTGGTACGAGTTTGTCAAGGCCACGCTCGAGAAAGCCGCTGGCGAGGGCCGCGGCCTCACCGTCACCGAGAATCTGATGGGCAGCGCAGTTGCAGGCAAGTATGCGGCGTATGCATCCGAATGATTGCGGGCGAGCCGCTGGAGCGATCGCTGCTGCTGGTGGATACTGGAATATGCGGGTGGGCCCCGACGAGATGGACTAACGCTGGCGCCATCATGCTGCATGCAACCCAGGCGCTGTCACTGCGGTGCTCACCAACCCGATCTGGGTGGTCAATGTAAGTATGCCTCGCTAGTCTCACACGCACATACGAGCCCAGGGGGTAGCTTGGGGCGGTGGCACGGAGTAAGCAGAGGCCTCTCTGGGCTGTGGAGTGGAGTCATAGAGCCATAGTCCCTGATCGTGGGCACATCAGATCCGCGCTGACAGGTGCTCCCGACTGCCATTTTCAGACCCGCCAGGTCGTCAAGAAGGACGGTGCAAAGACCAGTGAGACCAGTACCTTTGCTCAAACCGTGATGACCATCATGAAGAGCGACGGCATCCTGGGCTTCTGGAAGGGCATCTGGCCGGCCCTTATCCTGGTCATCAACCCGGTGATCCAGTACACCGTGTTCGAGCGGCTCAAGGAGCGGCTGCAGCGGGTCCGATCGAACCTGACGGCCTTTGACTTTTTCATTCTCGGAGCCATCAGCAAGCTTGCTGCAACCGGCATCACCTACCCTTACATGTGCGTATCGACGAAACCAGGGTGATGATCCATGCGGAGGGCGAGTGTCTGCCTTGGTACTATGTAGTCCGACAAGGGGGGAGGGGGGCCGTAGCAGCAACTTCGAGTGTGGTGGTAGGGTTTCTTCAACTTCTGCATCATCATCGGTCGCAGAATATGCTAACAGTGGCTCCATCAACCCTCCGATCGGTGGAATTGCGGAAATCGGAATCGGCGGCCATCAGCGTCGTCAAGTCGCGCATGCAGGTTGCCGGCGGTGCCGACGACTCGACCCGCTATAAGAGCGTCCTGGACGGATTCAAGCGCATCATCAAGGAGGAGGGCATCAAGGGCCTGTACAAAGGCATTGAGAGCAAGATTGTCCAGTCGGTGCTCACCAGCGCCTTCCTGTTTGCATTCAAGGAAGAGTTGGTTGGCAGCGCCATCGGCCTGCTGGTGCTGCTGCGTCTGCGAGACCCTGTTTCTGCCGTCAAGGGCGCCGCCTCGGCTTGAGTGCGCATGCCCTCGACCGATGGAGAGTGGACAGTTGTGGAGTGAGTAGGGAGGTCGTTGCAGCGAAGACATTTGCAATATGAAACAGGGGACTGAGCGAATGCACGGGGTATGGACAGACGGGGGTCCGATGGGCATTCGATGGAGATTCGATGGAGACGGAGCTGCAGCCGGGGTCTGGACTGGATCACGCATGGCCAACATGGGATTCGTGGTGGCGAGCGCGTCCAAACCAGGATGCGTCGCAGCACAGAATACAGTTTCCACAGTCTCTGTGTGTGGAACACGAGCCGCCAGGCCGCGTGGGTGTGGCAACAGCCGAGCTGAGCAGCGGGTCCTTGTGGTGCCCGCGCGTGTGCGACCGGCTGTCCCGGCGTCGCACGACGTAAGACTGTGCGACCGAGTGGGGCACCACAGTGCAAATACAGAGGCTGCAGCTCCACAGCTCCACAGCACAGCAGCACAGCTGCATACACAGACAGCGTTGCCCAAAATAGGCGCCGAACCACTTTCCTGTCGCACCCGCCTCGGTGCCCGTCTCCTTCCTGCCCATTCCGTCCTTCGTCTTGACTTGCATCTTGCTCCCATTCTGTCTCGCATCTTGCTCTCCATCTCGCATTGCGTCCTGCCTTGCATCCTGCTCTCCATCTCGCTGCATCGCCCGCCCAGGCCCCTTCTCCCCACCCGCATCTTGTCCTCGTTCCCTGGCCTCTCCGTCTCCCTGCCCTCCAGCCCGCCTTGGATCCGCCGCAGCCCGCCAGAACGCTCTTCCGTCACAAACCACATCGCCGCGATTGACTGCTCGCCAGCGAGACATCCATCCAAGCGATATTATCTTGTCACAGCATCACACCACACCACACTTCGCCGTATCGTATCTGTATCTAGTGCCTGTCGCCCAGTTCACCACCCGCCACCATGTCCACCGGATCCCGCAATTCGCTGTCTCTCCGCCAGCGCCTCAAGGTCCTGACCCAGGAAAACACCGATCTGCAGCAAAAATACGACCAGCTCTTTTCCGAAAAGGAGTTGGTCGAGCAGCAGCTCGAGACCTCCAAGCGCACGCCCTCGCTCAGCGCGCACTCCAGCTCGGAGACCCTGCGTGAGAGCGAGAGCATCCGGCGATGTGTGAGTGCTGGTTACCCGCTTCGATTTCAGAGCGTTTCGGGGGGGGGTGTATGCATGGGTGGCTCGATGGAGATGAGTCACCACAGCTCCATTGTAGTTTGATGCCGTATGCCCTTCATATTTCTTCTGTTTCCTCTTGAGCGTCTGCTCTCGGCCATTTGCTTTGATTCGGCAAAAGGCCCTGTAGCGGATGCTCGTGACGGCTCCGCTGTTCTGACGCTCTCGCTCACTTGCGCCCATCTAGTCTTCCCCAGACGGGCTCTCAGATGTCCATAAGGAAAACAACCAGCTCCGTGAGCGTCTGGCCGAGCTCCAGTGCCTCAGCGACTCGCTCCGTGCCGACCTCGAAGCTAAGGATACCCGGGTTCTTTCGCTCGAAAACGAACGCGATCTCGTCTTGCGGCGCTTTCACGCAAAATGGGACAAGCTCCGGACTGTCCTGCAGCTGGCCGACCAGCAGTCCAACCAGCAGTCCAATCCGTCCGTCCATGACGATGCATCCGATTCTGCCAGCATCGAGGCACAGATTGAGCAGCAGGCAAAGTCCGTCAGCAGCGCGCACCAACGGCTGCGGGAGCTTGAGGTCCAAGTTGAATCTCTGCAGCTCGAGAACCAGCGCAAGGATGAGCAGATCGAGTCCTTGAAGGCCGACAATCAGTGCAAGACCGAGGAGATCGAGCGGCTCTCGGAGACCACCAAGGACTCCCAGTGCAGCATTTCCGCGGAGCTCTCTCGAGTCAAGGCTGCGCTTGCCCATGTGCAAAACGAGCTGTGCAACTCCAAGGACACAGTGTAAAGCTTTTTTTTTCGGATTGCCCTTGATGTCGGCGATGGCACTGCGTTTCGCCTGTCTGGGAATTGCTTTGGGATGGTTTGCGCCGAGCTGTCACTGGATGGACGGTCTCATCTGACAGGCTTTTGATTTCTTCCTGTTCGATCGCCACGCTCGTGCTTGATTGCAATTCCGCCGGCGATCATTGCTTGGCAACCGCAGCATCCAGAGCCAGCTCAAAATCCGAGAACACGAAAGTCGCCAAATCGCGCTGCAGAGCCTGATCGATGCAAAAACCAAGCAGCTGGTCTTTTCGTCCATCGAGCATGCGGCTTTGCAGAAGAAGCACGCCGAGCTCACGCACCGTTCCCGCGAGGAGCGCGAGCGGCTCGAGAATCTCGTCCAAGACCTCTCTACTACTCTCGATGCCAGAGACACGCAAGTTGGAGAGCTGCAGACTGCAGTTGATCGTCTGGAGGCCCATCTCGCCGATCTGTTCAAGCACTCGGTCAGCACAGCCTTCCGAAAGAGCTTTGTCACCTCGGGTACGTCCACCTCGGCTTCTCGCGGCAAGCGAGTCTCGATTCACTCTGTCTGCCGCCAAACTGCTAAATCTGTTTGGACTCGGCTGGATTGTCTGACTCGGGCGGTGCTCCACCGGTTCTCATGGAACGGCCTGGCGCGCTTCCATCCGTTCGCCGGCCACCGACATCGGTCCGGTAGACCATGGCTGCTCGCACCGGCCGATTTGCCGTTATCTTGCTGACTGACTGCTGCTTCTGTATTCATTATACCTGCCTCGTCGCTAACCGGGGGGCTGTCAGATATCCACAAACTCGAGCAAACTCACTGGGTGCCGGATTCCGACGTTTCGTCGTGTCAGATGAGTGGATGTGACAAATCCTTTGGCGTTTGGACCAGAAAGCACCATTGTCGAAGGTAGGCTGCCCCTGTGTGCTCGCACCTGATCGACCCGCTGTTTCGGCGTCCGCAAGCCGGTATCAGAGCCATGTCCGCTGGGCGCCCCGCGTACTCACCCGCATCCTCACCCTTTGGTTTCGTCTCAAGATGCGGCAACGTCTTTTGCTCGGGCCATCTGTCGTACGTGTCTCGTGTCCGTTGATGTCGCCGGTGTGCGGCCTGTGGTCGCCACTTGGCCGCCGTGGTGGCTTAGAGTCCGCTGGCCGGTCTAGAGCTTGTCTCTGTCATGCGGCTTGCTGTTTTCACGTCCACTGCGATTCGCTCGCCTGGCTGTTCATATCAAGCTTCGGGATAGCCATCCCACCGTGCTATCATGCCCCAGCTTTGCCTGGGCCTCACATGTCAACTACCCGCTAACCTTTGATTGCTCACCTGCCCGCTCATGACATGCCAACAACAGCAACAAGGCCAAGTTGTCGGTGGCCACCCGCGACTTCCATCCCGAAGGACTCGAGACCAAAGTTTGCGATAGCTGTTTTTCCAAGTGCAAGGTATGCGACCTTGATTCAGGATGTTGGTTTGCCGTGCCGATATCCACGGAACTGATTTCCGCCCCATAGGCTTCGTATCTGAGTACGCCATCGTGTCCATCTTGCTAAGACGCTCCACCTTTTGGTCCTCGCACAGCTCTCAGCCGCGCTGACGCACATTTCACTCGAGTCTGTCGTCTAAGCCCGGCCGGCACAGTCACGAGGCTGCTGGCTGCCTTCATATATCTGGTCGATGATGTGTCCAGACCTGATCTCGCTGTTCTTTCCAAAATCTCTGTGCAATCCGCCGGCTTTCAGTAACATTTCAGTAGCGTTTCAGTAGTGTTTCAGTAATCCTTTAGTAGCATATCGGTTTCTTCTTTCTTTGCTCTTTTGACTTGCCGTGAGTGCAGTGCCTTCGCTCCATGTCTTGCTTCCCTCGTTTGCCCCTCTCTAATTTCGGCTTTGTGTCCCAATAGCCAGCGCAGTTATTTCCCCTCCCTTCCTTGCGAATATTTATTCTGTTGTTTCTCTACTCTATCATTTCGAGCCGCTCCCTCCTTCCCTCTTCATATCCTTTGAAGCTGCCCCCGATGTCGCAGTTAGTGAACTTGTGAGCAAAGACATGATGACTCAAACCTCGATATTCGAGCTGCTCGCCTTCTGGCATCCACATCCTCGTCCGTCCCTTCCTCGCACTGATGATCTCTATTGGTGGGTCGCGTTCTGAGGTTACTACCGCATTGCTGTCACCATTGGGCTTTGCATGTCCAATACAGCCCGTTGTCATCCTCCTCCAGTCTAGCAGCACAACAGACACCCGCTTGGCGAGTGCAGACTCACCCAGGCTGACATCCGTTCCCGACCGAGTAAAGCATATATTCCAAACGTGGTGGCGAAGGACACTGCGCTTTTACGGCCGGTCAGAATCCATGAGATCCAGGAAAGGGAAGGAGAAACAGGAGGGCTGGGCAAAGCGGGGATGCAGCTTCCATGCAGCGACAAGCATCATCATTCCACTTGCAAAACCTTCAGTTGGGTTATGGGTCGGGGGTTTCGGCTTTTGTTGTAGCTATGTCATTGTTTGCTTTCTTCGATACTGTTTCATGGGAGGCTTTTACGAAATAGGAGGCGGCTTTCAAGGAAATCATACGAGACAGTGGAAACGGAAGGAGAAAAGGCTTAATTTGACAACAGCAATCAGAGGAAAAATACAGGTAGATAGAAGCACGCGAATGGCTGCAGAACAGGAATGCACGACAGGGTTTCGACAAAATGTTGTTGGTCGCATCTCCCCCCCCCTACACACACTTCCTCCTTGGAGAAAGGAGTCGGATGGCTCTCACTCAGCCAAGCTGTAGCTGCGTCACGAGCATCGAAGGGAGAAAGGGCTTCGCGGGAGATCATAAACGAAAGGGAGGTGTGACAGAAGATCGGATTGCGGGTGGACAAAGGTGGCGCTGTCCAAATCCGCTCGTGTGCCAGTTGCCCGGGACGCATCGGGTCTGCCCGGATTCAATGACGGCGGAGAGTGACTTTCACTTTGCATGATCGGCGGGCTGATCCGCCCTTGCTTCGAGGAGCTGCGAAAGCTTCCGCTGGACGATTCTTGGATCGCTCGCATCTTTGGCGTTCCGCTCCATGCTCGACGGGCCATCGGACGTGTCTGCGGCATCGGGATGTCTTGCCGCTGCCACCGGCTGGGGCCCGTCATAGATCGGGGTTGCCGCGCCGGATAGGTACGGCGGCGACCCGCTTGGAGCAGGGTTGGCGTTCGGTGGAACAAGCAGATCGCCGGCACTGGTCGAAGCCTCTTTGGTCTTGGCATTCGGTATCCACTGGTTGAGCCAGTTGAGGTCAAGCGAGGCCGTAGCTGCCAGGGACGGGAATGAGGTGAGCGCGGACGATGCCGACGGCTGACCCTCGGCCCGGCGATGCACTCCTTCGGAGTTCGGGACTTGGCCGGCGGGAATCCATGTTCGCACTTGGGTCAGGAGGCTGGTGACCGACGACGACAGGGCTCGAGATCGGTTGGTTCCGGACCCACCGGCTTCGGGTGCGTCGTTGGCGCTGATGACAGGCACACTGTTTGAGCGATCCATGTCGACATCGGAGCCAACGAAGGAATTGGGCAGCGAGCGGTCGCCGCCTCGAATCTTGCCCTTGATCCGCACCTGGCCGCCAGACTCCAGGGGCACCCACAGATCAAAGACGCTGTCGAGTCCCAGAGCGTCGAGGTCCTGCTCCCATTCCCAAAAACCTTCATCGAGCAAGGCATCGGAGTGGACTATAAGCACGGCATAGACCGCGACCCGAATAATTGTCCGGCTGTGTTCGCTCGAGCCAAGACGCAGCGCAAACTTTTCGCTGGGCCACTTGGGGTTCAGGGACCTCCGGACAACCTGAGTGCGGTGAACCTCGATCTGGCGCCCCACAGGATCGGTCTGATAGGTAATGGTGGCGTAGCAGTTGGATGTGCCTGATGCGGGGAGGGTAGTCGAGGGCAAATTGGTCATCAGCGGAGGATCCAGCGACATCCATAGACGATCCAGCGACATCCATAGACGATCATGTCTTCGTCCTGCAGCCCAAGCTGTCACCCGACGAGCGATTGCCACGCCGGATACTTGCCATTGATTTCAAATCCAACGAGGCCCTTGGCTTCGACGATGCTAGCAGTGACATCCAGATAATGGCCGCCGTCCATCAGGGGCTGGTCCTGCGTGAAAGACGCAGTGCCGTCTGCTTCAGCCCAAGGAGCTCGATTAGTTGTGTTTCCCACAGAATCGTCCTTTAACCGGGAACCCTGACGACACAGCCCATGTGTCTGGACACCGTGGGATTCGGCGCCATAGGGGTCGATGGCATGTTCCTGCGACAGCGCAAGCTGAGATCATCTATGCCTCGATGACATATATCTCGACTCACCTCCGAGCTCGGCAATTGAACCTAGAACCTGTGATTCGCTCAGGAAACTGCCGTCGGCCGCCTCGCTCAGGAGCTGGGTAATGTCGGCTCCAGGAGTGAGCAGCACGTCGCGGTCGGCCGTGGACGATTCGCCGTTGCTGGACACATTGATATGCATGCTGGCCTTGCGTTTCGAGTGCGGCACCTCGCTCAGCGACGGCGAGATTTCGGTGCTCGGGCTGAGCTGGCGGTTCGTGCCAGAGGTGCTGTACTCCTCGGACGAGCGTTGTTCGCGAGCCAGTCCCCGCGCCAGCGGCGACAGATGTGTGGATGAGACCGACGTAACGCTGCTTCGGCGACTCGAACGCACAACACTTCCGGGACCGGCGCGGCCCACACCGGCCTTTGTGTTGAGCAGCGACCGCGGGATATCCGCCGAGGGCTCAAAAAGCAGCCGCACATGGATGCGGCCAGGGTTCTTGGATCCCTCGAGCTGGTACTCGCGCTTGACTATGGTTCGGATCGGAAGACTCGCCAAGCGCACGCGAAACGAACCCAGCAGCCCGTCCCATTTCAGCTTGTTGCGGTCGTGGATGTCGAACCGCAGCAGGGAGCCCGAGCGCTTTCGGACAAACTCTGTGATCGACTCGTCAAAGTGCGGGTTCATTGTCTTGGAATGCACCATGGTTGTGTGCAGCAGTGCATCGTCCAAATACACTGAGCAGTAAGGATTCATGGTGGCGCCAAGATCGTTGGGCTGCAGTCTCTCGGCATCGATGATATCGATGAACAGCTTTCCCGACTCTGTCGAAAGGATCGATCGGGTAAATAAGCAACAGCGCACGATGGGTGAGGCCGAGTCAGCCAACTGCTTCCTGGGGCTGATGCTTCGGACCCATGTGCGTTCTAATCCAAGCAGAGGTACTCACGGAACTCGAGGTCATCGTGGTGGACAGGGACGTTGACCAGCTCGCAAGAAACCCCGATGACACCGGCATCAATGTCGTGCGACGTGAAACTCGAGCTCATTGAGCCGGAGCCGTTGGTGTTTCCGGCCTTTGTGCGGCTCGGCCGGGTCAATTTAAGACTCCATGAGCCATCGAGGCCCTTGATTTCGCCAACCCACTTGCCAATGATAGGGTCTTGTGGGCTTGGGCGGGCTGCGCTCACATTGCGAACGCAAATGTGGATTCTGGTGCGAACATTCTTGACCAGGATACTCGTTGCTAAGCGTTGCAGACACGAATGCACGTACAGGCACAGACCGCATCGCCAACGTCAGCATACGTGCGGAGAGTCGCAAGCCAGTGCATACCAGCCGATGATGCCAAAGAAGCGCATGTAGCGGATCACACCGGGTCATCTGATGACCTTGGGCTGTGCTCACCTTCCTCCCAGCATCGCAACTTCTGGGGCCGGGTTTGGAAACAAACAGGCTCGCCCTCGACATTGACTTCAACATACGGCATCATATCGATTGGATCTATTGAGCTCTTGAAATCGTGAAGCCGAATGTGTAGCACCGATACATCTGCGTCGTTATCAGAAAGGTTACCCACGGCCCGGGTCTCGCCGACATGCCCATGGATATAGTCACGAATCAGCCGGACAGATCAAGTCATTTCCGTGACCCCCGTTCATCCTGAGGGACTTACCCGACTCGTACTCCTTGATGGGTTGGAGAAACTCGCTACTTGCGTCTGTAAAGTTCTCCGAGTCGGTCAGGTCCGGTGCGGCACTGGGCGGATCGTCCTCTTGAGGCTCAGCCGGGGCCGTCTCGGGAGCATCCTGCTGCGGCAGCGGGAAGAACTCGACCTCGAAATGCATATGTCCTTTCTGCTCGCCACTGGGCTGCTGCGAGAACGGGGCGGGCTTGGGATCGTTTGTTGCCGGAGCCGTGTGACTTGCTGGAGCCAAATCGGTTTGCGGTTTTGGAAAGTAAATCGGTGCCCAGACATCGGCGCCGTGTGGCGTTTGCAGAACCCTCAGGTTACTGTAACCTTCGATGCGCTTCCAGCCGCACTTGAGAGGATCGTTCCACTCGCTCGTTCCATTGCCGTTGACATATGCATGGCTCGAACGGGAACTGAATTGCTCCTTGAGCGCCAAGCTGCCTCGGCTCGGATCGCCGCTCACACCGTCGGACTTGATGCTCTCGATCGGTGATTTGGAGGACCCCTTTCGGTCATCTTGCGGCTCGATTTCCTCGCCGGCACCGCTGCTCTGCATCACGTTAGACGGAATGAGGTCTTCGATCGGATACTCCACGACACCCAGGCTTCGGTTGCCGCCTTTCTCCTTGTTGTTCCCACCCCAGCCATAAAGCTCGAAGCGGAGCAGCTCTCTTGGCGTGTAGCACAGAGCGAGGAAGGTTTCGTCCCATACTGGGTCCGCCGTGGCGTTTCTGTGGTTGGTGATGCCAAAGCGGCGATCTGCCACGTAGAGACTGCAAAAGGGATCCGACAATCCTGTGATACAAGCGAGCAGCAAATCGATTAGTCACAGGGAGAAATCGATCCCTGCGAGAACGATCCAACAAGACAGGAGGCCCCAAACTCTTGGAAACTCCAAGAGCTACCGGCTTGGCAAGGACTAAGAGACGGACAGAGGGCAGCCACACGCAGTGGATTGGCGAAGCACTGGCCGACAACCAGCATGACAACCATGGGCTCGATATTCAAGCACATGGGTGCGAGTCAGATCCTCACCGATCATGTCGACTTTCTTGAGGCCCTTGGCCTCCTTCACCTTGACTCGAATCACACCTATGGGTTTCACGGGATAGTATCCATTCGGCCGCTCCTCCATCGGAACATCTTCGCTCAGCACACGCACAGGCGTGAACATGAACGTCAGCCGTATTTTGCCGCTCTCGATGCCAAACAGCCGGAACCAGTCGTCATTGGTTTCTCTATCAAGCAGCTCTTTCACTATGATGGTGCACTCGCCAATGATTGGATTCTGCTGCAGGCCGCGTTGGTCCTTGACGATGAAGCGGAGACTTGTGCTGGAAGCGTCTTTGCAGAAAAATTGGAAAGGTGCATCCCACACCGGACTGTTTGTCTTGCGACGAACGGGCGTCGAGAACATCTTGGCGTCATTGACCTCGATCACCACATAGGGACTGTACCGCCCGTTGAGGGATTTGAAGCGATCGAGCTCCTTCACCTGGTGGACGACAACGCGGAGGATGCCTCGCCCAAGCTCGATTGGGGGATTAACGAGGCCCAGGACTGGCGCGGACAGGGGTTGCGCAGGGCGGGTCACCGGGAAGAACTGCATGTCGATTCGGACCTCGCCACCCGTGGTGCGGTTGGGGTCGTCGACGCGAACGAGGGTTTTGAACCGCGAATCGTTCTCGGCGCACGGATGACCCCATTGATCAACGAGCCAATCCGCCTCTCGTTGCCTTGGGGGATCGTTGGAGGTTTGGAAAGAAAGAGATTCGTCAAGGAGCTTGATCCAGCGGTTGAGATGAAGGGTTGGTGTGATGCCCATAGACCGGTCCGTTAGCGTGTTCCAGTCCATGACCTCGACCCGCAGCTCATCAGATGCATTAGTGAGCTGCTTGAATGTGCTGTGGGTCAGAACGATATAGAGATCTTCGTTCCAGAACGGATCCAGGCTGTCAATGCCGCGGAGGGAGGTAGAGGCACGAACGAGGTTAGAAGCTGCTGCCGTGATGTCAGCATGATGGGTGTCACCACACCACCGGCAACATCGAGATCGTCATCGATAGCACCGATGCGATCGGCTGCATCCGCACCGTTAGGATTGTGGATATGGTGTCGCAATAAGAATGTATCCAGGGTCACTCACTTTTCCTCAATCGCCTTGGTTCTAGCAACGATAGAGCCGCCGATAATGACACGGGCGTAGGGATCGCTCTTGCGTAGATTTTCGAGGTTGCGCAAATTGACCGCCTCGTGGATGATCAGCCGCAGGATGCCAACGGGCTTATCGGCTGGAACGTGGATGTAGCTGTTAGTAACATTCGCATTCCCATAGCAGTTGCGAGCGCTGCAAAGTTGATACACGTCGTGCCCGCCAGCTGGGGCGCAGAGAATGACCATCTCGGCTCCATGGCGTCTGCCTCGCAAGCCGCATCCAGCGGGGAGACCGTGTGATGTAGAGTGCAGAGGCAGGCTCACCGGGCTCTTCGGTGGCGAAGATACTCGCGATCTCGATGGTGCTGACACCCAAGTTGCGGACTTGTGAATCGACCGTGTCTTTGATAAACGAGTTCAAACCGGGGATCTGTTTCGGGGGGGGGGGAGGCGTGAGTATATGGAGCACGGCACGGTGTCGTTGGCATGGATATGCGAGCATCGTCCTCATTTTTCCGTGGGCTGTCGTTGGCAGATCATCTATCCACTGGCGCACTGCTCTGCACAGCCGTTTACCCACATCCATCACATCCATAGCCTTTAGCGGTCGTAGAATAAAGTCCACATGTGGATGCTCGTTGAACTCCCACTGCAGCGTCTTGATATGGGGAAACGCCGTCATAAACTTGAGATAGACTCGAACCTGCATTTTTTGAGTGACAGCAGGTCGTTACAAACCGCACCGCGCTTGCTTGTGGGCTGGTTGGAGCCAGGGACTTACGCAGGGTAAGTGCGGTGCCTACCTTTGCTCGAACTTCCAGCTCTTTGAGAAGAATCGGAAGCGAGATGGAAGCCAATCCACGACCCACACGAGCAATAAGCTCAATCACCGAGTTGCGCATATCAAGCTGCTGGATGGTTTTGAACTGCTCGTCGATGGGTATGAATGAGAGGTCCAAGTCGAGGATCTGGTCGGTGCCAAAGCGACGTGAGTGAGTGAGTGGTTCAACATAATCCGCAAGCACCGCCAGTCGCTCGGGCAAATGAGACGTGGTTTGATGCCAACCAAAACATCGGCCTCGGTTCGCTGCGGGGTCTGGATAGACTCGATTCTCGGCGACTTTGAGCCAAGGGTGAACTCCTTGAGCACCAAATCGTCCTGTGGGTCGGCGATGAGATAGCGGCAGGGGTTGTTAGCAAGCAGTGGATGATCTCGGCCGGATTCGGAGCTATTGTGTGAATGAGACAGCGATGCCAGCAGGAAGCCGTTCTAAGCAATCAGTCCCTGACGGATGCTTACCAGGAAATTGGGCTTGCTCACGTCGAGCACATTGTTGATGAGCTGCATGATCGAGGCCGACAGTGTGGGCTCGAGCATCGGCCAAAACCTCTCCAGGAACGAATTGAGCCACTCGGTGCTTTCGGCGTCCGTGGCAATCTATCCACAGATAGAGTTCCAATGAGACAGTCGGCATGGATGTTAGCCGGGTGCATTGTCGTATGAGGGAGCTTTTGGGCATGATACGGCGTCAGATCCGAGCAAGCATTCATAAAGGCAAGGTTGATTAGGAATGTTGAGCGATATCGCTTTGCTGCCCACCTTCTGCGACTTGATTTCCTGGATAACCTCGCCGCGGACTTTTTGCTTCAGTCTCATGATGTTGCGCCGAAAGGACATGCCCGCAAAGAACATGACATGGACAATCCAGGCGAAATGGAGGCTGTAGAGGCCTGGGGAAGGACGGACCAACGAGTTTTAAAGGATGCGCCAGCCCGCCAAGGGGGTGCAGCCCGACTCAAGCGACACGGCGTCCGAGTCCACGACCGTCCGATAACGTGCGGATACAATCGGCTCCATACCAGCAACCCAGGCGACGACGATCGCCGAGTTTACATAGGCAAATGCGGTCAACGATTCGGCATAGAACAAGCGGTTGAGCTCGGAGGGTGAGATGACTTCGGTCTTTGCTTCTTGGGTTCTGTGGGCTGGCGAGAGCTGGGCTGGCGAGAGCTGGGCCTGCTCCTCTGGGGGGAAGGTTCCGAGCTCCTGCTCGCTGATGTGGTCATGGTTGGAGCTGTCTGTGTGCCGAGGATCGGCAGGCAGAAGGGCCAGGGGGCCATGGTGATGGTGTTCTGCTGGTCCGCCAGGCACTGTATGCATCAACAGCGGGAGCCAAGCGGATCAGTCTCGGGTGCAAGAAGAGGCATCGAGTTTGGCAAGGCAACAAACGGCAGCAGGTCCAACCGGATTAGGATTACCGCTCGATATCGTGAGCCTGGAGCCGGAATCCAGCGCTTGGAGGCTCTCCCTGGTCCGCCTGAGCTCCTGTTCGAGCTGCTGGATGTAGTCGACCATCTCCTGCCTGTGGAGCTCCCTCTCCGACAAGCTTGGGTCGCTGTCCATTGTTTCCATTGATATGCAGCGCTGCGGCCGGTTGCTGGAAGCGATGCGAGCGTCGATTGAATGCAGCGATGGAAGGGGGGGGGATGAGGCGATGGAGAGACCCTGGAGTGGCTGGCATGCGATTGCCTTGGCCCCGACTGGCTCTTGCAGAGAACGGCCACGGGACCAGCGTGCGCAGCAGCCTGTCGTGTCGAAACCGGGAGGAGGCGCAGCGCTATCTCGGCGCGGCCACGGCCACTTCCCACGGCCAGTGTGGTTTGCTTTTGTGCGAGCATCCGACGGTCTGATACTGTTGTCGCCGTGCGCGGTATTTTCAAGCGTCAGCGAACCAGAGCCAGGGCCAGCCATGTCGGCTCCTCAGGGATACACCAGGCTCGGTAAGCACGGATCGGCTGGCGCGTGTTCAGCGCCAGAGAGAGGACATGATGCTGGGTGCGAAAATGGGGCTGTTGGAAGCTGACGACCGTGGGCCCTGGCGCATTCTTTGGCAACGCGAACTCCAACAGGCTCGGAAAAACCCCGGACCGCAGAGCTATCGAGTGAAGATGTGTTCACTCACAAAACCAAGCTGGATAAAGCCCGCGAGACACTGTCCTACGTGTGCTTTCTGATGGTTCATCGAAACCATGTTTTTGAGCCACTCGAGTATTTGCTGATATGGTGCGAGGATCTGCAGTTCCTCATGTTCTTCTTTGCGCCCAACGCGGCTTTCAGCATTCCATCATCGATATCATCGGTATGTGCTTGAACATCCGAGTTACTGGGAGGCCATGCGATTGTGGCTGAGTCTCGATCTGACGACTACGTATACGCTTCTAGTTTGCCGAAGTCCAGTATCAGAACATGGATCCGTACCGCTACATCTTCTTTTTCCTGATATCGTCTCTGTGTGTCCTCGCACTGGGTTTATCGATGATCTATGTTGGCGTTGGAATTGCATCGGGACATCATCGGATGATCTGGCCTCTGAGATTGGCTCGACTTCTCGCTACGTTCCTGCCTTCGGTGCTCTTGTGAGTTCGCCAACTAAGGAGTGCACTCTGTCCCGGCTGAGACCACTGATGCGTAAAGCCTGCATCCGGGTGCTAGCTGGTTCGAGCAATTTGGGCACAGCATCGGATCTTAGAGGACCGTTTTGACGCCGCGATGATCTCTGTCGCCACAACCCAAGCTTGTGGGCCTTGGTTTATGCAATTTTGTTGATCTAATCATCATCATCCGACTCTGATACTCTTTCATGGACACAGTTTCCCGATACTCGGACTCCTGACCAGCGCCATGAACAGAATCAGCACACCATGGCCCATGGTCGGGGTGGTGGTCGTCATGCTGGGAATCTCCCTGCGAGAGTTCCTGATGGTTTTGATAGCAATAATTACCATTGCTTGCTACATTCCTGGTGAGCATTTCGGCACTGACGGTGCTTTGTCTGTGTCTGAGCAGCAATGGCTGGCTGCGAGCGTATGACCATGCTTGATCCATCAAGATATACACTACCGTCGCTAACATCCTCATCGATAACTGTCATTTCACGGAAATCAGTTTCGCTCTGCCTCACTCTCGTGTACGTCATTTGCCGCCGAAACATCCTCTATGCATCATACTGGGTCAAAGTGTGGCATGGAGTGGGCACTGACGCCGCCCACCCCCCATGTGGCATCGTATAGATTCCACGATATCAACCCAATCATCAAGGGCCCAACATCCAAGGCTCACGGGAGAGTCGACTTCTTCTACTGCATCATCAAAGTCATCACAACGACAATCTGGCGATGTACTAGCATCACCAGTCCCAGCGGCCCCTTGATCCGCTCGCTAACCCTGCTGGTGGCATCGATTCTCCTGCTTTCGTCGACGCTCTTGGGTAAGTGACAGGATTGGATCGGCAATGACGTTGGTCTTTATCGCTTTGCATACACTCCGAGCGCTACCCTACATTTTCTCACTGACATGACGGTGTGGTGAAATGCAGCTTTCCCATATTACAAACCAGAAATCAACCACATGGTAAATCTCGCATCTCGCATCTCGCATCTCGCATCTCGCATCTCGCATCTCGCATCTCGCATCTCGCATCTCGCATCTCGCATCTCGATTCATGTATCCAGAAGACTTTGGTGTTCCCAAAGCTCCCAGATATTCGGCATACCGCGCTGTCTTTGCCGGTACTAACCTACTCTCGTAATTCTGGGAATATTTCTGCGCGTGGTCGTGGATCGGTCTACCCGCCCACTAGCGGGTCGGCACCTACGTCACTGCCTTGTTTATTGGCATGATCAACGTGCTTGCGGCCATAAGCTTCCAGACGACTGGGATTGTTCTCGGAAATACATCGTTCATCATTATGGCGTCGGCTCTGATCCCGCTCTATGCCGCGGGTTTCATGCTGAGTCACTTCGTCTTCGGCTACATCCAAAAATCAACCATCGCCGCTCTCGGAAACCAAGCAGCCATCAAGTCGGACCCAAACTTTCTTGTGTTCCAGCACTGGACACATGTCGAAATCACGGCACGATACTATCTCGCCGATACCGACGCGCGAAGATCCAAAGTCAGTCCGCTCCAGCTGGACCGCATCATTGCTGTCTTCAAGGTTCGTGTCTCGGGGTTCCGGATAACCGGCTCGTGATTTCTGTGAAAACAGCTTACCTGGAGAGCAAAGGAGTAGGGAATTGTGGCTTAATACTGCTACCTCCTTCCGTGTCTCGACAGCGTGGGACCAAGGAGTTCCCAAGCCACCCGATGATCCTGGCAAGCTATGCCAACTATCTTTACAACACACAGTCGATCAAACTTGACGGAGAGCGGCTTTTGTCCAAGATCTACGCCCTCCAGCCCGCACCAGATATCAAGTTCCACGTTTATTATCTGAGTCAGGTACAATAGCCCAAACGGTGTTTTGTAACCAAGCCAGGTGTCGATCGCATCCTTCATGTCTGGCTCATCAGGGCGCTTGTCCAGATCATTTCGCAGGAGCACCAGGAGGATGTGCCCGCTAGCCTTCTCCGACAAGATGCCTCTGCCTTTGCCGAATATCAGAAGGAGCTTGAAATATGCAAGAGTAACTATATGATATCGGTTCAGAAGCAAACTGTGCTGTGGCAACTGCTCTGCGATAAGGTGGGTCGAAGTATATGCTAGCGATCAATCGCGTTCAGAAGCAACATCTGATGTCGCAACTATGAACAGAATCACAGCTCTGGGGATCTGGAGACTGTTGCCATGGAGCTGTACAACTCGTCTCTGAAGGCTGACGGGGCATTCAAGAAGCTCCTGGGCAGGTATGGGGCTTGGGCAGAATCGCACATTGGGAGACTTGGACGTCCACGCACTAACTTGGCTCTTTCCGCATCTCGACAAACGTGATCCAAGATATCCAAAAGCAAAGTCCATTCTGAAGAACTATGCAATGTTTTGCACAGATGTAGGTACCACTTTGGATCTGCATTGTTGCTATTCGTTATGGCCTGTTGAGGTTGCTGCGTTGCCCTCTGGACAGAGCCTGAGAAGTAGAATTGCATGACGACCCCGCTTTTCCACCAGCATCGCATTGGAAACTAACCCACTGTCCTCTAGATTATGCAAGAGTCCTCAAAGGCGCGCATACTGGAGCGGCGCTTAGCAATCCTCGAAGGGGAGGATGATGAGAATCGCCTGGGAGAATCGCCAATCACAGATTCTGTCGAGAAAAACTCGAGTGGAGAAGAGGACTCTGGTGACAGCAGGTCCAATATCGAATCATCCTCGATTGACCAGAATTCGAAGCAGAACGGCGGGAGCTTTTCGAGCATAGGAAGAAAAGTCGCCCACGACGGCAAGAAGATGCAGGCCGCAAACAAGCTCCGCAAGTCGCTGCTCAAGCACAACGAAATGCGGATCACCACATTGCGATACGCCTCCGCCGCCGTGGGCTTCATATCGGCGGTCATTTTCTGTGCTAGCTTCGTGGTGTCGATCATACAGCTGCAAGTGTTCAACTGGTCGCTGACGCTGCTCAATTGGTAAGTTCCGATGGCCCTGTACCGACGACCACGAGTGCAACACGGTCGCCGCACCATTTGCGGCGCGCCGAGGAGGATGGTCGAATGCCCGAATGTTCGAATGGTCGGATGATCAAGTGGTCTGCGGTTCTGCTTTCGTTCAAGTCCAGCGTCTTCTAACGCGTCGTCAACCAATGTGAACGGATGATGCAGGCTGAAGCTGAGGGAGTACTACACCGCACTCCAGCCTCTCCGGCTGATTCAAATGAGAGTGGCATACCAAAATAACGATTCGGTCACATTCAACAACATACAAACCCAGTTTCGACAAGAGCTCTACAACTTTTCGAGCGTGTCCGAGGACCTGTACTTCAATCGATATTTGGCTGGTCAATCGTAAGTGCACGCCGCGTTCTGCTTGAGTGCGATGCTGGATGAGTTTTGCTGTGGATTTGTATGGATTGGATTGATGGTGCTAAAACTACCACTGACATTGCACTAAACTCGTATTCCCATTCCCACTGGTCATCAGATTGGACCCTGGACAGGTCGGTTGGAGCATTCGAGCAAATCACGCAAACCGATGGCGTGGCCCATTGACACTAACAGACTCCTTTTCGCCTCGTGCAGATCATAACCGTCTTCCTGCTCACGTTGCCATCGATCCAGTCGCTGACCCCGATACAAGGAACCATCTACTCTGTCACTCAGGTGAGCGATTCCAGCTTGAGTAACAGCAGTAACCTCGAGGTGGCAATCCAAGTGCAGTTATTAGCATCTTCAGAGTCGTTGCTTGATTGGTGCTGGTGACTGTGGTATGTGTGCCGTGCTGATGACACTGTGCGTTGACCGAACCTCTGGCTGCTAAACATGCAGGGCCTGATCAGCAGTGCGTGGTCGATGCTCGATCTCGGAATCACAGACTTTGCCAATGTTACTTCCGACCCGAACTATCGCTTTATCATGGACAATGCGTGGACCATTCAAGAAACTGCTTGTAGGTGCATTTTCAAGCAAAGCCGAGGGAGAATCTGCCTCATCAGCATGATGCACTCACTGGGCATGTACTAATGGCTGTACTTGTTGAAATCGCCCCAGATCAACCGTCGAGCCAAGTCCTTTTCACCACGGCACTGGTATCGTAGCTTGGCTAGACAGATTTTTGGTTCAATGTGATCTCGGCATAACATCTCCAAGCACATGTGCTTATGATCTAGCCAGCTCACGCTTTGATTCCCAATATCACCAGAGCGAATCTGTGTTCTTGGCCAAGATCTTTGTGTATCTGCTGACGGTAGTCCAGATCGTGATGGTCATGGTCTTGATTGTCCTGTTCGACCGCAAAGTCGGCGAGTTCCGACGTGCGCAGAAGAGCTCGCTCCGAGTCTTTCGGCAAATACCGCAGCATGTGTCGCTAAACACTCTCCAGGTGCCAGTGCCGTTCCTAGCGCTGTATTTCGTCCATATCATGGTGGAGGATTGATAGGGACATAACGAACCAGGCAACATATCTGATCCGGGACTGCACCTTGGATGCTTTGAACGTCCCTAGAAAGTTCGCCAGTCAGGCAGCTACCAGATGTATCCCTGCAATGAAGAAGACTCCTCCGGCTATCTCCTCGGACACAACAGTCTGCGCTCTCAGAAAGGAAAGGCCGCCAAGCATCAAGACAGGTGGTTCTATATGGCATACATGCTTACCACTGTGGGCCTCTCCGTTGCATTTGCATATCTCAACATCAGTGTATGTACCTGAGCAATCATCCATGGTCGCCTGGATGTCCGGCGCCCTGGCCAATCGATTGCTGTATCATTTCTCATCGCCCCGTTATGTCCTGTGGGTTTTGGTCTCGGTGAACGCACTCATACGATGACTCTGACTCGGGCTTGCGATGTGCCGTCATTTAGAGCTTCGACTCGGTGCTGACCAATGCCACGGACATTTCGCAAGTTTGCAACTTCATTATGGACATGATCAACTCGGTGGCGCTGCTGAGTTCAATGTCGGATGTTCCCTTCGCCACGCAGAGCTGGGGTACCGTGGCCAATGCGTTCTCTGTATACTCAAGCCAGGTGGGTCTGAGCCTCAGCTGAAACCGGCGAACGCCAAGTGCATCCGGTTGCCTGTTCACACCAATCCGCCACCCAGAGATGGATTTCGTCTTTCGTTTGTCGGTTGGATGCGCCCCTTCTCTCCTCAGCTCACTCAAGTGTCCTTGACATTGCCTCCACCTATCTGTTGCCTAGACCGCAACCATGACCCAAGCATACCGAAACATCAAGTTTGGAGACGCCATCATTCCTCTCAAGTTTTTCCAATATCCGCCATTTGTCGTGCAGATGCTGACCGGAAGCGCCGGGATTACTTGTTTGCCGTACGACTCGTCGCTGTGTCAGCTCGGCGCCCGAAACTTCAACAACTCGATTGGCTACAGCTACGAGTCCGTGACCAGTGGACTCTTCCGACTCAGCAACCAAATGCTGAATTGCCAAATCACTCAGGGGATGGTTGTCGCGGCCGGCCGGCCCATCAGCGCAATCAACCTGGCATTTGTCAAGGCGACGCTCGAGCCCGACTTTGTCCAGGGATGGCTCCGAATCGCACGCAACCTCAACGACTCGACTCAGTCGATCATGGCAACGTTTGAAAATAGCATCATCATCATCTCGCTGCTCTCTATTGCTGTGATTGTCGGTAAGGGTCAGACAGCACGAATGCCCCAGGATGGGATGGCCGCCACGACCGCCACGGCCATGTGTGGTCATGCCTTTGGGCACTCGGACATCCTTGCCATGCTAACCACTGCTTCATTGCTGCGGTGGGCCGATCGACGCAATCTGGATGCACGATCGATGGTCCCTGGCTGCGCGACGCCGCCAAAACAGTGGGACAAGTACTGGTTCTCCAGAGTGTCATCAGGAGTATCAAACTTACAGACCTGAGCATGATCGAGATGATTATCAGGTACAAGTCGAGAGGCGCCTTTGGGCGTGGCGGTTTATATGCTGATGGAGCCCATCATCCGTCTGCACCGCCATGAGCTTGAGACAAGGTCGCGGCCGATTGGCACGGTCCACCTTGACTCCAGAATCCACACCGTCTCTGCAATGCTCCGGCTGTGTCGGGCTGATAAAGGTAGTTTGCATTCGCTCACGTCACCACCATCGCCACCATTCCAGGCTTCCGCTCGAGGCCAAGGAACGGCCCGAGTTTGCAGACATGGCCAAGACAGTGGAGACTCCGACGTCGTTCTTTGGACGAATCTTCTTTCTCTTTGTCCAAAAGAAGTCAAAGCCCGATTCCAAGCGCCGCGACGCAGGGCCAACCTCCTCAAAGGGATTCGAGCATCGCCGCCGGTCCGTCGTCCAGCCCATCATCGAGTTTGGGTCCGGCCAGCTCAACACCAGTCCCTCGTACGGTTCACACATGTCCACGCGAATCCATCGCCGCAGCGACGTCTCGGATGTGTACTTGCGGTCGGAGAGCCGAGTCGAGTCCTCGGCCAATGTCAGTTTCCCGCAGAGCCGCACGATGGGGGACGACTCGATGCCTGCGCTCCCAACCGAAAAGTCCAGCTTGGTCCGGAGCGTCCCCGAACTGGTGGTCCATGCGCTCAGCGGCTCGTCCGAGGTGCAGCTGCCCGAGTCCAGGACCCTGGGACCCTCAGCCCACGACCAGTCGGCGCTATCTTTTGCGGCCTCGGGATCGTACATCGAAGCCAGCACCGAGATCATCGCGACATCATCGAGTACAAGAACGCCGTCGGTCGACGTCACGTCCCAGGGTTTGATGCCACCGCCAGCGTCCCAGGAATACCGAGAATGAGGCGGCGATCGATCGCTGGCGGTGGACACATGGTGTGCCAACCACAGTCTCTGAATATGGAAATGGAAATCGGTGGACGGTGCTTGGCCAGAACACAGAGGACTCGGCATGGCCCCACACATATACAATAGAATCTGATCACCTTCGCAACGCAGAGTATCTTGGCGTCGAGAGACCATGGAGTGGTCCAGAGGTCGAGTGGATGCACCACACTCCCACATCGAGTGGATGCACCACACTCCCACATCGAGTGGATACGCACACTCCCACATCGAGTGGATACGCACACTCCCACATCGCCACAGGGGATCGACCGAGTGTATTCAAGACTGTGCTTCCCAAACCAACGCAATCAAAGAGATTGCCAACCAGGACGGAAAACAATCGCATGAGGCCTACGGATCAGCAGACCTGTGTCGCTGATGCCAGAAAGTGACTGTTCCGTTTCTTTATGGATTCGACTGTATATTACATCACAATACAGCTTTTGTCGGCCGACTGGGCCGCAGTTGTGCTCGCGCCATCGCCGCTGAGATCGCCCGAGGCCATGGACTGGCTGCGCCGATCCATGACGATGCCCGGCGGCTCGCGGCTTCGAGATTTGGATCGGTACCCCGGCCGCACAAGCACAAATCCGCCCTCGTTGCCGGTTTCGTTGGGGGCCAAAAACGGATTTGGCCAAGAGGTGATGGGGGCTGATTGAGAGTGGGGGAGAGTGCGCTCGGATGGTCGCCCGACCCGCGGCGAGCTTCGGGTGCCGCTGCTGCCGCTGCTGCTAATGCTGCTGCTGCTGCTGTGGGTGCCTAGACTGTTGGTGTTGATGGGTCCGCCGCTCTTGGGGCCCTTGGCTGCAGCTGGGCTTGGCGGGATCCGAGTTGCAAGCTGTCGCAGCAGGTCGGCATGTTGATGGCAGGTCTCGGCATACCGCTTGGCACGGTCGGAGACTTCCTGGGAGGGCGATGGGCCTCGAGCGACATCCGAGACCGGCAGTGCATTGGGAACGAGCGACTCTGTGGATCGGGAGGAAAGCGCAGCGGCGTCGGCCCGCACCGACAGGTTCGAAGACGAGGCTGTGGGCGCCGGGAAGCCAGGGGTGCCCCGAGCCGGTCGCTGGTATACCGAGTAAGGAACCGCCATCTGGCCAGACGAGTAAGCTTCGGAGCCTCCCAGCAGCGTCGTGGTGCCGTCAGAGTTGTAGACGTAGTGAGGACTGCCAGAGGCGGGAGCCACCGCCGCTGAGCGCGGAATCGGGACGCCGGAAACGGACGGCAGGGGAGGAACAGACGGCACCGGAGGAATGGGTGGTAGCGCAGGAGTCGGCGGCAGCGTAGGGATGGATGGGATCGATGACCCGGCAGGGATGGGTGGACGGCCAAATCCAGAGGAGCTCGAGAGCGGCGGCGGTGTCGGCATCGCAGCGGGGCTGGGAGGACTGTACTGTGGCTGGCTTGGAGTGGAGGTATAGGGTTGGTTCGGGGTGTAGGTCCCCATCACTGCCGACGACGGCAACGGTGATGGTGGCGAGATGTCAATCAGCGGCGGCGACAGGGCCGACTGGGCTTGAAGATTCAGCACGGCGTCGTGCAGCGTTTCGAAACCAAAGGTCTCCATGAAGCGCGCTACTGTGGTGGCGGCCACCTTGCGATCCGAGTTGCAAAAGTTCTTTCGGAGGGCTTCGATCGGCAGATCGGCGAGGTTCAGGTGGTCGCGCAGGCACTCGAAAAAGTCGGATTCGTCAATCTCGTACTGGTCCTCCTTCCAATACTTGAGCCAGAAGACGAGTACGTCCTCATTGCGCAGCCGCCGACCGAGCGGGGTCGAGTCGAGCGGTCCAAGGGCAGTGCCGCTTGGGTGTCGGCTGGGGGCCGAGGTCGACAGAACCTCGCGCGTTGCGGATGGGCCGTCTCGAGGCGTGGTAGGTGGCCGAGCGGTCGCTTCGTCGGGCTCATCTTCGGGGCCGCTCTCGTCATCAGAGATCTCGATCCCGCACGCCTTCATGAGGGCCTTGGTGACGTCCTTGTTTTCACTTTCAACACACCAATCGCCTCTCCGGTAGGCTGCCTCCATCTCCTGCTTGATGTATCCACTGATGGTGCCGGATGGTATCAGCGAGTAGACCATATCCGTGACTGACAGAAGCAAGAGCCCCGTCCCCCGAAACAGAGACCGATATGTTAGCAAGAGCACAAACTTGGCTGCCGAGCGACAGGACACGAGCAAGCGCATGCACGGCGAGCACTCACAATACGTCGTCCACATCCGATCCGGGGCTGAAGGGAGGACGGACGGAGCGCGGGGTACAATGTGTGAGGCACGTCAGTGGACGATGAGGACGCAAAGCAGCAGACAAGAGTCAACTCTTCGAGAGACCGATGCGCAGACAAACCTGTCGTGGCAGCCTGTTTGGATCGGTCTGAGGAGCCGTCGTCCAGCACTTGTCTCTCACTCTCGGCGGCTGTCGGGCAGTCGACAAACAAATTGCCGCAAGGGTACAACCCAACCGAGGACATCATGGAGGCAAGGACGATCGATCACGTCAGTTGGCGACAGGATTCCAAGGCCCAGAAACAGTAGCGCGATCAAAGCAGGCCAACACGGACGATCCACATAAGCAGACAGACATAGCGACATGCCGCCACAACAGTCGAGGGACTCACATTGAGCTTGCTGTGGGACGCCCTTCTCCTTCATTCCGTTGACGAGACGCATCAGGAAGTCTAGAACGGGGGGGACGAGAACAGCGCAGGGAGACGGAGCGCGATCAGACCGTGGGAAAACAAACCAGGAGGCGGTATGCGCAAAGTGACACTGAAAGGAAAGTCTGGCTCATACTGAGAAGGTCGACTTCTTCGCGATTAGGTGCAGCGCTGTGGCCACTCCGACTGTCCGTTTCGGTCCGGATTCCGTGTTGGTCGATGATGAACCGGGTCCCTGGCAGCGGGAATCAAATCAAGGCGCAGCGACGAGAGCAGCGTGTCGCAAACAAGCAACAAGCAACAGGCGGATGACGGGCGATGATTAGTTGAGCAGCACGAGACACCGGTCACTTCACGGCCAAGACAGCGCGACCAGAGCGAGCTGTCCCGGCTGGACGATTACATCATAGGCAGCACAACGACCACGACGACGGAGCGCCTTGGATCGAGACCAACAGCGACACAGCGCGGGTCGAGCCGGCATTCCGCAGTCTTGTTCACCATGCCCCGCGTGCTCTGCCATCGAAGGCTTACTCCCACACCACCAACTTACTTGGTTTTTTTTCTCTGTGCCTCCGGTGCCTATTAGATCGGCTGCGACCTACATGGTTCGCATTATTTGCGTGGGTCGCATCGGTCGTAAAAGATCCGCCGCCAACACCACCACTGCTACTCTTGCTGCTAGCACTGCTGCCGCTGCCGCTGCTGCTGCTGCTGCTACTACCAGCACTGCTGCAGCCAAAGCCGCCTGCAGGAGACGCTCCCGAAGGATACATCTCAGCCCGCATCTCAGCCCGCATCTCAGCCCGCATATCAGTCCGCATATCAGTCCGCGTATCAGTCCGCGTGTCTGGCCCAGACCGATCCGGGTGCATACCAAAGAGAACTTCGCGGCGCTGGTCCGGCGAGAACTCGCCAAAGGCTTCGGGATGCATGTGCCGATGCATGTCGGAACGCATATCGGGGCGCATGTCGGAGCGCGTGTCGGGACGCCCATGCGAATACATGTCCGGGTGCATATGCGGATGCATATGTGGGTGCGCAGCATGTGGCCGCCAGTGCGAGCCCCAAGGGCGGCCAAAGCCCCACCAGGCGCGCTGGGTCCTCGGGCTCAACTCGTCCAGGCCACGGGAGCCCGAGGGTGCGTTTTCGGTTGTGGCATATTGTGGCGGGTTGTCGCTTGAATACGATGGCGGCTGCCCGAAAGGGAATGGCAGCTCGACCGACCCCCGCGTTGACGAATGAGTGGTCTCGGATGGGTTTGAGTCGGTTGAAGACTGAGGCGTGGGAGCAGGAGTGGCGAACGGAGCTGGTGGTCGTGTGGGTGCAAACGTGGGGGGAAATGTGGGGGGAAATGTGGGGGGAAATGTGGGGGGAAATGTGGGCGCAGATGCGGATGTGGGTGTCGGGGTTGTTGTGGGGGCGGGGGCGGGGGTGGGTATCGGCGCGGCGGTCCGAGTTCCAAGAGCAGATCCCATGGGGTTCACCGACAACGACTCTGGTTTCCGAGGAACCGGGGGCGGGCGATCCGAGCGAGGCGTAGAGGCGACAGGTGCAGCCACAGGCGCCGGTGTTGGTGTTGATGTTGGTGTCAGTGTTGGTGTCGGTGTTGCTGGCAGGCTCGGAATCGGGGCATCAACCTTGGGAAGGTGAGTCTTGACGTCTTTGAGACCGATGGACTCGGCGAGGGCTTCGCGCTGCAGCTTTCGCAGAGCAAACTTGCGCGACTTTTCTCGCTCCTGCTCGGTGTGGTGATGCTCCGCCATCTCGCGGTGCTCGCCCTGGGAAATCTCTTCGTATAGAGACTTGAATTGGACCGACACCCGACTGAAATTGGGCCGCTTGAGGGGGTCGGCGTCCCAGCACTGCGTGACAATGCTCCAGAGTGGGTCGCTTTTGCAAGTCTCGGGTCGAGGCGGGCGCTGATTGTTGACGGTGACCGTTTGGATGATGAGGGCATCAGGGATATCTGCGAGTCGGCAGCATGCCCCCCCCCAGGACGATGCATCCGCGTGCGTGAGTGCGTTGGGAGAAGCGATGCAGTCGGCACGAGCAAACAAGGGGTGTTTTGGCAGGATTAATAGCGGTATTGGAATCCATCGGCTGGCGCGGGCATTATCCGGATAGCTGCTGTCTCAGGATGCATCCAGATCGAGCGATGCACCCAGATGATGCGAGATAGAGGGAGGGGGGGGACAAGACGCCCTACCAGAGAAAGGAATGTCACCACCCGACAGAACTTCGAAGCATATCATGCCAAAGGCATATACATCGATGGGTGGCTCGGCTGACGAGCCCAGTAGCCGCTCCGGGGCCATCCACCGCAGTGTTCCTGTCACCATTTTCCCGTTGGTGGTGCGTGTGCTTGTGACCTAAACAGCACGGGCATGTAGAAGGAAGCGGGGAGAGTCAAGGGGGGAGGTGAGGGAGGGGGAAGTTAACACCGATGGGAGCAAAATATTGGGATTGATGGCGACGACGCCATCGGATAGTCGGCGCAGATCACATCTCAGCCCAGCCACAAGGGCGCACCTTTTTGAGGACGGTAAAGCCAAAGTCAGCGACGCAGGCTCGGCCGTTCTCGTCAACGAGAATGTTGACGGCCTTGAGGTCGCCATGGACGACCTGGCGGCTGTGCAGATAGTTCATGCCCTGGGAGACTTCGTAGATCAGCCTGAGGGTGCGTGCGTGGCACGGCGGGTACTTTTCGAGGTACTGCAGGGCGTGGCCATTGCTCATGAAGGGCGAAATCATGAAAGGCCGCTCGGCGGTTTGGCAGGCGCCCAGGAGCGGCAGGACGTTCGGATGGCGGAGTGGGTACCATGATTTGACCTCGCGGAGAAAGCTCTCCTGCAGCTTTCGGGTGTCGAGGCGGCAGTAGAGCCGCTTGACGGCGACAGGGGTGTGTCCGAGCCAAACGCCTCGCGAGACCTCGCCGAAACCGCCGTGGGCCAGCGGCTCTCCAATGACTTCGACCTCCCAGGAGGTAATGGTCCAGTCCTCGATGGCAGGGGCGATGCCGGTCGAGACCCGCTTGAGACACGCCAGGGCTCGCTCCATGAAGAGGCGATCCAGCTTCCGGTCGACATGGGCAATCATGTTCTTTTGCAGGGCCTGCACGGCAGGGGCCCCCGTCAGGACACAGTAGCGCGAGCATCGAGGATGATTGCGACGGGTTCGGCGGATGCAGTTCCCGGATTGTTGCGTCGGTGCGAGTCGTCGGTATCATGCGAGGGGGAGCAGTTGAGCAGATGAGCAGATGAGCAGATGAGCAGATGAGCAGATGAGCAGATGAGCAGATGAGCAGATGAGCAGATGAGGACAGTGAATGGCTGGAGCACCAGGATCAGGCATCTCAGCTTCAACCCTGACGGACACAGCCTCGATCCTCACTAGATGATGCAGCGTCCGCCTATTCGGCCCGCACAGACCAGATGGCACTCCTTGTAGATCATCCGCTGCGACTGAGCGCATACGCACCTCCATGGCCTCCATGTATTCGGACTGCTTGAGCTCCAGTGCTTGGAGGATGCGATAGTCGTTTTCTAGAAGCTGCTGCAGGGTGCTCTCGAACTCGGCCATGTCCTGGTCCCGGTCCTGCCGATCCTCGTCCATCCAGTTCTTGACGTCGACTTGCAGGGCGAGTTGCAGATCCGAGGCGATGAATGTGATTTGGCTCTGGTAGCCGTCGATCTCGGCTTCGGAGCGCTGGCGGTTGATGAAACGCTGCATAAAATGTTGGTTCTGCTGCTTCTGGACAAAGTCATTGACGGACTCGAGGAGACTAAGGGCAAAGGGACGTTTGCGTGTTGTCCATGGGTGTTGGGATTGATGCAGGCCATGTGCAGGGAGGGCAATTTGGGTTGCAGCGATGGAGTTGGGAGGCGAGAAGCATCGACGGATTGACAGGAATAGAGGGGTGGTTAGCGGGTTGAACTGCGAGGTGTCGAATGCAGCTAGCGCAGGAGCTACAGACGGCGATCCAAAATGGCAGGGACCAGCTCCTCAGACACCAGGAGGATATGGGAACTGTCGGGGAGCCACACGCCCCTGACGCTAAGACCAATGGTGCCAACAGCAAGCAAGAGTGACAAATGATGACGATAGGCAGCGTGGGCAAAGAGCGTGGGCAAAGAGCGTGGGCAAAGAAGCAGGGTGGCCAAGTCGCGGAAAGTGTTGCTGCCAAAGCATTTCAAAGCCGTCAAGGCCAGGCCAGAGGGCCAACGCAGCGACTTGATTGAAGGCGGTGGGCCGATGGCGGCAGACGACAGCCCGGCGGCACATCAAGGGCGTAGCGAGGGAGCCGGCCGTGATGGGATCACACCATGGCAACAGAGATGGCCGCGGAGGAACGGGAGGCACAGCAGCAGTCCAACAATGCTGGGCGGCCCGGGGGGATGCCTTACCTTATCAGAGCCTCGAGGTGGCGAGAGATGTGGGCCGGGAGGAGGAGCTCCTCGAGTTGGATGTTGGTGAGGGTGCTGGTTTGCTCAGGCTCGAGACGGTCGAGCTCCTGCCGAGCAAAAGCATTGATGGTGGCCAAGATGCGGTTGGCCCGATTGACGAGCCGTAGACATGCTCGCTTGAAGGTTTGGACAGCCTCGGCCTGGGTCGAAATGTCGTTGGTGAGGCTGTGGCCCTGGTGCAGAACAGGGAGTGGCAGCAGCTCATCGGCAGAGACACGGTTGCCAGACTGGGATGAGGAGCTGCCCGAGAGGGACTCGGGCGGGTTGGAGATGTTCATGCCAGAGCAGGGAGCGCAAGACTGGGCGGACCGGCAACGGATACGATCGAAAGGGGGGGGAGCTTGACTCGATGGCAGAGCCTCGATGGCAGAGCCTCGGTGGTGGTGCCTCGATGGGATGGAGTTGAGGGAAACAGCCAGATGGAGCAGTTTCGAGAGCTATCTTGATGGGGCTATCCTGATGGGGCTATCCTGATGGGCTATCCTGATGGAGCCGGCGGGGACAGCCAGCAGCACGGCCACGCAAGATGGGAGAGGATGGAGGAGCACGAGGGGGGAGGGAAAATGAGGGCTGCGGAGGGGCAACGAGGGTGCGACACTGCCAAGAGCGGGCAACACGGGCACCCACGACGAGCGCACCCCCGTGGGAGAGACAGCCAGCGCGATGGACGGCAGGGCGATCGGATGCAGCGAGAGCGGGGCAGGAGTGATTCGGGGTGGTGCGGGGGTGTCATCAAAGCGTATCGGCGATATAGCACCAGGCAGATGGTATGATATCATATGGCATCATATAGGATGGTGTGGGATCATATGGTGTGGGATGGTGGGATAGACGATGCAGACGTGCGTTGGACCAATGCTCTGGGATGCCATGGACGAGTTCCTGCGGATGCGGCGCACGGCATCGCAGGAAAGATACGGAAGATATCATGCATGATATTGTGCGTGACATTGTGCATGATATTGTGCATGACATTGTGCATGATATTGTGCATGGTGCTGAGTGGTGCCGTCGGCCTCGCCACAGCGCTTCGGTCTTGGCAATCGATCCAATTCATGCATCCATCCACTCACGCATGCATCTGTCTGTCCATCCATCCACTGCCACTCGCTGCCACCCGCTGCCACCGCTGCCGCCTTGGCATCGCTCTGGATACATTCCACCCCCCCCCCGGCGACCTGCGAGATCAAGCGCCCACGGCATCCTGCTGCTTCCCGGCGACGAGGTTCCGCAGCGTCCCAAAGACACAAGATATCGAATCATATCAAATCGCCCACCCAGCAGGGCGATTGATCAACACCGTCTGCATTCGCCACTGGCCGAGATGCCCTCCCCTCCAATAGCCGCAGCGACCGCCGCCGCCGCCGGACCCTCTCGTTGTTCCGCCCAACACCACCAACCGCCCTCGCAGGTGATGTGGGCAATGCCCGGGTGCATGGCGAGGCATTGTCAGCTGGCCCGTCCTGCACATTCCGCCCAGTGCGTTTCTTCATCGGCCACGCAGCCTTCGGACGAGCGACACACCACCGCCGCCGCCGCGGAGACATGAGCAACACCCCAGCCGCGGTCATCCCACCTCCCGAATGACCTCTCTGGCTGCGGGTATCGGCACCCGAGCCTGTGTGCTGTGCCGGACGGTGCGGGGGTGGCAGCCATTGCGTGTGGAACTCTCAGACAGTGCGGGAAACAGCGATGGCATCAGAGCGAATCACACTGCATGTGCAGATCGGCACCACCGGGCAGGCCAGAAGCACACGGCATGGGAAATATGCGGGATTCCATGAGCAGAGTATGGCATGGCCAAAGATAGCATGGGCAAAGATAGATGAGAGGCACAGTTGCACCGGATGCGTGCATTGCATCAGCAAACCCCTCATGCGGCAGAACGATCTGTGGGAGAACCATCTGTGGGAGAACTATCTGTGGGAGAACCCATTCCGCACATCTTCTAATATCACATATATCACATATATCACGTATATCACGTATATCACGTATATCACGTATATCACGTATATCACGTATATCACGTATATCACTCGATGTCACTTATCACTCGCGCCGCTTGATATCTCCGCTGTCGTTAGCATCGCTCAGCGTCGCTCAGTATCGCTCTGCGTCGCTCTGCCCCACCGTCTCCCGCGGCAGATCCCGGCTCTTGCTAATCAAATGCATCAGCCCGTCTGTGCCTGAGCCGGTGATCAACTTGATTCGCAACTCTGCCCGCGGCCTGATCCGCAACTCGATCCACCACTTCATCCGCCTGTTCGGCCACCACCCGGTTGTCTGCCTGTGCCGCACCCGCCCTCTCGCCAAGCGCTGGCCAAGCACTCGCCGCCGTTCCCGCCGCTGCACCATCACAATAACTATCACCATCACGATAACTATCACTATCACGATAACTATCACTATCACTATCACTATCACGACAACTATCAACATACCTATTACCATCACTATCGCGACAACTATCACCATCGCTGTCACCATCGCAGCTACCGCACTGTCCGTCGCATCCGCTTGCTGTGATTACTCCCCCATCTCGACGCCACCGCTCTCGCCGTCCGTCGCAGATCGCTGCCCTCAGGCTTTGGTCCCCCCCCCGCTTATATATACCGCTTGTGCGCCTTTCCTCCCTCGCAGCCCCCCCCCCAGTTCTCTTCTCGCCCATCTTCCCTTGCGGACGCGCCCCCGTATTCGTTTTTTTGGCTCCCTGTTTCGTCCGAATCTGTCCTCCCATCGCTGCACCTGATAATCTGCCCTCATTCCCCCCCCCGTCTCCATCGCATCTCCAATTGCAGTTCCACCCCGCACTCCTGCTTGCATTTTTCGTTCTCGCTTCATCCAGTACGCCCCATCGCTTGCTTCTGCCATCGCTTTCTTGATCGATCGATCGAGTCTTGCTCCTGCCGATCTCGTCCACGCCCCTCGCCTGTCTTGCCCACCTCCCACCCCGGTATTGCCTTCTTCCCACGTACGATCCACGCCCACCTCAAGTACCACCCCTTGCCGCCTGCCCTCTTTTTGAAGCTCGAGCCATCAGCGTCTAACCTCCTCCCTCTGAAATCCTCCTCCTATCTGTCCACGATCTCCCTCCCCTCCCCTTCCCCTCCGCGATCCACATTCGCATCGTCGCCGTTTCCCACCATCGCCATGTCCTGGAAGCCTTACACCGGCCTCTCCGACAGCTTCCACTCGGTTGCCACAGAGCCTTACCCGTCGCTTTGGTCCTACCAGTCGCCTCCCAAAACCACCGATCCGCTGATGCTGCAGCACCAGCATTCCGCACAGCTCAAGGACATGTCGTCCGCCCACCTGCACTCGGGCCGCTTCGTTCAGCCTTTTGCGGGCTCGGCGCAAGGATCGCTCGATCGGCCTCTTGCCCAAGCGAATCCTGCCGCCACCACTTCCACCCCCGCCGCATCGGCCGTACCGTCGCTGTCCCATCGCCTGTCCTTTAGCAAGTCGTCCCACGTCCTCCATCCCACCATCATTCCCAACCTCGCCCCGCCGGGCTCGAGCCCTTCTCAATCGTCCTCCATCGGCCCCAACCCGCATCTGACCCCGCGCACAAGCTCCTCGTCCCTCCATGCCCTCGCCTTTGACGACCTGTCGTACTCGTATCCACTGCAGTCCTATGCCTCCGCCTATGGCCCCGTCCGCCGCTCGTCCAACTCCCATATCCCCTCTGCCCAGTCTCTTTCGAGCACCTACCTTCCAGCCGACCCTGCCGTCCATGATCCTCGCTCCGGCGGCGCTCTTGAGGCTTCGTCGTCGCCCTCGACCCGCCGCGGCTCCGTCTCCCTCTTTAACGCAACGACCCTGCCCGCCAACACCCTCTCGTCTCTGACCACCATCGCCGCCACTACTCCCTCTAGCACCACCACCACCACTTCTGTCCCCGTCGCCTCCATGGCCTCCGTCGCCGCCTCCCAGTGGACTCTCGCAGAGCCCCTTGACCCACCTTCCCAGCCCTCTATGGCCTCTAATCCTCGATCTGCCCACGCCTTGGCCCCGTCCGCCACCAACACCATCACCATCACCACCAGCGACAGCATCATCCGTCCGTCCGCAGTGCCTGCCTCCATTCATCAACAGCCTGCTATCCCCGAGGCTGCCGATGCGGCTGGCCCCCGCCGCGGCTCGCTGCAGACCCAGCCAAAGCATGTCCGGGTGGCTCGCCGTCTGCGCCAGGACATGCTCGGATATTACTCGTCTCTCGGCGTTACACGCGCATGGGTCCCTGTCGCTGGGTCGCTCGCTTTGTCCGAGAGCAGCCCCTGGGTGTCGGTGCGCATGGATCCTGTCGAAACCGAGGTGTGCGATCCGTTTGCGCTGTCGTTCCCGTTCGAACCGTAAGTACTCTCCGGACTGCTCAATCGCACGGTGCCATGGATGATGGGGTCGGACGGGTCGATCCTCATGTTGCGTTTGTTTCGTTGATGCCATCTGGCCAGTCTACTAACAGACTCCTCATACACAACTGTTCTTGGACCCTCTCTCATCCCAATCTCACTCTGGCCCCACTTGCCCACTTGCCCACTTGCCCACTTGCCCACTTGCCGCCCGCCAGAGTGCCCACCGACATCCCACCCAGGCCCTCAGCCCCAAACCCTTCCCGTCCCACGCCGTTCCCGCCAGTCAACTCGGTTATCGAAGAGCTCTCGCTCAGCTCGCGCCGACAGACCCCCCAGATTCCAGAGCAGTCGCATGAGGAACGCAGCCTCCAGAACGCCCACTCGGGCTCGTCGCTCATGACCCTGATGGATCCGGAGCTCGAGCTCGAGCTCGGCGGCGACCCTCAGGACTCGTCCGCAAAGTCCTTTGCCTCGTCCCCCGACAAGTCTTTGGGTCCCAAGGGCATCCAGCTGCCCAGAAGCATGGCCTCGGTCGTCGCCGCAAGCGTCCGCCCCAGCGCCGACTCGATCGTGCCCGCCAGTGCGACCCTGGCTCCTCCAAACCAGCGCCTGATGAACGTCCACCCGGTCTCGGTCCCCAGACCTGCAGCGGGCATGGTGGCCGCTCCTTCGGCTGCTGCTGTTGCTGCTTCTGTTGCTGCTCCTGCCGCTGTTGCTGCTCTTGCGCCGCTCCCCCAGCGATCTGACGAGATCGACATCATCGTCAGCGGCGCCGCCCTCCCTGCCAAGCCCATTTCTGTCTTTGTGTCGTTCCTGCCTCTGACCGTGAGCGAGCGAGACGTCTACAAGCTCTTCCGGCTGCACGGATCCATCCTGGAGATCCGCATGGTGCCTAACAAGCGCGAAGATGCCCAGTTTGCCTTTGTCGACTTTGACCGGCCCGAAAGTGCCCAGCAGGCGATGCTGACCCTCCAGGGCGAGCGCCACTTTGACATGTCCAAGAACCTCCACCTCGAGTTTGCCAGTCGCAAACAAAAGGATGTGTCCAAGTCTCTGGCCAAGAAGACCGAGCGGTACCGAGTCTGGGACCGCGAGCTTGGCTATGAGCCGGCCCATTGAAACGGCAACCAGGGCCGGTGCAGAAGCAGGAAAGCTCTCGAGGGCTTGTCCAGCGGTAGCCTTGAATAATCAATATCTCAGTCAAGCCATCGAATGAACTATCGAATGAACCATCGAATGAACTACCGAACGAACTACCGAATGAACTATCGAATGCACTACCGAACGAACTACCGAATGAACTATCGAATGCACTACCGAACGAGCCACTGACAACAGCCGCCCATCCACCCCATCCACCCCATCCATTCCGTTCCGTGCTCCGTCCTATTTAATATCGCACTCTATCGACCACTCTGTCGTTCTATTGGCCCCCCCCCTCCGCCGCACACACCTAATTCTGGCCATCCGTCATGCTCGCTTTCCTCGCTCTCCCCCAACCTTCGGCATTCGATCGGCCTTGTTCTATCCGTCTTCCTCCCGGCAGCATATGTGGTTCCCATCTCACTTGCATGTTTCTTTTCGCACCAATCGCCTTCCCGCAACATCGCACATGACCCTTCAAAACCACAATCAAAACCAAAACCAGGAATCAAAAAAATCAATCCCATCCACTTTATGTTGTTGTATGTTTGTTCCCCCTTTGATTCTGTGAATGAACTTTTTGATCTCTTTACCATTTCGACTTGCCTTGCCCCCTTTGTCGCCGTTGTTGCCTTCCTCTCTCGGCCTATGCCTGTAGTATCATATTATTTATCACGCGCACTCCACCCCATATCCCACATTGATGAAAATCCAAGCCGTGCCTTGTTGTTGCTGTTGTTGCTGTTGTTGCTGTTGTTGCTGTTGTTGCTGTTGTTGCTATTGTTGCTGTTGTTTGTTTTTTTGTTCCACTTTGGCATTGTGTATTCCAGTCCCCCCTCACACGATTTTTTTTTCGATTGTATTGCATCCGCATCTCGTTTCCGGAGGATGCTGAAAAATACACGCACATGCATTGGGTTGAGTTGATTGTTTGCAGAGACCGCAGCTGGTTCGTGAAAGCTGCGGGTGATATGACTGTCGATATCGGCGGTGATGGCGATGATGTCGATGATGCCGATGATGGTCATGGTGTGCTGGCACATCATTCGTCCGTCCATTCGCCTTTCCCCTCTTCGAGCATTTTCGGGCCCACCACGGTCATGTCATGTGGTTACCGCCAAGGACACATCCTTGGCGACGCTCGCATCTTCCACGCCATCATCTTCATCGCCATCATCTTCATCGCCATCCACATCCACATCCACATCCACATCCACATCCACATCCACATCCACATCCACATCCACATCCACATCCACATCCACATCCACATCCACATCCACATCCACAATGTTCCGTCGCTTCATCGGCCGCCTCGCTCCGCCCGTTATCCCAGACGACGATGCCACCCCGACCGATAGTCCCTCAAGCCAAGCACAGCCCCGCTATCGTTGTGAGCGCAGGACGAATCTGGCCTTGGTCCTCGCCCTTCGTCGGCTGCTTGTCGCCCACTTTTGCGACCCTTCGACCCCCGTGCTGCCGGTCGAAGTCCTCCTGACCATCCTGCAGTATGCCGAACTCGTTCCCGTTGTCTCTCTCCGCAGCACATCTCCTGCCGACAATCTGCGCGAGGCCGATGAAATCTGGATGGCCTACACCATCCCCAGACTGGCGGGCCTCCGGCATCTCCGACGGATCCAGTTCTCGGTCGAGAGCCACGACCAAGGCTGGAGTAACGGAGAGGGCAAGGGCACCTTTCACAACAGCTGGACCTGGGGCGAGCTTCTGGTTCGCCGCCCGGACGGCTCCGTCAACCCGCTGCTCGCTGGCGGCAGCCAAACCTTTGGCACCACCGACCGCATCCGGCTCTTCTTGAACCTGAGCGCCGTTCTGGACTGGAAAGAATGGAATTTTGACTCGGACGAGGCCACTCCTCCGTTCGTGCATCTGATCCAGCCGGGAGATACTCTCGAGGTCCGTCTGCGATCGGTGTTTCCGGGCTGGGCAATCTCTGCAAAGGACGGCAACCTGACGCTGCAGTTCGAACCCTGAGGAGACCGAGACCGTCCATCTTTGGTTCTCGGGTCCTCCTCCGGAATCGCATGGGCATACAGGGATTTTATCATGTCTGTTCTATTCCGGCGTCGCTCTTCTCGTCAACGACGATTGCCGCCCTCATCCCGCCGTTCATCCCACATCAGGAGATACATCATTCCCAAAATGAAATGGGACTGTTGTAATTCCCTGAGACTTGAATACACACACTCGCTCATCGTTCCCATGACCAGAGGGTGCTCATGGTGCCCAGAAGCCAAGCGACTCAAGACATCATTACCAGTCGATTGCCGCCACAGGAGATCGAACGAGTGTATTCAAGACCATGCTTCCCAAACCAACGAAAACAAAGCGATTGCTGACTAGGACGGGAAACAATCGCACGGCTTGCTCACTGGGGACTGTCCCGTTCCTTTTTGGCTTGACTGTATCGATCAATTGGCATTCACCAGACAGAGAGCATCAAAGGTCGAATGCGGCAGGCTCGGTCCGGTGCGATCGATGATGCTGGGGGCCTTTGCTGCATGTGCTGTCCACTGTGCTGGGAAGGGGGAGGCAGGGTACAAACCGGGCCAACAGCGAGAATAGTCGCGGGCTCACTCGGCGGCGGGTAGGGTGGAGAGCGGGATGATACGGGTGTCTTGTTGAAGCCAGCCAGAGTCCCAACGATGCCATCGGAATATCGATCTAACGGGCTGAAGATGACTGGCCTCCAGGCCGGCTGGCTCAAAACCGACTGAACGTGCCCCGGACCAAAAAGTTGGCCTCTTTCTCGTCCGCCTTTTTGTAGAGGCTCTGGATGACCTTGGACTTTGACTTGAGCCGCTCGGACGCAAGCGCCGGGTCGTTCAGGTTCGGCAGCGGCATGTTGATGCGGGGTTTGACTTCAGCCAGCCGCTTTGCAGAGACCGCTATGGCCGGAGCCGATGCCGGTGCTAATGCCGAGCTGGCGACAGCCTCTTTTTCGTCGTCCGCACGTTTGCGCTTTTTCTTCTCTGCCGCGAGATGCTGCTCGGAGGAAGGGCCGTCGCCTTGGGCCGCTGCGGCCTGCTTCTTTTGCTTCTTCTCGAGCTGCTTCAGCCGCTTGCGCTCGGCCTCCTGCTCCAGCCGCTTGGCTCGAAGAGCCTCCATCCGGGTCTGCAGGCGCTCGACCTCCTCGGGCTTGAGCGAGTTGATCGGAACAACGTCATCGGCGCTGAAGGGCTGGTTGCATTTGAGACAGGTGTCCGAGGGGATCTCCTTGAAGGCTTGCTCTGAGAGGACGCATCCGCAGGAGGCGATGAACGAGAACCTGCGAGAGGGAAAGGTCAGGAACGGTCGATGATCATCGCTATCGATATCTGCTTCAACGCAGCAGCAGCAGCAGCAGAAGACCCACTCTGCTCACCGGCTGTTTCCATTCATCTCCTTCATCGTGACGGGACAGGCGAACTGAGACATTGGAATGGTGTCCTTGACGATCGTCAGGAGAGCGGCCGACTGGGACGCACTCTCCTTCTCCAAGTATGCCGGGTTCGGGGACAGATTCAGAGAGATCAGATCCTGGCAAGATCAATTGTGTGAGGTAAAGGTCAGGATGCGTTGTGCCTTGGCGCCGAGCGTTGCGGAGGACAGATACAGCCGAGCGTTGTGGAGGGCAGATACAGCCGAGCGTTGTGGAGGGCAGATACAGCCCAGCAGATGACGCCCATTCAATCGGGTCAAGATCAGCTACAGTTCAAGCACTGCAGATCTCAAATCTCCAGCTCACCTTGAGGGACGAAATGTGGCTGCATAGCACGTCGCCGTCGCCGTAAGCCTTCCGGTCAAGCAGGAACTCGAGGATGGCATCTTTGTTGTACAGCTTGCCGAGATTATCGGCCACGATTGGAGCCTTGAGTGGCCGCTTGGACAGCGTGCAGGTGAACCAGGCGGCATACTGCTGCGCCTGGGCGTCCGGGAGCTGCTCCTTTTGCTTGGTCTTGACAAGCTCGCTGCGTGTTGGGATGCTTCCTCCGTCGCTGGATGGTTTGGATGGGGAATGCATTGGTGGGGGTGAGGATGGAGCATGATGGAAAGGTGGGCGCGGGGATACGATGCTAGCTCTGCAGCAGGGACTTACCAGCCCATGATGTGTGCGGCAAATGGAAGGGAGATGCGGGGTTGTCGCTGGGTCGAGAAGGCGATGGCAATCCACGGATGCGATGAAGTTGAACGAATGCGATGAAGTCGAACAAATGCGATGATGAATTATGAAGCACGGCACGAAACCGGGCGGGTTTGTCACGTGGGACAAGAGCTGCGCCGCACGACCAGACAAATAGGATACACAATATATATTCGACCCGAGGAGATCGGGATCGCCAGGGACATCAAAGGACAGACACTGGCCAGATTCATCAATGCTCAGAATAGGGTCTGACACTGGCAAAGTCCGAGCAAATGGGAGAGGCGCAAGCTCTTCGATCGGAAACGTCCACTCAGGAATCGATGGCTTCAATCTCACTCAGAATGCGATCATCCTTGTCGTGCGAGCGCATTGTGGGATTGGTCTGTGATAGCTGCGAATAGTTGGGCTGAAGCGCAGAATTAGTCAGAAAAGATCACGCAATGCATGGGTGCGTCGACACATAACTCACTTGGATGATCAAAACGGAAGAGTTGTCCATGTATAAGGAGCCTGACTCGTTCGTGCGCCATTTCTGTCGATCCTCATCAAAGAGATGATGAGGGACTTGCAGGATATGAGTATCATGCTGTATCCACTGGGGGGCAGATTCAATTTCCATCCAGCATGATTTTACTGAGTTGAGAGGAGAGCTGGAGATATTCGAATCCTGTGATGGCAATCGTGGGAGGCAAATCAAAGCACGAGCGCGATATTAGGAGCATTTCATCGCAAGTCAATCATACTTTACGATTTTCAAGCTGCATCAACATACAATTTCGTGGGATTCATTTGGATTGCGTATCGGTGGTCCCTGAATGACATTCCACGACTTGGCGATGTCACCGATCGAGCCAGAAGCGGTCCGCTGGTTATCGGATGAGGCTATCTTTGGTTAAAATGGGTGTTCTTGAGTGAATATTATATCAGCGGTTCCCGTCCTTGGTGATCACCACCTCAAGCACGGCTGCGCCATGGAAAGGCGTGTCGTTCCGGCTCAATATGACCCGAAGCGGCCTTATGAACTCGCGCAAAATTGACAGCCCATGACTCGCATATCGCTTCCTGTCGTGGGGGTGGGGGACGGGGGGCCGATCCCGTCCGCGATCCATCTTGCAGTGGCCACGTTCCCCGCTCCGGAGGCGCCACCCCCGGGCCACTTCGTGTGCGTGCGTGTTTGTGAATCAATCGGGTTTATATATATATTGCTATCGACACTGCAGCTCCATCCACACGGCCCAAACGAAGTATATCGTCGAGATTGTTCGGGTGTGTCGGGTGATGATGGGCTGGGGCGGCGGAAAGACAGCAGCAACAGCGGTCTCTCCCATCCAAAGTTATAAAGGCGCCAATCTGACCTCAGGCGACGGGTTGTGCGTCGACGACGATCATCTTCCGCGGGATTTGGGGAATCTCGAGCTTGGTGTCCTCGGCCTTGATGGCCTTGGCGGTCTTGATGGCGGGAAAGACCAACTTGATGACAGGGATCTTGGCGGGCGCCGGAGCAGACTCGGAAGCACTAGCACCGGCAGCATCAGTAACAGCAACATGCGACGACGACTTTGTCGACTTGTATGACAGCTTGGTTTGGGCCATAGCGGCCGATCTCTTGGAGGCGCGAGTACGGGCGACGGCGGTCTTGGTCGACGCAGCAGCAGCAACAGCGGCAGCAGCGGCAGACCGCGTCCGCTTGGGCGCCGGCGCAGCATCGTCGGTATCGAGTGTCCGCTTCTTTGCCGGGGCTTCTTCTTCCGCAGCAACATCCAAAGCCGGAACCGAGCCGGGAGATGCCACAGCTTCGTCCTTGGTGGATTCGCGCTCGGAGCTCTCCGAGTCGCTCGACACGAGATCGGGGAGGGGCGAGTCTTGGCTCTGGGTCGACAGCGACGAGAGCGAGGACTCCAGCTTGACGGGGTGGGCAGGAAGATCCACCGAGAGCTCCAGACGCTTGCCTCGGTCCTTCCGAGAGACAGATCGGACCTGGGCCAGATCGCTCAGCCGCTTGGCCTCCTGCTCAATCATATCGACGACAATGTCGGTGTCGTCCAGCAGATGGTAGTCAAAGACGCCGTTCCACTCGCCCGAGACCTCGGTGCGGTTGATGAAGATGACCTTGCCCTGCTTGAGCTCGTGCACGGTCTTGGCAATGTCCTTGACGAGCCGCTTGATACCGTGGACCTTGAGCGAGGTGCCCATGACAATGAGCAGATCAGGTTTCCGCTTCAGATCGTAGGTGGCAAAGTCTGCGATCATGTCGCCTGCAAGGTGAGAACGAGGCGGGTCCGTCTGGGATGAGTATGGGCAACGGTACCATTTGGGCGGCGACGCAGATCTGGCTGACAAGTAGTGTGGCGACCGGTTGATCGCAAGGACCGCCTACCGTTTCGGTGGTGCTCGTTGTAGAGGACAATGTTGGGCCGCAGCATGCCCACCGCGGCCGAGCGCTTGCCCAGGGCCATCCGGATGCTTTCCTGCTCAACGCACTGGTCGCACGGCATCGACGCCCCAGACTTGAAGATTGTCTGGACCTCGTCTGTGAACTTGGAGGTGTGGCCGCACACGGTGCAGACCACCCGATCGAGGTCGCCGTGCAGCTGGATGACCTTGGGCTGGCCCTTGTCGGGCTTGGCCTTGGGCAGCCCCAGATCTTTCGGCTCCAGATCGATATCGGTGGTCATGTTCAGGCGGTTCTCGAGACAGTCAATGTTTTGGGTGTAGCAGCGCAGGAGCTTGCCCTGGCTGTCGAGGCTCTTGAGGAACTGGTGGGTCGGCGTGACGGAGGCTTTGGCAATGACGTCCTTGAGCTCGCCCATGAAGGTGAAGAAGAGCGCCGTCGAGGTCGGATCACGAAAGAGGGTGGCATCAAAGAGATCGCGGCCCTTCATGATGGACGTTGGGTACTTTTCCTTGACGAGATTGTAGAGGCCATTCTGGGAGCGAAAGTCCTGATACCCCCGGGAGGTGGGTAGGTCATGTTCAGCAGCGGCCGTTGCCGACGAATGATTGGGATGGTTCGGCGTGTCGATGGCGATCACGGCGGGGAAGAGGTTTGTTGTCGCAGCAGCAGTCGGAGCGGTGTGGCCAACGATCCAACACAGCGACAGCCAAGCCGAGCGCGGGAAAGGGGAGCAAGCGAGCCGGAGAAAATAGACACGTTGGTGAGTCGAGAGGGAACGCAACAGGTATATGAGAACCGAACGAGTGCCGGCAGCTGCTCCCGATGGGCAGAATGCACAGGGCAGGATCAGGAAGAATATCCACCGGCGGTGGGGTGGGCGATCGAGGGAAGGGGCGGGCTCGAGGATAGGCGACAAAAGCAGCAAGATTGCAATCCAGCCAAAGGCCAATTCAGCTCAAGACAATCCTGGCAAAGCAGCCATCGAGGCCACTGACGGATCAAACACACTGTGCGAGCCGTCAGTGTCGCCGAGGCTCACGGGAGATCAGCGAGCGGCAGCTCCGGGGGTTGCATCGACGGAAGGAAAAATGCCGTTCGGACTCGGCTATTGCTTACAGGGATTCCGCCAGACACCGAGATGCCAGCGCCAGTGACGACCACACAGCGCTTGGATCGCCGGAGCGACTCTGCGATGGACTTGAGATGGACCTTGGCCTCCTCGGAGGGGAGATCAGAGAGCTTGAACCGTAATGTCATCGGGGCAGAAGGTGGTTATGTATCAACCCGTGGCGAGAGCAGGGCAGAAGCCTGGACGAAAGAACAGACGCAAACGAGGGACAAAAGGGCAGCAGGAAGCCGCAGGAGGCAAGGCAGCCAAAGGGCCGGAGAAGAAACAGAAGCAGCGGCGTGCGAGACAGAGATGCCGGCTGCAGGTAGAGAGACAGCGGCAGCAGCAGCAGCAGCAGCAGCAGATGGGCGAGGGGCGGCCGTTGGATGGGAGCCCTGGGAGAGAGAAGAAAAAGGCGGTGGGCGGGAGGGCCGAGCCGAGCGGTTTTCTTTGGGCCGGTGGACGACAGGTCTGGGCTTGCTGGGAGACGGACAACAGCCAATTGCGAGGGCAGCGACGCAGGCGGGCGAGTGATGATACGATTGCTCTGGGGACCTGCAGGCCGGGACGGCGGTCGGCGTAGGATGAGTGTCGATGCAGGACGGATGGCGATGCAGGACGAAGAACACCAGGGCCAAAGCGCACAAGCGGCCGAATCGGTCGCCACGCCGATCAAAGGCGACACGGCGACGCACATCGACGCCAGCAACCATTAATACCGGGAGTATCGGGAGTATCGGGAGTATCGGGAGTATCGGGAGTATCGGGAGCATCGAAAGCATCGAAGCGACACGCTCACCCTCTCCTGATAACGAACGAATGCAAGTGTCCGACACATCGCCGTGCCCAGAGTCGATTTGCGAGCGGTACAAAACCAAACATCTCTCAATACAGCTTCACACCTGACAGCCAGAGTTTGGGAATGGACTCGCAGGCGAGACAGATGTATTGTTCATGTAGGTCAGGTGTAGAAACAAGCAAGAGAGATACAAAAATGGACCAAATCAACATCTTAGGAGGACTTTGCCGTTGCAACTTGGCAGTCCTGCACACCCGAGTTGGCCATCCACTCCAGGTTCTGCTTCAGGACATCGAGCTGGCTGAGAACATCGGTCGTGGCGGCGCCGGAGCCGTCCGAGGAGACGGTAGGGGCGTTGAGCGCCGAAGACATGAACGCCTCGAGCGACGAAACGGCAGACTCAAGCGGGATCTTCTGGACAGAGCCGATAGTGATGTGTCGGGGAGCGGTGCTCGGCGGAATGTACTTTGTGGCCATGGCGAAAGTGAACTCGTCCGGGTGCTTGAGCTATCTCGCGTGCGTTATGCCTGCTGTAACGACGGAAACTCCAGGCTGTGTGGATATCGATCGTGTGGTATCGATCGTGTGGTATCGATCGTGTGGATATCGGTCGGAGTCGTGTGGTTGCAAGAAAAAAAAACGTGCACCAAATGAAGTGGGCGAGACACACCGAGACACACCGAGACACACCGAGACGCACCGAGACACGCCGAGAGCGTTGTCATCCAGCCCGGCAACGATGTATCAATACAGTGCCCACACCGAATGGATGTGTCGAAGCATGACCACTGCGTACAGGTCGGTTGAGGAGACTGCCAAGACGATCGCCATATCAGATATGGCAGGTCGTTACATGCGACGCTGACATCAAGGAAAATGGAGGGTGTCCCGTTTCATTCGGAGTGAGGTGTAGCAGCGAACAGAGTTGCGCAGCGGGTGTGGGTGAATCCATATTCATGTATTGGAATCACTATCAGAGTCCGACTCATACCAATTGGTGGCAGTTGACGTTGCTCGCATCCTCTCTGTCATCATACTCATGCTCGGCCCAGCGCTCGACACGCTCGTCGAAATACATTTCAAAAAAATCTCCTCCGCGGAAACGCTTGTACTTGTCCCGACTCTGGGAAAGCGTCAACGGCGCAAAAGTGGAGAGGCGCTTCAAAGTCTTGCTCTTGTCTATGAGTGTGTCCACAAGCACTCTTGGGAGGTTTATGGCCGGTCTGTGTGAAACAATCTCCTTGACATGGAAATCACAGACAGATGCCCAGTCCTCGTTGGATTGCGTGTGCTGGGCGTTGAAGAGAAGTCTCCAGAACTTCATCTCGGATTGGTCAACAGAGTCATAACCCATCGACCTGTAGATGGTGGCGAGGAGAGCGGTGGCAAAGGGATATCCTGCGGCACTGGCGTTTTTGAGATACGAGAGCACTTTGATCAGGATTGCTCTGCTTGGTTGTAACTTTGCCGATCTTGCACGATTCAAGAGCCCGATGCCAAGCAAATACACTGCGACAGGGTCCCCGAGCTTGGCGGCCTTCTCCACCGCATTGAAGTACGTTTCGATCTTTGCCGGGGTCATTTTGCTCTTGTCATTTGACTTGATGACACGAGTCATCATGAGTCGAGCAAAAACTGCGGCTGCGGTGGCCCGTTCGGCCTTGGTGAACTCGGTCGAGGTCTCAGGAGCATCCATGACCCTCACGATCCAACGCTCGTCACCGATGGCTGGGAAGGGCGATGGGTAGAGTCGTGCAAGGCGTTTGGCTTCTCCAGCGAGGATCGAGCTCTGGACATTGTATTCACCATTCTTATCTTCGAGGTAGTCCTGGTGGCTGTGGTACATGTTCAACCCACTGGAGCTGAGCCACAAGCGGAATTGAACGACCCTGGAGCCGCGGATGGTGGCTTCGATGGCCTTGCAGGTTCGCTTGAGACGCAGCAACGTTGCGAGATCCAGAGTCCAGAGGAAGGCATCGTTGGACACCACGATATCAGCCCGTGACGTAGGCATCATGCGGCTGGACTGTCCATGAAGGCGATCACATAGGGAGGGTCTGGGTCGCTTGATTTGTGGTCCAAATATGGCGTCTTGAAAGCTAGACGTGGTGCTGTCGGCGAGTGTGCGCTTCATTGTGACTATTGAGTGTGATCAAAATTGAGTCAAGAGTGTCTATCGAAAGCAACAACTCAACGAGCTGCGATAGCGTAGATGGCGAGATGGAGAGAATCGTGGGAGTACGTGCCAGGATATCCTATTTATCGTCCCGGAGAGCCTACTGCCTGGGTGCCCATGAGAAGCCGCCATAGGCTGATCTTTAGGGCTTGCCGCTTTGCTTGTTTGTCTGTTCATGCTCGACATCAAAGGAATGGTATCCGACCAAGATTGGGCTTGCCAGCTCCAAGGCAGTTTCTTTGGTTCGAGGAGCGCTGATTGGTTGTGGCAGTCATCGTACATAATGCGGCACTTTTGAGTATCTTGATTGTGTTGTCCACCCCGCCATTCGAGCGTGTGCTCGCTCTTTTCTCATTGCCGTGATGCTTCAGCTCTTGACAGATCCAGTCGTGGGAAACCCACACGCTCGGCCGCGGTGTCATGAGAACGCAGTAAAAATAGCACGCTCAAGCCCGCCTTCAACTTTCATCGGCACCAGTCACCCCTCGCCGGGTAGAGATACCCATCGAAACAAGCCATAGGGTATCAACAAAAACTTTGCGCCCGATAGATCAAGCGACGAGTTCGTCCGAGTACAGGGGGCAGACTCGGAGGTGCCAGGTCACAGAGGCGGGTCTGCAAAGCGCAGACCACACCCCACTTCTCGTCGGGATGAAGATGATGTCGTAGTTGGAACAGAGACACTTTGCTGCCTGGGTGATTATTTGTTACTAGAGTCAACAGTATTCATGAAGACAGGCCATCGGTTCCAATAGGCTGGCGCACCGGCACTTTGAGTATACAGGCAAGCTCATCTACTCATGTTGCGCCTTTCGTTGCTTCAGAGTGCGAGCGATGGGTGCTGGCAGGGTGTGCACCAAGTGCGAAAGTTCGGAAAGCAGTGTGAGGAGCGGGTACACCAGCAGTCAGCGATCCAAGGGCGGGAGCCATAAGATTGCTGAGCACCGGGAATGAGGCTCTCGAGCCATTCAATGTTCTCTCGGTTGACCAACATCGGCGATTATTATGGGACGCCATCGATTTGAATATTGAATGTATTGAATGTATTGACTGTGTAATGCAACACCACTCGGCCATTGGCTGGGTTGTGTGTGGCGGGGCGGTCTGCTTGACGGATCTGACTACAAGTATTGGTGACGGGCGCCGAGCCAACACTTTCCTTGTCGATTGTCCTGCTCGGCGGACTTGCGGAACCACTTGGCTGCCATGGTGTGGTCCTCGATGACTCCTTGTCCATAGATGTAGAACACACAGACATTTCAATGCTCCAACGGTTTTCCTTGATCGGCCGACTTGCTGTACCATTCGGATGCCTTCTTCCAGTCCTTCGATACCCCTTGGCCATAGTAGTAGCAACTTCCGATACACGACTTGCTATCGCTGTGACCTTCGTTGGCCTGCTGTTCAAAGATATTCGCTGCTTTCGTCTGATCTTGAGTGGTCCCGAAACCATATATGAGACATACGGCAAAGAGATGTCTGCACAACCAATCACTCTCCGATCCAAGCTGGCACAGTTTGAAGAACATGCGGGCTGCGGCCGAGTCGGACGCAACATAATTTTGATACACTATCAGACACTCGTATTATCCGAGCTTGAACTCATCCGATTTGTTGTCGCGGATGATCTTGGTGCCCTTCTGTTTGTCAAGAGGTGTACCCCGGCCGAGGTAGTGCATCCACCCGACCATGTGGGTGGCAATGGGCTTGATGACTGGATCGGTGGATTGGGTGCTGACTCCCTGCCAGCATTGGAAAGCATCGAGATCGCTCTGTTCGACACCATGGCCGATGAACGAGAACCAAGCTTGCAAGAACATGATGTGAAGGCGGCCATCTTCACTGCCCTGATCGGCAGCCTTGGAAAACCACTCGAGGGCTGTGTTGAAGTCTTGTTTGACACCCTCGCCAGACTCGTAGCATCGACCAAGGGTGTTTTGGGCTTGAGGGATTCCCAGTTCTGCAAGTTTGCGATACAGCTCGGCAGCCTTGGCGTAGTCATGGTAGCAATCGATTCCGTTGATGTAGCGCTCGGCAATTTGGAATTGTGCCATTGAATGATCAGCTTTCGCCGCCCGCTCCAGGTGTTGGAAGATTTGCTGGCGGATGGCTACTCGCTCAGAGTAGAACAAAGATCCGCAGTCGAGGTCGATTTGGAGGATCTTTGCCAGGAAGTACGATGCAAAGGCGTTTCCTTGGTCGGCATGTTCGATGAGCCAGGATCGGTCGGCTGTGAACGGATCTTCGCAATGCAGCGAGATGGCAATCTGGTCGCTTGGTGAGAGGCCAATCCGCAGCTGTCCACCTGGATGACAGAGTCCCGCATTCTGGCACCAGGTGTCGAAGCGAGACACCTTGGAGTTCAGGAGGGGTCGGGCACGCCTGCACACTCGGAGCAGGGTCTTGATGGTGCTGTGGTCGAGGGCGAGTTGGAAGCTGTCGTTGCAGCAGATGATGGTGAAGATGTCTGGGTTGTGGTCGTCGATGTCCAGTCGAGCCATGCGAGGTGAGGGATGGACAATGGTAGCCATGATGCACGATGTGTGGATTGAGTGGATTGTGATGAGAGTTCAATGATGATGTCCAGATGATGGCGAGACGATGCGAGATGGAAAGAGACGAGGCGGGTGGACAAAAGACAGAGGGAATTTATGGCGAAGCAAGCCAGACCCTGGCAAGCCAAGCACTGGCCATTGAACACACACACACACACACAAGCCTGGCTCGATCCGTCCTGTTTGCTGGCTGGAATCGATGTTGTACGTGCACTGCCACAGCTATCGCCACATTAATGGAACATGGAATCGAGCATCGTATCGAGTCCTGCATTCTCGCCAAGGCAAGGTGCAACAGCCATTCTATCCAGTCCCACATCGACTGCAACTCTATGGCTCCAACCTGCTGCACCAAGCACCGCCAGTTCGCCTTCAAGCATCCATTTCCTCATTGCAACATGCTGACCGAGTGGATCAAGCAGGGCCATCAGCGAAGATGTTTGCCTCTGCCAACGAATGTCACTTCCCACCCATTGCTTCCGCATACCTGCCGCTTCAACGAACTGGTATCAGAAACAAAAGTTGAACAGCCATCGTATTGCATAACCAGAATTGTAATCGTCTCCAAATGGGCGTTTGTGACAACACCATGTTCCTACCAAGTATCTCCTCGGTATTCACACTCTTCAACAGCATGGTGCGGGCCGTTAATATCTCGATCTGTCTTCAGCTCACATTTACCACATTGACGCTCTCAAGCTGGCCCATCCCGGTCTATCCAAGTCTGACAAGGACCAGTGGAAGGCCTTGGTCGATGCCATCCCAGTCCCGCATCCTGGCAAGTGTCCTTCCTTCTGCCACATTGTCCTGACCCAGCTCCGCCAGCGCTATGCCAATGCCGGCACCCGAGTCTTCTCCGACAGGCACTGGATCACTACCGAGAAGTACGCCTACGACTTCCTCGACGGAATCATCAACGAGTTTGTCGAGAGCCTGGCCTCCAATCTCGCCAAGTGCGCGGCCACGAAGGCCCGTGGTGAGGAGGTCAAGCACTTCCGCCTCCGCTATCTCAGCAAGAAGCGAACCACCTCCGAGTCCTGCTACATGAGGAAGCGACTCTGGGGCCCTGTCCAGTCCACCTCCAGCTTCTGGAACCGAGTCAACATTCGCGAGTTCCTCGGCATCACTCCTCCTGGCGCACAAAACACTCCTGTGCAGCTTCTGCGTCCGCCCCTTCCACAGCCTGTGGATGCTGATGGCGACCCCATGCTGTCCAGAAGCATGAAGAGTGTCACGAGGCCACCCAAGCACAGCCGGATGGAGAGGAGCCTCCTTCCTCGCCTCCGTCCCGACGGGACCATCGAGGATCGCCGACTGCAGCTCCCCTTCCTCTGCGACACCCGCATCATGCGGACCAAGACCGGCAAGTTCTACATCGTGGTCTCGGGGCCACTTGTCCGTCCGGGCGAAAGCCAAGCCCAGGACATGGCCAAGAAAGTCGTCTCTATCGATCCTGGCGTCCGAGACTTCATCACCACATACGACCCTTCCGGCCTTGTCACCGCCTGGGGTGCCTCCAAATCTCACTCGACCAATGGTGGCAGGGACACCAAGAACAGGATGCGTCGAGCAGCCCTCCGCATCCTCGAGCGCATCCGATGCCTTGTCAACGATCTCCACCGCAAGGCAGCCAAGTGGCTCTGCTCAACATGCAACGTCATCTACATCCCCAAGCTCAACTTCCACCAGCTGGCAGCACACTGCTCTGGACGAGTGGTCAACGAGAAGACGGCCATGCTGGCCCACTGTCGCTTTGTCGACACTCTCGTCCACAAGTCCAGGGAGTATGCTGACTGCAGGGTGTGCATTGTTGGGGAGGAGTACACAAGCAAGACATGCACTCGGTGCGGGCACATCAAGCGGGACTTGGGGGCGGCCAAGGTGTATCATTGCAGGGAGTGTGGGTTGATGATAGATCGCGACATCAATGGGGCTCGTAACATTCTGTTGAAGAATGCGGGCTCGGAGGACATTCTTGGCGAGGGCATGGTGTAGCCTCGCAAACACCCCTTTGAAGCCTATTTCCACTTTGTGCATTACGGTGAGCTGTCTTACTTTGTCGCTATAACCAGTTTGCTTGAGAAGCGGGTAAGGATGAGATTTCCCGAATCAATATAGGCGGCATAGTTGAGAAACAGGCTCTGTGCATCGTCGTCCTTGGTTGGGTCCATATGTGAATGTAAATGTGGCGAGAGAGGGGGATGAGCAGGTCTGTCAGCTTGCGCAGAAAAATGGAATGGCGATGTCGTTAGCCGCCACGGAGGAGATTCCGATGCTCGATACGATGCTCGATTCCATGTTCCATTAATGTGGCAGTGCATGTGGCAGTGCATGTACAACATCGATTCCAGCCAGCAAACAGGACGGATCGAGCCAGGCTTGTGTGTGTGTGTGTGTGTTCAATGGCCAGTGCTTGGCTTGCCAGGGTCTGGCTTGCTTCGCCATAAATTCCCTCTGTCTTTTGTCCACCCGCCTCGTCTCTTTCCATCTCGCATCGTCTCGCCATCATCTGGACATCATCATTGAACTCTCATCACAATCCACTCAATCCACACATCGTGCATCATGGCTACCATTGTCCATCCCTCACCTCGCATGGCTCGACTGGACATCGACGACCACAACCCAGACATCTTCACCATCATCTGCTGCAACGACAGCTTCCAACTCGCCCTCGACCACAGCACCATCAAGACCCTGCTCCGAGTGTGCAGGCGTGCCCGACCCCTCCTGAACTCCAAGGTGTCTCGCTTCGACACCTGGTGCCAGAATGCAGGACTCTGTCATCCAGGTGGACAGCTGCGGATTGGCCTCTCACCGAGCGACCAGATCGCTCTCTCGCTGCATTGCGATCAACAAGCCACAGCCGACCGATCCTGGCTCATCGAACAAGCGAACCGGGGCAATACTCCTGCCTCTTACTTCCTGGCAAAGATCCTCCAAATCGACCTCAATAGCGATCGCATTGACACGTCCGAGCGGCAAGCCATCCACCAACAAATCTTCCGCCTTCTGGAGAACGCATCCAACACAAACCACACGATGGCACAGTTCCACTTGGCCGAGTGCTACCGCAACGGACTCGGTGTCGACCAAGATCACGCAAAGGCTGTCGAGTTGTACCGCAGTCTGGCAGATCGTGGAATCCCTCAGGCCCAAGTTGCCCTCGGCCGATGCTATGAGACCGGCGAAGGAGTCGAACAAGATTACAACACAACCATCGAGTGGTATTCCAAGGCCGCAGATCAAGGCAGCGAAGACGGTCGACTCCACATCGTGTTCCTCCGTGGATGGTTCTCGTTCATCGGCCATGGTGTCGAACAGAGCGATGAAACTGCCTTCAACTACTGGCATGAAGTCAGCACCCAATCCACCGACCCAGTCATCAAGCCCATTGCCACGCACATGGTCGGATGGATGCACTACCTCGGTCGGGGTACCGTGCGCGACGAGCAGAAAGGTTTCAAGATCATCCGAGACACCAAATCCGATGAGTTCAAGCTTGGAGAGGATGAATGTCTGGCAAAGGACAACTATGCGAATGCCAACTCCAACTCACCCACATCCCGAAAGTTCTTCAATCTCTGCCGGCTGGGATCGGACCGAGACTGGCTGTGTAGACACCTTATGGCTGTGTGTCTGTACCGCGGATTCGGAACCACCCTGGACTGGAAGGAAGCTCCGGACATCTTTGAGCAGCTCGCCGACGACGGTCACAGCGACAGCCAAGTTTGGTTCGGAACGTGTTACTTGACTGGCTGGGGAGTATCGAAGGACAACAAGAAGGCATTCGAGTGGCTCATCAAGTCGGCCAACCAAGACAACTCGTATGGGCAGTGCTGGGTTGGACAGTGTTACTTCTATGGATACGGAGTCACCAAAGACTACGCCGAGGCAGTCGAGTGGTTCCGCAAGTCGGCCGAACAGGGCAATCGGATCGGACAATATTGGCTCGGTAGCTGCTACCAATCTGGCCGTGGTGTCCCCAAGAACATCGACACCGCCATTTTCTGGTACCGCAAGTCGGCCGACCAGGGTTCCGATTGGGCCATCCGTCTCCTCGAGCAACTCGGCAAGTGGCCCTGATTCCCGAGTTCCTCCGAGCGCAACTCCTAAATAACCAAGCCGCAACACTGAACAAGCAAGCAGCCAAGCAAACCGCACCGCCAACACCCACCCCAAACACCATGATACTAAGGAGTGGACTTGCAAAGTGATTCCGATGAAGCGGCAATGGCCGAGTGATGTTGTATTTGACATCCAATACATCCAATACATCCAATATACAATAGTGTTGTCTCATATCCATCGCTGATGTTGATCGACCGAGAGGAAACATCCGATGACTCGACAAAAACAACTCGACATTCACAATCGATACTCGTTCTGCAACCATAGATGGTGGAAAGAGTTAGCACGACCCAGACCATCCCTCGCCACATGGTAATGAAGAATGCAGGCAGCAAGCCACCAGCCTTCCCCGGCACCAAGACCATCCTCCCTCGACCCGACACCAGGCAGTGTGCCCTGATCAGCATCGATGGACCGACAAAAGGATGGCAAAGGCGACGAATGGCCTGGATCCAAACGAGCATAGGTTCGCCTCTCCAGCCGCCAAAAGAAAGCAACTGACCACACTGCAGCTTTCTGGTCCACCCTCGATCCGACCCAGGGACGCCGCGGCACGCCAGCGTGTGTGGTCAGACCATGCGAGGATGAAACCAGTCCACTGCAGTGCAGCCTGGCGACTGAGAGAGGACTCTTTGGACCCTGAAAGCAAGAAAGACGGAAGTATTAGTGCTGCGTCGCGCTGTCAGCCACACACGAGAGGAGGGATATGCAATGCAGTGTGATGCGATGCAGATGGATACTGGACTCATGGGGGCAATGCGGACCTTAGCTGTATATACCAGACCGGCAGTTCACCCAGAGCTTCCCATGAAACCCTCCGAGGACTGCACCTCGGGCGAGGGAGTGGACGACATCCAGGTCTCGATGCCGAGTCGATTCTTCTTGGTGTTGTGCCACTCAGTATCGGACTTGTGATCACACATGTGCTGGTAGTGACCATTGGAGAAGAGACTGCCTCGTCTTGGTGGCCCGGTGCTTGGATGACCGCCGTGAAGATGGAGCCGACTCCATGATCGATACCAATCCAAGTGATCTTGTCAGGGTCTGGATTGCCGATGTGGGTCTGGATACGCTGCTCGGCAGTCTTGACGGGTGTGGTGGGCTTGGTCCGCCTGGTTCGACGCACAAACTTGACGAGGCCGATGGTGCATCCAATGCCATCGGTGCTGATCTCGTAGTTGAACAGCTTCTTGTCCCTGACCCGCTCTTGGAAGAGGGAGCTACGCAGCTTGAAGCAGCTATTCCAAAGGCGATCCTGGTTGTTGACACCGTCCTCGCCTTGTTCCTTGAGCATGCCCCATGTGAGTCCAAGACGATGTTCGGTGTCAAGGAGTTCCCAGAGAGTGGCCGTGTCGGTCTTGACATACTTGGCCTTGGCGGTGCACAGAGGGACCATTGTGCACACGGCCGGAGGAGTGTCAAGAGCGAGCTGCTTGAGAGCCCAGTTGATCCTGGAGGCCAGCTTGTTGATCTTGGCCTTGGTGGTGCCGAGCTCAGACTTGGCCGTGGCGAATCGCTTGTCGTCGGAGGGAATGCCTCGGGCAGTGAGCCTGTCCAGCTTTTCCTTTTGATTCGGTTCCCGATATCTGCATTTCCACAAGACTACCGGCCATCAGTTCCACAAGCAATCCCACAGTCGGTGAACATGCAAACACATATACCCTGTTGCGATCCCCACCGACTCTCCGGCCCACACGGCGGACCAAGCGGGTGAACACCTCCCCGAGTAATCTCAGGTGATTCGCATGTCTCCACTTCCCAATTGGAGATCCTTTTGCTCTGGCCGTGTTGTTCCACTCCGGGATCTTCTCACGATTACCGTATACCCAGTTGTCATTCCCAAGCCATTCGATAATGCTCTCGGTCGATCAACATCAGCGATCGTTATGGAACAGAACTGTTTTGTATGCTGGATGTATTGGATGTGCTGAATGTCAAATACAACCTCACTCGCCGTCTGCCGCTCTATCGGGCCCACTTTGCGAATCCACAGGTCGATATCGTTGGATTTGGATGAAATTGGGTGGTGCGGTGATTTGGCTGCCCTTGTTGCATTTCAGCGGGGCGACATGATTATTTGGGCGTGGAACTTGGGACGGCATCGGGATCAAGGCCACTTGTTTAACCACTTGAGTTCGTCGATGGCCAAATTGTAACCCTGGTCGGCGGACTTGCGAAGCCAGAAGAGGGCAGTGTCGGTGTCCTGGGGGACACCCCAGCCACACTTGTAACAGGTGCCGAGGTTGTTCTGTCCGTATCGATTGCCCTGTTCGGCCGAATTGCGCCACCACTCGGTCGCCTTGGTGTCGTCCTTGGTGACTCCGTATCCCTTGTAGTAGCAAAAGCCAACCATATTCTGACCGTAAGAATTGCCTTGTTTGGCCGATTTGCTGTACCACTGGAGGGCTTGCTTTCGGTTTCGCCACACTCCCCAACCAAATAAGTAACATTCTCCAAGACAGACCTGGCTGTCGCTGTAACCCTCGTTGGCGAGCTGTTCAAATATGGCCGCTGCCTTTTTCCGGTCCCCGGTGGTTCCGAATCCATGGAACAAACACACAGCCATGATGTGCCTGCACAGCCATTCCTGCTCCGATCCCTGCTGGCACAAATCAAAGAACTTGCGGGCGGCGGATGAGTCGGACGAAGACATGGCCCCAGCTACCAGACATTCGTCCTCCCCAAGGCCGAACACATTGGATTTGTTGTTGCGTATGATCTTGGTGCCCTTTTGCTTGTCCTGCTGGGTACCCCCGGCCGAGGTAGTGCATCCAACCGACCATGTGGGTCGCGATGGGTTTCAGGACAGTGTCAGTTGACTTGGTGCTGACTTCCTGCCAAAGCACGAAGGCACCGCGGTCGTTCTTGGCCATCCCCTCGCCCAGGAATGTGAGCCAGGCCAGCTGGAAGGATGCTTCGAGGCTGCCGCGGTCGGCAGCGGCCCTGTAGAGCTGGGCGGCGAGCTTCCAATCTTGGTGGCGGACAGGGAGACCCACTGAGACCAACTTGGCAGCATCGAGACAGGCATCGGGATCACCTTGCTTGGCGCGGGAGACGATGGAGGTAGGGAGACGATGGAGGTAGGGAGACGAGTGGCCGATTCGATGCCGTCAAACTTGAGCTCGTCGGGTTGACTGGACTGGGACGGGGGCTGGCTGTTCACGCTGAGAGTGGTGAAATGACCAACAACCTGACTGACAGGAGGGGTCTTGGCGGCGGCGGGAGTGGGAATGGCAGGGACAGTAGCTCGGTTGTGTGGCTGGAGGACGGCAAGGATGTCGGGGAAGGCAGGACGGGCGGCGGGATCTTGGGCCCAGCAGCGTTTGATGAGGGCCCAGATATCGTCGGGGATGCCATCGAGACGCTTGGGGCGCTTGCCGTTGCATGAAATGCGTTCAATAGCTCGGTTGAGCATGGCTTGTCCGTTGTTGGTGACCCAGACGGGTTTGGCATCGTTGAGGACCTCATACATTGTGATGGCGAAGGCGTAGACGTCGGTCTTCATGGTGGATCCGCTGGGATCATCGTCGTCCAGCATCTCGGGTGCAATGTAACCGTCGGTACCGCCGGTCGGGCCCATGGATCGGTTGCGGTCCAGCGAGGCAGAGGTGTGCTTGGTGCGGGACATGCCAAAGTCGGTGACGACGGCGTTGTTCAAGCCGTCCAGGAGGATGTTCAGGGCCTTGAGATCGCCGTGGATGATGCGGCGGCGGGAATGGAGGTATGCCAGAGCCGATGCAGCTTGGAAGAGGAGACGGAGCTTCTCCTCGAGTGGGACATTGTTGTTGGCAACATGGTTGCGAAGGGTGCCGTTGGGCATGAACGGCGAGACCATGAAGGGAGGAATCGGGTTGCCGTCATCGTCTTTGTCGCAGGCACCGAGCAGGGGGAGGATGTGTGGGTGGCTGAGCTGCTTCCAGATATCGATCTCATGGTTGTAGTCAGCGAGCTCCCGGTTGTTGTAGTTTCCAAGGAGCTGCTTGATGGCGACCTTGGAGCCAAAGTATGTGCCAGTGAAGACCTCGCCAAAGCCACCGCGGCCGATGGGGTTGGCTGAGCGGTCGGTGATGTCCCTGGGCGATATGTACCAGGACGGACGCTCGGGAGCGGGGCGGATAATGGCTCTGCTTGCCATGTTGCGAGGTATGGATGCTGGAAGGAGTGAAGGAGTGAAGGAGTGAAGGGGTGAAGGAGTGAAGGAGTGAAGGGGTGATGGAGTGAAGGAGTGAAGGGGTGATGGAGTGATGGAGCGATGGAGTGATGGAATGATGGAGCATGAGCAAGAACTCTGATGACACACATTGGTTGGCTGGCACACTCGATCCACGGATCCAGCCATGTTCCTGGTTTGGTGACTGTGCCACTCTCGTTCCATTCCACCCATCTCGTCTCATCTCGTCTCATCTCATATCATCTCCTCAGCATCATCATTGCACTCTCATCCCAATCCACTCAATCCACACATCGAACATCATGGCTACCATTGTCCATCCCTCACCTCGCATGGCTCGACTGGCCATCGACGAATACAACCCAGACATCGTCACCATCATCTGCTGCAACGACAGCTTCCAACTCGCCCTCGACCACAGCACCATCAAGATCCTGCTCCGAGTGTGCAAACGAGTCCGTTCTCTCCTGAGCTCCAAGCTGCCTCGCTTCCTCACCTGGTGCCAGAATACAGGACTGTGTCATTCAGATGGACAGGTGCGAATCGGTCTCACACCGAGCGACCAGATCGCCCTCTCGCTGCATTGCAAGGATCAAAACACAGCCGACCGATCCTGGCTCATCGAACAAGCCGACCAAGGAGCGCCTTTGCATCGTACTTCCTGGCCCGGGTGATGCAAGTTGATATATACCAAGAAGAAGACGACGATGAGCTTGCGGAGAATACCCAGCACCAGCTGATATTTCCGTATCTGATCAAGGCCACTGAAACTATGCATCCAATGGCACACTTCCACCTGGCCGAGTGCTATCGCAAAGGGCTTGGAGTTGACCAAGACCACACCAAGGCTGTCGAGTTGTACCGCAGTCTGGCAGATCGTGGAATCCCTCAAGCTCAAATCGCTCTCGGTCGATGCTTCGAGAGCGGCGAAGGTGTCGACCAAGACTTTGACTCAGCCATCGAGTGGTATTCCAAGGCTGCAGATCAAGGATATGACGATATCCGCATTGCATTCCTTCGTGGCTGGTTCTCGTTCATCGGCCATCGTGCCGAACAGAGCGACGACGATGCACTCAACTACTGGCATGAAGTTAGCACCCAATCCACCGATCCAGTCATCAAACCGATTGCCACCCACATGGTCGGATGGATGCACTACCTTGGCCGGGGTACACCTCTTGACAAACAGAAGGGCACCAAGATCATCCGCGACAACAAATCGGACGAGTTCCTATTTGGAGAGGACGAAACGCTAGCAGCCTTTGTATTCTCCCAATCCGATTCGATCGAATCCCGCAAGTTCTTTGGGCTGTGTCAGCTGGGATCGGACCGTGACTGGCTCTGCAGCCATCTCATGGCTGTGTGTTTGATCCATGGATTCGGAACCACCCGAGATCAGAATAAGGCAGTGGGCATCTTTGAGCAACTTGCCAACGAAGAGCACAGCGACTCAGAGTTCTGGCAGGCCAATTGCCATCAATTTGGCTGGGGAGTATCGAAGGACAAACAGAAGGCATTCGAGTGGTTCAGCAAATCGGCTGGCCAAGGGAACTCGTACGGACAGTTTATGGTTGGAGACTGCTACTTCGATGTGCGCTACGGACACACCAAGGACCACACCAAAGCAGCCGAGTGGTTCCGCAAGTCAGCCGAACAGGGCAATCGATCCGCACAAAATTATCTCGCCATCTGCTACTTGTATGGCCATGGCGTCCCTCAGGACATTGACACCGCCGTCTTCTGGTTCCGAAAGTCTGCTGACCAGGGATGGCAAGGTGCCATTGACAAACTCACGCAACTCGAAGTGTGGCTCTGATTCCCGAGTTCCTCCCGTTTTCCACACCAAAAAAATCTCGCTCCAACACCGAACTTCCAAATCCAATACCTCCAATACTTTCAATAGTTCTAATACTTCCAAATCCAATCCAATACTTCCAATACTTTCATTACATCTCATATGCAAACCACTGCTGTTCCATACTGTTGGTCCAGATCATATCGGGGCGGTATATATTTTTTTTTCGTTTACGATAGTTGTATTGATTCGAGACAACAAGCCATCAGTACCATGCGGTACCCGGCAGTGGGCGTACAAGCAGGCTCACACACCCCTGTTGCGGCCTTCGCCGACTCTCCAGCCCACATGGCGTTCTCGATGCTGCCACTGATGGTCGCCGGCGCTTGTCCCATCGGCATGGGCTTGGTGGCCTGTGTCGTGTGAGGACCTCCATTCACTACGCTCTCATGTGCATTCTGTCAGGCGACCCGGGTTGCTTGCGGAGCTGCAATAAGCAGCCAGAAATCCATGCCCCATGATCAACATCCTGTCTGCATTCGAGCAACATCCCGTCGCTCCAGTCCATCTTCGCCATCCTTCCCAGTCCCGACGTTGCCTTCGCCCTCAACTGCGTCTTTCGGCCAGACTCACTCCAGCTCTGGCAGTCGACTTGCATTCCCAATCTGTCCCGCCGTTCGCACGTGATGGATGGCCGCCTGTTTGGTCACGCTGTCGACCCTGTCCGTTCGAATGGTTGTTTGGTCGTCAAAGCACATGCCAAACATCTGTCGTCTCCGCTTTTCCGTTCTTCCCAAGGCCGTATTTCAGCCCTGGCATCGCCCGCCTCCCGCCCAGCATTTGCATCCGCATCCCAACGAACCTGACCCGGCGATCGCCTCTTTTGAATCGAGACCTCGTCCTATCCCCCCCTGCCTTTCTTCTCTGCAAGCGCTAACATGAAGACCTTCACTCGCGAAGAAGTCGCCCGTCACAACACGCCCCAGTCGGCCTACATCATCATCGACTCGCGTGTCTATGACATCACCCGGTTCGCTGCCTTGCATCCTGGCGGCGAGCAGCTCCTCCTCGATCTGGCCGGCAAGGATGTCACCGGTATAGACACGGGCCCCGCGATTGCAATCGCATCGCCTGTCGCCATGGAGGAGCGTGCAGTTGCACTTGCCCCCCATGTCTGTCTGCCTGCCAGAACTGCATAGAGTGACCAACGATCTATGACCTGTCGCTAGGTGACTTTTACGGACTCCATTCCCAGCAAGTCCTCCACAAATACGCCCCCAGAGTATGCAACGCCCAATGCAGTCATCTCCCGTGCCTTGCTCCAGCCTGCGTGCTTGCCTCGCCAAGGCCAGCCAAGTCTTTGCCCGTCTGGCCGAGCGACAACTCGACCCCGCCGCTTCTGTCTGCTGTCGATGCAAACGACACCCGCAGCCCCCACTGATTGACTTGCCTTGGGGGAACGACCCTATCTTATTTCATCTGATCTAGCTCTTGATTGGCTCCATCGAAGGCGAAAACTTTGTGGACGTGGTAAGCAACGCAGCTTTGGCCCAGCGTGCAGTCCAAACTGTGCGCAATTTGCCCAGTGGATGCCGATCGCCCAGTGGATGCCAATCGCCCTGTGGGTGCCAATCGCCCACGCTGTCGCTGTTTCTTTCTGACTTTCTGCCTCCGCGTATCGCTGCATAGGCTGCGGACGCCATCGTGCCCTTCCCTTACGCCGAGAGCAACTTTTGGTTCGGCCACAAGTCGCCCTACTACAAGTACGAGTGGCTGTGTCTATCGCATGCTGGACTGTTCTGTCTGGAATGGCCAGTGCCTTCCAGGATGTGTCGCTTGGGGGCGCTCGATCCAGGCTGGGGTGCCCCAGATGGTGGTGCGCAATGCTGCCTGTTCGCCGCCTCACCCGCTGGCATGCTCGCCTGTTGCCATCAATCATCCACACAGAGAGTCGCACGTCCGCTTCCGTCAGGCCCTCCGCAGCTGGCTGGTCAAGGAGATTGTTCCCGATGCTGCTTCTCAAGATGATCTTGGCGTAAGTCGAAGGAAGGGGAGAGACTGACGTGGGAGGACTGACGTGGAAGTCGGGCGAGCAAGACTTGGGTGTCCAGACGGCTCAGACGGGACACCGATAAGAGCAACGCACTCACCAGCGACCCATCTCGCCCGGCATGACGTTCATCGCGTATTCGAATGCACGGCAATCCAACTCGATGCACCGCAATTCACTCTGGCGTGCGACAATCGATCGCAATCCTCTGCAATTCAATGCTGCGACACAACAGAAAGCTCCCAGCCCTGAGCTGTACCAAAAGTTTGTCAACTTTGGCGCCATCGTCATGGCCCTGGGCCCTGGCCCGCACCTCAAGGGATATAACCTGCCTGGCGGAGTCAAGCCCGAAGAGTTTGACTACTTCCACGAAATGATCTGGCACGAGGAAACATCTCGACTTGGCCACTTTGGATACATTACCGGATTTGCCTCTGGCACGGTCAGTTCCGAGAGTCCGCAGGCATTCGTAGCAGCATATCAAGGGACTCGACAATGTGCTCCATGAAACTCAACGCACATCTTCCGAACTGACACACGTTTGATTTGCGTGTCGTTCAGGTCATTGGCCTCCCTCCCCTCATCAACTTTGGAAAGAACCACCCTGTCGCCCAGAGAATGCTTGGCGAGGTCCTGAGCGGCAAGAAACGCATCTGTCTGGCGATCACGGAGCCGTACGCCGGCAGCGATGTTGCCCAGATCCGAACCACGGCCGTCAAGAGCCCTTGTGGAAAGTTCTACATTGTCAACGGTGTCAAGAAGTGGATCACCAACGGTGAGTCGGGACCACGCTGTTCTCTTTGTGGTGGAGGAAGTGGTGGCGACGACGGAAGTGGAGGGAGGAAGCAATCTACTTCAGAACAACGATTGCCTGGCCAATCGGCAGCAGACCGGAAATGCCAGCACTGCGGCAGTTGGCTACTTTGATTGCTGATCCCTGTCCCTGTTGCCCTTGCAGGTTGCTACTGCGACTATTTCACCACCGCTGTGCGCACGGGTGGCCCTGGCATGGGTGGCATCTCTGTTCTGCTCATCGAACGAACTGAGGGCGTTCAGACCAAGCACATCAAGACCTCGTACTCGGCCTCGGCCGGCACGGCCTATGTCATCTTTGAGAACGTCAAGGTCCCCGTCGAGAACTTGCTTGGCAAGGAGAACCATGGTTTCCCGATTGTCATGTCCAACTTTAACCACGAACGCTGGGTCATGATCTGCTCCACGGTGCGTCAGTGCCGCAAGGCGATCGAGGACTGCATGAAGTGGGCCAACCAACGAGTCGCCTTTGACAAGAAGCTGATCGAGCAGCCCGTCATCCGCTTCAAGCTGGCCGGCATGGTACGTTGTCCTCACGCGCAACGATCCAGTTTTCCGAGAGCTCACTGGGTTGGGGAAGCCGTGCCACTGACGTATGGGAGGGAGCAAAACGCTGCTCGGTAGCGTTCAGTGACGAGCAGCAGACACCTCCGACCATCCCACCGAGGACCAATCAGGGCTGGTAAAAGTGTGCGGGACTATCGCCAGCACTGACCCTTCTACACGTCTCGTGCCTGGCTCTCCATTTTGGTGAGCAGATCTCCGAGGTCGAGAGCATCCAGAACTGGCTCGAGAACGTCACCTATCAAATGAACAACATGAGCTACAAGGAGCAGTCCGATAAGCTTGCCGGTCCGATTGCACTCCTCAAGTTCCAGGCCACCCGCGTTGCCACCAAGGTCTCGGACAATGCCTGCCAGATCTTTGGTGGCCGTGCGATCACCAAGACGGGCATGGGAAGCTTTATCGAAGGCTTCCAGAGGTATGTTTGGTGTGCTCGAGGGGGCAGCAGCGGAAGGAATGGCCGAGGCTGGCTTCGTCGGCGACCTGATCCATGAGAGCACTGCTGTTTGCATCCCCGATTGACTCGTTTGCATATCCATCTGTCCAATCCGCGGTCTTTAGAACATTCAAGTTCCAGTCGTAAGTACTTTGGGCAAGTCGGATGAGAGCGTCGCTGTAAACAGTCGGCTGGCGAGTCTTGCCCAATGTTTGGGTGTCCGGATGTTCGATGTTTGGGTGTCTGGGTGCCCGATGTTTGGCTGCCCGATGCTCAATGCCCGATGCTAACGCTGCCGCTCTTGGCGCTGCAACAGCATCCTTGGTGGTTCTGAGGAAGTCCTGGCTGACCTTGGTGTCCGCCAAGCCATGGTGAGTATGCTGCCTCGCGTTTGGACGAGGTGACCGGGGGCATACTGTGGAGTGACATGTTGTAACAGGATACAAAGTGACATGTTGCACGATGCTTTTTGTGGCTAACGCCATCGTTTCCGAACCCGACAGCGCTCCATGCCCCAGCACGCCAAGCTCTAAACGGGCCAGCACCCCAGTCGTTTTGCATCCCCAATACAGTTGCGTTGGTTCCAAGAGCGAGCCACCATCGACCAAGCTGTTGCCGTCGCATATGTGTGTTGCAGTGGCGGAGCTGGGCTCAGAGCTGGTGTGCATGGAATCGTCGGTCTGGCGATGGGCTGAAGACCGAATTCGCATGCTTCCGAGGCGAGCCTGCATCACACGCTGTCCGTCGCCTTGCATCGCATCTTGCATCCGGCGTCTTGTGCAGAAAAGCAGCCGCGCAGGGCCAGTCCCCACCCACGCTTTCTCGCATCCGTCCTTTGCGGTGGCACCGTCTTGTTGCGCCGGAGCAAGTCTTCTTGCCGATGTGGCTCGGCCTGCAAAGGGCCCTGAAGCAGCCACGCCACTAAGCACCAAGGCGAGAAAGGCCAGCCCGACAAGGCGCCCTCGACGGGCACAGTGGCAGCCGCGACGGCCTTTGGGATCAGCACCGATGCGATAACGATGTCTGAGCCGCCGAGCAGCGGGCTGCTGTGTCGGTCTTGTCGGTCTTGTCGGTCTTACTGCTTTGCTCGCTTGCTCGGCCTTGCTCGGCCTTGCTGGCTTGCTCGGCTTGCTCCTGCAAACCCTCCCCCCTCCCTCGTCCGCCCCAGCCCACCCTTCAGCATCAAATTCAAGCTTGCGCGGTGGGAAAGACATCCTCCACCGACCTAGCCGCCGGCCAACGCAGCGTTCGCACGGTCGGCCAGCAGTCGCCTCTTGCGGCCTCGGACACCGGTCGTCGCTCTCTCCACCATCTCCACCGTCACTGTTGTCTCTGCCGTCGCCGCTGTCTTCGTTTGCAAGAACATCATCAGTGCCGCACTCGATCTGCAATGCCTCTGGACGCTTCCCAACCGCGGCTCTCTCGGTTACTCCCCTCGGCTCCTGAACCCACAGCGATTCCAGCACCGCCAGCTACCGCACTCATCCTGCGGATGGGTGCAATTGCGGCGCTGTTGCTCGGAATGTCGTCGAGTCTGTCGGTGCATGCACAGGGACACCGGCCATACGGACTGGCTCTGGCCGGCCCACCAGCATCAGCTTTGCTGCCGATATCGTCGATGGCCCTGCTGCCATCGCCATCGCCATCGCCATCGCCATCGCCATCGCCATCGCCTGCTCGGTCTCACTCGGCGCCGCTGCACAGTCCCCAAGTATACCCCGCTTCCAAGAACACCGACTTTATCTCGACCTCGGGCTCCTTCCAGACGCTGTCGCCGTCACCTTGGAGAGACGCCGCCGCCGCCATCGCCGGAGTTGTCGGTGTCCTGACTGTGGTCTTCTTCGTGGGGCTGACGGCTCTGTTCATTCGCCGGGCCAGTGAGCCGTCGCCGCCGTTGCGGGATGTCCACAGCAATCCCTTTGATCTTGGCGATCCCGTCGGTCGACTCCCGCATCACCGGACCCAGCGCCTCGGCCAGCGTCCCGGTGCCGACCTCGAAGCCTCCCCTCTGCAACCGAATGGCCTCAGCAACCGCTCGTCGTCGCTGGTGGCCGCCCGCATCCAGAGGCAGCAGCAGCGGCACTGGCCCGTTTCGCAGCTGCGGCTCCAGGCCGAGGAAGCATTCGCATCGCTGCAACACCCTGGCTCGCCTTTGGCTGGAAACGCCGTCCCCTCCGAGTCCAATTCGCAATGGGTGCCGCCCCGCAGCCCCACATCTCTGTTCCCTGCCCGGACGATATCGCCGCCCCTGCATAGCGGCGAGCTGCCCGATTCTCATCGGCCGGCCCGTCGGCGCACCCTCGATCTGGGACCGGCTGAATCGCGTCCAGACTCGAGCCTCGCTGGACGGCTCCGCGGGCTCGCCAACGAGATCCTGGAGCGCGAGCGCGAAGACCATGCCGAATACCAGGACTACATTTTGCAATCGATCCGGTACCGCGAGCAGTGGCGGCTGCACGAGCAGCGAGTGCTGCGATGGCTCGGCCTTGGGCCCTCCGAGCAGCCGTCGGCGGCAGCCGTCCGCATCAAGGACGACTATCTCCTCTGGGTCATGGAGCAACCCGATCACCAGCGATACAGCTGCATCAGCGAGGGCGACTGCCGCAAAGAGTACGACTACTGGCTGGCACAGTATCGGTGCTCCTCCGTCTCGCCCCGAGCTTCAAACCTCGATTCGGGCAAGCTGCCTCAGGCACCTCGACACTTGGACCACGACGACGTCACTGCCACTGCAACATCAACAACAACAGCAGCAGCAGCAGCAGTACCGGCAGCGGCACTGGTGACCTCTCCCGATTCGTTCCCACTCGAAGTCATCTATCCATCGCTCGACCGCCGCTCGTCGGGCGAGCTGACCCTGTTCCGGACTCGCCGGTTCAGCGAAGATGAGGGCCGGAAGACTCGCAGAAAGCGAAGCGCCGCTACAATCGACGGCCGAGCCCCCTTGCAGCCCCGGTCGGCTAGGATTGAGACAACCCCGAAACACTTGGATGATGCCGGAGATCCTTCCCGCAACGACGCCGGAGGTCCTTCTCATAGCAACTCCCATCCGGGCCAAGGCGAGGCTTGTGCTGGTCGCAGCAACCGCGGTGCCGGCCCTGGCTTTGATCATTTAGAAACGGCAGAGGATATCTACGATGCAGCGGTCCTGTCGATGTACCGCAAATAGAGCCGCATCGATGCTCTGGTTTGTGCGGGGGCCATAACTGTAGCCGGGCCATATCGAAACAGGACGTTCGACCGAGTGTGCGATATGATCCACCTACGGCAGGTTGTTGTTCAAAAGAAATAGAGTGCCCCGTTCTTTTCAACATCATACACCCGGCGATCGGCCTGCTTCGGCTAAGCATCGTGAGGGGTCGTCGATGCTGGGATTGCAATCCACCGCCGCAGCACCAATGCAGCCAGACCCATGAACGTCATGTGTCGCCACCGCAATCCGCAAGCATGACCCCATGCCCATTCGCCGGACAGCATCGTCAGCAACCGCTCGATCTCTTCCCTCTTGTTTCGTCTTGCCAGAATCCAGAAACCAGAAACCCTTGCTCTGCTCGTCCATCTCAGCCATGTCTATCGTCATCCTCGGAGCAGGCGTCGTCGGCCTGAGCGCCGCAGTGTGAGCAGCCCTGTCGTCGTCCTGCACACATGCTTCACTCGCCGACGCCGCTATCGCTGGACAGTCGCTTATCCATCGTCTAGTCTGCTTCAGTCGCAGTATCCCGACCGCAAAATCACCATCCTGACCAAGGTCCATCCTGCTGGAGACCTGAGCGCTGTCAACGACGAGGACTATGCCAGCAACAAGGCCGGTGCTGTCTGGTCGACCTCGGCCGACGACCAATATCCCCATGTTCGAGGTGGGAAGGCGGGCCGGAAACGAGCGGGAAGGAGAGTCTGTCCTGGACTTGCATCCCCTACAAGCAGCGCCGTCGCTGCTCTTCCGCACCTTCCTCTGCAGCTCGCTCACGCACCTTCCTCTGCGTCGCTCTGTCTCGTCTCGCCTTGCGCAACGCTGCTCGACGCAGGCTTCTGCGAAGCGACATACCATGCGCTTTGGCAGCTCGCCCGTCGCCCCGAGCTCGCGATCATGCGAATCTCCACCTACGAACTCAAGCCTGAACGTCCCGAGGGCTGGACACCTCCATATGTGTCTGCCTTTGCCCACGACGTAAGCCCCATCGGCACCCCGTCTCGTTGACAGCATACTCATGGGGCCAGGATGCTAATCTCCTCCTCGCCACCACGATTGCCGCGTTGTAGTTTAGGATTGTCGACCGAGAGCCACTCTTTGGCAGCGGCAGCTACTTTGGCGTCCACTACAAGACCACCACCGTCAATGTCGGCAAATACCTCAAGGTCCTGGCGGATCTGTTCGTGAGCCGAGGCGGCCACATTGTCGTGAGGGGCGTCCGCCATATCGACGAAGCCCTCGATTACGACGAGGATGTCCGAGTCGTAATCAACTGCACCGGATACGGTGAGCAGCTGCTGTCGCTGTTGCCTGGACCTGCCTAGGGCTGGGCTTCGGATGGTGTCCTGGGGGGAGAAACCGATGCAATCTCTGGGCTGTGAACTCGCATACCGGGCTCGGTCCGCCTTCCAGGAATGCTGAGCGGGCAAACCACCGTCTCGCATATCACAGGCGCACATTTCCTGGGTGGAGTCGACGACCAGAACGTCTATCCGATCCGCGGCCAAATCGTCCTCGTCAAGGCACCTTGGGTCTGCATGCGGATCTCGATGGGATGGGGCCCCAGTGAGTAGTCCCTGTCGCTAGTGCTGGTGCTGGTGCTGGTGCTGGTGCTGGTGCTGGTGCTGGTGCTGGTGCTGGTGCTGGTGCTGTCGTCATGATCACCGTTGTCGCTTTCGCTGCCGTCATCAACCGCATCGATCGCTCGCTGAACCACCTTGTTGCGCTTGAACCAGAGGCCATGACGTACATGATCCCGCGCGAAGACGGCACCCTCATTCTCGGTGGCACCTACGAAGCCAACGAACGGTAAGCAGCGCATCTCAGAGTCTGGCGGTGGATGGGAAACCGCTGCTCGACAGCCGTGGCAATGTATGGTCCCTGATCAAGCCCCGCCCATGCAGCGACATCCAACCAAACCCCCGCACAGCCGATGCCATCATCGAGCGCTGCAAGGTCCTCTATCCCGAGCTCGTTCCGGCCGACGGCAGCCAGCTGGACATTATCACGACCGTCGCGGGACTTCGGCCCGCCAGAAAGGGCGGCGTCCGGGTCGAGGGTGAAACCATTGGTATGGGCGATTCTCAAGTTGTCGATATGCAGCTGTACTGCCTGCAAAGCGGCAAAGTATACCTGACTTGCTCCGAACCCAACCACATCTAACCACTTCTGCATGGAATCGTTCCTCACCACATTCCGAATCCAGTGCGCAACGAACGCTCTATCCTCCTGGTCCACAACTACGGCCATGGAGGCTACGGTGAGTCCGAAGCCCCAGCCGAGAAGCCGTCGTTCACGGCTATACAAGGGGCGGATACTGATCCCCGATGTCGTCTTGATACAGGATTTGTCGCAAGCTGGGGATGCGCCGACCGAGTCTACCAGCTCGTCGAGGAGTTCTTGCACAGCCGCCGCATCGAAGGGGCCGGATCCTCCCTCGCAGGGTTCTTGGAGCGGGTCGAGGGCATCTTTGACAACGCCTCGCAGGAATAGCCAAATGTCCAGAATGACTGGGTGGCGACCGGGGCCTGCAGGTCGCTATCTTGTTTCGCTCTGAACACCGTGGTTGTGGCCGACTTGCATGCCACGACTATTCTGCCGGGGCGTTGATGTTGATATTATGCTGGCGTTGCGATCTTGAGATCATGGACGGTTTGAGCCCACACGAAACATCACATGCATGTCGCCATGATTGTTGTTGTTGGTGGTGGTGGGGGAATGTCGGTTGGCAAGACCAAATCGTGCAAGTGTCCCCACCAGTATGTTGTTCGCCACCGGCGTGTTGTTCGCCACCACCTTGGTCTCAGCATGTCCCGTATCGATGATGCCCATGCAATCCATGCTGTCCATGTCGTCCATGCCGTCCTGCCTTGCTCTCGCGGCTTGGCCCTGCTTGCAGACCCGCAAGCCACGCTGGACCCGCCCCCTCGGCCGCGGTCTTGAGACTGCCGTCCCCCACCACCTCAATCGCACAACCCCGCCTGCTTGCTTTCCAATCTGCTTCGACTGCCAGAGCTATAAATCCAGGGGCCCGTCGTTCCGTCTGAGGTCAGCCATCGCACCGTGTCTGCCTCTTCACATCTCCACTCCCTCCCTCTCTCCAACTCCCACTCCTCCACCATGACCATCCAGAAGAAGCTTGCCTGGGCCACCCTTGTCACCGCCGACGACTATGTCATCGGCGCTAAGGTCCTTCGCCACAGCCTCTCCAAGGTCGGCTCGCCCTACCCACTCGTCATCATGTACAGCGAAAGCGTCTCGCCTGAGGGCGTCCGCTCCCTCGCCGGCCTCGACAATGTCATCCTGCGTCTCGTCACGCCCCTGCTTGCCCAGCCTCACCAAAAGGTCAACTACGCCTTTGAGCGCTTCAAGGAGGTGTGGTCCAAGATGAAGGCCTGGGAGCTCACCGACTTTGAAGTCGTCACCTTCCTGGACTCGGACATGCTCGTCCTCCAGAACATGGACGAGCTCTTTGACCTGCTCCCCGAGGACAAGCAGCTGGTTGCCTCGGCCGGCTGCTGCTGCAACCCGATGAAGTTTGCTCACTACCCGAAGCACTGGATCCCCGAGAACTGCCCGATGCCCAAGCCCCTCGCCGATCAGCGTTACTTCAACTCGGGCATGTTTGTCTTCCGGCCTAGCCTCGAGACCATGGACAGCATCACCGAGCGCTTCCACAGCGAGACCGACCTGACGCGCTTCATGTTTGCGGACCAGGACTTTCTGAATGAGTTCTTTGCCGACTATTCCGCCTCGCCGCTGCGATACAATGCCTTGCGCACGGCCATGGTCCATCACGCCGATCTGTGGGACCCGGCCGACATCAAGAACATCCACTACGTCTTGAGCCCCAAGCCCTGGAAGTACGATCTCGCCGACCCCAAGCATCAGGACGACATCTATTATCCGCTCTTCAAGAGCTGGTGGGATGTCGCAGCCGAATACGAGCCCGACTTTGTCTTCTCGCCCTAAAGCTACCAAGCCTTTAGCAGCTGGACTCGGTCTCCTACACACACTCAGCGCTCCAATTGAATCGAACATTCCCCCTCCTACTCAATACTATACACACAACCGCATACTAGATTTATCGGTACACACGGCAGTTCTGCAACGATTGCGGTTGCTCGAACAGGCAATGTCTGCGGCTCGTTTGAACCAGGCGCTCTCTAGTGCTGCCTTTGCATGATGGACTCAGTGTCTGACGTCGCCCGACACGAACTATCATCGCTCCGCAACCAAACCAGACAGGTCGTGTGAGCTGTCACGATGGGCGGGGATTGCTTTTATCGCACTTTAGAATGAACTGGGGACTCCATGCATTGTAGACGATTTTCACGCCGTATACGTTTTGAATGGCAATACACACGCATCCATCGTCGACAATGACCTGCTCGGGTCGATCAAGGCGGCCCACATGCTGCAACGATGGATAGCGGTTGACGGGCGTCTCTATTCCTGTGATGCAAACAGCAACGAGCACCCGGTCATCTCAGGGTACCTCGTCCTGTCATTGGCGGATGGTAGAGTCGAGATTGCCCTTGTCAAGACGTGCAGGCCCAGGGCGGTCAGATCTTGACCGAGCGGTCAAACATGCCTGCAAACTCCTTCTTCTGCTTCTCCTCGGCCTTCTTCTGCTCCTCCCGTAGTCGGTGCAGCTCCTGGACGACGGCCGAGTCCTTGGGCGACAGCGACAGCGCCTTCCGGAGATCTTCTTCGGCTCGATCCAAGTTGCCTTCGTTGAGCAGCGCAGCGCCGCGTCGATAGTAGGCCTGGCGGGTGGTGATCCGTGCAAGCAAACCAAGCCAAACCAACCGGTGGCGCTTCAGGTAAGATGACCGAGACGGTGCGAGTCCGATATCCACTGCGCATGGCTGGTGGTGGATGGACGGTGCTGGCTGGGTCTGCACCTACCTTGGCATTGTTCTCGTCCATGCTCAGAACCTTGTCGCAGCTTGCAATAACCTTGGTCCAGTTTTGTCGCTTGAAATGGCAGGCTGGTGCAAGATCAACACAGGTGGATCAGCGGGGCGAGCGAATATCGACCATGTCAATCGATAACCACTGGAGAGTCAGCGAGGGCCAATGCACCCAGCCTTCGGACACGCCATCGGCAATGGTACCTGCGATATTCGAGTGACAGGACACTTGAATCTGCGATGGGCAGGATCGCATATGGAACCGTCCCGGCAGCATGACACAGCAAGCCGAACCACCATAGAAGATCAGCGGCCGCACAGTCCAACATCAAACGTTCAAGGTCAAGGTGGTCAGCCAGCCCTCCTCCCAACCCAAGATGTCGGTCCTGCGATCACATACGGCTTCAATTTCGGCGCGGAAGCCGTCGCTGAGCTTCTCCTTGTTGGGCATCAATGCACCATAGCGACCGCTGTCCAGGCCCGTGATGAACAGATTGGCCTGGTGGGGTGGCGGAGGAGCGAGGTTGGTCCGAATAGAGTTTCGATGGAAGGGAAGCAAGTCATGATCAGAGACGAAAAGCGAGCCACCCGACGCAACGACGATTTGCTGTCGCCGAGCAGAGCACAGCCCCCATCTGATCGATGCCGATGGTCGAACGCCGCGGACCGGAACAGCGCAAGCGGGACAACCTCCGCACGACTGGTGGCATACCGTATGGTAGCTTCTGAGGGCTGCATGGCATCGGCCGGCCGGGGTTGGTCCGCACACAGGACAGGCAAGAGTCCGGAATAGTCAGTTCGCCAGCGGATCCAGCGGATCCAGCGGATCCAGCGGGCCAGGCCGCACCTGAATCAGTCGGGGCTGCGATGGGATGAGGCCGAGGGAGCGACGGTCGATTCGGACATCTTACCGCTCTGGATATCGCCGGCCTTGAAGGCCGCATTCCCGGCTTCCTTGTGCTCCTTGGCACGAGCAATCTTGTCTTGGATCGAGAGGGACGAGTCGGCGGTCATGGTTTTGGCTTTGGGGCTGGAACTGGAGCTGGAGCCGGGATCGGATCGGGGAGGATATGGGCTGGCGGAAGAGCGAGTCGGCGACCGAGTGGGGGAGGCAGCGTCTTTGGGCATGGCCGGCAAACGCGGTCTGGGCGAGGCGAGGGAAGCAGATGTGCGAGGAAGGGGCGAGAAGGAGGAATGCCAGGGGGGGTGGCGAAGGACGATGAGATGGGGGATTGTGCGGACCAGGTGGCGACGGCCGAGGAAAGCGGGCGCCGAGCCAGGGGCATCGATCGCAGACGAGGGCCGACCGGGCAATGCGAATCACTCGGGCGACTCGACTCGATTTTCGCAGAGCGGCCGTTGGGCAGTGTTGAATTCTATCGTCAACAGGCCTACAGTCGGTCCAGAAATAAACGGGACAGTTCCTTCCTGGCTTCAGATGTCTGCAGCCTGCCGAACTTCCGTGGGCCCAGTGAGCAAGCCATGGGATTGTTTCCCGTCCTGGTTGGCAATCGAGTGGTTTTGGTTGGTTTGGGAAGCATGGTCTTGAATACACTCGGTCGATCTCCTGTGGCGATGATCGACTGGCATACCGAGATCATGTTCCTTGAGGCATTGATGTCTCGATGTGTGAGTGTGGTGCATTCACTCTGCATAGCTTCATGGTTTCTCGATATCAAGATGCTCGGCCTTCTCGAGTCGCTTGGCTTCCCGACAATGTGAGCACACCTGGGATGTGTTGAACTCGTTCACCGAGCACACATGGATCTTGGAGACGGATCGGTCTGGTGGTCGTCTCTGGTGATGGTGGAATTGCTCAAAGTACTTGGCAAACCTGAGTCTCCTGGGACTGGATGCGTATCCCCTCCCTTGCTTCCACGAAGCATTCCCAAAGGCAATCACCACTTCGGTCTCCTTTGGTGCCTGGCCGATGACTTGCTTGCTTGGCCATGAATGCGATGAGTGGGTGTGTGTATTCAGGTTCCAGAAAAAATACAGTCCTGGTTAGAAACGGGGTGTCCCATTTCATTTTGGAAACGCTGTAAAGGACACTCTATTGTCAAGACAATGTTCCTCGGATTGATATGCCAAACCGCATCTCGCACCGGCCTGATCGACTTGCACTCGATGGTATCGACTTGCGCTAGGTGGCGTCCGCGCGCCGTTCTCGCCCTATCGCCAGCAATCGATGCAGAGAACCCGTTCCTCGTGTCCGTCGTAGCTGAGGTGGATGTTGAGGTGAACGTTGGCGTAGGTGCCGACGTCGACAGTTTGTCGCAGCAGCGGACAGAGGAATAGCGCAATAGAGCAATAGAGCGTCAGGATACGGCCCCGCTGCCGATGCCATGGTGGTTTCGTCTGTCGACCCTCCTCATCCATCCAGTGCGCCGTCCTTTGCCCTCCAACGTCCATGGCATACCTGACACGGGAGCATCCGGAGCAGAACGTTGCATGGCACGAGCAGCATTCCCGGCGACAGCCAGCGCATCCAGGCTGGTCGCAGAAGGAGCATTTCAGCGGCGCTGTCTGCATGGAATGGCGCTCCGGGCAGCTCGGACACTGCACCGACAGGGCTGTCGACCGGCTGCTGCTTCTGGGCATCGCCAGTGGACGAGCGTGGTGCTGCTGCGACGCTTGGTCTCGCTGAGCGTTGATGAGCAGCAACTTGGTTCTCTCTGGCGAGAGAGCAAGAGTCAACACCCATGTCGACTGGCTGTTCCGTCATCGCACTCTGCTGGCCTGTGTCATCCTCTGCCATCGATCCGGCCATCCGATTGATCGATCGATCGATCGATCGGAGCATGCGTGATTCCCAGCGAGCTGCTCGTACCCTGAATCTCCTGGAGATCAGTTTGGTTCTTGTGGTACTTGTGCATGGAGGAGTGGCTCTCGACGGGGCCCATGAACGGGTTCGATCGCCGCTTGCCCAGCGACGACATGGTGAACGCTGAGCGCCTCGGTATCGCCGGATCGCTGCGGTAGACAGAGGCAGAGGCAGACGCAGCCGGCAGCCCGCGAGGATGATCAGCGCAATCAGCCGAGGACACAACCGACCATCACAACCGACCACATTGACAAATGCCGTGGTGCGCTGCGCAGTTCACCTTTCTGGGACAAATGACAAGCCCCCTGTTCGATCTCCAAGGTCGTCAACCCAGCCGGACCTCGCTTCCGCTCTTTCCAGCCAGCCAGCCAGCCCGCATCGAACTGCCGATCTCGAGACGACGGCATCCTCATCCCGCCACCTGGACAGCAGCCCCTTCCGCCCAAGCCTCTCAGACCATCTCCTGCATCTGCGTGCTATCCCAGCCATGGACTCGCACAAGCGCAAGCTCGCGGCCGATGAAGAGCCCGTCGCCGTTTCTGTCTCAGATCCGCTCGCTGGCGTGCCGCTGTCTCCTCCACGCATCCCATTCAACAAGCGCACCAAGAGCGTCGGCAGCGACGGCGGTCATGCCGCTGCGGCCCCGCTTTCCTTTGAGCAGCAGCTCGGAGAGATTTCGAGTGCAGATGACAAATGTACGTGTGCGTCTCGGCCGCTGAGCTCATGATCTGCACGGCCACGCTACGAGATCGCTGTGAGCAGCTCGGTCGCAGGCTCACCAGGCTCTCTGTTTGTCCCGTCGTCTCTTTTCCAGCCGCGAGTTACGAGGATCTGTGGCCACGCCCAGCGCTTCCATCAGCGAATCCAAAATCGGACTCGATCGGTAGGCGGATCTGTCCGGTGGTGCTCTAGGCCAGGCCTCACTGCATCGGCGGAACGGGCACTGATGCTCTGGCCATCGTCATATGCCCCAGTCTTCCAGCAGATCGAGGTCGATGACTACATTGGCCCTGCCCATGCAAGAATTCCTCACAAGGGTATCGGCGACGTCTCTATCATTCGCATGTATGGAGTCACCGAGGTACGCTGGCTGGCCCAATCCAGTTCGTCCTGATACGGGCCTGCTCCGGGACTTGCTGCTTCAACTTCCAGCACAGCTACAACCAACCCAGTGAATGACCCACCCGTTTCCGATCTGACTGCTCGCCTGTCCATTTTACCGCATGCCACAACCAACAAACTACGCCGTGTCGACTCGTTGGCAACAGAACGGAAACAGCGTCATGTGCCATGTGCATGGCTATCTGCCGTACTTTTACGTCAGCGCACCCAAGGGCTTCCAGCAGTCCCACATACCGGCCTTCTTCGAGGCCCTTAATGTAAGCCGCGGCACTTGGAAGATATGCAGCATCTGTGCCGGCAAAGGGCGATTTGCAGGTCTTGTTTCCGCACGTCGTGCGCTGTCATCTCACAACGCCCCTCCCGGACTCAGAACCAACTCAAGAACGAAGGCAGCAAGAAGCCCATTGTTGATGCTCAACTGGTCATGAAGCAGAGTCTCTATCACTTCCAGGGCCTGCAGCTCAAGCCTTACATCCAAGTGACTCTGGCCCAGAAGAGCCAGGTCGCCTCGACGAAAAATATCCTTCACATGATCGTCCCGCCTTTCTGGGAGCTGCAGCGCGGAGGACAGAGGACAGAGGACAGAGGACAGAGGGCAGAGGACAGAGGGCAGAGGACAGAGGGCAGAGGACAGAGGACGGATGGTGTGGGGCAGAGCAGGATGCTTGTTTGCCGATATTATGCCTTGACTTGCGCCGAATCGGCCATCACGAATCCTCGATTCAGGTCTTCAGATCGGCAGCCTTGGGCGATTTAGCTTTGTGGCCTTTGAAAGCAACATGCAGCACCCACTCAAGTTCATGATCGACACCGACGTCCGCGGCGCCAACTGGGTCGAGATCCCCAAGGGCCACTACACTGTCCGCAAGGCCTTTGACTGCCACTCGACGGCCCAGATCGAAATTGACTGCATGTAGGCTGCTTCTCGAGTCGCTTGGTGCGACTAGGGGTGGTGTACATCGCAGATCGTTTTCTCAGAGCAGGAGATATACATCACTTGGTGTCTGTTGCCGATTTGTGGGAGGCGGGTGAGGCACTTCTGGCAATCCAGGTAGTGCTGCCTCTGGTTCGCTTCGCCCCTTAATTCGCGTGTGTTTTGCTGTGGCTGATCAATCCCGTTGTTCATGTGCTCAGGTACGATGAGTTTGTCTCGCACAAACCCGAAGGCGAATGGTCCAAAATCGCCCCTCTCCGCATCCTCAGCTTCGATATCGAGTGCGCGGGCCGCAAGGGTATCTTCCCCGAGCCACAGCACGACTCTGTCATCCAGATCGCCAACATGGTGACAATCCAAGGCAAGTATGCTTGGCGGGCCATGAGCGTGTGCTCTCGCTCGTGTCATTGAGTGGTCCGCTGCGTGCAGCTGCGTTAGCGCTGTGGACCGATCGCCTGACTCTTGTGGATGTCTGCGAACAGGCCAGAAGGAGCCGTTCATTCGAAATGTGTTCACGCTCAAGTCGTGTGCCAACATCATCGGCACGCATATTCTGTCGTTTGAAAACGAAGGCGACATGCTCTTGAAGTGGAGCAAGTTTGTGCAGGAGGTGGGTAGCAGAGCCCGCTGCCTGCGAGTTTATCGGGCTCGGATGGAGGATGATACGCTGAGGCTTTCACAGGCGTCTCTGCGTTCGGAGCCGCTGCTCCACGGAAGCCATATCAAATCGATGGCTTTTGTCTCCCGCCACTGCTTGTTCCCTGACTCTTCGGGTCCCCATCTGCCATCCAGGTCGATCCAGACATCATCACGGGATACAACATCCAAAACTTTGATATACCGTACTTGATCGACCGTGCCAAGACGCTGGGTGTCGCAGATTTCCCGTATATGGGCCGCATCAAAGGTGCGACAGTCTCCTGACGCTCGCCAGAGGCTGCACTTGATGCTTGATCGACTGCCGACTCGCTGAGTCTTCTGGTCGCCGCCTCGCTGACTGCCTTGTATGAATTTCCCTCCCTCCTTCGTCCTGCATATTGTGGCTCAGAAACCAAGACTGTCGTCAGGGACTCGCACTTCCAGTCCAAAGCCCTCGGTGCCCGCGACAACAAGACAACCAATATCCTTTTCATAGATGTGCATGACGATTCGCTGGCTTTCCGGGTGTACTTGCTGGATCGCAGGTTGTTTGGCTGTGTGGTTGTTTGACTTGACTCTGCTGCCGCGTGGCTTGGATCCCTTTACATCTCGAAGGACGACTCCAATTTGATGTTCTTCAGATCGTCCAGCGAGACCACAAGCTCCGATCTTATACGCTCAACTCTGTCTGTGCCCATTTCTTGGGTATGTGCCGGCGTCGCCACGATCTCTGACGATTTGCAACGAACATGTGTCTGGCTGCTGCGGGTCCAGACCCCATGAGCAAAGCTGTGATGGTGCACATGAGCATCTGATGCACACCTGATGCGCATGTCTGTGGCTCATCCACTCACCGGTGCGAGTGCACATCATGTCCACAGCGGAGCAAAAGGAGGATGTGCACTATTCGATCATTACCGATCTGCAGAATGGCAACGACGAAACTCGCCGCCGCCTCGCCGTTTACTGTTTGAAGGTGGGTTGGGCTTGGGACAAGGCACGACGTCTGATTGACCTGGATCGATGCTGAGTCTTTGGCGCCCGGTCGCCAATTCGTCCAACGAGCCTGACATGTGGATTGGGGTACGCGACGAGCTCTGTGCTCCCTTGGTTGACAAGTGTACTGCTCCGTGTAGGATGCCTATCTTCCCCAGCGTCTACTCGACAAACTGATGTGCATCATCAATTACACCGAGATGGCCAGAGTCACGGGCGTGCCTTTCAACTATCTGCTGACCCGTGGACAGCAAATCAAGGTCTTGTCACAGCTCTACCGTAAAGCCAAGGTGGACGACTACATCATTCCACATCTCGAGCCGTACGGTAAGCGAGTCATGTGCCTCCACGCTGCCTTGCCGTGTTTTCGCAATGCTCTGCGCCATCGTTTTCGCTCGCAACATCTGCAGGCTTCACGGCTTACGCCCACGGATATGCATAATGGCACATCAGGAACCGAGGATCAATACGACGGTGCCGTCGTCATCGAGCCCGAACGAGGCTACTACGAGGTCCCCATCGCGACACTGGATTTCACATCTCTGTATCCGTCCATCATGATGGCCCACAACCTGTGCTACTGCACGTACATCGAGAAGCCCGCCGAGGAGCTCAAGCGATACAACCTGACTCAAGACGACATTATCCGAACGCCCTCGGGAGGTGAGTCTGGGACATCGGTGCTGCTGTTTCTCATTGGCGGAGTCGGCATGGCGGTGCGAGTCCTCCGCACCGAGCCACCGATACCATCGAATGCCACATTCGATGAGGCGAATCCATCGGCTTGGCAATGCACTGGTGTGTGAGAATGCTGAGTCCTCTCTCACGCAACCACAGATCACTTTGTGAAGTCGTCGGTTCGCAAGGGCCTGCTGCCCACCATCCTCGAGGATCTCCTGGCGGCTCGTAAGCGAGCCAAAAGCGATATGAAGAAGGAAACCGATCCTTTCAAGCGCGCCGTGCTGGACGGTCGCCAGCTCGCGCTCAAGATCAGCGCCAACTCGGTGTACGGTTTCACCGGCGCCACGATCGGCAAGCTCCCGCTGCTGGCGATCTCGTCGAGTGTGACTGCGTTCGGACGTGACATGATCAACGAAACCAAGAAGGTGAGGAACGTGTGTGTGTGAGTGTGTGCAGATGGGTTGTCGCCTACGGATGGGCCCACTCGCGGGACTGTGCCGCGTGGTTGCCATGGCTTTGCTGGTTGCCTCGCTCAATCTCTCAATCGCGCATTCGTCCATCCGTCCGTCCATCCGTCCGTCCATCCGTTTGATCTGTAATCGGTTGGCTAGCTCGTCGAGGCAAAGTACACCATCCAGAATGGGTACGCCCACGATGCCAAGGTTGTGTATGGCGACACCGACTCTGTCATGGTCAAGTTTGGCGTCGAGACGGTTGGGGAAGCCATGGAGCTCGGTAAGAGGCTGTCGCCTTCGATCAGGAGCAAAGGGAATGGCTGGATTGCGAGACAATGCTCCCGTTCTCAGGCACACGCATAGTAACGCTCATTCCTGTGCGCGGACGTCGGTGTAATTGACGGTATTGGTCGCTCTCGTGGCGTCTTTTGTCCGCAGGCCGCGAGGCTGCCGGCTATGTCACGACTCATTTCATTCGACCCATCAATCTGGACTTTGAGAAGGTCTACTTCCCGTACCTGCTGATCAACAAGAAGCGCTATGCCGGACTCTACTGGACCAAGCCCGAGAAACACGACAAGCTCGATGCGAAGGGAATTGAGGTCAGTCCTGGTCTTGCCGCTGGCGGCTGTGGCTGCTGAGTGGAGCGTGGGAGTTTTGCTGTCAGTTGGTTGGCCATGCCGGAGCGCGGCCATGGGGTCACCAAGCCTCAGAGGCTGGATTACTCACCGTTATCGCCCTCGTGGGACGCTCCGAATGAATGTCTTGCGCTGCTAGACCGTGCGGCGTGACTCTTGCCGCTTGGTCTCGAATGTCATCAACACATGTCTGAACATGCTGCTGATCGATCGCAACAAGGAAAAGGCGGAGGAGTAAGTACTTCTTGCACCGTGTCCCCGCCCCTTCAGAGCCGGTGCGGCGAGTTGCTCAGTTCCATCCAGTTTACTGCACTCGTTCGGCTTACATCTCGAACTCGGCTTTGCGCAGATATGTCAAAAACATCATCTCCGATCTTCTCCAGAACCGCGTCGACATTTCGCAGCTGGTGATCTCGAAGGCCCTTGGAAAAGCCGGTAAGGCAAGAGCGACAGGACGAAGGCTAGCTGCGGGCTGTGTGGCCCACACGACCATGCTAACGCTGAAGGGAAGCGACAGAGGAGTGTTGGCCATGAGTTACTAAACGCCCTTCTGGCACAACCGCCACAACAGAGTACGCCGGCAAACAAGCCCATGCTGAGCTCGCGGAGCGTATGAGAAAGAGAGATGCAGGTAAACGGACGGTCGATGGAGCTGCACGCTTGCTCTGTGATCCAAAGCGCCAAGATGGGCAGAGTGCAAGTGGACACAAGATCGTGTGTTCCAGCGCCATGAGCGAAGACGAATCGCTGAGACTTGTGCTGATCATATTTTTGGTTCTATTGAATGATCGTGGCTGCGGGCTAGGCTCGGCTCCCAGTTTGGGCGACCGTGTCAGCTATGTGATTGTTAAAGGCAGCAAGGGTAAGTGACGGATTTGTCTATTCGCTGGAATGCATGTGTGAGAGAGGGAGAGGGCGATGAGATCTTGCAGAGTCGCTTTGGCTTCTCTGTTGCTGCTGTTGCGACGAATCGGCTGTGCGAGCGCGAGCTGGCCCTTTGGATTCGGCCATGTAGCTCTGGCTCTCAGCGGCTCGGCCTCCTTTGCCTCGATTGCTCTGGTTTGGCCGGTGGTGTACTGTGTCTGACATGCTGCTCTCGACAAACCCTCTACCACAGATGCCGCTGCATATGAGAAGGCCGAGGATCCCATCTTTGTTCTCGAAAACAACCTGCCTATCGACACAAAGTACTACCTGGACAATCAGCTGTCGAAGCCTCTGCTTCGAATCTTCGAGCCGGTCCTGGGCGATCGCGCAACGAGTCTGCTCAGTAAGTGGATGGTCTGATGGACCTGGCGCCGTGTGGATGGGCAAGAGCACTCGACAGGACTGGGCAGCCATGTGGCAATGGAGAGCTCTGGCTGGGACCTGGATGCTGCCCATGGCCGGCCTTGCGAGGACAGTCCTTGTCAGCATTTATCTCGGCAGATTCTAACCCGCTTGCCTGTCTCGCAACCGGTTTCAGCCGGAGATCATACGCGTGTGATTCAAGTGGCGGCCCCCACGACGGGTGTGCTGATGAAGTTTGCGGTGCGCAAGGCCACATGCATGGGCTGCAAGGTTCCGCTCAAGAAAGGAGGTGAGAGCCCTCCTTCGGCCATGGCGCGGGAACCCTTGTGTACTCTGCTCCTCGGTTGCGCTGGCCACGGCAGGACGACATTGGCGAGCGGGATTCCGATACGACAGCACTTCTGACGATATCGTTCGTGGCCCCTCCCGGCGACGGCTGTGATAGAGTCGACGGTTTGCATGCACTGCAAGCCTCGCGAAGCCGAGCTGTACGTTCGACAGGTCGCCACTGTGAACGAGCTCGAGACTCGATTTGCGCGACTGTGGACGCAGTGCCAGCGATGCCAGGGCAGTCTGCACCAAGATGTGATCTGCACCTCGCAGGACTGCCCGATCTTTTACATGCGCAAGAAGGTTCAGAAGGAGATGACCGATGCGAGCAGCGCGATGAAGCGGTGAGCATGCGGGAGGACAGGAGGACCGGAGGGCAGGAGGACAGGAGGACAGGAGGACAGGAGGATAGAGGGACAGGAGGATAGAGGGACAGGAGGACAGGAGGATAGAGGAACAGGAGGATCACTGACTCGGACTTCTGTTGTCACATTGCATTCGGCAGATTCGAATATGTCTGGTGAACGATATCCAGGCGCGAGCGAGCCGTGGTCCTCTGGTGCGCTCGGGATGGTGTAGAGCCACTCGCTTGGCGAATGCTGAATACCAACAAGTGCCGAATGTCGAGAACGGCGGATGCGGAGGGTGTGGAATCATGAATGCGGGGCGCCGGACATGGCGTGCGCAGCCGAGCCAGGCGAGCGGCTGCGCAGGGCGGACGACACGTTTTCGGGCAAGCCCCGTGAGCAGGCACGCACGTGGCACGCGGCGTGGGCGAAACGTGCGGCGGCAAAGGGATCCCACGCGCCCACGGCAAGCGCGGCCAGAGCGAGAAGGACGGCTCGTGCGCTGGGAGGGCGAGGCGGTGCTGGCGATGCCGATGTTACTCGACAGTGTTGGACGACGATGCTGCTGCTGGAGGGATCTGCAGCGCGCGGATGGACGACAGCAGCAGCATCAGCGAATGAATGGGTCGAGCCGAGCAATCCCAGGCAGCGGCGAAAACGTGCTCGGCCCCCCAGCCCAGAGCCAGGACAACAGCGTGAGAGTGTCGCCCGAGCTGTCCATCCGGGCACAGGCGCGGGTGGGCCAGGGGCACGCAACAGGCGACACAGCACATGCCGCATTGCAAGCGATTTCAGCAGATTGCAGCAGATTGCAGCAGATTGCAATGGATTGCAGCATATCGAGGGAGTATGACAGAATGCAAAAAACGGCAGCGGCGTGGTAACAGGGTGTTTGATCCTCAAAAGCAGCTAACACGTTGCTGCACATTCCACAGTCCTGTCTGCTTGCCAGCCCGCCGTGCAGGTCGGCACTTTGCTTTCTTGGCCTGTCTCTCCTTTTTTTTTCTTTGGGGCAAGCAGAGGGCTCAAGGAGCGAGGTGCACAAAGCCTTGGTTTACGCCATGGGCCGCTCGCGAGCCCGCTGCTCCTGGGCATGAGCCCGGAGGTGCCCACGGCCTTCGCGGACGGGAGATGCAGTGCCGATGATGGCGCAGGCCTGGGTGGGCAAGCAGCAGCCCGGGTGTCGACCGACACTGCGGTAACATAATCGGTAACGACAGGATACATTACCATTCAATGCATTTCACACACTATCAATGCATTTCACACACTATCAATGCATTTAACATCATCAAACACATTGCCACACCACGATGGCCCATCACGACGCATCGCCGAGCACATGCAGCCATCGCCTGGCGCAGACGGGGATGTGCGTGTGCCGCCCGCTGTTTGCGGCCCCGGTCTCGACAAGGCGCCGCGAGGCCAAATGCACCGGCCTGCGAGCATCCCACTCGGCCGCTCTGTCCCCCTCCCTCTGGCCTTCTTTCCATCTGCGCATCGTCCGCTCATCCACCCTCGGCTCTGTCCTGATCTGCTCTCCCGCCTCTGTTCCCGCCGCCGGTTGCCCTTCCCGCCGCCGTTAGCTCGCCTGGTGTGTCGTTCGTTCCCGGGGACTCGTTCCCGCACTTGCTATTGTTTGCTGCCTGTGCTCTGTCGTCTCAGCATCGCCTCGTTACCACATCGCTGTGTCATGGCGTTGTCGCAACAATCCACACCATCGGCACACCATCGGCTCATCGCTGCCATGCCATTGCCATATCATTGGCATGTCGTGATCATATCGTCATGATATCATCGTGGCACCATGATATTTTCTCGATAGCATCACCATAGCATCCTTCTACTTCTGCATCTCTTCATCGTATCCACCCAATCGTTCGAGCTTTGCCTGCTCCAGCATGCCATCTTGGCTCTCCGATCCCATGCACTCATCCTCTTGCCGCTGCTCTCTGCATCCAGCCCTGCATCCAGCCCTGCCTCCAAGTCATCCCGTGCTGCTCCTCCCAGCCTCTGTTTGTCGCTCCCAGTGCATCATGTCCGTTACCGAGCCTGACCAGCGACGCAGCTCCATCCAGCTGCCTGGCCTGATCGACACCATCGGTGAGTGCTGCTGCCGGCATGGAACCGGATCGCCAGGGAACCCGCATGGGATTCATGCAATCCCGAGTCAAGTTCTCTGTTCCCTTGTGAGATGGCTGTGCATGACTTGTGGCTCTTCATATCCAGTATCCATTTCATTTCATCCATCACACCACACTACCACACCACACCACTCCACATTGCATCTATCCTGTTGCAGCCACTTGGATAGATGGCGCTCTGCTCTTCGTCGCTCTCTTGGCCCTCGTTCGGCTCTCCCACACCAACTCCACACCAACTCCACACCAACTCCACATCTCCCCGCACCTTGCCTTGCATTTCTTTCTCCTTTATCCCCCCGCTGTGCGTTTGCACCCACCACGTTTTTCGCATGCACCAACCGCCCTGCTCGGCATTGCATCATCGTCGCCGCTGCTCGGCTTTGCTCTGTGGCCCATCCGGCTGGGTGTCAGGGCGGTGTCCCCGTCCGTTCGTGACTGTGCCATGCCTCCCCTTCCTCGCTGCTCAGCCATTGTTCCATATTCACCATTCTGTGTTGCCGTTGATCGTGCATCCTCTTCGCTGCCATGTTGCCGCTGTCTCTTGTCGCATGCCACCCGGCTCGCTTCTGCACCCGCTTACTCTCTCTCCTCTGTTTCTTTGCTCGTCTGTTTCGTTCGTTCCCGTAGAACATCGGCTCTCCTTTGCAAACGACCCCGTCTACCCGCCCAACTACCCCAAGCGCAAGGAATCGTGCTCCGATGCCCTCGATCCCATGATACCCTCGGCCGGCAACTACATCCCGATGCCGCCCAACAAACGACGAGGCTCTATCTCGGATCCAAAGCTCCACAAGCTTTCGTCGCCCTCGTCCGCCCCTCGGCCATACGCCCCTCATCTTTCCGACGACTACTCTGCCGGTGATGTGCCCAACCTCGGCTACTATCCGCGCCGGGACTCGATCTCATCCCTGGGCCTCTCGCCCCTCAACCCCGGCTCGCATCCCTCGTCTGTCCCGGCGGTGAGAATGCTGCCCTCGGCCGAGTCGTTCTCGCCCGCCGGCGACGCCGCCCACTCGGTCCCGTCCTCCCAGTCGCAGGGCCATGCCCATTCGCCTCCTCTGCATCCTCCCGCTGTGCGAATCCACCCTCCCTCCTCGCCACACCACCCGGGCTATGAGCCCTCTCCGCAGCATCGACGCTACTCGATTGACTCGGGTGCCGCCGGTCTTGTGTCCTCCCACTCCCCGGCCGGTCTTCATCCGCATCCCGCCGCTGGGCCGTATCCCCCAGCATATCACTCGTCGCCGGCCTATCCTGCTCCCTACTCGTATCCCTCGCCTCGGGCCCCGTCGTCGGCCATGGATCGTGTCTACAGCCAGCCCTCTGCCCACTCTCCCGGCCTGCCCAACGGTGCCGCCAATCTGGTATCGATCGCTCCCCGGCGAGGCTCCTTTGTGGCCGGGCATGGTGGATCCGACAGCGAGATGTACAAGCACGCCTCCGACTTGGCCGACCGTCACAGACGCGGATCCAGCGGCGGCGCTGCAGCCGGCCCCGAGGACGATAGCGAGGACCAAAACGACAACGATAACGATAACGACAACGATAATGACAACGACAACGAAAACGACGAGACCGATAACCCCCGTAATCCCGAGCTCAAGGTCTCCCACAAGCTTGCCGAGCGCAAGCGACGGAAAGAGCTCAAGAACCTATTTGACGAGCTCAAGGCCACCCTCCCTTCGGACTTGTTTGCCAACCACAAGGCGAGCAAGTGGGAAGTCATCAGCAAGTGTAAGTGGCCGTGTGTTGCCCACCGCATACTGCAGACTCGCTGTTTGGCAGTGGACTGGCCTGGGTTGCGGTCGCCACCCGATCCGCCGGCATGCATAGCATCGCATGCGGAATGCAGCGAGTTGGATCGATTGGATCTGTCAGCTTGGCCCAGTCGAGTATGCATGCGCGAAGCAGTAACCATCGTTCGACAGCGAGCTGCGTGATATAGAAGCGGCCCTCTTCGCGCATCACTCACACATTTGCTTGCACATACCCACACCACTCAATGCCAAATCGCAGCTATCAAGTATATCCGCGAGCTCGAGAAGATCCAGGGAGAGTATTCCAACGTCGTAAAGGAGCGCGACGAGCTCCTGAAGCAGCTCCAGGAAGCCAAAGCCAACCCCTAATAATGTTCCCATGCAATCCATCAGCCCATCCGTGTCATGCTGAGCCGTGACTTGCAGTCTTTCTGCCGAGATTAACCCCTTCTTTGGCTCCTTTGGTCTTCCTCCAACGAACGCCAACTGCCCCCATGCGCCTTTGCCCACCTAATTGTCGCCCTTCCGCACACACACACACACATATACACATGCATCCGATGTCCTTCTTCCCACTCCTCCCTCCCCGGCCCCTACCCCTGCCCATGCTCATGCTGGCCAACCTCGTCTTGGCAAACCAACCAGTTGTGAACCACACAAACTCGCATCAGTACATCGAACTGTTCTTTTCGTTTATCTTTATCATTTTCTTTTTTGAGCAAATCTCACCGACTGTTGCTTTCCCCTCCTCCCCTCTCTCCTCCATGTGTCCATGGCGCCTTTGCTTCGCGTTTCCAGGCTCGCCATGTTTCCGAGTATGCTTGTTCGCCATCGCACCAGCTCCTTCGTCTGGCGCGAGCGCAAGGTATCCGACCCCACTCATCCCACACCCTCATCTGGTTGTGTCTGTTGCCTACTCTCATTCTCGGCTCAGTCTTGCCATCTTCTCCATCTTACCCTCGGGCCAAACACCGATGGGTGGGCATATTTGTACTTGACCCACCTGCTCGCCCACCTAATGATGAACTTGAATCCCACTCCGACCCATCCCCTCACCCACCTCCCTCCACTAGTAACTCCACATCGACCTATTCAGTCCCTTTCCCCCCTGAACGAAATGCCGCTTTCCATCTCAACCCCCTTCGACATTGCCCCGCAATCTCATATGTGTGTTGCAGTTTCTCCTGCCCAGCTTGCTCCTGCCCAGCTTGCTCCTGCCCAGCTTTGCAATAATCCCTCTCACAAAATTAAGCCTTTTCTTTGGAGTTTGTTTCATTTCGCTTCACTTTGCCTCAATTCACTTTGCTTCATTCATTTCATTTGATTGTTTCTTCCCTTCCCGCTTCGCTGTAATCCACGTACGTATCCATTTTGTTGCTGCTCTCCTCTCGGCTCTCGCTGTTTGTTTCATGCCCATCGACTGAGGTATCCAACACAGTTGAACCTTTTCGCAACCGAAACGGCATCGGGCCACCATTGTGTCAGCATGTGCGGGGCGGGATAGGAGGTTGCTCTCGCCCTGTGGGCTTCGTCGCTGCGACGCTATTGGTATTCGATCCTCCTGGGGAGAGTGATGTGTGCTCTGTCGGTGGCCGTTTGTGCACCCAGGCCGCCCACATCCGGCTTCTCCCCCTTCTTCTGCTTGCATCTGCCCTCGGATTCCTCGTCCGCATCTGCCCTCGGATTCCTCGCCTGCTCGCTCGGATCCTTCGCCCCGTTCCTATCCCTTGGGCCGCTGTCGTCGTTGCCCCATTTTCATCACGCATCACTGCGGCTGCTGCAGATAGATCCCTCGCAGACTTTTCCTGACACATCTACATCCCGTCTGTATCCCGTCTGTATCCTCCTCGATTACCACTCCCCTTTCGGCCTGTCGTTTTCCTACCCCCCCCCTTTAGCACCCTCTCCATCCCCTCCATGTCTGCCCTCCCGATCCGCCCACTGCTGATGCAGGCGCTGCAAAAGGCCAGTGATGCCGTGGCCCTCGACACCGAGCTGCAATTCACCGAGGCACTGCTGGCCTATCGCGAAACAATCCTGTACATCGAAACCATCATCTCCAAGGACGATACCGCCATGGCCGAGTACGGCAATGACGAAGACGACCCGGCCCAGCAGAGCAACCCGGCACGGCTCTCGGCCAACGAACGCCAGCGCCTGGTCGAGATCCGGAACCAGTACATCCAGCGTGTCGATGTGCTGCTCTCGAGCCTGCCCTCGGACTATACCGCCGTCTACAACGGCAAGACACTCCAGGCCAGCAAGCGCCTCTCCAAGATGGCAACGGCCACAGCAGCTACAACAGCAACAGCAACAGCAACGGCAACCCCGACGACGGCGAGCCAAGTCGAAGGCGTCGAGCCTGCTGCTGAGCAACCGGCTGCGTCAACGTCAGCGCCTGCCGATGGCCCTCGGCTCGGCCGTGCCCTCTCGCGCAAGAAGACGCAGACCAAGAAGGCAATGCCGTCGATCCCCGACTCGTACGAGTCGGCCTTTGCAATGATGCTGATGGACGACCCCACGCAGGCGGACGACCCGGAGCCCATGCCGACGCTGCCCAGCATCGTCTCGGAGGCGCTCTCGACCCCGACGAGTGCCGAGGCTGCCCCCGTGGACCTGCACAAGGCCTTCTGGGTCTTCCGGCTGCTGCTCAAGACCATGACCTACGGTGGATACGTCACCCCGAGGCTCCATGTGCCCCGGCAGATGTGGTTCCAGTCGGGCATTCGCCTCACTGCGATGGATGCCAAGATGACGACCTGCGAGGTGCTCATTCGCCAGATCGACCAGCTTCGGGCCGTCGGCGGCACCAACATGAACGAGCTGTTGCATGAGCTGCAGGACATGGAGATTGTCACGGACGACCTCAAGGTCTCGCTGGCGAAGCGGCTGCGATTCGTCGACGACAAGTCCGGTGGAGGCGACGACTCTGCGGGGTATACCACCATCGGTCGTGGTGGTGGTGGCGGCAGCGGTGGCACCCTGGGCCGAGCCAGCACTCTGACCCGCGAGACCCTGGGCCGGGCCACGACGGCGACCAAGGACAAGCTCACGGACTGGGGCTCCAAGCTCTCCAAGTCGGTCGAGAAGCTGACCATCTCGCGCTCGCAAAAGGTCTCGGACATATCGACGTACGTCTACCTGCTCTCCAAGCTCATCACCGAGTCGCAGTTCATCGAGGATCTGCTGACCCACTTTGAGTCCGCTCCGGCCTACAACCTCAACTCGCTGGCGCTCATGCGGCTGCGCAACATTGCCAAGTTCTATGCCACCGTCGTGTGTCCCTTCATCGTCCGAGACTTTGAGGTGCTGCTGGAGCGTTTCCTGAAGAAGATGCGCATGGTGGCCACCGTTTAGGTGCTTTCGTGTAGGTTTCTTCAGTATGCGGATGTGGATGTGGATGTGGATGTGTGCATTGCTTTGGATTCGCCAACGTCAGGCTCCAGCTCTGCAGGCTCTCTCGCAAGATGTTTGACTTGGTGGACCCTCCCACAGCGCTCTCAGGTTTCTCTCTGCATCAAACCATCGATACACCCGTCGCCTCTTTGACTCTGTTGCCCATTTCTCTCGACCTAAACCCCCTTGCAATGAATGGGCCCATCACCAACTCTGTCTTGATCAAGTGGATAGGGAGAGAGAATGGTTTCCGCTTTCTCTTCGCCTGTGTGTGTGTTCCTTTGTCTTGCTGGCTGCCATTCGCCATGTTGTTTGCCACCCTTTGGAATTGTTGCTTGACACTGGCTGTTCTGCACATTGTTCCATCTTTCATTCACTCTTTCTCTTGTTTTTCTTTCTTTTGTTCTCTCATGCTTTCTTTGACTACCGTCTGATTTTGCCCGCGGCCAACTGTGATGTACCGCTTTTGCACAATGTAACCGAAAGCCCGTCGTTTGAGCTCGCCCATTCCCATCGAGCAGGTCGCGCAGTATTTTTTCCTTTGCTCATGATTTTACTGCCGCATGCAATCGCTCAATGTAGCTCGGTAGCACGGGGCAAAGTACCCAGCGCTCCAGTGTCCAGATCCAGTCCCAGATCCAGTCCCAGATCCAGTCCCAGATCCAGTCCCAGATCCAGTCCCAGATCCAGTCCCAGGGCTCTCCACTTCCTTAGACGCTTATGGTTGTTTCGTCCGTGGGAACATCCAGTCGCGATATTGAGGTCTTCAGCACCTTCTGCCAGAGTCGAGAGACCTGCCACACCAACACGATAACGATTCAACGGACCAATGTCGATGCCGGTATCTTTGTTCTCCATGGTCCAGCCATCTCATTCATGTTTGTGGTGGATGGTTGTGGTTGTTGTTGGGATACAGAACAGTGCGCCAGGTAACCGGCCACGGCGAGAGCTCCCGGCGAGACGGTCGTGTCTCTCGCCCGCGTCTCGCTCGCCCTGTGGCGCGCCTCGCCGGTGCCCTCGCTGCGCTCTCTCCTCGCCTGGCTTCTCGCCCGGCGTCTCGCGTCTCGCTGACATAAGCAACCTGCCACAGCCGATTCTCAAAACTTGGTTCGGCCGTCTCAGCATTCTCTTTCCTTCCCCCCTTTGCGCTATTAACACCAAGTACGAAAAAGTCCCTCGAGGCATTTTTTTGTGGTGAAATCACTCCAAGCCGAAAGGTAACCACGCTCCCGCCAGCACCTACACCAGCACGGGCATTACCGAGTCTACCACCACATCTATGGACCCGACGGCGGCAGATCAACTATGGCCTGATGAAAAATGGCCTTGGGGCAGGACGAATCGCTGGACTGGTGGAATCGTGCTGTCGGCCGGGACATCCATCCATACTGACAGCGTATCCATCCATCCATCCATCCGTCCATCCATCCATCCATCCATCTGTCCATCTGTCCATCCATCTGTTCGTCTGTTTCGTCGCTCGCGACTACTGACCGCGTCGGTCTCGATACAACCAACACTCGTGTCTCGCCGACTACACCTACCTGCGCCTGCAACTGCTTCTCTTCCCCTTCGGCACGACGCTCGCCTTTCCGCGGATTCGCCTCGATATCGTGCCTCTACTACTGCCGTCGCCAGCCATGCACCGCTACTCTGCCGCTGACATCAACGCCGCCAAGAGTAAGTAGCCACAGCATTTGGGCAGCCCTCCATCAACATTTCAGCCCAGGATCTGAATGCACAATGGTCTTGGGCGAATTCCCAAGGAAACCTCGTGGCAATCGATATCCGGAATATGGACGAGAGCCAGGGCTACGATTATCATCGCCATCATCATCGCCATCACTATCACTACCATCACCATAATCACCATCACCATCAATTGACATGGTCACCAGCAAATGCAATGCTGTCATCATCGAGCGGGACGAATCAAGGACCGCGGATTACCATCGTAGTGAAACACTTTGATGCACGGCAACGGATGGGATGCTGCTTGCACACAGCAGTCGTGGTCGGGGCATTGTCTCTGGATCTTGGTCCAGAGCTGTCGTCAGTGGACTCGAACAAGCATGCTTTCGGCAGCGATGGAGCTGCCCCATTTTCCTGATCGACCCCAGCGCCGACTCTGCGCGGTGGCATATCCCCGAAGAACAGAAGCTCTCGATCTCGGCGGCACTGGAAATCGTATCTGGATCGTGCCCTTTCTCCGAACCTGTGTCTCATCCACGAATCCGTTTGACTCTTTGGTTTCTGTAGGCGCTAAGGCTCAGGGCTCTTACCTCCGTGTTCACGTATGCCATCGTTCCGTATATGCGTCGCCTATATCCTCCGTGCCCTCGGATTGACCGATTGTGCTGCGTTGCTGGACGCTGACCCCCGAGTCCCTCTCTGCCTTGATCCACCAGTTCAAGAACACCCGTGAGACCGCCATGGCTCTCAAGGGCCTGAAGCTCCGCAAGGCCGTTGACTACCTCAACGACGTCATCAACCACAAGCAGGCCATTCCCTTCCGCCGCTTCAACGGTGGTGTTGGCCGCACTGCTCAGGCTAAGCCTTTCGGTGTCACCCAGGCTCGCTGGCCCGTCAAGTCCGCTGAGTTCATGCTTGGTCTCCTGAAGAATGCCGAGTCCAACGCTGAGGTGAGCACCCGGGCTGGTGTACGGAACCTGGAACACGAGGCAGCGGCTGTGTCTCGTTGATGTGGCCCGTGGATGTCAGCACTCCAATGTGCTGTCCGGATTCCTTGCAGCGTTGGTCTGAACATTGTGGCTGCCCCTTCCTTCAGGTCAAGGGTCTCAACCTCGAGGAGCTCGTCGTCAAGCACGTCCAGGTCAACCAGGCCCCCAAGCAGCGCCGCCGTACTTACCGTGCCCACGGTCGCATCAACCGTAAGTCGCCTCGCAATTGCATTGTGTGAGACATGCCCAGCTCCTCGCACCGACCATGCATCCCAAGACTCCCTGCTGGCTCTCGGTGCCGCCCACTCATCCACTCTCGCTTTCGCTCCGCAGCCTACATGAGCTCTCCTTGCCACATCGAGCTCATCCTCTCTGAGACCGAGAAGCAGGTTGAGAAGGATGCTGAGACCAAGGTCGTCAAGCTCTCCAAGAGACGCCTTGTCCGCAGCCGACCCCACGCCTAAGTTATGGACGCGGTGTTTCTCTGTTATCCCCGATTCCACAGAACAGAAGCGTGCTGAGTGATTGTGTTAATATATGCGGCGTCGAACTTTGCAGTTCACCACCTCAATTCTCACGGATCTTCCCGCTGCCTCTCTGCTTTCCCGGCGTATGACGTGGCTGCATGTCGGATCGGTGTTGATGCTCACGATGGTGACGATAATGGTTCTGATTAACGATGCATGTCGGTGGTGCATGCCACACGCGACGACGATATCGCCGTCTATGTGTCCGAGTGCCTCACGAAAGCTCGCCTCGTCGGAGCGACCGCTTCTTTGCAGGTTCTGCCTCGGTGTTGCCCGAGCGACCACATGGCTGCTCCCTGCATCAGCAAGCTTTGGGATGAGCCAAGTGAATTGGCCCACATGTCCGCCCGGTGCGATGCAGTGCGGACTGGCAGCCACCCACCAGAACTCATGCAGCTCATCATCCTCATTGTCCACTCCGTCGTCAGCGCCGAGAATCGTTGCCGGCCTGCGCTTGAGCTCCGTCAGCGCTATCGATAGTGGTGGTTATCGGCAAATGTGAGCGGGTGCACATGTCGTTGTTCTGACTTTCGGGTCTAAATCACAGCCCATCGCTTCACCTTGGGCCATCATCGCCTGTGCATCCCGAAGCTCTTGGATACCACGCTTGATCTCGGTCAGGCAGCTGCGGATGCTCGGCCCAATGAGCCACTCAGTCGGCAGTTGATCTTGACAGTTAGCTTCCTCGGGCCACTGCCTCGCCTTCTTGGATGCGATGAAGCTTGAGTGCTCGCCCTCTGGATCAGCTTTGTCGCTCGTTCGTTTCCGGTGGCCTTCGCCAGCGTCGCCCTGCTCACTGGCGTGGTCGATGGACGAGAGCTCCTCCGCGATACTGAAGGGCTCAGGTGCAGATTGGTTCTCAGGCGCTGCCTCAGTCGAGCTGGCCAACACGAGACTGGGTCTGGCAACATATCGCAGCACCAGTGTTGCGAGGGCTTGTGCTGGGCTATTATTCGAATTCATGATGTTGCTTGTCGGGAAATCGAAGGATCTGGGCTGCTGGAAGAAGCAACTCAGTCGCGAGCCGTACTGCCAACGAATACTTGTCGGGAGACGGCGGACACGGACGACTGGTTGACATATCGCTGCCGTCGTCCCGCCTGTCATCGCTGGCTTTGACAAGTATGTCCGTCGTTTGCAATCGAGCTGTCAGCGCGATGGTACATCAAACAAAGCTACGTCCGATTGGATCAAGACAGAGTACTCTATATTGCTCAGGCGCCCCTTTTCCGAGTCGGAAAGGGGGGGTATTCATAGAGTACAAGTCGATATCGGGCTCTGTCGTGAAGGCACGCTTTGAAGCGCTGTCCACTGCGGAGTAAGGGGAGGTAGGTCCTTTTGGCGGTGATGGTGGTGGCGAAGGGCCCTTGTCAGTAGCCGAAGCCCGATCTCGGAGATTCTGTTGACTGTTGGCATGAGAGGCGGTAGGCGTCAGCATGGACAGCGGGACTGAATCAAGTCAATTATAGCGGAGCCGGACTGAGCCGGGGTAAAGTACCCCCGAGCAGATGCCATTCAGCCACGGTCCCTGGCAACGTACCACGGAGACTGGCTTCGACCATGTCGTTGTCGAGGAGTGCTTTCGAGAGCGCTTCTGCTCCAAGATCGCCGATCAGGTTATCTACATCGTGTCCCAAGTCCATATCGCCAGCAAGCCGAGAATCGATTAGGCACCGTGTCAGCGGGTCCTCGATGCAGGGCAGGACAGGACAAGACAGGACAGGACCACAGACGGCACCCCGCTCATGCAATGGCCACTAAAATGTCCAGGGTCGCAACGTTGCCTTACATTCAAGGTCGAGCCTGACATCTCGCTTCATGTGGGTCAGGGCCCCGGCCAGAGCAATCGCACCTTCGTCTTCAATGTAGTTGTCTGGCGTTCTCGGATTGGGGTTGCAGAAAGGAGACACCACCAAAGCGGTGCGGATGTATATCAGCATGATATCAGCAAGACTCTGCGAACCCCCCCTGGGACACACAGGCACGAAGGTGCCGTATACCCACATTTCAAATTGACCTGACTGAGCCGTGGATGTGCTTGCATTGCCTGAGCGAGCAGGACTGCTCCGGTATCGTCGATGCGATTGCCTGTGCCCGCCGGATGAGCAGTGTCGCATCGAGGTCGGTATCAATCGCTCCGGACGCACTCTCAGCAGCAGTAGCGGTGGCGGCGATGGCTCCACACGAGCACTCTCACCACCAGACTTCCAGCGACTTACTGTTCAGGTCGATTCTTATCAAAGTTCGATTGTGGCCGAGGCACTTGGCAAACGTCGGCATGGTCGAATTGAGGTTGGTGTCTGTCCGACAGACAGCAGTAAATATCAATCGTCCGGGCCGGCTTGCTCCACACAATATCACTGGAAACTACTTGGGCTGTCACCCACATTGGTTCCCCTCAACATGGCCGCTCTGAGGTCATACCACTCAGGTCGATGGTGGTCAGCGATTCGTGGAAACGGAGCCCTTGGAAGGTATACAGCTTGACAAAAAAGTCAAACTGCGGTTGCAAGGGCAAGGCAGCCTGATTCTCCGATTCCGGACGGAACCGCTGCACCAGCTGCCGAAAGTCGATCGACTCATGTGCTTGCAGAACAGCGAGATACACCTTGCCAAACACCCTGTGGTCCGACTCGGCGAGCTTGTCGGCCGCCATGCGAGACGGCTTGTCAGAGACGAGTGCCTGTTGGAGGCCGTTGTAGCGCAGGGCGACGGCGTAGTTGAGTTTGTCAATGTCGGACCGCAGCCGCAGACAGACTGCGTCAACCAGCTCGATGGGCAGCGTGGTGATCATTGGTCGGGGTTGCTGCCGGCAACGGGTGCTCAAGTCCGGCGAGACGGGGGCTGCAGATGGACCGCGGTGGCGGAAGAGGGCCTCCTGGACAGGAATGCGTCCGGGGGCGAGCAGAGTGGGGTGCTGGGCTCTTGGCTTGCTGTCGCTGGCCCCTGCAGTGGATCGCATGCCAAGCGAGCGGCCTGTGCGGGAGGGCTTGGCCGAACGCTCATGACCACGGGCTGCTGCGCAGCGGTTGGTCGAAAGGCCGTGTGCGACCATGGCGGTCACGGGACCGGGGCGTCAAGGCCAAAAATACATTCGCGCCGATTGCGCATGGCGGTGTGGTTGCTCATACCGAGCATCGCGATCTGCCTGCGTCAAGAGCACGATCTGCCTGCGTCAAGAGCACGATCTGCCTGCGTCAGGAGCACGATCTGCCTGCGTCGAGAGCACGATGCACCGGCACATACCCGCTGCCGTGTCTGTTCGCCGCTCGCTCGCTTCTGCTGCCTCTCCCGGTGTCGCCACTCCCTTCCACAAGCGATCCTTCTTTCGTCGGCCGCGCCTGCCATCCCGTCCCTGGATCGCCCCGCAGCCTTCAGTCGAAGCCTGGCACGGCCACAGCCGAATCGATCCCTTTCCGCAGCTCCTGAATTTGGATCGCAAGGTGCCAATCCGCTCGATCGGCCGGCAGTATCTGCTCACAACCGCCGCCCAACGACTCTGGTCGCCCCGAGCTGATCCTGGTCCAATCCGCAATCGAACAGGATGCCCGCGCATATCTGCAGCAGGAAATGCTTTGGGCTGAAGCCGAGCTCGCAAAATGCCACCGGCCGTCGATCGCCAGGGTGTGTAGCACCCATCTACCTCGCCACAACCGAGTCGTCGCATCTGGATGGATTCTGTTGCTCGCGTCGGAAGGGCTTTGATCGATTTCACTCCTCTACAACCCCTGGCTTTCTTCCAGCAACTCCAACGCATGTCCGAGTCTCTGAGGCATCCTAAGCCCGCAACGCCGCTTCGGCTGGGACAATTCGAATATCGCTACGCCCACCGGCCGGGCGTCACTCGGCTGATTCGCACCGATCTCGTCACCGGCACTGAGGTGGGCCTCTGATGCTGAGCCCAACAACGGGCATCCAGTTCCTGCACATTCCTCATCGTCTGGCTGATTGCCGACTGAGTCTCTGGCTCTATCCAGCGCACCATCTTTGACTCTACCGTCGATGTCGGGCGCGGCCCTCTCGGATCGAAAGCATGGTCGCTCCAGAAGCTCCTCGTTTCCCTGGACCACCGCCACGTTGCTTTTCTGGTTATTGTCGAAGGCAGCGAAGACGGGACACTCTTCGTTCACGAGGCAGACCAGCGATCCGTCGTCAAGGTATGCCAGCCGCCCCCTGTGCTTGTGCACCTTCGCCTTGATTTGCTGGGGCGCAGAAAATGCTCGAGGAGACACCCGCCAGGCATCTGACTCTTGACCGTTCCGCCTCCTCCTCGTTTCTGTGCTTCGAACCCGCACCATGTGCATGGACGTGGGTGGATTTCTTGGCAGACCATTTCGAACGTGTTCAAGTACGTGCACATCGCAATCACAGCATTTGCGTGTGTTTTTACTTCCGTGCCCCGCCAAGAAATCGCTGCATCTAACAGCCAGATCCACATGCGGACGATCAATGCCGCTTTCCAATCCGTAGCTTCGTCTGGGGAGGCGATCGGCTCTTCTACACACGGCTGGATTCGTCGCTGCGCTCATCCCAGGTTCGGCTACGACCGGTCATAGATGTGACCAACATTCCGACTCCACCAATCCTCCTGACTGCGGCGCTGATGGACGCTCTTGCTGCGACTTGCAGGTCTATGCAGCATACACCGACAACCGAGCCGATATCCAGATCTACCACGAGACCGACCCTTCCGTATTCTTGGATGTCGGCGTTACCAAGGACAATGTAATTCCTCGATTGCCGTCAGGCTGCATCCGGTGACTCCATACTGCATTTCACAGCCATTCTTACTCAGACCCTGCCACTTCTTTGCCGTGATCGACGACAGACCCATCTGGCCTTGACAAGCGGCACGTCTGACGCATCTGAGGTGCGGATGGCCGATCTCTCCGCTCCGGATATCACATGGACCCTGATCAGAAACCGTCAGCCCGGCGTCCGATACTTTGTCGATCACCACCAGGTTAGATTCATGAAGACACTGGCCCAACAGCGGACACGAGACTCCGGCTAACCTTGCCCTCGATCCAGGGGCAGTTCTATGTTCTTCACAACATCGCAAGTTCAACGTTTCGGCTCGCCTGTCTTCCAGCTCGGTCCGCATCGCCACACCCACCCCAGCCACAAACATGGACAAGTGTCGTCGATCTCGGTCCGGACTCGGACATCGAGGAAATCGAGATATTCTCCGAGTATCTGGCTCTCTTTGTGAAGGGGGATCGCCCAAACTGCAACAAGATCGTGTACTTCAAGATGCCAAGCAACATCTCCGGTTCTTCTGCAGCGAAACTTGAACTCGCTGGGGAAGTTTCTCTTCCCGAGCTCCCGGCCTTTCGATTGAGCTCCGATGTCAACGCTGTGAGTGGACTCGTTCGCAAGCGGTGCCATTCAGCTGCTCGAGATATCTTCTGCTACTGACCGTCCTGCCAACAATTGTGCCATCCTGTGGCTCAGAATATCGACGAACACAGATTACGATTCCTCCTTTCATCGCCACTGGTCCCGGAATCGAGCTACTGCTACGATATGAAGAGCCACACAATCATTTCAGCGAGCCCTCGCACAGTTCCAGGTATGCCCTCTCGCCTGTACCGCTGTGCCCACTGTGCCCGCTGTGCCCACTGTGCCCGCTGTGCCCGCTGTGCCCGCTGTGCCCGCTGTGCCCGCTGTGACCTGTGCCAGCTCCCCCAACTGGCCCACACGTGCTTACCCAAGTGCACCTCACAGGCTTCAGTTCAAGTGACTACACAGCCACAGTGCTGAGTGTACCGAGTGGTGGAGTCGATGTGCCTGTCACTCTGTTGCATCACAAGTCGGTGCGTTGGGAAGGCAGGTTAGTTGGGGAATCGAGAGCGATAAGACAGGTCGATTGCTGTTCACTGATCCGACAACTAACTGCCTATTGGCGTCGCTGCCAAGTACAGCCACCCAACAATCATGTACTTTTATGGAGCATATGGTAGGTGCGAGATCCACGAGCAACTCCAGGGCATGCAGCAGTCGGGGCTTCCCACAACCATTATTGAATACGGCCACTTAACGTTCCAAAACAGCCACAGACTAATGGCATTCATTCCGCGCTGCCAGGCGTCTCCTTGGAGTACCGGTTTCTACTCGACTTTATTCCACTGCTCTCTCGTGGATATATCATTGCCTTTGCCCATATTCGGTGAGAAAAGCAACACACCGTCGTCGTTGTTGTATGGGATTCTGCATCGTTACCGCTTGCGTCTGTGCATCGTGGCGGTTCAGCGATGGGCTGCGATTCTGATGATGATGTTTTGTGATTGCTTGCTCTCTTAGTGGGGGTGGCGAACTCGGTACGACATGGCACGAAGACGGACGGTGAGGCCTCGGTTTGTCGATGTGGCAACTATGCTTCGACAAGCATGTGTGGCTCCTGGCTTCATGAACGGTGTTCCTGTCGTAGGCAGGGTGTCGTTCGATGACCGTTCACTGACACCATGAAGATACTCGACTCTCCCTGGGCGCCTCGATTCAGACTCTATCGAAAATCCAACTCGGTGTGCGATGTTATTGCAGTCGCCGATCATCTCATCAAACATCAGCATACCCACCCCGACAGACTAGGCGCCATCAGCACCAGCGCTGGTTGTCTGTCCTTGGGAGCAGCGATAAATCGCCGACCAGGTACGCCCTCAGTCGCAGGCGACAGGTTGTATTCTCATCCTGAGATGCGAGTGGTGCGTGGATGAAGCCACGGCAAGCTGTGCCGATTCAATAACTAGCCCGGCACGAATGTACGCTTGGGCCAGTTGCTTCTCGGCATCCTCAAACGGCCTTACCTTGCTGTTTCTGGGGCTCTCGCTGGCATGTCCGTCGCTCCCCACTGTCGTGTCGGTCGCCTCCCACTGGCATGCACGCCGCTCCTGAATTCCTAACATTCAGTTTCTCTATCCTATGCTGTGCTCCGAAATGAATGGGCCTGCCAGATCTCTTCAAGGCAGTGGTGATGCGAGTTCCTTTCCTTGATCCCCTCACCGCCATGCTGGATGAAGCCAGCCCCCTCACCCAGGTGGAGCAGGGTGAATGGGGTGATCCGATCCGCGACCCCGCCGCATATCGGTCGATACTCTCGTACTCTCCGTACGACACCATCCCTGCCAATGCCAATCGGACCGAGCGCAGCCCAACCTCGATTCTTATCACTGCATGCACAGACGACCAACGAGTTTCCTTCAGCGGGATCCTGCGATATGCCGCCCGACTGAGAGAGTTGGACCGCAACTCGTCGGCCCAGCGCCGGTTGATTGTCCAGATAAGCGAGACGGGCGGCCATGTCTCAGCATCAAGCAACATCAGCCAGATCGCTCGCGAAGTGTCGTTCTTGGATCACGAGCTCGGACAGCAGTAAAAGGATGCGACCGCCGTTATCCTTCTGGATGCTCTCGCTCCGCTTCACCCTATCCTCAGGGACAGACTTCCTCGAGCAAACAGCTCCAAGCAACTCTGGATATCATGGGCCTATTTTTGGTGGTTGTCTTTGATGAGCACATTTAATCGCTGGACAAAGTCATTCGATGCACCACGCACCTGCTCGCCCTGGATCTCCAACATCTACAGCTCAACAACGCCGATGCGAGCGCCGCAGCATGTCAATCATCTGCTTGCGCTACCACTGTGGAGTGAATAGCTATCGAACTGCCACTTTCCCAACTCTCGAGTGTGTTCCTCTGGCCGCTAAAATCGCGGCCGCTTGGATGTTCACTTGTTATGGAAGGGGCCCGATATAGCTGCTGTGTGATCAACCGGATCGTTTGTCACTGAGCAGGCTCGCAGCGCGCTTTCCACTTGTTCGGAAAAAGTTCATCAGGGCAGGCGAGCGGACTATCTTTGCTGGAAGTTTGAGCAGATCCTGGCCGAGTGGTGCGCGATATGATTGAGCGACAATGGCGACAGGCGAGAGAATCCGGACGGGCAAGGGAGTTGTCGCTGTGCCTGCGCGCTCCCACATACACGGATGCACCGAATGCTACAGAGGTACATCCGAGGCTGGGTCTCTTACATTGATATACTCCTGCAGGAGCCCGATCCGGTTCTTGGCCATGGCTTCGCTTACAAACATAACCTGGCCGGGTAAGTCTGGAATGATTCGTCGTCCGGGACTTTGCGAGACCTGCGTGTGTATGCCCGCCGTCTTCTCAGGCTGGCTGCTGTGGTCATTCAGATGAGAGACAAGCCGCTTTTGCCCAAGTGCCTCCAGTGATAGCCCGGCTTCCATGGGGAAGTGGCCGATTAGGCACATGTGGAAGCTGAAAAAGTCGTCGTAGGTGTGGTATATAATGTGTCCAGATTGGCCAGATTGGGGCGAAGCCGAAGCACCGGCGTGGAACACCTCGATGATGTACACCTGCGGCGCGAAGGTCGTGGTCCGGTGAATCAGTGTGCTTGGCCAGGCCTCAAACTCGATGCGACGATGCAGAGAAACAACTCGACGATGCATGTGCTGTCCATACATAATCTTTCAATCCAGCGCCGCTGTATTTGACAACGTTGGAGACGAACACTGATTTGATCGGCCGGTTGATACTAGCTGTTGGCGCTGTCAGGGTAAGGGTGTTGGCGCTGGGTCGGCAGTGGCAAGAGAATGGGTTTGACAAAGTCAGCACCCATAGCGCGCGACGCTGTCCACCAGGAGTACTCCCGCTCAATCCACGCGACAGAGCCGAGATCGAAACTAATGCTGCTGTTGCGGCAGTTAGTTAGCGCCAGAGACACGCACGGATTATTGGCCTTGATTTCCGATATCTCCGGGACAATCTCCAGTTGGCTTCCGAGGGTGGCACACCGTTCGGGCTCGGGGGGAACAAAGCCTTCGCTGATACTTGAATTGGTGTTGAGTGAAGGCGCAGAGCCAAGAATGGATTTGGATCTTGCCCGCTCCTTTGATGGAGAGGTAATGTGTTCGTCCCTTTTTTCATCCGAGAGTGGCAAGCCTGCGAGTGGGCTCATTATGTTGTCAATGGATAGCGCCTGGCTGAGAGGCACTGGGTTGGCAACGGTGGCTGCGCGCTTGGGCTGATCCGCTTTAGACTCCTCCGCACCCTTGGGCACATTGTACGGAGTCTCTGACTGGTTACGGCTTCGGTTCATTTTGCGAGCCGCCCCGGCGCCAGACCACAGGCTCGGATGAGGACTTGTTGGGCTGCCGCCTCGTCTCTCGAAGCCTGCTGTAGCCGACTGCGGGCTGATCCTCAAAGGTGCGAGCTTTGAGGCCGATGATTCCGGAGAACCGCCTTTGTTTGCACGGTATCCAGATCCTCCGCGTCCCCCCGGAGGACCATTCCCGTACGCCGTCGCCTTCAACGGGTTCCGCTGATCTTGGACAATGAAGGGGTTGGTGGCAAGGCTCTTGCTGATGAGCTTGATTCGCCGCGATTCGACGAGCTGCAATCTCTCCAGCGACCCGGACTCGGAAGTTTTCTCGTCGCCAAGAGTCTCTCCGACAATGCCGCCCAAAGTAGCCTCCTCTGGGTGTTCCGTGCCACCAGTCGATGCCCGACGCTGCGCCATTCTGGATTCTGCTGCAGTTTCTGCAGCAGACTTGGGTTGCAATGTCTCTACTGGAGCCGTACGGTTGTGGGCGGACGGGGTTGTTTCAGAAATACGTAGCCTCTCAGTACCGTCAGCTGACTTGATGGACGGTCCTGCACCAACCGATGATGGATCGAGTGTTGTGTTCTGGGTCCTATTGACTTCCAGAGTCAGGGCTATATCGGCTGTAGTGCCCTGCTCGCTCTGTTGCGGGTGACCATCGGTAACAACTGGGAGGACACCATCTTCGCCGGCCTGGGACCATCCCTTAGCATCTGCATCGCCAGGTTTTGAGAGACTCTCTTCCTGAGACTTGTCGTCCGGGGCTGGAGCCGAGTCCGTCCGTGGCTCAACCACAGACGCGGGAATGCGGTTGCGAACAAAGAGATCTGTGGCCTCCTGGAAAGCCTTCAGCCACTGGTTTTTGGAGTATGCGCTATCGGCGACAAGCTTGAACTTGGACTGGCCGACGTGGATGATCTCGATCAAGTGCTCGCTCCCTGGAACCAGGCAACAAGACGGGAGAATGTCAGCCCGCTACTGCTACTGCTACTGCTACTGCTACTGCTACTGCTACTGCTACTGCTACTGCTACTGCTACTGCTACTGCTACTGCTACTGCTACTGCTACTGCTACTGCTACTGCTACTGCTACTGCTACTGCTACTGCTACTGCTACTGCTACTGCTACTGCTACTGCTACTGACGATAAGTTCTTCACTACTCGCGAGCAAAACATGCAGTGTCGCATGCTGCGTGGCAAATGCATACCGAGATGATCACCAGCATTAATCAATATCATTTCGAATGGAACGGTAGTGACGACCTTGAGCTTCGATCCTGGGTCTTCAGAGAGCTGCTTGGCCATCAAAAGCATATCGTTGAAGAGAAAAAGCTCGCGCTTCTTGCGAGCCCCGTCAACGAGCAAGGTCAAGGATCCACTCTGAATCAGTGCTCTTGAGGGGGCAACGAGATTCAGCTTCTGATGGCAGCAAAGGATGACATGCGGATGATGGGAAGCGTGAGGGTCCGATGGATCAGAAGTGTTGACTGCTCCCCCGACTGACAGCTCAAACGATTGAATGACGAGGATTGCTAGTCCGTTTGGTTCGTCCAAGTATTATGATGCACGCATCAGTCGTGGCAATGCAGTCCACAGCAACCACATAATCAAGAGATGTTACCGTTGTCAGTCGGCTCTGTATATCCAGCATTTTGTTGATGCCCTCGGCTTGTCGTGTGCCTTCGTTGATGATGGTGACGACAGTTTCGATCTCCAGGAGGGCTCGGACGAGGTTGTCGTGATCAGCATGGCTGGCGTCCGTATTCTTCAGCATTTCCTGGAACCAATGGCATGCCCGATGGGCTGCGTCAGAAGCCTCGCTGATATCCGCGTTACTGGATGGAGCACGAAGGTCCGAGAAGGCTCCATCACCATCATACCTTCAGTAGCAGTGGATACTTGCAAATGCGCTGTACCGGTTTGATGCTGTATCGTTGATGTGCCGGCAGTTAACATGCTGTCAAAACGATCGTGCAAACAGCGTTCCACCGAGAAACGCAGAAACCTCGGCCCGGGTGGTCTTCGGTGGGCTGATAACCCAAATGACCACCGGTCCACGCCTAACGTGATGCTACCCAGCCAAAGTTACGCCTGGTTCCAACACCTACAGAAAATTGGCCAGAGTAAGGTTGCGGCTCTGCGGCAGCTGCTGACATTGCTACTTGATGGAAGTAGAGCAGGAAATCAGAACTGGCTCCAAGCCGGGTGCCAATGGCTTCTTTGCAGCCAGTCGCCCAACTGCGTAGCATGTGCACCCACATCAAGGAACTTGGCCACCGCGCGGCTGTTTCGAGCCGCCTGGAGCTTGACCAGAGCATGAGGATAATTACTGCAATACAACGTGTAGATCTTGAGCCCCTCGCTCTGATGTCGGATCAGCCGACGTGTATCGTGAAATGGGGTGATCGATCGGACGCGGGCGTGTCAAATCGATGTTCCTGCCGCTGCGGATCACGAGAAGCTCTTGATAGAATGCAGTAGCATGAAATACCCACGATCTGGATGAAGAGATCTCCAACTTGATTGACGATGGTGCTTTCCTTTTGTTTTTGCTCCAGCCACGACAAGAACTCCTAGGTACGGGGTCGATGGAGACGGGCGATACGCAGTGAGTGTGCATCCGTGATTCGTCCGGGCACGCTTAGGCTGAACGAGCTCCAACGCTACGGATCGCCGTGCATAGATCAGCAGCTCGATGCAGGCGAAAGGACTCGGCAGGGTGGTCTTGGACCCTGGTCAACCGTAATAGCGTTTGCGAAAGCGTCCTTTGATTGCGCAGGCTACCATCCCGTTCGCCGCACCTGGTTGAGTCGCTGTAAATCCTCGAGATTCGAAAAGACGACAGTGATGTCTTTTGGGCGCAGAAGCTTTCTCTCTTTGATGGGTTGGATATAAATCTAGCGTATGCAGGAACCGGCATCATTACAGAGTCGATCTTCTTATGCCCCATCCCCAGACACGGTTACATGTCCATATTCATCTTGTCGAGCATCAACAGCAGCGGCCGCTCCGTCCTTGCTCCTGTTCGCAGCGATGTGTCCGCGTCTCCCGGGACTTGAAAGTACCTCAATAATGGTTCGAAGATCGTCGACATAGTCCCGTTCTGTATAGATGACCTCGTGAATGACTTCCTGTCGCTTGATTTCGCTCTTTGAGAGCCCCATCCGGGCGACCTCATCTGCTCCGCCCACGGTATCGATCCAGCGTTGGCGTTCTTCTGCCGGTGCCCCCACCACAGCGACGGTCTTTCCGTTTGTTGGCACAGGCGTCTTTTTGATGCTGTAGGTCTTTGGAAGCCGAGACGGGTCGATCTGGATCACCCGCGGCTCTGGCGGTGACATTTGCTCGTCCTGGCAGCTCTCCAGCAAACTCACGGAGCTGGGAGGAGACTCTCCAAGGTCCTGTAGAACACCTCCCGACATCTGCGATGATACCAAGGAGCTCGCCAGCGACTTTGATACCGGCAAAGTCGAAAGAAGGTCAACTTCGTGCTGGCTTGGGCTCTCATCGAGAGGCACCTTCGTCTTGATACTTTCATCGCCCGCAGCGGATGCCGTCGGAAGTGGTGGCAGCTGTCGCTTTTCGTATCGGGCAATCTGACATCCACGGAAACCCAAGCACAAGCGCCGGTCAATGACTGTGAGAGCCGAGCTCGCATTGTTTCTCCCCCGGCTCGCCCAAAGAGATGCCCAAAGACTACAAACCGACCTTTTTGTATCGCTGGTACCATCCACGGGTCTGTCCGTCCTTGCCTTGAGAGCTGCTGTCGCTGCCTTCGCGAATGTGGAGGACCGCATCGGCCTTGACGGAGCCAGCAGCGGGGCTGTCGTCAAGGACCCTCACCCTGTCCATCGGAAACCAACCCCAGGCGCCCAGATTTTCGCCATAGAGCCAATTCCCAGTGGCCTCTGTCTCCGAGAGAGCGGTGGAGACGCCGATGATGTCGTCCTCTTCGAAGCACAAAAGATTGGGCTCAGGCGAGCTGAAGTCGGTGAGGGCTTTGGCATACCAGTGAACAACGCACTGTCCATCGGGACCGAGTCGGTGCTGTGGTAGAGCCACGGGAGGAGACAGCATAGCGAGTGGGATGTTGACGAGGACGACGTCAGATACGAGAGTTGAGATAGACAGCGAGCAAGATGCTGTCTGGCAACACTACTCTCCACGGGCAGCGTGAGAAACGAGGAGGGAAAAAAGGTGCCTGGTGGGCGATCGCCGATGCGGCGAGAGACGAAGGCGTCTGGTCTGCATCCGGCCTCTGCATGATCGAGGCAGAAGCTGCAGCGAGTGCGCAATCCAATCAAGCGAGTTTGGATCTTACAGCCAATCCAATAACAAACGAGACACCCCGGGTTTTGGCCGTTGAACAAATAGTTTGCTTCAAAACATCGTGCGCTGGGTATGACCGTTCGCCACACCCTCGACTTTCACACTGCCATTCTGTGATGGGCTTCTGGAACCGAATCAAGGACACCATTGTGGGCATCGCTGCCAGCCCAAAATACGCTGGATTCGAGGATATTCACTCTTGCCCAAGAGCAGAGCCAGATATCGTCGCTTCTTTCTCGCACAGATGGCTCCTCGCTGGTACCATTGGAGGGCTCTACCCGGGCGAGGGCGATCCAGGCGACTCGATCTCCAAGTGTGCTCACAGTGCCGGGAAGCCAAGCGAGAAGGTCAAGTATCTTGATATCGATACACCATGGAGCAGTCCAGAGGGTCGAGTGAATGCACCACACAGATATTGCCAGCCATGACGGGAAACAATCGCACGGCTTGCCCACTGGAGCTTACTGATCAGCAGGCTGGTGCCGCTGATGCCAGGAAGTGACTGGCCTGTTTCTTTCTGCATCGATTGTATCCATTGACTGTGTCCTCTTTCGGACGGGTTATCGATTGCACTTAGACAGTTCGTACTCGAACAGGGCCTGGTCGAGGGTGGGGTGGTGATGGACGGCGATTGTGTATGATGGACTCGAATCGCTCGTTCGGAAGAAGAGACAGCGTCCATATGCGTTCGCTCGCATCAATCAAGTCAATTGTTGGTTAAGGGAGGGAGGGAAGGCACCGCCTTGATGTGTCGGAGTCCCGCTATGCTTTCTGGAACATGGGCATCTCTGGTGATGGTGGAACGACGGCGACAGACGATTCAGCCGGGGAATCTGGGCCTTCATTCGGCATCAGCTTCGCCCATGGATGGGTCCATTCGCCGATTTCAAATGCTGATGCATCCCACAACCAGCCGCCGGAGTGGCGCGATAGTTGGAAGCGTCGATGTTTGAGTATCTGTCCAAAGGCCGGGACCAGCGGGCCCACGAAGAGGGGAGTGCGAAGTTCCGGGTCTGGCTCCTGCAAAGTTGGCTTCTCTCCGTGGAACACCGGAGGCGATCACCACGCTCCATCCATGGATATAAATTGCCGCCTCGGCACCCGTTTCCGCCGTTATCCCACCAACGCATCCCTTGCAATACATCACCATTAACCAAGCCCCTTTGCTGATTACTTGGCTCCCCACCTACAGCGCCAGATATCCGGTCATGACGATCTCGCAGCCCAGCACGCTCAAATTGACCTACTTTGATTTCACGGATCATGTCGAAGCCACCCGTCTCTCGCTCCATGTTGCAGGCATCGAGTTTGAAGACGAGCGTATCAGTCGAGAGCAGTTCCTTGCCATCAAGCACACACTTCCTTTCGCTCAGCTTCCCGTTTTGACCGTCGACGGCAAGTTTATGTTTGCCCAGTCCAAACCGATTCTGCGCTACGCTGGTACCATTGGAGGGCTCTACCCGGGCACCACCGATATCCTCACCTCTCTCCTCATCGATCAAATCGTCGAGGAAATGGGCGATTTCTGGATTAAACTCGTTCCCAGTTTTAGCGAGCCAGATGAAGCCAAGAAGCTCAAGATTGTCCAGAAAGTCTCCGCCGAGGATTACCCATCGATGCTCTCTGCCCTCGATCGGTTTCTTGCACAGCACGGAGACGGGTTTGCGGTCGGCGACAAGCTCACCATTGCGGACCTGGCGGTGTACTGCTACTTCAACTTGATTGTTGGACCCCGCGCTGCCGTCAAGGGCATCCCGAACGATCTGCTCGTGCCCTATAGCAATATTTCCAAAGTCTATAAGGCAGTTCAGACCCATCCACTCGTTATGGAATGGGAGTCAAAGTTTGCCTCCGACAAGTAGCACGAAGGTGGTCCCAAGTTGTCGGCAGGACTTGACCATCTTTCGAATTGAATGCTCGTTATCTGCAGAGTCTCGGCAGAGTTGGATCGAGGGGATTTCCACACTGAATGATGTATCGAGTGCAAAGCGTAGAGAGTGTATTGACGACAATAAATCATCCGCAAACAGCGTGTGTTTTAGCGGCGTCGTTCTGGAAACAGCATACTCGCGTGGTGAGCTCGGAAAGTCACGAAACAGGAGGAGTAGGGGGAGAGGGGAGGGGTGAGATATGGAGGGGGCAGGTGACGACCTAGTCGTCGCGAAGATTCAGTCCACGGTCGGTAATGAACACTTTGGCTTCGGCAGCCCGGTTGGCGGGCCAGATGGCCTTGTAGTTCCACTCGGGCTCGGCATCCACCAGGCCCTGGAGGCCTTGCAGCTGGTCGTTCGACTTGAAGTCCTCAATGATCTCGCCGAGAATGACAACGGCAGGAGGCTTGCGGCTGGGCGATGCCAGGAGGTTGGAGAGGAGCGTTTCGAGGTCGGAAAGCACGAAAGCCTCGGCGGCGAGAAGTCGGGCAATCAGGATGCCTGTGAACTTGTAAACCGATGGCACGTCGATGGCGACATCCTCAAGGACCTCCGAGTATTTGACGATGCTGTAACGCAGGGGGGGGGGAGGAGCAGCGCAGAGGGACGCACGTTAGTAGAGTAACAACCACGGCGATCGGCATCGTTCTGATCGGGCCCTGAAACCCGCAGCGGGGAGGCGTAACAGAGGCAAGGGCCTCGTGGAATTCGCCGCTTGTGCCAGCAAGATCGGAGAGTATACTTACGCATCCCTCAGGTGTTCGCTGCGCACAACACCCTGCTTGAACACATTCACAAGCATCGAGACAGTCTTCTTCAGCTGGTCGAGCTTCTTCTCCATCACGCCTTCGACAAAGGCATAGACGGCATCGACGTGGTAGGCCTCTGTTTTCATTTCTTTGATGGTAGCAACGACCTCCTGCATAGGGGGTGCCACGAATAATTGGGCTGGGGTCAGCGCATGCCGGCAGGATCGGCCACAGAACGGCACGAGCACACAGGTCAAGAGACACAGGGGGGTGCTGTACAAGCGGCTCTTGGCTTGATGTGACTCACCGATACATCCCCAAGAGACCACCATTCGGCGAGCATGTTTTCAATCTTGCGCTTGGCCATGCCAGGGCTAATGGCCTTTTCTTCGGTCGGGGTTGCGGCAGGGGCGGCGGCAGACTTGGCTGAGGAAGCGGGTGTGCTTGCTGCCGGCGAGTCGGCGTGCTTGTCATCGTGCTTCTTATCGGAGCTGTCTCCGAGCAGGCTGATCAAGGATTGCGTCGCAGAGTCAGTTGTGGAACACACGGCAAGCTGACAGCAGCCCTCGGGACATTGCCAGCGACGCATCATGGAAATGTGTGTATGCTTGTCGCAGAGCAAGAGCATGCACAGCGAATGCCAATCTGACCCAGTCCTCGTCGTTGCTGCTGCACACTGTGGCATATCTGACTTACTCAAACATGTTGGTTGGCGCCCGGCTGGGCTCCTCCTTCTCCTGTTGCTGAAGACCCTGTCGGGATTTTGCGCTGGCAGAAGTGCCGGCTCCCATCGACCACTTGCCCGAGGAGCCGCTGGGGCCGAGGACAATCGACTTGCGGTCCCGCTTGGTGGTGGAGGACTGCAGCGAGCCAAACATGTTCAGATCGCCGGCCTGGGTATTTGAGCTGCCCGAGGCGCCAGGGCCGCCGCCGCTGTTGCGGCCAACCGTGCTCCAGCCGTCTCCAATGGGTCCGCTTCGGCCGTCTCTCATGCTGCCACGGCCGTCACCGCCACGGCGCTTGTCGAACTGATCCGCACGGGTCGGGAGAGTGTGTCGGCCGCTTTGCGAGCCTCGGCTGCGCTGCGAGAGCTCACGCTGGCGCCGCTCCTCCTCTTCTTGCTGCTGCTTGCGCTCAATCTCGGCGCGAATCTCGCTGATCTTCTTGGGGCCGGAGGCTTCCTGTCGAGCCTTCCACTTGTTCTGGCGAAGCTCAATCAGATCCTGCAGCATGAAGCGGATACGCGAAGGCAGCTTCTGGTTCTTGGAGAGCTCGGCGATTCTCGAGAAGTACAGGTCAATGTGCTGCTGAGCCTTCTCGTGGTCCAGGCGCGAGCCGATGGTGGCCATCAGCTTGCAGAGCGACTCGGTTTCCTCTTCCTCGGGGTCGCGGACATCGCGGAGGAGCTGGTTCACACAGCTGTGCATGATCTTTTCGGTGATCATGTTGAGCTTGAAGAGCTCGCCGATAAAGATGATGTTGCCGAGCACGCGGCGCTTGACCTTGCTGCGCTCGAACTTGGCCAAGGCATAGGCCTCCTTCTCCTCTGCAGTCATGTTGGGGAGGTTCTTGATCATCTCGGCCTCACTGGCAGCATCTTCCTGGGTCCACTTCTTGCCGCTTTCGAATTCTTCCTGGCAGGTGTTGAGGAGGGCGCGTCTAAAGTGATTGTTCTTACCCTCGCTCGAGACCCACGATTGGACCTTGGGGAGCTCGGCGCTCATGAACAAGCAGAGGTTGGCATAGAGACCACCAAAGCTGGGCTCGTCCACGGCCTTCTCGAAGATCAGCTCAATGACGGACTTGAGGAAGGTGGGAGAGGTGAGCTCGAGCTCGACCATCTGGCGGGCGAGCTTGTCGAACTTTTCGGGCGTCAGCTTGTTCAGGATCGAGCGAGCCTTTTTGGAGAGCTGGGCGCAGAAGGCTTCCTCGTCCTCCTGGGAGACCTCGTGCTTCTGGCCGAGGGTGGAGGACCAGGCGTTGTCGCTCTTCTCCAGGGGCTTGACGGGAGGCAGGTTGGCCGCAGCCTGCTGGGCCAGCAGGTCCTTCTGCGAGGGGGCACGGGCGTTCTTGCCGCTGTTGTTTCGGCCACCCAATTTGCCACCACGCTGAGAATTGGTGCGCTGGGGACTGGGCTGCCATCCAGCGCCACCCTTCTGACTGGCGATGCTGGACATGACGCCGGCGACGCCGACAGTCTTCTTGCCCTCGAGACTTTCGAGGTAACGCTCCTGGCTCGTCTTGGGTGGGTTGTTGCGGTTCTCGGCGACGGAACCGGCGCGAGACGCGCCACGCTGACTGTTGTTTCGCGGCTTGGGAGAGGAGTTGTTTCGCTCGGCAATGTCGTAGATGAACTCGAGCGAGGGGAGCTTCTCGGGACGCTGGGTGGTGACAGAGCCAAAGGCCTTCATGAACGCCATAAGATATTCGATCTTGCTGTCGACCATCTTGGGGCACTCGACTCCGCTCGGGTAGTTGAGCAGGCTGAACTCAGCAACGCTCAAGATGCGGCAGGAGCGAGTGCGAGTCTTGCTGGCTGGGGAGCTGGCCGAGGCGGGCTCCTCGGGGGCAGGGGACTCGGACCGCTTCACGGGGGTCTCGGTGAGCTGCTTCTTGGGGGACTTGGATCGGCTGCGTCCCTTCGACTGGGCACGAGCCTCCTCGGCGATCTCGCCCTCCTCCAATTCCAGCTCAGCCTCGGGGGCTTTGGCAGGCGACGGGCCACGCTTTGGAGAGACACTGCCACGCTTGCCGGGCGACTTGGATCTGCTGCGCTTTACGGGCTGAGGCTCTTCAGCCTCGACAGCCTGTTCCGCCTCCTCGGCAGGGGCAGGCTCCTCGGGAGCAGCGGCCTCAGGCTCAGGCTCCTCAACGACGATTTCTTTGGTTTGCTCCGCCACAGATTCGGGCTCGGGCTCGGGCTCGGACTGCTGCTCTTCCTCCACAGGAGCATCGGCGGCGTCCTCTTCAGCTGCAGCAACCTCTTCGTCGGCAGCTTCAGGAGCAGATTCCTCGACAGTCTCTTCAACAGTCTCTTCAACAGTCTCTTCAACAGTCTCTTCAACAGTCTCCTCGACAGTCTCCTCGACAGTCTCTCCAGCTTCTTCAGCCTGGTCCTCGGTGGCATCTGCAGCCAAAACCTCATCGGAAGCCACAGGGGTTTCTTCCGCGACAAGCTCGACAGGCTCCTCCATCTCGGTGGCTTCGGCTTCAGTTTCAGCCTCGACATCGGCCTCGACTTCAACTTCAGCAACATGCTCGGGTTCGGGCTGTTCGTCGACAGCCAAGGACTCTTCAACGATGGGCTCCTCGGTTTTTTCGTCCTTGGGAGCCTCATGGGCCTTGGCCTCCTCAAGATCCTTGGGATTGACAATCTTGATGGCCTTTGATTTCTTGGCCTCGTTGAGCAGGATTGTGGCGGGGAAGGCGGACGGGGTAGTGGGGGGCTTGGTGGGCGTCAGTGTTGTTGCAGAGACGGGCTTCTCGGCGTGAGGGATATCGACCTCTTGCAGGGTGCTAGGGTCGACGATGCGGATGGCCGATGACTTGCGAACGCCGAGAGCGGGAGCCTTGCCGGGGCTCATCTGATGAACGGGGAAGCCCGACTGAGACATAGCCGGAGCGGGGGTGTGGGGAGGGGGCCGTTGAAGCGGGTTGTAAGGCAGCCCGGGGTAAGGAGCTCGGTTGGCGTAGTAAGGGGCGTACTCGGCGGGATATCCGTTGGGGAAGCCATACTGGCTCGCGAAAGCAGGGCAGGACGGATCGAGGCGGTGTGGTGTGGTGTGGTGTGGTATGGCGTGGTACGGTGTGGTTAGCTATCGGTCGCAATCACGAAATCTCCGGGTACTCGGCAGATTGCACGCGCGACCTGATGTATGCAGCCCAGCCTGATAGAGAGGCGGGATATACTGCCATACGACGTTTGGACTCGACCCGCTCATGGACTTACAGCGTACTGCGCGGGCCAGAGCGCCGGAGGAGCGCCGCCAGCGGGATGGGTGGGGGGCAGGGCACCCATGGCGGGCATGGGCATGTGCTGAGGATGAATCAGCGGCGAGGTCTTGTAGGACTTGCCAGATCCTTGGTAGGGCGCGCCGGGGTTCATGGGTCGAACGGGCTGCATGCGAGGGTAGGACGCGGGCATCTGGTGCATGCCAGCGTGAGGTCCATGGAAGGCATGCGATCCATGAATCATGGGCTGTTGCTGTCCAGGCTGCAGCTGGGGCGGAGCCTGGCGGGCCGGCGACGGCTGGCGGGGACCCGGTGGAACTTCCTTGGGTTGAATGCGAGGGCTTGTGATCCTCTCGGGAAGGACAGCTGCAGAAAGCGATGGGCTGCTGGTCCGATCGGCGCTGCTCGGGGTCGACTGCTGGATCTCAGCCTCGGGCGCGATGGTGGCGACTTCGGCAGTCTCAGCAGGAGCTTCGGCTGTTTCGTCGTCCGTTCCAAATCCGAACATGAACTTTTTCTGTCCCGAGGCTTGATGACAAAAGCAGAGGCGCGTGAATGGCATGCGAGAGCAACCCAATCGATATGGTGGACGGTGCACCCATTGTTCCTCTCCAGAGACTGCCACAGGGACGAGTCCGCTAGCACCTACCGAGTTTGCTAAACTTGGAGTTGAGGTTTCCTTTGAAAGCGACGCTGGGTCCCGGCTGGCCGGGGGTAGGCTGAGCCTTGGTGCTGTTCAGAGATATGGGGAGGACAGTGCGGATATTGAATGGAACAGTAAGCGTGGGTGCACAACCGAATACAAATCAGATCGGCCGATGGAATTGCGCACTGAGCTGGAATCTGTTGGTTGGATCGGCGGTGATCTGTCTCGATGCGTTCCGCCCAAGATAGCCCAACATCGAATGCGACACGCAGAAAGATCCAGAAAAGGCCGCGATGCCCCCAGATGCGGTCCGGATCGAGGGCGTGCAATAGCAGAGTTCGATCGTTACCTTGTTGATTTGGAGTCATGTGCAGCCTTGGAAGCCAATGCAGCCGCTGATTCGGGCTCGGACCGAGAGGGCTGCTTCTTGTGGGATGGGGTGTGCGACGGAGCAGCCGATGCCTGCTCGACCGACGGCGGCTGTGACGGAGCCTTAGATTCAGCGACAGGGGCAGCCGTAGGTTTGTTGGAATCTTTAGCAGAGGTTGTTGTTGGGGCGGCGGAGGCAGCGACGCCGGATGGGGCCGACGAGACCGACTGGGCAGCGATCGAGGCAAAGCTGAAGTTCTGAGAGACCGGGCGACTCTTCTGGGTGGGTGCGACCGGCTGGGGCGAAGCGCTGGCGGGGGGAGGAGTAGCCAGGGCAGCCGGCGCAGCCGGGGCAGCAGCGACAGCAGGGGTAGTTGGAGAAGCCGGCGCTGGAGCGGCAGCTGGAGCGGCAGCCGGCGCAGGCGACGGGGTCTGGGCCGGCTGCGAGTGCAGCGAGTGGGATGAGGGAGGGTGGTGCTTGTTGGATTTTTTGTTCCGAGGCTTTCCAGACGACTGTTGCGGGCTCGAGGTGTGCGAAAGGGCCGATCCAGGCCGAGAAGCGGGAGCCGCCGCCGGCTTGGACGGAGCGGCCTGCGAGATGGAGGCGGTGGGCGAGTTGACGGACACGGCAGGCTGCTGCTGAGGGGACGGGTTGGAAGCAGGTTGCTTCACCATCTGGGCCCAGGAAGTCATGATGATGGCTTTGGTACAAAAGGGGAATTACGCAGAGTGAGTATCAAAACCTGATGCCGGAGAGAGATTGCGGACTCTTGGTGCACAGAATCGAGAAACAGTGAGTTTTCGATGGGAGATGCAGGGCTCTGATCCGTTGCCTGCTTAGAATCTGGACGAGCCAAGAGGAAACGGGTAGAATGCTGAAGATATGTACGTATAGACTCCTCGAGATGGAAATGGGGGAGAGAGAATGGACAAAGTGAGGAAGCCGATCGAAATATAGTGCAGATGAAATGGAGAAATAACAAAAAAAAAAAAAACGGCTCAAGAGCAGAATGTAGGGGAGGAGGTGAAACGAAGATCTTCTCGGATCCAGCGACGGAACGAGAAGAGAAGGATTAGTAATGGGAGGGGGACGGGGGATATAACCAGGACCGAGTCTCCGGGATTACACCTTTGGCGCTAGGGCTCTCTGAGGACGAGAGATGGGTGGCCGAGGGAGATTTTTTGTCTTCCTCGCGGGCCAGGACGAGGTCATCGCACGAAGCACGAAGGCAGGCCGAAAAAAAACTGGCTCGAGTGCACGGATCGAGCCAACATGAGGGTGTCCGGCAGGGACAGCAGCCGCCCACCCTCGTGCGCGGGGGGTGAAGCACCAGAAGGACACCAACAGCGACACCGGCAGCGACACCGGCAGCGACACCCATATTCGCCCTGCCGTCTGCCCGGTCCGACCATAGAAGGGCTGGCACGGATGCGTTGCCGTGCGCTGGCTTGGCTGACAACGGAGATCGGATGCAGATGTTCATTCCTGGCGGCCTTGAACCGAGCCAACCTGCCCCGTCCGATGCACCCAGGTATCAGTCGGATGACTGCGATCGGAGATATCGCTCGATTGCAGACAGCCTCGATCAGCAGCATCCACAGAGGCTCTCTGAAGCAAATGTACCCCGTTCATCCAGCCGGCAATCGTACCAGTAGTCGAACCCCTCCCAATCACGATGTATTGGCGTTGAGCCCTGGTCGACACTACCAGCAGAGTTGGAAGGAAATATATGCACTTTCTTGCAGCAGCGCTAATTCCAAATCATCTTTGCATCGGACGATGGCCAAGCGGTCCAGTGAGACCAGCGATCCCTACGAGGGAGATCTCGTCAGCTCCAACGACTCGTATCCCCTCCAATGCTATCGTGGCAATCTGACCTTTGGGTGGTCCGGCATCCACGCCAAGTTGAATGTGAGCTTCGCGTTGGACTGATTTTCCATCACAGACGATCGTGCTGATCACATCCTGCATTTCATCCTGACGACCGATTCTGGCCAACAGGAGCCTGCACGAGACATTGTGATCGAGTCCGGATACTGGGAATCTTCCATGTGCGTTTCTGATCTCTGAGCTTCACGTGTTCGGGCGTCTGTATATTCTCCGAGGTCGCTGAGAACCCGAGGAAATGAGGGCGATGGGCAGCTTGAGCATATGCCAACTTTCACTGATCCCCTGGCTCCAGGCTCTCGAGTCATATATATGAGATTCTACTGCGCGAAATCATGGGCTATCCAGCCATCAACAGGCTCTACGTTGGAGGTAGGTGACCGGCGCCGTTACAGCGGGTCAATGGCTTGATGGCGCCGGACTGATGAGAATCGCATATAGGGGTTGTAACTGGAAACCGGCTGAAGCACGGAGTCACGGATCTCTCGGTCGAGCTTTGGCAGTCGGACGGTGAGTCTGCGAGAGGGTGGGTGGCAGCCGATGGACTGGAATCTGCTGTTGCTGCATGGACCAACGACTTGGCGATGCTGTTTGCTGGAATCTGGGATGCACTCTGTGAGTCCAGTGCCGTAAGATATCTCTCGGATACTGCTGCCGGTCGATCGATCCTGATCCTGATCCTGATCCCCACCCACCGGCTCAGCAACATACTTTCAGCAAATGGTCGTCTTTGAGGAGTCGATCATCTATGCTGGGACAATCAACTACTTTGGCCACATCGGGTGGTACGTCCCAACCTGGTGAGCAGCCGCCGCTGATCAGTCGTTGCTCGTTGCTCGTTGCTCGTTGCTCGTTGCTCGTTGCTCGTTGCTCGTTGCTCGTTGCTCGTTGCTCGTTGCTCGTTGCTCGTTGCTCGTTGCTCGTTGCTCGTTGCTCGTTGCTCGTTGCTCGTTGCTCGTTGCTCGTTGCTCGTTGCTCGTTGCTCGTTGCTCGTTGCTCGTTGCTCGTTGCTCGTTGCGCGTTGCTCGTTGCTCGTTGCTCGTTGCTCGTTGCTCGTTGCTCGTTGCTCGTTGCTCATCCATCGCTCAATCAACCGTGTCGTGCCCAGGGTCGTCAATCAATATCCTCAATACTTTATCGATTTTTGGCGAGCGTTCACGAACCCGAATGTGATTGCGTTGTTTGTCCAGTCCGGGACGGGGCCACGGGTGTATGGACCCGGCGGCACCCCCGAATGCGACAACGTCCCCAACGGATGCATGAACGGCACATGTGGGTGTAGCGAATCGACGGGCTGGGTCAGAGCGACGATGGCCAAAGTGTGTTGGGAAGGGGGCAGACAGTGTTTGCATTGAGGCTCAACAGTAACACTACACCATCACGGCCATGACATCCGCAACGACAACGACAACGACAACGACAACGACAACGACAACGACAATCACATTCATAACGACAACGACAACAACCAGACATCCCGAAGCAATGCATCAATAACACCCATTGTGCTGGTACTATGCTGCATTATACTCTCCCGACTCCGTCAAGTGCATTGTGTGTTCTCTTGGCATTCCGAAAGCTAATGCTGTGTGGTGATTTGTCGAACAGAGTTCTGGGCCAGTGGTAAGTGCCGAACCGTCTTTTTTCTGTCATCATATTTGTCAATCGGGCATAGAGGCGGCAAAATCTCCAATTATCATGAATTGAATTGCGCCTGCATATAACTCATTCCTACCCTCATACTCGGACAGATCCCTCGTATGCGAGCTACTACAACGAGCGGCTGATCGACGGACTCAATCTCAACTTGACAATTGCCTACCTGGTATGATCCATATCGGAAGTGGCGATCGGGTGAATTTCGCATCTCATCTCATCTCATATCCGGTCTGTTATTAGGAAGGTCAATATCTTGAAACCTACATTACGGCCGGTGTACAGCCCATCGTCTTTTACAACTGGATTCCAAGTTTGTTCGTTTCATCGTAAGTTCGATCGAAGACGATATTGTTCAATTATGCAATCTTTCCTTTCCAAAATATCCCGCAGAGTGCATTGCCTGCCGCTGCGATTCCGATGACCCTTGGCATAGTATGGCACTGACAACGATTGCAACGCAGATACAATGTTACAAGAATACCATTCCCGTACAAGTCAAACTGTTTGGATAAGTTTTTTCTGAGTCAGTGTCTCTTCGACCATGCGAATCGTGACGGCACCTTAGTATCATGATACATCATATCAAGTGCTGTGTGCCCCTTCTGCTTTGGAATGTATGAAAGCACAGTGTATCTGACTTATGGAGCGGTCGCTCTACAGATCGAACATACACTCCAGTATCATGCGATTACCCGATGGACTACTTGTTCAAGGCCACAAGCGTGGAGTTCAAGAATGAGTTTATATATCCGTACGAATTGGTGCGGACTGATGCAACTGTTTCGGAGCATTCAACAAGCTTGAGTTCGGCCTGCTCTTGTCCCATATCCGCATGCCCCGATAACCACGTGGTTTGATGTACTGGGAAGAATGAAATACGCACGCGACGTAATGATGGCGTGGTCGTTGCCAGTCATACTGATCAATCTTTTGCATTCGATCCTTTGTAAACATCAAGCTGGAGAGAATGAAGCTGAACAATGAGCAAATCAACGAGCTCTTGATCCAGATTGGGCAAACAAATATGAATGACCTCGACTACGGCAATGTAGCATGTCAGTGGATAGTCGAAAACGAAGCAACATGGAGTTCGTGGATTCCAACACCCCCTGTCTTGGATGTTGGTGAGTCGGCTCCCTGGTTTTGGAATGGTGATGTATGACCTACCTGTTCTGAGCAACGATGTGCGCTTGAAACTAATACCGTAGTGCTGTTGAATCCTGCCCTCGCTTTGGCTACCGATTCTGGCTGTTGCGACTAGAATACTGCCCAGTTGGACAAGGGAAATACCAAATATCCAATACGACCGTGTGCTTGAAGTGCTCTCAAGGCTTCTACAACTGGAATCCCAACAACACCGATGTTTGCTCCGCCTGTCCGAACCTGGCAACATGCACTGGTGGATCAAATGTAACACCCATGAAGGACTACTGGATCAATCCCAACGGGACTACTCCGCAAATAATTGTAAGACTGACATGCTCCCAGATGATCTCGCCGAGTATAGATCGCATCTCATTCTGCGTTGGCATTTTCGTTAGGATAAACGAGACTGATGTGCTCATTTGCTAACCTATGTTGCAGAAATGCCCTGAAACCGGTGTCTGCTGGACATGTAAGCTGACGCAGGGATGGCCGAATCGGATCCAAACGACTCTAACGTGCAACGCAGTAATCTATTCTGCCATCGGCTACAACAATGCATATTCATTCCGAAAATGAACTAACTTTGCTGTTGTGGTGTGAATTCATGTGCTGCAGTGGCTTCCAACAACATGACTTCGCAATGCACGGACGGAATCGGAGGCGTTCTCTGCTGCGAATGCAATAATCCGGATCTCTACAAGTGGGGAGGTAAGAGCGCTACAAAAACAGTAGCGATGTTGATTCCACTGGCGGCTGAGACCAAGAGAGCGGATCATCATATGGTCGTATCTGCTATCAAATCGGAAGGCACTGATCAGTCAACGCGGCGGCTTCATAATGTGTATCAAGCTATGTATAACAATCGAACCGTTCGTTTCAAATTCCACGACCCCTATATTAGGTGAATGCGTGCCATGTCCTGGCAACCTTCCCGGACCTGCTCTGGTGCTCGTTGCGCTCGGGTGCTTCGCCTTTGTTCTCGTGATCTATTTGATGCCGAAAACATCTGGCGCGACGATCGACATTGTGGTACGCAGTTTGCGGAGTCTGCATTCTTTGTCCAGGTGCAATGACAGCACAGATCAGAAGTGATAGCGCTCAATGCGGTTTGTCGATGTGTATATCTTGTGTGGGGAAGAAAGTGGCCGATTCAGCTGATCATTTCCCTGTGCAATTGTCATATCATACGTCCCATCCCCCAAGACATTCTATATCCAAGTCGCCGGATTGATCAATGAACAGTTTGACTTTACGGAGCTAACGAGCATCATGTCGATCAACATGGATCTATCGACGACTTGCGTCTATCCGGTGAAAGGGATATACAAAGCGCTCTCGTTCTTCAGCGTTCCTCCCTTCTTGGCATTGTGCCTGCTGATCGTATATGGATGCAACATTTTGATTCGGCGGTACTATCGACGAGAAACGGCGATCTACACGCCTCTCAAAAAATGGATCGACTTCCACAACTCGGATGAAAAGGAAGGCTCGCTTCTTCCGTACATGATCCACTCTGCGTTTGAGATCATTATGTGCTGTGCGATTCCACTTATAAATACGTCGCTCGAAATTCTGGACTGCAGACAGATAGGCGATGTCAAACTGATGTATACAGCAGCCAACACAGTCTGTGGAGTCGGCGTGCATTTTTGGGCGACAATATTTGCAAGCACGGTGATTGCGTTCGTCCTTGGGATGGCGCCGTTTTGGTCGCTTGTATATCTCTATCGGCTCAAAACCCAGAAGAGACTAGCGCTGCAGGACGAGGAAGTATGGTAAGTCCAATGAAACGGCAGTATTGATATTGGAGCCGGTATTGGTATTGACGGTTATCGTGAACTGCTTTCGTCAAGGCATAAGTGCTTCTACATGTCCTATCGTCCCAAGTACTACTTCTGGCTTCCGGTCGGTCTAATCGAGCGAGGAGTGATTCTCCTGATATTCGTGCTCTATCGATCCGATGACGGTAAGTCCTTTGAATTCGATATGACAGCCCCCATAGCTTTGACTGGTTCGAGCGCAGAGCTACATTGACTCCGAACATTATGATGACCAATAGTCTACCAAGTCAACGTTGTTCGGCTGCTGGTCATTTTCCTGGTCGTGATCATCCGATGTTATACGCAGCCATACAGAAACCCGATGGAAGGGACTCTTTCTCGCGTGAGCGCACTCTGCTGGCTCACACTCGCCAGTATCGACTTTCTGTACATCTTCAGCTGGCAAGATGCGTCGAATCCGCTGATGTACTTTTTGACAGCGATTTTGTATCTGCTGCCCGTGTTGATAGTCGGGGTGTACTACGTGTTTTCGGGCATCGAGTTCATAATCCGCATGATAAGAATGCCCAAGAAGGTTTAGGACCATTCAAGATATGGTGATTCAGCCACTGACGAGGACTTTAGAGTGCTTCACTGAAGACAACCATGCTTACGCTGCTGTAGTTCCAACCTACTGCCTTGAGTCATATGCAGCACAAATGCATTTGTTTCTTGATTATGTTTCCCATGATATTTCTATACTATAGAGTGCGTGCACTTTTTTCAGAAAAAACGGGACACCACACCCGCTTTCATGGACATGTAGTATGTGATGAGCTTGCGTCTAGCCAAGCCATAAGAAGGGCGATGTAGGTGGCGACGGTGGTGCTTGAATTGCTCAAAGTACCAAGCAAAGCGTTGCCTTCTGGGACTGGATGCATAGCCCTTGCCTTGACGCATTTCCAACGGTGAATGGTGCTCTTGGACACACTGAATATGGAAGCAACTTTTCTCAGGCAATGGATGAGGGCGTAGCACCGCATCACAGGATGGTCGTGGCTAGCACGCGATGCTTTGAGGCAACAAAATATTCGATCAACGACCAAAGCAAAGGTGTCCCGTTATTGGAGCGCCTGCAATAGATCTGATCGACATCCTCTGTTAACGATCGATCCCGTGTAGCGACGATCAACTGGCATTGATAACGCGATGCAGGGTGTGGCGCATGCATTCGACCCAAGGAACATCTCCGGAGGAGGTCGTGTTTCTTGGCATCCAGGGAGTCGGGTCAAGCGAGTCGCTTGGTCTCCATCTGGATCTTGGACATCTCTGGCGACGGTGCAGCTTCTCAAAGCAATTGGAAACACTGGATCTCGGTGGACTCGATGGTTCCCTTCCTTTGCTTTCAGGAGGCATTCCTAAAGGCAGTCACAATGGTGTGTATTCAGGACCCTGGGAATGTAATTCCAACTCAATAACAGGGTGGCACATTTCGCATTGGGCGCGCTGTATTCAAGATTGTGCTCCTGCAACTAACCAAAGCCACCCGATTGCCAAAGACAGGAATGTAATCCCATGTACTTCCCACCGGGGCCGACAGATCACTGTGCTGAAGGCAATGATTGACGCGAGTGGTACTCAAGGGCGCGAATTCTCGTTACTTTCCGAACAAGCGGAGCTCTGACGCCAACAGAGAGACGCCGGTCCATAAATCCTCGACATTTCTGCGACATTCTTCTCGCATAGTGAGCGATGACGACACATATTGGGATGATATAGATCAGCGTCAAGGTCGAGTTGAATAGCCACGAATGACGGATACTTGGAGCAAGCATAAACATCATATTGTAACTTGCAAGCGCGGTCCAACAGAGGGCTGATACGTGACTGAGTTGGTTGTCCATGTTGTTCTTGTACGGATAGATTTGGTACCGGAATGATAGCACGAGAAAGAAGAGCAAGACGATGGCTAAATTGTTTCCGGCGGCTGGGTAGCACAGATGTGATTTATGTTAGGTTTGTGTTCCATGGATTTTGTGCCGAAAGCAGCAGTTACATGGGGGTCTTACAATCACGAGATGTGCAGAGCGCAAAGAGGACGAGAATGCTTCCGCGCTCCATCAACCCAATAGGGAGCCAAAAGTAGTACTTGGATCGAAATGAGTAGTAGAGGCACTTGTGCCTGTCAAAAGGAGATGGGCGGAGTTACGCGCAATACATGGGCGAAATCCGGGGCGGTTAACCGCCGTGGCAAGTCAAACAAAGGGAAACGCAAGTTGCCAAGCCAATAACACAAACCAAGCGTCTTCGTCGTCAATAGCCAGTTTGTTCGCCTTCTTGATTCTCCACATGAAATATGTCATCGCACATGGAAATATCAAGAGCATGATCACGACGATAGAGATGGCGCCAATCGTTGCCCAGTAGTGAGTGCCAACACCACAGATGGTGTCGGTGGCGGTGTACATCACACTCAATCCGCCAATGGTTCGACAGTCCAATATCGTAAGAACCTTGCTAAGGAAAGGGATGGCACAAAAAAAGAAGATTTCGAATCCTGAATTGATTGCGCTCGATGTCAGGGAAACGGTGCCGATGCTCAGCCGGAGGCGATCCTGGAGGAAAATCTTGGTTTCTGGCATTCGCTGGAGAGCCTTTCGGATCCAAAAATTGGCGAATACAACCAAAACAAGGTTGAGATACATGACAAATGGAAAGGTCAAGTAAACAAGGGTCTTGTAGATTCCGCGAACAGGGAAAATACAGAGTTGGGAAAAATCGAGATTCAGCGACACGGCACTGCCGAGGACACTTGAGTCGAACTCGTCGTTGATCGAAAGCGCAACCTGGAAGTAGAACGACTGGATACAAACGATGGGTGGAAGTAGGGGTGGGAGCGGTGAGCAGCGAATCGAGAGTGGAAAGTGGGAATCCATCAATCGTTCGTTCGTCACCTATTGATCCAATGCTCCGTGCCAATCCGTGCCAATCCGTGCCAATCCGTGCCAATCCGTGCCAATCCATGTCCACCTCCAGTCCTTCTACAAGCGGTCCCGGCCTTCAGATCGTGTTCTCACCAGTATATCCAGCGTGGCACCGGACGATTTGGGGATCATGTGGACAAAGACCACGAATGCCAGAGAGGCCATCCACACAAAGAACAGGATGCTTCCAGGCATGTGGTTCGGACATGCAACACATTGTCCTGTGGCCACCGAGATTGATGACATGGCGTTGTGAATCGCCGCAGAATCGGCGGCGCCGAATGAGGCATTAGCGACACACAGACTAACACCGGTGTTGACAGCCGGGCTGTTTCCACGCATCACCACACTCATTTGCAATCGGTGGCACGCCGCTGCGCCATGAACCCAGAAACGATCATTCCGAGTCAGCAACATACTCACCACCCCATTCGTACAGGCTTTGATCGACACATTGGGTGCACAACAGCCCTCCGAGCCCATTTGAGCACTGGCTTGTCATGTTGTTTGACCAGGGTTCTAGCGGTGGGTGCAGGTGCAGATATGGACGTATCGACGGTGAATATATCGCCAGTGGATATATCGACGGTGAATATATCGCCAGTGGATATATCGCCAGTGAATATATCGCCAGTGGATATATCGCCAGTGAATATATCGACGGTGGGACAGCAAGTCATGCCCAGCGCGCGGCGTATGGCATTCAACATCGATGCCAAGTCGCCAGAAGGGAATGTGAGCTTTTGTTCCGAAATCCAGACGCACCTGACCAACAAACACCGCTGATTGGACATGGCTTGTCGAAAGCGACGTGAGAACAAGTAAGCGACAGTGTGAGCGGCCATTGATCGATTGTAACTTGGCCCAGCGATGGCCCCAGCGCCGCTGCCGGTTTGTTTAGCATTCTCTTCTCCATCCCCCACTCCCACTCCCACTCCGCTCCACTCCCACTCCGGCCTACATAGATTGTGGCTGTGTAGCTGCTCGGATCGATCCAAAAGTTTTCTTGTGGTGTCACGTTTGATCCTCCCAAGCATGTCGCTAGTTCCGGGCAGCTCTGGCATCCGGATGGGTTGATTGGGTTCCAGTTGTATGTCCCATCGCTGCAAACCAAACACATGGTGACACTTCCAACGTTGTACTTTCCCTGTCCGACTGGACAAGACTCTGTTTCCACAGGCACAAGGACAGTAATGCTTCGAGTCAGTTGGCGTTGACCACACCAAAGCAGCACCAGCACCGGCACCGGCACCAGCACCAGCACCGGCACCAGCGCCAGTCGCACGACTCTTCGGCTCGGGCTGCTTGGCGACAGCTCACTCACCCACATCCAACACCGGTGGAGGAGGAATCCACGAGGCCCATATGTCTTCGTTGTCGTTGATCCATTGGCAGGCAACGTTTCCATAGTCGATTGACGTCATGCTTGTCTCTGCCAGATCTCTCAACATGGCGTCAATCTCACCGTTGCTGATTTTCATGAGCTCGAGCTTGACATTGGTGGTATGAGGGAGTGTGTGAGGACAGAGCGCACTCGGGCTTTGCCTGGTGCCGATCGCCATTGTTGTCTCGGACACCCCCAACAGCGCTTTCGATTCGTGCTGATCGTTACCAACTGGAAGGCGTATGGAAAATCGCGCTGGAACGCCACGCTTGATGCTTTGAACAGAAAGTCTATGGGATAGTCGCATGTGATATCGCTCTCCTGTCGATCTTTGATGATGCAGTGAGTTAGACAATCCCTCAGCCCCACTCCCCTTTCGCATCTTGGCAAAATGCCAGTGGTTGACTCACCAGAAAGGAAGCGATCCAAGCACGTCAAATCCTTGACTGGAAATTGGAGCCGCGTCAAGTTGTTTCTGTTTCATGAGCGTGTTAAGTTGAATCGTGAACATCATCATTGAATGACGTCTCAATAGTTACTGCTTGCACCCTCGCTTTCGATAACTTACTGCGCTGTCATGATGGCCGGCGTCCATGAGAAAAACATGATTGCTTGATGACGATCCAAAGCATCCTGAATAATTGCTGCATAGTTTTGACCCTGTGTCGACGCTCGCATTCAAATCAGCGATTCTCAGCGAATTTGCATCTACTGGGCAATACATCACTTGCTCACCAGATATCGGATTGTGATATTCAGCATAAGGCCGTCTATCAGCCGTTCGTTGAAATAGACGCTGTATGACGGATCTTTGGTGCAAGCATGTGAGCACACACATCCATGAGGCTTGATTCAGCTTCTGCCATCCGGATACTTGCCTATAGCCCAGAACTCTGTTGTGGAATGCTCATTAATACCGCGTCTTGCTCCATCTCCAGCGCTTCGCCAAGTTTGCGTCGGGCTGCTCAGATATTTCTTACCGACACAGTTTGGGTTTCCGACACACTGTCGAGGAATATCTAGATTGGAGTACACCGCAATTTTGATGGCAATCGTGTGAGTCTCATTTCAAACCCTCGGCTGTCGCATGGTTCCCATCAGACGCCCTCGTTGATTTGTCCTCCTCTCAGCAGTATGCTTTCCGCACATGTGCCATTCATGCACCCGTTCGTGATGTTCGTGCAAATCGGCATTCCCGACGAGTCCGTCACCGACGGGCCGGTACCGCTTCGTGGGTATACTGCCAAAGCCCTTGGGTCGTCCAAGGATCTCCAAAAATCGAGAAAGATGTTCGGATTGGCAGCCACAACCCTGTAGATATTGAAGGTATGAGGTCAGTACCGAGTCTTTGTAGTCAATGGCGCCAGTGCCCCGAATCATCGATCGAAGCATGGCTAGCATGAAATTGGACAGCATACCAACTGGGAATGTACCACCCGTTCTTTCCGACGTAGCCAACTTGACCGGCGTATATCACTGACTGTTCCACCGTTATATACTCCCTATAATACGAGGCTGGGTTGGTAATCAAGCAGCATCAGCGATTGCCATTGGAATACTGTAGATACAATCAGCTCCGAGCTCATGGGGTCGCGCAAATGCCCTCAGTCATACCGTCGGCTTGCCAAAGCTCAATGGAGACGTCGCTGTCGCCGCTCCTCAGTCGTGCACCCGTCGCGGCTCCTGTAGGCAAAGCGAGAGTGCCCCGTCAGATCGGATCGATGCAAAGTCCATTTTCCGGCCGCACCCGGTCGATCCTTGTGAGCATCGGTAGTCGAAACCATACCTCCCCAATACAGACGATTCGTCACATCATAGCCCAGAATGTCGCGCAACAGGATCTCGTAGATATGACTTGCGAGTCTAGCGAGTCGGGAATGCAAGTCAGACGAATGCTGCAATATCGGCTGGTCTCTCTCGCAAGACAGCGTCTGCCGATCAGTTGCATTAGTCAGGAAAACACGCTGAATTGGAAACATCCACGGTGGTCGGAGCGATATGTCGTGGTGTGCAGCCAAACGGGCTGTTACCGTGACGAGTCCCAGTCACCCGATTCCACGACAATGCTACGTCTGGACTCCTGTAGGATCGAGAAGAACGCACGTCAATGCACCGCCGACTCACTTTCATGGCGTGTGTCATTGCGGGTCGAGTGCCTTCATTGTTCCCCGCCCATGGTTTGCATGATCGGGGCTGGTTCTCACTTCTAAGAAAGCAAGTCATCGCAAAGTTCCTATCCTTACAGCGAGCCTCGAGGCAATGCCTTTCCAGTGGAAGGTATTTGTGTCTTGAAAGCACTGGTATGGATACGAGTCATCGGCCAGCACCAAATCGAGTGCATTGGCGGTGCTGGTGGTCGCATTCTGGCTCATCGAGGCGAACTTTCAACCCTGGGAGCGACTTGCGACAACTGACGACAACTGGCGACGCGCTGAAGGTTGCAGGGCGAGAGGCGGGTTGAAACGGAGGCAGGGGCGGCGGGCAATCTGATATCGATGGATCTCAATGCGTGAAGACGGCGGCGGGCAGAGAGAGAACTGACAACGCTTGCAGCAGACAATGGTTGTGCCAGCCGAAGAGACATGCCGTCACAGCGGGCTGAGCGTAGCGATCGGGCAGATTTGGCTGCTCTGCATTTGGTTGCGGTGGCTGTCATGGGCATCATATCCACCCATGCGTATCCATATCGATGCTGTTATTTCAGTGGGTCGTACACTGAGTTGGATCTAGCCCTGTCCAAGGGCAGGGCCTGATCCAAGATCCATGATCGGAGACATTGGGACGCCGAGACGCCAGTACAGAGCGGCGTGTGATCCACCACAGCCCGATTGGATGCGAAACAAGTCCGTGTGGCTGAGAGTATTCATCATCTTCGCCCTGTGCGTGCGCCCATGTCTGTCTAATGTGCTCGAGCGCAATGTCATTAATCCAATGAAGTGGTTGCATCGCAACCACAAAGGCGGCATCGCAGCATGCAAACCGATTGCCGCTCCCGAAGACTGACCAGCCGAGAGGGACTTTGCTCACTAAAGCAAGCGAATTGGAAACAATGGGCCGGCAGCTTCCCTCTCCCATGGACACCCACTCATATGGATACTATCCGGAATGAAGATTCACATTATCTTGATTGATTCGTCATTCACATTTCTGTTTGTATTGCACATATTAGGATGCGAAATGGCGTGCGATACTGCACTGACGCAATCGCCCAAAGCCGTACATAGGGCTCGTTCAAGCTCGGTGGTGGTCAAAGATTGAACGTCGAGCAGGGCTCATTAAGGGTTGGCTGGTGCCTTGTCGGTCGACAGAGGCAGCCGCTGGTCTGTGGCCTCTTTGATGAAACGGTCGATGAGGGATCGCACATACTTGACAGAGGCATGCGGTGCGTCGCCCTCTTGAATGGACTTGGGATCCAGGAGCAGGGAGCCCAGGGCCCATCGGATGATATCGGCGCGGGCGAGTGATCCGTCTGCCTGCGCTCCATCGACGCCAACCGCATCGGAGGAGGAGCCAGGGACCCTGGCGCTATCCATCGTGGCCTGCAGCTCTGACAGCAGCCGCATCCTCTGTTGCTCCAGAGGAGTGGTCATGGTATCCACATTCACATCCTGTGCTCCAGTTGGCCGCATCGATTGAGTGAGCGTATCAAGTTGTCGCCGGACTTGGCTGAGCTTATCCGCAGGCGATTGGGCCGAGCCGCCATCAAGAGGAGCTTGCTCATGCGGACAGTCAGGCGCGTCGAGACGAGGACGCTTTGTTGAGCCGGGTGAATCTACACCGTCGTCGCTGGCGCAGGCCAACATCGACGTCGCCTGTATCAGCCCAATGCGCTCGTTGAGAGCGGTGTTGAGCTCGTCAATACGTTGCTCCAGATCGTCGTTGTTTGCCTTCAGGCGCTGGTGCGCCTGATTCACCTCTGCAAGGGCCGCAGCTCGATCGGAACAGAGCTCGGGATATCGCACGCTAAAGAAAATCTGGCAATGTAAGCAGAGCGTCAGCATTGTCATTGAAAATGAGCCAGTGGACCACCCAAAAGATCGAGCAACAAAGCAGCAGCGAGCGACAGCATGCCATGCTCACAGACACTAGATGCTGGATAGATCATTTGCTATGCAAGAGCTTTACATTCCCAGCAGGCGGCACAACTCGAAAAGGTGCCACCGAAAGGTTGGAGCTCAGTTCAAACACAGCGGTGATAACAATCGACTCGCAATTCTATCGGCATCTATTGCAAGTGTAGACAATCCCAAGGCATGTGCACATCCGCGGCAAAGGAAGAGAAACGGTATCGCGCCACCTACCTTCCGGAGCTGCTTCGCCGAGTCGCCAGCGGCCTCAATTCGTCGTTTGGCAAGCTTAGTGTCGAGTTGGGTCGGCTGCGGCGGAGCACCTAGCTTTGGAAGACTTGCGTGGGTTTTGGCGATCAGAGCTGTTTCAAAGCACTCCAGCAGCCAGTTGACATCGGCTGCTGACAGCGACTCTGGCATGCTCTTACGCCACTGTGTACGGATCACATCCTCGACATAGCGTCGAGCCACGCCGTAAAGAGAGATCAGAAGGATCGTCTGGAGCTCCGAGGCGGCATGTTCGTTTAGGGCCTCGGCTTCAACCTTGGGCTGAGGAACAACCTTGACAGGTCCCATGTCCAACTCCGGATCTGGATCGCTCTGCGGCAGATAAATATTGCGGTGCAAGGCAAAGAGCACGGCATAGTACGGCGCGTTGGCAGGACTGATTTCAGGAGATATGTGCTTGCATTCTTCGGGCACTTCGATCGAAGGGACTTCTTGTGCATGAGTATCCGACAAGGTGTCGTCGCCCACGCCCCAGCCGGCCGATGAAGCGTTGGCATGGGCAGTCTCTGCTTCCGGAGGGTATGTAACGTCCATGGGATCGTCGGCGACTGTGGGATTGGCAGCACTTTCGGGACCAGATACGGGCTCGGGCTGGCTGACAGTGCCCCAGCCAACAGAGGCAATAGTGCTTGGGTGCGCGCTGTCCACATCCATGGAGTCGACACCCCATCCATTTGATGAGTCGACTTTGGTGGGCTTGCTTGTGCCTATGTGTGTTGGGGGTGTCGACGGTGGTTCTGCCGGTTCCTCCTTTGCTGTTAGGTCCAAGCTATTGCTGGTAAGGGAAATGAGACTTTAGTCAGGCTGAACAACACGCCGCGCGCAAACATGTTGCGAGCGGTGCTGTGGCTGAAAGGAGACCCTGATCATTGCATTTGGTTCAAGGACCGAACTTTCCGCGTGTCGCTGGGCCCACAGTCCCATCCATTCGACACATCGCTACTAGCTTTAAGGTTGACCGACGGCACGAGCTATCCCAGCCGCAGACACACCCGCGAGAAGATACCTGGACGATTGCTCTTCAGAATCCATTGCCTTTGAGGGGGCCGCGCTATAGCATGCCTGGCAACTCTGGCGGTTGGTGTTGTAGGTTCCACAGCCAGGCTTGGCACAAAGCCACCCCCTTACCGGTTTCGAGCTCGGTCGCTCAACCTCCTTGTTGCTGGCCGAGCTGCCCCAGCCGGACGACGCCTGGTCGCGAGAATAAAGGCCGGGCCGAGGCGACATGCACCGTTCGCAGATGCGGACATCGATGGTGTTGGCGCTGTTGCAGTAAGCGCACTCCCACATGGCGGGGACGCCGACGTTGCTTGGTGGATCGGAGTCGAGTGAATCTTGGTGCAGCGAAGAGTCAGGGGGTGGAGGGGCTTGGGATTCGGAAGGGCTCACGAGGCCACTTGACTGCTTGGGCCGGCCGGTACGGCTATGGTCGTCGTTGGCGGGCTGCTGCGAGTCGGGAGTAGTGTCCATTATGGCACCCCAGCCCTGAGAGCCTGTGGCTGCTGGATCCGCTCCGGTCGATGGGGTGGATGGTGGCTCTCTAGCCGAGTCGGCTGTCGAGGCCCCAAACCAACCCGCACTGGTGCTGTCCTGGCGCCGTCCACCAGAGGACCAATCTCGGTTGCTCGCGGACTGGATTTCTCTGACATTGGTGCCTGGTGTATCAGCATGACGAGGCTTATCGCTTGGGTATGATCTGCCGCTCTGAAAGGGCCGACTGTCTGAGAACGATCGATCCGCTGAGCCAGACCGACTGTCCGAGTATGCTTGCTGGGACCAACCGGCTTGACTACCTGAGCGAGACCGCTCACCGGTGGAAGGCCGACCCTTGGTCTCGGAATTGGACCTTGGCACAGCGGCGTCCTCCCGAGTTGCTCCTGGACTGGCGAAGGAGCTGGTAGCCATCGCGGCGCCCCAGCCCGACGAGACAGGGGGCGTAATGTCGTGGCTGGAAGCACCGACTTCAGTGGCCCCCCATCCAGCTGAAGCGGTCCGCGGGCTGGGCGCCACCGCTTCTCGGGTTGGTGCCTGAGATGTAGTCGGTCCTTTGCTCAGATTGGAAGCCTGGCTACTGGCACCCCAGCCCAGCGATGCCGAAGTTTGTGGCGGGGACATCACATATTCACCGTCTTCAACCTCGACTGCCTGAAGGGGGCCAGTACCGGCTGTGGAGGGTGCAGGTGCCGTTTTGGTGCTTTGGGTTTTGAATGACTCACGAGTCTCGAGATCATGCCCATGACTGCCCCATCCCTCCGAGCTGGATTTCGAAGGCAGACTCCTGGTCGCGTTGATTTCCAGCGGGACTGGTGCGGCGCTACTTGATTCGCGAGGGTTCGAAGCAGGTGAAGCACTGTCGGTTGGTGGGTACCGAGGCCTGCGGGATGTTGCAATCGGCTCGAGGTTTACGTTCGGAGTGTTGGGGTTGTTTTGAGGAGGTGGAGGCGGAGGCGCTTCGAGCTCCATGCCCCAGCCTTGGGATGGTGCCCGCGATCCCGGCTTTGGCTGTGCGGAGCTATGGCTTTCGTCTCGATGTGCTTTGCGGCTTGGGTGGATGAACGCTTCATGGGACGACGATGCCTGAGCCGAAGCGTTCGGGGGCTTGTCCGATTGAACGGGAGCAGAGGAGCTGCCAGGGGACTTGGACGGATCGCCCTGGCTGGGTCGCGCGTCCGCTCGCCTAATGCGCTCCGGTTGAGATGACTCATGGCGATCCGAATGACCCCACGGACGACTAGGGAACTGGCGATCCGAATACTCTCGCGGACGACTTGAGTGGCCAGAGCCATCGCGGCGATCGGATCGACCTGATGGACCATGCGATCCCGACTCTGCTCGGTCTCTGAAGGGTTGAGCGCTTTCGTGGAGACTGGGAGCCGATCCACGAGAGTACCCGGATGCCGAAGATCCAGGCTCGCTGCTGTCGGTCAGAGCACCCCATCCAGTACTGACGGCCTGTGGAGCCTTGGCGGTCGATTCGGAGCCACTCTCGAAGCCCCAGCCCGGGGCGGCAGTCCTGTTGGAATTGAGTGAGTATGCCGGGCTTGCAGAGGGTGTTGTGTCGGCACTCGCCGGTTCAGCCACTGCCCCGGGAGAGGCCGCTGTTGGCAAAGCACCCCAGCCAGCGGACGCACTGGTGGTTGTAGCACGGCCCCAGCCCTGCTGAGATGAACTTGATCGGTCATCGGAGTGTTGAGAAGACTGTGAGGGCCTCCGGGCTCGATTGTTGGTAGTTGCTTGCCAGGGATTGTTCTGCTGTCCCGAGTCGAGGTGGGTGTGCGAGGAGCGATCCGACCGTGGCCGTTCAAGCGACGGACTGTTGCGGAGGTCATTTGGGGAACGCAGCGATTTCATGGGCTGGAAGGATCGGGATCCTGATTCTCTCGGTCGGCCTCTATCTTCGCCACCATCTCGTCCTCGTCCGGAGTCATGGTAACCGGAGCGACCATTTCGGTCATAGTCACGGCCTCGGCCTCGGTCACGGTCTCGGTCTCGGTCTCGGTCTCGGTCTCGGTCTCGGTCTCGGTCTCCGTAAGCTGACGGCTGGTGTGAGTGGAAAGCTGAAGACGAAGACGAGGACGATGGTCTGTCGCCTGTTCGCCGCTCTCCCGGAAAAGATGAGCCGTACGGTGGGCGGTGGCTTTCGGTGCTGCGAGGAGAGGGCTGGTCTTGGGCGGAGGAGGACGCTGATGTCGGGCCCGGCGTGGACGCTGATGCAGAGGTCGATGGGGATTCATCTATAATCTGTCCCCAGCCCATCGAAACAGGCGCAGGGGCTGGGGGAGGAGCACCCCAACCCTGGCTCCTCCAATCTTGAGAGGGCAGCATCGTCGGTCTGGGAAGCGGTCAGCTGGAGAGCCGGCTCCATCGAAACAAGATAGAATCCACATGATAAAGATGGGGAGAATAGAACAGAGGAATCGAGCGAATGTTAGTCAAGAACGGCGGGGAAAAGAAGCGCGAAGGCCTCGGCTAACAACATGGCCCATTGATAAGATGGTTGTAGCGTCAACCATGAGGGGGTGGCGTTGGGCGACTAGGCTGGAGCCTGCAGACGTTAGCTCCGAAGAGTATCAGATCCGAGGCAGGCACGGCCATCGCCAACATCCGCTGAGACCAAGCCGAGGCGGGGCTCTAGCAAGCCAAATGAAAGCAAACGGCCGTCGATTGAGGAGGCCTCGTCGCGGTACTGACCGAGGAGCTTGGTAACTGGCGTGAGCAATCTGATGAGGGCAGCCAGCAGCAAGTGGTAAGCAGCAAGAGGATCGGGCAAAGAAATAAAACAATGGTCCAGGGAAGACGACTGCCGGACCAGGATGCCGGATGCAAGCGATGGTCGCGAGAGCGCTGCAAGGACGCTGTGCGAGAAAGCCCAGAGCCAGGCGGGCGATCAGGGATTCAAGAAGAAAGACCAGGCCAAAGTCCGGCTTGCTCCGTTGACACCACGCGCCGCCTCCAACAGCCGAACAGACCCGTCGCTCGCACTGTGCCGCAGAGGCTGGTGGACGCTGCTGGACGCTGGATGAGCGCCGATGGATACCGATGGACACTGACGGACACTAACAGATGCTGGCGGATGCTGGTGGGGGCTGGCGGAAGGAGAAATGGCCTCTGTGGAGAGCGATGGTCGAGTCTTGGAGCCAGACGCACTGCTGCATTCCGAGGACATCATTGCTGTCATCGAGGAGCCGAGGAAGGGCCGCGGTGGCGAATGACATGGATCCGGATGACCGGAGAAGCACCGCGAGCGTAGCGATCGCGCCATCTATGTGATGGACGGCAAACATGTGTATTCAAGGCCCACAGAGGAATCATGACTGCTCCTGGCCATGTTGCAGAAGCTATCGGAGTCAAAGAGGGAAGGAAGAGAAGCCTAAATTGAGCAGAAATTGGAAAGAGGATGAAACAGAAATCACCGACGATAGAAAAAAGCGCACAAGAATGACTGATACGAGACTAGCAGCTCAATCGGACGAGCCCGGATCTAAGCGAATGAATAGAAAAGTGTGGACGCAGGGGATGGGGTGAAGTCCCACGATCTACAGATATGCGGATGCATCATGTCTCCAGCTCGACTGGACCGGATGCGACCGATCGTTACTCAGTCTCGGGCAAGGCGGACAGGATATTGTGAATGGCGGCGATTGTCGATGGATCTCCATTAGTGCGAGCTCTCCGAGTAAGCAGGAAGGCTGGGATCGTGCACGGACTCGGGGCCCAAGGCTCTGATCTTGTTGAGCGGGGCATATCCAAAGCGCAATGAGTTGTTGTTCTGGGCCTGAGTGAGTGAGCGAGGGAAGGAATGCGTGAGTCGACGCATCTCAACGCTGCAAGTGCTTAGCAATGGAAGTCGCCAGAACGCTCCGGTGTGGGAGAGGGCGACAGCAGACCAACGGAGGGAGAGACCCCTATGCTTGGTTGTGCATCCGAGATAGCACTCACCATAGCCCAGCCGTTGGGGTACACCTGGAAGACATTGATGGTCTCGTTCTTGTAGAAGGGCAGCTCCTGCGTGCCCTTTGGCGATTCATGATCCTCAACAGCAACAAACTGCATCATAGCGGTCGACGAAGGTATGGTGTAGGTCTGGCTGATGGCTGGTAAGCCCGGAGCAGGAGGCATAAGGGAGCTTTGGAGTTCGAAAGAGGTGCCATCGCTGACTGAGCGGGCAGGGTCGGAACTAGGGGCGGGGAGGTAACTTGTTGGGGGAGGAGCATAGGAAGAATAAGACGTGCCAGCACCCTGCACAGAGTCCGCGGCTCCGAGCTCTTGGTTGACGGCCGAGTACGATGGGTTGACGCCGCTACTGCTGCTGGTGCCGTTACTGTGGTAGTTGTTATGAGCTGCGGCCGAAATGGAAACCGATGGCGGAGCGTTGGAGACGGGTGCCAGATTGATACCAAACTTGGACAAATCGTTGTCCAAGGTCTCTGAAGGCTCAGAGGTGCGCTTTGGTTCAAACAAACCTTTCTTTTGTCGGTAGCGGTAGAACAAGATGGCGCCGGCGATGAATCCCGAGAGGACCACTGCGGGATCGGATGTGGCATAGGGCAACAAGTCGAGTTCGAGCAATACAGGATCGTACGGACACGAGCATCAGTGAAAACGAGAGGTCACAGGCGTCAATATCAGCAGCCTCGAACAGAGCCCGGCGTCGACACATGAGCCGGGCCCACCAAACGAGATAAGTGGCCGGTTGGCTTTCAGGATCTCGGTGACCATCAAGGATGTGCAGATGCCGAGCCGGAGCAGGAGCGGGTGCAGACGCAAGTGCAGATCAGCGTTCGCGTGGAGAAGAGGGTGAAGAGGGCAGATACATACGGACTCCAAACACCGAGCTCAGGATCACCGTCAGATTCGTTTTTCCCGGAGCAGCGGGGCCCGAGGGCGGCGACGACAGGGGCACAAAGGGATCGGGATGGGCATTGAGATCCACAACAGGCACAGTTCCGTTCGGAAAGGCGGTGGGTATAGCTGTGTTGTTGACGAGAGTGTACTTTCGGGCCGAGGTGGTGTTGGTGTCGGCAAAGCACTCGTTTGTAGAGCCGGCGACGAAATTCGGAGGCACCGATGGATCGATGAAGCAGTTGTTGCATTGCGGATCGGTGCAGCCGTAGGGCTGGACGTATGCAATGCTGCCGCTGGTGCCGTAGACGGAGTAGCCGTAAAAGTCCTGGCCGAGGCGGGTGCAGGTCGTGTAGATGGGGTTTCGGCAGGCCGAGCTGACAGTGCCGCAGAAGCGGTCCAGGAAGTTGGGCTGGTACATGAAGTTGGTGGCGTTGAACGACGAGTCAAAGTTGCTGTTGGGATGCAGCCGAGGATACGAAAGAAGCAAGGGAGACAAAACGTGGTGGAGGTGTAAGTCCCGTGGCCTATCGAGGGGCACACCCGGTGCGATGTGTAGAACAGGAGGAAGCAACGCAGACATGGGACAAGAACTCTGCCAACGACAGACACGACGACGACAGACACGACGACGACAGACACGACGACGACGACGGCTACCTGAGCGACGTATAGTCCGACGAAGGGCTCGGGAATGTCCAGTGGGTGCCGAGGCACTTTGACGTCGACGGGTCGACGGTGTAGGACGAGGTGGTGCACATGGTGCAGGTGGGATCGGAGCAGCTGCGATCCGTGATGGTGCTGGTGGCCGTGTTGAGCGAGTAGAAGTGGAAGCTGTTGTCGCCGTCGACGGACCCGCAGCGGTCCAAGGGCTGCATGAGGTCGCCAATCCTTGCGATGCGGGTGCCGACACTGAGGGTGGTGTCGAGGCATTGGGGCACAGTGGCATTGAGCGCACTGCTGTAGAGGATGGCCCAGGACGTGGCTGACATCGCTGTCCTGATGTGGTGGTTGTGGTGAGAGGTTTGGCTGGGCGATTCCTCGGGCTGGGTGAGCGGTCGTGGAGAGAAAACAGAACCTCGAGAAAAAAACGGGCGAACGCCGCTTTTGAAGGCCGCGTCTGCTCGCTCGTCGCCCCCGACCTGCTCGACCACCGCCACCAACAGCTGGCGCGGCCCCACCAGGCAAACGGACAAACGAACACACGAACACACGAACGAACAAACGAACAAATGAACAAACGAATGAACGAATGAGCAACCGAGCGACGGCGACTTTGCGGCTGCTTGTGAGTGTTGATGACGCTGCGACTGCTTGTGAGTGTTGGGGGGCGTGCGCGACCCGATGTCTATGTGCACCCCTCGTGCACGTGACTGTCCGTGTTTGGGAGCCGTGTGACGCGCTGAAGACGGGGCAGTGCCACCGCACCGCCGCCGGCTGGGTCGCTGTATCCGATGTATCCACTGTGGTCTGGTTCCTGGCTCTGCAGCAGCAGCGGCTGTCGGTTCATCGCAGAAGATACAGCCGCAGCCACCAGCAGGGAGAACCGCCACACACGCAAGACGCACGGGATTGGGCACGCGGACTGGGCCACACACGTGATTTATCCGACTGCGCATCATCGAACACGTGGATTGGATCGAGCCGCACTCGAGCCGCACTCGAGCCGAGCCGGATCGAGCCTGCGGCCGTGAGTCACGCTGACCGCCGCCCTCGAACCGATCCAGCCAGAGTCCAGCCAAGGACCGAACCGGCGCCGCTCTTTGATCTTGTCGAAAACATCGTCATCGGCATCGTCACCGTCATCGCCATCGATACCGTCAATCGGCACAGGCAACCATCGACGACGCTGCCGCCGACACCGCTGCCATCATCACCGCCGTCGCCGTCGGTACCATCGCCACCCATGTCCTCTCTGCTGGCCGCGGCCACGCCGGCCGCGTCGGTCCAGCGTTTGGCTGCCCGGGTGACCTGCATCTCCCGGTGTCTGTCGAGATCGCCCTGCGGCTGTCCTTCGGCATCGGCGTCAACGCTGTCGACTCTGTCCTTCAATCCACTGCAAGCCCGAGCCGGCCGGCGGACCACCAACCTCCTCTTGCATCCGCCATCTGGTCCGCGGTTATCCCCCGGCCTTCCGCTGCAGAGCTCCGTCGCCCGCTTCAGCTCCTCCAGCCGGCTGCTTCTGACCTACTACCGATATAGCCGCGAGAGGAAGCGGAGGCGCCGGACGGCCGAGAGCGAGCACCATGCCATCGCCATCCTGAATGCGCTCGAGGACATGCTCGGCAAAAACGCAAGCTCCTTGGACTCGAGTCTAACGCCGTTGCTCCTGCGCCTGCGCGACTTTGACGCTCTCCAGCAGTCAAGGTATTCCGATCTCGACTGGTTCGAGCTGGCGATCGGACTGGCAGCTCAGCGACATCCCCAGCTCCTCTCGCCCTTGGATCTGTCGCTGCTTGCGTCGCTCTGCGCCCGGAAATCTGCGGCCACCCCGCAGCTGCTCGATGACCACTCCAGCCTGCTCTACTCGATCGCAGCCGAATTCATCCGCAGAGCCGATGCATTCGATCCGCCTGCCCTCGCCGACATTCTCCATGCCTTCACGCTCATGCAGCTCGATCCGCAGTCGCCCTTCTTTGAGCACTGGCACGAGGCCTTCCGCGCCCGGAACTTGGACGAATTTGACCACGCATCGTTGGCACGCATCGCCTGGTCGCTGGCCCGCCTCGGCGTCCGGGACGACCGCTTCTTTGAGTACCTCACCAAGCTTATGTCGACGGACTATTACGGCTTCAGCGCCCAGGACCTCGCCAACCTGGTATGGGCGCTCGCCGTCCAGGAACTCGCCCCGCCCAACCTCGATGCCATCACAGGCGTTCTGCTCTCTTCCGACGGGTTCCTGCCGCCCGGGACCCCGACCGAGGCTCTCGAGAGCCTCGACAGCCACGAGCTCGTCAACCTTCTCTGGTCGTATGCCCGTCTTGGCCGTCCCTCCCATCGGCTGTTTTCCCACGCGGCTCCGCTCATCACCTCCGACAGCGTCAAGAGGCTTTCCCACGTCGAGCTGACCAACCTCATCTGGGCGTACTCTGTTGCCGGCGTGCGTTCCAGAACGGTCTCGACGAACGTCTCGTACGCCGCCTCCAAGTTGATTCATCTATTTGATCCGCAGAGTCTCTCGACCTTCCTTTCTGCCTTTGTGACCCTTCGGCTCGTTCCGCGCAAGTTTTTCCTGGCTGTGCCCAGACACATCCTGATGAAGATCGACATCTTCCCACCCGCCGAGATCTCGCGAATCCTCTCGGCATACGCGACCTCGGGCATTCACATCGCGAGCCTGTTTCGCAGCGCATGTGTCGAGTTCTCCCCTCGTGTCAGCGAGTTTGGCCTTTCGGAGCTGTGTCGGTGCATGACCGCCTTTCAGATCAGCTCCACACGCATACGCTTTCGGTTCTTGAAGCGGGCTGTCCGGCATCTGCAGCCCCAGCTGCAACATCTCGACAACGAGACCTTGTGCACGATCATGACAAGTTTGGGCCGGCCTGGATATGACGTCGGGCCAGACTTTCACGCCGAACTCGCTCGGGTGATCCTTGCCCGCGCCGCTGATGCCAAGCCCGATGTGCTCTGTGCCATCGCCAGGTATTTCTCCAGCCCGGATATCGTCGAGCCTGCGGGGCTGTTTGACAAGATCGGACAGGCCGCCATGGCCAGGCTGCGTCAGCTGCAAGGACAGCAGCTCTGTTGCCTTCTTGGGTCGTTCGCCGAACTAGGCTATCGCCCCGAGTTTGAGCCGCTTTATCAGGCCGGGCTCGAGCGACTGTCGGAACTGTGGGACACTCTCGATCCATCGTCCCAGCAGGCGTTTATCAAGATGTCGAGGACTCTGTATCCACGGCCCCACCAGGAGTCCCTCCTGCCGCCAAAGACCAGCCTCGAGTCTGCGTCTGATCTTTGGCCGCCCTCAGACTCAGCCTCAAAAGGACCAGAACTGACTACTGAGCCGGAAGTGGTCCCGGCAGAACCGATCCCAGCTTCAGTATCGACACCGATTCGAACCGTGGGTGTGACCGCCACCTCCAGCGCAACACCGATCGCTTGCCCGGATGCGGCAATCGATACTCGCCCAGAGCCCAAGTCATCGAGTCCTTCGAGCGCTCGAGCGGTTGCTGAGTCTGTCACAACCATATCGTCAAGCACCACTCTGTCGCAACCGCTCGCATCTCAGTCCCGGCCCAGACCGTCTGCAACGCGTCAGCCCTCATCTGTCTCATCGTCTTCGTCAGCATCGTCACCACCGCCGTCGTCGTCACAGCCGTTTGACGCTCTGGCGCTGTCCATACCCACGGATTGATCCAGCGCCATCTGTCGTGAGCTTGCGCTTTCTTGTCGGCGGCTCATGATCCTCCCCCATCGACTTTGGTCCTGCGCACTGCCTCCCCTCCTCCCCAGCATCCATCTATTTATCGCGCTCTACTGTCTCATCTCTGTCTATACCTCGTTGGAGTAATATATCAAGAGAACATGAAGCGGCCAACTTGCCGATGCGTTCCTGCTGTGGCAGCAGATGCTTGCGAGCGGGTGGGAGACGCGGTATGTCAATCGGTGCGAGGCAGCCAGGGCCACGTCGACCACAATGATTATGCAGCTTATGGAATTCCAGTGACTCCGCTCGATAATATGGCGACGCAGCTTGCCGAGATGTCCTCGCCGCTCCCTTCTCACGGCGCTGGGCAAGGAACAGGTCATGACGGACGAATGTAGTAGAAAACGCAGCACTGCCGAAAGAGATAATCCAGCATGGCAGGAGTGCGCGGCAAACGGAGGTGCAGACCAGCGACAGATGTCGACAAGCAGAAGGGGGAGAGGCTGTTGGTTGCGATGCGAAGAAAACGCTGGCTATGGAGGGGTGGGGAACGGGCAGGGAGAAACAGAGTCCCCCCCCCTTTCGCGCCGTCACGGTCACGACCAGAATTTGGCCGACGACGGGTCGAGCGTATCGTCCGAGCGACAGAAAGGGATTGAGGTTGGGGGACATAGGAGCCGACAACAGCACAGGTATTGGGCAGCTTATGGCTTTGCTTGTTGGTTGAGGCTGCCAATCGTCAGCGAGTAGATAGCATATGCACACGACACCCCCAGAATGAAGAATGCCAAGGCGTTCTGCCAAACGGAGAGTGATAGATTGTCGAATCCGACACAAAATGAGAAATCACGCTGTTAGTCGGGTTCTTGATCGCCATCGACCGGGGTGGCATGGCAGTTCCGATACTCGATTGCCCAAGTCCTGCGGCGCCAGACTGTGCTTCCAACTCACCATCATCGACTGGAAGGCCGTCATGCTCTTCAAATCCGAGACCGCTTCTCCTGCGACAGCAACACGGGTCGACTTGGGACTCTTATCGGCAGTCTTGGGCGGGTTGCCATTGGCGCTAGCGTTGGCGTCGACGCTTGCGCTGCCTGGGGCATCCTGTGGAGCTCGAGGTGACGGCTTCTCCAGCTGCCGCTTCAACTTGCTGATTTGCGCAGCGCTTTCCTCCAGCCGAGCCTGCAGGGTCTGGACCTCGCTGTCCTTGGAGGCCAGCCGCTTGGCAAGTTTGTCGGCCTCGATTTTGCCTTCATCGCGCAGCTGCAGCAGCTCGCGGTTGCGGCTTTCGATGATCATTTTGCTCTTCTGGAGCGACTCGGACTCTTCGCTCAGGCGCTCGATCGTCTCGCGCAGCAGCTTGATGTCGTTCTCGAAACGGTCCTTCTGGCGCTTGATCTGGTTTGATGTTTCGGTGAGGTCGGTCTTTTGCATTCGCAGCTGCTGACACTCGCTGACGGAACGGTCGTAGTTGCCCTGCAGATCCTGCAGCTCGTCTTTGTGGCTCTGGACGACACTCTCAAGCTGCTGGACCTGAGAATTGGCGGTCTGCAGATCGAGGGCGAGTTGCGAGATCTGGCTCTGCAGCTGCTGCTCCTTCTTCTGGAACTGGTACTCTTGCTTGGTGATAAAGCTATTTGTCTGTGCGGACAGTTCCTTGTGCAAGAATCGCAAGAGAGAAACAGCAGCAATGTCAGCACTACACAGGCATTACGGAGGATAGAGTTGATTCGGATGTGCGGGACTACCAGCGCCACGTCGACCCAGAGCAAGCACATAGAGGGCAGTACGCCGACAACAACGCAGCGCACTTGCTGGCACAGCCTCAGCCAGCGGTACTCCGTTAGACACAGCCCGTCAGCCCAGCCAAACACCTTCCGTCAATCCTCCCCGTTGATCCCATGCATCGTTGAGTTCGCACCTGCTTGTTCGACTCGATGGTCTCTTCAAGCCCTTGGATCTGCTGCTTCAAGATGCGGATCTCTTTGACCTTGAGCTCGTGCTCCTGGATCGCTCGTGTCTTGGCATCGAGATTCTCCCGGACAAGTCGCTCCAGCCGGGACTTGTCGGCTTCGATGATGGCTCGGCCGCTATCGAGGATCGAGACCTGTCTCTGGGCGTTGGCGAGCTCCAGCTTTAGCCGCTCATTTTCTTCGTAGAGGTGCTTGTTGTCGAGCTGCATCTCCTGGTTCTGGGTGAGCAAGACGTTCTGCTCAGCTATCCATGTGTTTTTGTAGTGCAGAAGCTCGTTGTATTGGTGCTGGAGGCTATCGTAGTCGGCTCGGATGCGCTCGGCGTCGATCTGCGCACTGGTCGGGTAGTCGAATGGGATGGTACCACTCGACATTTGGTTGATCGTTCGCTGGGTCTCCAAAACAGAGCGAGTGATGTCGTTCAGCTGGGGCAGCATGGCGTCGGCTTGTGTGATAGCAGTCTGGTTCGAAGTGACGAGCCAGGAGAGATTTAGCGTGCGATCTACAGAGGACGAGCCACCCACACACAGCGTGAACTATGGCATCGCCGTGGGGATGCAACGGGGCTGTTTGCTCTCCCGTGTTATCAAGTGCAGCGGAGTTGGCCACTCTCCCATGATATCAAGTGCTTCTTCTAGCTCTCGGCGCTCGTGTCTCGCACCTGGAGCTGACGGAGCGACGGATCTGCATCGTAGTTCGCGGGCAAAGTTTGAAAGCTGTGGAGGTGCGAGTCGATGGCGGTTAGAGAGCCATCCAGCCGAACGGTATTGGGAGAATACGCTCAGAATACATACAACCCAGTGGAACCGGTCGAGCTGCTTGTGTAAAGGTCCTCGTTGGCGTTGTGGATATGGACCAGGCAGGTCACCTTCTTGTGGAGGACTAGCGGTCGATACGGCGCATTTTCCAGAGCAGCGGCAGGATGAGTGGAATACAGAGTCGGCAGAGTTAGCGAATGCAGCAACGCCATGTTGGACTGCAATTCTGTCCGCTTGGGGACGCACCTGTGACATTGTCGTCCTCCATGATATCGATTCCAAACTCGAGACGATCGCCTGTGCGGAGCTCGCGGTCGGGACTCATCACGCCCTCGGCACTCAGACGATTGCCGTTGACGAAGGTGCCGTTGGACGAACGCACATCGCGGATCAGGACCTGGGGATGCACATGGCGAACGAGAGAGCAGGCTCGAGTGAGCCAAGGATCATGACGGTGGCGGTATTGCAACAACCCAAGTGCATGGTTCAAATGCTGACATCCCGCAGAGCGAAAGGGGACAGAGATATGCATCCCGTCACGAGAATGAACCGCACCTTTCCGGCCCTGTACTCGATTTCGGCGTGGTTGCGACTCAGGACTTTGGAATTGAAGATGCCGTTGCTGGGGTCCGAGCTGGCCTGGGGACTGACCTTGCGGCCGATCTTGATTTTGTTCCGCAGGTCGAGAACCTTGGTCTCGAACGAGCCGTCGATGCACTCGAGGATGATTCTGCGCGGGGAAGCGAGTCCGCAGAATAGCAGGACGGGAACGCACACAGAATGATGGAGGGAAAAGGTGTGCAGGTGATGAGGGTCAGGAAAGTTGACAGAGACGACCGAGTTCAGTCAGTCTGCAGTCGATGGCCGCCGCATACGACCACAGCAGATCTCGCAGGCTTCGTCAATAGACTCGACGGATAGCGGGGCCGCAAGGACACCCAAAAACCAGCACACGGATCCCAGCAGACGCATCGACGGTCATGCGGCAGGGACAGGGATTTCTTGGCCGACAAGGGCAGGGGATATTACATGGGTGGCGGCGCTATGCCTTGGAGTTCCTCCAGCTGCTGTGGGTCCAGCGACGGGTGGTTGTTGCCGACGATCGTGGCCATGGAGGTGTCGGCAGAGAGCTGTGTGGAGTGCGTGGGTTCGTGCCCGGTATTGTCGGTGGTGTTCATGGTGGGCAAGTGGGTGGCGGCTATGATCAAGTGTCGACGACCTTGCGAGATTGACCGGTGGATGCCAGAGGAGAGACGGAGCCTGCAGGAGCGACGGAGTCTGCAGGAGAGATGGGACCGGAGGCGAGATGGAGATGCGGGACAGCGACGGCGCTGCAGGGCGGTTTGGACAGGGCTCGAGTTGCGGGCGGGGACGAAGACGGCGCGATCGGCCAATCCGGCTCGGCGGACACATGTCCAGGGCGATGTCTCAACCGGCAGCGGCGGCCGAGTGCAGCCCGTCCGGCTCTGGCGGTTGCATCCATGACGGCTTGGCTGCAAGAATGCGCCCGACTGGTGCCAAGCGAATATCAAGCGAATATCGAGTGAATATCAAGCGAATATCGAGTGAATATCGAGTGAATGTCAAGCGAATATCGGATCAATTTCGCCCAAAACGGCAGGTCCGGCAGCCAATCAGCGCGCGGCGCGCACGCTCCATCGCGCCTGGTTTCTGGGCTCGGTTTCATCGACAGATGTATTCGCCGAGCCCGACGCTCTGCCCATCCGGAAGCCATGGTCATGGCAGTTCGTGGATCTGGTCAAAGAGCGGGTCCTGCAGCATCTCCGTGGCCGTCGCATATCCCATGATCCGAGCACCAAATGCCCGGAGCTCCTTCTGTCCTTCAATGTCTTTGCCCCACCGGCCCTTGATCCTGGGGAGCTTCTTGGAGCCCTGGAGCTTCTCGAAGAGATAGTGGATCCACTGGAGGGCGACGCGGTCGTGTTGCGAGTGAAAGCAGAGACGCAGTGGTCAGCAACGGCAGTGCCGAGCTATCCGGCGAGCGGAGGTGGTGTCAGACATCACCCACCATGACGTTGGTCTTGGGTGTGCGTCGTGCCCAGTTGCCCTGGGTTAGTTCCCGCATCATGCGGTAGATCTCAAACTGGTAGTCGCCTTTGGTGCGATGAGTAAGCAGCAGCGGTATGAGCAAGCAACGGCGATGGGTACCCATCGGTTGCGAGATGTCCGAGTGTCCGGGAGAAGCCAAACAGACCGGCCGTGAGTGCGAAACACAGAGATGCACGACACGAGTATAGGTGCTTAGTGCAATGCTCGATGCAGGATGGCGGATTCTGATGACGACGGCGAGCACGGAGCCGGCTCATACCTGTTCCCGTGAAAAAGTCCTCGTCCTCAAGCTCGACAAAGAAAAGCTCGTTGTCTGGAATCATCACCCCACCAACCCATACCAGCCGATATCAGCCGCAGGAGCACAACCCACACACAGTTCACACACAGCCCACACACAGTTCACACACAACCCACATGCAGATCAATGAGGACTCTGTCACCCTCGCACTTTTCAAAGCATGTCGCTGCGACTGTCCAGTCACCCACCGATCTCGATTCGTGACAGGGTGTAGTCGATGATGTGGATCTTTAGACCGCGAGTTGGGACTGTCAGCTCTGTCGTCGCTTCCAAGCCCGAGTACTGGATTGTTCCGGCATCGGTTTCCGAGACCATGACGTTACTCCAGTGCAGATCGCGATGCTGGGTGCCGGGACAAGGCAGATATATACATGTCAGCTTCGAAGGCTGCCCATGGGCGCGGCCACGCCGATCGCTGACGACACCAATCGTTGACCATTTCCAGCACCGACACCCAGCATCTCTGACAGTCGCTTGCGAGCCGTACCTCAAACCGCACCGTCCGCTCGGCGATCGCCAGCGATGCAACCACTTGCAGGATGATGCTGATGGCCTGTTTCCACGTCTGCAGCGGATAATCCTCCAGGCTGGTGCCGGCATCCTCCAAGATCCAGATGACAAAGAGCTGGTCGCTTTCAAAGTAGTCCGGACGGTCGTTTTCGGATTCCTTCTGCTTGTCATACCGGTCCCAAGCTTTGAGCAGCTCCTTGGGGTACGGGCCTCGGCACACATTGCAACTACACGATGGCCGCGGTGATCCGTCAGACGATACCGGGGTGAACCCAGCGCTGTCAGTCATGAATGCTCTCCTGAGATGGGAGAGACACAAGGCGGCCAGGGCGGAAGACTAGAGCCTGTGCCAGAATGGTGGCCACTCACCGCTTCATGCGCACAAAGTTGGATGCCCCGTCGAGATTGCCCATAGTTTGGGTGATGACGGCCTCCTGGTAGATTTGTTGCACACTCATCTGGGGCGTCTCGTTGACAAGAATCTCGGGCTTGCCGAAGGGCACGACTTTGACGATGCTTCTGCTCTTTTCTCCGGGCTCTGTGAAGATATAGACTTCGGCAAAAGTCGCCTCGGCCAGCTTTTTCCACTTGAAAAGGGATCTGTGTGGAACGAGGTGTTCTCGTTGTGGTTACAAAGGGGGGCGAGAGTACGATGACCCAGCTTTGGGCAATCACGGCACCTGGTGCGATGCAAACAACCCTTGCAAAACAGCCAGGCGCTGCTGATGCATACTTGGTCGTGTACTGCCCGCTGAACGTCGTGGGCTCAGTTTGGCTGCAAAGTTGCAGCAGATCCCGGAGGCCAACCTAATTTTGATCGGTATCGGAGGTTGCGAGTTTATCAGACCCAGGGAGCCACCATGCAGGGGCAAGTCGGTATGAATAAGACTTGTGGGATAGTTGACGAACAGACTGTACCGCCCCTCACTTTACCGCTGACAGATCCACCGACTATGTGCTCAACGATGCATTTCCACCCACACTTCCATCGGCGTCATGCTGCATTGAATGTGCACTCAAGTTGCCGGCTTACCTGCCGACGTTTCGCCTTTGGTGTCGCTGGTGGCAGCATGGCTGCTTGGAGAGACTGTGGAGGGAGAGCCACCGTGGTTGAGAATACATTGTGACGCAAATTGGTCTGCAGACAGACGCTATCATGAAACAGCGCGCCTCACCATGTGGCTGATCATGGAATCGAGATTCGTAGAGTCACTTGAATCGCGCGTGTCATCGTTGCTATCGCCCCGGGTGTCATGATCTTTACTGTCGCCATCGTTGCCAAGGCTTTCGTGGGTGCTGTCTCCGATACTGTCGTCGTCGTCATCGCTGTCGCCGTTACTCCCACTGCCGCTGTGGTGTTCCAGCGAATCCAGTTGCAGAGTGGTGCGCCTTGACTTTCTCCTCTGCACCGCCAGCTTCGTGAGGGCCGAGGCTCGGGCTAGTCTCTCAGGCTCACAATCGCTGGTTGGGATCGACTCTGGCTTGGGCCTTCCAGGCTCGATTGGGACTGTGTCGACTTCAGCTTCTCCAGGCTCAGGCTGGGATTCGTCGACATCCGATATCTCAAGATTCGCATCCGAGACGGCAACCGTCTCGTCCGAGCTTGGGCTGGACGGATCACTGCGGCCGCGGATCGGGGTCAGGATTTGGATACCAGTCGGGCTCTCGGTCACCGAATCTGCATCGTCGTCAGGCTCGATTTCGAACGAATCCATGTCGCCCAAGTCGCCCAGATCCCCTGATATCCGTGAGATATGCGACAGTCTCCGCGACAGCTCGGCAAAGGCAGCGATGCCGCCTGGCGACAAGAACGAGAAATCGAATCGTGGCGGCGAGATGGCGTCAGTGGGATTCGGGACTGCTGTCGGGTGCTCTTGCGAGCGCTTGTTGGATAGGTTGTATCTCCGGGCACTGGCTCTGAGAGCGGCTCGAGCGAGCGGGCTGTGACATGAATCGCTGGAATGGGCAATCGGGGCGGCTCGCTCGGTGGTCTTTGCAAGTCGAACGACACCCATACCGCCGAGCAGACGAGATATCCGATCGGGCGGTGTTCCGGGTTCGTCGGGCTGGGCGATACTGAATCCTCCTTCTCCGGCCGTGGTTTCTGAGTTTGGAGAGGCATTGGTTTCGTTGACGGGATCATGCTCCTGGATGAGCGATGAGCCGCCGGACATGCCATGGTTTGTAGGTGCTCGATCGGTCCTGGATGGGTGGGTCGGCGATCCCGGTAGGATGACAATCGGACTGCCCAGCTGCTCGGCGAGGGATTTGAAGACTCGATGAGTCGAGGCGATCGGGGTGGATCTCGAGACTCCCTGGGAGTGGAGCGACTGCGAGACAGCCGATCCGGCCGGGGTCTTTGGCTTCCGAATCCGAGGCTGGCGGGTCTTGGAGAGAGATCCGAGGGCACTGGGCGATGTCCTGGTTTTGCTTGGAGCCAGCGGGGCAGAAGCAGGACTTGCGAGCAGATCGGTGGACGTCTGCTTGGACGACGGCTTGGGCTTTCGAGCCGGAGCGGCCCTGGGCTTTCGGCCCCGCTTGGCGGGTTTGGCAGATGGAGCAGGGATCTCAACATCACCGGGTGGATCAAGTTGCGGTGGTGCTGGTAGCGGTTGTGCCGATGCTGGTGCTGGTTGTGATGGTGTTGGCCGCATTGATGCTGGAGGTGGACGACGGCCTGCTCTGGGAGGCTGGCGAGCCCGGGCCGGCAGTGTCTCTGGCTTGCTCCTCGGGCCATCCTCATCCTTGTAATCGCTATCCCGAGGATCGTCCGAGCGGCAGGCACTCAGTTCCGAGCTGTGTTCCTGGGTTCCGGTCGACCTGCCATCGCCATCACCTTGGCCATCACTGGTGCCGTCGTTGTCGTTGTCGTCGTTGTCGTTGTCACTGTCACTGTCGCTGTCGAGGGTGAGCGGTTTGCGAGTCTGGCCAGGGTTGAAAAAGACATTGTTGTTGGCATTCTGGATCAGGCGAGTGTTTTGCTTGCGCCCGTACGTTCGAACGACCTTGAATCCGGCACCCTGCATCCTCGCATCGACATGCTCCAGCTGCAGCGGGATATCCTTCAGATGCAGAGAGCGAGAGGGGGGGGGAGTGTGGAGTGCAGAGGAAATGATCAGGCGGGGATCGGACGGGGATCGGATGGTCAAGAATGGTCAGCGAGGGAGTTTGCGATATGCCGCCAGACAATCGCGATCTGGTTTCGGCGGAGAGCCTTTTCGTGCCCTGGGAAAAGCCGCCTGGTCCTTGGAATAGAGCGACCACACTATTTGGCCAAGCCAGGCTGGGCGGCACACCGACAGACCGTCGTATATTGGACAGATATATAGCGGAGACATCAATACACAGGCGAGCGGACGATTGAGTGGTGTGTATGTGGGAGAGGGAAATGATCCAGAGTGCGGCCGAGCAAGCCAAGTGAGGAATGTGATGGAGGCAAAGGGTACAAACGAGTCCAGGGAAAACGGCAGCAATATGAAGAGAAACGCTGGGGGGGGGGAGAGGATCCCGCTGGTCGTGGGCAGTGACAGAGAGGGCCGAGGTCGACCTCAATCAAAGACCACCAGGGGCACGTCGAACTCGGTCCAGTCGCCATGGATGGCCGACAAAAACCCGGTCAGATTCGGCCCCTTGCCGTGCGAGCCGGCATGGCCGCTGCCGGAGCCCTGGCCAAAGCCCAGCAGCGACATCGAGGTGGTCGAGACGACTGAGAAGGACGAGGCCAGCACGTCAGTGGCGAGACGAGCCACGTTCTTTTCGTAAAAGGCCCTGATCCGCAGGGCGTGGCCGATGTGGATCAGGGTGCTGGAGACGTCAGCGGTGATGTTGGAGGTGAAGGATTGGTTGAAGGTGTTGTGGGTCGAGACTTCGTACCGCTCGCCAAAGGTGGTCTGGCGCTGGAGCTTGAGCTTGTTGGTCTGTGTCGAGATGGTGAGGGTCTTGCGGGCAATCTCGAGCGAGGCCCTGCACAGCGATGGAGATGAGTTATAGAGAGAGATGGTTGGTAGGAAGTGTGTGAAATCAAGGACGTCAGTGTGGAGCGCGGCACAGAGCTGGAGGGAATGGCGATGAGGTGGACCAGGCAACGTCCGCGGGAGATACAACGTCGACGAAGAAAAAGTACTCAGAGTGAGGCTGACGATATCCAAACAGCCGACTGGATGGTACTCACTGGTATCGTCGGTTCTGGATCAGCTCCACCTGGACCTTGTTGAATCGTGGCTTTCGTTGATAGGCATCGTCCATCATGACAAGATGGATGTCGACAGTGAACGACCTCAGGCGGGTAGTGACGTATTCCGGCACCTGAACGACGTAGCGCACCTTGGAGTCTTCGCTGACGCCCTTGAATGTCTTGATCGGGATCAGGGGCTGCGGAACTGGCGGCGGGGGCAGCGAAAGGCGCGAGGGATGGGGAGGAACGACGGGCTGGACAGGTTGGGCTGCCTTGTCGAGCTGATGGATCACTTTGAGGTTTCTGCTGGTAACAGCAATGATGTCGCCTGTAGGGAAGCACGAAGTGTCAGCAGCCCGCGGAGGGCGGGTCGATGCCGCAAGCGATTGTCAGGATGACCGAGACCGCGGCCGTTTCAGCGAGCCGTTTCAGCGAGCCGTTTCAGCGAGCCGTTTCAGCGAGCCGTTTCAGCGAGCCGTTTCAGCGAGCCGTACCTTGGTCGCTCTTCCAAGTCACCTCGAGCGTCCACTTGATTCCAGAGTATTCGTCTCGATAGGTCTGTGGACATCCCTTTCGAAAGACATCGATGTTGAATGCGCCCGACTCTCGATCGAACGTGTTTTCCGGCAGCGGGACCTTGACCGTGAAGGGCACGACCTGAAACTCGGATACCCCAGCGATGACCTTGGTGTGGTCCAGCAGAACGGCGGAATTGGGCCCAAGCCCCCAGGGACTGTCGGAGAGCTCCTGAACGCTGGTATCGACCGATTCGACGATAAGGAAGCGCACCTCGAGCACGGTGGAGATGCGCGGGGAGTTTGTGAGTAGATACGGCGCGGAAGGATGTGCTCGGTCGGAAACGGAAATGGCGGACCGAGGTCGGGGACGGGGCGATTCATTCGAGAGGACGCTGAGCGGGAGAGTGGTGCTCTGTGTGGGAAGCAAAGGAATGAGTATTGTTAATCGAGCGAGCGGCGGCTGATGCAGGATCTGCTCCGCTGTCTTACTCCGTCCGGGTCGACAGGGGATCCATGCCGACCTTGCTCCCGGTCGAGTGGCAAACGAACCTGTGGCGAGAGACACAGCCTTGAGACATCCGGGACGACGTTCGCCAGCGGAGGCAGCTCGGGACTCTCAAAGGTGGCAGACTCGCACGAAAGGGAGGATTTGGAGGTGGATGGCGAGGACGCCGACGAGTGGGCCGATCCCCGCGAGACATCGGAGGAGACCTTTGCAGTGATGGAGGCATCGGAGGGGACAAAGACCGAGATGGGCTTGGTGAGGGGTGACAGCTTTGGCGATGGCTGGATCGACGGGGCGGCGGCGATGGTGGCGACCGAGCGGCGAGAGAGCGACGGGAAGGGCGTGAGGATGGTGTTGACGCCGACGAGGCCCTCGATCGTGAGGAGCGAGCTGAGGGCATCGGCGGTGACCGACAACGGGGTCTCGGAGCCGGGCAGAGGCAAGATCGGCAGGGCGAGGGTGGGCGAGACGCCCAAGGTCAGGAAGGCCGCAGACGAAGACTCGGGCATGGCGAATGCGGGCTGCGATGGGTTGGTGGGTTGATGCTTGATTTGTTCGGATTTGTGATGTTGAATGTCTGATATGGTTCGATACTTGATGTTTGCTCTGGTGATGTGCTAATTTCGATGGGTCTGCAAAGAGATTGCAGCCGGCGCTGAATGTCCCTGGAAGATGACGGACAGAGTTCAGGACACACACGATCGAGGGATCGACGAAGCGATGCCAGCCGGCAGCGAAGAGTAAAACGAAATGAAACGAAATGAAACGAAATGAAACGAAATGAAAGGAAATGAAACGAAATGAGAGGAAATGAAAGGATATGAAAGGAATTGAGAGGATATGAAAGGAATCCAGGGGAGATGGGATTAATGGACGGGACAGGCTTGCAGAGGCGACGGATGGACTGGGGGAAGACGGCCCAGGAGGAGAGAGCCGACTTGGACTTGACGGCGCCGCAAAAGTGCAACGCCAAAGCGCAATGCAAAAGTGAAATGCAAAGTACTGCACTCTGTCCACAGTGTCTGTTGACAGTATCTGTGGACTGCGTCGGTTTGCTGCGTGCTGTGCCCCGTGTGCGCCGTTGCGTCGCACTGTGCCCTGTGCCAGTCCACAGTTCGCAAGCCGCACCGTCGCACATGCATCCCCAGCCACGCGCCCAATGTCGCACGGCGCCCTGCGGCACATTTTTGTCGCGTCGGCGTCACGTTGCCTCATGGCGTTCATTTGGCTGCAGGCAGGCAGGCGAGCAATGCCGCTTCCCACGGCTCATGCATGCGGCAACGGCGGCGAGGTGCTGTCTCCAGCACCCCACAATCGGCCACTCGGACACCACCACGAGACTGGATCGATCATCCGCCATGGTGGCCGCAGAATCCGCGGCTTCTCGCTTTGAAGCTGCAGCGCTCGCCCGCATTCGGACCGTATCGGATGATGGCATGGCAGCGTCCATCGTCGTCGTCGCTGTCGTCGTCGCTGTCGTCGCCAAAGCCATTCCAAGAGGGACTGGAAGTGCCGAATGAACGAAGCCCAGGCGAGCTTGGTGCTGCAGCCAGAATCCAGACCACATTAAAACCGTCACCCGCAATCCAAAGTCGGCGAGAAGGCACATACGCAGATTCAAAGTGCAAACACACTTACCGCGGGGGCTGGGCGTTGGCAGAAGGTGCTCGTAGAGTCTCTCGGGAGAAATAAACGGCCGTCGGAACATGGGCTGCGGCGAGCCATACGACTGGCGCTCCGAAGCGGCTTCAAGCTGCCATCTGAGGCTCTGGGCCGCCGCCTCGACGGACTGGCTGCGGCTGACTGCTCGCTGGGCCTCGACCCGGGCCGATCGAGCCTGTTCATGCGCCTCGCTGGCCCTTTCGTTGGCAGACGAGAGCTGGCTTGCGAGCTCGGACAGCTGGAGATTCGCAAACTGCAGCTCGAGTTCGTGATGACGGGCAAGCTCCTGGTGTGCCTGCTGACTGGCCCGGAGCTGTGTGCCAAGCGTATTCATGTTGGTCTGCTGCTGGCTCAGCTGCTGGGTGATGTTGTCGAATCGCTCCTGCAGAAGCTGGTTGTTCTTGGTCAGCTCCTCGACCTCGTTCTGATACTCCTCGATTTTCCGGAGATCCAAGCTCTCGACGTGGCTCGGATCGATGCTGAACCTGGGCGCGGCCTCGATGAAACTCCGGAGCTCGGTGCTGGCATTCACGAGCGCATTGGCCCGGTCGACGAGGCCGGGGTCGAAGTCGTTGAAGAAGATGCTCTCGGTGGGATATTCCTCCGAGTTGATCAGGGCAAAGAGCTTGGTGTAGTTTTCTTCGACGTCGAGCATCATGCGCACGCGCTTGGTGACCTGGTTGATGATGATCGAGTACCGGATCTGGGGCTCGCGGATGGCATTCAGGATCGTTCGCATGGTGGCAATGTCGGCTGGCCGCACCCGGCCGCCTTCGAGGGTCAGGACGAAAAAGATGCGATACTCGCCGCCCTGCATCAGCCCTTCCTTGATCTGCGCGGCGGCCTGCTCTCGTCGCTGGATGTCGTCCAAGCCAGGGGTATCGAGGAAGGTGGTGCCGTCCCGGATGGTGTGGGAATCGAGGCGGGTGGTGACGCCGGTGCCGATGCTGACGTCGCTGCGGAAGGCGACTTGGCCGATCAGCGAGTTTGCCATGGTACTCTTGCCGGTGCCGGGGTTTCCGACAAACAGGATGTATTTCTTGTTGCGTGCTGGTGCGAAACGACCCGACCCGTTGCTGGGTCGAGGGTTTCCGGAGCCGAAGCTGCTGGAGCCTGAGGAGCTGGACATTCCGAGCGAGTACAACCCAGCGAACCAACAGTCTTGATAAGTAGAGCGATATGGAGGAAGTTCTGAAAGAGCAACGGCGGGCAATAGACCCGAGGCTGAGTGGGTGTTGGCACGGTGAATGAAGCAGATGACAAGCCCAGGTGAGGCTGCAATGAAATCCCCCGCCGAGAAGACGAAACGGAGGAGACGAGCGAGATACGAGGATTGCCAGCAGAAGGTGCTGCGACGGAACAAGTAGAATGGGCAGAAGCAAGAAGAAAAAATGCGGGAAGCGGTTCTATCTACGCCACAATGGGCTGAATCTGCCTGCAGTCGTGTCGATTGCAGTGGCTGATCTGATTGGATCAGTCTGGGTCGGGCTGGGCTGGATCTGATTGAAGAAAGACATTCTTGATTGCGTCGTCCAGAGTCCTTCTGTCAATCGTCAAGGAAGAGTGGTAGAGCCGAGAGGACATAGTCCATTCGTCACGAGTGTTGTCATTACGTATGGGTGTAAGAGCAGGGAGCAGGTTCAATCGCGAGTACCTGCACACACCACAATCGCGAGTACCTGCACACACCACAATCGCGAGTGCCTGCACACACCAAACTCGCCAGGGCAGCCGTTGGCCCACAATGACGTCGCAGGCCAGCGGGTCTGTTGTCGAAGAGCGCCTCGCCGGTCACACCATTCACTTTCGATGAGTATCCATCCTCCTAACCCTCGGCGGCCATCGATCTGGGTAGGCAATTTGCTGTTCAAGCAAGGTCCCTGTCCCGTGATTGCAGATGGAGAGAGCCCCAGTGTATTCAATACTCAGTGTTTAGTCGGCAAGAGCAAGGATGCCGGCGGTATCAAATGCCAAAGTTGTTGGTATTGTTGGTGGACGGGTCGCCGCCCTTGATGCTGTCGCCGCTGCCGCTGAAGAGTTGGTGGTTTGGACCCAAGACACTGGTGTTGTGCGTGGCCATGGCGAGCCAGAGCTGGTCGCGACGACGGCCTTCAATGAAGTGCATACTAGGCGGTGCGCAAGCGAGAATCAAAGCGATGCAAATAGAGCCATTAGTGACATGTCGCACAGTTGCCACAGTGGGCGAGTCGGCGGCTGCAGCAGCGAGTCCTGCATCCAACGCTGCCGATACTCACCTTTCGTCGTAGGTCTGTGGCATCACACGTTTCAATCCCGCCTTGGAGGCAGAAGCGGCGACAAAGGTAAAGTAAAAGACGTTTGTCGTCGCGCGGGTGCCAACCAGCGGGTCAATCACATCCGCTATCACCTTGACTTGGAAGTACCGAGACGGAGCCTTGCCCACGTACACAACCTGGGCCTTGAGATTCAGCAGGTCGCCGATCGACACGGGCTTTTTGAAGGCAATGTCGTCCAGAGACACAAAGCGGCAATGGTCTTGGCTGTAGATCAGGCCGGTCGAGTACGCCAGCTCAAAGGCCAGGCGCAGCAGGTAGCCGCCAAAGATCTTGTTGTGGATGTTGCGGTCCTGGGGCATGCACATCACCAGCGACTCCTGGATGGTGTCCTTCATCCAAATGACGTCGTTGGGCTTGGGGGTGTTGTACTCGGGGTCAAGATAGGTGCTATACTCGAGGTAGAGCTCGTGGATGAGGAACATCTGCCAGACACGGCCGGAGTTCAGGCAGAGATGACAGGCGTGTCAGCGACCAAAGGATCGTGGATTGCTTTCGCTATCGAAATGTGCGCAAGAGTGGGCAAGTCTGCGGGAGTGTGCAGGCGCGGCACTCGCACGGTCCTTACCTCCTCGATGCTGGGAGGCTGCTTGGAGAGTGAGGTCTGGTTGGCGACCTGCTTGCGGGCACGCTGCTCGGCTCCCAGTCGGAAGAGACGGCGCTCCTCGTCGGTCTCGAGCTTGAGTTGGTTGACCTTGGCAGACTTTCCTGTCTCGGCGTCGCGAGCAACCTGGAGAGAATAGTCGAGGGAGGCCGTCCTGTTTAGTCACTACTTTCAACGAACAGGCATAAGCACGCATCTAGAACGGCCGCACTTGGCTGCTCGACGCGCATACCATGGTGAACTTGGCCACGAGGATCGGGTCGCCTTCGGCCTCGTTGTCGCTGTCCTCTGGAATCGTGCGGATGGCGATCGAGACCTCCATGGACGAAGTGCCGACATCTGCCACAAATCCGGAATCGAACAGAGTCCACAGGTCAGCCAAGGAACAATATCGACCATGGGAGCGACCCTGGCACTACGAACGAGCCTGGCAACGGCCACACACGCTACATAGCCGCCATGATGAGGCATTCTCTGGCCACGATCAACGCACATGTAACGTGTCCCGAGAGCTTGATGTCCTGCTCGGTCGGAATGCGCTGGAGCAGATCGATGCGGTCGAGGCTGGCGGTCACGACGGTGACCGGGGCCGTCTCCTCCAGTCCGTCGTCGCAGTGGATGTAGCTGATAGTGCCAGCCATGGCATCCAGATCCTCGAGAATCTTGCCGATCCTGGCAAGACGTCGCGACCGGGAGTTGCAACAAATGATGCAGGTGAGCACGAGAACAACGATGGGAGATCGCTGCTGCTGGATGATGCCTGTGCACGAGATCGTACCTGATGTTGCCATAGGCGTTGATGTATTCTTCACGCACCTGCGGGTCGGACTTGAACGGCAGGATATCCTCGACGTACGAGTCCCTCATTTTCTTGAGGATGACCTCGCGCGGCCTGGACTTGGACACGCCCTCGTTCAGTTCCTTGTTCTTCATCTCATTCTGCTTCTGTTCGAGGTACCGGGTGATCCACAGTCTGGACATGATGGCGCCAGTGGCGTCCGAACAGGTATTGGACGCAGATCCAGACATGGGCGAGGGGTGTAAACGATGAGTGCTCTGATCTGAGCGAGTGTTTGGCGCAAGACATGGGTGCAAACGACCGCCCATCGGTCACCCGCATTGTTCCTTGCTCTGAATGCGAGGAGCAGGCAAGCACCATGCCGGCAGACATGCCCATACCTCTTGGTCAGATTGGATCGGTGGGGCAGCACACTGAACTTTTGCTTGAGCTGCTCGGGCGTGAGGGTATGAGGCTTTGTCGCCGACTCGGCCGATGAGGAGAATCGGTAGTACTGCTGGTATGCCGTGACATAAGTGCGGGCCGGGGACAGCACAAAGCCTGCAGGGTTGCGCAGGCACTGGGCACCGGTGCGAATGAGTTTCATGGCGGCTGGGACGAGAGGCCGAGGGTGACAGGACGGCTTGGGGGTGCGATGCGATGCGATGCGATGCGAAGGGGTGGCCGACGAAGACCGGTGCTGGAATGCCCGCTGGATGTGCGCTTGGCAGCGGGAGCGTTGCGATATAACTCTGTTTGGTGGTGGGGGGAATGAGTCCCGCGTTTTGGGGAATGTGTCGGCAGACGAAAATGAGAATTTGCACGCGCAGCCAGCGACGGGCGGACGGTGCCAGCAAAGACTGAGGCGAAGAGGGTGGGGAATGGGCGCAAGCACTGGCAAGGAGGCCGAGGACCAAGCGGATGGATGCGGACGGGAAGCCAACAGGGATTGCGCGATGAAACAATGGCAGCGGCGCGATTGGGGATGTGGGTTTCCTGGTCCGAATGCAGCATGGCGCTCCAGGAGCAGCGAGCCGCAGGCCCCGGAATGGGTCAGGCACAGGCCGCGAGCAACCGGTAGTCGGGACAGACAAATGGCAGTCGGGGCAGACAAATGGCAGTCGGGACAGACAACAGAACAGCAAGCATGGGGTTGCGAGAACGAAGGAAAAAATAGTGTGTTCACAAAGAAGGGCCAGGCAGAGGCACCGGAGAGTGTCGATGTCGTGCTGCCAGAGATGCGGTCGCAGGTGTGTCCGCTGTCCTCGACGAAACGACGCAGTCGCTCGCCCGCAGGAACAGATTCCCACCAAGCTGGATTTGATATCGCTCCGCAATGTCATACTGTTGGCGAACAAATTCATTCGCTGTGTCTGGTTTGCACAGCAGCAAAGCGATTGGCTGGGCGGGCGGACCAATCGGCGGGCGCGCATCCTATCGCACGTGTTCCGCGGATGGATCCTGGATTGATGCACACACACACACACACCTGTCCAGGCCCCTGCCCCTGCCCTTGCCCTGGTACAATTTCGTCCCAATTTGGCAAGCCCTCGTCCTGGCGCCGTTTCGTCATGAACCGCCGACTGATCATCAACCACGACCATCAGCCACGACCGCCATCATCCTCGACCATCGCCAACCTCGACCATCGCCAACCTTGCTATCCCGACTATCCGCCGGCGTGTCCACCGCATCTCTGCCTGTCTCTGCGACTGCGTCCGTCATGGCTACCGTCTCCTCCTCCTCGCGCCTCTTCCAGCCCCGGCCGTCGGTCCAGCCCTTTGTCGATGCAACCAACACCGTCCCTGCCTCGTCCGCCCACAGCAATCCGCCGCGTACTCCCGGCAAGCAGCTCCGATCCGCCATCATCGGCACATCATCGGTCTCGAATGCTGCCTCCAGCCGCCTCGTTGGCGCCCTCCAGCCACCATCGTCGGTCGATCTCGAGTCTGACCTGCAATCCGTCCTCAACGACACCGTCCAGATGAGCACCGCCCTGTGTTCGGCCATCGAGTCGTGGGTCCAGACCAGGAACAAGGAGCATATTGAGAAAAAGTCAACGCATCTGCAAGAGTCTCTCGACATCAAAGGTGGCAGCCGGCCGTCGTCCTCCGTTGCATGGGTTTGCATTTTCGGATCTGACGCTCGAGTCGACTGGCAGTGCTCCGGTCCTTCTCTCAGCCAGAATGCGCCTCGGAGTGTCACTAACAGAGATTCGCTCTGTGCACCACGCTACTCCAGAAACCGCCTCGCAACTCCAGAGTCAGCTTGAAGAATGCAACACACAAAGGGCCGATATAACCCGAAGTAATGCTTGCTCCTCAAACCGCTCGTTCGCTTGCTCGCATCCAGCGGGCACTGTCATCGATGGGCTACTTTACTTCCTGACCAAGACTGGCCATCGTCCGCCAACATTGACTCGCATATGCGATTGCTGGACCACGTTCACTCATCACAGATATGGAGCTCGAGAAACGAGACTACGACCGACAGGTCGAGAGCTCCAAGTCTGCACAGAAGCAGCTTGCGACTGCGACCGAGCGCCAGAAAGAAGCTGCCCACAAAATTGCCCTGCTTAAATCTAAAATTGAACAGCAGAAGCTGGCCCTGCGGGAAATCCGGAAACGAAAGGAGGCCGAGCACCAGAAATACGAGCCCCAGCTCGAGGCGTACGAAAGCTTTCTCCATCTCAAGATACACACCCTTCAGCGTAAGCCCTTGGATCGCGGAGCCGCTGCATGTTTGAGCCTGGATGTCGGCATCAGCCAGACTGTGGAAAGCGTTTTTCTGTTGAACTCGTCGCCCCGGCCGCCACTTTGGGCATTCAGCACCAGCTATTCACACACTCTGCCGATAATGATGTCGGATCGTTTTCTTCAGAGGACCGGATCTCATTCGTGTTCACACACATCAACGAATCCAACTGGGATTATCCGTTTTCGTTTGTCGTGGATATCAACGACCGCATGTTCAGTGGTAAGCAGCCACTTGCTCTGTGTGCAATCACCATTGATCCGGCGTTCGAACAGATGCGGAGGAGCGGGCAACATCAACGGGGGCCATCGCAACACTCGTATTCAGCCGCATCGCTGCGAAAGATGGCTTCTCTGTGGCTCCGCTACCAGAGTTACGGCGTGTATACAAAACGATGGCGCCAACATTAAAACCGCACCGCTTATACTCGTGTGCTTGCGCGACGTCAGTGTCCGAATGCCAGCCCAACATCCCGAGCTTGCCCGCAATCGTCAAGTGGCTCAACGAGACTCGCGACTTTTACGCCTTCCTCAAGGTCATGCGAAAAGCCTTTGTTGAATACAACAAGGCTGCGAATGATGCCAAGAAGCCCTCGTAAAACAATCGCCCGCTGTCGGTCTCGAGACACCGAGCCAGGTCTCTTGAATTGCCAATATACGCCATGACGTGATTCCCGGATGGTGCGGACGAGTCAGGCAAAGGGCCTAGTGACAGACATAAGGAGGTCTCTCCATTGCCCAGATTCACGGCATCTTGTCTCGCACACAAACCGGGAGCTGTCGAGTTGGGACAATCACCAGCGAGCGTCGCTGCCACCGAGGCAAATGCGCTCGCGTCCTACAACTCGGAGCGTACCGCTCTCGTGCTCAGATGCTTGCCCAGACACATTTTATTCGACTCGGCTCATCGGGATAGCGCGCTCGGCTCTCGATTCAAACCAACTTCCTGGATCCTGCGCCTTAAATGGCACACTGAATGACTTGATACAATATTGCCAAAGGCTTCTCCAGCACCATGGGCGACAGTTGCCGGACAGAATGCTCAACTATCGCTGGTGCTCATTACACACTCAGTTGCGTTCGATGCTCTACTGTGGGGCACTGGCCGCCTGCGACATTCACTTGGAACGATCTCCGGCATGCCTTGGGCCGATGAGGCTTTGCGTTCTTGTCCGCAGTGATCGCCCTGTTGCGGTGTTCTCTCGTGCTATCGGATGCTCCCGCGATGCCAGCTGCTCTCGCGACAGAGCAAGCTCGCGTTCCTTTGCTGACGAGCTGGCGATTGACTCGCGCCCGGCCGAAGTTTGGGCATAGGCTGGATAGGGTATTGGTGGCATCGATGATACTGGCTGTCCTGCGATGGTGCCGCCGCTCTGCGAAGGGGAGTTGTGTCCGTGGCTGGTTTGTGCATCGCTCTGGGGCTCGGAGACGCTGGCGAGTGGACTGCCCAGGTGCATGATCGACTGGAAGTCGTGGGACACGGGCGATACCGGCGAGCTGGTGTGGACTCCGCTGTTCTGGTGCAGCTGGTCGGTGCTGCCGCCGGGATTGATGCGCTTGAGGATATCGGTCAGCGGCCGGGGCTTCTTGGTCTTCTGGTGCTTGAGAGGCGAGTGTGAAGCCATGAGCTGCTCCGATTCGGCCCGGAGACGGTCTTCCTCCAGCTTCTCCTGCGCCCGTCGGTCGCGCACGTCGATCAGATCCTGAATGCGCTTCTTCAGCTCGGGGAAGCTTTCTTGCAAGATTTCAAAGTCCTCGTTGGCAAGCACACAGAGCTCGACGTCACCGCTGACAGCCCTCGCAGAAGTTATCCGTCGTGCGCTCCGTCCAGTCTCTGAGACGCGGATTGAAGACGAGCAAGAAGTCCGCACACTGTCAGCGGCACATCTCTCAGGACTGTCGAGCCTGGGGCGATTATTCTGCTGTTCCTCGACGGTACTCTCGATGAGCCAACATAGCTCGGTTGATCAACAACGTCGCTGTCTTACCTTCTCCGCCCCAGAGTGCCGTTTCACCTGTTATCGGCAGCTATAGTGAGTCCGAGTCTGCAACGACGGCACCCGACCAGGCACCCGACCAGGCACCGCCGTGGGCTTGCTGGCTGTAGTGAGCACGCACAAAGTTACAGGCTACAGGGAGTGCGGGCTGCAATGCACCACCCCGCTCGATAATACCAACCGAAAAAGTTGCCCGGCTCGAGGAGACCAATGCACGTGTCTCCGGCGAGAATCTCGATGCTTCCAGCCTTGATAAAGTACATTTCTGCAGCTTCATCGCCTGCTTCATATACAAACCTACAGAAGGAGCGAAGCCGTTAGAGATTCGAGGTGGTGCTTTCCGCGACGGTATCCGGCAATCCGACGATGCAGCCACATGCAGTTGTTGAACATACCACTTGTCCATCACCACGAGAGGCTGGCACGAGCGAATGTTGCGGGACAGCTATCAGTGATCAATATGGATGCGTCTGTTCGAAACACACCGTTTCAAGGACGCCTTAGGTCCTCCAACACGGCGCACCACAGGCCCTGCTATCGACAGCGCTTGCCCTCTCTGATAGCCGATCGTACCGTGATGCAGTAGGCAATCATGCTCAGGATCGCCGGATCCATTTCTTGGAAGAGCGGCACTTGCTTGACGAGATCCAAGTAGAGCGAGTCCTGGATCTGCTGCTGGAGGTTCTTTGGCAGATCCGCAAAGAGGTCACACTCGTTCAAGCCTTGGATGCGGCGCCACTGGAGCTCTTTGTACGAAAGCACCTTCTGTTGAACGGAGGAGCAGCGATATGCACGGCCATGGGAAAACGGTATTCAGACCATCATGCCATTCGACCCGATGTGGAATTCAGGCGACCGAGTCAATGCGGCACTCAGATAGATCGAATCGGCCCTCCGTTCCATCAGCATGTCCACCACGGATATTCAACTTTGCATTTGCAGAGAGCGAATGGCAAAGCGCACCTCCTGTAGCTCCGGTCTGATTCCTTTGTCCCACATGTATTCCTTCATGCCCTTGATCTCGTACTTGTGCTGCTCCTCTGTCAGAGATCGGGCCATGTGGTTCAGGCAGGTTCAGGCAGGTTCAGGCAGGTTCAGGCAGGTTCAGGTAGTCTCCGTCGACTGGTTGCAGTGCACAGAGACCATTTCATCCGCCCCCAGAGTGTCTTTGCATACGTGCGATTCTATCTTTAGGCCGTGCTGGTCTAAAGAAAGAATGGCATTTCCAACATATGTCCGGGGTGCTTACCTTGCTGTGCCATGGTGGCAGCGCTGTCGGCCATATGCAACACGTTCGTGATCGTTCCAAAGACCGTTCCATAGGCGAGGATGCCAAACATGAATTCAAACAAGACAGCGACGTATTCCCTTGGCTCGCTGACTTGGCGGAGATCCAAAACCAGCGACTCCAGCGAGCCTATGATCGACACAAAGTACTGGCTGGCCATCGTCACAGGCTCGAGCGTTTCTGGGTCGGTGACGAGGTTTTTCTGGTCGATCCACCGGCTGCCCGCCGGTAGGTATCGCTCTATGCACCAGAACACGCAGGCATCGAGATGTCCGAGCACGATCAGTAGAATCATGGCCTTGAGTAGCCTGGCAATTTGCTGCTCCAGAGCAGCAAGAGTATGATGTTAGTGCTTCCAATAGGCCATTGGACATGCCGGCAGCGCATGCCTGTCGAACCTGTCGACCTCATGAACGGCCCGCCGAATGAAACGATGGGGGCTCCTGCGCAGTCTGGACATTGCTCCAACAGAACACCACGTCGGCAGTACCAGAGAGATCCCGGGAATCGTCATGCGGAAGAACTCGCCGTAGGGAAGGATCAGAAACATCTTGGCAAATCGCCACATGGCCCAGATGTCGATGGGTGAACACCTATCGGAAATGAGCCATCGAAGCAACAGTCAGTGGTAGCTGTACACCTTGATGTCGCGGATGCTGATGGATATTGGTACATGTCCGCCGACGGACCGCCGGTCGTGGTGCACTCACCTCAGAGATCCATACTCGCTCGAGGAGCAAAACGGGAACACGAGACACATTGTGCTCGAGCCGATGCAGGGTGCGAAGACCAGAAAGTCAAGCGGTAATCCACCAAAGAGCTTGATGAATCCGAACTTTCGCACGAGATAGTCTCTCTGAATCCAGCTCACGGTCGTGACAAGCGTGCCGTACTCGTCGTGGAGCTCGCAGGTGCAGTGGATGAAAATATCGACGAGAATAGACAGGTCGATGAAGAAAAACAGCAGCGGGATCTGGATACCTTGATCGAGAATGAGATCGCTCCATCCGAGAATCAGTGGGCACAAAATGATCTGCAAGACGTTCACGAGAAACATCAGCCCCTTCCAGACGAGCAGAAATCGGTGGGTATACGGGATTGCGCGGAACTGCCACTGCCGGAACTCTGAGATGTTTTGGGCATATTCATCTGGCAGAAGCTCCAAAGTGGCTTTGGGATCTACTGGCTCTCGCGGCCGGGTTGATTCCAGTGCCGCCGCTACAGCAGCCAGGCTCTCTTCGTTGTTATTGAAGCTGAGGCTGCGTTCGAGAGCCCCCAGTGCTCCGCTCGGCCCGCCTGCGACAATGCTGCCCCCATTGCTGATGATGCTGCCGGCGCCAGTGGTGTTCCCTCCAGCGGATTTTTGGATGTTTTCCAGCTTTCCATTGTCCTCCATCCATGGCGAGCCCTCGCTCAAGAGCCGGCCTCGCTTGAAGGTGGAGCTGCGCTGAAGACTGGGCCGCCTAATGACTTTATCTGTGACGTTCTCGCTGCCCCGGGGGATCGTGCCGGTGCTCAGGTGGTTGGGAGAGGACTTGTTGGACTGACCGACTGAGCGAGATTCGTTCGTGCCCCCAGGAACAGGGTTGCTCGGCCCATGAAGCAGGATCGTGCCTGCAGACGTGCTCGCGGACGAAGTCTCTGAGAAATCGAGCCTGGGTAAAATGTCTGTGGAGGGCTCCATGATGTGCACATGCGGAATGAACACGCTCTCGGCTTTGCTGCTCGCGGCGCTGAACTTGGGCGACGTCGTGGAAACAGAGTAGATGAGGTGATCGACCCCTCCTGTTTCGATGTGGCTATCGGACTTGTCGCGCCGGCCAACCCGCTCCTTTGGTGTCTTGGAGAGCTTGTGGTCGCTCAGGGACTCCTTCTCCTGCACCTCCTTGATGTCCATCGAGCGGACTCCCACCACGGGCTGGAAAATGGACGATCGTCTCTGCGGCCGGAACGCCGAGGAGTTGAGCGACACAGACGAATGGTCAAAGCTTGCCCGTCGGTCGACAGGGGCGATACGCGCGGTGCTCGAGGTGTTTTCAGGCTCCCTGCTCTGGAGAAAGGTTGGGATGGAGTCGCCAACGAGGCTTGCGCGTCTGCGGTTGAAGCCGATACGGGCATAAATGGTCTCATCCCGCGGCGGAGCCGAGGTGGTCTCCGAGGGTGCCGTCGACGGTGTGGAGTGAGGTGGGCTATAGCCTTCCTCATCGTCCTCCTCGTCTGGCGGCTCTGTCCCGAGATGCTCGGTCCCAATCGACTCGCCAAAGCTGTAGGAGTTGGGTTCTTCTTGGTCCATTTATCGTGTGTCGTGAGCCCTTGGAAAGTCAAGGCCCAGGATGTTCTTCGTGTTGAATGCGAGTGCGGGGAGTACGCTTGGCAAATATGCCGTGCTTCGAGGCAGAGAGATCGTCGAATGGTCAAGCGGCGATTCTCCGGGACGGGTGTTGACCGCCCGCAACCGGCTCTGTGCAGTCGGTGTGTTGGCAGAGGAACACATACTGATCGCTCGTTGATCTGATTGGGCTCTATGGCGGCCAAGCATGTTGCTATGGGAAGCGTCTGTCGTGAGAACTTGGGCGGGAGCGCACTGCCGAGGCTCGAGCAACGCCGATCGGCTGGCACGCCCAGGGCCTATCCACCCGCTCGAATGCATCTGGCATTGAATGCTGCGGCCGGGAACGACTTTGTCGGAGAGCAAACAAGCTGTCTGGAGGAATGGTCGATGAGCATTGGGTCTCTTGGTTTGGTGGAATGCTCAAAGTGTTGGGCGAGTCTGCGCGGACTCGATACACACTCCCCCCCCCGTTCTTCGGCGATGCATTCCCAAATGCAACTACAATGTTGGTCTTATTGAACATGCCGTTTAGCTGTGTATTTAGGGCCATACACTTTATTCAGAAAAAACGGGACACCACAGCCGTTTCCATGAACAGGTAGTATGTGCTGTGCTTGCGTCAAGCAAAGCCACAAGAAATAAAACCGATCACTTTGGCAGCCTCCGAGTGAAGACCGCCGGTCGCTCTCCGATCTCCACAATCGACCTGCATACTGTGATCATGTTGCGCGCCGCATTGACGTCGCGATTCCACACTGTCCGGCGAATGGTCATGGCCAGCGCGCGATAACATTGGGTAACAAAATATTCGATGAATGGTCAAAAACCCGGGTGTCCCGTTTTTTATTGGATTGCCTGTAAAACAGCGACTGCTGAGGACTCGGAACGGAACGGGATACTCTGTTCTGAGCCTGTGTACGAGAATACATCGTGGTGCAATCAATCAGTGTAATTCGAGCCAATCTCTTGCTACTGAAGCAACTTGACCGTGGCCTCGGATATGAGCCTCGTGATCCCTGCGACCGATAGCTGGAGTGGACTACTGCACTCGTTCTAGATCATATTGGTCGTCAGCGTTAGCCTAGACAGGTAAGCGAGCACAGGGGAGGTCGTATTCCGATGTCCCAGTGGTGCCATCCAACCATCCCTGCCCGGAACTGTGCTCTTGACCTAATGTTTCTCTACCGAACGGCACCGACACCGGCACCGACACCAGATATAAGCGAATATATGGCGTGGCGTATACGATGCGGCTCCTCGCATCGCTGCAGACGCACCTCGACGAGCTTGACCACGGCCTCGAGCTTCTGCAGGCGCTCCTCCTGTCTGGACAGCTCTGCGGTGCGTGCATCTAGTGTTTTGCACAAATACTGGTACTTGCTCTCCTTGAGTTCTTGGTAGCGCCGTACTTGCTTTTGGTGCAAGAGGGTCAAGTTGGTGAACTGCATCGCGGCGTCGGTCGTCGCAGCGACAGCGAGCACAATGAGTCAGTCTGATATCTGGAAGCAACGGTGGCACTCGTCGAGATAGACACTGGCTCGGACCCGGTGGCTGCGTACTCACCAACTGCTTATCCTGGAAGCATTGCTCGACTTCTTGCAGCAGCCGCGACTCCTTTTGCTCCAGAGCGACACACTCCTGCTGAACGTCTTGTATGTCGCTGGTGATGCGCTGATGCGACTGGAGAAGCGATTCAATATCTATCGCCAGAGCAGGAGCAACGAGTGAGCCGCCATAGCAGCAGGCACAACAGTGTGTCGACTGACGAGCATGCGACATCCAGACCTCCCGCTCTCACCTCGGTCGCATTCCTTGACGTCGTTCATTGTCTGGCGTGTCTTTTTGGTGAGATCCGCGATGGCCTTTTGTAACGACATCTGACCGCCGCCCTTTCCCTTGGTCTTTGTTCTGTGAGTCCAAGGTCGATTAATCAACAGAACATGAGTCGTTGATTGCCCGACGATTTCGGCAAATCGTTGGCGAAGACCAAGCGCTCACACATCTCCAGCAGCGCTGAAATTAGCGTACCGGGAGGCGATGGTCTCTCGTCGAAACACGCTCTTTTCCATCTCAGCAATCATCTTCTCCTGCAGCTTGAGCATGCTGGCGTAGCGAAGCTTCATGCGATGGATCTCGATTCCCATCTCCTTGATCTCGGTCGCGCCGATGTTCGGGTCCAGCGCCGCCTTGGTTTCCTTTGCGAGCTGAATCTTTTTTTCCCAGAGCATCATTTGTCGTCTACGGGTCAAGTACGGAGGTGAGTATCGGGTCGAGTATCCAGGCGAGTAGCCTCGAAATGTGATAGTGCACCCATCAGCAAGCTCTCGGATCGACTGGTGCGGTTTCTTATGACATAGTCCACTCACTCGGCCTCAACAAGCCCCTGGAGCGCCTTGTCGCGCTCAACAACCAAGTCGTCGGCCTTCTTTTCGAGACGGATCGACTCTAGTTCCGCTTCCTGGGAAGACAAACACAGCAATCAAGTCAGTTATTCAGTCTTGATTCGGCAGGGTGATGAATCCGTGCTCATGCTCCGGTGATGAAGATGCTGCAAGGCGTACGAGCGAACCTGCCTTGAGATTAGCCCGAAACTCCTGCTCTAGATCCAGGGTGCTCTCCTCCAGAAGGGACTGAATGTGTGCCTGCTTGGAGAGCAGGATGTTGACTTTGACCTGCTCGTTTTGCAGGTGCCCAATATTTCTCTTGTGCTCGCGAATGGCCTTCTCCTCGGTCTCGAATTGATCTAAGAGGCAATCAAACTGTCAGTGGGCAGCGAGCAAACCATGGCTGTCGGTCTCAAAGTCAGAAGTGGAGCAAGGCCCCATCATGCCAGCGCCACTGGACTGCTCGCACTGGCTTGATTTGGCCACTCGCAGCTATGACGACGCTCGCAGCGATATCCCTCCGCCTCCCTAACAGCAACGCATCGCTTGCAGGAGATGTTGCTACTTGCTTGTGGCAACTTACTATTGACAACCATCTTCTTTCGGGAGAGCACCGTCATCTTCATTTTCAGATCCTGGGTCTCGTCAATCAGCTCGGCGCTCTGCTTGCTCATGGAGACAAGTTCGTTTTGTGCTCGCAGCCAGTACTGCTGCAGCATTGTGCACTCTTTCTCCTTGGCCGCCACGAGTTTGGTGACATTGTGGATGGTGGCTTCAAGCGGGCCGACAGACTCGTCCTAGATGTCAGCCACACAGGAACCATGCATCTGGCGTGAGTCTACTCGGCGGAGTTTGTCGATTCGTCACCCGTGGAACTTCCCATGGACACCCAGTTACCTGGTTCCGTGCCATAAGCTGGTCAAACTTCTTGTTGAGAAGATCCATCTCCGACTGCTTCTTCCCGAGCTCGTCGTTGCGACGGCGGATCTCGACCTCGTACTTTTCGATCAGGTTGTTTTTGTCGGCCATCTCGCCGTCGATTCGGACGACTTGGTCCTTCATGGTTGCGATGCGGCTGCTCACGCTGAGTGTATCAAGGCGAATGTTGGAGGTTTCGTTCTGGGTTGCAGCTATCTGGGCTTCCTTCTCGTGGATAATGGCCCGCAGCTTCGACCCGTCCTTGCGCGCCCCTGAAGCGCCCTTTTCGATTGAGATTTGGTTCTGCAGACTCTCGGCAATTTCAGACTCGATCTTCTGTGTCGCTGCGATTGTTTGCTGTGTCAACTTTTGGATGGCGCCGACTTCCAGCTGCAACGCTTGTCGCTCCTATGTAAAGGATAGCCAGGCAAGGTGGCGCGGATGGGTCAGACTGGCTGTGTTGATGTTCAAATAGACGAGCCCTGCCAATCTTTTGATCGGAGGCGAGCCACGGCTGGCTAGTGGACAGAGCGCATCCTGTCGTGACGACAAACCTGCATGACTTGAGCCAGTTCTTGCTCGGTTTGGCCAAGACTTTTTGTGTAAACCATGTATGTGTCCTTGAGCTTTTCTTTGTTTTCTCCCACTATGCCGATCTGCTTCTTGAGGAAGTTGACTTCTCCTTCGAGCTTCGCCAGCAGCATCGTGACCGTTTCGCTTTCTTCCTGGGCCCGCCTGAGGCTGAGTTTGAACCCATTGATCTCGCCGACCATGCTCTGGATCTGGTCCTTGCTTGTCTGGATTCCCTGCTCGATCTGCTGCAACACATCCTGTCGTCGCTGTAGACCGATCAGCGATGACTTCCATTGATGGATGAGCTGGCGCTTCTCGAACTGAATGGCCTATATGGAGCAACAGAGTAAGGGTGTCAAAGCCGTGGCTCAAGGAGCATGCCCGTGCCATTGTGCCAAAGCGCTCTCTCGGTTCGCTTGGTTGATCCAGAGCACACCTCACCTCCATCTCGGTCGAGGCCTCCTGCAAGGTCTCGATGGCAGCGTGGGTTTCCTTCTGCTGGGCAAGGTACTGGTTGTCATACAACACTCGCTTCTCCTGGAGCTTGCGCAGTTGATCGGTGAGATGATCGATAAAGTAATCCTGAAGATGAAATGGCGACGAGACGGTCAGATGTGAATGATGGCTGTTGCATTAGTTGCCGACTTGAGAGGCTGGCGATTGCGGTGAGACAGATATATGGGGCCACACCTGGCGTTTCTTTTCAATCTCCTGGTTTGTGATGTCCTCCTCGGCTTTGAGAGTTGTACGTTTTGCGACGAGGATCTTGGAACGGAGCTCCTCGTTATACAAATCAACCTGCTGGAGCGTGCGCGATATCTTTTCGAGCTCGTGCTTGTGCTGTTCCACTGGGAGGGGTGAGAATCGAAAGCATCAAGCTGGTCGGGTCAGTGGAGCGGGCACCGGCAATATAAGCTCTGCTCAAGCACGCATCAGAGACTCACGGCTGCGTTGGTGCTGGAGATACTTGTCCTTCTCCTCCTTGTGCTGTGCGCTGGTGTGTTTGAGGTGGCGCTCGGCCTCTTCACGGTAACTTCGAATCACATCAAAGTTGTCCTCGGCGCTCTCCAGCACAGCCTGGAGGCGGGCGAGCTGCTGCTGGACGGCATAGAGCTCGACGCCGATCTCTTCGCGGCGCTTGGTTGCCTTTCGAACAGACTCTTCCTGGGACGATAGGGCGCTCTGGGTTGGTATATTGCCTTTGGTAGCTGCAGAAGCTGCATCTGCGCCAGACCATCGCCGTAGCTGGTGGTCAGACAAGGGATATGCCCACCTTATCCTTCAGCTCCATCTCGACCTTGAGCAATTGCTGTGTCAGCTGTTTCTCGAGGGCATCTTGGACTCGTCTCATGAGCGGCTACGATTTGAGAGTTGCGCATGGAAAAGAGACCAAAGATCATGTGTATGCATGCCAAGTTAGCTTGCGGAAGGGGCGACAGAGAGGACGACAAGGATGTGGGGCCTCAGGGGCCAGTTTCAAGGCGAGGTGGCATTGTGGCAATTCACAACGAGCGATAGCACCCACATTGTCCGGATCGAGTATCATGGAGTCCTCGTCCTCGTCCTCGTCTTCGTCGTCGTCGTCCTGGCGGGTCATGGTGGACTTGCCAATATTGACACGTATTGCCGGAACCATGAGCTCGTTCTCGGTCTCATCCTCGTCATCCTCATCTTCAGCAGCAGCGTTGCCGATGGCGCCATCAGCGTCAACACCATCATCCTGGCCATCAGGGTCGAAGGAACTGTCTGGGCCGCTCTGGTTCCCGAACTTGGCGAGGATGTTCGCGGGCGAGTCGACGGTATACTGCGGCAGATTGATGCCGGTGGCAAGCAGATCGGTGGCAGTCGGGAGCCCCAGTGCGCCAACGTCCTGAACAGCCTCGAGAACGGGAAGGGGCGGAAGCTCCGGCAGATTCTTGAATGCGTCGAGGTCCAGCTCGTCCTCGTCGACTCTGGCGACGCTATCGGCGGGCTGTGTTGGTGCATTGGCGGAAAGCGGCGCGTTTCCGTCATCTGCGACACGCGATGTGCCGGTGCCGAAGGGCACAGGAACCGAATTGCCGACTGTCGGGTCGACGCTCGGTCCTGGGTCATCCGCGTTTGGGATCGAAGACGGGTCGCGAGCAGGATCTTGGGCATCACTCTCTGGCGGCTGGAAGGTGTGATCGTGGCTCGGGTCAGTATCAGAGTTCTGTGGTGGCGGGTCGCTGTCGTGGACGGCATTCCCTTCGAGGAGGTCCTGGTCTGGATGATCTTGCGAGCTCATGTGCTAGGGGATGCTAGTGGGATGCTAGTGGGATACTGGTGAGGTGCTGGTGGGATGCTGGTGGGATGTTGGTGGGATGCTGGTGGGATGCTGGTGGGATGCTGGTGGATCAGGGTCGATGGTCGGCCCAAAAGTACTCGCGGGTCGTGGGAACGCCTGGCGGTTCGATCCGCGCGCCCTAACCCTTGCCCATCAGCCGTTTTTTTTGCGCTTTTGACTTTGCGCGGAGCTCACGGGCATGTCGTGTTCAGCAGCGCAGAGGGCCACAGCGACACCGATCTTGCCGCCATCGCAACCGCCGATCTCGCCGCAGCCATCACCGCAACCGCAGCTGCATCCGCCGAAGCGCATCAACATCAAAAATGGCCACACGAATGTTCTCCCTGAGGCAGCTGTCGGCCCTGAACACAGCACGCTCGCTGGCCCTTGGCTCGGTCCGGCACTCGTCATTCGGCCCTGGCTCTTCACATTCGCTTCTGCGATCGTCTCAGCCAACGCTCTCTGGACTGCGGCGTGGACTCGACGAGTTCTTTGACTCGCCCAATGGATGGAGCTGGGACAACTCCAAGTTTCCGACAGGTAATGCCATTGCCGGAATTGGGTACATCGCTCGATCGGGATTGCTGGCGAGCCTGTTGCGGGATGGTGTCGGTCTGCTCGGCTGATCTGGATCCTGGGGCAAACGAGAATTGAGTACCCTGCGCAGCGACCAACGCAGCATGGCGAGTGTCAGCAATCACGATGCTCCGGCCGCGTGCTGCTGCCGATGAGGATAGCATGTCCGTGTCATTTTGAGCTCATGGCTCTCGATCACGGTCCGAGACAACGGGGGCTTACCATGCTCAACCGATGTCCTCCGTATCTAGGCCGCTCGTGGACATCGGACGAATTGCGCGCAAAGTCGTTCGAAGACCTCCACCAGCTCTGGTGGTTGTGTGCCAAGGAGCAAAACAAGCTGCATTCCCAGCAAGAAGAGTGTCGACGTTTCCGCCTCGTTGATCCCAGCAAAGATCGCCTGAAGGAGGTGAGGCGACTGCACTTCCTGCACAGCACTCTGCTCGCGATGGCACAGTGCTCTTGCTGACCCACGGATGCTCCAATCCAGGTCAAGCGAACGATGGCCCGCATCAAGCAGGTACTCTGGGAGCGCAAGCAGACCTGGGAGCAGGCCAAGCATATTCTGCAGTACGAGCTGGCGGCGGACGAGCTGAGGAAGGAGGGCAAGTCCGAGCTCGAGATCAACAAAGCCCTGGAGAGAAGCTACCCGTCGATTGCGCCTTTTGGCTCGGACGAAGCCTATGCCGAGAAACTGGCATCAGAGTCCCGCGGCCGAAAGCGGCGCGGAAACAAGACATCGTGGTTCATTGTGTGATCTGGATGGTACGGCCCTGGGGCGCATGAATACAACATGGTTGCCGTCGCTGCGACGGCCTGTTCTGTTGCTGCGCGATTCCTCCGTGTGCGTTTTGCCTTGGCGGTTGATGGGTGTGGGCTCGGTCGGCGAGCGGTCCAGCGAAATGGTCCAGCGAAATGGTCCAGCGAAATGGTCCAGCGAAATGGTTCAGCGAAATGGTGCTGGAACGACTGGTTGTGGCACAGGGTCTTTTTTTGCTGTGCCCTTCCGACCAAGCCTGCTTGCTCGAAATCGCCCCAACACGCTGCCTGCTCTTCTCTGTCGGCCATCTCCCGGCGTCCATCTACCACACCGCCATTAGCGCTTCGGGCAGCAGTGGATCGCCATCACCATCACCATCCCCATCGCCATGGCTGCTCAGCACTCGTTCTCGCTGGCCTCGCAGGTCCCTTGGGAGCTGCCTCTGACCAAGACCACCGTCGAGGAGTTCAAGCACAGCCGCTCTGACTTTCGCATCGTCGTCGTCAAAGTGCCAGGCCCGCTGGTTTCGACCACCATCGTCGTGCCGACACTCTCGCAGGACAACAAAGGCCTGCCCCACACACTCGAGCATCTGGTCTTTTGCGGCTCAAAGCACTTTGAGAATCGGGGCTATCTGGACTACTTGGCCACCCGCTGCCTCTCGACCGGCACCAACGCCTACACAACCGAGGATCACACTGGCTACACCATCACCACCGCCGGTAAGCCGGAGATGCACTTTTCAGAGCGCAGACCGTGCTGCTCGATCTCTGAGGATGCTCGTGCTGACACGTATCGCTGTTCGTTCCCGCTGTCGATGATCGCTTGACCTGGGACAGGTGCTGAGGGGATGCTCGAGATCATCCCGGTGTTCCTGGACCATGTTCTGCATCCGACGCTGAGGCCGGCTCAGTTTATGACAGAGGTGGGGCGCCAGATCACTATAGATCACTTTGTCGTCTCGAAAGGCTGCCGCTCGGATCCTATTGGCTTCGCTGGCTTGGCCCTAACAGATCCGCTTTGATGGGCATGCAATCGCGCCATCCGGTTTGCCAAGCAGGTGTATCATCTTGATGGCGATGCCAAGCATCAAGGCGTCGTTTACTGCGAGGTGAGTCTTTCCACCACACACAGCAGCCCGGATCATAGGTGTTGGATGCATGGTGCCGTTGTAGCTGCGAATACTGAGGAGCCGCCTTGGATTTCCGATAGATGGCAAGCCGCGAAAACACGGAATTCGATCTGGTTGGTTTGCCTATGCATGCTGCCGTTGCGAGCGAGCACATATGGTCCATTCGTCTGCGCTGCTTGAGGCCTCTGTCTCATGCTCCTTGGCTCTCTGCGTGCGTCACTGTCGATCAATCCAGCTTGATCTGAACATGCGGCAGCTGCTCTACAGCAGCGACTCGACATATGCCTTCGAGTGCGGCGGCAAGACTGTCGACATTGTCAAGCTCACCAACGAAGAAATCATTGCGTATCACAAGCAATTCTACCATCTCGATAGCCTGACGATGGTCGTGTGCGGGCAGATCGAGGCCGAGCAGATCTTTGCAAAGCTGAACGAGATACCGAGCATTCTATCTTCGAGCGCTGAGAGGCGACCTGCCGAGGGCCTTGTGACAAGCCCCTTTAGACTGAAGACCGAAGTCACTGAGACGAGTAGGCGGGTTCCCTTCCCGTCAAGCGACGACGAAGTCGGCACGATTGGATACGGTGGGTTTCCTGAACCGCAGATGCATTCCGTACACATGGTGACTGCAATGCAAGCATCCGCAGTGCACACAGCCCGTCACCGTTGAGCTACACGCTGCATGCCCTGACACACTTTCACACATTTAATCAGGCTGGCGTGGTCCCCAGTCCAGCGACCTGAAGACCTGTGTATCTCTCGAAGTCATCTTCCGGTATTTGCAAGACACCTCGGCCTCTCCTTTCTACCAGGAGTTTGTCGAACGCGCCGTGCCATTTGCATCGGAGGTCGACTTTGAGCTCAAGAGCTACCTCGAGTCAGCCTTCATGCTCTATTTCAGCGGCGTCCCACACCCTTCGAACAATGCCCTCGACAGCAGAGCCTCCCACCGCCAACTGCCCAACTCTGCTACCCATGGACATGACGCCGACGACGACGATGGTGATGACGCCGACGAGGATGATGATGACGAGGAGGATGATGATGATGACGAGGATGATGAGGATGGCGATGACGAGGATGATGATGAAGAAGAAACCATGGTCGGTGCGCACAGTGCCCAAGGTCATGATGGAGACGATCAAGACGGCCATCACTCGGCTCCTCAGAATCTATTTGAGGCCGATGTATTCCGACAGATGGTCACTGGTGTTCTGCGCGATTTTGTCAGCAACATTGATGACAGAGTCCTTACTCGTATCCGCCAGGCTGCCTCACGCCACCTGCGCAAAGTCTATGAACTGCTCGAGGACGATCCCCACGATGCGGCTGCCTCATGGCTGCTGCCCGACATCCTGCGATGCCACTTTTCCCGGACCCAAGGGGGTTGTGACGACCAGGCGCCGCCGCTGCCGTTTGGCACGCGCTCGGGCATTTTCGCCATCCTCAAGGAGCTGATGGATGAGCCAGCAGACTACTGGGCGACACTCATCCAGAAATGGTGTCTGGACGCACCGATGGTCGAGATCATGATGATCCCTGATGCCGGTCTCGCCAAGGAGCTTGAAGAACGGGCAGTTCGAGAACGCGCCGAAAGGACCGACGCCCTTGGCGATGCCGGTCTGGGCAAGCTGCGAGCGGCGCTTCAAGTGGCGCTGAAGGAGAACGAGGTCAACATTCCTCCCGCCGTCCTCGGCAAGATGCCGGCCGTGCCCGATGTATCCAAATGCCCCCAGCTCAAGATCGAGACGGTCGTGCAGGACTTGGTCGATCGCAACCGCCCCTTCAATGCCGTTCACGTCGTTCGGACCGAAACTGTGTTTGTGCACATGCGGCTTGGTCTAAACACCACGATGGTCCCCCCGGCCGATCGCCCCTTCCTGGTGCTGCTCCAGGAGCTGCTCTTCCAGACGGCTCTGGGTGTGCCCAGTCCCAACGGCATCGAGCGCACCAGCTACCAAGATGTGGTTCAGCACTCGTCCGAGCTCTTTGTCGACCACGAAGCTGCCGTTGGATTCGGAAACAACATTTGGAGCACCTCGTGGCTCAGCGAGGTCTTCATGCTCTCCGGCAACGCAGAGCAGCATCGCTTTAGCGAGATGATGGAGTTTTTCTGCAAGGTCTTGCTGTTTTCTCAGTTTGAGGAGGAGCGGATCCTGACCGTGGCCAAGAATCTGTCAAGCGAAATTGCCGAAATCAAGCGCAACGGCTCGTCGATGCTGACGGCCATCCAAACTCGACTTGCGTTCGCTAATGTCCTACCTGTGGACGAGGTTGGATCGGCGGGCCCCGACAATCCATTGTGCAACGACATTGCCATCAGCATTTTCAAGCAGGAAGCCTTTCTGAAGCAGGTGATCAAGCTGATCAAGGATAACCAGGGGCAGGCCGTCGCCGATGGACTGGATCGCGTGCGACAGATCTTGGTCCAGTCGTCCGATCCGGCATCGCTGGGCTCCGGTCCTTCGATCGTCGGCGGGTTCGTTCAGATTGCAGTTCCGACAGACTTGCCCGACAGCGAAGCTGGAGTTCTGACCAACCGATTCCTCGAGATATGGGACCGGCTCCATGCCACCTTTATGGACGCAAGAGAGCCTGCGCCATCTGGCTCGCCCAAGGGAATCAAGCGCGCCCGAATCGGCTCGCTCTCCGAGACCCAAAGCAATGCGGGCCCGGACATTGCTGCTGCGGCCAACTCGGCAGTACGCCGCCCATTCCCGTTCCCGAGAGTCGCCTACAGCCGAAGCCAACTCGACTCCAGGTTCGGCCAGGGCGTCGTCACGCCGATATCGGGCCTGGCCACGTTTTTCTTGGAGCAAGTTGTCCCATGTGACATCCTGTCGCCGCATCCGCACCCGGATTACTACGCAGGTATGTTGCGCAAGTGACCTCGGCAGCAAACAGGGACGCCAAAGAGTGGACCGAGACCAAGTGCGGCCCTGGGCCGCTGTTGAGGACACGGCGTTGCCGGTTCGTTGCCGGTTCGTTGGCTGCAGGTTAACTGTACCTCGGATCCACAGTGACGCTCCTGGCCGAGCTTCTCTCTCGGGCTGAGGGCCCGCTCTATCTGGCGATACGGGGACAGGGCTATGCTTACGGCGCCTCCGTCAATGTGTATCTTTGGACTGGCATGCTCTCCTTTGAGCTTTACGACGCCTCTGAGCCGCACCGGGGCTTGCTGGCGTTCTACGACATTCTTGAGCAGCTGGCGACTGAGAGCGGATTCGACAGCCTCTGCAGCGAGTTCAACCTGCAAACGGCACGGGCCTCGGCAGCATACAAGGCGTGTGCATCGCGATCGACTGCATCGGGGCTGATTGTGGGAACATTGCGGAGCATGCTTCGGGTAAGTGGCCAGACCTGCTGCTGTGGTGTTGCAGCCGATGTCGCTGGTGGAAGAGTACGCCGCAGGCAAGACTTGCGCAAGCGCTGACAGCATGCCATACGCCATATATCCTTTATCCTATATCATATGAAATCGCAGGGCTTTACCAGCATTCAAGAAGAGGATGCTCATCGCAAGCAACTGTACTTGGTGACGCGAAGCGATCTGAAGCGGGTCTATGTCCAGTATTTCCGGCGGTTCCTGGACGAGCGAGAGTGAGTTGCTGTCAGATACCGGCTGCTGGTTGGTGGCGAGACCACCCATGGTTGCTGACTCTGCCATTCTTTTCTTCCAGGCGCCTCACTGTGATAACTAGCCCTCCAGGACAGGCGACGAGCGATTTGATCGAGTCGTTTGCCCGAGCGCCCACTGCTAAAGAGATGCCGATACTGTCGGAGCTGGGCAGCCCCAAGGACGACAGCAAGTATACGCTCGAGCTGCGTGAGACACAAGTCCAAGAGTTGCAGATCTGAGAGGATGGCCGAGTGATGCTGGACGCCGGAGCGAGGACCTCGCTGGCAATGACACCAATACAGAATGCTTGCGCCAAAGTACTGGACAGTCGGGCTATGGCTATGGTAATGGCAATGACAATGGCAATGGCTATGGCTATGGCTATGGAAATGGCTCCGTTCATTCCGCTGCTTGCTGGGCCGCCGGGTTCGGGTGGGGCAGTCTGGGTGGCCGGCGACGCAGCCAGCGCATTTGAGCGCCTTTGATCGCCTGCCTGGACTTGAAACCCCATCGCTCTGACCCGCTTGGCGACCCGCAACGCTGCCGTCGTTGATCCCGCTTCGACAATGTCCTCTCTCGAATCGTGGGCCGTCGATCGTCTGTCGATATTTCTTGGGCTTTCGAGCCAAGAACTCGGGCAGTTCATTCCGCATCTCCTGTCGCTCGACACCCCCGCCGCTGCGACAGATTACCTGCAGGTATAGCGGGCCGATCGCGATGCCATTTATGCAGACAACTTTGTAATTTGCAACGAGCCTCAGCCGCCCCTTCTTTCTGGGCGCCGCTCGGGAGCAGAGCTGTGAGGCTCGGGGCATGCGCTGATCCTGCTCGGTCTCGGTCACGACTGTATCTCAGGGGCTCCTTGGCGACTCGGCGGAGGTGCAGGATTTCATACAAGAGTTTCAGTCTCGTCGATTCCCCAGCCGACAGCCGTCACGAAAAGAAGCCGGGAACAGAACAAAGGTGAATAGCAGTGTCAGAGAAGCCCTCATCGGCATCGTCAGGCGATTTGCAGAATATGGCCCAAGGTTTGCGCAGATCCTGACTCTTTCCGTTCGATCTCTCTGGCTTGTGGACGTTTGAAGCAGCATCCACAGGGCGCAAGTGGCAAACCACAGCTCGGAGGAGCCGGTTTGTCTAATGAACGATCCAGAGCAGAAAGGTCGACTTGCAATCCTGCTGCAGTCCCGGCACCGTCTTGGCTGCTCCGGTGCATAGATTTCGATGCAGCTTCGAATGTGACTGATCTCGCATCCTTTTGGGATCTCGACACGGCATTTTCATACGAGCAGCCCACGACTCGCCAAGCAACTCCAGCCTCCGGTATCGTCGCCATCGCCGTCTCAGTCTCCAGTCCCGGCTCCCAAGGTATTGAGGATTTCGTCTGAAAAGTCAACCCCGGCACAGACGCCGAAGAAGATCCGGAACAAGAAAGCCACACCAGCTCTGACAGTCGAGGAAATCGAGTTCAACGTGAAGGTCGGCAACGCCATCGGGTTGAACGGGCGGCTCTATTGCGAATGCGAAGGTTTGGAATCACTCAATTCCGGCATCCACACTCGGTGACCTTTCAGTGCGGCTTCTGAAAATGCTTGAGACTCGTTCACTAATTGTGCATCCGACTGGCAGCTGCAAAGCATGGACTCTTGACCAACTGTCTGTGCTGTGGCAAGATCGTATGCAAACTGGAAGGTGAAGGCCCATGTCCCAGCTGCGGCACTCTGGTCGAGTCGCGAGAGCAGCAGCTCGCCATGTTGCAGCAGCGGAAGCAGAAGAAGAGCGAGAGCGGGCCCAAGAAAACGCCTGCCGGGAAAGATGTCTTTGCCGGCGCTCGCTATGCACAAAAGTCGGGCTCACAGCCGCCATCTGCTGCGTCGGTTGTCGGCGGCGGGCTCGGCGACAAGTTCCAGTTCCCAGAACTCCAGAGCGAAAAGGCTCGCCAACAGCTCGAGCAGGCGGAGAGACACAAAGAAACACTGCTGAGCTACCAGCGCGACGGTGCTCGGCGCACCAAGGTTCATGGTATGGCCATCTACAGCGGATCGGAGAGGGGTCTGTGTTTGGCTTGTGGCTGGGGCCGATCCGTTGCTGGCGACTCTGACTTCCACAATAGGTCGACATTGCAGGCATATTAATGCTCGCGTTCCTGCATCTCGCTGTGCTGACTTGCGTTGTTTCCTGACCAGATGTCGCGGGTGACTTTGACTATGAGCGCAAGGCAGCCGATAAGTGGTCGAGTGCCGAGGAGCGAGCACTGGCCCTCAAGAAAGCGTACGAACTGCGACAGCGAGAGGAAGATCGCAAGCGCAACCGCATTATATCGATCGATCTGGTCAACAAGACTGTTCATCATCAAGATTTGGATGCCAACACTGCCGGAGCCCTCAATGAAGAACTGGAAGATGAGCCTCGGCCACGCACGACCGACTCTGCATTGCCGGCCAGCTCGCTTTCTCGGAACCCGTTCCGGTCATTCGAACGGCCGATATATTTGGAGACTGTCCCCGATACCAATGAACAAGCTCATTCTCGAGAGGGCAAGATGGTGTCAAGGTCGGATCCGGAACCCAAGGCAGGGGTAGCTGTGACAAAGGGCCTTCAATCGAGTCAAAGAGCTGGTGCCGCTCTGGCAAAGCAACCAAAAGTAGCGACAAAGCGGTATGTCTGTGTCTACTGTCAGCATCACGTTGGATCAGAGGGCTTCTGGGATCAATGGCGGCTAATGCTTGTCGTTGATATGGACTTTCGTTCGACAGTCCTCAGCTCAATCGAATCCAACACGACTATGATGGCGGATGGAGTGCCGACATGCTGAATGAAGTTTCACACGGCCTCAGCGAAGAACCCGCATGTGGATAGAGACAGGAGCGACAAGATCCCGGCAACCCGGACAGCACATGCCATGGTGATGTTCGAGATAGATTGACACCCAGCGAGGTGTGAATGAACTTATTTCACCGATTGTCGTGGTTGTGCCGACCGACGGGTGATGGCAGTGATGGAGAAGGACAGCTTCGTTGCGCAGCGCTGTGGATCATGCGATGCCGCAAGCATGGATACGAGGGAATTGGAGCGACGGGGCTGTTCCGACAAACGGGGAGTCGAACGTGAGCCGCACACAAGAGGGTGACGGCGACACAGGATCGAGACCAGGTGCGACATTGGTGCAACGTGCTGTGGTACATCGAATTCTGGCCAATCGCATCACGCGGCCTGCCACAGCACAGCCACATCCCCCCTGCCTTTCGCCACTCCGTTCCGTTTCCTCCTCGCCACCACTCCTCTTCCTGCCAAGTTGCATATCGCCAGCCGAATCGCCTCATGTCGAAACAGCCAAGAGCAATATTCGTGGCTCGTCTCCTCTGCTTTGTGGCCGCGACGGGCTACTCAATGGCCTTGCCCGTCACCCACGGACTCGAGAAGCGGTTTACTAGCTCAGGCTACTCAACGCCGCTCGTTGCTATTCCGGCATTGCTTGCCTTGGTCGTTGCTTCTATCATAGTGGCGCTCGCCCGCTGTTACAGAGCCTCAAATCAAAACGCATCTTCCGGCTTGACTGGCTCCTCCGTCACAGGAGGCGATATCCTGAACGAATCCAGCAGCATTGCCAGAGAGTTTCAGCGCACCAAGCCGCCGCCCACAAACGAGCTCCCGACACCCGCCCAGCGAGCCCAGATCGAGCAGGAGAGCATCATCGACTCGTACAAGTTTGTTCCATCCGCCAGCTACGGAGGCGTCGCCACCGACGGCAATCTCGTCGTCCGGTTTACGACGCAAGCTCTCACCCGCTCGTGTCTCAGCAAGCATCCGCTGATTCCACCTCCGGGCCAGCCGCTGTGCTATTTCGAGGCAGAGATTGTCTCCCCGCAAACCCTCTTGGACAGCGTCCAGGTTTCGATCGGTCTTGCAACCAATCCGTATCCGCCCATGAGACATGTCGGCGTGGACAAGTTCTCGGTCGGGCTCACAAGGTAAGCGATTGACCAAGGCGATTGCACTCACCCCGCTTCGAGGATCGCCCGTTGTCTGGCCCCCGCATGCCACATTGCCGCTGCTCTGACCGCTCGCTGCAATCCGATACCGCAGGAATGGCCAAGCATTGATCGATGGTGTTGCTGTTGGAGGCGACTTGGGCAGCTACACCCTCAACTCGGTGGTCGGCTGCGGATACTATCCAGAGTCTGGCCAAGGTGAGTGCGAGCAAATGGGTTGGCAGCAAGCGATGTGGAATCATAGTGACTCTGGTGTGTTGAACCCTGCTTGTCGATGCTGCGCTGCTGACGCAAAGACGCCTGCAACAGTCTTTTTCACGCTCAATGGCCAGTTGATTGCCCAATATTCCTGCCACAAGCGGGCTTACCATGCGGCTGTGTCGGCCAGCTCCCAGTGCAGAATCCGAGTCAATCTCGGGCTTGATGAGTTCCTCTACAGCCACAGCGCCGGTTTGCAACGAACGGATACTGAGGAACTGCCAAGTTACGAGGTGGCCGTGTCCTCGTAGCAGCCCAGAGCGCATCGGCCGACTCGCTCAGCGAGCGCCGAGTCTTACTGGATATCCACTGCCTACTATTGAAATACGTTTCCTCTACAATTGCTCTACTATTCGTCTATGATCGCTTTTCGGTGCCCCGTCCTCTCATCCTCTATGCATATTCCTCGCTGAACCTCCTGGTGTGCCAACGTGCTTTTGTAATCATATTTCGAGTGAACGATGTGATCCCAAGTTGCGTTCTGTGCCTGTCTCAGTGTCGATCAGGCATGCGCATCATCAGATTGGGTGCCGAGAGCCGTGTGGCGAAAGTGATCTGGATCGTGCAAGTATATTCAGCCAAACATGGTTCAGATCGAGAGCTGAGTATCAAGAAACCGTGCCGGTGCTTCGCTATCGGTAGATACAAATCGTCATTGATGGGACAGCACCGAGTAGAATCGGTAAAATGGGTCGAGTGTGTGAATTAGGGCCAGTTGCCATGCAATCTGAAGTTGTCGATGGCGTCTTGGAAGCCTTGATCTGCAGACTTGCGATACCAGAAGTTCGCTGTATCGAGGTTCTTGGTAATGCCCCTGCCGCGCTCGTAACAATAGCCAAGGGCAGCTTGCCCGTACCGATTGCCTTGCTCGGCCGACTTGCGGAACCACTCGACCGCCATGGTGCGGTCTTTGGGGACCCCGATTCCATTGAAGGTGAAGTAGCCCACCATGTACTCTCCGTAGGAATTGCCTTGATCGGCAGCCTTGCGGAACCACTTGAATGCGGCCTGATGGTTTCTCGATACTCTCCAGCTGCGCCAGTACAATCGTCCTATCCAGAGCTGGCTGTCGTTGTGCCCATCGCTCGCGAGATTTTCAAAGATGCCGATGGTCTTCTCTTGCTGCTCACGAGAGCCCAGTCCACTGACCAAACACACGGCCATAAGATGTCTGCAGAGCCAGTCACGATCTGATCCCAGTTGGCACAGCTCAAACAGCTTGCGGGGTGCAGGTGGACTGGAGTTGATCCACGGCTCAGCATACACGACGGTCAAGATATTTTGCTCCCCGAGTGGGAAATCTTCCGATTGGTTATCTCGGATGATCTTGACACCCTTCTGTTTGTCGAGCTGGGTGCCCCGGCCGAGGTAGTGCATCCACCCGAGCATGTGCGTGGCGATGGGCTTGATGACTGGGTCGGTGGATTGGGTGCTGACTTCATGCCAGTAGTTGAAGGCAGTTTCATCGCTCTGCTCGACATCATGGCCAATGAGCGAGAACCATCCTCGGAGGAACACGATATGGAGTCGACCGTCTTCGTTGGCTTGATCTGCTGCCTTGGAATACCACTCGATCGCGGTGGTGAAGCTCTGATCGACACCTTCACCACTCTCGTAGCATCGACCGAGGGCGACTTGAGCCTGAGAGATCCCACGGTCGGCGATAGTACGATATATCTCGACAGCCTTGGTGTGGTCTTGATCGACACCAAGCCCGTTTCGATAACATCCAGCCAGGTGGAACTTTGCCATAGGATGGCTTGTGTTGGTTGCCTTCTCCAGAAAGCGGAAGATTTGCTGGACGACGCTTTGCCTCTTGGATCGTTCCATGTAGGGTTGCCCTTCAACCTCGATTTGAAGGATCCTTGCCAGGAAATATGATGCGGCAGCATTGCCATGCTCTGCCTGAGCAACGAGCCAGGATCGGTCTGCTGTGAACGGATCTTCGCAATGCAGCGAGATGGCAATCTGATCGCTCGGTGTGAGGCCGATTCGCATCTGCCCGTCTGGATTGCACAGTCCTACAATCTGGCACCAACGGTGGAAGCGAGGCACCTTGGAGCTCAGGAGGGGTCGGGCTCGTTTGCATACTCTGAGCAGGATCTTGATGGTGTTGTGGTCGAGGGCAAGCTGGAAACCGTCGTTGCAACATATGATGGTGAAGGTGTCAGGGTCGTGGTCGTCTATGGCCAATCGAGCCATGTTGGCTGAATGATGCAACAGACTAGGATGTGAGGAGAGTGCAGTGATGATGTCCAGGCGATGAGATGAGGCGAGATGGGTGGAATGGAATGAGAGTGGCACAGTCACGAAACCAGGATCGCATTGGATCCATGGATCGAGTGCCAGTCAACCAATGCTTGTCACCCGCATTCCCACACATCCAGCATCTGTCATTACCACCGGCGTTGGATATCGATTGGTTGGCAGCAGCTCACTCACCCAGACCTGCAACGCCGTCCTCCATCGACAACTGTCATGATGATCACCATCAGGGCCCACAGATCCAATGCCGAGACAGAGATGGGATTGGCAATCGAGAAAACGACACAGAGGAGATACACAGATCGTCCGATGTGCCCAACTGGACTCAGCTGGTCTGGACGTGGTGAGTAGTGAGCGAGCGGTGAGTAGTGAGCGAGTGGTGAGTGGTTGTCGATGGACGACATCATTGCCTTGATGTGCAACCACACCACACACGTGCAACCACCAGTCCACGTGCTTGTGGATCGCTCCGGATCCAGTGCACTTGGCTCGATTCGGATTGCGCTGTCACACAACACAGCCACAGCTCAGCCACACATGGGTCCCAGCGACTTTGCCATTCCCATGGTGCTTCGCCTTCCCACGCCTCTGGCTCCGTTTGTCGATATAAATACCCTGTCACTCGCTTCGACTTCTGCCAACCACCCATCTCCATCTCATCTCATCCTCATCCAATCCATGACGCCCGTGCCTGCATCCGCCGCCGAGTCGTGGCTGCTCTGGCTCCTGCCCTTCCTCGCCCACGAACAGGCGTCGCTGCTCGTCAGCCACGTCGTCTCGCTCGGCCATGCCGCCAACAGCGGTTGGACCCATCTGCAGCAGCAGCTGACCGGTGGCAGCCTCAAGCCCATCTACGATCTCTTCAGCCAGTCCCAGCTGCAGATGCTGCTGCTGGCCTGGGTCCCGGTCCACTTTGGCAACTACATCAACACCGGCATCTACGTCGTCGACATGTTCAGTGAGTGTTGTGCAGCCGAGTAGAGACGAGCCGAGACGAGCCTGTCCCCGGTGCTGCTCTCGTTCCGCACAGCAGCATGTCCTCGGGGTGGCTCTGTCTCTCGGGTGACTGTCCGTTCCCGCAGTGCTGACTCTCGACTCGCCCCACAGCAACCTCCGCCATCGTCACCATCGGCCTCGCCCTTGCCAAGTACATCTGGGACAACATCGGCAGCTGGATGCTCGCTTCCGAAGACATCAGTCTCCGCGTCGAATACTTCCGCATCGATTCGTACGGCGAGCGCTGTGTCAACGAGCACTATCTGTCGCTCGCCTGGCTGATCTCCAAGCTGGCCAAGGGCCAGGAGGTCGGCGAGTTCCGGCTCGTCCCCTTCGAGTCCTCGGCCGGCATTTCTGGCACTCTCGCTGCCGGCTCGGCAGCAATGAGCAAGCCCGCAGCCTCAGAGTCGGACCCGACCAAGGAGCTCGAGGGCGACGCCAAGCCGGGCAAGAGCGAGCTCGGTGCAGACGGCGCCATCTCGAACGACTCAGACGATGTCGATGACGAGGACATCTCGGACTTCAACATCCTCCCCGTCGACAACAGCAAGAGCATGATGCTCCAGGACGACGGCGACACCTTCCGCGTCTGGTTCGAAAAGGCCGACAATGGCCAGGAAACCAACAACTCGGAGTCGTCTCGCTCGATGCGCGCCGGAGCCGAGCCCACGATCGTCATCTGCCCCGAGACCCCCGGCAAAAAGTACAACGTCGAGTGGATCCGCAACTGGGTCATCAAGGTCGCCCGCCAGTTCGAGCGCCATCGGAAGCGCAACAAGACCCGAGGCCGCTACGAGCGAGTCGCTGCCTCCTGGGACGCCGGCTCATACTACTGGAACATGACCTGCACTCTGCACTCGAGGTGAGCCATGCGCCGTGAATCGGGCAGCCGGGATCGGGTCGCTTCTGTTGGTGCCAGCACATGCCTTGGTCCATCGCACCGACACAGCACCCATCGTCGCCCTGGCCATCTGCTTCGTCGCTGACCCACGCTGCCTGTGCATCTATCCAGCCGCGGCATCGACGCCGTTTCGCTCGACATGGCCCAGGAGAAGCAGTTGCGCAAGGACATTGCCACCTTCACGGCCGATCGCGAGTTCTACGCCCGCATGGGCATTCCCTACCGCCGCGGCTATCTGTTCTCAGGCCGACCGGGCACCGGCAAGTCCAGCCTGGTCAACGCCCTGTCCTCGTCGCTCAACCGCGACCTCTACTACATCAACCTCCGGGAGATCAAGGACGACAGCGCGCTGCAGTCGGCCTTCTCCAGCATCCCCAAGAACTCGGTGATTGTCTTTGAGGACATTGATGCCCAGTCCAAGACGGTGCACTCGCGGACCAGCCGTGCCCTGCTGCATGCCGAGATGCCTGCGTTTGAGGACATTAGCATCATGGGTCCTTCGCTGGACCAGAAGGCCAGGCTGTTTTCGACCGGCTTCACCCTCTCGGCGCTGCTCAACTGCCTCGACGGCTATGTCACCGAGGAGGGCATGATTGTCATCATGACGAGCAACCACCCCGAAGTCCTGGACCCGGCCCTGATCCGGCCCGGCCGCATCGACCTGCACATGGACCTGGGCTACTGCACCCAGTACCAGTTCGCGCACATGTACCGCGCCGTCATGGACGATCCTGCTGCTGTGCTCGAGGGCGTCGAGACCCTCCCCGAGCACGTCATCTCCCCTGCCGACGCCATGCGGATCATGATCCTGAACCGGGCTGCTCCCGACAGCGTGGTCCCGGAGCTCCTGAAGCGGGCCTCGGAGATCCAGGCTGGCGCAAAGTCCGAGTGGGAGATTGAGCAGGCGATCAAGGAAGCGTATCGGGCACAGCAGGAGCGCGAGGAAGAGCAGAAGCGCGAGGAAGAGCAGAAGCAGAATGAGAAAGAGAAGGCCGAGAACGGCGACTCGGACGGCAAGGACGGCAAGGACGCTTCGGCCGAGAAGGACACTTCTGGATCCAAGCCAAGCGACGGCGACTCGTAAACTGGCTGATATACTGCCAACAGCGGCCAAGCACCACCGACTTGGCACCCGCCTCATGTGCATCCATCCCATCCCATTAATACCCACTCTGTATCATCTCATCGACCTGCTCTCTGCATGCACACCTGGACACTCCACAATGGTGCGGCTGTCTCGCATGCCAATATACACATGTCCAGTCCATGACTCTTGCTGCCCATGAGACAGCCAGGACGGCGTAAGACCCGGGCCGATGTGATTCTGCTGAGTGGAAGGTCGATTCATCTGATTCTGCTGAGTGGAAGGTCGATTCGGCTTCATTTCACAGCCTCTGCTATGTGACAGCACTTGGGTGCACGGCAGAGACCGGCTGAGTTGTCCAGTAGCCACGGCTGATCGAGTCTGATACCCACGAATCTGTGGCTGATGGGTGTGAACATCCCGGCACTGGATACCAGAGATTGCTGCGATGTCATACAGTGCTCGATTGGCCACTCGTTTCACTCTGCAACAGCCACAGCAGCCCGCCGGTTTGCTGCAGGGCAACATGTGCGATGCGTCTGCCGGATCTCACTTGGTTTGGAATGGAGGATCGGCATCTTGTGCGATGCCGCCGTCCGGGGCTTGCCGGTGATACCCTCTCAGAGTGATACCGTCGTCAGGATGGGACAAATAGCCCTGGCTCATCTGTCCGTGCTGCTGCCACCGTTTCCAGCCACGAGAGCGACTCACATGCCACTCTCCATCAGTAGTATCGGGGGTATATGAGGAACTATACCGTTTTCGCGGGGGTGGGGGTAGACGTGGGGTATGGTAGGGTATGGGTAGATGAGGGGTACATGGTAACCTAAGGAAGTGGAGTAGTCGTAGGGTACAGTAGTGTCGTGGTAGTCGTGGAAGTCGGTGGGTTCGATGGGATTCGGTGGTGCTCGGTGTATTTGGTGTGGGATGGTGGGTATCGTGGTGCATGGTCGAGCTCCTGGTGTTGTTTGGTGCTTCGCTATCGTTGTGGGCACACGTCGATGGCAATGTCAATCTGCTTGGGCGCCGATATTGAATTCGGGAAACCCCATCCATACCCGCCTCCCCAGCGAATTGGGAAAGCGACAAAGTAAGACAGCTCACCGTAATGCACAAGAAAGGGAAATAGCTTCAAAGGGGTGTGTTTGTGACTACACCATGCCCTCGCCAAGAATGTCCTCTGTGCTCGCATTCTTCAACAGAATGTTACGAGCCCCATTGATGTCGCGATCTATCATCAACCCACACTCCCTGCAATGATACACCTTGGCCGCCCCCAAGTCCCGCTTGATGTGCCCGCACCGAGTGCATGTCTTGCTTGTGTACTCCTCCCCAACAATGCACACCCTGCAGTCAGCATACTCCCTGGACTTGTGGACGAGAGTGTCGACAAAGCGACAGTGGGCCAGCATGGCCATCTTCTCGTTGACCACTCGTCCAGAGCAGTGTGCTGCCAGCTGGTGGAAGTTGAGCTTGGGGATGTAGATGACGTTGCATGTTGAGCAGAGCCACTTGGCTGCCTTGCGGTGGAGATCGTTGACAAGGCATCGGATGCGCTCGAGGATGCGGAGGGCTGCTCGACGCATCCTGTTCTTGGTGTCCCTGCCACCATTGGTCGAGTGAGATTTGGAGGCACCCCAGGCGGTGACAAGGCCGGAAGGGTCGTATGTGGTGATGAAGTCTCGGACGCCACGATCGATAGAGACGACTTTCTTGGCCGTGTCCTGGGCTTGGCTTTCGCCCGGACGGACAAGTGGCCCCGAGACCACGATGTAGAACTTGCCGGTCTTGGTCCGCATGATGCGGGTGTCGCAGAGGAAGGGAAGCTGCAGTCGGCGATCCTCGATGGTCCCGTCGGGACGGAGGCGAGGAAGGAGGCTCCTCTCCATCCGACTGTGCTTGGGTGGCTTCTTGACACTCTTCATGCTTCTGGACAGCATGGGGTCGCCATCAGCATCCACAGGCTGTGGAAGAGGCGGACGCAGAAGCTGCACAGGAGTGTTTTGTGCGCCAGGAGGAGTGACGCCGAGGAACTCGCGAATGTTGACCTGGTTCCAGAAGCTGGATGTGGACTGGACAGGGCCCCAGAGTCGCTTCCTCGTGTAGCAGGACTCGGAGGTGGATCGCTTCTTGCTGAGATAGCGGAGGCGGAAGTGCTTGACCTCCTCACCACGGGCCTTCATGGCCGCGCACTTGGCGAGATTGGAGGCCAGGCTCTCGACAAACTCGTTGATGATTCCGTCGAGGAAGTCGTAGGCGTACTTCTCGGTAGTGATCCAGTGCCTGTCGGAGAAGACTCGGGTGCCGGCATTGGCATAGCGCTGGCGGAGCTGGGTCAGGACAATGTGGCAGAAGGAAGGACACTTGCCAGGATGCGGGACCGGGATGGCGTCGACCAAGGCCTTCCACTGGTCCTTGTCAGACTTGGATAGACCGGGATGGGCCAGCTTGAGAGCGTCAATGTGGTAAATGTGAGCTGAAGACAGATCGAGATATTAACGGCCCGCACCATGCTGTTGAAGAGTGTGAATACCGAGGAGATACTTGGTAGGAGCATGGTGTAGCCTGGTAAACGCCCATTGGAGACTATTCTGGTTATGCAACACGATTGCCTGTTCAACTTTTGTTGCTGATAACAGTTCGTTGAAGCGGCAGGTATGCGAAGCAATGGGTGGGAAGTGACATTCGTTGGGAGAGGCAGATATCTTCGCTGAAGGCCCTGCTTGATCCACTCGGTCAGCATGTTGCGATGAGGAAATGAAGGCTTGGAGACGAACTGGCGGTGCTTGGTGCAGCAAGCTGGAGCCAGGGTGTCGCAGTCGATGTGGAACTGGATGGAATGGCTGTTACATCTTGGCTTGGATAGCGAGCCCGAGGGACTCGATACGATGCTCGATTCCATGATCGATTTCATGTATGTGGTAGTGTATGTGGCAGTGCAGTGAGCAGCAAAGACTCCAGCCAGCAAGCCATCGGATCGAGCCAGGCTTGTGTGTGTGTGGAATATGATGACCATGGTATGGCTGGCCAGGGTTTAGTTCCCTCACCAAATCCTTTCCATCGCCATCGTCCACTTGCCTCCCTGTCGTCCTATCCAATTGTTTCCCATATTCACCATGGCAAGCAGAGCCATCATCCGCCCCGCTCCCGATCGCCCGTCCTGGTATATCTCGCCCAGCGACATCACCAACCGCTCGGCCAACCCCATCGGCCGCGGTGGCTTTGGCGAGGTCTTCACTGGCACATACTTTGGCTCCAAGGTCGCCATCAAGCAGCTCCTCGGAAACTACAACAACCGGGAGCTCGCCGAGTACAACCATGAAATCAACATCTGGAAGCAGCTCAGCCACCCACACATCCTCCCCCTGCTCGGCGCTTGCGATCGAGACGACGAAGGCAATCCGATCTCTCCCTTCATGGTCTCGCCGTTCATGCCCAACGGCACCCTTCGCAACCATGTCGCCAACAACAATGTCCCACTCGAGGAGAAGCTCCGTCTCCTCTTCCAAGCTGCATCGGCTCTGGCATATCTCCATTCCCGTCGCATCATCCACGGCGATCTCAAGGCCCTGAACATCCTCCTGGACGGCTTGAACAACGCCGTCGTCACCGACTTTGGCATGTCCCGCACCAAGCACACCTCTGCCTCGCTGGACCGCAACCGATCCATGGGCCCGACCGGCGGTACCGAAGGCTATGTTGCACCCGAGATGCTGGACGACGATGATCCCAGCGGTACCACCATGAAGACTGACGTCTACGCCTTCGCCATCACCATGTATGAGGTCCTCAACGATGCCAAACCCGTCTGGGTCACCAACAACGGACAAGCCATGCTCGGCCGTGCCATTGAACGCATTTCATGCAACGGTAGACGTCCCAAACGGATCGATGGCATCCCCGACGATATCTGGGCTCTCATCGAACGCTGCTGGGCCCAAGATCCCGCCGCCCGCCCTGCCTTCACCGAGATCCTTGCCGGCCTCCAGCCATACAACCGAGCTGTTATCCCTGCAAGCGCTGCTCTCGCCGTTCCCGCCGCCGCCAAGTCCCCTCCTGTCAGTCAGGTTGCCAGCCATTTCACCACTCTCAGCGTGAACAGCCAGCCCCCGCCCCAGTCCAGTCGACCCGACGAGCTCAAGTTTGACGGCATCGACGATGCCGTCCATATCCCTGGCACCATCGTCTCCGACGCCAAGCAAGGTGATCCCGATGCTTGCCTCGATGCTGCCAAGATGGTCTCGGAGGGTCTCCCTGCCCGCCACCAGTATTGGAAGCTCGCCATCCAGCTCTACAGTGCCGCTGCCGACCGCGGGAGGCTCGAAGCATCCTTCCAGATGGGCTGGTTCGGTTTCCTTGATGTGGGAATTCCCCAAAGCGACCGCAGCGCCTTCGTGCTTTGGCAGGAAGTCAGCACCAAGTCGGAAGACAAGGTCCTCAAGCCCATCGCCACCCACATGGTGGGATGGATGCACTACCTCGGCCGCGGCACTCCTCTTGACAAACAAAAGGGCACCAAGATCATCCGCGATAATCAATCGGATGAGTTCAAGCTCGGAGAGGGCGAATGCCTGGCATGGTGGGGATACGAATGCAAATCCGATTCACCCGCAGCTTGCAAGTTCTTCGATTTGTGCCAGCTGGGATCAGATCGCGACTGGCTGTGCAGATACCTCATGGCCGTGTGCGTATTCCTTGGATTTGGAACAGCAGAAGACCGAGCCATGGCAGTGGGTATAATTGAGCAACTCGCTAAAGGCAGCCAAAGCGACTGCCAGTTCACAATTGGAAGGTGTTTCTTCTATGGCTGGGATGTACCGGAAGACTACAAAAAGGCCATCGAGTGGTTCAGAAAGTCGGCCGACCAAGGCAATTCGTATGGTCAGTGGATGGCTGGTGTGTGTATTCTCTGTGGATATGGAGTTGCCAAAGATCTCACCAAGGGAAATGCGTGGCTCCGCAAGTCGGCCGAGCAGGGCAATCGATACGGGCAGTTTTGGCTCGGTAACTGCTTCCAATTTGGCCGGGGTGTCCCCAAGAACATCGACACCGCTGTCGGCTGGTATCGCAAGTCCGCAGACCAGGGAAACCGAGATTCCATCAACATCCTCAAATCCCTCGGCAAGTGGGCCTGATCCCCCGAGTATCATTCCCAAGCAACCAAGTCCCACATCCAACAACAAGCAGTCAAGCAAACCACGCCACTCACCCACCTCAAACATCATGACACCAAAAAGTGGACTTGCAGAGTGGTTCCGATCAATCGATATTGGTCGAGTGATCTTGTATTTTACATTCAATATACCAGTGTTCCCCCACGAACATCGACTGATTCACATGGATGTGGGTTCTCGCTACAGTGCCGAATGCATCGCCAATAGCACCAGGCATCTCTTCTTCGACCACCAACACTCGAGGCATTCATCCACCACTCACTTCTCTCGCAATGGCAGGCAAGTGATTCAACTCCCCATTGGGCTCATACTGCTGGAGCAGCCTGAGTGTCGTCTTGAGCACCACCATGGGGCAGTCGCCGTGATCGGTCGTGAGAGCTGGGCTGGTTTTCCTGACCAATGCAAAGTGTGGGTTCATGCCACTCGGGTTGGCGGGTTGCTTCGAAAAGTCAGCCAGGAAACGAACCGACCATGCTGCCAAGGGCCTTCTTGATGAGACACAGCAGATCCTCCTTGCCACTGAGCATTTTGTCTCCCAGCCAGAACAAAGCGAATGTCAGGGTGCATGAGGCAAAGATCAAGCACAGGGCCAGGAAATCCAGCAGGTACTCGAGGACATTCCCTTCGCACCCCACATTCCCGGACAAGAAGTGCATCACTTTCACCGTGGATGAACGATCGGCGTAGTCGTCCAAATATTCTGGCGAGAATGCAAAGGGAAGAGTGGAGGCAAATCTATCACCAGCACGAGCGGGACGGGTCTGCATGGTCATCAAGTCGAGCACGATGCCATCGTTGAATACCACCGAATCATGGCACTGTTGATCTTCTGCCGGAACCAGGCACTCTTGTGGGAAGGTGAGATCATTTGTCTCCACTCATCTGCATGTGTCTTGACGAATCTGCGATACATCGTTGGAGCCAGCATCATCCCCGCACTGCACACCTCGGCAACATGGGGGAGCAACTCCAGGCGATCGCGATAGACTGCCAAGACAGAATGACCAATGCTCTGGAAGGGACCGCTGGGATAGTCAAAGATGTCCATGAAGGCCTTGAAATGCGGGGCGATACGCCAGATTCCATTGCAGTTGCAGACCAGGCACGCTTCTCATCGAGCCCAAAGAGGAGGGGACTTGATCATTGTCCAGCACAACCATGAAGACACTCTCTCGCATCTCGCAATGAAAGCCTCCTTCATTTGGGCGGCCTGGGTCGGGGAAGCACCAAAGGGGACACCATCGCTATCGGCGCGGGCCCACAGCGCAATGAGGCGATCAGACCCGGAGGACATACTGAGGATGTGGGATGGGTTGGATCTCTGAGCACTGGTGGAGAGAGAGAATGAGATCTGGCCAGGGCATTCGAGGATGCTGCCGCGCCATGATCGATCAGCCCGAACGACCACGAAAGTCGCAGTTTCGAATGCTCAATCGGGGTGAACAGCCCGAAACAGCCCGAAACACTCCATATGGACAGCCGAGAACAGCCGGGGAACAAGCTTCTACAGCCGAGCTCACCAACCACACCAATACCATGGAGAGAGGATGGATGGCCCGTTACTGGCGACAACACATGGAGAGCGGTATGGGCTGGATGCGTGATCGAAGTGGAATCGAACCTGCGACCACGCCATATCAATCCGGCTCCATTGACACTGGCTGGATCCCATTCGAGCCAGCACAAGAAACAAGGTTTGCCCAGCCCGATTTGGCATCCGCTGCGCTCGTGTGTCGCGCGTCTGACACCTGTATCGCCACCGTGACCCGGGTGGCGAGGCTTGTACAGCGCTTCGCCTCCAATTGCCAGGGTCTGGTTTGCTTTTCCATAAATCCTCTCGCCGTCTCCCGCTCATCGCCATCGTCATCGCCCACCCGCTTCTCACCTATCCCTGCTGCCTCTCGTATTCAACATGACCAGCATGAACGAGCCTACTTCAACCACAGCATCATCTCCCACTCACCAATCTCAAGCTGAAGCCAGAGCAACCTCGTCGATGCCCAATATCAACCAGCCCTCGCTCGACCACAGCCCTGACATCTTCACAATCATCTGCTGCAACGAGAGCTTCCAGCTTGCCCTCGATCACAGCACCATCTCAACCCTCCTTCGAGTGTGCAAACGAGTTCGCCCTCTCCTGAGCTCCAAGGTGCCTCGCTTCCACAGCTGGTGGCGGAATGTGGGGCTGTGGCGTCCAAATGGATCGCTGCGGTTCGCACTCACACCGAGCGAGCAGATTGCCCTCTCGCTGCATTGCGAATACGAAGGCATAGCCGACCGATCCTGGCTTGATAATCAAGCCGATCTGGGCAATGCTACTGCATTGTTCTTCTTGGCATGGATCCACCAAATCGATCTCGACAGCCAGCAGTCTGTGAACAAGCACAAACAGGAGGCCATCTGCCAGCAAATCTTCCTCTATCTGGAGAATGCAGCCAAAGGTGGCCATTCAAGGGCCCAGTACGACCTAGCTGGGTTTTATCTCAACGGAATTGAAGTCGACAAAGATCACACCAAGGCCGCGGAGCTATACCGTGGTCCTGCAGATCGTGGAATTCCTCAGGCTCAGGTCGCTCTTGGCCGATGCTACGAGATCGGCAAAGGTGTCGAACAAAGCTACGACACGGCCATTGAGTGGTATTCCAAGGCCGCAGATCAAGGCAGCGAAGACGGTCGACTCCACATCGTGTTCCTCCGAGGATGGTTCTCGTTCATCGGCCATGGTGTCGAACAGAGCGATGAAACTGCCTTCAACTACTGGCAGGAAGTCAGCACCCAGTCTACCGATCCAGTCATGAAACCCATCGCCACCCACATGGTCGGATGGATGCACTACCTTGGCAGGGGTACCGTGCGCGACGAGCAGAAAGGTGTCAAGATCATCCGAGATAACCAATCGGATGAGTTCAAGCTTGGGGAAGGCGAGTGTCTGGCAGCTTGGAGCTCGGCCTCATCCGAAACACCTGCTGCCCGCAAGTTCTTTCAGTTGTGCCAGCTGGGATCGGAGCAAGAATGGCTGTGCAAGCATCTTATGGCTGTGTGTCTGTTCCATGGATTCGGAACCACAACGGACTGGTGGAAGGCAACGGGCATCTTTGAACAGCTCTCCAACGGAGGCCACAGTGACAGCCAGTTTTGGATCGGAGTGTGCCATTGGCGTGGCGGGGGAGTATCGATGGACCACAAGAAGGCATTCGAGTGGTACAGCAAATCGGCCAACCAAGACAACTCATATGGGCAGTGGATTGTTGGTGGGTGCTACTACTTGGGAGAAGGAGTCACCAAGGATTATACCAAGGCAGTCGAGTGGTTCCTCAAGTCGGCCGAACAGGGCAATCGATACGGACAAAACAACCTCGGCTATTCCTACCACAATGGCTATGGTGTTCCCGAGAATATCGACACCGCCATTTTCTGGTACCGCAAGTCCGCCGACCAGGGTTTAGCTATTGCCATCAACAGACTCAAGCAACTCGGCAAGTGGCCCTGATCCCCGAGTCCCTCCCGAGTCCCACTCCCAAACAACCAACTCGCAACACTAAACATGCAAGCAGCCAAGCAAACCGCGCCGCCAACACCCACCCCAAACACCATGAATCCAAAGTGTGGATTCGCAAAGTGGACCCGATGAAGCGGCAATGGCCGAGTGATGTTGTATTTGACATTCAATACATTCAATACATCCAATATGCAAATAGTGCTGTCCCATAAGAATCGCTGATGTTGATCGACCGAGAGAAACATCGAATAAATCGACAACGACAATCGACATTAACAATCGATACTCGCTCTGCAACCATGGATGGTGGAAAGAGTTTGCACGATCCAGACCATCCCTCGTCACATGGTGCCGGGGAAAGCAGGCAGCAAGCAACCAGCCTTCCCGGGCACCAAGACCATCCTCCCTCGATCCGACACTAGGCAGCGTGGAGATGGCGGATCGGCATGATCCGATACCCCGAAATCAGGGGAAAATTCATGCCCATGTTCAGTCCTCCCAAGGCCGGATGCACCGAGCTGTTGGAACAGGCTCTCACGCCCATTCAACAGGGCAGCCAGATTGCCATCAGCGAAGCCGCAGCCCAGAAGTCCATGGACGACGCGTGGAGCATCTTCAAGACCACGATCGACCTGATCGCCAGCGAGACCATCGGAAGCGCCAGCATCAGCCCTGGTCGGATCGAGGGCACACAGGGGCCCGAAATCCGACGCCTGGAACGAGAACGGCGATGCCTGAGCAGAATGCTCGCCCAGACCCCCGAGTACGACACGGAAGAGTTGGACGACCTGCGTCGTCAGCTTCGGTCCACGAGAAAGGCCATCACCCAGCTCAAGCGCAAGAACGGCATACGGTCATGGAAGGAATCCATGGCCACCATGGACACCCAGAAGTGCTCCGAGATGACCAAGACCATCGGAGCGATGCGCACGAGGAAGGGGAGAGAGGGATCACATCTCTTTGACAACTCGGATCCGACTCTCGAGAAACTCGTGGTGCACTTTGGCAAGGTATCCTCTGCCTCGCAGGACAGCGGGACAGAGTACGACAGAAGTATGACCCCACCACCCCTGAGCACGGAGGCGACCCTCCTGCCGCCCGACAAGCGGCTCCCAGAAGTATCGCTGGAGCACATCCAAGAGACTATCGAGAAGGCACCACGCCGCAAGGCAACGGGATCCGACAAGATCAAGAGCGAAATGCTCATACCAGTCGCACCGGTGATAGCCGAGTGGCTCCGCCTGATCATCATGGCGGCGCTCAAGGCCAGTGTGGTGCCAAGCGAATGGAACAGCGTGCTGATCCACCCAGTGTACAAACAGAAGAGATCGACCCTGGACCCGGCCATGTATCGCCCGATCGGTCTCACTCAGACCTGCAGGAAGATCGTGGAAAGGATCATGCTTCCCTTCCTGGCAGAACAGGCAGGAGACATGGACGTCGCCCAAGGCGGATTTCGAGCCAGACGAGGAGCCCTTGACCAGATCGTCGCCCTGGACACCCTGATCAAGCACCACAAGATGAACGGTGAGGAGTACTCTCTGATCTTCCTCGACATCAAAGCCGCATATGACACCGTATGGCGCGAGCGACTGTGGACCAAGCTCAAGCAGCGAAGAATGAATGGCATCGCCCTCGGCTTCCTCAAAGCCATGTTTGACCGGGTATCCATCCAAATGGTCAGCAAGGGCCGAAGATCCAAGCCAGTATGGCTCCAGAAAGGACTGATCCAGGGATCGGTGCTGAGCTCACTCATGTTCAGCGCCTTCATCGACGATCTACCAGGACCGAATGGTGACCAGGACAAGAGAAGCAGCATCCAACATGGCCAAGATGGGCCTGACCCTTGGGAACCTCACGGCCAAGACACTGACGATTGCATACCGCACGTTCCTGGCCGATGATGGAAAATGGACTCGCCCTCGACGCCATCCCAAAGAACGAACAGAAGCGGCTCCACCGGACACAAACCTTCGCTTGAACTTGCTGTTCCGCACAGCTCACACGACTACACATGGAGCACTGCACCTCAACTGCGGATTACCTACACAGAGTGGTGGACATAGCACTGCACACGACCAGCAGGAGAGGCAGCCCTCTCCTCACACCTAGCAGTGACAGAGTAACTGGGGCGCTGAGGGCCACAAGGCCACGACAGCGAGTCCCTGTGGGACCTCTTGGAGGAAGTTTTTTTTTTTTGTGTTTTGATAGTTGTATATTCAGGAATATTCAACATGCCATCAGTATCGCAGGATACCCGGCAGTGGGTGGCCAAGCTCGCTCATACACCCCTGTTGCGGCCTTCGCCGACTCTCCAGCCCACACGGCGAGCCATGCGGGTGAACACTCCCTCTAATAACTCCCAGAGGGAGTCGCACGTTTCCAGGTCCCTCTCAGGGATGTCGGGGGTTGGTTTATCCAAGTCTCCCTCTAGTATCAACTCGAACCCACTCCAGGGTTTGCTGTGCGGTGTTGGGTCTTGACTTGCCCTCAAGGGAGTGTGAGTTTGTCTGTGGGAGGGGTACTCGGGATTTATCTCGTATCCTGGGGTCTGCCCCAGACCCAAGTCATCGTCGGACTCTGGGATCGGGTCAGTACTTCGTCCTTGGGAGGGCGTGGGAACCACTCTCGGTTCAGGGCCGGGGACCGGATGTCTATTCGTCTCCCTGGCCCGGTTTCGGTCTCGGTTCGGGAGGGAGTCTTGGTTGCCATCAGGGGAGTACTCTGAGCCAGACTCGGTGTCTGCCTCTGAGGTTCCTCCCCAGTTCGACCCCGAGGCAAGGTCTGAGCTCGGTTCGGGGTGGTGGGGCTCTAAGTCCACACTCTGGTCGGAGTGAGGTACTAAGTCCCCACCAAGGTCAGAGTGAGGCACTAGGTCCCCACTATGATCGGAGTGGGATACTAAGTCCAAACTCTGGTCAGTGTCCCAGCAGTAGTGTCTTCCACTATCGAGAGACAGTTCGTCAAGCTCGTCCCAGATTGGTCTCGGCGTTGGGTCGGTTCTTACCAAGAAGTCAAAGTCAATGTCGTAGTCTGACACTGAGCTGACTTCAGAGCCAAGGTCCGAGTCCACTTCGGGGCCAGTCAGTCGGAGCCTCCCCATCCGAGCAATCACTCCCGGTAGAGAGCTCCAGAGCCGATCTCGATCATCAAAGTCGTCGTCTACATCAGCATCACTGATGCCAGTGTCATCATCTGTATCCGAGACTATTGATGCGATCAAAAGCCCCGGTCTCTCCCCTCGCTTCCCCACCGAGTGATTATTATTGCTATTGCCATGTCTCTCTCTCCCTGGTGTTTGGGTTCCCACACCAGTGTGCTGCTGTTGCTCTTCTCTATCCTTCTTGGCTTCAAACTCCAGCAAGTCAAGCAGCATGTCTATAGGCCCCACTCCTTCGACTGTGGGTTTGACCCAGCTTGGGTGGGTCCGTGCGAGTTCGTTGACCTTTCTTGCCAGGATGCCTTTGGGGTCGACGCATCTTTGAGCGTGGGAACGGTTAAGGTCTACTTTGATTCCGTTCTTGGAGCACCATCGGCAGGGTCTGCTTCCTCCCTTGGTGTGTCCTGGGAATATCCCAAGTCGCCATCGAATCATTAGCTCGAGGATAGGCTGACTACCTGTGTATCCCTCGGCTCTCCACAGTGCCGACATCGAGGTTGTCGGTGTGCATGCGGCTGTGAGTTGTTGGTCTCGTTTGAACGCTGTCCTCATGTGTTCTGTGAGGATGGCTTCTCGCAGAGGGATCGCCAAGTCGTCCTCTTGGGCAACCTGGGCTCGCTGTCGATGTCGTGCTCGTCCGTTAGCCGGGTCTGGGAATGCTCGAAGATACCTGTTCTTCCGTAGGTCCCGGGCTAGTCGCAGTGTCCACTCTGGGTTGGTGCAGAGTAGTGGTCTATCGGGGTCGAGGAACGGGTGGAACCAGCTCCTTTGTGTCCCTATGGTTTTGTCCTTCTTCCTTAAGGCCGACGCTTCCGTTCCAAGGAAGGCCTCGGTCGCTGTCAATTCAGGATTGGTGTCCTGCCTGGTGTCAAGACTGGACAACGGGGCAAGCAGGGAAGTGCGCAAGAGTCCTAATCCAAGACTCGAACGTAGGGAGAGGAGCGGGGACTGGACTGGGACACAGAGTGTCAAGTGTAAAGCCAAAGTTTTATTCTAGATCCAAGGCTTAGGATACTAAAAATACAAAGTGGCAAGACGAAGGCAAAAGACAGAGGCTGGTCGGAGGACTATTTATGCGAGCGCCAAGGATCGACGCTGCAGAGCGAGGGGGCAGGAGCGAAGCAGCGGCGGGGAGGGCGAAGCAGCGAGCGAAGCAGGTGGCGGCCGTGACTCGGGATCCGTGAGTCAGCGGGCGTCAGTGGCGGCGGCATGGCGGCGCCAAGGCGTCAGGCGGCGTCGAGGCGGCGTCGTGGGCGTAACCCATGACCAACAGCAAGGAAGCGGGAACGGAACACAGACAGCGCGCGTGCTGGCGGGAAGACAACAAGGCAGCACAGCGCGGGAAACAAACAAACAGAAGGAAGGGAAAGCACTAAGGCAGGCAAACAGAAAGGAAAGGGCAAGGGTAAAGGAAGGAAGAGGGCAAAGGCAGAGGGTGTTCATGACACTACCCCCCTCTCAAGGCCCGAGCTCCGAGAGGGCCAGGCTTCGAGGGATGAGAGGAGTGGTAGGCAGTGACAGGCTCCGGACAATGTGCAAGATTGCTGGCGGGCTCCCAGGTGCAGTCCATCACCGTGTAGCCACGCCAGTGCACAAGATACTGGAGCTTACCTCGGAACAGCCTGGAGTCCAGGATCTGTTCGACTTCCCATTCGTCGTGGCCGTCGACTTGGATGGGTGGAGGGGGCGGGATCGTTCGACCTGGGATCTTGTCGTCGGCGGCGGGCTCGAGCAGGGAGACGTGGAAGACAGGATGAATGCGCATGGACGAGGGCAAGTCCAACTTGAAAGCGCGGGAACCGACTTGAGCGACGATCTTGAACGGCCCAAGCTTGGTGTGGTCGAGCTTGGCCGTGGGTCGCTGGGTCTTGATGTTCTTGGCGGAGAGCCAGACTCGGTCTCCAACCTTGAACGGAGGGGAAGGGGAGTGGCCGGGGTCGTAGAACTTGGCTTGGGAGTCCTGGGCAAGGGCGATGTTGAACTTGAGCTCATCGTGGAGGGAGTGAATGGCTCGGGCTTGATCGTCGGCGACGGAGGCATTCTTGGTGGTGCGGGGAAGGGCGACGGAAAAACGAGGGTGGTAGCCGGTGTAGGCGAAGAAGGGGGAGCAGCCGAGGGTTGCTTGAGAGGTGTTGTTGTAGGTGAACTCGGCGTGAGGGAGGAGCTGGGCCCAGTCGTCTTGCTGGAAGTTGATGAAGCAGCGGAGGTACTGCTCGAGGATGGCGTTGACCCGCTCGGTCTGGCCGTCGGTCTGCGGATGGAACGCAGTCGACATCTTGTGCTTGATCTTGAGGCGGGTCAGGACGGCTTGGAAGAACTTGGAGGCAAAGGTAGATCCTCGGTCTGAGACGATATCGTCTGGAAGACCGTGCTTGGTGAAGACGTGCTCGACAAACATCCGAGCAGTGTCCTCGGCGTTGGCCTCGTTGCTTGACGGGACGAAGTGGGCCATCTTGGTGAAGCGGTCGACAAACACACAGATGGCTGTGTGTCCAGAGGACTCGGGAAGCTGGGTGATGAAGTCGACCGAGACTGAGGACCAAGGGCGATCGGGAACAGGGAGCGAGGCAAGGAGTCCGTAGGGCTTGTGTGTTAGGGATAGCTCCTGCTTGTTTTCCACTTTGACTGCACACTTGGTTGTTCCTTTGCGCTTTCTGTTTGTTTGTGTGTAGCTTTGTAGTTCCCCTCCGATTTTCCGCCTTTTGCCTGCCATTTCCGCCCATTCAGCACTTCCGTTTCCCCGCGCTGCTCCGCTTCCTTTGTCTTCTTCGCACGCGCCGGTTTGTTTGTGCACGCGCCTTGCTGCGATTGGTTGCAATTCGGCTGCCGGTCATGTGTCCCCCCACCGGTGACTCATGACCTGCCTGACCGCCCCGATCTCTTGTTCATCTCGCATGCATTTGCCCCAACCTTATACTTGACCAATCCGCTTCTTGGATGTTGAGTCACATTGCTTCGCCTTTGCACGTTTCTCCTGCCAGGTGCTTCGCTTTTGCTTGCGCCTCTCTCGCTTTGGTTCTCTGCCCGTCTCGGTGGTCCTTCTCGGCCCTCGTTCGTGCATCGCCCCCTTCGCCCTGCTCGATCGCCCACTTTTCCCTCCCTTGGCCGCCCTTCGCTGCCAAGTCCGGACTTGTCTATAAATAGCCTGACCCCCGCGATGTGTAGTCGAACCTCAGTGTAGGAGATGGTATCTCCGACGCTGTGCTGCGCGTACTGCGCGTACTGCGCGGCGCAGTGGGTCGTGACCTGTGCTGCGCTTTGCGTTTTCACGCACCGCAGGCAGGCCACCGCAGGGTATACCTGCGGGTTGCCCCCGTTCCCCCCGTTTGTCTGGAGTTCGGTTTTATCGTGAATAAACGTAAGTGCTCCCCGAGCTCACCCGTCCGCTAGAGTAGCCTAGCACCGCCCTGTTCTGCCCCGTCCTGTCTTGTCTTGTACCCCCTCCCTCCCCGTCTTGCCCCAACGTCCCAGTAGTGGACGTTACATGGTAGCATCGGAAATCCTCGTCTTGTTTTCGTCCTGTTTGTCCTCTTTCTAGATCCTCAAGCTGGATCCCGCCTCTCTTGCCGACCGACTCTCCTCTCTGTCCCTGGAGCCTGCCCCTGCCATGAGCAACCCCCGCCCACTTCCGGAAGCCTTCCTCAAGACCTTCCGTGCCCCAGTGTTTACTGGGAAGAGCCGCTCCTCCTCGGTGGAGGACTGGCTGCAGCAACTCGAGGACTACCTCGATGCTGCCCAAGTCGCCCCCACCCACCACATCGTCGCCGCCAAGCTCTGCTTAAAGGACCAGGCGTACCGTTGGTACCGCCGCCAAGGGTTCGACGAGCAGAGCGAAGGTGTGTTTGACGACTTCAAGGACCGCCTCCGTCGCCGCTTCGGCAGCCCCAATGCTGAACTCATTGCCCGTGACAAGCTATACTCTCTCGTGCAGCGTGGTTCTGTGACCCGCTACATCGAGGAGTTTGAAGACCTCTCCTCCCAGATTGAGGAGCTGGGCTCTGCTGATGCGATGTACCTCTTCCAGAAGGGCCTCAAGCCCAAGATCAGAGAGTACATCGCCAGCAACCCTGATGCCCGCAAGTCCCTGGACGTGATGATGGACGTTGCCGAGAACCTCGACAACGTCCAGTACCATGGCCGCCAGTTCTACCCGCAGCTGGCAGGCGGCCATCGGTCTCATCACGTCCCAGCCCGTCCGCCTCGCCCGGCCCCGCCCGCAAGACCCATGCCTGAGCCCATGGACGTTGACGTCAACGCCATGGAGGCTCGTGGCCCTCCCCGCTCCCGGTTCCAGCAAGCTGCCACTGTCTCCCCCAAGGACAGACAGAAGCAGGAGGACCTCCGCCATGGTTCCTGCTTCTTCTGTCACCGACCGGGACACCAGGCCAAGGAGTGCCCCATGAAGTCGGGAAACGGCCGACCCTACTAGGTGGCTCTGGAGCCCTAGTAGGAGACCAACGCCGTGGATTGCTCAATGCAGTCCACGCGTCTCCAGAGGAAGTTCACCTCGCCCCCTCCCCCGAAGGAGAAACAAACCAAGTGTTGTGCGTCGTGCGAGAGGTGCATGGTGGCGCAAGCCGCCTGCCTCTCCACGAACGTGAAGAGAAAACCAAAATTGAAAACCAAAACAAAAAAGAAAATCAAGAACCCTTGAGGGACAGGACCGCCTGTGCCCTCACCCCTGTCAAGTCGTGTGTGTCGGATGCTTCCGACATGTGTCCGCAAGCCGTGGACGTCGTGTGCAATGGCGTGCTGACGCCGCAGGCCCCCGCAATGGCCGAACCCTATCCAAAATGTCCGAGTGGCCGTGATGAAGCCAACCAAGACCAAGTGTCGCCCGTTCCCCCAAGTCAAGTCATGGTGCAGGAGGCTGTGCAGGAGGACCATGAAGAGTCCCTGCTGTACCTCCCTGCCACCGTCCAAGGTCACACCGTCCGAATGATGGTGGACTCTGGAGCAAGCTGCAACTTTGTCAGCAGACGCTTGCTCCAGGAGCTCAACATACATGCAACCAAGAAGAAGTCGCCGATGAGTGTGGCGCTTGCAGACGATCGTGTGCAGCAGTGCACACACCAAGTGGTCCTGCGAGTGGCCCTCCATCCCAAGTACCATCCTGTCCTGTTGTTCCAAGTGATCGACACCAAGTTCGATGCCATCCTCGGCATGAGCTGGCTTGCTCGTGCCGAGCCGACTCCAGTCGTCGACTGGAAAGGCCGCACTGTCCGTGTTGGCCCTGACATTGTCCTGCAGGGCATGGCCTCACCCAACATGCCACCTCTCCTCTCAGCCATGCAATTCAAGAGGCTGATCAAGAAGGACACGTCGTTCCTCTGTGTCGTGCGTGAGGTCGACGACACCGACCAAGCCGGTCCCGGTCCCCCGCCTGTGGTGACCAAGCTGCTCGACGAGTACAAGGACGTATTCCCCGACCAGTTGCCACAATGCCTGCCACCCCAACGCACCGTCGATCATCGCATCGACATCGAACCAGGCTCGTCGCCTCCGTCAAGACCGACGTACCAACTGTCGCTGACGGAGATGGACGAACTCAAGCGCCAGTTGGATGACCTCCTCGCCCATGGGTTCATCCGCCCGAGCCAGTCACCGTATGGTGCACCAGTGCTCTTTGTCAAGAAGAAAGAAGGTGATCTCAGGATGTGCGTCGACTATCGCGCACTAAACAA